GATCTCTCTATCTGTAAGAGGGCCCCCCTTCTTTTTCCACACATATACCTTCGCATCTGACCCAATTCTATTGATTTTGGTCTCATCTGACCATATGACCCGCTTCCAGTCCTCTACAGTCCAGTTTTGATGGGCTAGGGCAAAGGCTAGTCTTGTCTTCCTATGAGTGATGGAAAGAAGAGGCTTTTTCTTCTTTGTTACAGCCCTAAGATTGGCTTCCTTGAGGACATTCCTCACTGTTTGTGAAGAAACTGGAGTAGGGATGATGGAATTGATATGATGAGTGACTTGGACAGCATTATCAGCCTTTCCTGTGGTGATATGTTGGATAATGACCCTCCTATCAGTAGAGGTGAGTTTGAATGGACGACCTCCACTGGAGTTTTCCTTGTCTGGGTGACATTCTTTGATGAGCTTAGCTACAGTAGACTTGCATACACTAGTTCTAGAGGCTATTTGACGAGTAGAGAGGCCAGCAGTAGACAGAGAAAGGATATTATCCCTTTGAGCAGAGGAGATGGTTTTCATGGTGATTATGACTATGCTATGTGGGACACACTTCATTATATACTTAGAGATAGGTTTAATAATGTCATAATGACACCACTTTATAATTTATTTAATAGTGGCATGACTTTATGGTGTCATAACTAATGATTTATATAATTTTAATCTAGGGTCAAAAAACTGTCCACATGAGTCATCATTTTGTAAGGCCTATAGTGCCACCACATTACCATGGATTCCCACGGGCAAGGGCTCACATTCATGCCCCAAAGGAGTACTACAGAGTACCCCACTGGCATATCCTTGGTTTACCTGTCCATTCATATACAATAATGTAAATGGTGAAAATAGCACAAACATACGGACAGTTTTTTGAGCCACTGTACATGATATGTTATATACTACTATGTATGAGGCAGTGATCAGGATAACTATGCAGTAAGGCTATGTACCAAGGATATAGTTTGTAAGTATTTTCCATAGGCAAAGACATAAGTCGGGGTGGATATCAATATGTACACGTCGGATCAGCAATCAAGTGGTAATAGGAATTACCAGTCATCCGGAAGTAAGGGTCTATGTACCAATAGGGAAGGCATATATCTAAAAGGGGAAAGAGCTCCAGTTGAATGGAGAGGTTATGGAAGGGGACCAGTTGAGTGGTTGAGCGGAAGCGTAGGGCGGAATGCGGACTTGTGATAGGATGGAGCGGAGGATGAATGGGGCGGAGGGGTCGGAAAGCGGAGCGGATATCAATATCGGAGCAGTCGGATCAGGTATATGACACTACTGGTCCAACCCCCTCTTTCCCTGTCTGCTTCATACCTCCTGCTCTAACAATGCACACAGTGCATCTCAGCAGGACTAGCCCTACTACCTCCACCCCTATCTCTGACCTGCCCAACCAACTCTCATATTGGGGTTATCAACATTTAGGACAGGTTTAAATATTGTACGTCATGGATAAAACTTGAAGTTTTGCCTAAAAATCAGGATGAAACTTAAAGTTTTGCCCAAAAACCAACATTTAAATCTTCTCCCAAATGTCAATAACCCTAATGTGTCTATCCCCACCCCTAAGCACTCCACTCTTCTACCCTGTCAGTCCACCCAACCCTACTTCTATTCCTCCCACCATTTCTGCTCTTCCAACCCCCTCTGCTTCCTTAGTTCCCCTCACTGGTCCCCTTATAGACAAGGAACCACTCGACTAGTCCTATCTCCTTTTAGCATTATAGTTTCTCCTTTTGGATCACCGGTATTTCCTATACCCGGATGATTACTGATCTGTTGTGTACATATTGTTCTCTAAGCCTCTATCTTGTATGTTCTCAGTCATCTTCTTGTAATACTGTACACTCAGCACATAGCCTCCTGCTATGCTATGCTACTTATCTAGAGTATATAAACATATGTACATTTGTCTGTAGATACTCAGTCTAAATATTACTTTTTCTAAGCCCTGCTCTTTTGTTCTTGTTCTTGGGCTTGTTCCTTGTCAACTCCTGTTTGCTGGCCTAGAGGATTGACTCCCTAGGTCAGCTGCCTTTCCCACCCTTTAGACTTGAGCTTAGTGCTCTTGTACATCTGCCCTCCTTATTTTTATTCTGCTTCAGACTTCATCCAAGCAGTCTTTTCCACTCTGCTTCTACTGTTGGTTCCAACCACAGTAGTCCTCTGTTTCTCTCCTGTTGGGCAGTCCAATCCCCACCTGACTTTCCCATGCTCATCCAGTAGTCCATCAGTCCTCCTTCAGAAAGCTTCTGCTCCAACACTCAGAAATTAGGGGCACATACTCAGGTAAGGGGCACAGTGCACAAGCTGAAGCCAAGCCCCTTAGACTCTGCCTTACCCCTGAGTATGGTGTGGGGAATGCTCTCACTGTAGGTGTAAAACCCCATCAATTCCACATTGTCTCACATCATTTTCGCATATTCCGTGAGTTCCACATTTCCCACGCATCCTTCAGAACACACCCGCACTATCTGATATTCCCGTGTATCATTGGACAATCTTCATATGTCCTGTCCCCATCCTTCCAGGTTCATTGGTACACTGTATCTCTCTTCCTATTGCTTCTAACATTATCTGGATCACATTGACACATGCCCTTATGGCATGAACCCCTATTGCACAGTATTCCACCCATGTGCACTGCTTGCCTTCATTTCCACATCCTGGGAATGTGCTACCTATATCTCTGTGTTCCTTGAAAATACTGTACCCTATAAGCATAGAAGTTTTCGGAAAAATACTGACTTCACTTACTTCCTCCCATCTTTTACCTTCCCACTTTTCTCCCACTTTTACTTCACCTTACTAGAGGACCGCTTTGACTTATGCCCACTATCAATCTAACCTTGTGATATACTTCCTTTGACTTGATCTGCAAGTTCCGACGAATCTGTACGTTCTGTGTTTTATCCGTTTGAGTTCTGCTTTGTTCCACTCGTCGCGTGCTTTGTTCCGCTTGAGTTCCGCTTGTTCCGCTTGTTCTGCATTTTTGCAGATCCTCATCCTACCTGCAGTAGGGTTGATTAGGGTCACTTATACAGAGATTAGTACTCCCCAGTAGCAATCCCCTTTAGGGTTGAATGTTGTGGGTACAACAAGTGCAGTGGAGAGAAGTCAATCTACTACACAGTTGGGTCTTTGCTGCCTGCTGCCTCACTTGGGAACAAGTGCGTTCGACCCTTAAGGGGATTGCTACTGGGGAAACACTAGTCTCTGTCTAAAGCGACCCTATAGGATGAAAGATCCGCAAAAGCGGATGAAATGGATAGGATGCGAAACGTACAGATTCGTCGGATGGAGTGGATGGCACTTGCAGATCAGACAGGATGCAAATCAAAGTTGAAGGAAGTACATTAAAGGTTGGATGGATAGTGGGTATAGGTCAAAGTGATCTTCTGGTAGGGTGCAGGAAAAGTGGGAGAAAGTTATATCCAGTAAGTATTTTTCGAAACCCTCCATGCTTATAGGGTACAGTATTTTCAAGGAACATAGATATATAGGTAGCGAGTCTAGACCGTGCCATAAGCTATCTGAAAAATACTGGAGTGTGAGAGGATATGTCTGTGTTCAGTCAGTAACAAGAAAATGTGTGTGAGTACGTACCAATGAGGTAGAATGGACGTGGACAGGACGGATGCGTCGGATGCACGAGCTATAGGAGGAGATCCAAAGGTATCCACATGTCATCCAAAAAGCGGATGTGTATCGGATGGAATGGATAGGTGTTGGATGGACGTCGGATGGACGCCTGATGCATCGGAAAAGTGGTGGATACGAGCCTAGCATAGGGATACTCCCTACAACGTGCTTGTTCTTAAGCGAGGCAGCAGGCAGCAAAGACCCAACTTTGTAGTAGATCGATTTCTCGCTGCTGCACTTGTTGTACCCATAATGGTCTTAACAAATTCCCTCTCTTCTCCATCTTTAAACTTGCCTACATACAGTCGCAGCCAAAACACTTCTACCATGACATCTCTAACTAGTTCCATTGAACTATATACAAGTCCAAATTTGATGTTGTTGAATATGGTTCAGTCACACCATATGGGAGAGGAAGATTTTCCTTCTGCCATGCACCTTGTGAGATCCCCCTTCTATTTTTCTTCTCCATCTTATCCATCTTTAGTAAGAGGTTGATTACATATCAATGCATGAGGATGTAAAAGGCATAACCGACCACTCTGACCTTATGCTAGAGGCAGCCAAAGCCAAATGAAAAGTATGTGAAGCCAAAAAGCACCTGGCTGGTTGCATTCTTGAACACCAAACAACACTTCTCAACCTCTGGTGCCATTGTGCAGAGGCAGCAAATTCCTAGTTATTAACAGCAGATAGGCATTGGCACAGGTGTGAGTAACCTGCACAGGTCACAGGTATGGGTACCTCACAGGTACAGGTGCAGGTAGGTCCATGTGGTACCCGTGACCCATCCAGCAGAGTACCTATACCTGTCAGGCCAAAAATGGCAATCTAGCACATGGCACATATATTGAAATTGTACAGCATCAAACATAACTTTATTTTGGTCACTACAAACAATCAATTCATTTTGATCACTACAAACAAGCCCTAGGGCATGTACAAGTTCTCACAGGCTTCAAAAGCCCCACCATATCTCCATCCTCCCTGATGTTCCACAAATGTGTTATGAAACTAACTGAGAAGGCAGCCCAAGCTGTTGCAGAGAGCACCCACAAGCTAAAAAGGAATGTTAGTACCAGAAGTCAGGAGGCCAAGCAGGTGAAAAAATCGAAAAACATACCATTGACATTGGAAGAAGATTCATCCCCTCCTCATACCATAAGCCAACAAACCACAGTGCAAACCAAAGAGGAGGATAATACCTTGCTGTATGATGCAATCATAATAGACTCCAGTACATCATCCAACAAATCAGATGCAGAGTCCTCAGAAACTGAGCTGGGCAAGTCATTTCACCTATAGCTTATCATCATGTCATTCAGATTTCATTTCATACAGAGAGGCTCAAAAAAGGGTGGAACCCACCAGTCTATGCATTCTATGAGCCCACACCAAGCATTGAATACTCAGATGGGTGGTATTCCCATGTATTCAAATGCATGGTGAAGAGTTGTAAACAACAAGTCCAGCGCTACCTTGACAAGGGTGATACCAAATCCACCAGCAACATGGCAAAGCATGTTAAGTGTTGCTGGGGGGCAGAGGCATATGAAGCTGTACAAGAAGCTAAATCAGCAACAGCAGCACGGGAAGGTGTCATCACAAACTTACTGAAGACTGGTACCATTACATCATCATTTAAAATAAAATCAAAGGGTAAAGTTACCTATTCACATAGGCAACACACAAAGACAGAAACAAAGTAAGTACTTACTAGCATTTTCACTTGTGCTACTGATGTATTGCTCAAGGGCAGAGATCATGCATTGGGTCTCAGAAAGCTTCCGACCCTTCAAGACTGTTAATGATAGAGGGTTTCAGTCATTGATGAAGACTGGTCATCTGGAATATTACTTACCTTCACTATCCACGGTATCATGCAACATGAAACTGGTATTTGCAAATGTGCAACAATGGATCGCACAAATGTTGCAGGTGATGTATGCCATCATCAAATTTGCATAAAAAAATAAACATCTAAAAGGATTATGATGGTTGTCATATCCCATTGTAGGACGCGGATCAGCGCCAACATGGTGCTTCCTTGCTCTGCTGATCCATGGCAATACACACTCGACCCCCCACGCTCTATCCAACTCCTTGCTGATCGGACTCCCGCTCATATGTGTTCAAGCCACTCATGCAAGTGAATTGGCTGACGAAGAATCAACGTGCATTATCGGTTGGTCGCGCGCATGTTTTACCCCTCTAGCTCACAGATACTCAGACGAACCCCATATCCATCCATCCTTGTTCACTGGTGCATAGTATATTCCTCTTTGGTTTATTTGACAAATACAGTACTCTTACCTCTCAAACTCCCCTATTACATCGCCTTGAGCAGCTTGGACCGGCTTACTCTCAAATATCCCCATACATATCACGGATGATCAACCGCATGTCCCGCATATATCTCTAGTGAATCGCAAGGTAGCCCGGACATCCCAAGCGATGATTATCTCCATTACTTACCTAGTAGCCAATTTTGTACTTAAGGAGTGCTCACCCATTGTTGCAATCCAGTTAATTCTCACTCAGAAGCCATGTCTTTTGTGTTCTGTTCCTTTCTGATCCTATTCCCGTGTCTGTCCGCACGTTCTCCTTGAAACTTCTGTTCTTCATCAATAACCTCGGTTGGCCGCACTCACTTGCACACCGCATAGTGGTTGGTAGAAATTATAGTCGACCGGCTTCGCAGCTGACTGTTCGTGCTGAGCATATATTGGATCGACTGCTCTTTGACTTGTTGTCGCGCCCCTTGTATTTTATACTGAGGCAGCAATTCAGTTTGCTTTGTTCTGCTTCCCCTGGGTTGAACTGAACATTATAGGCTCACTACTCGAATCGGCCGTTACCACGCTGAGGTCATAGTGGAATTCACTCCTTACACCATATTTCCAGACCTGGAACTCTGGATTCTCCCCTGTAAAAGCCCGGACTTCCACCCTGTTTTCCATCTGGCACTCTGATTTCATCTCCAGATTCACACCTATCTCCTTTTAGATTACTGCTCTCCAGCTACCAGTCATACACTTTTCTGCCTTGCTTACTGATCCATCTTTCTGCATTTCATTTCCAACTTCATTTCTTTGATCTGTTGTATACTTACTAATAGATTTTCCATATGCTTCGGACATAGCTTTTCACTATGCTGACTGATTACTTACTTGATATCTACAGTATATAAACTCCTGTAAAACTCTGTACCTCCTCAGTTCAGGTATCATCTTAGTTCCCCGTTTCTCCAGACTTGAGTCTGACCTCTTATCCACCTTCAAGTCTTTGGGTTTATTCCTTAAAACTATATCTCTGGCTCTACCTTAGGGTAGTCCACCTCCATTCTGTTTCTACTCCAGACATGTCCATAGTAGTCTTACTCTAGCTATTCCTGACCCTCCAGAGTTCTGCCGAACTCCCCCTGTGTCTGACCTCTGGACTTACCCAGACTTCCATTGGACTTTCCTCCTACCTCTCAGAAATTAAGGGCACGTACTCAGGTAAGGGGCACAGTGCACAAGCTGAAGCCAAGCCCTTTGAGTTATCCTCCCCTTGAGCACGACCTTAACAATGGTGAGTTAAACCTCTGGCAATGGTTCTTGATGTTGTGAAAGTCTCCTAGTCTCATTCTAGTGCCAATCTCGCAGAGGCCTTTGCTAGAATTTTAGCCGACTTTGGAATCACAGACAAGGTTAGTACTGCTTACCAATGTTGAGGATGTGTGTTGCAGTGTGGTTGTGGCATGGAGGGCATGTGTGTTGCGGTGTGGTGGTGTCTGAGGAAACACAGCATCTGAGGATGTGTGTTGCAGTGTGGTTGTGATAAAGGTATGTGTGTTGTGGTGTGGTTGTGCAAGATGCTTACCATTTCCCTGCAGATGCTGAGTCTCACAGCCGACAATGCCAGTGCTAACAACACACTCACCACTGAGCTTGCTGACCTGGTAGCCCACTTCAGGGGACCAACATCATGAACATGATGCTTCCTGCACATAATAAATCTTGTTGCAAAGTCATTAATAAAGCAGTTAGACTAACCAAAGGCCAAGGAGAGATCTACCGATGAAGAGTTACTTGACATGACCAGCAATGTGAGCAATGAGGACAAAGTCACCATCACAGAGAATGGCGATGGTGACCCTGATGCAGAGGATATCAATGACAAGGATAGATGGGTTGATAAAATAAACAAGCTGACACCGCATGAATGCACCGCATTGGAAATGAACATCTGTCCAATTAAATTAATGCTAATGAAAGTAAGTTCAAGTTTATATACCTAGATAAATGAAAAAAAAAAACCCCTCACCAGTTGCGTAAATTCACCTTCAAGATTGTGCACTCTACTACACTCCTCCCTGCATGGAAGGACACCACCGAAGAACTCAGACTCAGACCCAGGATAATGCCATGTGATGTGTTGACCCATTGGAACTCCATGTTCAACATATTGGAGTTTGTCATTGACTATCGCAAGGTTATAGATGCAATGACTAACAAACACAAGTTGGGACTTGGATTGTATGAATCAGATGAACATTAGTGGACACTTGTGAGGCAGCTACGAGACACTCTGAAGGTATGTCACATGTCACACTTCACACAAGTTGTGACTAAACATTGTACTTTGTATGCTGCAATGCAGATCCTTAAGCATGCTACCCTTTACTTCTCACACTTGACTCCCAATCTTGTGATGGTCATCCCCGCAATGAATCATATCAACACAACTTTCACCAGTGATATAATTAACTCCCATGTTCTGGACCCCACTATCCATGCAGCACTCAAACTAGCCAAGAAAACCCTCAGTTGATACTATTCACTCACCAACAGTTCTGAAACATATCATGTAGCTATGGGTGAGTTCTCATCTCTTCTCCCTTCTTGTACTAACTTCACCATTTTACCTTGGGCAGTTCTCCATCCCCAACACAAACTCCAATACTTCTGAAAAGAAGGCTGGGAGGCTGAGTGGATCATAACAGCTGAGCATCTTGTGCATGAAACATATGACTGATCATATGCTTTGTGAATTGTTGCTCCACATGTCAATATGAGTGATGAGGTAAGTTTTGTGTCTCTGAGGCCTGGGTGATGTTATTAATTTAAATGTTTCCATAGATCAATGATATCAACAAGTCATTGAATATCTTTGATGCACTCTCAATGCTGGCAACACCAAACATCATATCACATGAGCTTGACAACTATCTAAGCACCGACATTGAAAAAGTTAATGATCCACTGGCTTGGTGGCAGCACCGTGTAATGCATCCTTGTCTCTCTCACATGGCACTTGATTATTTGACTATTCCAGGTGAGTTTTTTTATTTATTTTCACAGTAGTGCTATTTTTCTAATGCAGCTTTGCAGCCACATCTGTTGATGTTGAGTGCATTTTCTCGCATGGACAGCTCATTCTCTCTCATGTGCATTCAAGACTTTCAGCACAAACAACACGAGCTCTTCTTTGCCTCAGTAGCTGGAGTCTCCTTGGTCTGGTGAAAGATAATGATGTCACTGCTGTTACTAGCAAACCTGACCTTGAAGGAGAAGAATGGGAGATGGACCAGGGCTGGGATAGTATTACTCTGTAGTTTGCACATGTCTGGTAATCAATTTTGAATGTATACCTGGGGGTTTACCCATCATGGGTACCATACCCATGTGACCCATCCACGCCCGTCCAAAGACCCATACCCGCTGGTACCCTTGGGTATGCAGGTATGGGTATATCGTGGGTATGGGTGTGGGTAGAGCTCTCAGTACCCACAGGTTTACCCATGCCAATGCCTGATGGCAGATCTTAATGTTGGGTGCATGCATATGGAATGAAAGAAGAATGGTATTGCAGCATTCACTCACTCAGAATCCATGGCAGTAAGTCTCTTTGCTATGATTTCTGATTATCATTGAGATCATTACAGACAACACATGGCTCAACTCTGTAATAGCCATCAGTGGTGTACCAGCATTTTCTGCAACCACTACTAGGAGACTAGAAGGCTGTTTATATTTTATCAATTGCACTATTTTGGAGTGTCACTGCACACTTTGTTTAGAAGGTGTGAATAGGTGCACATTTTTCCATAGTACATATATTTTGCGCTGCCATTATCACATCATTTTGACTACATGTTTCTTTGTTTGCTTGTATGAACTTATATCACATCAGGAAAAATGGGAACTGCGATATAGCGCTATGAAGGCTACATAGCACTTGTAGCCTGGTTGCATCTCCCCCCCCAATATAGTACCATGTAGCCCAGACTATATGTTTATTTGCGCCACATAGCATCTGGTATCTCCTACCTTGGCTATGTAGCACTCTATTATTTATCATTGCAGTAAGCACACATCATGGTACATCATAGCACTCACACACTTGCAAATAATAGGGAGATCAATGATATGCATTCACAGTTTAATACTAGTCAGCAGTTATTCTACTCGGCCTCAACTTCATCATCTTCAAATTGACCACCCTCAGACTCCCAGTCAGACTCCACCTCATCACTATCATCTGCACCACCGACCTGCTGGTATTCCCAGATTGTGTTGTTGATCCTGTCGTCTGAGAGGCAGTCTCCATCTTCAACATTAATTGGATCCACCTTTGCATGCAACCTGTACTATGATTGTAAAACTTCCAAGTCCAAACCCCCGAAATGCACTCACCTGCCATTGTTGTTGAGTTCCACCAGGATGCCATCAAGGATTCTGTGATCCTTCATTTGAGTATGAAACTTCTTGAGGTTCACAAGATGCCTATCATAAGCCTCCCTATACTTGCTGCTCGAAAAGCTGATATCCACCCATTCACCATCATACCATTCATCAATGCAGCATTTGGCCTGCCACCAACAATATTACCATCCGAAGCTAACAGGCAATAGCATGACTTACTGCAGTGTACACCAAGGCCAAGGCAGGAATTGGAAACAGCGAAAAAAAAACTTCTCAAATACAATACCTTCATCCTTCTTGTTGCAGTACCAGAGTAAATTTGCCGCTTGCTGATTTAACCTTGACTGAAAGAGGCCACTGTGAGGGACATTGTTCTTTTTGTCCCCAAGGTCCTTCCAACCAAGCATCAGTACAAAACATGACTCAAGATATCATTAACGCACCTGGTAACACAAGCCAAATTTATCCTTGAGCTGATGGGCGAGTTTGCGATTCCTAGACTTGATGGACTCCTGATTGGTGGACTCAAAACCATAAATGTTCTTGACAAGTGGGCGAACCTTCCCTTTCACCTCGCCTGTGAGATGCGATGTGCAGCATGTAATCTTGAACAAGAAATTAGGTGGATGAAATAATAGAACTTGACCACATACCATCTGTATGATCTTGCCATTGAATCCCATCTCAATCTCATAAGAGCTACATGCCTCCTTTGCCCACAAGACTTGAGTCATGCAATCTGGATAGGCATACTCAGATGCGAGCCAGACACAAAAATGGCTGATCACAAACTTGATGAGTTGCTGCACTGCTACTTTGTAATCCCAGGCTACTACACGGCCCTTACTCTGATGAATCTTGCATGGAAGTCACTGTTCACCTTGCTGTGGGGAAGGCGAATCTTTGGACTCATGCATCCGTTTATGACTCTGGGTGCTGTCACCCTCATCATCTGAGCGTGGTAGCTGCACACGCTTCAAGTGGCGCAAATCTGTGAGATAATTCAGCTGCCATTCAAGTGTATGATACAGCACCACTCACCCTCATAGCTGTTACTCTCTCCACCGGTGAATACATCACTCTCGTCCACATCATGATTGATAGGGTTGTCATCGTCATTGTACTGCTCACTGTTGTCATACTGCTCACTGTCGGTCAAGTCTATGTTGTTATTTAAGGATCCTTGGGACTGCGCCCATTGAAGTCGGATGAGCTCGTTGGCACGGGCTGCTGTTAACTTCCATGGTGCAGGCAGCAGCTTCAACATAATGATGAGCGCCCCAAAATTGAGGTTGTTAAGGTCGTGCTCAAGGGAAAGACTACTCAAAGGGCTTCAGCTTCAGCTTGTGCGCTGCGCCCCTTACCCAAGTACGTGCCCTTAATTTCCGAGGGGCAGAGGGGAAGTCCGACGGAAGTCCAGGGAGTTCCGGAGGACAATCGTCGGTGGAGTTCGGCGGAACTCTGGGAGACTATGTGGGAATGGAGTAAGTCTACTATGGACAAGTCCAGAGTAGAAACAGAACCAAGGTTAGACTACCCTAAGGTAGAGCCGGAGAATTAGTCCTAAGGTTTTACCCCTAAGACTCGGAGGTGGACAAGAGATGAGACTCCAGTCCAGAGATTGCAGGAATGAGCAGAACTAAGATGATATTCGAACTGAAGAGTTCTGGAGTATTACAGGAGTTTACATACTGTAGGTATCATGTAAGTAAATCAGTCAGCAAAGGTAAGGGCTATGTACGAAGCATGTGGAAAGTCTATTAGTAAGTGTAACAGATCAAAGCAGTGAAGTCGGAAATGAAGTAAGAATGGACGGATCAGTAAGCATAGTGGAAAAGGACATAACCAGTAACCGGAGCAATAACTATTCTAAAAGGAGATAGGGGTGAGTTCAGAGATGAGAGTGGAGCACCGGGCGAAATAACAGGATGGAGGACCAGACTTTAGTGGTGGGGTTCCGGAATTCTGGATCTGGAGGTACAGGATATGACAGAGGTGAAGGTAATGGGACTTACACTGAAACCATTGGACCTGTGTTCACGATTCACAAAACCAGACTCCTTACAAACAAGGCATCAATGTCCAACTGGAAGTTATATCATGCGGCTGACTCACCTTTGTAAGAGCGTCTTCCTGCCAGCCCCCAGACCCAGATGTTCTGGACAGAGCTGCTTGTGGGGGGACCTTGCTGAACCAGGGCCACAGATCTAGTGGACCATTGGCTGCTACACTACCTTTGGACAGGGTGATAGCCTGCGTTGAAAACTGTGTGCTGTCTTGTGTACCTGAACATAGTTAGCTGGCAGGCCACTGATGCAACAGTCAACAACACACCTCTGTCAACACAATTTTTATGGGTGGCCTTGGTTTTGTCTTGACCGCTTGGGCGGCGGCGTGCCTCACAGCGCTCTTGATCCTCCTCAACTGGGTACAATATAGTTAGTGATAGAAATGGTAGTACATAAAAAACTACCTTGATACAAAGCCTTCTCAGAAGGACGGCATTCACAACATTGATGCTGAGAGGGAGCTGAATCAGTATTGTTCACAATATTACCCAGGGCTTGGTGAGTAGGAGCAGTGGAAGACATTCTGGATGTAGATCTGGAGGTAGAATGTTGGGAGGAGATGATCTGAATTTTATATGGGGGGACAGCGCACCTTTTTTCTATCCTTTATAATGTTGCATTGCATCCACAGTGTACAGGATGCGATCAAAAATCAACACGCTGAACACACCAATCTGATCAACAATCAACGTGCAACAACACGGTCGCGTCAAGTCGTGTGCGACCTGCAATCTTGAGATGTGGGACTGATCTGGAGGAAAAAAGTTTCAATGTCTGATAAGTCAGCCAGGTGAGACTCAGTCAAACTGTCACTTATGGGTCAGGTCGGCTTGTTCGGCTTGTCCTGCTCAACCATCATGCACCACTGTGCAGCCTGTAAGAAACACATGGACCAGCTGCGCAACCTTGAGTAAGCCACACAAGAGGCGACTTCCAGCCATGACCAACCTGAAGATCATAACCATGAAATGGACATTGATGGAGACATACCTTGGGAGTTTGATGGCCAAGGGGATGGCATACAGGAAGGGCCACCTGCCATGCCAGATCCGCATTGTGCGGTCCATGTTGAAGAAGTTGAAGATGAGGAAAGGATGTGGATGCGATTTGTGCAGTCATACCCAGTGTCACGAGTTCCATGTACAAATCATTTTTCTTATCTTAACGTCGCGTCTAAAACTAAGCGCTCGAGTCACGTGACTACTTCACCTCTTCACGCCCGTCACATATATCACCCTGCATTCCGATCACCCGTCACAGAAGCGCCAGTACCCTACGCCCATATTGCACCCTTGACATCACCGATGGCATCGCCGATCAACGTAACGATTGATCTTCCATCTGAGGGCTCTCCCACTCCATGAGCTAGAACCATAGCACTTCCTGTCACTACACCCATTGGATCTTGGATCTCTATCTAAGATAGATCTTCTATTTAATCTCCGTCTCTTCTCTTCTATTCAGATACAATCTCTTATCAGAAACTATGATCTGAACCCTTATACCTGAAGCTTCTATTCTCGACTTCCTATTTAGTTGTTACCTTTTCTGTCTTGGTCCGTGCGCTGCTTTCATAGTATATAAACCCTAGTCGATAGTCAGTAGTTCTCTAGTCTAAACCTCTTGTACTTTCCGTAGAGAATCTACTTGACATCTATCACTCCCTTTCCCTCCGTGTGAGCTCTAGACTTAACCTCTTCGGACACTTGTCCTTAGTGGCCATTGTCGTGACTCTCTCTCTCTCTTCTTTGTTTGTTGTTTGAGTCCTGGTCTGATTGCTTGAGACTATAATTGTCGAGAGTCGTCACACCCAGGGCAAGTGGCACAAATGCTCAGCTGCACGGAAACCATGTTCCATGAGATCAGAGCCCAACCAGAGGCTCAAGGTCTAGACCCATGGGCGCCATTTGCAGACACAGAGGAATGGGGACTTGTGAAATGGTTGGTATCCCATGTGGGACAAAATGTGATAGACGAGTTCATGAAACTACCAATTGTAAGTCATGAATTCATCCCCTAATTGCAATATACTTACCAATGGACAGACGAGCAGCTTTAATATGTCATTCACAAGCAAGTACACTCTGATGAAAGCAATCGATCAGCTTCCCTGTGGCATGGAATGGCAGTTGAAGAGAATAAGTGTAGAGGGGAACAAACTTACCAATGACCAGCAATGCAAAACTGAGGAGCTTGAATTGTGGTTGCAGGACCCAGTCGACTGCATCCACGAACTCATGGCCAATCCAGAGTTCAATCACATGGTATCATATGTGCCAGAGAGGGTATTTTCAGACACAGAGGGCAAGACAAGGCAGTTTGATGAAATGTGGACTGGTGACTGGTGGTGGGAGATGCAAGTAAGTGCCAGTGTCTACATCTGGCAAAAGAACACACTAAAGCCTTTCCCACAGGGAAGATTGCCTCAAGGGGCTGTTGTTGCACCTGTTATCCTAGCGTCTGATAAGACTTCACTTTTGCAGTTCCGGGGAGACCAGGAGGTTTGGCCTGTCTACCTGAGCCTTGGAAACATCTCAAAAGATATCTGATGTCAGCCATCCAAACATGCCACCATCCTCATCACATACTTACCAATCTCAAAGTTAGAATGCTTCACACGAGATACATGTTCCCTCAAACATTATCGTCTCTTCCACTATTGCATGATGCAGATCCTAGAGCCATTGGTCAGGGCCGGTGTTGAAGGAGTCAATGTCACCTGCCCTGATCGTCAAGTAAGGTGGATGTATCCCATTGTGGCAGCATGTGTGGCTGATTTTCCAGAGCAGTGCCTGGTGGCATGCTGCATGGAGAATCGGTGCCCAAAGTGTGTTGTGGGTCGCAACGAGTGCGGGGACATGGGGAAGTTGGCAATGCACAATCAAGACTCCACAGTCGAAAATCTGCGCTTGCACTGTGATGGGGAAATGGAGAATGAACAATTTGAAGGAGAACTAGGACTATGAGCAATCTACTCACCGTTCTGGGCGACACTTCCACACAACGACATCTTCTCTTGTCTCACCCCTGACATTCTACATCAGCTGCACAAAGGTGTTTTTAAGGATCACATTGTTAGCTGGTGCTCCAATATCATAGGCGAGGAAAAACTTGACACACGGTTCAAGGAGATGATGTCATATTCAGGACTCCGACACTTCAAAAAAGGCATCTCCAAGCATAAACAATGGACTGGTGTGGGTACAACAAGTGCAGCGGAGAGAACTCAATCTATTACACAGTTGGGTCTTCGCTGCCTGCTGCCTTGCTTGGGAACAAGTGCGTTCGACCCTTAAGGGGATTGCTACTGGGGAATACTAGTCTCTGTCTAAAACGACCCTACAGGATGAAAGATCCGCAAAAGTGGATGAAGCGGATAGGATGTGAAATGTATGGATTCGTCGGATGGAGCAGATGGCACTTGCGGATCGGACAGGATGCAAATCAAAGTTGAAGGAAGTTCATTAAAGGTTAGATGGATAGTGAGTATAAGTCAAAGCGATCTTCTGGTAGGGTGCAGGAAAAGTGGGAGAAAGTTACATGAAGTAAGTATTTTCCGAAACCCTCATGCTTATAGGGTACAGTATTTTCAAGGAACATAGATATATAGGTAGCGAGTTTAGACCATGCCATAAGCTATCCGAAAAATACTGGAGTGTGAGAGGATATGTCTGTGTTCAGTCAGTAACAAGAAAATGCATGTGAGTACGTACCAATGAGGTAGAATGGACGTGGACAGGACGGATGCGGCAGATGCGCGAGCTATAGGGGGAGATCCGAAGGTATCCGCATGTCATCCGAAAAGCAGATGTGTATCGGATGGAATGGATAGGTGTCGGATGGACGTCAGATGGACGCCTGATGCATCAGAAAAGTGGTGGATATGAGCCTAGCATAGGGATACTCCCTACACCGGGGCAGACTACTGAGAGCTGCAGTGTGTTTTTCTCAGTGTGATTGCTGGCGTGGTTGACCACAAAGTTCTCACCACAGTGCATGGCGTGTTATATTTTATTTACTATGTGCAGTATTAGATGCACACAGATGACACACTTGCCTGTATGCACGCTGCCCTCACCTCATTCCATGCCAATAAGAACGTCTTCATCGACCTAGGCGCATGAGAGCACTTCAACATTCTGAAAATTCACTCAATGATCCATTACATCGATGTGATTCGCATTCTTGGCAGTGCGGATGGTTTCAATACTGAACTTCCTGAATGGCTACACATTGATTTTGCCAAGTGGGCATACTGTGCATCAAATTGGCGCAACTATGTCATCCAAATGACTACCTGGCTATGGTGACAAGAGTCCATCCACATCCAAGATGCCTACCTTCAATGGTGGGGTTCCCAGCACCCTGTCAATCAAGGTTCAAACCTGCTGGAGCAAGACTCGGACACCAGTGGCTCTGATTCAGAATCAGATAGTGCAGGACCTGAGAACAGTGTTGACTTACCTTCTCAGGTACAACAGTTCACAATGGTGACAGGTTCATGTGGCTAGTTTGTCCCCAGGATGTGTCCATTTCTGAATTCGACAATCCAGCGCTTACTCAACGACCATGGTGCTTCGCTTTTCATGCTGGCTCTTGAAGAATTCCTTCACACCCATCTTCCAAGCTGGTCACAGTGAAAACTCACACCACAAGACCAGGTCGATGTCTACAAATACTGCAAGATTCTCTCTCCAGCACGACCCCATATCAACAACAGAAAGTGTTTGTTCAAGGTCCATGCAACGCCAGTGATTCCTGCATCAGATGTGAGGAGACCACCAGCACCTGCACACTTCGACAGTGTGCTGGTGATTGAAGATGGGAATGAGTACACCAGTGAAGGTATATCCAGTGAGCATTGAAAATTGGTGGTGGGCTGTTCTGACCTGCGACTTAGGCCTTCAAGTGGGTGAAGTAAGGGTCGTTTTCCATCACATCTCGGGAATTTTCCACATCCCCTGGCATACATTCATTGGTTTTGGCTGCTTCAAAGCTTTGATGAAAATTTGCACAGCTTCCACCTCACCAGGTCTTCACATCAGTGTGGTCCTAATGCACTGGTGGTACTGGTCCATCAAGTTCTTCACCCATGCCATCTTATTCCTTGGGTTGGTCGAGAGTTGGACATGCAAGAAGAATTTTATCTTAATAGGTACATTGATTTGGAGTTGTTCAAGTGCTTGTCTAAATCCTAGAAGCTATGATACCATTAATGTTAACTATAGGGTGCTATATCGACTATGAGTTGCTGCACAAACCACATAGCTACTATGGGCATCATGGTGCACTACAGTGCGGTATTTAGTGCTATGGATGCTCTGTTGTACTACCAAGGCTATGTAGCGATACATTACTCTGGCAGTGTGCAACTTGTGTCCAACCTTTTTCCTGATGCACACTGTCGAGTTTGTCAGACCTGTCATCATGTGTGTCTGTGTTGTTTGTGATACTTGTGTGGCTTTGTTATTGTTGTGGCATGTTGTCGCCAAATTAGCAGTTTGCTGACGACGATATCGAGGTCGGACTCGTGGATGGCATCATCAAAATATATTGTCTTTCTTTGATTGACTTGCAATGCAGCACGACTTAACATGCATCAGGTTGGTGTGTTAGTCCGAATACTGGACGTGATGCTTAGGATGAATGATGTGTCGCTCTTGTCCGGGACTGTGTTCAACAGCAAGTTCACCTCTTCTGACCCTTCGCTACTGGCAAGACTTTCCACACTGTTCTTATGGGCAACCTTCAATATGGCTGTACCTCTTTTTCCGTATAATTTCAACACGGCTACGCAAGCCATTATTCCCTTTGAATTACTGTATGGGAGTGCCTTCAACCATTTTCGGATCCTTCGCTACCTGCGAGACTTTCCACACCGTTCTTATAGCCAGCCTTCAACACGGCTATATATAGCTCTCGGACGTTTTTCTGTACACTTTCAACATGGCCACACAAGCAATTATTGTCGAGCCGTGACCCTTCAAATTACTGTGGCGCGTTATACGTATTGTGCAGGCTAGTACGACAAGCTTAAAGTAGATAATAACAACATGACTTGTGCAAACAACTTTCGAAATGTTGGTGCCGACGACAATTCACATCTATCAAGGAGTCACGGACTGGCGCGGCCGAGCGCCCTTACAATCATGAGAATATGATACCTTTAACAACCGTATCAGTCCTTAATAGTCGTGTACGACGCTTTGCAGCCAGTACTAATGTCTCATTCCCCGAACTGACGTTACAAGCACCATGTGCCACCGTCCTGTCCTTGTTCGAACGTATTGAGAATTGCGATGCACACATCGCGACTCTCGATAAACGACTATCTTCATCTGGTGTGTGCCAAAGGGCACCGACGACGCTGAGGACATGTTGCGCGAAAACAGGCGCTCGCGTGATATCATGCGCTGGATCTGGCGGTCCATCCCTGAGATGTCGAAGTCAGTGTGCGATTGACATCTCTTGCCATCCAAAAGTGTCCGGAATCGCATGGGGACTGAGGCCTTGAATAAGGGCTGGGGGTATTGTGTCTTCTGGCAGAGGGTCATCGGGACGGCGAACACGCAGCATTTGTCCATCAATAAATTTTGTGATAGAGCTGAGTCTGACTTCCTTCCCCCCTGAGTGTGTTTTGCCTACTTTGAGCAGTTCGTTCTGCCACTGTTTGTGCTGCTCCTTCATGATACCCTGGATTCCAAACGAAGCTGTCCACCAACGCATCCAGGCAGCCATCTCCGCCTCGGTCAGCCACCGGGAATTCAATTCTTTCACGACGTCTTTTAATGTGTAGAACCCGACCTTGAGATGGTTAGGAAGGATCGTGGATGTTAATAAAGGACGCAGATCCATCGGGAGCACTGGAGTGGTCATAAAGGGCGCAAAGTCCTCATGGAAGTGACAGATGGCCTTCGTGGGCCGAATACCTAGATCCGAGATAAACAGGAATTTGTCTGTTTCTGAACAAGCAAATAATGCATCCTTGATAATATGGGACACCTTCAAATCAGGTGTGGTGGGATGAAACACGAAGGACTTCATCGTGTAGAGTGCCAGTTCTTCTACATCCGTCTTCCGCATCCTCGACCACGTATCACTTACTTTGTTCATCTCAGAATCATAGGCCATTCTCGCCAGAAAACCTCCAACGTAAAGGAGCTCCTCATTCCATTCTGCACGGCATGGCGTCAATGGACAAGCTATAGTCTAGACTCTAGCGCCAATTTACCACTTACTGGAAACGTGAGCATTGCTACAAGATCCAATCAGAAATATCCTCGCACAAGGTCGTACGATACCCACGCAAGATCAATCGAGCCTCGCTCCACAGTTAGGATGAAACGACTAGACATCTAGCAACCCATCCCGGTCGTTTGAGCCGCGCTTTGCCCCTGTCATACACATGAAATAACTTTAGGACATCATAACACCATAAGGATACTAACGATGAAGATTCGAGCGGGATGTTCGCTGTCAGAGCCGAACGTAAGAAGAGACGCTTCGAGAGAACACTTTATTCACCTTTCCAATCGCGGACAAAGTCCTTGAGGCCCACAGAAGACACTTCCGAACCCTGCGTTATCGGCTTCGGCTTTCATCTGCTTATCGTGCTCCTCCTTACTGAACTGTGGACGTCGAATATGAGACCATGTTGAAATTTATGAGGTATCTACTCACGAATGCCATCTTAAATGGGAAGCCCCTAGGAGGCTTCTTTAGTAAATGGAACATTCTGCCCAGAACTCAGTAACAGATATGATCTCCGGGGCTTCAGAAGCAGCATCTGCCATTTTCGGAGTTACAATTCTTTCGTTTGGTTTCGACGTCATTTTCTCCGTCGAGAAGCTCTTGGATTTCGTAAACTTTCTTCCACATCCACTCGTGTGATGAGCGTCTTCGGAGCTCCAATGAGTGCATCTTCAGCGAATATAACATTGACCTCCTGGGCTGCCAAGACCATCAAAGCTTTGCGGACTTGGAAAGCCGTAAGAGATACCAACAAATGAGAGGTGACGGTAATGCTGACCATATGTTTTGGAATGGCCATTGACTGACTGGCCTTGCTCCGAGTTTTTGCCACACGAGACATCTCGGCGTCATCCAACGAAATTATAACATGTCGAACGTGGAGCAGGAATGTCATGGATCTCACTAGAAATCGCGTAAGTTTAAAGATCCGCGGGATGGTCGACTCCTGGTTCAGCTTCATCTCGATCACAGTCCGATAGCCAATGTCACGGTCGATTCCCTCTTCACGTAGAGCTATATGCACGTCAGAAGCGCTGAATGGAGACGGTCATCTAAGTAGTAACGTGCCTTGTCTTCTTCATAGAACATGGATAATATCATTCCTGCAGCATCTGATGAGTGATGTGCAAACCTATTAGATTGTTGAGGGACCACGTACCATTCGATTTGACAAACGGCTTGTCGGTGACACTGAACACGCTAAAGAAACATATACATTACGCTTAGGACTCGGGATGACCGAGGAATGCATGAATGTATGCCGACTCCAAATGAACCAATCCTTCGTTCGTCGGGATTGTCTTCGGCTATATCAAGCGTTTAATACCCAGTAAACTGATCAGCATTATCACAAACCAATTTTCGTCAGATGATTCTAGTCAGTATCCTGAAACGGGACATCGTCATTCTTCGCAAGCCGTTTGCAGACCTTGTTATACGAAAAGGTGAGTACTCAGTAGCCAGTATTTCACATCATCGCACACCTTGGTTGAATTGGGATTTGGTTTCATCCCGTCACTCGCACTTTTGTGGGAGGTCTGAAATACAATAGCAAAGTTCTCTGCCCCGGCATCGTCCGCATTCTGCAACAATTATCGGAAAACTTCATTGTAATCAGCCATACTTTCTGACCTGACGTAGTTCCCAACATATCTGTGAACTTCTCTGGGTAACGGGCGAGCACTTTATCGACAAGAGCTCGCTGGTCGACTTCCACTGCAGTGAAGTTTAAACGGAAATCTGAGTCCCGAACGAGTCCAGTCGTTAGGCACCAAAAGAACTAGCTGACCTGAGGCATTCCAGAACAACCCCGAGAGGTTCGAAACACGATAGTAAGGATGTGAGGGTATTGAGACCCTAGAGCAGCAAGTCAAATCATGGCGCTGTGTGGACCACGAGAGCAGCCGGCCCCGCGTTCAACATGTGTAGCTATGCTACAACCTGCTACAACGGACCCTGCAATAGGATCAACGAGCGCTTAAGTTGTTTAAAGTTTCCGCCACACTAGTGCTGGGGCGGGCGTGGGAGTGCCGGAGGTCCTGACGCAGTGGCTGGAGTCCTGATTTGCATAGTGTAGCCAGTCACGGTAGCTGCTGCGGGGGGAGAGCCCCTGGTGTCTGAGCCCGTCCCAGGTCCACCAGGCAGAGTGAGTCGCAGTGTGTCGGTTGAATTTAAGCTCACCACATAATGGGATGTCGAGAATAAGTAGACTTTTTCGAGTCGCCTTCGCCCTCGGAGGTTTTGCAAATACGTATGCGTCAAGCCCTAGTTGGGGCTCGGGACCAGTGGACACGCGCAGCAAGTACACGACGTCACGTAGTAACTCAGGCCTCAGGCTCGTCATGCTGACCTAAATCCCTGAGTGCTCGGCCACACATTCGGCCCTGAGAGTGCTCCGCTAACCGTCCTGAGTGGTAAGTCCGAGCATTGCAGGACTTGTTCGAATTCGAAGATGGCAAAAGAAGATTACGCAGCAAACTAGAAGGTCCGGGCTTTGGTATAGTTACCGTATGGGTCTGAAGCGTTGAAGTACTTAAACTATTCCAGGCCTCCGTGCAATCGGCACCCACCAGAAGCCGGCAGAGGGTCACATAGTTTGGCGAGAAAACCTCGTTACAGGTGGGTGCCGATTGTATGGGGATATATGCTACGTGGCACCGTGAAAAGTAAAAGCCAAGGGTGCGACGTGCGAGGACACTTAAAATGTCGAATGTATTCGGACATGCGGAATAAGTGCCAAGTCAGAATATAAAATTGCTCTTGTAATTTTCAACATGAAACAATGCGAAAGTATAAGTACCTCGATTATAACCCCCGCTCCCCCTAGTGAATGATTGACCAATAACAGAGCAAAGCGATAACGATATTAATGTAATTTACATGACACGCTCAATGTTCCATGTCTTCGTCGTCTTCGTCATGGTCATCCTTTTTGAGGTCGGCCTTTTTGTGGGCTTCCTCGGATGAGTAATCGACGCGTAGGCCCCGGGTGCGGCGGGGAAGGATTGCTTTAGGATCGATTTCATGATCTTCTTCCTCATCTTCTTCATCTCCCTCGTCCTGTTGTGCGGAGTTTTGGTGTCATGAAAAAATAAGAACAAAGGGGAGGCGTACCTCATGCATGTCTTCCTCATCGTCATCCTCGTCTTCATCCTCGTCTCCCTCTTCGTCCTCCATAGACACGTCCTCAGCGGAAGGCTTTGCCTTGCCTTTTCCCTTGTTATCGGGAGATTTGGCCAAGGAGGTCACGTCCTTTTTAGCGGGTGATCTAGAAGCAAAATGGATGAACAATTGGAGGGGGGAAGTGGCTGACAAAATCGGCTTACCTAGCTTCAGTCGACATAACGGATATTGATAACAATAAGGATAAGGTGCAGGGGATGTGTGTGGAAAAGAGCGCGTTGGCGATGTTTGGATGTGTTGACGCGCCGTTCTAGTTCGACGCTTTTTTGAAGCGGAGTTTTAAATGACGACCTCGGATGAAGAGTGAATCTGATAAAGCTGGTGAAATTATTTCGTGAGATTACGTCCGAGGAGAGCGCTCATCTCCCGGACGACTGATGGAGTGTACAAGGGGGAATAAGTAAGGTGAAAGGTTCGGTTCTAGGAACATTCGGTTTATTCCGGTAATGAGTTGAGGTGTGAACTCAATAGTTATGATCCCGTGGAAGGTTATGCGAGTCATCCGGAGGAATCGAGTTTACGGGGGTCGCTGAGATTGAATTTATTGCTGTAGGTGCCTTGTTTCCGTGGAAGGATGTAAGCGAGTACGGTAGATTATTATGGCCGCCAAATGACCGCTGACCATCAAAAAAGCTTGGCTATTAGTAGTATGTATCGTATATTGTTATTGCTACCATGAAAGTCACTCAATCTCTCCCTTCCCATCCACTTCCAGTGTTGTTCTGATCGATCTACCGGCTCAAGCGGTATAATCCATTTTCCGTGTAAACTCTTTTTCAAAGGAGGTTCCAAAGGAGGTTCCAATCTTACTCCAACCTGTCAATTATGCATAGGGCGCTGATATCCCTTTCAATCGGTGATTCTGACAAACCGTCTTTCTCCCCCTTCGTTCCCCCACCAATTCAACGTCTTTCCCTACCCCCTTCCAGTGCAAGTAAATCTTCCCCAAATTCGACTCCCCCCGCCCTTCCCCGCCCAAAGAAGTCTCAGGCGCCCACTAAGTCTCCTTCTCCCGTCGCAGGTCCATCAAATTGTAACGCATCTGCTATCTTTCCTTACCTCCACCGCCTCGAAATTCACGACGATATGGCTTCTCGTCGACAACAGAGACCTCTTCTCGTACTCAAGCTGTCCTCTCCTTCCTTCCTAGATTCCGTTGCTACGGACGTAGTAGCTGAAACGCCTCTATATTCAGTAGAAACAGTAGGATCTTCAACTACCGTCTGGCGCTCAGATCCTTGGGGTACATCTGTCACTATTGCAGACATACGTTGGCCCAAAGACATCCCTCTCAAGGGTAAGGGAAGGGATACCCACGGTTCCCTCATACAGATGGGTGATCCTCGCTGGAAAGACACCGACAGCTATCTCAAGTATGGCAGCCTCAGAAGGTATGCCTCTCCTTGTATTCCCTCCCCTTCCCCTCCTCACCCCATTTTTTTTACAGCAGCTCACGCAAATTCAGCTTACCAAACCATCCCCATGTGTTAAAGTGGAAGCGAACAGGTCGCACATATCAGGTTGGCATCGGGTGTCATCACGTATCTTCGCTTACGCTCACACTTCTTCATAGTGCACAACTTCATCCTCCAGAGGTCCCATCGCATCCCTTGATGCATCACAAGACGAAGAAAACACTCCACGACTCAAAGTATTCGAGACAATCGGTCCAATCCACCAATCAGTTCCCCAAGTAGAACACGCTGGAATATCCCTTTCCCTACTTGATAACCTCTTTGTCACCGCTCTATTACTCGTCACAGAACCTGACGATTGGATGACTTTAAGGCACAACCCCGATACTCCAGCCACAGATTCCGTATCCCCTCCTAAATCATCCGCCCCTGCATCTGCGCGTCAGTGGCGCAAAATCATGTACGGCGAGCCCCTCTACCCCTCCCTCAAGACCCCCGCTGTCGACACTCGCTGCAATGAGGATGCAGATGTTCTTGATATCTCCGGGGCAGCGCCCCTTCCCACATCTGTGAAGCAATGGCGCAAAATTGTATATGGCGAACCTCTTTACCCATCGCTACGACCTCATAGTGCAGACGGTCTTGACCTACCTTCACGCCCAGACACCGCATGGGATACCGCTAGCATCTCTTCCGAGTCCGTATGCTATCCCGCAACCCCTTCTTCTGCCCCATCCACTGGCTTCTATACATCCACATTCTTCGACGAATCAGAAAGAACAGTTCCGAGAATCGACACAAATGGACGATATTCAGCCCCCCTTAGCTTCTCCCCTGCTACAATATCACCGATTCCCGCATCTGATTGCATGCCATTATCATCACAGCCTTCCCCCTCGCCACGTGCGGGTACCCGGCGAGAGCTCCCCGCACCGCCGTCCGCATGGCATGGTCACCCGCCGCCTGGGTCACAGCCGTGGCTTCACAGATCGAGATCGTCACCCCGATTGTCGTGTATGCTACCCACGACAATCAAGCACTCTCAGTTGGTCACAGAAGACGGAGTCCTTGTCCCATCAACACCGCTAGATGGCGATGAGGATCGTCCAGCCGAAACGCCCCCGTCGCGCAGCCGTGCTCTTTCTTCGGGGTCAGTCGTTCGCCGCCGACTACCCACCGTCCCCTCAACCCCCACATCCCCAATCAGCTCACCTCCTCCCCAGACGAAACGCCTCTTCAACTTTGGACGTACACTTCCCCCAACGCCTGTATCCATACCTCGCTCACCCTCTGCTGGGCATCGTTACACGCATTCGTCCAACATCATCTCCCGAACACCATCATCAGCGACGATGCCTGCGCGGCCATCAACTGCACAGCAACCGCGTAGGAATCGTCCAGAGAAGGATCCTGATGAGGTGCTGGGGTGGGTACGCAACGTTACGCGAGCTCACCACCACCGACGTGCCCTCGACTGCGATGAGCTCGAGCACCGCCCCGGGTGCCCAGAAGAAGCTCCGCCGCCGGCGTACAACGCCATTGACTTCTCAAAGCCCCCTCAGTCCCGTGCACTACCCAATCCCAGTTAAACTCCTTCCTTCTGTCTATGGATATATCATACGTGACGCAAATAATGAATAGACGTCTTTTACCCGCAATGAAGCCTTGATCGGTCCCTTCACGGAGATCTTTGCATTTAATTCCACCTAGGATCCAGTCCTTCTTCTCCTTTCTTTTTTCATAGCACAAATTGGTCCTCTAATCCCGCTCGTCCCAGCCATTCTTTCTCCAACTGACCCTGTACCTGAAATCCTCAATCCTCATTCAATGAATTGTTATTACCAATATCTACCATACGTACGTACGCTGATCTTCACCTCACTCTTACATATACTCCTAGGCATATATACAATGTTTCTCTTCATGAATTCTGATGCATCAAAAGATGTTGTTTTACATATTGATATCTGATACGTTCCCTGCGCATGCATTGTTCTGTAAACGTTCGCGGTCTGTGAGTGGATTGGGATGGGTATCATCATGTGGGTGATTCATTTATGCTAATCGAGGCGTTTGATCTCTTGGCCCGTGGGGTGAGGCACTCCTTGTTCTGTTAATAATGGGGCGCCTATTGGGGGGTTATTTATGTAGGCGAATAACTCGCAGATGGGCCAGTGGCTTCCGTTAGTCTCCCATATAGCAGACCAATAGAAGGAATACACTGTACAATCGTCCCTTCTATTATTATAAAGGGCTTCCGTAGACCACGATTTTCGTCACGGTGTTAAATGGACCCCAGAGTCTCAAGCTCGGCATCCACTGGCAGTCACACAGAGGCTCCGAATCACAGTTATGTGCCTAGCATATGATTACGACAACCGTGGATGTGCCAGCTGGCTTCAGTTGAGTTGACCTGGGCGCGAATAGTCTCCCTTATAGAAGGAAGTTGCGCAGCAAGGTCAATATAAGTGCATGCGGCCATACTGGTTCCTTATTTCTAGTATAGTATACAGCTGCGCGTAATTAAACCAGTCTCACCATTCGTCAATTTGAGATGGTGAGATCTTAACACCACTCGAGCATCCGCCGGCAGGCTTGATCACGCGCCTAGCTGCGCAAAGTCGCTTCCCGGGACCGCCATCACGAACGTCCGGAAGATCGTAGTCGTTCCTTAAGTTTTCCGATAGTATATATGCAGCTGTGCCGGTCGTTTTCCGGAATCGCCGTTGACGCTCATGATCACTGGACGCTGGTAGTAGTTCGCACTGGACTGGTATCAACGTGCTTAGTAACGTTCGCAGCAGCTACAGCCTTCGGACTCCCCTGTTTGATTCCGATTTCTCTTATTCCTATTGTGTTCTACGTATTTGATTTTCACGTTGGTCGCCGTTTACGATTCGGAGTATAGAGTTCAAGTTTCTGTATCTTAGTGCGCGCCACCGACGTGCAGCACATGTCACTGTCATCTTAACTAATACTTAGACTAGTACTGTCTTGTATCGCGCCGTACAGCAACTGTAACTTGAAGTAGTACTGTGACTTACTAGTTACCAGTTACCAGTATGTACTGATCTTTCTTGACATCAGGCCGTCATGACGTGTAAGTATGTAGTACTTACTAGGATGATCGGCCCGTATCGCTGATTGACGGACTTTTGAAACGCGTCTCCAACGGTTACACACCAGAGCTCGAGTTTAGGCATCAACTTGCCAGTCCTTGATATAATCATCTCCTCAATTCGTCTTGCTTTTCCAGACGTCCAAGTCTGGTTCGAGTAACGCTGGTACATCAAGGTACGGGCCAATCGCATCAACCTTGTGGCGACGCCATCATCATGTCTCCTCTTGATATTCGTCCGAGTCGGCACTCCGAGTCAGTACTAGTCTCCGAGGCGCCGTGTGACCTCTCGGTCGACATCGAGCCTCTTGCTGACGGAGGCATCAGGGATGCGATATTGGTGGTGGTGATGGTACGTTTACTTCAATTGCAATTCCGAGTATTGGATTTTGGTGTCACTCGGCGCTATGTCACTGTACATGTACTCATTAACGACTACTTTCGCAGGGCGTATCAGGAACAGGCAAATCTACTCTCGGTGTTGCGCTATCAAAGGCTCTCTGTCTCCCTTTCATCGATGGCGATGACCTACATCCGCAATCTAATGTAGACAAGATGTCACGCGGCGAACCTCTCACAGACGATGATCGCCAGCCCTGGCTAGAAACTATTCGCAATACGGCTGTCAGTAGCGTTCTCAAGAGGGATGAAGATAAGAAGCCGGGGATCATCATTGCATGCTCGGCGCTGAAGGGGAGTTACCGGTCGGTGTTAAGGGGCGAAACTCTGTCGGAAGCCGAGACATCGAAGCATTCGGGAAAGCTTCGGACGTGGTTTGTTTATATGAAAGGTTCGCGGGAGGTGCTCATGGATCGGATGACGAAACGCCAAGGGCATTTCATGAAGGCTGCTATGTTGGATAGCCAGTTGAAGACGTTGGAGAACCCTGAGAATGAGGAGGGGGTGGTGACGGTGTCGATAGAGTGGTCGACTGAGGATCAGGTGCGAGAAGTGGTTGGGGCTCTCAAGGATAAGGATGGCAGCATATGACATCGAAGCATTGATAATTATTCCTTTAAATAAAAAATTGAAATCAAATACTACTTACAATCTTACACTGTAGGCTTTTTCTTCGTCGACGGTCGACCTTCCGCACAAAAACAACCATTTCCAAGCAACTCTGCGAGTCTTGTAGGTCCAACTTGAATTCTATATCATATATCTGTCACATACAATATCCCCGTCATGACGATGCACCGGGCCTTAGGAATTCTCGACGTAATACACACCATTAGCTCACACACAGCACACGGATCGCTTCCTGCACTTGCATCCACATCCCACGCGTTTAAGCGCCCAGCACTTGAGGTCCTTTGGAGGGATTTGCAGTCTGTGGAGCCACTTGTCAGATGTTTACCAAGTGACTTATTTGGCGTCGATCAAGGATGTTGGGTGAGTGCCTCAATTTCACATCATAGAATCATGTGTTTCGGACCACTGAGTTCATTGTGCAGGCATTAAAGAAACCTCTTGATGACAAGATGTGGGCCACTCTGTCGGGATACACGTTTCACGTGCACACGATCACTGTGACACAAACATGCCCCTTGAAGTTTATCGAAGCCCTCAGTTTGATAATGATGTCTTATCCTTCGGGACCTGCGTCCTTGTTTCCCAACCTTCGCAAATTAACATGGGGCGCCGATGGAACCCGCGGCAGCAGCAGAGTTCTTGCGCATGGCTTCTGTGCCCACCCTAGTTGCGTTGACCGTGGAGATCGCTGCAGCTTCTCCCGCCTTTCTCTCGGCCCTTTCGTCTCTTCAAACATCCTTTCCTCACCTCAAGAGCCTATATTTGAAATATAGCCATATGACCGACGAGTTGCGTCATAAAACTTCACCCTTCATCACACAGTCTATTTCCCGGCTCGATCATCTTCATTCGTTGGCGGTATGGGACCTAGGAAACGAAGGCATGGAGCGCGTTATGCAGCTACGAGCTCTACAGTCGCTGCACTTGGATTTAGGAACATCGTCCGCTTGGGAGGCACAGGTCGAATCTACAATTCACTGGCTTTCGTGATTTGCACTATTTAGGCCTATCTATCGACACATTCGAGCAAGCCTCGAACCTCTTGAGTTCACTTCAGGTCGCCAGAAGCAGAGAAATCGGAGTCTATTTTACCTCTCAGCACTCAGGTGAATCTACGACACTATCCCAGTTCTTCGCCATCCTCCAAGAGAGATGTGACAACGACAAACTTCGGTCCTTCACACTTCAAGGATTCTCCAGGAAGGTACACACGGAACCGGGCGTTTTCACACCATTACACGCATTTCGCAATTTAACTCGGTTGCTCATCGCGAATGGCTGCGTCATGTCCATGTCAGACGAGGAGCTCTGCCAGCTGGTGAGAGCCTGGCCTAAGCTTCAAGTGCTCAAAATCAGCTGCCATGTCGCCGATGGTACCGCCATAGTACCTACGTTCCATGGGCTAATCAGTCTACTTCCGGCTCTGCCCCGCTCTCATTTCGCTCGCTCTCGTCATCGATACCACCAAGCTGGAAGGCATAGATCTCGAGTGCCCCGGAGGTGGAAGCTGCAAGCAAAAATCTCAGATCCCTCGTCCTCGGAAATTCACCCATCGAAGGTCCCGATGAACTGTAGCTCTCATCCTCAGCGGTCTCTTCCCCGACCTCGAGAAGGTCGATCTTGATTGTTGGGATCAGCTCCCACTGTGTTTTTTACCACGGGAAAAGCTAGCGATAGAGAAGTGGGTGTCAGTCAATAGCATTCTTGGTGATCTCAGTGTCGTACGGAAGCGGTGCATCAAAGCTTATCGAGATGTTGTCTGATTTCTAGGCTACACTTGAATCATCGCACACACCTTTTGACTATGCGCGGTTATACACTTATTGTACGTATGATTGTGTGCTAGGACTATCGTACATTCTTTATACTTATACTCAGGCTTATAAAATCACTTTCTCTCGTCAACGATACCACCTTGACAGTGCAGGCCCCAGATACCCTGGTCCCCTGTAGGCAGACCCAACAAAATGAAGACAGTCGGTCACTGGCGCGGTCGATACCGTAACTCGAACGATTTATCAATTTCTAGCCGAAGGGTTCGGTGCTGGGTGGGCTGAACCATACTCGACAGAGTCCACCGGAAAACAAACTTCTCCAAAATGTTGCGCGGCGAACCTCTGACAAACGCTGACCGCCAACCCTGGCTAGAAACTATCCGCAAGACGGTCAGTCACTTGCAGTTCTGTGCCAACTTGGAGTTGACCATGGGCTGCAATACAATGTCCGAGAAGACACTCACAGACTTTCCAGGCAAGTCCTGTGAGCGATGAAGACAAGACTCAGAACCGGGGATCATCGTCGCTGAAGGAGAATTACCTGTTGGTGCTAAGGGTGGGACTCTATCGGAGGCACAGGCGTCAAAGCACTCAGGAAAGCTTCCAACGTGATTTGTTAAACGTTTGTTTACATGAAAGGTTCGCTGCGGAACGTGCTCATGGACTGAATGACGAAACGTCAGGGTCATATCATAGAGGCTGCGATGTCGGATAGCTGGTTGAAGAAACTTGAGTGGATGGTCCACTGGTGAACTGATCATCATGAGGACCGCAAAAGATGCACTATTTACATAAAAATTAAATATTAGTATACAGTAGATATGCTCATAATGGATAATGGATAATAATTAATACAAAACGAAAGAGATATGTTTGCCCATATACCAACACTATGCATTATGAACAGAGCATGATGCATGACATTTCTACCATGGTGCGTGATTTTATATGTCGAAAGTCGGTTTGTTATCGAATTTCTTTGGCATTTTTTCGTCATGCATTATGAGAATGTCGACTGTATACACTGTACAGTCAGCTTCAAGTCAGCTTGCAGTTTTTTCTTCAAAGTTCGACTTCAGCATATTTCAAATTTTCCTCCATGGATCTTCTTCTTGAATCTATATCAGTATACCCGTCCCAAAGAGTCATGCACCCGGCCTTGCGAAACCTCGAAGTAATATACACGATTAGCTCGTACACTGAACGTAGATCGCTTCCTGCACTTGCAGCCACATGCCGCGCATTTGAGCACCCAGCACTTAATGCCCTTTGGAGGGATTTACAGTCTCTGGACCCTCTAATCAGATGTCTACCAAATGACCTGTTTGACAGGGATCAGGGAATTATGGTGGGCGTCCTTCTACATGCATCATGATTAATATATGGCCTTCAGAGTACTGAGTTCACTTGTGCAGATACTTAAGAAACCTCTCGACAACGACATGTGGGAGACTCTTAGCAGTTACACATCCCGCGTTCACTCGTTCACTCAATCCGGCAACCTGACGGGTATCGAGCTCCTCGGCGAGCTAATGTTGTCTTGTCCCTTGACACCTGCCTCCTTATTTCCCAACCTTCGCAAATTGACATGGAATGGCGATGGAACCCACAGCGCTGCAGAAATCTTGCGCATGGCTTCTGTGCCCACCCTAGTGGAGTTGGATGTGTGGATGACTTCAACTTCCTCCGCCTTCGTCTCAGTCCTTTCCTCTATTGGGACCTTGTGTCCTCGCCTCCAGAATATGGAATTAAGACTTCTCCCTGTAGAGTGCACTCGTAAAGTTTCACCATTCATCATACAAACTCTTTCTCAGCTCCAACACCTTCACACATTGGCGGTATGGGACCTAGGAAACCAAGGCATTCAGCAAATCATGCAGCTTCCAGCTCTGCAGTCACTGAACTTGGACTTGAAAACATCGTCAGCTTGGGAGACACGGTCGCATTTGCAATTCCCCGGCTTTCATCCTTTGAATCTTTTCGGCATGTCTATCGATTCGTTCGAGCGAGCCTCGAACTTCTGGGGTTCACTTCAGGTCGTCAAAAGCAGAGAAATCGCGGTCGGCTTCACCTCCCAGGCGGCGCAGTCCCCTGCGATGCTATCCCAGTTCTTCACCATCATGCAAGAGAGATGCGACAACGACACATTGCTGCGCTTCCTCCTCCATGGATTTTCGAGCAAGGTGCACACAGAATGGGGTGTTTTCACGTCTTTGCACGCGTACCGTAATTTAACGGGGTTGCGCATCGACACTGGCTGTAAGATATCCATCTCTGACGATGAGCTTTGCCAGCTGGTGAGAGGCTGGCCTAAGCTCCGAACCCTCGAAATCAGTCGCTGTGTCTCCATTGATACCACCACAGTACCTACATTCCACGGGATAACACGTTTGCTTCAGCTCTGCCCCGCTCTGTCTTCGCTCGGTCTTGTCATTGATACTACCAAGCTGGAAGGCATAGATCTTAACTCCCCCTACAGTTGGAGCTACAACCGTCTTCAATGTCTCACCCTCGGAAATTCACTCATCGAGTCCCCGCCAAAGGTAGCTCTCATCCTGAGCTGCCTCTTCCCCCTCATCCGGCGGGTCGAGCTTCGTTGTTGGTATGAGGCCCCGATGAATTCGTTACTCCAGAGGAAGTCGGAGATGGAGTCATGGGCGTCAGTCAATAGTATTCTTAGAGGTGTACTGGAGCGACGCTTCAAAGCTTATCGAGATCTCAATCCTTCCAGTACGTTTTCACTGGCGCGTTACTTAGCTCAATAGTCTCCGTATCCAAGCGTCCGGCGCTACTTGTCTGAATGGCCATTACTTGTCTTGATTAGGATACTCCCCTGACTGTGCTGAACATGCATATCGTCAAACAAACTTCGCCAAAATGTTGCGCGGCGAACCTCTCACAGAGCTTACCCTGGCTAGAGACTATACGCAAGGTGGTCGTCAGTTGCGTTCTGAGCCAGTTTTATGTTGACCACGTACGGACTGCAGCCCAATACAACGCCCGAGACAGACTCACAGAATACGAGCACAGCATGGTTGGGCGGGAAAGGCAGCCAAGTCCTGCCAGCGTGAGGGATGAAGACAAAGACTGGGAGTTGGCGGTGATCATTATCGCATGCTCGTCGTTCAAGGGGAATTACCGGAGGGAGGCAGAAGCACTCTTGAAAGCGTTATTTACATGAAAGGCTCGCTGTACACGCTCATGATGGACCGTATGACGAAACGTCATGTGCATTTCATGAATGGATAAGCCAGTACTTTGAAGACCGCCGGGAAGCCCTGAGCATAAATGAAGAAGGGTTTGTGACACTAGTACTAGTGTCGATTGGACCAGGCTGGCAGTAGTAATAATTATTTATTTACATTATGTGGAAATCAAAATATAGATCTTGCACTCTTCCTCGTTAACCTCAAGGGTCGCACAAAAACAAGCCACCCCGCACGTCTCCCAGGCCAACTCTAAGTATCATTACATATATACAATATACGTCCCCAAATGTTGGTCATGCACCCGGCCTTACGAAATCTCGAAGTAATTTGCACCATTAGCTCACACACAGAATACGGATCGCTTCCCGCACTTGCATCCACATGCCGCGCGTTTGAGGACTCGGCACTTAATGTACTTTGGAAGCATTTGCGGTCTGTGGAGCCACTTGTCAAATGTTTGCCAGGTGGCCTGTTTGGCACTGATCAAGGATGTGTGGTGTGTACCAGTTTCATATGGTTGTAGGCTTCAAACTGAGTTCGCTTGGGCAGGTATTACAGAAACCTCTTGACGACAAAATGTGGGAGACTCTTGCCAGATACACATCCCGCGTGCACTCGATCACTGTAGTACAATTTGCGAAGGACACCATCTTGCCGGTTATTGAACGCCTCAGTTTGATCATGCTGTCTTGTCCTTCGGCACCTGCGTCCTTGTTTCCCAACCTTCGCAAATTAACATGGTATGCCGATGGAACGCGTGGTGCTGCAGACTTCTTGCGCATGGCTTTTGTGCCCTCTCTAGTGGAGGTGAACTTGCGGATTGCCTCAGCTTCCTCCGCATTTCTCTCGGTCCTTTCGTCTCTTGGGACCTTGTGTCCTCGCCTCCAGAGCATGGCTGTAAGGATTCACCTTGCAGGCAATGATTCACCTCGTAAAATTTCACCCTTCATCACACAATCTATTTCCCAGCTCCATTATCTTCTCTCGTTGACTGTATGGGACCTAGGAAACGAAGGCATGAAACGCGTTATGCAGCTACGAGCTCTGCAGTCGCTGAGCTTGGACTTAACAGCATTGTCAGCTTGGGAGACATGGTTACATTTGCAATTCCCCGGCTTTCATGATGTCCGATTTTTGGGCCTTTCTGTCGATGCGTTCGAGCGAGCCTCGAACTTCTTGAACTCACTTCAGGTCCTCAGAAGCAGAGAATTCCGGGTGAACTATACCACCGAGGCTGCGGTGTCCCACGTGAGAGGTGGATCTGTGACATTATCCCAGTTCTTCACCATCCTCCAAAAGAAATGCGATAACGACAAACTTGAGCGCTTCTCTCTCATTGCGACTTCGACGAGGATACACACACAATCGGGCGTTTTCACATCATTGCACGCATTTCGCAATTTAATCCAGCTTATCATCGACAGGGGCTGTGTCATTTCCGTGTCTGACGAGGAGCTCTGCCAGCTGGTGAGAGCCTGGCCTAAGCTCAAAGTCCTCAAAATCAGTTATCATGTCGCCGTCGATAACACCGCAGTACCTACATTCCATGGGCTAATCAGTTTACTTCGGCTCTGCCCCGCTCTAATTTCGCTCGCTCTTGTCATCGATACTACCAAGTTGGACGGCATAGATCTCAAATACCCCGGCGGTGGAAGCTGCAACAAGAAGCTCAAATCCCTCGTCCTCGGAAATTCACCCATCGTGTCCCCGCTAAATGTAGCTCTCGTCCTGAGCGGCCTCTTCCCCTGCCTCGAGCAGGTCGATCTTGATTATTGGGATTTGGGCCTGATGACTTTCTCACCCCAGAAGAATCCAGTGATGGAGCAGTGGGCGTTAGTCAATAACTTTCTTACTGGCTTCAGCGTTGTGAGGGAGCGGCGCATCGAAGCTTGATGGTAAAGTTAGGCACTTGTATCATCACACACATTTCGACCAGCACACTTACATGTACAGGATGTGCGGTTGTGTGCTCAGACTATCATACATTATTTATACTTACACTTCAGCTGATGAACTTGAAATTCCCTCTGCGTCACCTCTGTAGTTTCCAGCTACAACTCACAGGAAGCCAGGGAGCATCATCACTAGCGCCGTGCTCGGCGTTGAAGGGGAATTACTGGTTGATGCTGAGGTGACACTGTTTTAATTCACTGTACAGCTGTATGAAATGCTCGCACGAAGCAGTGCTCATAGATCGTATGACAAAACGCCAGGGCGTTTCATGAAAGCTGCGATGTTGGATAGCCAGCTGAACACGCTGGCGGCTGGAGAGCCTTGAGAATGACTCCGACGGAGTCTGAGGGAGTTGGGCCGAGGGCATGGCCAATTATGTAAAACACTTGCACGTGTTGTCTTCGAACTCGTGGAATCTGGCGTGCAACCTTGCAAGTCTCCTCCCACTTGAATCTATCACTGTTCCCAAATATCGGCCAATGATGGCCATGCACCCGGCCTTAAGAAACCCGGAAGTAATATACACCATTAGCTCATACACAGAGCACGGATCAATTCCTGCACTTGCCTCTACATGCCGCGCGTTTGAGCGCCCAGCACTTAATGTCCTTTGGAGGGATTTGCAGTCCGTGGAGCCTCTTATCAGATGTTTAATAAGTGAAGACCTGTTTGATACTGTCCAATACGATCATGATGACTTTAAAGAACATATGGTGAGCATCACGATTTCATATGATTGTGGGTTTCAGACTAAGTTCACTCGCAGGTATTACAGAAACCTCTTGACGACAAGATGTGGGATACACTGTGCAAATACACGTCCCGGGTGCACTCGATCACACAATCAGGCAACTCAATGTTCATCGAGTCCCTGTGTTTGTTGATGTTGTCTTGTCCTTCGGCATCTGCAGCCTCCAAGTTGTTTCCGAACCTTGTCAAATTAACGTGGAATGCCGATGGTACCAAAGATGCTGCAGAGTTCTTGCGCATGGCTTTCGTACCTTCCTTAGTGATCTTCAACATGCATATTTCTTCAGCTTCCTCCGCCTTTCTCGCGGTGCTCTCGTCTCTTGGGACCTCGTGTCCTTCCCTGCAGGTCCTAAATTCGAGAATTCCTCGCACAACCGACTCGTCTCATAAAACATCGCCCTTCATCACACAATCGATTTCGCAGCTCCACCATCTTCAATCGTTGACGGTGTGTGATCTAGGAATCCAAGGCATCCAGCAAGTTATGCAACTGCGAGCTCTGCATTTTTTGAGCTTGGACTTCAGAAAATCGTCAGCTTGGGACATGAAGACCCATTTGGATCCCCCTGGCTTTCGTGATTTGCATCATTTGGACCTTTCTTTCGACACACCCGAGCACGCTTCGAACTTCTTGAGTTCACTTCCAGTGGTCAGGAGCAAAAAAATCAAGATCGGCTTCACGCCTCGGGCTGCACGCTCCTCCACGAGTGAATTTAACACGGTATCCCAGTTCTTTGCCACTATCCAAGAGAAATGTGATAACGATAAACTCGAATCCTTCACTCTCTATGGATTTTCGGGAAAGCTTCACGCAAGCCCGGATGTTTTCACCCCATTACACGCATGCCGCAATTTAACTCGGCTGCTCATCGATCGGGGTTGTGACATTTCCATGTCTGACAAGGAGCTAACGCCAGCTGGTAAGAGCCTGGCCTAAGCTCGAAGTGCTCAGCATCAGCCGCTATGTCGACATCGATGACATCGCAGTACCTACATTCCACGGGTTAATCAGTTTGCTTCGGCTCTGCCCCGCTTTGACTTCGCTCGCTCTTGTCATTGATACCACCAAACAGAAACGCATAGATCTCACACACCCGGGTAATGGAAGCCGCCACGAGAATCTCGAAACCCTCGTCCTCGGCAATTCACCTATCAAGTCCCCGCGAAACGTAGCTCTCATCCTAAGCGGCCTCTTCCCCCGCCTTGAGGGGGTCAATCTTGAATGTTGGGATACGATCTCGATGGATTCATTACCCCGGAAGAAGTCAGAGATGAGGCAATGGGAGTCAGTCAATACCTTTCTTGGTGGCTTCAGCATTGTAAAGGAGCGATGTAAAGGAGCATGATGTTGTTGATCTTATTTATAGGGTATACCTGAATCATATCGCCCACACCTTTGGATACGCGCGAATGTACACAGTACTTACAGTCGATGCAGCTGTATACTCTATGTAGTATGTATGCATTATGTGGCGTCCGTCACTTTTCGATACATACCTGTCGGAGAGGAGATTATCGGCCTAGCGCTGCTGAAGAAATGGCTGCAGGGACTGGAAAGCAAAGGCAGAAGATGTCACCCACCACGCTCTTGTGCAAATGCGGCGCCGAACGGTGTGGATCATGGATCAAGCTTTATGCAAGGAGGTCGCAGCAAGTTTTGTATGCGTCATATACATTCACAGTCGACGAGAGAATAAAATCAAGCTAGGATATGTAAATTAACGCCCCCCCTCCCCCTGAAGTCTAGGATATCATGGCTGATCTGTACTATCTGGAAACCCTTTGAACCGAAATCCCATGTACATGATAAAAGACGATAAACAACAGGCGTACGCAAGAGTGCGAATATCCCATACTGCCCAATATACTGTTATCTTTGCCTTCACAACATCCATTCTCCAGCCTGGAAAGCGAGCCCTCATCCGCAGAGTAATGCAGTCTCCGACCTGCAAATCATGTGTAAAGCTACCATCGTATGACCTCCATCCCTGTCCCCTAGTCTCTGCTGCAATTGCTTCGGGCGAACTTTCTTTGACATTGTCGAGGTTCGTCCAAGTGACGATATAGCGCGTTGATTGACTGTTCGCAACGATAATTTTCTAGAGTGTCGCAGAAGAAGGTAAGAACGGGCCCTCGACATCCTTCCGAGTAAACCTGATGGATTTGGAACCGAAAGAAACTGGATGAGAGGTACTAAAAGGGACTCCGGAGACTTTCAGATCATCGAAGGACGGTTCATCAACTGCGGTGAAGAGGAGTAGGGAGGGTCATTCGATACCTTCCGTGAGATATGAAGTGGAGTTGAGTCTCTCCACACTGGAATCGAACCAGGTGTAAGAGCCTTCGTACGTCCCTTGATGACTGCGATGATCAGAGACCCAGCCCTGGTCATGACTCCATAACTGAAACCTGATCAGGTTTGGCACGCGTGGGGGGTGCCCAAATTGATTCAGTTGAAGGTAGCCCACCAAGGACAAGCCTCTTAGTTGTCCAGGGCCCAGGCTCTTGACGATCGAGTACGCGTTTACGAAGATCATCCGCTCGCGCTCACAAGACTCAAACACCGTAGTTACCTTACAGTTGGCCCATCTTCGATAAGTCATGCATCTAAAGCGGTCGGCAAGAACGGCGGACCAGGGGGGCACGTCCCTATCCTGAGGCATTTGCACATTTAGAGATGTGGCGCGGGGCGCAGGGGCCCCTTAGACTAGTCAGTATTGTCCGACATAGGGTAGATTACCCCAATGGACACGAATTTGATTCAAAAAAAAGGACAAGCCTCTCTCCCTGTAGATAGGAAGTCTCCTTCTGCGCCGTACACTGCAAGTGGCAATGCACGCATATACATCATGTCTGGCTTGATGGAAGCGCCGTGGACAGTGTGAACGTGAACGGTACGATTGACTGTTATAGAGGTGTGCGCCCAATAGGAGGCAGCATCGATAATGTCATCGATGAGTTCGTCTGGAAGCGAGACAGAAAATAACTCGAAGCATCGTTTGACTTTTAAGAATGTCTGCAGAAGTTGATTCATATGAACCAGATGGGTGGACTTCTGAGGATGAGGCCATGGTGCGACTGCAACTACGAGTACTCGTCCTCACGAGTCTCTGAGATAGAACGATCTGGTAATCTGATCACCTGACGTCAATACTTGACAATTGACAGTGTCGAAACGCATGCGGTACGATATCGAGACTAGTACTGTGATGGAAGAGGGTCACTGATTCAGTACTTAGTGTGTAGTGTTTTAAGAAATCCAGTTAGATCTCGGAAGAGTGAGACTACGACGATGCCGTTAAGTCCGGTACGTTTCACACTCCGCCACTTGTACCGGTCTGGCTATCGCTCAAAGTTTCTTCCAAGTAAACGTGAAACTGTCTCAGGTGAGAGAGCTCCTCTCGTGATCGTCAGAGTAGTATTCTAACCTTTTGTCCCTCTTACTTAGATGAAAGACGGAATCGGTGATTAAATGGTCGACGGCGCCAAACTTATCCGATCTCCAAAGTCGGGCAGCGAGTGGACCACCAACGAGCTGATCGCATACAACATCACCGTTGCCACTCAGCCGCCCTGGGAGTTTTTTCTTCAAAACCATGAACCACCCTTGGAGGGCGTAGATCCATCACTCATTGACTCCCCTCTCGATGCAGACAATGTCACAGACGCCACCCACACATATCTGTCGTACCTTGACCTGGCCACCCATGCCGGTCAAGAAATTTTGATCGACGACTTCGCTCGGGAGACTCTCCGCGTATGCGGCTATCTTGAACGTGGCTTAGTCCTCAGCACACACTACAGTATTCCGCTGACGATCAGTGGCGATAACCGCCGAACTGCACAAACAGATGTCTGTCTGCTTGATCGATTATCGACGATCTTACTCTTTTGCAAGAGGACAAGACAATATACAATTCGACGCAGCCCGAACCACAAGTTATCGCAGGAGCGATTGCCGCGTACCAGTACAATAACGAGAAACGGCAGTCCAGGGAACTTCCCATCCTTGATACCATGACTATTCCCTGCATCACGCTTGTTGGCACACGACCCACCTTTTATCTGGTCCCTGTCACTCAAGCACTTAGCGTTGCAGTTGTAACTGGCCAGTATCCTGAAGTTCCAACTAAGGTCGTGAAGTGTGTCACTTTTTTAGGGCACAACCATCGATCCAGCGAAGGCATGGAGACACCAAAGTATAGGCGGCTTGCTTTTCAGCGTTTTGTCGCATTCAGAGACCTTGCGAAGGGATTTTGGCAGACAATCCTTGTCTGACTGACGTCGTACGTGTACCTTTGAAAGTACTTTTGTCCGGAATTTGATTCTCCAGCTTTCCGATATCCGTGATCCTGCTGCAATGATTTTTTTCTTCGGCCTGGTGTATCCACTACGTACTAGTTTCATTTGTCATATATACAAAGGTGATGGTGATCATATATTCCCGACTCTGCCTGAGGGGTCTGCCGACTATGTCAGAAATTATCAGCAAAACCCTATGGTATGTGTGGCAGCGCACGGTGCTGTACAACGCACCTGGGTTGCCCGCCTTATTATACTGGGTGATCAAGTGGACTTCTACTGGGATTGATGTTGCACATGGGAGCAAATACTCTTCAAGTTCGGACCCCAATTGCAAATGCCAGGCGATTCGCAGATCGATGGTAAACTCAGGCACGACATGCAATTTTGCAAGTCCCATCCTTTAATCTGAGTTATCATATCATCCTTGGCCATGCATCCGGCGTTGGGAAACCTCGAAATTGTATGCATCATTAGCTCATACACTCAACGCAGATCGCTTCCAGCGCTTGCTTCCACATGCCGCGCATTCGAGCACCCGGCCCTTGACGCTCTGTGGAGGGATCTGCAATCCATACAGCCGCTTGTTAAATGTTTACCAAGTGACCTCTTTAGCATTGATAAAGGACCTATGGTGGGTGTCCAATTTCATATGATCGTGGGTTTCAAACTGAGTCGAGTCACTGGGCAGGTATTACAGAAACCTCTTGATCGCAAGATGTGGGATACTCTTTTCAAATACACGTCCCGCGTGCACTCGATTACTGTACCAGAATCAGGCTACAGGGATGACAGGACGTTTATCCTGCCCGTCACTGTGCTAATGCTGTCTTGTCCTTCGACACCTGCCTCCTTGTTTCCGAACCTTCGCAAATTAACATGGCGCGCCGAAGGAATTGCAGACTTCTTGCGCATGGCTTTGGTACCCTCCATATTGGTCTTGGACATGCAGATTTCTTCCGCCGCTCCCCCTGCCTTTCTCTCGGTTCTTTCGTCTCTCGGGACCCTGTGTCCTCACCTTCAGAACATGACCATCACGGTCAACGCTCGATACAGATTACCCGACGACTTGTTGGGTAAATTTTCATCCTTCATCATACAACCTATTCCTCAGCTCCACCATCTTCACACGTTGTCGGTATGGGACCTAGGAAACGAAGGCATAGAGCACCTTATGCAGCTGCGAGCTCTGCAGTCGCTGAGGTTGGACTTAGGAACCTCATCAGCTTGGGACACAAAATCGCCTTTGCAATTCCCCGGATTTCACGATCTGAAATTGTTGGGCCTTTGTACCTCTACACTCCAGCATGCATCGAACTTCTTGAGTTCACTTCAAGTCGTCAGAAGCAAAGAACTCGAGGTCAGATACACGTCTCGGTCTGAGAGTTCCTCCGCGAGTGCATACACGGCACTATCCGAGTTTTTTACCATCCTCCAGGAGAAATGCGACAACGACAGACTTGAATTTTTCAGTCTCAGAGGAGTTTCAGGGCAGATACCCACAGTGCCGAGCGTCCTCACGCCATTGCATGCATGCCGCAATTTAACTCGACTGGTTATCGAGAGGGTCTGCGACATCTCCATGTCGGACGAGGAGCTGTGCCAGCTGGTGGGAGGCTGGCCTAAGCTCCAAGTGCTCAAAATAAGCAACTATGTCACCCTTGGTAGCACCACAATACCTACATTCCACGGGCTAATAAGTTTACTTCAACTCTGCCCCGCTCTGACTTCGCTCGGTCTTGTCATCGATACCACCGAGTTGGACGGCATAGATCTCAAGCGCCCCGGCGGTGGAAGCTACAACCCGCATCTCAAATTCCTCGCCTTCGGAAATTCACCTATCGAGTCCCCGGTAGACGTAGCTCTCGTCCTGAGCGGCCTCTTCCCCTACTTGAAGCAGGTCAATCTTGATTGTTGGGATACGTCATCCAAGAAGATGGAGCGATGGACGTCGGTCAATAGCATTCTTGATGGCTTCAGAGTTTTAGAGGGGCGGCTCATTGGAACTTGATGACGACTCTCGTCTGACATCTAAGCCCCGCTTGAATCATCACCTACACTATATCACTATGAACGAATGTACACCGTATTTGGAGTATCGCACGTTTGTTGTATGATGCATCTGGTATTAGTGTTTTAGCAATTTGCTCAGGTGCGCAATGTTGTCCAGTCTTCAGTGTCTTTTACAGCTTGTGTTGAATATCTCGCTTCGATATTAAATTTTTGTGGCACTAAGCAAGAAGCAGTCGGGCCTGGGCTTGATCAGGTGATCACTGATGAACTAAATCGCTTCTCCGTCTCGGCAATCGCCTGCCAGCGACCATTCTTGTCTCTAAATATGGCAGGTCAATCCAAGCAGAATCTATTGGCCATGCACCCGGCTTTGACAACCCTTGATATAATATGCACCATTAGCTCGCACACAGAACATGGATCGCTTCCTGCACTTGCATCCACATGCCGCGCGTTTGAGCACCCAGCTCTCAATGTCCTTTGGAGGGATCTGCAGTCTGTGGGGCCACTTGTCAGGTGTCTACCAAGTAACTTGTTTGGCATTGATGAAGGATGTGTGGTGGGTGTTCCAGTTTCATGTGATTGTGGGCTGCAGACTGAGTGCACTTGCGCAGGTATTACAGAACCCTATTGACGGCAAGATGTGGGACACCGTTTTCAAATACGCGTCCCGCGTGCATACGATCACTGTAACGCAGTCAGACTGCTTGAAATTTCTCGAGCCCCTCAGCGTGTTAATGCTGTCTTGTCCTTTGACACCTGCGTCCTTGTTTCCGAACCTTCGCAAATTAACGTGGCGTCCTGGAGGAACCCACATCTTCGCAGAGATTTTGCGCACGATTCTGGTACCCTCCATGTCGGTCTTGGATGTACAGATTTGTTCAGCTTCCGCTGCCTTGCTCTCGGTCCTTTCGTCTATTGGCACCTTGTGTCCTCGCCTCCAGAACATGACTGTGACTGTTCGAAATGCCACCAACGACTCGTTGCGTAAAATTTCACCTTTCATCACACAACCTATTTCTCAGCTTCATCATCTTCACACGTTGTCGGTATGGGATCTCGGAACGCAAGGCATGGAGCACGTTATGCAGCTGCGAGCTCTGCAGTCACTGAGCTTGGACTTAAAAATATCGTCAGCTTGGCACGCAAAATCGCCTTTGCAATTCCCTGGCTTTCATGATCTGGAATCGTTGGCCCTTTCTACCTCTACGCTCCAGCACGCCTCGAACTTCTTGAGTTCACTTCAGGTCATCAGGAGCAAAGAAATCCAGATCGTCTTCTCCGAGGTTGCGAGATCCTCCACAAGCGGATCTACGGCGTTGTCCCATTTCTTCACCGTCCTTGAGAGATGTGATTACGACAAACTTGAGTCCCTTAGTCTACATGGAACCTTGGGACCGGAATACACACTACCGGGCGTCTTCACGTCATTGCATGCATGTCGTCATTTAACTCAACTAGTCATCGAGAGGGTCTGCTACATTTCCATGTCTGACGAGGAGCTCTGCCAGCTGGTGAGCGCCTGGCCCAAGCTCAAAGTCCTCAGAATCATCTGCTATGTCACCACCAATAAAACCACAGTACCTACATTCCATGGGCTAATCGGGTTACTTCGACTCTGTCCCGCTTTGAATTCACTCGCTCTTGTCATCGATACCACCACCAAGTTGAGCGGCATAGATCTCCAGTGCCCCGGCGGTGGAAGTCGCAATAAGCATATCAAATCCCTAGACCTCGGAAATTCACCCATCAATTCTCCGCTCAATGTAGCTTTGATCCTGAGCGGCCTTTTCCCCTGTCTCAAGCAGGTCAATCATGCTTATGGGCAGTATTCAATGCCCCAGAGGAAGCTGGTGAAGGAGCAATGGGACTTGGTGAACAGCATTCTTGGTGGCTTCAGAATTGTAAGGAGGCGGGGCATTAAAGCATGATCGTCTGACTGCTTGGCTACGCTTTGAAGCATCACCTTCACTTTTGACGAATGTACGCAGTGCTTACGATATGTGTGGCTGCCCTTAGACCGTCATACTTTCGTCATATAATGCAATGGGCTCACATACTTAGTGTTTCTTACTCATGTTATCAATACTTACGAACTTGATGGCCACATGTCCGGGCGATGCAACTTGTCAACGTATCTCATATTTGTGTTCTCCGATACATCAAATCTACATTCAACGGATATTAGTAGAGTACGGGTGCAGTCATGGTACCAACGGAATGCCTCGGAATGCTCGTGCATTTGAAGCGACTATAAAAACCAACTACAACAGCAAGATGACAAAAACAACATCTCTCTCTACACACCCTCTCCAGCAAAACAGCAAAATCGACACCTCTACATTCAAGCAAGTCATACGAACTCTGAGGATCCGAGCGCTTTGAACCTCACTACGAGGACAGTGACATTGTCGTTGGTCTGTCGTTCAAGCGCATGCTTCACGAGCGTCTCTGCGGCTGCTTGTGCATCCGAAATATGCCGCACGAGGTCGATCGCCCCTTGATCACCCGTGATATCCCACAGCTGCAAGGTCACACGACGATAAATACTAGCGAATTCGGCAGCAAACGGGCTACTTACCCCATCACACGCGAGGATCACGAACTCGTCGTCGCTTCCTAGCTCAGTTTCGGTCGTGTACGGGCTGCCCACGACATATTCTTTCATACTACTATCTCCAAGACTCCGCGTGACGGCTAAAACGCCGTTCACGCGCCCGCTCATGACGAATCCACCAGCGTCGGTGATACGTTTTGCCTCCTGCTTATCGCTTCCCTTGTGGTCGTAAGTGAGGCGCACTGCGCGGCCCGCACGGCAGAGTACACCACGAGCGTCACCCGCGTTGGCGGTATAAAGCACGCGCCGCGAGCTTTGTGGCGGATTGATCGGAAGCGTGTGGGTTTCTGTCGAAGCCGGAGGGGTGGGGCTACGTATGGCAGGGAGTGCAGTAGGGGAAGAGGTTAAGGTTGGCGAAGAGCCGCTCAGGGATTTAAGCGCCCTTGCAAAACGGGAAGCCGAAGCAGGGGACTTGCTCTTTGCCTTTTTGCACATCTCCTTGGAATCCTCTGTGGGTTCAGTGGGAGACTCGCTGCCACTGCGACTCCCGCTTTCGGTAGGGGAGGGCGGAGAAAGTGGAGGCGTGGGGAGGAAGGATTGCCGCCCATCTGCATCCTCAATGCGAAGGAAGGCGGTTACGACTGTGCATCCTGAGTGGATCTTACCATCGGATTCTTCGCTGAGGCGAGAAATGCGTTTGTCAACGCTGTGGAAGGTCTCATTTAAAACAGTCCTGGAATAGTGGCACTGGAAGAAGTGCGGAGTGCATCGAGGAGGTACTGTGCATGATCACGCGTTTAAATTAGCACGATGACATATTGGGTACACGAACCTCGTGGAAATGCGCGCCACACCACTCCGCTGCGTGTTTTCCTGCATGACCATCGAAAATAGCGAAGAATCCCTGCCCTCGCACGCCAGCATAGTCAACAACAAAGGAATGGGCATCTTCCATATAGCGTCGTGTGCCCACGTCTTCGGAGATACCAACCTGGTAGGCAGCGTTTCCTGTAGAGTGCTGATTCAAGATCTACGTGTGCAGATGAGTCACCCTGTCTACTACAGCCACTGAATGGGTGGTACGCACACCAAAGGTGTCGATGCCATCGGCAGTTGTGATTGATTTTGAGCGCGCATTTGGAGATTCGGTGAAACGGAGGCTCATGGGGTTCGTGTTGCGCGTTAGTTGAAAGATCTTATCGAGGATAAGCACAAAGTGGTGTCAAGCTGAAATGATTACATACGTTGGGGCGAGCAGGAAGCGATGTCGCGGCTGCTTTACGTCACGAACATTTCATAAACGTCAATACTGTTAAAAACTAACTTTGACAACGAATGCGACTCACCGACCTCGAGATGGCCCTTGGACTATTTTATGGAAAAAAATAAGTGAAGAAGAAAACTAGTACAGCTGTTGTTGGTTGCAATGAGCTACTGCTGTCTACATACGTCCTAGACTCCTCACGTGCCACAGCTTGCCAGGTACTACGTTCGACTCAGACAGCAAGATAAGTGCCTCGATTATTGCCATGACTATGATATGGTTGTGGATGCGCATATTCTAGACATCGATAATGACTACGCCATCACGATTAAGCTTCATATTCCGTTGTAAGTTTAACGTTCCCTGAGTTCGCGAGAGGACGAAGTCGCATCCAAGAACTATAACATGTGATTGGACTGGTGGCCCAAGGTCATCGCCAACCTAGTTGAAGGGTGAATCAGATGTTGTTTCGATGTCAATCTCTACTGTCTCACTCGTAGTTCCTACATACTATAAGAGTTTTTGTAGTGCAAGAAATCGATAGCCTAATGATCATCTAGATCAGTCGGATATCTCCGAATAAGCCTTACTTGAAGTTGTTGGATCCTGTTGTGGTGTTAGAAACTGCAGCTGAGCACCAGTTCATCGTCTGATCCACGCTCTCGACATCGCTCGCAGACTGTGGATGTCTCAGCAATCAGCAGTTCCAAAGCCTTCACTCCAAGGAGTCCGCATAAAAGCACGCAAAGGCCAAGTCAAAGCACACGCAAAGCACGAGCCAGCCAGTGAGACCAGCCAGTTCCGATCAATCCCTATAATGCAACTAATGACGACCTCTAGTCTTTAGAGACCAGCTCTATAAACATCTTGAAACAGTTCCAGAAAACGACTTTGACGGATTCAGCGCTAAACTTGTTCAGGCTGGCGGTACGCTCGAATATCTTAAATATGCCGACGCCCTGTTCGAGATCCTCCTCGTGGGCGGGCTCATCCAGCCAGGTGGGTCATATCTTGATGATGGCGCGCCCATGTCGCCATTCTCCATTTTCAACGCACGCAACCCGCCCGACCTCGTGGAGTTGAAGAAGTATGTTGATGTGTTCAACAAATTGAATAGAAGGTACATGCGATTGTGCTTCCGCGTAATATATCGTATATGCGATGCTCATTCTGGATGTAGGTTCAAATATCTTCAGAAACCCTTCGAGGAGCAGAGTCTCCCCACTCTGCCTGCAGTATATCGGCCGCTGGTCATCTGAACAGCGTGACAAGCTTGCCATGACAATTGGTCTTCTCCTTTCGCAGGGCCTCGTGACCGCAGCTTGTCTCCAGAGTCTAACCAAGGATCACCTCGTCAAGAACGGTAAGCTCACGCGCTATCTCATTGACCGAAAAATCTCATTGGGTACCCACAGATCAATCCATCGACATCCTTGCGCATGTCTTTCGCGCATATCTCACCGACCAGTCGATCGACCATCTTGCTGCGACGCTCAAGCGCGGCAATATCAAAGATCTACTCCTCTTCTTCCCTACCAACAAGAGGGACCCCAAGGTTCTTGATGCATTCTTCCGGGAGAAAAACCTCCCTACTGTTGCCGACTGGTACATGAAGAAGCAATATGCGATCGCGAAAGATGCAATCATGAATGAACTAAGGGAAGTGGTAGAACGCAGCGATGACAGCGAGTCTGTGCGTATTTTACGTCTGTATCGCCTTTTCTGAGTCACAGAACTCATGATTCACACAGATCATATCCGCAATCCAGACTAAACTGGAGGAGCAGCAACTCCCTGAGACGGAGCTTATCCAGAGCATCTGGCAGGGTCTCATGGCCTCCGTAGACTGGAGTGCACGCCCAGACCAGATCGAAGGCCTCGCACTACGTGAGGTCGGGGTAAGTGACCCGATTGTCCTATCATCGAACCTCACCTTGATACCATTTTCGTCTGTAGAAATTCGCCCCGGTTCTTGTGGCCTTCTGTAAAGGCCCTAAAACCGAGGTCGCATTGATCAATATCGTACAGGTCTACTGTTATGACTGATACACGTGTGATGAAAGCCTTCCCACAGATCCTGAAGGTGTGTTTTATGTCTTACTTCTTTTGTTTGTTCGTCACCGGTCCTGTGGGATGTGATGTTGCGGCCGCAGTGTCGACCTATTTGGCGACATACATCAGATCCTTATATCCCACCCCTTTTCCAAGTCTGTCTAGATACGAACGTAATATATGTGTAACTTACCGAGTTGCACAGGTCTTATACAATAAGGACTGCGTGTCTGATCAGGCGATCATCTACTGGTACCAAAAGGGGTCTAAGCCACAAGGAAGACAACACTTCCTGAAGGCTACCGAGGCGCTGGTCAAGGTCTGTGACAGTTGCCCCTTTCATCATATCACGCACCAATCTCATCTCATTATTTCACAGTTCCTTCAGGAGCAGGAAGAAAGCGAAGAGGAAGAGGACGAAGAGTAACTTATGGGCTGACAGATTCTCGAACTAGATGTCTATTACCGTGTTGTTACAGTCGTTCATCTTTTATCCCTGTATGTGCCATAGGACAATTCGCATTTGCAATGTATGTTTGTTCAGCATGTGATACAAATTAGATTCGTAGGATACCATTATCGATACCGATTCACAAAACAAGTATGACCGGATTCACAAACAAGTAAAGCGAGCAGTCAGGACAAGCGTAGACATAGAATATCAGACGCAAATAATCATGCATATTACCAGCCCTCAGCTCAGCAAGCGGGAACGTTGTTGCCATATGTACAGTCGCACCCTCACCAAGCCCCCGGCATCGGCGCAAAGTCTCCGCTCCAGCCATGCATACCATTGACATCCATGAAAATGCCATCGCTGCCGTTCACCGGTAACCCCAGGTCCGTCAGGTTCTTCTCTTGCAACCACATAGGTATCGCGCTCGGACTGAACTTCGCACGGTCACTCGGCCATGCGAAACCTAGCTCCTCCATTGTGAAAGGCGCAGACATCCCCGACGAATCAATGTAAGGCCCTGGACCTTGGGTAATTATTCCATCACCCAAGTTCGGTGGGGGCATGGTGGTCATAGGCGCGCCCAGCCCTGCCATCATTCCGACTTTGCGCCGGAGGTTGGCGAGCATTATCCGCAGCGTTAGCGCATAACTAGAAGGGAAGATCAGTTGGAAAAATGAAAACAAGCGAGGGAACGTACCGTTCGGCTGCAACATCAGAGAGAAGTTGTGCAAGCTGCTCGACTTGCGCTGTGATCGCTGCAAGATCAAGCTCAGCAGGGAATAAATTGGCCATCTTGAGCAGGAAGAGGCCAGAAAATGCCGCCGTTACGAGACTGTCGTGAACTGCATATCTCAAGGCCGCTCTGTCACCATCATGGTTATTATTCAAGCGAAGCAACGAGGGACGATCGAAACGGAAACTCACCGGTACTCAGCTGAGTTGAGAAAAATAGAGAGGCAGTTGAAAGCGGCATCCTTCGCCTGGAACGCGAGCTCACGCTGCTCAAAAGGCATCTTGTCCCACGATACACCTCGAAGAGCTACGCAGACAAGCCAGAGTTTAGCATAGTGCAGTTCCCCGACGAGTATTTTGCGTGGAAGAGAGTTCTCATCCATTGTTTGGCCTGCATGTGTGATCAGAAAGGTAGAGAGGACCAGATCAACTACGTACGATGAAGATTATCACAGTCCTGCCACCACTTGTCAAGAGCAACATTGGCACGTCGGATGAAGGCGAGCGTGTTGTGATTGACCTGCCCATTGAGAGGCGCAAGGGTTTCGTAGATTTGAGCTGCAGATAACGAATGAGGTACCAAGATCTCATCGTGGAATTTTCCTTACTTTTTTGAGCGATCAGCTCCACTTGCGAGATTAGCCTTACATCTGTCGGTGATGCCATCGGGTGCGATAGAAGAATGCGACAGTGTCGGATGGAACTCTCGTCTCGCAGCACGATAGGGCGACCGGTGCCAAGGCTCATCCTGGAAAGGATTGTTGAGACACAATTAAGGGTGAAAATTCTTGAACCTACTGGTGATCAAACCAGTACAGGCATAGCCAGATACGCGCCGACACAACTGGGAGGGCAGTTAGTTCTCGACAATAAGTGTCCAACTTGTTATTCTTATGCATACCCAGATCACGCTCCTCTTCCTCATTGCGTTTTTTGCCTGAATCATCAGCGAGCTTCTCCAATGCTCGATGAAGACCAAGATCCAACGCCATCCGCATTGCGTGGCCACTAGGGAGCCATCCGTTTGTACTCCATGCAGCCAAAAGTAGCATCCCTACGACACTGGTTAAACGTGATACAGAAAAAACATTTCAGGCGGAAACCCTCACCCATAACAGCTTCCTTCCGAACTATCGGGCCAAATAACGACGAACGTGCAATGCCCTGCGCTTCTTCCAGACATTTGTAGAACGTTGAGCTGAGCGGCCCATTTCCACTCCTGATTTTGCTTGCAATGGCAAGTAGCGCGTCAAATGTCCATGGAGTGCGCTCCATAAGACTCTCGAATGTGTCATAATTTGGATCAAACAAGGGTATGAAGATATGACACCCAGCAAAGAAACTTAGACGAGAATCAGAATGGAGCTGAAGACCAGATCCACGAAATACTTACATATGATAGAGCTCGCGCGCCTCACTTTCGGAGACAAGGCCCTAGACCACAGCATCACGCCTCTGCAGAAGTTCGGCAGTACGAGGTCAGCTCACCTTTTCAATGACGTGTGGGAAAGCATTCCGAGGTATGGGCTCCACCCGCGGGCGCTTTTTAACTCTGATGTCTTAGTGGTCAGCACACTCGTGGAGCCTAAAAATATGAAACAACTACCTTGGTGGTGATGCCGATGGCGCAGCGGCTGCTTCTGCAGCGGCATTTGCCAAACCTTGGAGAGCTTCAATGGGCGCGTTGAGCGAGGCACGAGGCAGCGTTTCCTCAGACTCATCATCTGAGGATGGTGTGGTGCTGGGCACAATGCCATAAGTCGCATATTTATGGGGCTAAAATTTTATCAGGTATGTATATAGATTGATGTCGCGGAGCGAACCAACCGGTGGAGCAAATCCTGGAAGTGGCGGGAATGATCTTGTTTGGGAGCGTGGCTGAGAACTTTGCCCTCCCATATGTCCATGCGTATCATACCCGTTACGCGACACAAATGCAGAGCCGTCGCGACTAGGCCCGGAAGCCATGCCCCCAGAGTAACCTTGGTGCTGAGTACCATAGGTCTGACTCTGTACAGCGGACAAAATGCGGTCCAGAGAGGATTGCATGCCAATCATTTGGCTTTGCATCACCTGAAGTGCGACATCATCAGATAATCTCAACGCATACATACCCGTTGAATATTTACCAAATATTGACCCTCGAGACGAGACAAGCGCCTGTTGAGCAGTATAAATGATGGGAATAGCTTGCACGATAATGGCTGAAGCTTACTCAACACTGGCGCCAGGCATGGCAATAGAGTTTTTCTTCTCTGGTTTCTCGAAAACACATGCAGTACCGCTCAACTGACATCGACGACAAGGAGCCTAAGAATGTGACGCCGGGCCGGGGCGGGAGAGGCGGGCCAGTGAGCAAGACCGGGGATCGCAAGCGGGTCTTGAATAGACATACCTCTCCTTCACATCTGTTTTTACCTTTCCTGCAAGCGGTACAGGCTCTTGCGCCTCTCTTGGGTATGTGGGCGGTAGTTTGCGGCGGATGGGACGAATGGACTGTGTCTCCAGGGGATTGGCTCATATCTTGATGGCTACTGTTGCTATTTTGTGCGATAAGACTGTGTGTTCTACGTCTTTTGGATGGGACGTCAGATACGTTTGAAGTTGTTGCAGATGGGGACAAGGACATGATGGGTGGCCGTAAAGCGCGCGCGGTATTTCGTCACTACCAAAGGAAGTGTACCGCTATAGTCTCCGCTAGTCTCCGCTAATGTCTTCTTACGCGACTCAACGCATCACTTGATCTCTTGTCACTTCATCGTTTCATGAATCATATGTCTTATGGTTTACCTCTCTCACACTCCTGTACTAGTGTTCGATGATATCGCCAATGTCAACCTTCTCTTTGACAGATCAGTCACATCGTGCGCACTGCAGGGCTACCGAACTATTTATATCCATTTTTCGAGTGCTTCATTGATAGTCTATATCTAAGTCAAACTAGGCTTCCTGGAGCTCGTGACTTTTTCGACTTCTTCTTTCATGGGGGAGATGAGACATTTTCCCAGACGAACTGCAAGAATGACGCTGTCCTTGACCATACATAGCCGGATTCAAAAATATCAGCCCCCAACCTTGCACCGTGAAATTTGATTCCTGTGCGTAGGTGTTTGTACCCTGTCGTCATCACCGCACCTCATTGCGCAAACTCGATCAGCATGTGTTGATCAAATGTCATCAGCCCACAAAGAGTTTTCATATTATCAGTAGGCTTATCATGGTGTAACCTTGTTGAAAGGATACCGGAGTCAGCCGCCATGATGATATTGCCTGTTCGATGTTGAATGCACATACCTGAGGCTCTCGGATCTGTGATATATCGAACTCTTCCTTGCCGGTTCCGATATGGGCCATTAGCTTCCCGCGAACGCCTGACCCTGCGTGGCGAATGCGTTCAATGAAAAGGTATAACGTTAGTTTGAAAGGTACTTATGACGTCTCGAGACTTGCTGTAAGTAAGAATGTTCGAAACGTCAGTGTTTTGTAAGCAATCACCTGCAGGCACCATTCTGTGAAGGCTGCCTAGGGGCGTAAGATTGCGCTTAGTATACCTAACCGAAATTATTGGACACACGCTTGGGCAAGGAGATGCGGATTTCAATCCAAACGAGCGACGAAGGAGCCTTGTCATTTGTCGAGAAAACGACAGTCGGCACGTTTAGACGCAAGGATGCCAAAACAAACGCCACAGAACAAGTTGGGTGCCTTCTCAATGCTGTAGTGCACGATACCGAAGGAAAATCCATTTTTTTTTTTGATTTTGTGCAGGGTGAGCAACTGCGACTGTGCGCCGATATTCATGATGGAAAACACACTCCGTCGGAAACTCATGCAAGTTTTGTCCGGAGTTGATCGCAAAGTATATCGTTCCCCTTCAGGTCGTTCTCGTTATCTCCACTGTCATTTCCCTCGGAACCAAGGACGGACCGGGGACCAGGAAACTCTGGAACAGTCGGGTCTTCAGGAATGAAAGAACTCGGCGTTGTCTCCTCAAGAAGAGTGACACTGAGAATAGTATGGCAGCTGCCGGGATAATAAGAACATTGCCTAGCGACCAGCAAAACCACGTCCGTAGAGATCGATGTGAACGCAACCAGGTGATGGATGGACATTTGTGGATAACTCGCGAACGTTTGGAGGACTTGTGGTGGAGCATCCTTCCCTTGAATTTGTCCTGTTGCAAACGTGAGTATGGCGCAATCCTCGCTCATGTCGCAGAACTGTGCGTCGTGCCGAGGCACGGGATCAAACATAAGTGATTCGTCGGATTTAAACCCATGTAGCGCCTCCCACCCCCTACCCCTGTCGAAAGATAAGTTAGCTTGCAACTGATATGAAGTGGGTTCAAAAACAGTTTCTCCTAACGTCCCGTATACGTTGGCAACAGCTGCTGAGGCCCCAAGGATGACCTGAAAAAGCTTGGTCCTCTCTCGCACCGATGACAAATTGAGTCACAGTGATCAGTCCAATTTGCACTCACATCCGTTGCTCCAAACAGACGAATTCGAAAGAATGGTTGTTCGTTCCATAGTTTGAATCATCGATGGTCAAAAAATGATGTGGCGTCGCTCACTGTTTGCGTGGCACTCCAAGCTCCAAGCCTGCTATTCTGAATCTCCCAACCAACTCCCAACAGGGTTCTCTCAACGTGGTGCAAGCGGCTCGCCGATATAGATGCACGTTCCAAAGAATCGCTCTTCTGGCTCTGAGCTTGGAAGACCGGTCCACCCTCCGCTGCTAATTATGTTTTATGTCGTGGACATGCCTGACACATGCTGCAAATGTGTACGCTCGATTTGGACAACAAGCGACGCCCTCGAATGCGGACATTGCGCTGTTATTCGAGAATGAGCTCAAGCCTGACCGGGCCCCACGGATAAGAAGTGTCGTGTTGACAGCGGCCTTGAAGGAAAGACGTGAGATGCTCTCCTTATATGAGTCTGCAATGGGGAAGGCACTTCAATAACAGTACTAGCCGGTCAATCTTATCTTAATGGCGGTGGCGTTGCCAACGGTACGAGACCACTAATATCATGCTCCTACCGCCACAGGTACAAAGAAGATAAAGAGGAAGTGCGCAGTCTGAGAAGAGTAAGTAATCCTACTTAGTTATAGTTGCGATAGGTCGCGATATATTCAATATAGGGTTGATGGAAGACACTAATCAAGTGAATGGGCATTGAGCCCGTCCCTGACTATGAGTAGAGGGCGGTGTCGCTCAGCTCGTTGACAAGGTCATTGAGCGCTAGCACTAGTCCAACGGAATATGCCGTTTCCGGTCTTTTCCACCAATGAGAGAGCTTGGCGAGCTGGAGAAAGCTCACGCGTGAACGTAAAGTAGAGCCTTTGTGTGACCGATAACAAGAAGTTCAAGAGCTCGTTTTGCCGCTTCTTCGTCTCCGCCACGGTGTAATCAAGCTGGATATGCCTCATCAAGTCCGGTGTCATTTGGTGATTGGGTAATTTGGCTACCCGGTGCCTGCATGCGGTTTGATTTTGTCGACTATAAAATGCATGTTTTCTCAATGCTGAGAACTACTGACCGCATTGCGTGAGCTTCCATCAAGACGACCAGGAGAGACAATGTAAGTGACCTGCTTTGCGTATGTGCTGTCTGATGAGTCAAATTGGTGAATTACTAGGATTACAACACAAGCATACGCTGCTATGACGCAAGAGCTTGCGAAACTCACGCGGGAGGCAGATCGGCGACCAATATTGTGCCACATCATGGATGCACACTGGCAAGCGCTGCGTCTCAACCAAACCCTAATGACGTACGGCGTATCGTATATCTCCTTTGTCCCGAACGAGCTCCTCGAGATGATATTTGTAGAGACAGTCAGAGCGACCACTGGAGCAGATGAAAACCACTCTTCCTGCGGGCCCACTAATCTACGTCTCCGTCCCAGGCCTGAGCTTCTGCTTGCGAGTGTTTCACAGCATTGGAGAGCTGTGGCGCTCGGGATGCCTTTACTATGGACGGAGATCCGACTTGTCCTCGGGCAGAATGTAGATCTTGTCGAACTTTACTTGATGCGCTCACAAGGACAGCTACTTGACATGCGATTCACCGGCGTTGGTTGTAATCCTCACAGTCGGGGCTCACCTGAGCTTGACTCAGATTACTTGCGCATATCAAACATTATTCTTTCTCGTATTCATATTTGTCGCCGCTTGGAAGTTCACGGGGATTTCCCTTTCCCAAAACTTCTAGACGGGATTAGGCGCACAAAGGCACCAATGCTTGAAGAACTTATTGTGCACTATCCGCCTAACATCCCGAATAGCAGACATCTCTTGTCTACTGAAGGTCTGCCTTCGTTCAACTTACTAGGAAATTTCTCATTAATTTCTCCAGACATGTTCGTCTCTGCAGACCGCCTTACAGTGCTCACTTTAAGTGGCTTGTGGGTTTCTGGTCTTTCCCCCGATAATTTCAGCAACCTGCTCTCTCGTCTCACGTCACTGACTCATCTGACGCTGATCGGTGAACCTGTTGATTATGTTCGCAACAGGGATCTCCCAGTCGTCGAAATACCTTTGCTCCAGACATTGGTCCTAAAACCCGGACCAACTATTTCGAGGCCATACCTCCCTACCGTATTCCGGACAATACGTGCCCCCGTACTACGCGAACTGGTGTTGGATTTTCACAGCTCGACCTCACTACGTGACATCCAATCACTCGTGGACAAGCTGAAGCGTGGCGCACCACCCTTCCCCTCTGTACGCCACCTTACATTGCATAGCAAGACCATGGCACACGACGGGTGGTTTGCACTTGCCCGCGCATTCTCAGGCATAACGACACTCTCGGTCTCTAACTGTATCGTGAACCAGTTAATGGGCTTCCTCACATGTGCGGGGAGACGAGATGCATTCCCGAATTTGCGGACACTTTTGTTTGATGACGTGCAGTTTGAGTGGTTGTTACTGCTCCAACTATTGCAGATCAGGGAGAAGGCGGGGATGCCTGTTCGAGAGGTTAAGATGAAAGGCTTCAGGAAATATGCACAGTCTGAACCATTTGGGAAATTGGTGGATTCTCTTGCTAAATATGCTCCAGTTATGATTGGATGGACTTGATTGCGGAGTACGTAGGCTGTGTACGCAGTACTGTAGTTCAGATTTATATGCATTTTCATTCTCGCGTTCTGATCAAGTGACCAAAAATCAGAAGTTTAGTAGTGTTTGTATTCGTGGCGGTGTTGAATATAGTCTACGTGTCCTGCGTACGTGTTCTTTTTCTTCATGGCCACGTTGTTCCGCGCTTGAGAATATGCGCAGTTTTGCAGTTCACTGGATTCTCCTCTAATAATCGTTATTATTCATTGACTTTAGCAAGTAACTCTAGTACCCCAGGACCAGTCTAGCACCTTTCGCCAAGCCCAATACGTTTAAGACTGTATACGTGCTACCATGTCACCATCAAGTTTCGTCAACCCATCCAATCTTTCTCTTCCCTCTTCTTCCTCCCTCAAACGACCTGCATCTCCTTCATCCTCTCGTTCAGAGTCTCCCGATGCACCCATAGAGCAACCTCCACGTAAGCGCCCTCGCTCAGCTGTAACCCCAGAAGAGCGCAAAGAGGCCCGTGCACACCGCAATCGCATTGCGGCACAAAACTCCCGCGACCGCAGAAAGGCACAATTTTCCCTTCTCGAGCGCAGAGTCGAGGAACTTGAGGAGGAGAACAGGCGCCTCCGCGCTGGCGTTCCAATGACCGGCTCTGCTTCACCCTCGGTTAGCTCCATCTCAGCGCCTGAGGTCGTCACCATTGAGCAGGAGCAAGAGCGCCAGCGGAAACGTGCGGAAGAACAAAGGGAACGTGAAAACGTAGAGCTGCGCGAGCGTATCCGAACGCTCGAGATGGGGTATGAGGCAGTGTTGCGGGCGCTGGCAACCCAAGGCGCCAGCTCGCCTGTGCTCGCCAGTATATCTACTCCTCCAGAGACTTCCAGCTCTACTCCAATTCTCTCATCCGCTTTCACACTATCACCTGCGTCAACAACATCTCCTTCAGCAGGAGACTCGATATCTCCCGCCCCTTCATCACCTAAATCCACGACACTTGCAACCCTTTCTTATCCGCTTTCTCCTGCACCCACACATTCCACGCTCGTAGACAGCCCCATAATGTTTTCGGGCGATTCATTCGACTTCCCACTCAGCCCCGCATTTTCACTCTCGGATCTTACGCCATCTGACTCACCAGCACCTATCGACGCACCACAGGAAACTCTCGACATCTCTTCAACTAGCCTTGCTCCCACTCGCCACCTAGCACGGGTGGCGACCACTACCGTTCACACGGCAGTGTCCCTGCAGCGGGTGGGCAGCATTCGTCTAGTCACGGGACCGGCGAGAGCAACCAGATGTGCCACGGTGCCACGATCGAGGTCAGTCACCTACAAGTCTTGAACATATAAACAAACTTATGCTGTGTTATTTTAGCCTGAAGACGAGGCAGCTACAGACGCAGCCCTTACGCGCCTGTTCGCCGAGATTCTCGCATCGCCGCCGACTGGTACTTGCGCTCTTCCAGGCACTGGCCCATCGGCAGAAGACGCGACCAGCACGGAGGTGCTGAGTGAGACCTCTCCCACAGAGGAGCTCGGCTTAGGGCTGGTCACGAGTGGGATCGACACAGCTGACTGGGCGGAACAAGTTCGTGTAGAGATGGGGATAGAAAGGCTGCTGGAGATGCTGCCGAGTATGCAGGACGCCGCTATTGACTCGAGCGTTACCCTCGATGTTGATATGGACTTCTCGAATGCGCTGGTCTGGGACGAGGTCAGCGCATATTAATATGCTGAGCCTCTCTAGACCTCGAGTTATTAAGCGCTCAACGAAAATCATCGGTCTCCGCGACTCGGTTCTGTTATATGTATCGTCATTATCGCCTTTCGCATCCATCTCATCACTCATCGGACTCGCCATCATCATATTCGTTCTCAGTAGAAGCTGTCTATGTGTTCTATCTATCTCCTACTCTATCTTGCTTTATTTCGGTCTCCTCCTGGTCTCCTCTGGTCTCCATTTTTTATTTGGCATCAATCCCTTTTGTTACCCGTCCACCCTTACCTATACCTACGCACCTACATCCGACCCCCTTCTATTCCGCCCCTCTCCCCCGCAAGTTCCTATCTGTCTCCGGCTCCTCTTCCTCGATGCTGTCTCCCGCCACATGTCTCTCTCGTTTCTCCCCTAAGGGGTTGATGAAATAGAGTGAGCTTGTGTGTGGTGAGCGCTTGAGCGTAGTTGTGGTTCGAGTTTTTGGCTGCTTGTGTGGGATTGGGTTTCTCCCTCCCTTTCTGTCGGGTGTCAGGTTTCTACTCTGTAGTTTGTAGCGTATGTGGTCGCGATGAATGCAAACCGATGTTTGATGTTTCTGTTGTTGAGTGAGAATGTCCAACACTTGAGTCAACGAAAAGAGGGCCATGATGATACTTTGGAAATCTTTCATTTTCCTGAGGCAGAGTTGACGAGCTCCTACCAGATCGCCAAGTTGTCCTCGGTTCTAACCGGCCACGTAGAATCGACGTAGAATTATAATTCGTCTCATTTCGAAGCAATTGAGTAGGGACTAGTCCCGTATGCAATAATGATATATCCTGATTGAAATCCATCCACGCTATTGAACAAGTTCTTGCATGCTCTTTCATAATTGAGGTTGCCACGATTCATGTATTTCACTTCCGATAATACGGAATGCACCTATGTACATTACACGGTACCTGCCAGGACCCACTGCCAGCAGCAGCCATAGTAATCCCCCGCCAGATGAATGCAAGGTCATACCGACTCGTATACGAGGCGGGTTCACTCACCAGTGGCTCTCGCATCGTAAACTCGTCTGAACGACAGCTCATTCTGACTTCTATGTGACTTGGGGAGTGGGGAAGGGGAACCAACAAATGGTACGTAGTTGGGCCAACTAGTAGCAATCGGAGTTCGAACTCGAACTCCGTGATGGTGAATTGCACTACCCACGAAAGCAAGGTCCGGTAACGCCAGCTTTAGCACTGGCCAGACCCCCCTATCACTTGCATGTGCAGTCGGGAATTCTTGGGTCCTTGGCACATTAATGGAAGCTCGGTTCATGAGAAAGCCGGTTCTGAGCATACCGAGGCAGAGCCTCTGATTGCAGGATGAAAACAGGCTAAGTACCAGCAAAAAATGGTGCATGAACAGTGCTACCTCTCACTTATATATTACATGTACGACTCTATGTCAAATGAGTGTTGCACCAAGTTAGAGAGGGAGGGGGGGGGAGCAAGGAGATCAGGATCAAGAACACAAGGGAACGTTCGTCCGCCAGCTAGCGCTATTCGTTCTCATATACGGGTCATGCTGTTGTACTATTTCATTGACACCTCGCAGCGTACTGATATCGGGAGACACTATGATTTGCTGTAGTAATGTCAAATAATACCATTGTGCCGTTTAACCTCCCCTGCAAATCCGCAGATACGAGATCAGACATTTCTCGATTCTACAGTTTTCCTGTCCTCGATGCAGGCTCACAAGCTCACTTAATTTACATAAGATGTCGACACAATGACAATGTCGAGATATACATGATGAATGAAACATGACCTGGGTCAGCTAGAAATTACTATGCCGTCGAAAGCGTGTTGACGGGCAGACCAAGCTCCCGACAAATGCCCTCCATACGTTCTCGCTCCCTGACAGTAGCGTTATCGCCAAAGGCAGCGTCCATCTCTTCTAAGGTCTGTACCACGTCGTCAGCCATGTTCGACGGGCATCTGTACGTAGAGAGCTTACCCGACCCTTGGTCTCTGGGAAGAAAAACTCTGGAAAACGAGCTAAGCATTCTTCTCGACACGATTTAGCGAATTGACGTACTAGCGGAGAGTAACGCTATTAGAGCAGTTCCGGCATATATATAGTACGTCACTCCACCCGCACGGGCCAACATCCCCGGCGCAAAGAGTCCAACAAAACTGAGGTGTATCAATACCAGAAATAGAAGAAGATATAAGGTCACGCACAAGTTCGATATCCACGTGGTCGATGTGGTGATGGAGATACCAGTGGATCGGAGGTGCAACGGGAAGATCTCACTGGGAAGAACTGGCGAAGATTTTAGATTCCTTGAAGGAGGTGAAACGAGCCACTCACCCCATCCGATCGGAGCCCACGAGTAAGCGAAGTTAACATCGTAGAGGAACACGAAGACTATAAGACAGTTTGGCATGCACTATATATCATGATTACAGTGCGCCTACCAATGGCAGTGCGAGCCGCTACTGCATGTGCTGACCAGTCCTTGCCATATGCGGTGACAAGAGAACCCACGATTGCCAAACAAATGAAACATCCAGCAGCACCAGACATTAACAAAGGGCGCCTGCCCACACTATCGAGGAGGATGATGGCAGGTAGAGTAGCGACCATCTGGAGCAATTTAGGAGACATGCATGAACCTACAGATAATTTGACTCACGTTAACAATTCCAAATATACCAGTGGCGAACAGGGAGGTAGTGTTCGGGTCGAGGCCAAGTTGGCCGAAAACTACGGAAGGGAGTCAACTCTCTGAACTCAATAATTGGGATCGTTCGTGTCACTCACTCGTGGGCGCATAATAAATGATAGCCTAAAGAGAAGTAAGCGACGTTAGTCTTAGAAGGATGAACCACGACTTACGTTTATCCCCTAGCAAACCACAACATATCACTACATGAGAAAAGAGTGTAGTTTGAAAACCCACCATATTTTGCTGGTAGACCATAGTAAGGCAACCAACAATTAAACGCTTGAACTTTGGCCGGCTAGACACCAATGCCCGGTAGTTATTGATCGACTGCCCGAATGGCCCCGCATTAGGATATGCGGCCTTCGTGACTTCTCTCGTAAAACGAACTTCAGCCATAATCTCCAGATATTCGAACCGAACCGAACTATTTTCAGCGGGCTTCCGGCGAAGACGCGACAGCGTCTGCAGAGCCTCCTCCTCGCGGCCCTGCTCCACGAGCCAACGTGGCGAGTATGGCATGAAGAGCATGCCAACGCCAAGACACTGCACATCCATAGGCATGAGCAGGAGGAGAAAAATTGGTAGCAGACACACCAAAGCAGGGAGTAGTTGGAATCCAACCGGAATTCTCCATGACGCTTGAGACTGACCAGTGCAGCCCCCAGGAGGAACATCCTTGTAAGGATCAAACGTAGGCCTGCCGTTCAAAAGCGCTCCAGTGTATGGTATTTCTGGGGCGCATCGGGTTCCCCCGATATGTGACGTGCCATACGCGATCCAGTCTTCAAAGAATGAGCGTGTACGAATGTGTGAAAGCAGACTTCTGCGCACAGCTTACAAGAATCTACATTATGTGGCGTCAGACGCATAACCTCAGTACTGGCTGTTTCACTCACACCAAATGTGATAGCGAGTTGCTGCAGAGAAACTAAAGATCCACGGATTTTGGCACTGGATATTTCAGCAATATACATCGGGACGACGTGTGTCAGAGCACCGATTGCCAGACCAGCAACGGCACGACCGGCGAAGAGGTAAACTAGCAAAAGGATCTTCAGTAAAGCTAGAAAATGTGATTGGGATAGAACTTACTGGGAGACGTGGCACCTGTTTGGAGTGCACTACCGAGAAGAAAGATCACAACGTTGCACATTATGTCTCTCTTTCGCCCGATCTGGGTCATAGTCAATCACATTTTTTCCTATCTCGCCAAATAACAGATCTCACTTTATCACATACGGGACCATTCACAATGGATCCGAAACACGCAGCTGCGGATGTGGATTAGTTAACGGATGATTGCAGCGTACCACGTTGACTTACAGAGCAAAAGTGTGGAGACAAACCAGCCCTAAAAGTATATTTACTCTGACAGGTCGAAATCGCCTGAAATGTTGTTCTTACCTTCAACGCTGGATTCATGTAGATCGATGGGAATTCGGCTCCGAAAGACTCAATGGCAAGCACGTTGCTCACGACTCCCTGGCGCGCAGTTAGACGAGTACCATGCGATCACATCAATTGCTCAACTCACCTGGTCGTAGCCAAAGAGCTGTAATATACGCGACAAGACACAATATTACTGGCAGTCATCTATACTGCGATAATAACTCACGAATCCTCCGAGAGTCGAGAACAACGATATACCAAGTCTGCGCCATAAATATATCACATCGTTCATATCCTCTCAAAACCACTCACATGAATTTATTTTCAAAGAGGCCTCTGAACCCGACTCTACCTTCCGATCTAGCGAGAACCAAGTCAGGGCTACCACTACCGTGGTCATCTTCCTGCTTGGACTCGGTCGAATTTGAATGCAGTGATCGAGGCATGTTCTCCCACTTGGAGGATGTATTGGGAGAAAGAGCAAGCTGACATCCAGGCTTCAGAACTGACGCACTTTATAGATATTCAGCTCATGTTCTAGTCCTTCGTACCGAATCAGCGGGTTACCATAACCAACACGGAATTTTACCACGTCCCCCCATTCATAAACCCCGGTGCTTAATGAAGCGGGGGAGAAAGAAAACGCGGTAAGGCGTTCCGTGTAGCCCCGCACGGATTCCCCTATTTGACGTGTCAGAATGGTTGTCCCGTCCCTCTTGAACCTGAAGGAGTTAACGGACACAAACAGTCCTCGGACAGTTGCCTAGGGAGCACGCGCCAACACTTCGTTGGCCATAGAGGGAAGAAATTGTGCCAGTCCTGTGACAGAAGGTGAGAAGTAATACACTAACATTAACTGACCAGCTCACACTGGTACCGGTAGTGTGGCGTTGGAAGGAACCAGGTCAACCTGGGCGAGACGGCGCGTCTCCATAGGATGCCACGTAATGATGAGATATCGATTCTTTGATACCGATATACCAATTGAACTCATCGGTACTGGAGTGTATTTCCCCCATGAAAACAATGAAACTCCAGCACCAAAGGCCGAACCAGAAGGGGTGCCCATTCTGCCGATCAGTTAGCAAAAACAGTGGTAGAATGATAAAATTGGCAAAATGATGTCAGACAGGAGGAAATCATGGAGGAAGCACTTGTGATGCATTCATGACTGGCATAGCTTCTTTTTGAATTGCAATTTTTCATTTATATGCATCATGAACAAGCCAACCTAGTCCTCGTGCCTCGGGGTTGTGTACTCCCGTCCGTGAAGCGCTACCAGCGCAATTTCTCGATAGACACGCTCGAAAGGCTTGTGAATATTCGAGCAAATCGTCGCTACCATAGTCACCAAATGACCTGGTTAATGGCCTCTAGTAATGGTCATTGGCCAGTAAGTCAGCTCGTTGATGCCACGCGCACATGCGCATTGACGTCGACACCACTGGTGCTGAGACAGGTGTCGATCGAAGTTGCTGCCGAGAGTTTGAAGCCAATCGTGTTAAAGGGCGTTCAACCCAAGGACTTGCACCAAAATCCGTGAGTGTTAACGTTGAAACGTTGACAAGTCGTAGCGCAGTTTGCCGTCGCGCAGTGCGCATGATGGACTACGATGGAGGACGGTAAGTAGGATGTGATTCTCCTTAGAAAACATACATGATATCATCTCCGCCATTCACGTTTCCGCTGACAGGGTCAATTAAGTATGTCTCTAAGCTCACATCCAAGGTCTCTCAAAGCCCACCGAATGTAAGTATTAGAAGCACACGAGATTGTATTTTTTGCCGTGCGAACCCTTCGCAACTCTGCGTGGGCTCCCTTGTCAGAACATCTCTCGATTGTAAAGTTAGAAAATACGGTTGAGAGAACAGAACAACCAGACACTGCAGTAGTAGCTCCTCAACATGCATAGTCGGTATGGGCAAATTGGGAAGCGTCCAAACCGCTGCCTGTGTGAGCCTGAGTAAGGTATTTGCATGACCCCTGCCCAGCTTTGCAAATAAATAGAGGCGCTGGGTTGAATAAGATAAAAAATAGTTCTTTCGATAGCTGAAAAACAATTACCAGGCTACGGTCCAGGAATTAAGGCACCATATGGAACGCCATTCACGTAATACAGATCCCTAACCTGCATGGACAGCGGATCCACCAGGTTTCTCAGAGCAGACAGTACGGCACTGGCAGTCATTTGCAATGACCACACGCTGACCGCTTTCACTCGCCTGTTCAAGTTGACTTGGGAGACGTGATATGCGAGCGCATCGTATATCTAAAGCAAGCCTATCAGATCACACTGACCGGCAATTGAATTGCTTCCTACCTTTTGTGAAATTTCATCCATGAGGCCAGCTACAATAGACGGTGATCAGTGGTAATGGGTCATCACATGAGAAATACAACATACTTTCCCACATCTGCAAAGTCTATTAGTATAGGCAGAATTGCGAAGACGCCAGAAAAGACTCCTACAGTCCAAGCACCGTCAAAATCACTCAAATCTTTCATCACTCTGCAATGAATAGGTACCAAGGTATGATGTGCGCTGGACAAATCGATGAGATAATTGAGGCAGATAGAATGATTGGCTCACTTCATAAATGCAACTATAGGTCTTATGAGCGCACTGTTGACATATGAGAGATCCGATGTGAATAGCGGAACAGCAGCCTTGAGATCCCTAAATCGCAAATCTATGTCGATGACGACCTTAGGTTTATCGTCGACGTCCTTCTCTTCATCGGTCGTGGGGGCAGTAAGAGGCGGTTTTGCAAGCTCTCGCTGCCCTGGTATCCTCTCAATGGGTAGAGAAGCAGTAGCAGCCGTGGTGATGGCATCTGCGAGCTCACCAAGGATGGCATTCAACGCAAATTCGTCTTCTGTGTCTCTGGGGAATTTTATATCCAGCACTGCATCCACCTTCCCAGATGTTATCCATGACAAGGGGCCACCTTCCAATGTCGTGGAGTTTTGCATATGATCAATATTGACGCCATCAATGCGAATCCTGGACTACAACCAATGTGTCAGAATCAGCTGGAGATAGGGGTCGATTGGCATTACCATCCGCGACCATTTGCCATCCTTGAGATCCTGGTCAGTAGTTCGACCAATGCTTTGCGGTTTGTGCAGACTGAACAGGCAGTTGTCAAATTGCCCTACGACATTTTCCGCACGCAAAAAGTCATAGAAGAGCCATTGCTTCCGGAAAGTCCTTATGTCCGCACGAAAAATTGAGGCAGTATAAGGTCTAAAATCACCCGGCTGATACACGGTTACAAGGACGTCCTCGAGCTGCAGAGAATTTAGCTCAAAGTCGCCTTGGCTAGCAACATGACGGAATGCAGCCGGGTCAAGTGGATTTTCTGGGTCCCAGAAAACAGAGCGACGGTCTGTTTGCAGACCTCAGTTCAAGCTAATATTCAACGGACAGAAGTACTCACCTAATACCCCGCGAACGCCCTTGACCACAGCATCCTCAACAAGGCCCTTGCCATTTAGCCAGTGCTGTAGTGATAAAGTGACGTCTATGGAGTCTACATTGAGGTCAAACATGGAATAGTTGACATCGTCCTCGGTATGATTCTCAATTACTTCTTCGTCGTCATCCACAAAGTAGTGGTATGCGGGGTGACTGCTGACATCATATCCGACGGCCGCTTTATGTCCAAGATGCTTTTTTGACACTGGTGGACGGGCGGTGGGCGATGGTCTGCGGGAGACATATACATTTTTGAAGGAGATACGAGAGTCCTTCCATTTAGGAACGATAGCAGATTCGAAGATGACTGTAACGCCAGTCTCACTGGTGAGGTAGTTGCTTATGGCGCGTGCGACATACTCTGCAATGCATAGTGAGATATGTAGTATGAGTGCAGGGAGGAGTACGCGTACCTTGCAATTGCAGACTATTGGCAGTCGCAAAAATCACCGAGAAGAATGTCGTCCTGAATGGGATAAATTATCAGATTTTCAAGGCAGATAATTTCAGCTCACGTTCCAACCAGGATCCATAGAGTTTGGCTCATTAAAAACCATGTTATGAAAGCGGAGATATCGTCTGCATTAAATCTCCGAAAAGAACGTATAGTAAACCACTTGAAACGGATCCGTAGACGCTGCCAAAATCCATTGGCCACTTTCAGGAAGTCGTCTCGTGTAGGGCGGTGAAGGTGAGAGAGGGATAGTGCCAACCTGCGGTACAGACGCGGATAATTGTCGAGATTTAAAGGTGGAGGGGGAATATGAGCACCCGTATCGTGTTCCGAATCGCCTTTTCCAGAACTGACAGACCCCGGGGGTTGGGCTTTGCTCTGCTGGCGAGAGAGGTCGCCCTCGTGTATGCTACCTCTCTCGTCGCTGCCCGAATGTTTATGACGCGACCGAAGTGTCCCCATTTGCCAAAAGTTTTCGGTACGTAACCTAGAGGAACTTGGAGTATATTTCGCGTAGAATGTGGACCTCCTGCAGGTCGGCGGTGGTGTAGAACTATATGTCATAAGCTGCCGCTGGAAAAACAGGCGGATAGTATTGTAACGATCGACATCGGGGTGAAGAGATCTGCGACTTTCATGCAGTAGAAAGCTTGTATTTGTGCGCTTGCTAAGGTGGACTCCGAGAGTCCTCAATGGTGCAGTCATGTTGCAAGCATGGTCACGGTGGAAGACTCATGTAATGCGGAAGGTATAGAGTCTACACAGCGCATTATAGGAAGGTATTTCTCACGATAGGTCCTCTGGAGATAACTTTATTATATCCGTCGAACCTTCCCCGACACTAGAACGGATCACATAAATACATCTAACCTCCAATATAGCATATACGCAGTCCGTGTGACTGGCTGGGTGTTTTCCATCTACACAAGTATCAGGCTACTGGAGACCGACTGCTCACTACCAGTTTATGAGTCACTACCTCAGGCTCCTCGTACGACGGAACATTCAATTGGAACGAATCGCAGAAATACGCTCAGAGATACTCTCCGCAAACCAACTACAGTTGCAGGGACAGGGCTACGAACCATAGAGGATTCTCACCTCAAATACAACCATTCAGAGCGTGCTTTTCTGCAAGATGTTTCCCATTTATGGGCTGGCGAATCACCGTGACAATCGCCTCCCCTGCCACCAGTGAATTTGAAGTACTTAAGAACCCGTATTAACAATGTAGGCTCGACAAGGTTTGAACTCATGCCTTTCTGCCTCCCAAATGCCCCGCGACGTTACGGAGTTTGCTTACAGCCTGCTCGACAAGGTGAGCGAATTTCCTCTCAGTGACCTCCTAGAGTTCTGGACTCATCACCTGTATGTACTCTTGAAGGGCCTGGTTCCAGACTTCATTCTTCGCATAATAATTCGCGCCCTGTGCCGCCAACGACTACGAACGATTGATCATGGATCGTTCGAACTCAACCATGCTGCCAAGATGAAATGGATCGAGGTCGTTCGCGCACGCGCCTCAATTGCAGACGCCACGCAGAGCAGCCAACGAGCAACATTATGAGGTATGAGATCCTTTTTCTCTATGAATTTCTTGACTACTGCTTACGCACTACTAGGTGTCTACGAAGTTTATTCTCTCCTGTCCTAGGTCCATATGCAAAATATTCCTCTTGTCTGTACCCAACTGGCCGTGAAACACTGGAACAAGCAGAGATTCTGATGTTAGACAGCTATTGCGAGAAAGCACAGCTAACAGATGGGATGGATGTCCTTGACCTTGGATGCGGTAATGTCATAATAAATGGTGTGCGCTTCAGTATCCCACATCTCGAGCTTTGCAGGATGGGGCAGTCTCTCCATTTATCTTGCTCAGGTGCGTCGACAGCAATTTCTCGATGGTTTAGGCTTAGCTTAGCTTCAACAGAAATATCCAAAATCTCGGATAATCGGTCTATCCAACTCCTCGACCCAGAAGTTGTACATTGACGCTATTGCGAAAGAAAAGGGTCTGAACAATGTCAAGGTCAGCGCTGGAGCGAATGCGTACCTACGTTAGGCTGATTGTGAATAGATCATCACTGGGGATGTCAATATATTTGAATTCGGTGACACTCAGTGGTGACCTAGTCTTTCTGTCCGGTGTAGGTTATATACTGATGCCATATCTCAGCTTTGACCGTATCTTGTCCATCGAAGTGAGCTTTGTACACCATATCAAATGATTAATCCCCTTATCAAGAACAGATGTTTGAGCACATGAAAAATTATGAAGTGCTTCTTCGGAAGATATCCACTTGGTTGCGTCCAACCTCTGCAGACCATGCACACGAATCTTTCTTATTTGTGCATCTGTTCTGCCATAAGATGACCCCTTATCACTTCGAACAGGACGACGGATGGATGGCCCAGTCGTTCTTCACCGGCAAGATGGTCACGCTTTGAAGCGTTCCCTTACTGAACCCTATTTTCCCAGGTGGCACAATGCCTTCTCATGACCTCCTCGTGCGTGTTATCAATAGTTCTATTGAGCCCAATGAATCATGTGTATCCTTATAGGCATACTTTCAGTCAGATCTGACCCTCGTCAGAAGCTGGTACATTAACGGTCGTCATTACTCTCGTACACTCGAAGCCTGGCTCGAGAAACAGGATCGTAATGCTAAAGCAGGGATCAAAGAACTCGAGAAAGACGCAATTTCAAAGGGCCTCGACAAGGAGGAGGGCCGTAAAGCCTTCTACAGGTGATATCAATCATTACAGCAGTATTTACAACTCGTTGACTGGTTCTAACATCAGGTTTCGCATCTTTTATATGGCCTGTTCGGAACTTTTCGCCCTTAATGGTGGCGAAGAGTGAGTCTGACCGATCGTTTCCTGCATACTTCCAAGCTGATCGAATGCCGAGTAGATGGGGCATTGGACATTACTTATTCAAGCCCAAAATTATGCAACAGTCGTAATTAGTCTATGTATCAGTGTATACATGCATAGCTTCCATAGCTGTAATTGATGAACGAAAAAGATGCGACAGCGATGTACAAGAACAAAAATACGGTGTAGATAGTCTTGATAAGTGGGTCATGTCCGCCTTAAGTGCAGTAGAAGTTTACGTGCAAGTCAACTGTGATGTTCAGATCATTCCGATACAGACCCGTTCATCCATTTCTCTTGGATGATCTCCAATTCCTCTTTCTGAATCTTGTGCTCGGCACTGAGCCTCTTCAGCTCCTCTGGATCCATAATCTCTCCTTCCGCTTCCGATTCTCCGTTTAAGATGGCCTCGATCTTCCGCTTCTGTGTGAATATTTGGGAATATGTGTCCAAGTAATGTCCATACTTGGACTGGTATCGCGAACGTAGCCCGTTACGATCAGGGGGTAGTGGGTATGAAGATCGAGGGCGGGCACGTCCATCCTTGCCCTTTGAACGATCAGTATTCGTGGAAGGATCCTGGGCGGACTTCAGTGGCGGCTCTGGTATCTCTCCTTCATCCGAGGATGTATATATTGGCGACTTTCGTCTGGCTTTCGACACTCCATTGAGTTTCGTTCGTTGATCTACTTTGGAAGGCGAGTTTGAGGGTGGTGCCTGCGTCGGTAAGGTGGGGCGAGACGGTGGAAGTGGAGAAGGTTCTTTCTTGATCTTCTTCGGTGGAGGTGGAAATGGAGAAGATTCTTTCTTAATCTTCGGCGGTAGGGGTGGTATAGGAGATACGCGTTCGACCTGCTTCTTCGTCGGTGGAGGTGGGGGTGGTACAGGAGATACGCGCTCGACCGGCTTCTTCGGAAGAGACAAGTCTCGAACTTTTAATGAAGACGAAGATGCAACAGGTGATGGGCCGTCTTCCGTTTTGCGCTTCTTGAATGAATTTACCTTGAGTCTCTCTTCGTCCTGTGTATCTTCTACATCATGGGTGGCGCTCTTCCGCTTTACGCCAGCAACGACTCTATCCTTGGGCGGTCTGTCTTTATCTCTAGGTCTCTCGCGTTCTCTATCGGAGTCCTCGGGTGGAAGTGTCTTCTTCGTCATCTTCATCGACATGGCAGTGGCAGGCGTCTTCTCCTGACTTGCACGTGGCGGCGGGAGTGCTGGTGCAGGTTTTGCAGGTAAGGGTCGGGGTAGCGGTCGCTGAGGACGAGGTTCGGCTGGCACTACAGCTTCGCGAGGTGCGACCTCGACGGTAGGAGAAGGCTGAGGGGACTTCTTTGCAACATATCCCGAACCCGGTACTCGTCTGGATGCCGCCTTCGAGCTGGTGCTAGTGCTGGAACTGGGCGATGGACTGGCTTCTTCACGCTTAATGGCCGCCACTCTAGGAAGCTTAACGGACTCGTCTTTCATTTGTATGTCGCCCTTTATTCGAGAAGAATCTGCCTTTGCTTTCTGCTTCAAATCTTTGGATACAGCAGGCCGTTTTGGCTCAGGCTTCGGCTGAGGAGCACCCACAGGTGGGCCGGTGATGGTCTTACCCCCGTGGGTAGGATGAGGAGCAGCTCCGGTAGGAGGTGCAAGATTTCGAAAGCGAAAATGATCCCACACAGGTTCAGACTCGGGTATTTTGAGGGCGCTGAGCACGACTCTGCCTTGTCGAGCGATATTGGTCCGCTCTGTTGGTTTGTACATCTCCCATTCGTATGGACGCACTTCAACCCATGTACGATTTTTGAGAGACCATTTCCGAGGAGACTTGTCTCCTTTACGGGCTAGGATTTGTTCAGCAACCTGTACAAGTACGATTGAGTGAAGAAACCAAAGTATAGTGACTATACTCACCTCTTCTAAGATGCTAAGTAGATTGGCCCTTGCAGTGGCGTCGCAGTTATTCCCGCAAACCCTGGCTACCGCCAGATCTGTTTCACGAGGCTCGACTGCAAGGAAGTGTATAAGACGCCTGCGAACATCCGCATTCGCCTTTGACGAAGCGGTCTGTGGTATTGGCGAAATCTTGCGTGCAGTGACTGTGGATGCAGAAGGTGCACGAAGGGTGTCGCGCTGTATGGTTTTCTTTACTACAGTTCCTGAACCCGGTGCTTTCCGCTTCAAGTTCTTGGCGCCTCCCGCAGGTAAGAGTGGGGCGTCGAGCATGATGGTTTGGCGCTCAGAGTGTTGTTTCTTCGCCTCGATGGTTTGCTGCCGGACTTTATCTGTGACTTTCTCACCAAGTTGTCTGTCGACGATGAATTTGCCCATCACATTGGCGTAAAGCTTCAACGGGGCATTTGGTTTGGCCACAGAGGACGTCCTGAGATATATCTCGTGCGGAGAACTCTCCTTCAGAGGACGCATTGGAAAGAATGTCTCCCCAATGTAAATGCCCTGAGACTGATTGTTAGATATGGCCGAGCTGCGAGTATTTGAACTGACTGGTTCATCGCCAAACTCGAAATTCATTGCAGGGACACTCGACAAGTCCTCGAGAGCTTCTAATGTCTCAGCCGACATCCGGACTATCATGGCGTGCTTGGGCTTAGTCTGGATAGTATCTCCAGGGCGAGAATGCCCTTGCAGAGACAACGACGTGCCACTTGGAAGAGGCATGATGATGTTGTACCAGTCAACAGAATGGATTCAAGTTGTCCTCGAGAGGCCCTTCAGGGATGTGACGAACGTGGGTAGCACAGGGAAGACAGGTCGAGGTGGTGGTGGGGTGGGGTAGAAGCCTTGCAGCTGGCTGGAGAACAACGTTGTCGATAGCGTCAGGAAAAAGAGGAGCGCCGATCACTACCAGGCGCCTTGATGGACGAACTGCGTCGATAACGGAGCAAGGAAAGAAACAAGAGCCTGAACTTTGGCCTGAACTGCTTCCGTCCGGCGCTGTCATTCATAATAGCCGTTTTCCTTAGTTCTCGAAATGGAAATTCGTATTATCCACAGGACCACAGCTCAACTCAATAGTAAGTACTACATACGCGGCGTTGTATCAACCACGCAGCGCAGCTTGCCTCGAACCAAGGCCGCAGATTAAAATAAAGGCCGCGAACATTCAACGAGAGCATGCCAAGTCTACAGCAATTTGGTTAAACGTATCACCGTGACAACTGTCACACATGAGCAGGTTAGTATTACTCTTTCAAATATCTCGTGAATGTCGATAACGTTATAGACAATCAAGCTCTCAGATCCATATGGAGTTATCTTGTTGCGCCAACAAGGGTGCTCTCTGATTTCACATAGAAGAGTCATCGGTGAGTAACCCCAACGTCCCCCATCATGAATCATTCTTTCCTGGTTTTAGTATAAAAGCCGTCGACACTCCTGCGCACGTGTCGATCATGCATGAAAATCATGAGGCTCATGACGGTCTACTCCATAGGGACGCAATCAGAGTTCGAGAGCTTCGGAACATATGCTCACCTGCATGAGCAACGCACAAACGAAATTAGCTCAGCGTGGCGGGATACGCGCACTGCATGTCATATTGATCCAACGCCACGCTCACCCGCAGTCGAATGCGCTCGTCATCACATTGTCTCGTACGCTCAGGGGGATCCTCTCACCTTCCTTGAATTCACGCTTCGTCATCTCAAGGACCTCGGGTGATCATCAGTGCTGTAGGATTGCCAAGGAAGCCAATTCCACAGAAGGCCCATCGTAATCTGGGTATCAACTTTTTAAGGATTCGGATGCTAACTATACAAACCTGACCTCCTTCATTCAGATCGATGGTCAGCTTCTTCAGCGCCGCGGGAGCTTATAGCCACTCTTTCCTGCTTGCAAGAAGAGTGAACGGATATCTGTAAAATACCCAGCCTTGATGATTGATTGACTTTTACAGTGTCGAATTCAGTGCCTGCCAACTTAGAGATGCCAGAGGCCTTGGTAACTGTGGCGTACCTGAACTATTTCCTACGCCAGCTACAACAGACAACGGGTGATTATCTTGACATCGTGCGACTTTGCTCGAAGTGATGTTCAAGATCAAGGAAAAGGCTCAGATCATCAATGGATGCGAGAGCAAGCATCTTATCCATGTCATAATGTTATGGTAATTTCACACTCCATCTAGCTAGGTACTAATGTAGAACACTGTCTATTTGCGTGTTAATTCTTTGAAATATTTTTGAGATCCTGGCAGAATGTTTCACCATTACGGTGTACATCAAGTCTCCAGCGAACTATGACATCATCCGCATCCGGACCCTTGCGCCGCATCATGCAATCAAGATCCTATCACCGTGACATAACCATACCGCGTGGTTGTCTGACATCTGAACCCTGAAATTGGCAACATAAACAGCAATTATTATACAATATATACTAACGTATATAATCGGCCCATATATCCCTGCCATCAAGCACAAAGCCTGAAATTCAAGTGGTTTCCAAAAATTGCTGGAAGCCGAAGCTAACAGACGGGTTCGGATGTGTAATTTGCAATCAGCAAAAGACTGTGCCTCGGTAAAGACCTCACTGGCGACAGTACATGCCCGAGCACAAGAGATGGGTAATTCAAATGCGAAGTGACCTCCTTATATACCAAAAATATCGCGCACGGACCACCCGTGTGAATCATCGAGTTACCGAAAAGGCATGTGATTATGGCCCATTTGAAATAGGAGATAATGATTCGGTTCCTCCAGACAACGCTCCGCAGTGCGCACAATAGACTTGTTGCTCAGCTGAGAAGTTTCTTCGATGCAGGCCCTCAAAAACATCACGCACCGACGGGCGCCCGGAGGCGTCGTCTTTATTTTAGTGGGCGCACAATTTAAACTGTCAAGACAAGGAGACGACGAGAAATCTGACAGAGATTCTGCCTCGAAGCTTGATGTAGGCCTGAGCTAAGTTTGTCTAGGGGGAAGGATGGAGTGCGGCTGAGAAATGACTGGCCTTGGCCCATCGCCATTTGGCCTCATTTGGTCAGTCTAGACAATCGATGGTTCAATGGTCATAAGACATGTGGTCTTCGAGTCAGAAGTGGAACTGGATGATCCCGGGTATCTAACCGAAGTTTCAAACAGTATGGACATACCAATAGGCAGAAATTGGTAGCACATACTACGAACCCCCGATCATAAGGCTATGCACTTGTGAACAGCTGCTTGGGAAGGATCACCTTTTTGATAGCGCCGACAGCGCACCTCGTTGCTGAGAGGAGTACATGGACGTATAGATACTAGTTGCTACACAGGTCATTACCAGGGAAAAAAAATAGCCTTTCATTTGTATTTTTTAGAGAAACTGAAAGTTAATGGTTTCTGGCCATGGGTCTCGGAAATTATAACGCCTCAACGCGCGAGATTAAGAGATGAGAGCGCAAACGACGTCAGACGGCGCGCGACCGAGCGGGGAGAGCGTGGGATTTAAATATATTTACCATCAAGTTGAAATGGTTATCTTATTTTACATAAAAAAACATTTATTCTACACACCTTGGAACTGGCTACCTAGGAGCATAGTGCCTTCTATCAGCACTCACCGCGACCAAATACCCTACCCTGGCCCCCGCAGCATACCTCTCTTTCTCCTCAACGTGCCTGCCATCGACCCCGTTATAATAATTCTGCTACAATCAAGGCACTTGGTCGACAGTCTCTCCTTCGACAACACACGTCCTGCGTGAGCTGGCTCAATTCCCATACCCCCGCCGCTCCAGCCTTTCTGTCCTTTACATTGAATCTGAACGAATATCCGCCCGATCTACGCCGCACGATTTTTGACCGAGGAACGGATCCTCAATGACTCAACAGGTCGCCCTGAATTCAATCTCGTCCCTCGAGAATAGAATCTGCCCGGGTTGCAAGCAGTATGCTGTGAATGAGAGTGGAGGTTTAGTCGTGGCGTTTGGGTGAGCTAACAGTTACTATCATCTATACGCGTCTAAGCGGTACTCGTCCTGCGGACCATTCACTGTTATTTCAGACAGTCCTTTTTTCATGTTGACTGCTTTAAATGCGCGAAATGTCATCAACAAGTAACTGCAGACACGAATTTGCTACTGCTTTCAGATGGCTCACCAATCTGCGCCAACTGCTTCGTACAACTGTAATGTCTGCCACCAACCCATTCTCGACGAAGCTATCATGACGGGAGACGACTCATACCACGCACATTGCTTTAATTGCAAGGTTTGTCATAACCGAATTGATGAATTAGTATTCGCCAAGACAAGTCATGGGATCTATTGCATGACTTGTCATAACGAACGCATGGCCAAGATTCGCCGCCATGCACAGCGGAAACGTGAACGGGAGAAGGCTGTCAATGGCAGTACATCATCCTCGACGCGAGAACGAGAGGCGCGAGAATTTCTGGGAGAGAACGCGGTAGGTAGAGACACATAGCGGAGCTAACCGCCCTGGATCGGATTTTTGACGCTGTTCGATAGGTGTCTGATCGATCACAAGCTGTTTCGCCGCCTTCGTCTGTGCGTCTAAAGCCATCAGGGACGACTTTTCGAGATACTCCGTCCATGAGGAGTCTCAATCAACCCAGGGAGGACGCCTTGTCAACACTGGAACGAAAGCGCAAATCAATACTACTTCAAGATGAAATACCTCAAGCATCAGCCAAGAATGGTGCTCAGCTGCCGATATCTGGAAGCCCACGACCGGTTCAGCATAACCTTCCTACCTCGTCACGATCATCACGTGATGTGCCATCACAATCGTTCTCAGTAACCATCGCACCCCCCGACAACGTTGACGTTGATCATACTAAAGTGCACGTAGATGATGACCCCGGCCCGTCGAGCCCACAATTATCATCTCAGTCTGCGAGCCAGGGTGATCCCATGACGCCTTTAGAGGGTCTGCAGTCTCAGGATGGAGCTAGAGGGTCATTGTTAAGTCCATCATCAGCTGTGGATCCAAGTAGCGCACTTTCCAGGAGAAAGAGCTACGATGACGGTGTTCGGCCACTGAACATCCTGTTTGGAAAGAAGGGAAATGCGGAGAAGGAGTCTTTGGACCAGTCTAGTCTCGGCGTACCAAATGGTGCCACGTCTCGCAGTGAAAAGCGGCGGTCCATCAACCCAGGACTTGCTCTAGATTATAAACATTTATTCCCTACCGCACCCGGAGTTTCTCTGCCAGAACAGATGGTTCGGTCGCAGACCCTGCCTATAAACCGCAGCGACTCACCCGTTGCTCCCTCTCCATCTCCCTCCAAACCATACTTTTCTGATTCATTCTCATCTCGCCGGGCATCCAATATCAGTCTACTTCGTGATAATGCCTCAGGTTCGACCATATACCATTCCCCTCCCCCGTCACCTGCTCCTACTACTCTTGAACACGGACGAGCAACTCCTGAAATTCGTATGCGTTCAATATCGCATGATCCCCATCAACCCCTTTCCGCACCACCGCATACCCACTCGGCGACCCCATTACGTCCTCTCCAACGGATAAATCCCAATTTAGAGAAAGTCTCTGCACGTTCAGACACTTTGAACCATGCAAGCAACTCAGCCAACGGTCTATATACCCAGAAAGTTGACGGCCGACTGTCCCCTTCTGGCCCTTCGAGCGAGAGAACACTGCGCATGGATAATATGCCCACTGGCTCAATGTCAGATCGCTCCAGTGTGGTTACTCCAACGTCCCCATCTCATAGAGCGGATGTCCCCCACGGAATTGAGAGTGGTACAGACACGGACGTAGAAGGGGATAACATTCGCAAGTCCGAAGACGAGAGCACTTCGCCCATTGCTGCTCCTCCTGTCCCATCTAAGCAGCACAAGGCAAAGGCACACGCAAATCAGCTCAAGCTGGATATTAACCCTGATGTATCTGCCTTGTCACACGTGGATTCAAACTCGGATGAATCCTCGCCAGTCGAACGCACATCCGTTGCAACGTTCATCCAGCCCGCCCTTCTTCCCCCTATTCGCTTTTCCATGACGGGCTCAGACTTCTCAGACTTTCTGAAGTCAGTGGGCGGAATGCCATCTCTCAAATCGCTCGATCAGATTGCTGAGGGTGATGATCACAAGCATGATTCGTCATCTAGTGCAACAGCAGTCAGTGATTCCAGTCGGAAGTCGTCAAGCTCAGGGAGTGCGGTTAATGCTGAACGCGTCAACGGGGCCAAGGATTTTGTGGAGCCAGCTATTCGTACCACATCGCTACAGTCGGACCATCATCGGGAGCCCTCTAGTTCCTCTCAGTCATCGACCGCACTAGATGCCGAAGCCAGAGACCTGCTTTCAAACCTGTCTCACGATTTCTCGCCAAGAGGCCGCTCTTCTTCCGAGTCGCAATTTCCATCACTCTCCTGTCATGGAGCGAAACACGAGAGGCTGGACTCAAATGCATCATTGAATCCTAACGCCCGCATAGCTGTCACGTCACCCGTTTCAACACCTGTATCTGGCAATTCATATGATCTTGTGATCCACCGCCTTCATGAGGTTCTCGATGACGCAAGCGAACGTGGCTATCAGCAATTGAAGTTGGACAACAATTTCATCGGAACCATTATTACGTCGATGGAGCAACGACGGACAGAGTACGCAGCGCTCAAACACAAGTATGACGGCACAAAGGTAGTCATTGTTTACCTCGCAGAGATACTGGTTCTAATGTTTCTTAGAGGGCGAGCCAGCAATATATTGACGGTCTTACTGTTGCCCAGAAAGAACATGACCGTGAACTTGTGGCTCGACGCAATGCCGAGGCAGAGGTTACCCGCCTGCGTGTTTTATTGTCTGGTCAAGCTGCTAAGTTGACTGCTCTCAACGGTGAGGCAAACAGATCGGAAGCACGGCGACAGCTTTCCCAGGACCTTGCAAAAAAGCTGGATCACTTAGAGCATGATCTTTCCCAGCTGAAAGCGGAGCGAGACATGACTTTAGCAGAGCTTGAAGAACTATGCGCGTCAAAGAAGTAATGCCACAATCCTTCATCTGAACTACTGAGCACTCATTTTAGAATTGTAGTTCCCCTGGTGTCGCAAACTCGGGCGAGATGCCTGCCGCACAGATGAGCCGGTCTTTGACCATGCGTCTGGACAACATCAAGAAGCAGTATCAGCACGAGCTCATCCCTCTCACCCAGCAGCGAGAGGCTCTCATCAGAGAGGTGGCGGAGTTGAAGGCTGCCCGTGAACAATTCCTCGAGGAAACGACTGTCCTTAACGCTCGAAACGAAGAATTGGCGCAGCTGAGTGCTCAATACATGCGTCGGATTGAGGCCTCCCGCTCTGCAACACCTACGATGGAAGTCCTTACTTCGAAGGAAGAATCAGCAGCAAACCCGCTTCGCGAGAAGAGCACATCCTTTGACCGCGATCACCCCCAGCCTGACCTCCCATCGATGGCTTCATCACTCAACGGCTCAGGAGCTCCCAGCGCCACAACACTGGTTGAAGAATCAGAGGCTAAGTTCAAGGCTAGCCGCCCCGAGATAACAGACGCCTTACCCTCAACGCTGAAATCCGCAAAGTTCAAGTGGCCCATGGCTAGAGGTCGGGATCCCTCGCTTTCGTCAGCTGATCAGAAAGGCAAAGGTCGAGTGGCACATTCCTTCAACCAGACGAGTGTACTCCGCTTTACGCGTTGCGATCATTGTGGTGACAAGCTATGGGGCTCCCAGTATCGATGTTCAGGTACGTTATGTCTTAATCCCCCCGTGTCCGCTTGTCTAACAGTTCCTTAGTTTGTCATATATCTGTGCATCCTCGCTGCGTCAATCAAGTGCAACATACATGCTCTCAACAGCCCCCTCGTCGAGACGATGTCATCACACAACCTCGTGAGTGATTTGCATGTCTTACCACCATCCAAGTCTAACATCGGGCTTTAGCTCCCTCTATGTTTGGTCGCAGCCTTGTAGAACAAGTGAAATCAGATTCAAAGTGGGGTGAACGGAGGGTCCCTATTATCGTGGAGAAATGCATCGATGCGGTGGAGGCACTCGGTAAGCAAATAATAAAACACGCCGGCACCTGGTTAACGCAGATATCAGCGCTGGACTACGAGGGCATCTACCGCAAAACTGGTGGTAGTGGGCAAACGAAGGTGATCACGCAACTATTTGAGCGAGGGGACTATATGGCGTTCGATCTGCGTGATGACGACCGTTTCAATGATATCTGCAGCGTCACTTCCGTCTTAAAGACATATTTCCGTCAATTACCTGTCCCTCTTTTGACTTACGATCTTCATGGAGAGTTTATCTTGGCCGCTGGACTCAAGGACCCCGCGCTCAAAACCAAGCACCTGCAGGAGTTGGTCGACCGCCTCCCCAGCGAGCACTATCATACTCTACGCCTGCTTGTATTACATTTACACCGGTAGGATTATTCTTTTTGCAACTCGTGGACGTTCAGCTAATGTCGGTACGCAGTGTACTGGAACACAGCGACACAAATCTTATGAATGCGAGGAACTTGGGAGTGGTCTTTGGACGTGCGTCCCTTCACTCGTGTTTACTTCAATTCAAGACTGACATTTCAATTTAGCCACGTTAATGCGTTCTTCAGATCCTGGTTCTGAGTTCAGTGACATGGCCGGCAAGGCCTTGATGATCGAGTGGCTCGTAGATAACGCTCCTTCTATTTTCCAGTCGCAAACATCCCGTTGATTCTCACATTCTATTCCGGATAAACACTTCCCCCGTATGTTATTGTATTCTTCGTATTTTCTCGGGTATCATGACATTGTCTTTATGGTTATTCTTTGCAAATCCTTTGCTTTATACCGGGTAGTGTATCTGCTCAATATTATTAGCGGCAGAATTGTTGGACGAAAAAGTTATCTAGGCCTGCACGTCGACGTTGCAACTCCAATATCCACGTACTACGGTCACTCAGATACATCCAATCCGCAGCCCGATCAAGCAACGGCGCCCCAGTTGCTGTCGTTGATATGCTTAATGGAGACCGTCAAAGTTTTATGTTCGCACTCTTCTTTAGGTCTTTGTTTTGAGAGAGTAGTAATGTGTATTCTGGTCTATACAACCATCAGATTCGGACGTGCGAGACAAATTAATTCCAATCTCCATGACGCGGAGCACGGGAAAATACATCAGGATTCTATGGAATACATAAGTCATATATCAGGGTACGACGGAAGGATATCGAGGCTATAGCACTGAATCCAGTAATGATGATATGGAATATTAAAGTTGGATCCCAGCAGCGGAAATCAATGCAAATATAAAACGCAGAAAGCACAGAAGACCAATCGAGGAGTCGTATACAGGAAGTGGTGTTTAGAGCAATTCTCGGGATCGTCTGATGCGAGGGACAGCTTTTTCGGGTTTCAGGGTGCAGAATAGGAAGTGACGACGAGGACCAGTAGTCGCTGCGGCTGCTACTGCGGCAACACGCGCACCAAGCGGAGCAACGTTGGCATCGCTGCGGATGCCCAAAGAGAACATCCTGTCAAAGACTGCGAACTAATCAACTAATGCGATTTATAAACACGATGTAACTCACGTGTTGCATTAAAAGCTTTGGCTGTTGTTTGGCAGGCAAGGTGCGTAAGCGCGAGTGGTGGACTAACACCCTCCAGGTTTCTCAAATAACGATATACCATAGAAGGTTGACAAGGTCCTGAGGATGCGTTGAGCGCGCGATATATATACGCGCGATGCCAACCTACCAAAACGGAAAACAGCATTATATGCTTGTCTCCATTTTTCCTCGAGAAGACGAGCACAGATCGCGGAGTCAGGGCAAGTGGAGCACTTGGAAGCGTCAGCCAACAAGATATTTGTACATCTGGCAGTGACTTACGCATTGATATTCCTTTGCAAGTGGGGTCAACCCCAGTTTGAGCACTCGCTCGAGGAACCAGTTTCTCCTATGAACAGCACCATAAGATGAAGTGTGCATAATTACGACATCCAAAAAGCCCACCGTTTCTCTAGCTTCAGTAGAGTCTCTTGGCTCAGGGTGCTAAGCTCTTCTTCGGACCACCCGCCTGGATTGTCGAGTACGAAGCGACTTGACTCGCGGTAGAGCTCTTCTTCTTCAAATAGTTCTGCGATTCGCATGGCCTTTATAGGTTTACCAGCGGCGTGGGTCAGGAGAAAAGTGAGGCATTCCTGCTGGAGTGTCGGAACACAAAGCTTGTGGGAGATGTTCATGAGGCCTTCTACATTCTTCCAGGTTATGGTGCACTGGAGACTGAGAAAGGTTTGGTGTGAATGGTAAACCATGGAGATACTGCTCACTGAGGGTAGACAAACTTCAGGAAATCGTGAAAGGTGTTAGCCTGTGCGAGATGAGCCAAATTGCACATGTAATTCAAGTCTGAACTCACTTTCTCCTCTTTGAGCACTATGACAGCATCATGACAATTAGTACGTCGGCGCCGCTTGACGGTTGCATGTGCGGTCTGAGACCCTCGTCTAATCGATGGTCTATCGTCCGTTTTCGGCTTCCCTTTCGTGGCACGACTTGACAAGGTCTCTCGACTGCTGGTTGCACCCTGCAGCTTCGCAAGACTGTTGTCGCGAGCATTGATCTTGCTGTCAGTTTCACTATCCTCACTGCCACTCAGGCCACTGTCGGTATCGCTCCTCGGGGGGTTTTCAACCTCTACGGGAGACTCCGTATCCGATGAATCCTCGTGTGTGAATGTCATTTCTGTGGGCGTCTCGATAACGCCTTTCTCCCCTGGAATGGAAGGAGGCTGCGAGATAGTGATAACAGAGGACATTGACTGTGGTCTTCCCGTCTCTGCCCAACTGCCGCTCAGCGCAGCCTCAAAGAAGGGTGACGCAAAGATAAGGACCTCTTTATGCGCCCTAAATTCGGAAACGGCTCAAGATTTGCACGTAGGCTGCAGCAGTTCATGCCACTCACCAGAAAGTGGTGCCTTCGACCACAATCTTGACGGTTCCGGGAAATCTTCCTTTGCGAGTAAATGTTTCATCAATCTCTATACCTTCCTCAGAGTCATACAAGCTAAGTTCAGTGACTAGATCATCGGTCTCGCATTCCTCGAGCAACCACGGAGGTGAGCCGGAGGAACGGAATATACCTGAAGCTGCTGCATGAGTTTCTGTAGGTGAACTGAGAGATGCAGATGGATTAATATTATTGGGCCCTCGTGAATTTCGCGCGATTAAGATGAGTGAAGGATTCGTGGTCATTGCAGTCGGTGCAGAATCGGACAGCAAGCAGCATGTCAGCTAATCATTGGACACCGCCACTGTGACTAGTGTCCACCGTTTCCTTTTTCGTTCCGAGTGCTGCCACTACTACCGTACAAGTATGATGTCTGATTAATATTAGCGAGGCCTATGGTCACCATCTCCCACCGAGGCTTGAACCACGAAAACCACCTTCTGACTGCAACGGCCTCGGAAAGTCGCTGTTCAGTAGAAGTCATCTATGCCAGTGTCCCGCTTGGAAAAATGATAGACAAACTCATTCTACTTAGCAAGCCTTAAGGTCATCTTCCTACTAGGGGCTACACAAGCAGGCGCACTCGAAGCTTTCAACGACACTTAAACATCTGGGTGCACCTTGCTTGACGGGATCACCCTGACTCGGATGCTCTAGTCGTCTTTTTATCGCAATCTCTCATATACTCTAGACTCGAGTATTCGAATTAATAGGATGCTGGCGTAAATGAGGCCTGAGGTCCCGTGCTTCCACGGTGCAAAATGGAAAGTTCAAGGAAGGTCCCCGAAATGGCCCATGGTGATGGCATGATGGTATACCGTAAAGCGAAGAGTGAGTCTTATCACAAGAGCGTGATAAATAAGTTGGTACTAAACGGTACCACTTGTACTACTAGGTGTCAGACACATAGCTTTCATAAACAGTCACAACCTCATATTCCATGCAACATGTCACTGTCCCAAGTATGCGGAATCGGAATCTTATCAGTTGCTCTATGGAAGACGTTTGGAGGGCTATTCAAGAAACCCAAAATCGACCTTGATGGTCCCAAGATAGACCACTGGCTGACAGGTTCTTGACAAGTCTGTGTTTACACTCGTTTTATCTGACATAGACATTCCAGGCAACATATTGAAGGTGTTCGAAGGTGGCCTTGACTACTGCATGGAACTGGCTGACAATTATGGCGGAGCAGTCAAGTTGCAGAGTATCATATTGGGAGTAAGTTCAAATGTGAAGTGCCACTACTCTGAACCCTTGCGAATGCTCTCCTCAGGAAGCAGTCTATATATCTGATCCACTCGCGCTGTATCACGTTGTTGTGAAAGACCAGCATATATTCGAAGAACCTGATATTTTCATTATGTCAGTATTTTATCACTTTTTCGCGGCCGCGTCTATTGACTCTACGTTACAAAGGAACAACAAGGCAATGTTCGGAGAAGGTCTAATAGCCACTGTCGGTACGAAGCACCACGGTAGTGGGTTCATGAGAGGTATCTGACCGCATGGCCAGGAGAGCAGCATCGGAAGCAACGCAAGCTGCTTAACCCTGTCTTCTCGACTTCCAATATGCGCGAATTGCTACCCACACTGCAGCCCATTGCGCATAAGCTGACCTCTGTCCTTGTAGCTAAGCTTCCGGATGATGGATGTAAGTAGGCTCACACTCATCAATAATATGCATCAGTATGGGCGGTTTTTGACGCTTTTGAAACAGCATGCAAAGAGATCGATATGCTGCCTTGGCTATCTCGCACTGCACTTGATGGCGTCTGCCAGGCAATTCTTGGTTATCCAAGCAATACTCTAGAGGCTGTAAAAGACGACGAGTATACTGAAGCACTCCGGATGTTGAGGTACGCGATACAAATTACAGCAACCCTCACATAGTCGTAACGATTGTTTACTCAACGTTGTAGCCCCTTGATATCAAAGCTCGTGTATCTCCGGCCGTATGTGCCAATGGTTCTGCGCAACTTCTCGCCATATTGGTCAAGAAAGCTTGTGGACTGGCTTACGGCGCCTTGGATACCCACTGAAATGATGAGAGATGTACGAGAGATGCGACGGATTCTTGAAGTCATGGACAGTGGTAGCAAGAAAGTTTTCGCGGAGAAAAAGGCAGCACTGGAGACTTCAGCTACTTTATCCCCTGCTGGTGCCAATCACGAAGTTGGTCATCTCAAACCAAGTCGGGGGAAAGATATGATGAACATCATGCGTCAGTTCCGTGACTTCCTAGTCCACCTTTTACTGACGTATATCCAGTCAAGGCAAACTCTGCGACTTCTAGTTCAGAACAACTCACCGACGCCGAATTGTTGGGACAAACGAAGTAAGTTGCCGCTTATCATAAGCATAGAAATGTTCACTTGTTTCGTTGCAGCGTTGTGGTATTGGGTGGCTTAGAGACGACTACCTTTGCTCTGTCTTGTTGCGTTTACTTGCTTGCCAAGAATCCACTCGCCCAAGCTCGACTGAGAAGCGAGATTCGTGATGCCATCAGATCCACGTCTCTCGCACAGGACGATTCTTCGTTTTGCGAGCATAAAAACCCGCCTCTTAATTTGTCTTACGATGCGCTGATGAATCTTCCATTCCTTGATGGAGTTATCAGAGAGACATTGCGGTTTTATCCTCCTCTCCCACACATGAGCCGGAGGTATGTTGTTCATCATCCATAAAACTACTGACTGAGTACTTCGGCAGCGTGACCAAAGCAACTACGCTTCCCCTCCAATTCCCGGTTCGCTCGGCATCCGGAGCAGAAGTATCTGCTATCGCAATACCTGAGAAATCATTCGTCCTCATCTCTATTGTGGCTGCAAATCGCAATCGAAAAATATGGGGTGATGATGCGAATGAGTGGAAGCCTGAGCGATGGCTTTCTTCCCCAGGGAGACAAGGCACTCAGGGGATGGGATATGCCCTTTGATAATGCCGAGGTACTGCCATCGAAATCATCCACACCCATCCTTGGGGTCAAAGACAGCATCAGGTATCCTGGTGTTTACTCCAACATGTCAGTCCTCACCTTTTAGGTCATATAGGTCAAAGTATGTTCGCTGACCGTATACAGGATGACTTTTTCCGGCGGTAGTCGTTCCTGCCTGTTAGTGAAATACACAACACACTCATCTGTGCACTAACAGTCATATCTTACAGCGGGTTCAAGTTTGCCGAAATGGAAATAAGTAAGCCCTTGCACTTTGCGTATGATTATCGAGTCTAATAGTCTTGACATCAGAGGAAATCCTCGCTACGCTTATGCTCCGCCTGCATTTTGCGCTCCCAACTGATCCGGATGTCCATGGACATGTCAAAGAAATTCAGTGGGAGTTGAGGTCATTCTTCGCACCTGTAGTTAAGCCACCAGCTGGAGATGGGGTGACACCGCAGGTCCCATTTAATGTTCGACTGGTGCGAGAGGAAGGACTTTACTGTGGTAGGATTGTGCTTGGGGATCGTGACTGTAATGGTTCATCATATGCAGGTTGGCAATTGAAGGTTATCGCTCAATTTGCTTTGTGATCGTCCAATCTCGAAAACTCAGGAATTACTTTGTATCCATGCCATATAAAATCGAACGAGACGACCTCTCGTTTTCTTCATCTCATGTTGACTCGTTCACATTACAGGAACATCGATTTTGACTTTACGCGCTTTCGACATATTTTGAATGGTGAGATTTCCCTCAGTTCAAGCTCACGACTGACATCTAGTACCGACTGACTCGCCACACACAACGTTGGGTTGCCAGTACGAACTCGAGGCCGCTCGAAACATCATGATCACAAGCATGAGGATCCCAAATCTCGGATTCCAGTCCATGTTGACGGCTTTGGCCGTTGCCTGTTACACTCGGCATTCACATAAAATGACTGAATTATTTGGTCGGTGGCGACTTGCAAGTGAGCAAGTTTCTGCTCGTGATACCCCGCAATGGCTTTGTGGACTTCACATTATCAGTGCTTCTTACAGTACGACATGTCTTACTACAGAACAGGCACCGTCAGCGTGACATCCTGCCCGTCGGAATGGCAACAAACAAAATGAGGAGGTATGCCGCAAATGTTTGTACACCTCCTTACTGCAACATGCCCTCTCGACAACCAGTCTTTAATAATGCGTTTAGTCTAAGTTAACACTGGATAAATGACCTGCAGGCGTGACTCCTCGGAGATCCGATAGAAGACCATATGTCACGGTGACGACGAGCTCGCGAGACAAGTTATAATGCTATGCCATAGTATTGATGTAGTGGGTATATATAACTTACGCGGTCGAGACTCGAGAAGCGTCCCCGATGATCGAGGGAAAATAAACTCTAACCTACTCTAACCTACTCTAGCTAGTTGATCAAGAAGCAGCAAGTAAAATTATATCACGAATCAAATTAATCAAACGGCATCAGGTGAAGGGCACCTCGAGCCTCGAGGCAGCTCGAGGCACTTAAGCGAGTTCTCAAGCAGCTGCGCATGAGTCATAATACATGACGGTTCTCTATCGGAGGTTGTGACCCAAACAACACTCCGTAATATGACCATCCTTGAATTGACGGTCGAGCTTACTACGGCCGCCTCATAGATGCCACAATTCCTGCGCAACGTTTGAGTTTTGGTTTTCCACAGAAGGTTCGTAGTCAACCAGATGGAACTTCGTAGGGTATGGTTGAAAAGTCGGCGTTTACAAACAGGTGTCAGAATTGACTGTTTATAACATTGGTAGAAAGTCGTTCATAATCTGGCCTGTTGGAAATTGTGAAAAATTGTGATTATGCAGGGTCGTCTCCGCCGTCACCGGACAACTTCACAGCTGCAAAGCAGAAGCCTGGCTACCGTCACGGAAGGCATGAGCAGATCATAGATAAGGCTGATGTCGTCCTCTTAATGCCACTGTTTATTTCCAGCATGTGATTGGCTGCAGGCCGGGGCTAGTTGTACACCGAGAAAGAGTCGATACTTGCTGCGGATCAGAATCGGGAGATACTGACTGCAGATCGGAGACCTCGAACACGTTCCTGCTGATGCGGTAAGCCGTCCCATTCTGTAACTCGAGCTTGGAATTATGTCCCTGAATTTTTCCAACTTGGTGAATGCCAACCTACGTCAACGCCACTCGTTCCTTTGACAAATATGCCATTATTCAACTGGACTTGCGAACCCCCGCAAGATCACTCATTGCCTTTTGAATTTCCAATTTCTCCATCACCGCTCGGTGCAAACTAGATTTATTTTTGTTCTTCGCTTTGGTTTGTGGTGCCTCTTCGGAAGGGCTGGAAGATGACAGCTCCTGTTGCGGAGTATCAGTCTTAGGCTCTTTTGTTGTGCTTGTGATGTGCGACGGAACTATAATCGGTGTCTGGCGCGGAGGTGGAGGCCACTAGTTTACGCGTGAGTGACCCCTGAAATACCTGATAAAATAACACATACACCACGATTCGGCTGGTTGAAATGCAAAGCAGCCCAAGGCGGGTAATCCTTCTCGAGCTGCATAATATGATCCTCGAGCAATCGGAGACGGGACAGGAGCGTTCGTGGTGGTGCAGGGACTATGCGTCTCTTTAGAATGCATCATTCATAAAATAGACCCATTACCTACCATAGCGGACTGCAAGATGTTCTTCAATATTGTTCACCCGTTGATCCATTGCTGGTTGCTGGTCGCCTTCTGAGTCATCATGTAGTGCGAGAAGCTCTTTTTGCCTGCCCTTATCACCTATCATACCTTTCATGGTTCGCCGGAGAGGTCCATCTTCATTCTTTGCAATATCATATTTCATCTGCACGTCACGATCGAGGTGCTTTGCATCCGTCCGTGCGCAGGACGGTATGGGCTCGGTACTGTCGGGATTAATATTTAGTCGCCGTCGCTTTTGAGCGAGGGTTTCGAGAAACTCTGTGCGGTTAGAGGCGTCATTCCTGGCTCGATTTTGCGCGAGGAATTGAGATATTGATTTTGTTATCTGGAATGGGTTAGAAGCTGCGACAAAAGATCGAATGGACAGAAAACTCACCGACGTCTGAGACTGGGGATCAGCACCGCTAGAAAGGTGAACATAGTCGAGCTTTCGCTCCTCCAGCGGTCGTTCTGGGAGTGTTCCGTTGTCTTTTGTTTTTCCCAAGTTCTGAGAAGGAAAAGGTTGGGAAGATTCAACACAGTAAAGGGACGAAGTGCACACCATAAGATCCTTCATTAAATCTCCAATAGCACCAGGAACCTTCTGCCTTTCCCAATCCGCATTCATAACTACCATGTCATCCTCGAAACCCCTCAAGGCCTGGTTCATCCCAACCTTCTTCAAAAATGACCGTATCACCTCATCCCAATGACGATGTAATTCAGGCTCTGGTGTCGGCGAACGCGGTCTTTGTGCAACCTTGTTCCTCTGGCGCGGCTGATAGGTCACAGGAGGAGGTTGGTATTGAGCATAGGGAACCTGAGTGTAGTGCGTCTGCTGGCCTGAGACGCTACCAGACGCGATATACGGGTAAGAGGGAACCTGCCATGCATTTTGCCACCCACCGGGTGTGTAACTCATCGCGTAGTAGCCTTGGGGATTTTGTCCTTGAGTCGCTGGTCCATATTGTACAGACTGAAGCTGCGAGGAAGGACCTGTTGTTGTATTTTGTGGTGAAGTCGTGCTTGACGCTTGCAAGAGGAACTATGAGACTTGGCTGTTGTGCTGGAGTTTCAGATAGGTTCGACTGGAAATGTGAGGGGCCCTGCTTGGGAGGGCGGCGGACCGTGTGTCATTGCGTTTGATAGGTTATTCTGTCCAACAGTTATAGCTGAAGCTAGTCGTCCTGGTGTCGAGTCCGTCAGTACTGGTGGTGTCTGGTGTAGAACGAAGGTGGGGTTATCAGTTTAGATTTTGGTCCTCTAGTGGTAACCGTACCATGACTAGTACAGTATACTAGTACTACTTACTAGGTGTATGTACTATTAATAACTCCTAATATTTGGCGCTCCATTCAAACTTTGCTCCTCTAACTCAACCTGCCTGCTTCGGCTCACCAAATGAAACAACGACGAGCTCACACAGCATGCTGAAGGAGCAAGTTCGTTTGACAGAATGTTCGATGGAGCACAAAAAACGAAGAGATTGATTTCCCGTAGTCAGTCAATCAACTTCGTTTGTATAGTTTCTACTTCATCGAACAAGCCTTAATGATCGAAAAGCACGATGTGACAGAGAACACGGATCCTGCTGATAGTGTCGGCAATGCTGGAAATGCTGCACTGACAGTTATTCTGGGTCCCAGAGCTGCCAACACAGCATTTGCAATAACCGGTAGCTTGACAGTCCTTCAAGTTTTCTCATTGGTTTGTGCTGATTTTTGTCTGGCCATATCATTAGGTTACTAAAAGGCGCGACAATACTTTCATGTGCTGTCATGTGGTGCATGATAGCCACAAGTCAAAAGTAAGTATTGGCGCTGTGTCACATATTGTCATGCAGATCTACGAGCACGCGTTTTAGCGCACTTTCCGTGCTGTTCACTAATCAAACTGGGCAGCACTACAAGCACGCACATTTGTGCATGTTTGTTCAGACGACTTTCTGAGACGCATCTCCGACCTGTTCGTGTTGCTCCTGCCGTATGCTCAAAGTAGACCCTCAAAGCTTTGCTGTGTTTCTGGAACTCCAGCGCTCCAGCTATCGGCCATTACAGGAACTCACAACAAGCAGGCAGAAGCCGTCTTTCGCATTTCCAATGATAGAAGTACTTTGTACAGCACACCGTGACATCTAAATCATGTCTATGATCTTGGAACTTCGTGCGGTGGACAAGATTTCGTTAGTCTTGCAAAAACACTCCAGATAGGATATTGGTCCCAGAAGGTCTGATACGAATATCCAGACAAATTCCCCAGACAAAACTGCAAAATTTGTCACCAATAATCCAGACTCGTCAGCCACCTACCTGAAATCAGGCATCCCCACCTATATTCGGGGGTCCTTTCCTACCGTGTCGAGCATCGTGTTCGCTGACGGGTCTGATGGGACCTGACTCAGTCGTCCATATTGCAATTATTATGTACCTCCGCAGTCCCACATTGCTGAGAGCCACGTAACGGTCTTGGCTTCAGTTCCAAGATCTTGAACTCCCCGCGTTGCCGTTGTGGACTTAATCTGCCAACCGTCGGCTGCTGTCCAGTGTCCTCGATGTACCTCGGTTTTGGTCTCACAACATTATCTTTCTGACCCGGAGCCATAGGGTTCACACATTTCCCATTCTCTGGAGCTTATTGTTTGTTATCAGCACCGGTTTTCAGACGGGGGTCCGTATAGGATCATTTTTTCATTCCCGGACTCGGAGCGCTAATCAAGGATTACTGTGAGCCTGTGGCGCAAATCAGGGGCCAACGTTGCCTTTTATGGCAATTGAATTCAAAAGGCGTGAAACCCGAGGAATCAAATCGTACGAGAACCGGTAAGGTTCGCCAGCAAAAATAGAGATCTCCGCTGTTCAGTTTAGAGACTATTGGATGTTGTCAGATACAGCAAGGAAAGAGTGCTATTTCTTAGTCACACGGCAGAGGTGTCCTCGTGTTTCTGACGCCACTAATGACGGTTGTACGGTCCTGTCTCCATTTATATTGTCCAAGTCATTATTGCCTCACGCCGCAAGTATGCAGGATCCGCTGTCATGTAAGGTATTTCAATCATCATTCGACAGGTGGATTAGTACCATACCAACAGGGGGATGGACTGGGAATAACAAGTCATACGTTGGCAAGTACATGTACCAATATATCTTTGACTGTTTCCCGCTCCCAAACGGTATCTGGATCATGCACGTCAACGGGCCCCTCTTCCCAGTCCGAATTCATCCCTTTAGGTATGAACCCCGGTAAACTCACAGCCCCACAAACCGCGCCACTCAAAATTTCATCCACAGGTGAATCCCTCACCCTAACCCGATGCGACACCACCCTCGGGAAAATCCTCGCCACATCCGCTTCGGACACATCCAGTTCTAGTGGTTCCTCATTCTTGATGGGCGTACTCTGCATACTGCGGTGCGTATGCACGCTAGTCACGTCAGGCACATGGAATGGCAGCGCGGAGCCATCGATAAGTGCTTCAAAGCTCTGCGTGCTCGTGCTCGTGCGGGTGTACTCCCGTTCGGTAAGGCTGTCCTCGTCAATGCGCTCGGTAGCACCGATCGCTACTTCCTTAATCAGCTCTGCCCCTGTTTGATCGACCCCGAGCACCCGAGCAGCCCGCGCAAGGACCTCCGCATCTTGGCGTGCACGGGCGGTGAGCATCATGGCGTCTAGCGCACCAAAATGCCGCGTCGCGGTAAATAGGTCTGCAAGGTAGATTTCCTAGCGGCGGGCGCATGCAAACTTCGGTGGCACATAGGTATTTGAGCCTTGCCAAGAACGCAGCAGGTATGACGGGCATGGAGCTGTGTGGTGGAGGAGGGGTTGGCGGGCCGGACAAAAGGACGTTTGGGAGCGAGTACCCTGGTATCGAGGGAGAGGAGAGCGCTGTGGAAGGCGTTGAGGCGCGGTGAGGTTGATATTGATGTATTGCGGTTCGCGTGGATAGTTGGACATTGATAGGCGTGCTCATAGCAAACCAGTCGAGCTGGAACAAATAAGATGAGACATGATGTTGCGTGAAATGTACATACCAAGCTGTTGTATATAGGAGGTTTCTCCTGGGGATCTAAGCAACATACATAAACCATGATAAAGTCATCTGGCAGATCAAACTGCAGTTCTGGCTCGACGTCTGAGTGGTTATCCCCCATAACAAGCTTCTTCTCCGCAAGAGTCCGCAGGACAGCACGCTGCGCAGGTAAACTAGCATGTTCTAATCCGGAGACGACAATTGCAGATGGTATTTTAAGTACATCTGAACTGACATGCGATGCATGGCGTTGGTGACCGGTCGTATTGCCACTAGAAACAAAATTAGGTACAGAGGGCTTAGTTTGGAGGCTCAGGCGCGTCGGCGTTGAGTGGGTTTCCGTGAATGGTCCGCCATCAGTTCCGGGGGTCAGATCATCAGAGGTTAGTTGCGAGGTACGCTGAATGGGCCGCGCAATGTCACTTGGAAAAGACATAGACCTCGGAAAAGAAGACTTCCTGCTACGTACGGTCGTGGATGAACGATGGTGCCTGTAGTGATTGTGCGGGGATGATAACGAACCATCGGTGGCAGGTGGCAGCTGGGGGTGGAAGAAAGAGATATCTCAGAAATTTAGCGGGTGTCTGAGACTTGGTATCAGCATGGCATCTAAGTTTGTGGGTGATGTAACCGAAGACCGACTGTGAGCGACTTAATGCGCGAGATATTATTGAGATGGCCGGTTTATAAGTTTCAGCATGCTCACTATAGTCGCAAGTCTGGACACAAGACCGATATCCTCTTCGCGGGTTCTCAGTATAAGATTTCTGTCCCCTGAAACAATACAGAGAAGTAAAACCTGATAATGATAGGTTCGAGTGGCAGACCGGGGGCAGCGGCACGGATATGGGCGAGCAAGGACGGCAGGAATAAAGTAGAACCAGGATTTGGCAGATTGTCAGGATCAATGATCGTCGCCATCGACTTGGCCAGTCAAGTAATAAGTACTTAGTCACGAGCGTGCGCCGTGGACGAGTAACGTACTTATTCAATACACACAGGATGGTGCCCTAGTGGTGACAGCAGCCCGTCGCGGAAGACTCGGGAAGGTCAAGTGACTTGGTTTGTTGATATGGTGATCTAGATTGCCAGCACTGTACTGCACTGAGTTAATTACGGTTTACTTGTTTGCTTGCGGCGACAGATTACTCACGCAAGCTTAGCGCCTTATTTTAACTAGGGACATCCAGTTTACATGAAGCAGTCATTGTGACAAGTATTTTCTAACTTGTCGCACGGCGTTTCATAGCGTCCTAGTCTGGACCTCGAGGCAGAATTTGCAGCCGAATGGTGAGCGTCTTTCTTCTTCAATTTCATGCTGTTCCTCAGCGCCATTTTCTTCTTATAACTTGCTTTGTTCGCACACCTAACTTTTATTCCCCTCATCGTAGTTCTAGGTCACCCATCGGATGAATGGCAGGTAACTTATCCCAGTTCTACGTCGAGGATGATTCGCCGGAGATTGTCTACTTCCCATTCGTGGACACAACTCTCAGCCCAAACCCTTCTGCAGGGTGGGAGCAGTTCTACTCGGGTTCAGGTGCTTCTTCTTCTCCGGGTCAGGTTGGCGCAGGAGACAGTATACACTTCACCAACCTCAATGAGGCAAGCTTTATGATTAAATGGAACTGGTGAGCACAGCTCTCGCAAAATCAACTTATCAAAATTATGAACTAAGTCGCTCATCGTTTCCCCAGGCACTGGTATCGATCTCCTGGGTAATACTCATGAAGCAACCTATCAAATCACATTGGACGGAATTGACATATCTCCAAATACATCTGACCCGGATTCCATCCTTGCATCCTTTCACGATTTAAACAACACAAATCACACCTTGTTATTGACGACTATCACGAACCAAACTACTCCAGACTCATATGTGGCTTTCGACAAGGCTCTCATTACCTATACAGCCCCCCTTGGCGTTGTCAAGTGAGCTTTTTGCTGTCTCATCGCCATAGCCATGGCGCTTGTTCTCTCGTTCCTGGTATGCTGATAATATCATTATCAGCTCAACGGCCAACTCAACGACCATCGACGACGATAATGACATCGCATTTGTGGGCCGGTGGAGTTATGTCACTGACAGCACGGGAAGTTCCATGCATATGTCTAATACTGCCGGTGACCGCGCTCAGACGACCTTCGTAGGCAAGTTGTCACGTTCTACTTCTTTGCTAGTTATGTTGGTCTTATTATGTTCCTAATCTGATTCCAGGATCGGCCTTAACTGTTTACGGCCTCGTGTCTTCATATTCCGGAAATTATTCTGTCACAATCGATAACATCACCACCACCTTCTCCGCTCTATCCTCGTACAATAATTCAAATGCACTGCTCTTCTTCGCAACCGATTTGCCTCAAGATATTCCTCATACACTCATTCTCACCAACACTCAGAACACAACTTTTGCTCTGAGAGTTGGCGGGATGAATGTCACTACGTTTGGCAATATGACCATGTGCGTCGCGTTCTTCTTCAGACTGCTGCCCAGATACTGACCGACAGAAGAAGTACCACCTCTACCTTGGCTTCGTCAAGCAGCCCAAATCATCGCGGAATCATTGCTGCTATTGTACTCGGTGTGGCTCTATCGGTCATCCTGGCATGCATCCTCGTATACTGGCTATTTGTTGTCCGCCCCCGTGCTCGTAGGAGGCGGAAACCGCCATCGAGCTCCTCCCGCCGCCAAAGCAACAGGAACGTGACGGACTCAGAATGCGTCATTGACATTAGCTCTCCAGGCGAGGAAGAGACCGAAATGGCAAGCTTGAGTACCAGCAAAGGGTACGGATTCGGGCTCGGCTTGCAACGCACTTTCCCTTTCTTCCACAAAACAAAAAGCAGAGGCAGTAGCAGCGGCCATGGTGACAACACACGGTCGCGTTCCGTGTCCCACGTTGCAATTCCTCATGAGGAACGAGACCACGACAAGCGCTTGTCGACCAACACACTCACCGTAGAATTCACTGCCTTGGGTTTTCCACCGGAATCTGAGAAACTAGCGCCAGGTTGGAGCAATCCTGTCGCGCACACGTTGTTTGGTTCCATGGGGAAAGGACACATACAAATGGGAAATCACAGAGTGACACTTCCGAAATTGCGTGTGGGAGGGGTGGGCGCGGAGGACGTGTACGATGACGATGATGCGGATGCCAAGACCCTCACATCACGGCAAGATGAAACACTTGTTGCGACGCTCTCCCTCAGCCCGCGGACGTCGGAAGCGCCAGGCCTCTTCTCTTCCCCGTTGCGCTCAATTACGGGAATAGAGGGTGCCGTAACGGAGGAGGATGGCAGGGAGTCTGCGTCTTTTCGACGGGGCTCACGACTTCTGGAAGTGAGAGAGACGAGCCCGTTCAGGGTAGATGTGGGAGCTATTCTTGGCCAGCTTACGGGACGTCAGGACTCACGACGGACGAGTGTGAGCGGGGCTAGTAGTTGGTCTCGGGTTTGTGCCAGACTCTACCGAAAAGCCCACAGAGACGATGGGAAGCAAAGCATCCACGAGGACAAGCCTGAGAGCTCCAGTCCTGAGTCGGTCCCGGTTATCATGCTCCACTCGGAATCAGAGTCGCCTCCGAGCGAGAATGCGCCTGCCTCAGGAACCTACTCATTTCTCGACTTCACCTCTTCGCATCATTCGTCGTTACGTCGGCAATCGAAGGCCACTACGCTAAGCTCAGCTGCAGCTGAATTGGGGCATAGCGGGGACCACACGCCATGGAGCGATAATATGTCCATGCGGATGGTGCGCATTGAACGTGATAGACCTAGTGAAACAATGCGTCCTGGACCTGATGCTCCTTACACTGCGTCTCAGGGGTCTCACAACGGAACTCCTTCAGATAAATCCAATGCTCATTCCTCGCCGTCTGCACCCGCTACACACACTACTCACGGATCCTCATTTCCCTTCCCTATCACTATCCCGCCTTCATCACATATGCCACACCCCTTTAATATTGACTACCAGCGCGAAAGCGAGCACGAGGAACTCCACTCCTTCTCACCCCCTCGTCCACCATCACCCCCAGAAATCCAGCAGGTGCTGGCACCTCCGAAACCCCTACGTTCAAGTATCCCACCAGACGCGAGCTCTCCCACAGAGAGCATACCTTTCTCTGTATCTGTATCAGACTGTCTATTTCCGCCACAGTCATTCCGAATACACTGACATTGACTCGCGAAGGAATAGCGCAGCCTCCGCCCTACCTCCACATCCGCCTCTCCCTAGCTCGCAGCCGAACTCCCCACCGCCGTACATTGTGCAGCGTGTGCTCGGAATGACACCCGTTACTTCACACACTCCTGCGGCCCGTCTTGCGGCTGGTCATGCAACCCATTCACCAACAATTGCAGAGCGGATAGTTCGTCCTGTAACATCCCCTCGAGGATCTGCTCCCAGAGCTCCCTATCGGGTGGGCTCGCTGATTGGTCCCAGACCTCGGCCTTCGACATCCGGGTCGTCAGGCTTGCAACTACCATTACAAGGCTCGTGGAGTCGTGGACAGCGGAGTGAATCAGATGACAAGCAGCCGTCTTCTCAGAGATAAAGATGAATTTCTTTGGACGATATCTCTGAAGTCCTCTCATTTACAATGATTTCTGGAGATACCCCTTCTGCACTGATCATGCTCTGGTCTGAAAAATCTAGCAGACCGAGCTCGTTGTCGCTCGCTTGGGTCATCATTCACGCATCTGTACCCTACCGCAATACTATTTTTCATTGTTACAATTTTAGTTTTTCGGTGGTGATGTGTATATTTCCGCCGGGCCGAGTACAAAGTATTAGAAGTTAGGAAGTTGGTAAGGTCTCCGATCGCCGCAGACCGAAAGTGACGAAACGCCTGATATCAGAGAAGACCTCTCGTTTCTGTGTGGGTTCTAGTCCCCTGGAAGTGCTTCCATCAGTGCTGGATCCCGTCGGTGGTCCACTCAATGGCGGAGACCCAAGTGACCCGAATATATCCGATACAGTGCCCACTCCACCTGGAGCGATTGACAGTGGCAGCGTGACTCTGCTGGAGCCTGGGCTGCCGAGCGTCGCGGCGAGCGTCAAGGGGGGATCCATATCGAGAGTGGAAAGGAATGATGTGCTGTCTAGATCTGTCTTGGTGCTCGTAATGGTGAGGAATGAATCGAGAAGGCTGTTCTGCTCGGCCTTCGGTGTACCTTTCAGATCAAGGATCTAGTAACAGGAAAAATGAAGACAGGAGTTAATTAACGAACTGCTGCGAGGTGATGTCAATGGATCCTGACCTTTTGGAAATTTGAAAACGAAGCATCGCCAATGAGGAGAGTGTAGTTTAGAATAAAACCTTCTGGAGGGTCCTGATGGCATGTGAGTGACAGAACAAGGGTGGGAGATGTAAAGGTAGTTACCACCGGTGTCACAATGACCTTGAGCAGAGCCTCGAGCCTCGTGGTGCTCTTTGTAAGGCTGCGGGTATATCTATGAAATAAGGTTATGAGCTAACCTTTCTCAAGATACAGGAGGTTATTCTTACCCCTGCGTTACTATTGCTTCACCTGGCAGTCGCATGAGGTAAGATTTAATAACACCCAGATCGATCAGTAGCTAAAATATTTTGGGTTAGGTTGATGGAGAACAGATCAACTTCCAACGTACCTGCTCTCCGCCGATCTCTCTCAAAGGTCGACTCTTCACTACTGCGTTCGTGAACTTCATCAGGATAAGACTTTTGTGCATTTATCAGCATCTTTCCCTCCCAGAAGTACACAACCAACCTGCATGCCTTATCGAAGAAATTCCTCAAATATTTCTTTTGTTCGATCAATGGCTTTATAGTCTCGCAAAAGCTTTCAACGGCCTGAGCAAGATCGTCTACGTATGAAGACTGTCCAGTGACCTGGTTCAGTTTCTCCCACGACATACGGGACAATGTCGTGAAAGCACCCTCGCAGGTAGCCTCCAACTCTCGCAAAAGCATCGTGATAGACACAGAAATAGCACTGGCTTCGCGTTAGCGATCAGAGATAGACAACAAAAACAGCAGGAATACCTCATGAACAAGTCGCGTTCTGCCTGCAATGTTACTTTCTCTTTAAAGCTGTCTTTGATTTTCTCTTTGATTTTCTCTTCGAGCTATATCCGGGAAATTTGCTAAATACAAACTTCACGCAGCTGCGGTGGACTGACCTCCAGAGCCGTAGTTTGACAATAGTCTGCTGTATTGATCAACAGGCCAGCCTGTTGTAAATCCGCAACATCAAAACGCGAGTCCATAGACCTCCGGGTTTGTGTTATCGGGCTGCAAACGCGTTAGATGTTTGATCCAGCAGTCTTTGGCTACATGTCACAAACCGTTTTGACCGTGGTGCAAGGACGTCCTCTATATTGCAGATCAGAACCATAACTATAATAAATGCCCAGGTCATCTCACCCGCATATATGCGCAGCCACTTCTTGTGTAGCGTACACAAATCAAACAATGTCTGTCCTGTCGAGAGTTTGGCGCATTGCTCAAGACTCTGGCCGTAAAAGTAAAATAGCTCTGTCGACGAAGAGAGTACCGTCTGTGGGGGACCTGCGTCCGCATCTGTAGAGACAGAAGCGCGCGGGGTGGCATCAAGGGATGTTCGTGGCTTTCCCTTCGAATGCGATCCTCGGTGAGCGGCAAGCATGTCAGCAAGAGCCCTAGAAAGAGTATATCATAAATACGGCAAATATAGACACTAGGAAAGGGAAACACAGACTTGTCTTGAGCATCAACAAAGACACCAAGATGTGGTTCAAAGACAGCGGACATCGACTGAACGGGCGCTGAAGATGGAGGCGAACTTGCTCCCAATATCTCATCGAGCTTTCAAGGGTCTAACATCAACAAGGGAGTGAGATAAGCTTGGCATTGACATACTGGCGTTAACCACTTCTTTGCCATGGACGATTCGAATTCGATTGTCTGCTGTAGGGCTTCGAGCAGGGCTTTGATTGTCAAAGAGGAGCCTGCTTTAGAAAGCAATGCTGCAAGGTCATCTCTGAGGAAATAGAGATCTCAGTCAAGACTGCATATGCCGTGGCGAGACAAACCTTGTGATAACCACAAATTTCGTGAACAGCGCCCATCCCACCTTCCACTCTGAGGGGAATACGCGGCCCAATTCTAACTCGTGCGTTCCGAGCACGCGTCTAAACCACGCGTACCTCCTGCTTATATTGTCTAGGTGTCCTGCCTCGTCTGTGGCACGGAAGATGCGCCGATACTCCTTCAGTTCAAGTGCAACATAACGATCGATCAAGTGTCTCTGAACGTCAGGGCCTAAAACATCAGCGACAGCACAGGCATCTATGATCTGAGCAGGTTTTGAGGGTTTGGCGGGGTCCTGGAGGTAGCTAAACACAAGTCACAATTCGAGGTCTCAGCAGACTCAAAAAGTGACTTACAATGCGTCAAACTCTGCTTCGAGTTGAGCGCGAATCTCGCCCTGAATTTGCTGTACCCGTTTCCATACCTGATTGATGCGGTGGACAGAGATGTAAGGTTTAAAGGAGGCAGATATCTGTTTCACAGCCTGCGGACGAGTCAAGAGGACTGCTGCAAAGTAAGACAGACGAAAACGAACTGCAAGCGTCTGGGCAATCTCTCCATATCTCTTCTCTTTCGCTTGGTCTTCCAATTGTGTCAGTGCATTTACTTTGAAGTATCAGCAGGAATATTTGCGACAGCGACGCCAAGAAACATACCCAGCATTTGCAAGCGCTTGAGTGTTGTCATACTGAGGATGAGGTTCTTTTTCGCAAGGTCAAGAGCCTGGATATCTTTCGTGATATCGCGCACGACAGCCTCGGATTCCGTCGCTTTCTCCCGAATGCGTGACATTTGCCCAAGGAGGTCCTGTCATAACACTTCAATAAGGACTCCAGCAGTTGGACAGTAAGCATACCGAAATCATTTCCTGAATCATCTGCATACGATTGGGATCCTGATCGCGCCTTAGCTCTTCCTTGAGGGCATCAATTTCGCGTTGCAAGTCACGTTCATTTTGAGTCAGTCTCGCTTGAACTGTTTCCAGCTGGCTCAGCGAGGCCTCTGTACCTGGTTCAGTTGGCACAATTTACACATCAATACCGACATACCATCTGGGAAAAGCTGGTTCAGCATATCTATTGGGTTAAACTCATTCGACAGTACATCAAGGGGGTCGTTCTGGTTCTCTGGATTGAGCTCGAGGATGCGTTGGATTGCAACAATGACCTCTTGTGGAAGTTCAGCATGTCCATGGCGTCCGTGCGTCGAACGTGCGGACATGCGAGGTGATAACCCTGCAGAAGAGCTGCTAAGAGCAACTGTTCTGCGTAGTGTTAGCAATTCAGGTCAATTTGATTGCTTCCGGTCAAGCGTAGGGTTTGCCAAATTCAGCGACCTGAACTTCTGTGACGTGATTCTGAAGATGCATTGATCAGCGTTTTACACCATGTCTGCCAGCATGAGTCCTGACAGTGACACCAGGAAGGAGGTTATCTCTACCTACCACGACCATCCCAGATTCATTTGCGCAAGCTGTTCAGCGGTGCTGGTGCGTGATGATGTTGAAAAGGTTAAATCCACGCATTCATCATGATTATGCATCTTCAGGCGTTGCAGGACGAGCTTATTAGCAAGTCATTCTCAGGCAGAGAAGGCAGAGGCTTGTCAGTAACAAACAATTCTATTAATCACCAAAATCGGTGACATGATTTCTCTCAACCCAGTCTCATGCACTCAGCGATCAATGTGAAGCTGGGAAAGAAAGAAGACCGCCCACTTCTGTGAGCATACAACCCTTGCTGTCTGCCCCCTTTTATCAGCCGTGGTTCTTAGCACAGGTGTCCACACCGTTGCTGACATCTTCTGCATGGGGTGCAATGATCGTGTTGGATGGTACTATCATAAGGCAGCCGATTTATCTCAGAAATATAAGGAAGGTCGGTCCTTGTACAGATCGTGGTTTACTACTGTCTTATGTGCTATAGGAAAGTACCTTCTTGAACGCGAGAAAATTGTGAAGGAGAATAACTGGAAGTTGGATGAATGATTTACGACCTATTGCAAGCATTTCTACTACAGTTTGTATAATGGGCCATGCTGATAGAAGATATACTCTATACATCAAGCACGCCGCTCGGTGTCAATTGCCTTTGTTGTACGTGCCATTGATATATCAACTTCTGTTTGCTTATGGCTCTTTGCTACACACATCACTAGAACTACCTGCTTTGGAACTGCTTCGACTCATATTACTATCATCCGCAGAAAGTGCGTCCAGAGGTCGTGTGTCTTGTTCGCAGCATCTCCGTCATCAAGGCCATCTCACTTGGTAGGGTCGGCTGCGTGTTCCGCCGCAGATTGACAGTCACATTGACTTCGACTGCTCACGGGTGAGAGGTCGTGAGAGGCGATCACGCCAGCTCCCTAACCGAGTTGACGCTGGATCCCTGCCCAACCAGGATTATGATAATCTGGGCGGAGTAGTTAATGACACCAGGTGATCAGGGACAGATGGACCGTGACTAGATGGTAAGTTCAGGACATATCACAAGGAATGCTCAAACGAGATTCATTGAGGGTTCAAGGGTTGATGCTAGCCGTTCTTCATGGAAACTGAACGCATGTCACCGTAATTATAACATAGCCTCTCACAGAGTAGCAGACAGCCAGACTTAGCCCGATCAGCAGGGTTATCATCTTACCGGAAGATAGACGACGTCAACCTGTCGAAATACTTGGACGCGCGCACGTTGTTCTTTACACGTTGTTCCTTGGTCGTTATATGGGCGACTAGTAGATAGCCATAACCTAGTAGGTCCGGTATCAAAACTATGCAACATGAAACTCAGGATTGCGGGTCAAGAGTGGCCAGCTTTGGGATCTTCAAGCATCACTCATGGAGATAGATGGAAAATGAGGCACTCCTCATTCCTGAATCCTGGGCCTGAAGATAGGTTAAAAAAATACGTGCGATGTTTGTGCTTTGAAGCGGTCCGACAGGGTCCGTGGGATGAGTGTGTCTTATCACCTGGCTGCCCATTGGTTGTTTCGATGGATTACAGCAAGATCAATCAAAGATCAAATTGATCTTTTTTTTAATCTGGCACGGTGCAGCGCATATAAAAGCTGTGTCTCCTTGGTTCTGTATTCCATACATATGGTATCTCGTCTTTACAGTGAGTTGTTCTCTTTGACTGGTTTCATTCAGAAGCAGTACTAGATCACAATGCTTGCAGCTGGTCTTTTCGCCGTCAGTAGCTCCAGCTCCGGAAAGAAGGTTTGTATCAGGTGAAATTCCTGACTCGTCCATTGTGCTCATCCTGTCTATAATGAAGCCTCCGTGATGCCCTCAATCAACACCATTGCAAAGCTGTTATCCTCCCGCTCCTCCCTTGGAAATTTAGAAAAGCATGGGCCTGATATAGCTGCTCTAGACATCGAGAGTAGCAAGTCGCCCGTCCCGCCAACACCGGTCGGAAGGGAGGAGCAGGAGCAGCTCATCTGCATCACACTCAGTCGTTTCGCGCAGATTCCGGTGTCGGCTATTTTCGCGTATGTCCAGCATTTCTACCACATGTCCTTTTGTTTATCTCTTCGTTTTCCCCTCCTTAAGATTGGAATCCAGATGGAGCCCCGGCGGCCTTTCTGATGAGCAGGCTTCACTGATACTCGAAACTCATGGACCTAACACACCTGTGGCGGAACGTCCTCTCGCTGCGCTGAAGATGCTTTGGGCGGCCATCGTCAATCCATTCAACATCCTTTTGACCATCCTCGCGATTGTCAGCGCTGCCACCCAACAGATCCCCACGTTCGTCGTCATGATGGCAATGGTATTCGCTTCAACCGGCTTGAGGTTTGTGAACCCTGTCTTCTCTATCATGAGATAATCTGACGTCGCCCCAGGTATTGGCAAGAATTGAAGTCCATGATTCAAGCAGTCAATCTGATCAAGTCAGTCACGACGAACACTCGTGTTCTTCGTTCCCGAGGCTCTAGCTCGGAAGAGCTCGAAATCGATCAGCGGCACGTTGTTCCGGGTGATATCATAGCTGTGACCAGTAGGTTATTACCTTTATCTTCTCATCATTTTAGACTAACTCTAATAATAGGCGGTGATGTCTTCCCCGGTGATTGCGTTCTCATCTTGGCCGAGGCTATTACAATCACCCAGGCTTCGCTTACGGGGGAAATGATGCCCATCGAGAAAACCGTGCGCCTTGCTGCCGCACGTCCTGAAGAAAAGCTTGATTTACTGCACAATGATAATGTTTGTCTCGCGGGCACATCTGTTGTCACGGGAAATGGACACTGCACTAGTCGTCTCGACTGGCAAGGATACCTACATGGCTGCTATCGCCAGCGAGCTCTCCAAACGGCGACCGGAAAACGCTACTCAGATCGGCATCAAGAAAGTCAGTTATGTCTTGATGGGCTTCATGGCTGTGGGTCGATATTTCATCGGATTTTATTTAATGAAACTGACTTCTCTGAACAGGTCATGGCCCCTCTCGTATTCATCGTTCAGGGTGCCGTTAGCAAAGACTGGAAGGGTGCGGTCATGTTCGCGATCGCTGTTGCAGTTGGCATTACTCCAGAAATGTTGCCAATGATTGTGGTACGTACCAATCGCTTTCTGGTGCTGTGGCTCTCAACGACGCTCGTGATATAGACGTCCAACCTTGCGTTATCTGCTGTTCGTGTGGCACGCAAAAAAGTCATCGTGAAGCGTTTTGATGCGATCCAGAACCTTGGCGCAGTTCGGGTTCTTTGCTCCGACAAAACAGGGACGCTTCACCGCTGACCTCGTGCGCATTTCAATGTCCACGACGGGCGCAGGAGACCTTTCACAACTTCCCTATCAAGTTGGCTTTCATCAATTCCTCACTGCAGACCGGTTCCCGCAGTCCAATCGACCGCGCAATCGTTGACTTTGTTAATGAAAGCGAGCAGGACATCTTCATAGACATTCTCGGAGATGGCTGGGTCAAGCAGGGCGAAGTTCCTTTTGATTCGTCACGCCGCCTTCTGTCGGTTTTAGTTTCGCGACCTGGTGGCGATGGCTCTGAGGGGCTGTTGATCACAAAGGGCGCAGTCGAAGAAGTCTTGGACCGGTGCGTGTCAGCCTACAACCACACGCAATCTCCTTCCTCAGATGTCTCGGAACCGCTTGGTTTGGATCTTTCCCCCTCAATGACATTAACCCTCACAACAGACGAGCGGCGGAAGATTCTCAATACTGCCGAGCGTTTGAATGAGGAGGGATTGCGTCTTGTCGCTGTGGCCTGCAGAGAACAACTTATCAAGTCGTTCACGACTATATCCTCCGATGATGAGAGCGAACTTACCTTCGTTGGCTTCCTTGGGCTGCTTGATCCATTGAAACCGGATGCCGCCCAGGCAATCAAAGATTTGGCCAAATTGAACGTACAAGTATGTACCTCATCCGCGCTTTCCTTTATATAGCAATTGATCTTGCAATTTAAAACAGGTACGAATCCTCACTGGCGATGCTCCTACTGTGGCCGCAAAAGTGGCTCGTGACCTCGGGCTTATCCCAGCGCCTTGCCAATCGTTCACTGGCAAGAACGAGAAGGATGTTGAGGCTTCTTCCTCCTCTAAGGGCGAGGAAGGGCTCATTCTCACTGGCACCCAGCTTGCAGCCCTTGCAGATGATCAAGATGCCTACAAGGATGCTATTGATCGCTGCATCATCTTTGCCAAACTCTCGCCTTACCAGAAGCTTGAAGTCGTGAAAGCTCTGCGTTTGGGTGATGGTGGGAGAGCAGTCGCCTTCTTGGGAGACGGGGTCAATGATGCTCTTGCTATACGCGGTGCTGACGTCGGGATCTCGGTGGATTCAGGAACCGAGATTGCGAAAGAAGCGGCAGATGTGATTTTGCTTGAGAAGAGCCTGGGTGTCGTCGTTGACGGTGTGATCGAGGGGAGAATTACGTGAGTGCATTTGGGGGTGGGTTTTGGAGCAGACCACTGAATGAGAAACTCAGGCTCATTAACACGATCAAGTACATCAAGATGGCAACCTCTTCTAACTTCGGTAACATATTTTCGGTCTTGGGTACGTGTCTGTGTTGATATTTCATATTGATGCCTATTGATGCGGTATGTTTTTGAAGTTGCTTCGGCTTGGCTTCCATACCAGCCCATGCTCCCGCTCCAGCTACTCGTCCAGAACCTGCTGTATGATTTCTCCCAGGCTTCGATCCCCTGGTGTGTATCGTCACAATCTAGTCGAATATTTGACGCTTATCAGAGTATATCAGGGACAACGTTGACCCTGAGTACTTGGAGTCACCAAGGACATGGGGAGCGAAATCGATCATCCGTTTCATGGTTTGCATGGGTCCCTTCTCAAGCCCTTTTGATATCATCACCTTCTGCATCAACTGGTGAGTAAATTCTTTCACGATCAACAATAGTCCATTATCCTGCGGCTCCAGGTTCCACTATGGTATCCGTACGCTTGACAGCCCACTTGTCCCTCGTGCACAGACGGATTGGTTCCTCGAGGGGTCCCTGACACAGGTGCGATCCTAATTAAGTTCCACAAATGCGACATATGCGCTGACGACCAAGGAATAGCTGTTCATTATCCACTTTCTGCGAACAGGCAAGATCCCCTTCATCCAGTCTCGCGCGTCGGCTCCAGTCGTTTTCACCACCTTCGCTATCGCTGGCATTGCTATTGCAATCCCATACATTCCCAAGGTTAACACTGCCCTACAGCTAACCCCGCCTGAGCCCCTCTTCTTCGCGTACCTATCAGCGATGGTGATCGGCTATGCATTGGTCGTGCATGTTGCCAAAACGCTTTATCAACTTGCGTTCAAGGAGTGGCTCTAACAGAATAACTGTTTGTTGAGGTTTATAACGTCGTAGGGTTAACGGGGTTGTGCTGTGGATTTTACAGTGTTAATGGCATTTGCGCCACTTTTTCCATTCTAGAGTTCATCGAATTTAAAGGATAGACTTCAATGCAATCAAATGTTTCATTCATCGATCTGAATAGCTTGGCTAAACAGTGTGGCAATGAGCTCACGAGTACTTTAGCAAGAAAACATTCATGGCATTGAAGTTCAATTACCGTGGTCTTGTAAGATACATGAATAATTGGAGTCATGATGGTTCGTTAGGCATGATTTGCAGAACATGCCTAGGAGGTATTTTTCCCAGAAGGGAAGGGTGAAAAAATTCGTGCAAACCGAGTCTGCGCTGCGGCGCATCGTCACTTCAAGTGCACACTTCAGTCTGCGCCGTGCTGAGAAACAAACGATGACGCGGATCACAAACTTTGGTCGAAAACGCACGCATGTGCAAGCGGGTTTCACTGACGATTCACCTGTCGAAGAACCAGGGCCACAAGCTTCAACGTCTACTCTACCATCCGAGAGCCAGCCACACGCCGATCAAGCTTCTCCAAAAAAGAAAAGAAAACGAACAAAGAAACCAAAAGAACCCAGTGACGGTAGCGGCGAAAGAGCTGGGTCGACTGAGGATAAGGCACAGGATGCGGAGGGTTCTGAGAAAGCCAAAGTTGTGCCCAAGAAGAAACTGAAGGATAAACGGAAGCCCAAAGGTAGTACTTTCGTTACGAGGAAAATTTGCCTCATGTAGTGAACGCTTTCAGCTCGGCCAGATCCTGGCCAACGTTCCGAAACGAGACGCCAGAAACGAATCGCGGAGAGACATGCAGATACGACTTGTTTTGCATGTCGCCAAAAAGGCCACGCTGCAAGAGATTGTCCAACCACACGTAACGAAGCCCGTGCTGGTGGTCCGAGGAGACAAAGTAGTGTTGGTATATGTTATCGGTGCGTCCCCTTTCTACTTTGTCCCTTCGAACGACGGATCAAACGGGGCTTGGTTAGTTGCGGTTCAAATCAGCATAATCTCTCGCGATGTAACGCCCCAGAAGACCCTCACAATCCCCTTCCATTTGCATCGTGTTTTGTGTGCTCTGGTAAGGGTCACCTGGTATCATCTTGTCCACAAAACAAGGACAAGGGCGTTTATCCAAATGGAGGCTGCTGCAAACTTTGTGGCGAAACGTCTCATTTAGCCAAGGACTGTGGACTGAGAAAGCAAGGCATGTATTTTAGAACTAATCCACCGTGATCGACTGAGTGACATGTATACGATGCAGCTCAATCTGGAACCGCGACTTTCCTTGGGACGGGGCATGGTGCCGGTGCTGATGAAGACGACTTCCACACGTTCAAGCGGCGGAATGCGGACGTAGACATTGATATAAAGAGAGACGAGAGAGCAAAGAAAAAGGCCGATGTAAAGGTCGGACCACACACAGGAACGGTGAAAGCATTTGGCTACTCCTGTCGGAAACTCTGGGAAGGTGAAGATCGTTTACTTTTAAGTACCAAGATCTCTTATAGGCCAACTGATCATCGAGTTTGGTTTATTTCGTAAGTTCTGTGACGACTTGGGTCTAACACCTGAAGCTAGCGTGATCCATCATATTCTTATTCTTATTCTTGCAAACTATCAGGGGAACCTGCGCGGAATCGAACTCGTACCTCTTGTGTCGAAAGCTGATCTATCTCCATTAGATGAACATGACGTCACGAGATATGGACAGATGATCTGTTGTGGACTTACTCTCATGATGCTAGTAGACCTATATACAAGACATGCAAACGCCACCCTATGAGCCTCGAACCTTCCACTATACTGAGTCCTGTCAGCTCTGCAAGACCGACTCCTGTCATGAATCTAGCGCCGAAATTGATTTATGGGACAGCATGGTGAGCATTGAGCCGGCCAGAATGCGGTATGCTGAATTGGCAAGTAGGAAGGGGGAGAAAACAGCTCACCTTGTAATAAGCGCCTTCCTCCAAGGCTTCCGAGCTGTAGATACAGGTGGGTGCCCAGGCCGGCTGAATGTTGCTCACCGTGAACATTGAGTAGCATGTCAGCCAAAACACTACAGGTAGGCACTGCATTGTATTTTACTTGGTTCATCTAATGTTAGACATGTCCACAGGGAAGATCTTGTGGGGGAGGCCTTGGAGGTTCTTCAAGACAAGCATAACATAAAGCGGGAGGATATCTACCTTCAAACAAAGTACGTCAACTCTCCGGGTTTCCCTCTAGCAGCTTGAAGTGAAGTTTCCTCATAGGTTCACCCCCTTTCCTGGTCAAGACCCAACCAAGCCCCTCCCATATAACCCTCAAGACAGTATACCTGCCCAGATCAAAAGTTCCCTTTCCAAATCACTGGCTAACTTGCATACTTCATATCTCGACGCTTACCTTCTCCACTCTCCTCTCCGAACCTTGCCCTTAACGATCGAAGCCTGGCGTACGCTTATGGCTGCGCAAGATCAAGGGACTTTGCGCACCATTGGGATTAGCAACGTGTACGATGTCGGAGTACTGAAGGCGCTGGAAAGAGAAAGGAAGGTGCAGATCGTACAGAACAGGTGGTATGAAGGCAATGCCTGGGACAAAGAGGTCTGGGCGTATTGTAAGGAGAATGGGATTATCTACCAGTGCGTTAGCTTCAAATTGCAGAGTTGTTCTGTTGACAGTCGATCAAATAGGTCGTTTTGGACACTGACGGGTTCCCCGGAGTTACTGACGCACTCGCACACCAGTTCTCTTGCCGATAAGCTGGACGTCACGGCTGCGCAGGTACTTTTTAAACTCGCGCAACTAAACAACGTCGTACCCCTCAGTGGAACCACAAGTGAGCTGCACATGCAGCAAGATCTCGCCGCCGAGCGCATAGTGTTCAAGGAGGAGGTGCTGGACGATTATAAAAAGATCGTAGATCTGATATGGAAATGAGGAGGAAGACAATGCATGCTGTTAGACCATTTTTTCTACCTGCTTTATTTTGAAGATCAGAATAGAATACCGATACTTATAAAGTTCTGTTGTTCTGACAATTCCGCAAGAAAGTGGGCCATGACCAGTGACTAGTCATTGCATGTCCTTCCATTAGCTAATGGTTTAAATCGACGAGTGTTCCATGTAGAACAGCCAACCTAATGCGATACCGGTATATTTAACGTTGCGATACCAATTGTTTAACTTTGCTGAACGAGAAAGAGAACAGGGAGGACCGTCAACAAAAGACATAACCACTGAGCACTCAGTACTCAATGTCTGAATCAAAGCCGGACACGAAAATCTAGATCTCAATGATCGGAAAGAAACTTCCACACCCCTTTAACAGAGTCCCAGACTCGAATGGGAGGGTTGTAGTCAAAAACACTCCTCTAGGGATCTATATCTCTGTTTTATAGATATATTTGTCGATCGCGACATTGAACGTCTGTCGGTTGCCACAGTAAATAAATTTGTTTCTCGTGATGACCACCAACACGCAGTAATGGGTGACTTCCCGTAAGGTTTTACAGACGAATCTCTCATGCCTTAGCCGAATAGCCGCGCTGGATTTGGAAGGTAGCTGTCAACGCCTGTCAAACGGCACTCGTCTGTAAATCTGCCAATCTGTGGAGGGGTAGCTACCCCTCCATAGAGCTACCCCTCCATAGATTTCTGTAAATTGTCGGAGCGCACTAAATGTCTGATTCGGGTAATTTTTAGATGGTTCGCTCACGGAGTTGTCGTCTGGATCATTGGTGTTGTTCCCAGTCCATCGTCTTGCTGAGTTCATACGGTTTACAGATTCTGTCCGTAAATTAGCCGATGTCGAGCGGTCAAACTTTTACAGACAAGCTTGTTTCTGTAAATTCTTACGGGAAGTCAACCAATATCACGGCGTACAGTAATTAATGACTCAGAGGCTTCAGAGAGGCAGGCATGAAAAATAGGCTTCTGGAAGTAAAGCTCTAATGATCTTCTGCGTAAAAACGTTTTACTCATCCCGTATCGTTATCGTCGTGGTCTTGACGTGAGTTTGTCCATCGACCGTTGAATAGCGGCGAAAGCCTCGGAGAGCATATCCTGATCCATATCATCAAAGTCTCGCCGCGCGGCTCTACGTGTCTTGGCCGCTGCAGCCGCTTTCTCTGCCTTCTTTTCGAGGCCTTGATAACTGTTCAACAGGGATCGTAGCAGCCTTGAATGAAACCTCACGCTGGATTTCCACCGCATTGCTTGTCGATGTACTCTGAACGTCTTCCATCGTCTCGACCTTCTGAGTTTTACCATATCTTCGTAGCAACGAGTCCATAGACCAGCGTTGTAGCTGGACGAGCGCTGCAGGTACGAACTGCAGCGCGCGCCCTCGCGCCTTGAACGTTTCATGCAATTCTTCGGTCTTTATAGCAAATCGAATGTCGCGCCGCGTGAGCCCTGGAACCTTTTTGAACTCGTGTTTTCCATTTTCTAAGCGGTGGAATGTGTACGCTGAATGCGTGTGCGTGAAAATGAGGACGGTGCTATACTCGATCACGATCCGCGCATGATGCTAGTTTAGATGTGACGAGTCAATTATCTTGGAAAGTGCGGGGGAACTTTGATACGTGCCTTTTCTTCCCGTGAGATGTCCGCGACTCCCTGAACAAAGTCCATGACATCGTTAAAGCCCTTGAACTCGTAACGCCTATTCAGAGAAAGCACTTCGTCTTCACCGACTCCTTTGACACGATTGACTTTCCACTGACGCGAAATCAATGGTTGGATATACGTTGTGACATCGTCCGGGGATATGTGGAGGGTTGGTTTAGCGGGAAAAGGTGGTATTTCTGGAAGATCCTGTACTTCGAGAGGGTGCTTCGAGGGTTGCTTCGGAGTGAAAGTGTCTAAACATACGAAATGCTTAAACTTCTTCAAAGCTATCGTAGATCTGGGTAATACCTGTTGAAGAGGAGCTCTCTACAGCTGGTCATTACTCATCGTTGTGACGCACACCTACGAACTCACCGGAGATCACCTTGTCCCCTTCTCGAAAACCGTCGGATTTGGTCTCTTTGATATTGCTAGATGAACTTGCATAACCTCGGACACCATACTGTATGTGTGCCTGGCGCCATGATGTTCCCACCTCGACTACTGGTTGGATCCTGCCGCGTAAATGCTTGATATATCTACACGAATGCAACGATCCCTGCGCAGCTAACAATACACGTCGACTGGGTAATTTGAGGAGGTCCTGTATAACGGAGCCCATTTTAAACAGTGAAAATGAGCGGAAGAATTCGTCTTCGTCTTGTGTCCGTCCCAATTCGGAACTTATTCTTTCGCCTTACCGTTTACGCGACTTACGCAACCTCCAACAGGCTACTGTATTCGTCTGCCTCAGATGGAGATCGCTGCACAAAACAATGGGCTCACACCAATCCCGAGACACAAGAGCATACTACGTAGCATAGCATTGGAACATATGTACCGCATATGTCGTCACGAGGCAATAATGGGTCAAGTAAGAATGTAAAATAGCTTCAACAATGAGCGTGCAAGTGATACAGTTGACGAGCCTCGATCGCGAGGGCACAAGCCACGTTCGAAAGAAAAGATGAAAAGTCAAGACAGCACTCTAATGCATCGAGGAGGCCAATGAGTATTTCATGCTTCTGTCATCGTAACATCAGCCAGCGATGTGTCTGCAGCAGAAGGGCCGTTCTCCACTGGAGACGTCTGTGGAATATCGGCTTTCTTTTCTGCTGTAGCATTAGCATCTGCTGGTGCGCCATTGACAGCGGCTTCGACCACATTCTCGTTTCCCTTGCTAGCGCCGAGAATAGCGTGCCATTTGTCGACCATTGATTTCGCTCGTGTCCGGAACTTGAATTCGTCGTCGCGGGGAACCTTATCCGTGGATAAAGCAGCAATGTGACGCATGACCTTACCGATTTTGGAAAACTGCATGGAAATTTGGGTAACAGAAGCGATGAGTACACGTTGCAAACATGAACAATGGATGCAGGACGCACTGAAAGGTATAGTATGAGATTGGGATGGTCATAGTTTTCGATAGTTGAAAAGAGTTGATCAAGAGCAGGCATTTCCTAAAAAATGTTGATCAACGACTGATTGACCGAGAACAAACGGAACATACTTCAACAGCAGGTAACCCTTTGCTCCCCAGAAGCGCCTTCTGCAATTTATGTCTCCATTCTCGGACTTTCTTAGCTTCGTTATCCCCTTCCAAGGCAGCTGAATAGAATATCAGCACAAAAAGAAGTGTGCATTTTGCAAACGGCGGACATACGATCGATATCCTCCTCTTTCTCCCGCTTGGGCTTCTTGGATGGGGGAGGAGCCGCCTTAGCACTCGACCCTGCCTCCTCATCCTCTTCAGCCTCGGCTTCTGGCTCGCCTTCGTCTTCTGACTCAACCATTTCCTTCGATTTGGCGCCATTCTTCTTCCCCCTAGATGAGGGAGCCTTTTTCTCGCCTTTGACCTTGGATTTGGCCTTAGGCTTGGGGGGAGGCGCTTCGGAATCCCGTTTTCGTTTCTTGGTTTTGGCTTGTTTTTTGGCTCCATCGTTCTCATTCTCGCTGTCGAGCTGATCAACGGGGGCATTGTCTTCCTGTTCAACCGCTGCCAAGTCTGCATTTTCACGTTCCTTTTCCCATTTCGAAGGGTCCAACGCAATCCGATAGCCTGTTAGAAGGTCGCCAGATTTCTTGTGAGGCTCGTTGATGTATGCTTCGATCTCATGTTGCTTCAATTTGGAGATATCTTTTGAGACAAGCCAAGCACTAGATGCCAGAGTTTAACATGGAAAAACAAGAACGAGAAGTATTGACGTACTAGTCGCCTGCGGGGAAGAACCTGACACAATGAAACGTAGTTTTTTTGCCGGCCGGGCGCTCCTTCGCCACAGTGTGGGGAACCGTGTCAGGGTTCACGACCTGCACATACCATTGGCACGAATATCTTTCAATGAAGTTCAAAAGACGCGACATACCATGCCTGGCCACGGCGGAAAGCCGCGTACTTTGGCTAGTACGATATCACGTTCTGCGTAACTAGTCTCTGGTTGCTGTGTTTTATTGCCCTTTTTGCTCATCGTCAAGGACGGCGCAGAGATGGAGGAGACAAATGTAGAGTGCGTTTGACGTTTGCGCGACCGATAAACGATGGTTGAGGAGAACACGAAGGTTCTGCTCGGCTATTTCCACATACAGCAAAACCCCCGTTTCTTGCCACGAGGGCCCGTGCGCCTCGTGACCGATCAATTGAATGACAAATAATCAATTCAAATCAGCAAAATAGTTCCGCGAAACCGCGGTCGAAATCGAAATACACGCAACAAGCAGAGTACTCAGTCGACGGAAATGCAACGAGTAGTTGTCTTTGACTTTCTATGCAACCCATACTTTCCCAGTCCTAGCGCCATTTTGCAAGAATTCTGCTCCGTTCGATCGGGTAAACTTTTGTGGATAATTTAACGGTTTGCCTTATTTGGATGAGACACCAGCATCGAGAACGACGCAGCGGCGGAGAGGGTTCTAGCATCTACGAGTGATGAATACTCGGGTCATGAGAAGACAGTTTGATTACTTACCACAAACCGCAAGGATGGCCTCACGTCAAACGAGACGGGAGGCAGAACCGGCCCAGCGGCCATGGTCACTCGTAAGGCTCCGACATTTATGCAGCAACTTCATAGAAGCCGGAGGGCCCCAACAGTGGAAATTGCTGGTTGTAGTATGATGATTGGGTGTTGTAGATACGAGGCGATGTGCTCAGCACCCCTTGCAGCGATTGCACGACTTCGAGACATTTAACGGGGTGTCGGACTAATGCCCCGTTGGGTTCGAAATGAGGCATCCAGATCTGTGTTCTGACCGTTCCAACGTATTATACAGCAGATTGGGACGAAAGAAGCCAGTGGATATGATGGCAGAAGCAGCAAGAGAACGTAGCAGCAAAATAATTGTGAAAAACCCGAAACAACTTCCTCACCTACGCGCGGACTTCCGGGAACATGGGAATCTTTGCAACAACGCAAGGCAAATACAAGATCATCCACTGGACTCTTAGAGCAAAGCAGTCTTCGAACCGAGATACTGCGTTACAAGGCTCGTACAAGACGCGCAAAGTAGCTTCTAATTAACACTAGCATGGTGCGTGTCAAAGCTCTTAGCGCGACAGCGACGACGCCCATGATATAAATGCACTAGTGACTGTATCGACAGATAAGTCGCAACGTACGCTTATCGTCTCACTTTCTTGAAGCTGGAATCCGCATGTTAGAAGTCGTAAAGGTCATATTATTGTTCAGGCCTCTCGTTTGCGTGGTTGCTGCGCACAAGCCATAATAACGCGTCATACGAATGACGATTCTTACTAGTGGGATCTGGATCTACCGTTAAGGCCTCAAGATATCTGCCTGATATTTACGACACTCAGCAGGGACATAACATGCGCATGCAGATCGGTATTCGTGTCAGGCCAAATACGCGTTAAACAGCGAGACAAAAGGACAATTAGGCTCAGCTACAAGGTTCATCCTGCAACAAAACCGATGAATCGTCACATCGGCGGAGCAGTAAGGTTTCGAGCTTAAACTTTGAAGGCGATGTCATGATGATGAGATGAAGGAAGACAAGCTCCACATCAAGGGAGGCTCTTGAAGATTGATGCGGGATAGAGCGATCGAAGCGTAGAGCTCTGTCAGAAGTGCTTATGTGCGTTAAATCTGGGCGCGGTCTCGTAAATTCCCCAGTCTGTCAAATCCCTGGGCGTTAACCCTCTGAGCCAATAAGGTGCATGAAAAAAAAACTAGTACTGATGCGTCTGCGCGGCACCGGCGTCAAGATAGCATGTTTGTAGAGCCTAGGACACGAGGCTCGACAAGATGCCTACCCCGAGATGGAAGGAAAGATAAAAGAGTAACTTAGTAAGACTCGGCTCCAAAACAGGAAACATCATGAAGTTCTCACGGTGACTCGGTCGTCTCGTCAGGGAGTACTCAACTTTGACACGTTCTTTTTCTAATGTTCGAACCAATTCGGGGAGGCACTCGAGGAGGCCAGGCAGAGTTCAAATGGTCCGATGTCTCTGCAGACAAAGATAGAGAGGTTCGTCAACTGTCACGCGTTTATTCCAGCGGGTAATAATTGTCAAGTAGAACTATTTGGGTCACAGTATCAATGCACCGACCGGAAGATGGCAGAAGAACAAGGATGTTCACTGGTATAACAGAGATAACGCGAGTCAGTCTGAGAGGGATGAAGAAATAAGAAAAATCAAGGAAGCAGAAGCTGAGGCGCTTGCTGCAGCACTGTGAGTGTTGTCATACGTGTTACAGCCAGGCATCGAACGACTTTCCCAGTGGGTTTGCCTCTGCGCCATCTGGTACCACTCCTGTTGCGAATGCCCCTTCAGGTGTCCAACCAGGTCCAGCGCATACCCCTGCTATAGATAATGGACAGCATGCTTCGGAGAAAGAGGAAAGGCGCCGTAAGAAAGCCGAACGGAAGGAAGAAAAGAAAGCTCGCAAAGAGGCACATCGAGAGTCTCGCCATGCGGATTACGAACGACGTGCCCGGAGAGATCGGACTCGTTCGCGCTCACCTAGACCCGGCAAAGACGATGATCAAGAGAGGCGTCGTCGCCCGCGTCGCAGTCGTTCACCTCCACCAGCTAGTCATTCGCCTCACGCTACTCGACATGTGAAAGGCTATGATGAAATTGAACGTGAAAGGGAGCGAGGAAGAGGTCGGCGGCGATGGGACTTGAATCAAAGGGACAGGCTGAGTACCCGTTATGAACGAGATTAGCTCGACTGCGTCTTCTTGAAGTATGTCATGCCACCTCAGCAGATTTCTGTATGTTCAACTATTACGCACTTAGAAACTAACAATGCATCTGCCCCGCACAAACTCATCAAATTTCGTCTTTTCGTGGAAGACTCATGGCGCCGGCCACTAATGACCGCGCAATCATTGGACTTTTGATGCCGTAACGAAAGATGCACTTGAAACTTCCAGGTACTGTCAACTGTACGTCTTGAGATTGACCAAGTATGGGCTGGACGCTAATTCACGCGCATTGGGGCCACATCATTTCAGCATGGGGTTGCCAATCGGAGATCAAAGGCGTTAAGTTGCATTAATTACGCCTTGATCCATGCACCTCTTGATGACGAACCTGACGTGCATTGCCGGTCTGCTGAGACATTCTTGGCTATAGATTTGTATGCGATCTCGAGATAAGTTATTCTCCGTGCGACAATTACACCGTATCACTCGTCCCGGTTGACGCCTCACCTGACTCTGCCTCGTTGCCTGTCCCCAGCACCTGTCAGACCTGTGCTGGTGCTAGTACTCAAAAGTGGTTAGGTCTAAAGGATGAGGTAAAGCCACGCTGGTCGCATGTTTCATAGAGGACCATGAACGAAGTGGACCTGACGAAAATTAGGTTTTGCCTCTAGTGACCCACGAGAGTCTCTCCCCCTTGGTACGTCATGACAGTTACGGACCTTGTTAATTTCGCTCATGAGGTGTTCGCAAATAGTGTGCATGACGAACATCTTGCCTAATGCTTCATCTACGCTTCCTCTTTTGCGTGTCTTCCACTCCTTCTGGCTCTATCGATCATTGCGAGTTCGCGCGTCCGAACTCAACGTGCCCTTTCATGGGGTGGTATACTTACCGCATAACGGTCATTTTCTATCTCGGTTATGTGCAAGTGCGAATCCCTCGTATCTACCGCCCGGCTACCACGAAGGTCTCTTGACATGGCGTGGCTGCCGAAATAGGCTGAACGCTTGCCATGCCTTACTCGCAGAAATACCTGAGTTGTAGCTGAATCCCTCCTTCACCACCCCCTCGCTAAAGCCTTTCATCCTCTGTCCTTTACCTTCATCATGACAAGTTATGGAATGCCATACCTTTTGGAGGACAAGACGGGCAAGCTGACGGGATCACAATTCGTGGACATCAATGATCGTTTGCGTTTGACGCTTCGATGCACAGCTCGGGAATCTACACACGCAACATACATAATATATAGCGCATCCGGGTCGGATTCTGGCAAGCCACTTGTAGCCCTAGACTTCGGCCCCAACAACTCCCTAGGGGCAATAGCCTTTGGGTCAGGGCCGCAGATACCCATGAACAGCTTCCTTGAGTCGTCTCCCATTGGAAGGTTAGTCCCGATCATGCGTACTTCTTCCATGCTTACCTGTCATCCAGCGCAAAGTCGAGGAAGTTCACTGGGTCCGATGGTCAGCAGTACCGATGGAGTTGGCGAACTACACAGAACGAGGAGTGGACGGTAGGCGATAACTCTCACCTGCGTTTTCAAATCTCATGCATAATTTTCAGTGTACGAACGCAAGCAACCATCATGTTGCATCTTATTCGTTGAAAGTACCCGGAGAGCCAGAATACGATCACTCCTCTGGGTGCGTGCTCACCATCGAGGAGGCGTATCCACACCTTGCAGCTGGTATACCCATTTTTTTTCAATTATCTAGCGACAGAATGCTGATTCGGAGTGTACAGAGATGCTGGCTTCCCTGATGATCATGAGGCATATAGTCGCCCATAACCTTTGATGACGCCTGGAATATCGGAGCTGTATTGGAGCTGTACAACATTTGTATTTTATTTTATTCTCTGCTGTAGCATATCATCTTCGCTTGTGCATATCTAGTATCATAGCTGCTGTAACATGTTCAAGGAGCTTACCCAGGAACCTTAGTCTCGTGCACCTGCCGCCTTGCCGAGGGAAAAATGAATCATCTGGAAGAACTTCGCTCAGACGCTTATCAGAAGCAGTCCACACGAGCAAGCCAGAAATGGCGCCGTGTTCCCCTATATATAGCGCACGCCGCGTCACAGCTAGCGTCAACAGAATGCTGTCGACAGAACGTCGGACTGCAACCCTTGAATGATTTCTGAATGTATGGCCCTCAAAATGGTCTTTGGTTTAAATCATTTCGGGGACGATTATCAACTCTATATACACTGCAGTACTGTACTTGGACTTGCGATTGTGCCCTGTGACATCTGCCGGACGTCCTGGATGGGTTTTAATGCAGCAACGAGATCGACAACAACTCTGAGTACTACTGGTCCTGCGCTCGCCCCTTTAAACTCACAACATCAACAATGATCTCTCCGGTCCGAAATCCATTTCACTCGGGGGAACCGACGGAACAGCGAGGTTTATTGTTGATTGAGGACATGTGCCACAAGCTGTTGACGACGACGAGATCGCAGTGGTGGGTCCTGCGCCGCACCGTCACGACGACGACGGACAATATTAGGATGAGTTCGATGTTCGTTGTCAAATGGTATTTCATACTGATTTCTTTGATCTACATACCCTATTAAATCCTGCACATACTCGCCGCATGCGATACAGTTCTGTCGGTACAATTGACCTCAAATAATTCTGCCCCTACATCGGCAGGTTCCGAGTCACGCTGCACGCCTTCTCATTCAAGAATGCACAAAACAGGATCAAGTCCGCCTACCGCCTCGCTGGGTAGAAGAGGAAGTGGGTTTGCGCACGCAAGAAGGGATACTGCCGATGAATCAACGATTTTTCGATCAAGTCGAAGAGTGTGCGGACGATAATCAGATATGAACCGCAAGTGAGGAGAAAGATACGACGACCGGGAACCAGATCAGCTTCGGTGGCGCATCTGCAGTGAGAACTCAATGTGTGTGAAAATTCGCCATGATATTGGTAGATCCTGAGGCGAGAGAACTAGACTACAAGTCAACGAATGAAATAAATAATCAAATTTATAGCGTACCTCAGCCCTGCGGAACTCCGCTGAGTAGGACGAAAGGCGATAGCGAGGCCATATGAACGATGACTATATGGATTAAGGTGGTGATGAAAGTGAAAGTCGACAGCATCATTGGGGGGCTTCTTGCTTACAGTTCATGGATGTGCCTGGAGAATGTTAAAAATCCGAGCGGCAGAATGTACTCAAAGACAACAACGAAGAACCTCGATCGGAGAGGACTATGTGCGAGCCCTCTCATCTATGGCACTGAACGCTTAAGAGGTAAAGAAACGAAATATCTGTGCGTACTTACCACTGGGGTAAGTGTTTCAGGAACTGATGGTGTTAGGCGGTGTTCTATGAAGTCCTATGGTGTTTCAGAATGTGACTGTATCCGCGCAGAGAGAGCTGACTCACTATTTTATTCTGTGCCATCGTCCAATCAAATGAGTATGCATGTATTCCGGAGAGTCGCTCGAGAGTGAATGAAAATCGGTCTGTTATCGATCAACACCGACACGTTGAATCAGATCATCTTGCACTCCAAATCGCCATGTCACAAAACCTCAAGGGGGTTGAGGAGCGGTGCGTGTAAGACGGAGAGGAGATTATACCGATTCCGATAGTAAGGAGTTTTACAAAGGAGCAATAGCGTCCATAAACAGAAGCAATTCAGCTAGCGCCTTCTCGTTGAAGGATATTGAAATGCACCTGCGTCGTTTGACAACTGTGCAATGTGTGTTTCGGATTCCTGGTGTATGTCTCGTCCTCGTCTAAAGCTGGTGGTATTTATCTATCACAGATGTGTCAGAGCGCCCACGACCCACGCAAATTAATACTTAGACGTACCACGTAAAACATTTCCTTCGTAAAAAAAAAAAAAAACAGATGGAGAGGCGCGACGCGCGCATAGTCTCAGAAGCATGATGCAGTAAGATTGAGTTTCAGTAGGCGCTCTACTGTTTCCGTTTGAGTTATTCTAGACGCCTTCCAGCTCACCAGACTACAGGAATCGTGACTTGATCTAATTTGATTCACCTCACGCTCACAGGTCTCCAAGTTCCCTCACAACACATGAAGGGATCCGATGGACGTAACTCTAAATTGCATCCGAGTCCCCCCTGGATGAGTACGCTACCACGCTTATCTTCTCAGTGGCAAGAGCCGTGGCAATAACCTTTGTTGCCTGTTAAAACAAGACATAACGTGGGGATGCCAGGGTGCGCACTGCGGAGTCCGTCGGTGCGTGTGTGATGCCATCCCCATATACCAACTCGGATGCTATGCACAGAAGTTCTTTATGTTTTAGGAATGAAGCTAGAGCGAGCAATCTTCGATGTCGCAATGATCCGCAAGATCCGAGCCTGACCATCTTTACTGGGAAGCTCCAGGGTTGGCTGCCATCACCTCAACAGCCCTTAACATCTGCGGATCACGTTATTAGTCACTCGAGAGACACGTATAGTACCCAGCGAGGAACGAACCCGAGTCAGCTCTTGGTCCCATACGCGCGGGCGCCGATGGGAATGAACGGCCATCCACCGCCCTGTCTTTTCAAGGGCGGCGGATGAACCCATTTCCTCCAACTATTTTTTCTTGCCGGAGCCGAGGCTCAATGAGTGAACAAGTTTGCGTCGAAATGGAGGTGAATGATTCCTGTTTGCAATACTCTGATTTTCTTGTAGATGACCTTATGGCATCACTGCCTATGTCTAGTCAGGGCTATGCCCACTGTTGTGATGCACTGCTCTATCAATTTCGAGGGTTTGGAGCACAACGAGGGAGACGTACAGGATACCCAGAACCAAGACGCCCATACCAAGGCACTGCACCAAAAATAAGAGGGCAATCATGACCTCACCCCAATATCTGCATCAGTGTATCAGTGTATCGTCCAATCATTGGATCAAAGATAATTGTGTGGTGTGTTCTACGTGGCTCAGCCATCCTGGCCTCCGACGACATCATTGACCAATGAATCGGCCCGGAATACTTCGTATGGGCAAAACCCAACCAGATGTAGCATCAAATTAGATCCGACAGATTGAGTAGTGCAACTATGCGGAACAACCCTCGCAGTACCTGAAAATACATGTAAGGCTCATCTACTACCTTACAGGGAAGAACAAGGTCCGGAATGAATGTGCAGGATTTGGAACAAAAGATCGGAGTATTCAGTCCCCCCAGGAACGTGATATAGCTCCAGCGTCACGAACGGTGAAATCCTCGGTATGGATATCATCACGCGAGGGCTCGGAGGGGTCCTTGCGGAAAGGAAAAGGACGGGTCAGGTCACAGGTGTAAATCATGGATTAAGAGCTCACGCTATCAGATGAATTATCTGGTTCCCCACCTGACACGTGCGTCTGTGGACGTGGTGTCAGTACATCATTGTCTTCGTCCACATTTTCTTCCTTATTCTCGTTAGGACGAGAAATGGGTTTAGCACCAACAACATCCAGTCGTCCGTGTTCGATCCCACGCCCTGGTCGCCCCCGAGAGATGCCATTAATTGTCCTGTTTACACCGTTGCTCATAGGAGTCGACACGAGGCGAACATTTAATATCGGCTTGCACTGATCGCCTCTTCCATCCACGGCATCATTGCTCTGGGAAGCTGAACCTTCGGCATCCTGCTGCAGCGAAGTCCGTGAATAACTTTTGTGTAGGGAATCACGGCCAGGAGATCGCGAGGCCCGCCGACTGCTGTCCAGGGTCCCACCTGAAACACTGCGAGATGGAGGATCGCCAAGGAACTGGTTGTGAAGGTTGAATGGAAATGGGGCATTCACATTGACCATTTTCCTATGTACATGGTCAGAGAGCCTGCTGTAAGAGAAAGAAACCGTGGCGGAGACAAAGGAAACGCACCCTTCTTTTGATCGCACGACGGTGCCCAACCGCTCTTTCAGCTTCTGATGGTCAACCACCCGAGGCTGAGGCCTGTACCGACTTTGAGAAAGAAATAGTGAAGAGTAAAGTGTGGAACACTTGCGTAGGAGTTTCGCTGGTGGTGGCGGCGGGAATTAGAAAGGTGTGTTCATCGGGAACTATCTACTGAACGGTTAGGTGTAATAATTCCATAGGGTTCATTGTACACACTGGGTCGCGCCGACGCTGACGAATTCCACAACAAGAGAACAAGAAATCGAACATGGATGAGGCAGTAACACGATGACTGCTGTACCCCGATTACATAGGATACCATATACAGTAATTTCGGTGCCAATTTGGAATTGGCTCAATATTCTACAGTACTTAGGTCACACGTTTCGAGTATCATGAGGTGAGATTGTGAAACTGCTTGGCAAGGGCTTCAACGTGCGTCTGTAAGTTGCCGCATTACTGAAGGTTTATGAAGAGGTATTCTGATGATGGTCTGTATAACCGTAAGTAATATAGCAGCTTAAGTGGCTTTGTCACGCATCACAGCCACCCTATGTTTTCATTAAAAAAACATATCTTAATATGGCTTATCATTGAAGTCACCCTTGGCAATGTGACTGATAGCTGAAGCTAAGGTAGGCCTAGCTACGTAGTTCTGACTAGGTTTCAGACAATACCGTATGGGCAACATTAGGCTAGCCTAGAGACAATATTTGAATGGGGGGAAAAGAAGGTTACAGATAGTTGCACTCCGTGGAGATGATAGTTAGATTGTATTAATGTCAACACCCGGCCCTTACAAGTTACTCTACACCAAATTTATATGAAAACTACCAGAAGCTCGGCTGAAGATGATTTTAATTGGCTAACTATGCTACAAATGTTTCGATGACCTGTTATGTGACGATGCAGATCACGAAGAGGCGATGAACATTCTCGGCTGAACTTAGGCATGCCCCTCTTGTAAACCTTCACGCCGCCGCACATGCTGGGGTGAGCTCTTTACGAGAAGACGGTGATCGCAGCTAGCCGCATCACCACGATGGTAGTTGACGTAAGAGTATCAACATTCTTGATATCGATCCGTTGTAGGACTCCACACCAATCCCCCGCGTTGACGTGTCCTGGAAGCCGCAATCAAAATCACCCTAAAAGAGTGATTTTAGTGCGATGTGAACGCAGTTCTGAATTCGTGTGGGGTATCTATCCCCCTCAATCGCAGATTCACGACGAGGAACTTGACAGCGCATATGTTTTGTACCGTGTGGTTTGCGTGCGGTACTTTCCAAATTGAGCTCGGCTATTCGGCTAATTTTTAAGTTTTCAGACGTGGCAGCTGTGATACAACCCGGATCTGTTAATCCTCGCGGGAAGGAACCCACAGCAGTCCATGATTCAGAAGGGACCCACTGACAGCGTTAACCAGTCCTGGCCAACATGAGAATGGTGTGCCAAACGCACTGCTGCACTGCACTGCAGTAAGTCGTGTCATGATCGAAAGTTGAGGGGATGAGGCTAGCGCAGGCTCGACACTGTCAGGGTCGGGCGCCGCCGCAACTGAAAGATAAAATAGGGTAGTATCAAATACGCAGGACTGTCATTGAAAGTGGATCGGAGCGGTCTCGAACGGCATGGGATAGATGTTATACACAGTTGATGATATATATATTGGATATTTGAGCAAGGTTGAGGAAGATAGTCAATTATGTTCTGATGAGAAGGATGATCGGATTTGGTGAAATGTGACTTTGTCTGTGTGTAACTAAATTTCAGGTTGAGAACAAAAATTGAGGAAAAATAATTAGAGTTTTGTTCGGAAGACCTGACGACCAGGCACGGGGTACACGGTGCTCAGGAAATCAGGCGGCCCCGAAGTTGCGTCGTGGGTACAAATAAAATTGAAAAAGCAAGTTATACCCAACATAAAGGTGGTTGAAGAATTTCCATTTAAATTGAGGATAAAGGATGTATTTTTTTTTTGATGTGTTATAGATAATTTAAATGAAGTAGGTTCGATTGTATCATTGAAATGTATTTCTTTGTGTTGTAGTACCTGATTTGGTTCTTTCATAAGCATTGAAGCTTGCCGTGGGCATGAGTTCCCCTTAGCACTTTCTCCTTCAAGTTGTTCCAAATCTCGCGTGGCAAACATCGAAAACCAGTGCCGTATTACCAGTCACCCAGTTTTCCTTCTAAACTCTCATCCCCCCCTTCTTTCAGTACTTATGGTCATCAGTACTGACAGTGATATCTATACCCCGTTTCCCCAAGGTATGATCATAGAAGATGGTCCTCAGTCTAGTGAAGATGGCTCCGGCCTTCACTCGCCCATCTTCGGGGCACAATTTCCACAGCCGCACGGAGACAGTAAGTCGCTATCAAAACTCGTAGTCTTTTCGAAACAACGTTAATCGTCATTTCACATGTTCTTCATAATAAAGTCCGCTATCATCAAGATCAACTCGATATTCAACATGCAGCGGGCATCCTAGCTTCTCAGTTCGATTATTCAAACATCAACCTACACCCTCACCATCCCCATCTTCTCGAATCACCTTTAAATCTTCATCCAAATTCTAATAGTCATCACCATCATACTTCCTATCAGTCCGACTTTCCTCTACCACAAAGGAATCACCTTGGTCTTGACATCCCCCCTCATGCATACCCTAATACCCGCCTTCCCCCTCCTCCAGCTCAGGGTAGTGCCGTAAACCTCTCTTACCAAGGTCCCCCCAGCAGAAGATATTCTACCGAGGACTTGCGCCATCAGTCTTACTCATCGGGTGGTAGTTCAGCACAACAACCCCCTGTGATACAATCTCCAGAGAGTACTCAGAGATCATCTTTACCAACATCGGAGCCGCCCCCTCAACAACATCCTACCCAGCCAGCAGCATCTACATCTCAGGATACGCCCCGCAGGGAAATTTCCAATCAAGTAATAGCTTGTCGGCAATGGTGCGTTTATTGGTCTGCTCCTTAAGGCTGCTAATTCACGTGGTTGCTAAGTCGTGCGAGGAAAATTCGGTGCGACTCCACAAGACCAATTTGTCATAATTGTGTTCGTCGCTCGAATGAGTGTCAATACGACGCAGCACCTAAACGACGGGGGCCTGACAAAAGGCCAGGCACTCGCCAGCGCTCATGTAAGAAACGTCCGACTGATGGCTCAACACCTCCTGCACTCCCTTCAAAGCGCAAACGCACTGTGTCCAGGAATGACGACCTTGATCTTTCGCGGGAACCTCGTGGACTTCCCGCTGCTCCAGCTTTGCGACCTGATGGGGATAGGATTCGACTCCAACCCTCACTTTCACCTGCTGGTGGTGACTTCTCTTCGTCTATGCAAACGCGTGCACCGTCAGACGACAGTTATCCGGTACGTTTATATCGCCGTAGTTTGTCATCTGACAAATAATTTTTTTGACTTGATTATCTCTCTAGCATCAAGTGGACAAGTACCGCATCCCATCAACGCCATCCGTACAGTATAACCGTAAGGAATGGTGGGATAATTTAGTTATGAGTTACTCTGCTACTCGGGATCAATCGTACGTCATATGCATTATCGCTTGCATGAATAGACTAATTAAATGACGATTCCTTCATCAGTTTGAAGGATATAGCATCAGATCTCTCAACACTGTAGGTCATCGACTGAAGACTTAATTGGTTTTATTTAACGTTCTATCAAGGTTCACTACTAGCGGGTATTGGTTATCATTCGTGAATGTTCCGGACTTCGTTCGCAGTCTGTATAACCCCGAGGACCGTTCGCTTATGCAACCTTCTCTGGTTTTCGCGGGGTTAGCTTTAGCAACCCTAATGAAATCAAGCGAAATGGAACTAGGATCAGCAGGTCGCGAGCGCGCTGTCTGGCTTCGAGATAAGGCGCAGGCTTGGCTGGAAGCGTCATGGAATTCCCAGTGGATTGACATGACCCTTGCGAAGGCTGCCCTCGTTAGTGTGCATCGGGTATCTTCTTTTAATTCTTGCTTACGTTCTATTAGATCATCGCCGTGTACGAGTCTTCCGCTCACCCATTGTATACTCCCGAGCGCGCGAGACGCTCTCTGGCCTATCTCGATGGAATTGTCCGCCAATTAGGCTTGACGTTCTTGGACGGCAATGAGCCAGATGTGTCGACGTTCACTCCTAACGCTGTACCTATCGCCCACAGACGCCGTGCTTTTGATCCGATGTCTAAGGATAGTCGTTCCCCTCATTCGATGCCTCGCAAGTGCGACTGTATCCCCCTTCCACCTAACCCCTCCATCGCCACCGATCAATTCTCATCCTCGTGGTCTTTCACGCCACCTTGGGATCCCTCGTGGACCCCTGAAGAGATGCACAAGGAAACTTGCAGGAGGCTATGTTGGAGCGCCCTTAACCTCGTGGCCAGGTATACGTCACATTGCATCGCGTTCCAGAAGGAGCCGACCGATCTTTTCCTGACTGATCCTTCCAACGTTCGTGGCTGACTCAATGCATTTCTCTCTATGCTGACAGCTGTATAGTTTCGGTTGCTGTTCCCTGGTGAAGTATCACAACGAGGGTCCAACGAGCACAAGTCGCAATCTCCGAAAGACTCGATATGGGCACTCTATTGCCGCAGCATGCTCCTTTGGAATTTCTGCACCACTCGTCTGCGGAAGAATGTCTTCAGCAGTGGGGAGACCGCTGAACTTGCGCTTGAAGCTTGGACAGAGACCCTTGAAATCCAGGATGCCTTGGATATCCACACTTGCAACCTTGATATGGCATTATTGTATATGTGTCGGGAGTACGTGTACAAGTACGTCTTTTTTTATTTGGTGGCGTTCCATTCATGGTAATAATTCTCTGCAGCACGCAAATCATGATCACACAGATTTTACGAGCGTAAGTCTTCATGTTGGTAGGTCCGTGAGAGGGGCTGATAGCGGCGTATCTAGTGGTCATGCAGACGCTGTAAATTTACCTCAGTTCAACCGCAAGCAGGCTGAGCAATGGCGTAAGTGACTCTAGATTCATAGTCTGGCGATCGATCATGACATCCGCACCGGCAGTGTACTACCAAAGCCTTTTCATCCGCAGGGTGAAAATGTCGATTCACCATCTTGGCGAACAAGACGGCGACTTGTTCACCAGGCAGCCGTTCCAGGTGACTTGGTTTGCAAGCCAAGTGGCGATGTGAGTCCAGCCCCTCATCTACAGACTTCATCTGCTCAATACCGCGATTATACCAATAGATGCCTTTCTTTGTGGGAAGAAGACAAGTCACTTCTGGATGCTTTAGAAGTTGCCAAAGACGTCATAGTGCCAGTCGACGTGCTGAATACGTTGTGGCCTTGCCCAAGTCAGTAGAGTTTCTCATCATTGTCATTTTTACTGGTCTGATCGGAATCGTCAGTGTTACTAAGCAAGTGCGACGACCTGCGGAAGCGGGTGACTGAGGCTTGCCACTCCGTCAATATCCCTCCGCCGCTGCCACCCAACTGTTCGCTCCCTCCACACCTTCGCGGCGGCCTATGAACATCCTCGAACCCGATAACCGATACCCACAACCTGTTCCCCCACCATCCTTCGCAATCATTGTCCCTCTGTTAGTTTACGCCAGATGTTATGTCAATATTCGCTTTCTGCCAGCCTTGGTTATTACTGTATACGATTTCCCTTACTCTTCTTTCTCCATAATTTGGTCGAGCTTCCCGATAATTTGTCTCAAACTGGTCGTTTTGAAACCTGTTTGTATTGTACCACTTTGGATACCCCATCTACTGTCAATTTAGCTTGTTGTGCGTCTCTCATTCAATGCAATTTATATGACTTTTTACCCTCGGAGGATGTACTGAATGATCAAGGAAGCAAGCTTTTTACCTTTTGCGAGTTGCAAAAGTGCCGAGAGGAACGGAGGCTTCTTGATTTTGACGTAGTGATTGGGATTTACCACCGAGGCTGGCGAGGTCGATCAGGGATTTAAGAAGCACATGGAGGCAGTTGGATCTTCCACTTGAGGCTTACGGACACAGCGTAATACTCCACACCATTGGAGATAACGATTGCAATGCTGTACAGTCGTCCTAGGTAGTTAACAAGGAGTATGTATGTAACACCGTTAATGAATGTGCTTTCTTTATAATGAATTGTCAATTTGTGGGCGCTGTGAGAATGTCAGCTTAACCTCCGACTCTTGGGCCACTTCTCTGCCGAATCGTGATCACGTGTTGTGGAAGTGCTGGTGTGGGCGGTTTGTCTTTGTACAGGATGAACGGAATGATGAGTGGATGAATGTGCTTGGGTGAACAATGAATTGTCAATTTGCGTATCCATTAGCCGCAGTCCGCCTCGTCACGGACTCGTCCAGTGCAACAAGCGCATGGCTTGTATGGTCAAGGATAGGTTTCAGCAGCGCGTCCCTGTGCCTTTGCCAATCCTCGAGCGTGTAATTCTCGCGTCCTTGTTGATCTAGCCAGACGAGCGCGTCAAACTTGATCATGTATTCCTTAAAATGGAGCTTTCGCTCTGGTAGCAAGACCCCCAAGACTTCTTTGAGGCGCGTTTCTTGCGCTTCTGCGTGCCAGTGTGCACGAGGAGAGGTGTCTTCTGCGAGATAGCGGGCCATTGCGACAGCCTCATGCCGCATGTTCACCAGGGCTATATCAGTCCCTGTGAGGCATCTGAAGAGAGCTATGGATATCCTTGAGCGCTCATCCTCAATAGAGTTTACGCCGCGCGTGTGGGGGGGCACTAGTTTTGCGTCTGTCAAGTACAGTTGGGTGCGTATCGGCAAATCCAAGAAAGTGAGACCTGAAAGAGCGTAGGGAAGTGGTTCATAGACTGGGACGGAAAATGGGGGAAGCATGGCAGCCATGGCTTGCAAATGACAAGGGAGAGATGGTTATTGAGACAGATCGCAAGGATGGTCACCATGATGAGACCTGGTTTTATACTCGAGATATATGGTGGCTTTGACTACCATGGTCACAGCACATTGATGTGGACTTTCCACAATCCAAGCTGCACGTTATCGACAATAAAGGGATCCTTGGGCTTTGATTAACAACAGCAACTAGTGATCGAGGATGTATGGTTGTATTTGAAACTCCGACAACTCGTACTGAAGGTCGGCAAGTGCCGAATGACATGGTTCGCTGGTCATGTTATCTGTGGTGATTTATGGGCTCGTGCTGGCCTTGCCCCTTCTATTTCTCGTACATCGACACTCCTTATCGGCATCGCCTCAGTCTCGTACAGTAACCTCACAACCAGAGGAGAAGAAGTCCCTGAAAACAATCATGCAACCACCCAGAGACGATCTCGACCCCCCGAAGGATGATCCCTTCACTCTCGAACAACTCAAACAGTTCGACGGCTCCGACAATTCGAAGCCCATTTATGTGTCCATTAAGGGTACGTCCTCGCATATGGGGTGATGATCGCCCCACTCACCTCTTGTAGGCACTGTCTTTGACGTCACACGTAAAAGCGACGTGTACGGTCCCGGAAAATCATACAATATCTTTGCCGGGAAGGATGGTTCAAAGGGACTCGGAAAGTCCAGTTTGAACCTAGAGGACGCTGTACCAGACTACAGCGACCTGCCAGAGAACGAGAGGAAGGTCCTCGATGACTGGTTTTCATTTTTCCAGTAAGTTTTGGACAGCCTCGCTTAGACGAACAAGCGCTTACTTTCATTTAACAGGAAACGCTACAACATTGTTGGACGCGTTGCGGATATGCCCGCTTCAGTTTCTAATCTCGCTAATCTATAGCTTTCATTCAAATCGATATTCTCTATCGCCGCATGTTATCTTGCCATAATCGTTGTTCAAACGCACTGTACCATTGCCTCACGACCGTTTTTTGCATTTGCATGAATACCGTTTTGAATGGAAATTTGATCCAGTCATTTGTTGGTCGCTCGCCAGCAAAGCGTTGGAATGCTGTCCTAGTACAGTGTCATCACTTGCCAATTGTGGGTGTGCTTCTCTTCGCCAGCAGTGTGGCGTTCTGTGCCTCTAGTGCCATGTCCTAGCCCGTGTTGGGCATGGTTTCTGAACAGGAATGGACACTACATACTATATTCTGATTGAAAGGTAATTAAACTTCTGCCGGATCTTGCAAAGCGCTCAAGCTGTTCATTGGCATTATGTGGGATATGGCAATAGACAGCTTGAACGCTTTGCATAAAGTCCGGTTGCCAATGGCCTATGTAACAATATGGGGATGGTGCTTGCGGCGTCCGCAAACCAGAGGAGGCCGCATCAGACGCCACCTACTCCCTATGACAAGAGTCTTGCGCCATTGTAATGAGAACAGCAGGCTCCCATGACAGTCACTTATCAAATATGTGCTATACTTGGATCCGTTGGAGTAAATAAAGCGGAAGGCATCGCTCTCGTGATGATTGATCATCCCAGAGAGCCTCTGAACACAGCCTGAGGCCTGAACCGCAGCGCATGGTGGATAAATTTTGATCATACTGATCAGTGGCTCTGTGGCTTAGGTGACCCATGTGCTTCATCAGTGCAACAATAATATCCCAGACTTCATCGCATCATTCACATCTCTAATATTATCACCAATGGCCGAACCGCCGGCGCGTAACTTGAAATCCTGATAAATTCAATCCCCAAGAAATTAAAGAGCGATCAAGATAAGGTCTCCATTACATATGAATCATAAGAAGGGTATACTAGGTTTTGGTCACTCCACATCTTGGTAGAAGGAAATGAAGGAGAGGAAGAGAAAGGTTAGGCACAACGATATAAAACACTCTCTATGAACCCGTTCGTGTATGTTCAGGAGAGCGCACAGAACAGTGATAGACGTGGGGATCCCAAAATAAGAGAGATGGATAGCCAAGATGTAGAGGGTGTGAATGTCTGATGCGATGAAAGCTGGTAGAGCGAACTACATGCGCGGGAGGCAGATGATGCATGGGATAAAACGAGGACCAAAAGGAGAAGCGCGGCGGTATGATGCCATCACAGCAGACCGCACTCACGAAGATGAATTTGTAGGAGAATATCTTGAATGGCACTCAATACGACTATAAGGGACATCAGGGTCAGTTCATGTGAAACGCGGGCATGAAAGTAAGGCTCTTACATCGGATTTGTTGAGTATCTGTTGCGCAAGTATAATGGGCGTATATTTGCTTTGTTGCCGCATTCTGATTGAGCGCAACGAAGCGGTGAAGCAAGTAATCGCAAGCGGCGTCGTAGTTGTCACCGCCAGAGTAGTCTGGGAAGTAGTCGCCAAGTGGTGAATGTGGGAGTTTCTCAGCGAACAGGTCGATTTTGTTCAAGAACAAGATCTGCGTGAGGAATAAGTATGTAATATAACACGAACCAAGGAACAGTACGTACAATGGATGTCTTGACAAACCACCGAGAGTTGCATATCGAGTCGAAGAGAGTTAGCGCCTCTTGCATACGATTCTGTGGGTGTAATCAATCAATGAAGATGCGCGAAATAGGGAGCCTTTGAACTTACAACACTCTCATCTTCGTACAACATCTGATCATACTCGCTCAATGACACCAGAAATACCAACGCTGTGACGTTCTCGAAGCAGTGAATCCACTTCTTACGTTCACTTCGCTGACCTCCGACATCAAAGAGCTTGTACGTAAGTTCACCGACCTTAAACGTGGTCTCAGTGATACCGGTCGTCTTGACTCTACTCCGCAAGATATCCTGATCTGTCGGCAGGTACCCTGGTGCAGACATGCGGTCGATTGCATTGAAGTAGTAGACGGCAGAATCGTTCAACTGGAACTCCCGTGACCGGCGAACGGCCTCCTTGACACCTGAGTCTCGCCAAAGTCCTCGGATAGCGTCGGCGACATCTCTTGGAAGCACGTCACCCTCAATTTGGCCAGGAAGCGCGAGAATAACAGCGCGACGGGCATCATTCTGCGGTGATAGGGAAATATCGAGTTGAGGCATGGCCTCAAGAATAGCGCTAGATGACCCTTCAGGGTTAGAATTTCATATTATTGAAGTACCGAAACGCACCGCATAGACTGGACGGTGTTTGAGTAAATGATTTCCTTGTAAGAATCTCGTTCAGAGTCGTTGTAGCCGCCATGATGGATTAGCTTCATCTGCTTGAGGACGGTAGACTGCAAGAACATGAATTCATTAGCAATGCGTTGGAATGGTCACTGTGCGACTGACCTTTCCTGACTCTCCCGCTCCCAGCAGTAACATTTTAATTTCATTCTTGGCCATCATCCTATCTCGCCTGAGCTGGTTTTCAATCTCATCGTTACCTGGAAAAGAGGAGTTGAGTCAGGTTTCGTTCGAATGTGGGGTGGTGGGTTAAGAAACAACACGCACGAGCCTTGGCTTCGCTGTCGACACCTGTTGATTGAACGCAACCCATTATGTTTCGCGGATAAAGAAGATATACGTGAAAAGTAAGAAAGAAGAAGGCAGACGAGATATCAAAAGGTAGAGATCAAAAGTTTCGAAGGAGCGGGTGATCCAACAATAATTAGTGGATGTGGGAAGTTAGCAAGCAAAAAGAAGAAACCGCAGAACATAGTCGCCGTCCCGATATTTATTATATTTACCTAATTATTTTTCTCGGCATTGTACTGCGGCATCCCCATGTCAAAGGTGGCCTAGGCTCTGACAGCTTGTCACTTTTTCCGTTGTACATAAGTACTAGAATAATCTGCAATACAGTCTCGCTTCACCATGCCCAGCTCGAGTCTCCTTTTTATTGTTCAAAAGAGAAGTGGCAGTCAACTCGGATCAATATTTTAAACATCTTACCTCTTATCATTTATCGTCTTCCACATATATGTAAATAGCCAATGTCAAGTTGCAGCGCGTCGTCAGTGGGAATGTACCTGGTAGCTCGGACCCTCGGTGCTTGTATATGTGAATTTAGTTGTCACTGCTACTTAACGCTCGTTGCTCATTGAAAGCGGATCCGGAAGACTCTTTGCACCCATTGATCTGGGCCAATAGCGTTGAAAGTTAATGGGCTTGAATTATTCAGCATGAATTGATATAGATCCGTGCCATAACATCATTCTGTATCTGTGCCAGCTCAATCCCGCGACTAAAGCCAAAAGTTCACGCGGAATAAATTCGATTCGGGCCCTGGTGACTGTCTCGCTGCCGCTGTACAAGTTGACGGGACTCCGCTCACGAAGTGACAGGAAGTGACAAGGTCAGATGTAATTATGTAATATTACAAATTTAGACATAAAGTTTTATCCTAACATAAGCTTTTTGCCACAACTCTATTACCATTATGTACATCACGTGCAGAACCACGACCTTTCCTCAACCATGTCCGGGACCGTAGAGGAATCCTGTAGCCGTTCTGTAATTCCTGACGTGGATTCTCCTGCAGCGGACGCTACATTTGATGATCCCCCACCGCCTTATCCATCGCGAGAACGGCGCTCGCGCGCGGCTCGCCATAGTCGGAGGCATCGCTTGCCAGCGTCATTATCGCCCCAAGCGCTCGCAAATTCAGATCGTGCTGCAGGATATGTATCCCCACAATCATTAGTGCCAACTCACTCGTTTCCCCGTACGGAAGATGCCACAGAGCAGACACCACTGCTTGGTGATTCTCCGCTAGGTTCCACCCATCGTGCATCGGAGCGTCGGAGGACGCATTCGCTGTCAAGCACAATCGTTTCATCAAATTCGTGTGCTCCATCTCTAGCACAAACAGTGTTATCCCTGCTTCATTCTGACCTAGACGACGAATCTGACATGGACATATTTGAAGCGCTCGCCGATGACCGTGACTATCCGGGTGCACAAGATGGTCATGACAGGCGTCACCAACATTCTGGTGAACCAATAGCGCATCGGTGGCCGCTTTTTTCGCGGCGCTGCTGGTCTCGATACTTCCGACCCATGACTCGCAGAGCATATCATGCGGCTGTATTCCATCTTCTAGTGCTCAACTTTCCCTATGCCCTTCTTGCATGGGTTTACCTTTTTGTATTTACTTTGGTGAGTGTTTGGTTCTGTTCTCCTGGTGCAAATTGTATTCACCTATGCTGACCATCCTCATAGACTGGTACGATGTTATTAATTGCCTTGCCTTTGGGTGCTCTCCTTTGTTTCCTGGATTTGCTCGGTGCCAGAGTGTTCGCGAGGGGAGAAGTGAGTTTTTGTTTCCGTCTTAAATTTCAAGCTGAATCTCAAACCGAATCACTCGTAGCTCGCTCTTCAAACAACGTTCCATGGGCCTCTTGCTTACCCCCTTCCCTATCCGCCTCGACCTATTTTCCAGCGGGTGCGACCGGCGCGGTCCTCTGCGTTAGAGTCCGGGTCACCATATCATGAATCCTCATTCTACAAAAAACACATACGCCATGGTATGTCCATTCCTTTATCACCCTGTAGCCAAAAGCCCTCTTACCTCCGTTATTCGGCCGACAATTATAGTTCACGGACTGGACATCATATCAAGCGTTATTTTACTTCTTGGTTATCAAACCAAGTATCACGCTGTTCCTAACTATCGCTCTGCTGGTAGTTGTCCCTGTGTCGTATGTGCTGGTATTTCCCGCGCCAATGGTTCTCAGAATCGTTCGGAAACTGGGAATATGGCAGGCCAATGTTGCAGTAGAAGGATTATACTTGGCGGTGTTGTGAGGTGATTTCTGGTTCATTTTGCTAATGAGTATACATGTATCAGTAGTCGTTGCTGTACGTAGACATTCCTCGTTCTCAGAGGTCACAATAAGCTGTGAAACGGTTAGCTGTGTGGCGTGACTATAGGGCGCTTAATTTTCGAGTATAGAAAGAATCCCCACGTTCTGCTTACGCGGCTTGACTTGCTTCCTCCTCGTTGCAGAGTCACTGAGAACGGGTCCGAGACCTTGCAGCGGTTCCTCAGCTTATTTTGTCCTAGTCGTTTAACTGTTTGTCCCTTCTCTAGACACTAACAGCCGTAACTAACTTGTTTGCTATTAAAGCTTCTTGTTCCAGACACAGCTTTATATATCACTTACACCGTTTATTGGATATCTTCTACTCTTGCTTCCACACACCCACCTTGTTACCTATAGTCCCCACTATTTACACTCAAAGTGTTCATTCCTGCAGCGTTGGCTTGTCCACTCACCTTGAGACATCACCAATATCATGGACGCTCTCAAGTCGCTCATGCAACCCCTCGTCGGCGGCGCAGGAGGCTCCTCGGTCATTGACGGAATGAAACTCGTCGTCCTGGGAGGAACAGTCGAGACAGCCAGAAGAGCCTCGAGCTCAGCTTGGTATGTTCTTACTTATTCTCATGTACCCACCTACTGACGATAGTACCCTTCAAAGGTCTCATTTCCTCAACTGTAGGTATCCATCAACCTTTTACGCATGTTTCTGACCCATTACTACCTCACACAGCATTCTTCCTCACTGCGCATTTCTCGGAGGAGGACTATCCTTATGATTGGCTCATGCTGTGGCTCTCACGCCGCCCTGAGTGGCAGCGCTCCAGGGAGTTTGAGACTACTACTCGCACCACAACACCTGGTTTCTCAGGCTCTCGCCAAGCCGACAATTCATTTGGTGACGAGGAAGAGGAGGAGGGTGATGAAGACTCACCCCCCGGCAAGGTCAAGACACGTGTCGTATTTCAGCCGACATTTGACACTACGCACACCATTTACTACAAGGGTCACTGGCTTAGAGTTCGTCGTAGTAAAAAGCAAGACAGCAGTGGTTGCGAGGTCTTGTCAATAAGGTGATATTCAAATTCCTGTGACTCATTTCTGGCCTCGTGGCTGATGTATGATGGCATCGCAGCGTGGTTGCGCGGAATAACACCATCCTCAAGCAGCTTGTCCTGCAGGCCAAGAAGGAGTATGAAGCCGAAGCAATACATCGTATCCAGATCTACTTTGCAGACTCGCATGGTAGCTGGCGCTGGACCGACTCTCGTCATAAGCGCCCTATGTCGTCAATTGTTCTTAACCCCGGTGTGAAGGAAATGCTTCTCAACGACACGCGTGACTTTTTGAAATCCGAGAAGGTGATACCGGCATTCTACCGAAGTCACATTCCATAACTGATACCTCCACAGTGGTATGCTGACCGCGGCATTCCATTCCGTCGTGGCTACTTGCTGCACGGTGTACCTGGATCTGGAAAGAGTTCCCTTATTCATGCCATTGCGGGCGAACTCATGCTCGACATTTACGTTGTGTCTTTATCTTCTTCGTGGGATCAGCGACAGTACATTAACCACTCTGATGGGTCGTGTCCCGGCTCGCTGCATCGTGCTTCTCGAGGATCTCGATGCGGCGTTCACGCGTAGCGTCACGCGTGACAAGAGTTCCAATGGCACACCAGACTCGTCAAGCAACAGCTCAGAAGAAAGCACCCCGGAACAGCCGGTGACTAGCAGTAGCTCGAGGCACAGACGTCACAAGGACCACATCTCCGACGTAAAACACGTTGAGTTTGAGCGGCCTCCTAAACGCCTTAGATGGTGTAGCTGCTGCCGAAGGCCGGATCCTCTTCGCGTGGGTTTAGCACTCTTCTTCGGCTTAGATAATGTCCTGACCTGTGCCTATAGTACGACCAATCATTTGGAGCGTCTAGACCCTGCGCTCTCACGTCCGGGCCGTATGGATGTTTGGGTTGAGTTCAAGAACTCTTCCAAGTGGCAAGCGGAGGCACTGTTCCGCAACTTCTTCCCGTCCACGGATCAAGACAATGAGGTGATAGAGGGTGACATAAGAGGGGATTGAGTTACCCACGACACCCACACCACAGTCGCCCTCGTCGAATTCGTCTTCGCAGTCGTCAACGTTTGTGGTCGCTTTCTCCTTCGTTTCTCGTCGTCGACGTCCGTCTCTGGCAATCTTCCAAGGATGCTTCGCCCTCAAAGCCTCCGCGAGACGGTTCGGTTCCAAGAACCAAGCGTACTTGCCGCCTCCCGTTGAGGAGCATCTCAACCGCATGCCAGCACCTCCGCGCAAACCTTTGGACGGCTTCAGGCTCGGCCAGCTCGCAAAGATGTTTGCGGACTCGATTCCAGACCGATGTGAGTTCAGCGTTGCGGCACTGCAAGGCTGTGAGTTCTTCTTCTAATTTTTGGTGGCGCCCCTTGTACTTGATGTTCCTTTCCATCGTGCTTCACTTGGTCTGCTGTGGCGGGGTGGTGAGTGGGGTGAAATCATTTGCTGACAGATTTTTGCACAACTGTAGATCTACTCAAGAAACAAGTCGCAACCTGAGGCTTGCTGCCACCCGCAGCTGCCGCTTGGGTGATCAGCGAGAGGGAGCTCAGGGAACGCTTGAGAAAGGAAAAAGGAGGCTCGTGTGAAATCAAGGAAAAGCTCGATGTGGAGTATTCAGATGTGGCGGACGTCGCTGAGCATCGCCTGTTCTTCTGTTGTCCGCCCTGAACTAACGTACTCTACCTAGCGCGAAAAGCGGCGCAAGGAACTCCTTGAAAAGGAGAAAGAGAAGGCTGAGCTCGAGAAGAAAGAGCTTGAGCTCGCCAAGCTCAGACAGCAGCTCCAGGAACAGGAGGCCAAGGACAGTCCGAGGCTGATAAGAAGGACGAGGTTGTGCCCATTCCAGATCTTCCCGTTGAAAAATCTACTAAGGACGATGACAAGGGTGAGCCCTCTACCGATGAGGACAGCGACGAGGAGAACATTCCTCCTCCCTCCACTCCACCCGAAGCTGTTCGGATCCAAGTAGCCGATTGGAGTTGACTCTCTGCAGATGACGGTCCCGTCGCGGGGAACGCGCCTGATCCTGATGTTGACACCATAGAGTCGACTGCTGCATTCCTGCGTGAGGATCCACCTGTACGGGAAGTCGCGCAACCGACGACACAAACCATCGTTAACAGACCCGCTCAAGTGGCTAACATTCTAACTCTGCGTCACGCTGGAGGCTTCATGTTAGTGTATTATATGCTTCATTTCTATTTCAGTCATCTCTACGCAATGTTGTTGCACCTCAATCCCGTCGGGCGGAGGAAGCAGGCCTAGCGGTTTTAGAATGACTTGCGAAGCCTAGTTTCTTTCGTCTTGACACTCATACAGTCAACTATTCCAAATCCCATTGCATGTGTTCACAACTGATATCGTCGTTACTTTCTCGGTCCATTGTATATCTTGCTCACCTTTTTCTTCTTAACGGCCACGTCCCTCCACTCGCATCTAATTCCCCTGCAGTGCCGCTGTCTTGTTTGGTAGTCTGGTCAATGTATATTTGCACGTTGGACTCTTATCTCGCTTTCTCCATTTGCCTGCAAGGACTTGCAACCCGCAAGGCGTGTCGCAAGTGCCCCGTAAGTAAGGGGCGTAAAATTAAGCTTCCTTCCCTTTCCCACAAATAAACTCAGGGTTGTGGTAGCCCAGAAGAAATCCCAACTTCATTCTAAGAAAAGACAAGTTTGCCAACATCCACCTGTTGCAAAGTTGAGCTTCCTTATCAGATTCAGTATAGCGGACACGATATCTAGGGTAGAGATATGGTCTTCTCAAGCTCAATATGCGCTGACTTGGTTCGGGACGCCCTTTGGGAAGTATTGTTTGAAAAGGTCCGGGTAGTGACGTTGCGCAACGTCCGGATGACTCCTGGTGGACAAGAGGCTTATTAAGTATGGCTGCAGCGGACAACAGATTGGAGAACTTACTTCACCCGCCCGATGAGGTTCACCTTGCCAGATGCCTCACGGTCAAACTCGGAGAAATTGACAGCTGTGGAGCATCAATAATGCTGCAAGATAAAAGGGGCGGACGAGGAAAACATACAGTCAGTCTGAACAGGATCTCCTCTAAGCTGTTTGAGTTGAAGAATCTCAGAAGGGACTGTGATCATCAAGGTATAAAGAAGCAAGTATTTCATCGAAGGCACGGCACTCACAGTCTAGGACTTCATCAGCGAGGCGAGCGTTTAGGCTGATATTCTGGAAAACGGCACAGAATAGCGAGGAGTCGAATCCACAGGGGGAGATAAGACTCGGTGCGAGGTGGCTCTCGCTAATCCGCGGGTAACGAACTCGAGTGCTAGATGACGAAGCACTGATGTCAGAAATTAGTGCATCGTGGCAGCTTCAAGCATCCTACCCTTTCCAATATTCACCACGAACGTTCCTGGAATGGGAGGAACGTCGATCCATTGCCCAGAAAGGTTCTGTACCTGCAGACCACGATGTGGTTGATGCGAGAAGAAGGAAGGTCAAGAAGCCAGCGTCGTAATGGGGTCCAACGCCTTGATCGGTTAAAGAACCGTCATTCGCTGGATATTTGACAACCTGAAAGGGGGTACTGGGTGAACCACTATCTCCGTGGAATACATAATGTTGTTCGTTCAATATTCACCTTCGCACGGTGCTGCATCAATTCAGCAGTATCGTAGAACTTGTTCAAGGCATTGGAAGGAAGTCCAAAAGCTTCCGCGAGTAAGCTTATGAATTGGTAGCTCAGAGTCTGGACCTGATGGAGGTATTTCTCCATGGTGTCTTTGAACCCTGGGATAGGTCCTCATCCGGCCACTAGGTGGATTCAGTTCGCATCGCTTGAAATGATAGAATGCAGATCCCTCACCTGGGAAGGTCCCCACAGGCGCAGATGCTCAGGGGCGCCGGGTTTCCACTGTGTCTCATGAGGTGTCGCAAAGTCGAATTGTTCCCTGTAATCTGTCTTGCCTTTGGTAAACTCTGCACCTAGCTTGGAGTACCCAAGGAAGTGTGGTGAATTTGCCATAAAAAATCTTGTTTTTAGCCTCCTGGGGAAGCTCAAAGAGACGGGGGATATAGTCAATTAAATCATTGGTAATTTTCTGTGAGACGGTGTGGTTGTTGAGATACAAGAATCCGACATTGATCAACGCATGGCGGAGTTGCAAGATAAAGTCTGATTTCGTCGCATCATCAGACACGAGAGCAAAATCGAGGACTGGGACACTAGAGAAGTTAGCTGCCATAGCAGGTTGTTGGCAATCGGTCAAAGCGAAGAGCGAAGAGCGAAGGGTGCACAGTCAGCACAAACTGATGCCATGATCAGGAGGTAATGATAGCGCCATCATGCATCATGCATGACCATGATTCGAATTCACAAGCATACTTTCCCTCTTTGGCTATCTTTGGCATCGTATCTCACCACCGCACTCCCGCCAATCACAGTGAGGGTGCAAAACACATACACGACTGTGAACACCTTTGAACCAGTAGAAATCTATAAGGCTATGTCCAAATACAAAAATGCAGTATTAAATAAATAGGAGTGGGAGGTGAATAAATCATTACAACGAGAAACCCTTGGAATGACCATGGTCGAGGGTAAACAAATAGAAGAATGTAAAAGCGGCGGCGACGTTTCCATGTGTGGAAGCCCCGTCATTGGGACCGTGGATGCTGGTAGCCTTCTCGACCTACAAGTAAGAAATCGCACAATACAGGGAGATGCAGCAATCGTTGTGCGACGGAGGAGATAGAGAAATCGATAGTGAATTAGTTCGTCTCCAACTTGACTTTGATCTTTGCTTGACGCCTGCGTCTTTCCATCAGAAGATAGCTCACTGGCGAAGACACCCTAGTCAGCAATGTCCGACACATCAATGTCTGAGGAAATGAATTACCGATAATCTTGTCCAAAGCGGCAGAAGCTTCAGGCTTAATTTCAAGGAAAGCCCGTTGCGACATGCGCCAAACGCCAAAGTGTCGTTTATAAGGGTGATATTCGGCAACGGGAGCCTTTTCCTCGTCATCTGCTTTAATAAGCTGCAACTTGGCTAGTTAGAAAGGGGGAATGTGAATTGCAAAAATAGCTAACCTGTAAATAGCGATTGTGTGTCTTCCAGCGGTATTCAGTACCGTCTTCCTGAGTGAACGTACCCCCACTGCCATTGATCGTTAGAAATTGTTGACCACCGGCCTACAGTGAGTAAAAACTTACACTGCTGTACTGTCATTCTTGATAAAGTCACAAGCCCTCATCCACTCTCCCTCCGCGTCAGGAGTGTTGAAGCGAACCTTCACATCCTTCTTAGGAAGATCTTCAATCTCTGCGACGCAGTTGACCACACGAGACTCGTAGTCGTATCTATTTATTTTTGTGAGGTGAGGGTGCCAGAAGCGAGTAACGATTTCATAGTAGAACTTGTTGTTGTCCTCGGCGAACGTAGTATTGCGCACGCTGTTGGTGGCAAAGGTAAGTTTGTGTGGTGGGGGGGGCTTGGGTGCGCCGCGAGACATGATGTGAAGGAGAGTGGAGGATGGCTAGAATGAGAAACACAGGAGAAGTGTGGCAAGAAGAGAGCGATGAAAACAAAAGTTAAGCGAAGCTATTAAGCTTATGAGCTGGCAGAGGGCCGCCGATACTTGATCGAGCATTGTGCGAACGACATTACTGGTTTTATACAATTATCGCATGATAGCGCATGTCGGGAAAGAAGATAGTAGCGCGAGACTGACCGGTCGTCACGAAAGCGTGGAGCATACACGATCATCCCGGAAGAATATCAAATCGGGGGGGAGGTGATTCTAACATATTCCCATACACAGCTGCAATTTACCCCTGATGCATAGACTTTCGTGGGTGTGAGAAGGACTGACCACTGTAACGTGGACGAGGGACCACGAAGGACCACGAAGTTTCTGGGCCTTGATCCCAGAGCACTGGTGACATCATAGCCTGTGTGACTGTGAGCTTCTCAACGTGTGTCCAAAGACAATAGCAGTGACACAGGACAGAATTGAAACAAACTAGAGCGCACGATTGCTATGCATACAGGAAGATCGGGAGGGACAACTTATCGGCACAGCGAGAGTCAAGATGGCTTAGACCACTTAGTAGTATACCGAGCGTTATCGAATGATGCATGAAATCTAATCCCGGGTACCTCGGAGGCAAATAGGTGGGTTTTGAAGCGGTTGCGAAGAATCGTTGCCGGTAACTGAAGTTACCGAACAAAAAAGACACTGTCGGATATTAATGAATCAACACGGAAAGAACAGCCTGTGATGTGTTTACTGTCTGTTATAACTTGTGGGAGAGTACTAGGGAAACTTTAATATTCTGCATCTTAGACTCGCGAGATGTGACATACGATAAGATCCATCTGGACCTCCTAGCGGCAGCGTACAAACAAAGTGGTTTAGACTGAGCGATAGCGCTCACCTGTCCAGCTCCAGTATCTGTACATCCAGCAACGGAGCAGTCAGCACTGTAATATTCCCGCCAAGTCTCGACTCAGATCGGTGGCCGTGGCGGAAAAAACTGCGACGCACTGTCACACTGCGTCGCACAACTGCAAATCCCAGATTACCTAATAATAACGTTGATCCACAACCAGTTTGGTGAGTTCGAGTAACGCAACAGTTTGTCGTCTTCTTTGCGTCAATATTGCTGTTCTCTTTCATAACATGGTATTTGGATCGCCCACTGTTCCATCGCGTATCCCAGGCATTCATTCGCCAGTCCAAGAACCTCATCTCTCGCCCACTTCTGCTATATTTGCAGGTATAGACGATGAGCTTCACGATGCCTGGCGTGTTTACTCCCATGGTCAGGAGGAAGATCTCAGATATGCCCTTGATCGTGTAATCAAGAGAGTCGAAGAGCTAGTACGTAGACAGGTCTGCTTCACTGTAGCAGTAATGAATCGATCATGATTCGCTAGTCGTCCTTGCTCAAGATCGCGTACAAGACTCAGGCCGAACTCGAGACATCACTGAGCGTCGCAAAATCTAATTTACAGCTAATGATGTCCAACAATGAGATGCTCGAGGAAGCTCTCAAACGTGAAACTCCATGCAGTGCGAAAGATGTTGGCTGGCGGCGTTGGAGTGCACGGGAAGCACAGAACATACAGCGTGTATCAGACATGCAACGCGTATCAGAGGAAGAACGCCCAAAGAGCCTCGATTATGGCCCTCTCAATGATTCAGGCGCACCGTCCCACCCTATGAATGTTCCATCAATTGTTGAGCCATCTCGTCCATCTACCCCTTCAACTCCGGCGACGTCATCTACAACTTCCCAAACTAATCAGGATCCGGGTCGTTTCTTCGGATTCAGATTCAATAGTGGTATGATTTATCTCCCTCGTAAATTTCACTCGATCTACATCTTGACACAGGTTCAAAGCCGCCTGCCGTTCATCAACACTCTTCTCATTTAACGTCGCCTTCCTTGCCAACTCTCGTAGCAAGTACGAGAGAGAAAGAACTTCTGGACCTGCAAGAGCAGCTTGAACGGGAACGCGTCGCACATACAACAGCAGCTGCAGAGAAGGCCGCTCTCGAAGCTGAACTTGAGTCCCTATCACAAGCGCTCTTTGAGGAGGTAGATTTTCTACTTGTCACGAGTTATTCAGAACTCTTATATATCTCCCAGGCGAATAAGATGGTCGCAACTGAACGCATTAAACGCGCTGAGACAGAAGGAGAACTACAGGAAGTGCGGTTAGAAAAGGATGCACTCAAGGAAGCACTGCGGTTGATTGAAGGCGAAAATGGTCGACTTCGGAGTGCGAAGCTCTCTACCGGTGGGGTATCGGATCGAACTCCACAACTGTCATCTTCACATTCTCGAAGTTCTTCGCGAGATGCAATAAAGTCTCCACCGACTTCTCCCACCCCCCCATCACCAACCGTTGACGATATTACCGTATCCTTGGGGCTTACACCAAGTGCCGTCTCGTTCACGCCAGATAATGCGGAGCATCTTGCAGATTTCAACCTTGAGCCAGCACCGAAACCTCCATTTGCAGCGTCACACCGGAAAACGCAATCCATGGGGAAGGTGACCTCCAACATCCCCGATAATTCTCCTCCCTTGGCTTTGGGCTTCGCTAGCCCAACGTCAGTATCATTTATACCTGATGAACCGTCCCCTTGGGCTGACGTGTCAGTGTCACCATGAATGTGGATAGTAGATATCCAGAAGCTTGTTGATCATATTCGCTTTTGATGATTGTAGTCATAGGAATTTCATTTAGATATTCCTCCAATCACAACACCTTAACACAAGTTGTGAAGCATACCGGTATCGGCATCGCCGCAAGGGCATTTACTATTGTAGCTGAATATTCAATGCACAAAGCAAATATGGGCGGAACGGGAACACGCAGTGCCCCGAGCCCTGCCCTCATGACCTGTGTTTTGCTAGCATGTTGCAGGTGACAACCCAACTTGAAAATGGGCAAAATCGCAGAAGTCCGTTCTCGTTGTGTTCATCCTTACACACCAAGTACCGTAACCTACTGTGACCGGCTGGGCAAATATGCACGTACAAGGCTCACGATCGAGTCCTTCATCAGTTCAAGCTCCAGTCTTGCAGTATTCTCTTCAATCTGTCTAAATAATGCATCATGAGCTTTGACGTAACGAATACGCTGTCCTTCCTGGCTTGCCGAATCTCAGACGTGGTGGTCACGCTTTATAAAATGTAGCAGGAGTCCTTGAGTTCAACGAGCTCGATCTTGTCCACAACGAAGGCTAAGCTAGAGCTAAGAGGACTCAGTAGCGTAGTTTGCACTATGTCAGGATATATGACTTCGTACTCCGCTGAGCAGTAAAGTCAGGCGTCTTTGCGAGCTTTCTGGATCTGGAGAGGTTTGGTTATAGGAAGGGTTTAACAGAGAAAGTTGCCAAGAGAAAACCTAGTCAGGCTGGCTGTCGCAGAAGATCTTGAGTTACCGACAAAGTAGGTGGAAATGTTTACGCAGTCTCCGTTGCGAGTTTTCTCGCAGCTATGTCACCCTTGGCAGCACTTTTTAGACCTTCCCACGGTCTTTCAGACTGGGTTTCTTGGTGTGCGCTAACCTATCTCCAAGACGTCCCTCCTGAAAGAACCTCCCGCCCATTGCCTCCAGATTCTACTGAATTTTCCTACCAAGGTACGTGACCCTCACCTTTGTAAACTGACAAATACTATTCTTCTAAAGGAGGTCTGAGAGGAGTGTCTGCGAGGCTTGGGAGGATCGTTGAGGAGGTTTGAGAGAGTTGTGAGGGAGGTTTGAGAGGGTCGTATGAGAGGTTTGAGAGGGTCGTATGAGAGGTTTGAGAGGGTCATTGGAGAGGTTTGAGAGGGATGTCAGGGAGGTTTGGAAGGGTCTTCAAGGAGGTTTGAGAAGGTCGTCGAGGAGGTTTGAGAGGGTCGTCGAGGAGGTTTTTGGGGGGGAACATTTGCGATGTTTTGGAGGACTGTCACGTATTCACTTATGTTTTCCGTTTGTTTTTTCAACGGGTGTTCCGCTCGACACTCGTGCTTGTAGTAGTGGTGAAAATTTCACACATTGGTTCAAGCAACATACTCAATGTATTGGATGGATGGTAACAGCACGACAAGATGTTGAACTACATACAGAAGTACTAGGATGAATTAAAAGGGTCAGGTACGAGAAATAAAACACATCGAGGGCAGTCACGGTGCATATGAGAGCGGCATAAACGCAGAACAGCAGAACAAGAAACAAAACACATCGAAGGTGGTGCAGAAGAGAGCGGCATACTAAAAAGGCAGAATAGCAGAACAGGGATGGGCAGGAAGGTGGAAATGACCGGACTACAACTTGGACGACAAAAAATAGAAAGCATAATAATGAACCGGGGGGCTAAAGGAGATACATACGGTCAAGTAGAAGGAGGCGCCTTGCCTGGGTACTCTGCCTGAGAGCTCGAGTTGGGACTTGGTCCATAGTATGGACTGCGTGAATCGTGACCGGCCCACCTGGAGTCCGCGGTGTATCCAGGTCGTCTCCCATGAGCATGGGGGTCAGGATAGTAACCTCTGCTGTGCTGGGGAGGCATTCCATGGCTACGATCGTCAAAATCACCACGGGGAGGGTATCCATATTCACGGCGCGTGTATCCATAGTCCATAGCCGGGCTATATCTGTCATGGTCGGAGTATGCCTGCGAGCGACTGCGCTCCCGTTCCATGCCATGGTCTGTGCTGGATTCTGCCACTGGGGACAAATCTCGTGTAGGGTTGCGAGTATCGTAGTGCTCAGGAGGGCTTTCGTGACCATGGCCATTGCCATTGTGATGATAGTATAGATCATGTGGATGGAGGCGTTGGTAATCCTGCAGCTGCCAAGACATTAATTTAATCATGCAAAAATCAGAGTGTATCACTTACTGGATAGGATGCGTCATGAGTACCACGACCAGGCATACGAGGATCATGCACCTCTCGATTAAGGCGTTCACGAGGGTCAGGAGGGAAAGGACCGCGGGGGTCAGGAGGAAATGGACCACGGGAGTCAGGAGGGAGAGGCCCACGAGAGCCATAGAAAGGATAATTCCTTCGATCACGATGGAAATTATCTGGAAGATCTTGACGGATGGGTTCACGAGAAACTTGACGGTCGGGTTCACGAGATGCGTGACGGTCGGGTTCATGAGATAGTTGATGGACAGGTTCACGAGGATCGCGGATTTCACGATGGAGATGCTCTCGACGGCGCATGGACTCCTCAGATTGGCTATCAGTGTTCATGGGGAGGTTGTGGGGCTCCGGTGGTGCTCGACTGGTCAAGCCGTCATCCAAGGTACCTCGGCTCACCAATCCATTACCTCCATTACCTCCTCCTCCTACATCACCGCCTCCTCCTACTACCACTACCACCCCTCCTCCCGATCCTCCAGGAGGCACAGGAAGATGCTCTGCGGGCAAAGATGTGTCTGGTTGCCCCAGAACTTGGCCAATATCGCTGGCAACATCATGTTGAACTGCGTCTGAAGTTGATGTAGACCGCAGGAGTGCACCGTTCACCTCCGTGTTTGGCTGTGACAGTGGTGCAGCCGCCTCCTCAGTAGTATCTGCAGGCACATCTGCAGAACTTGTCGCAGAGTTGTCTGCGCTCCTTGGAAAGAGTTTCTGGGACTTGGCTTCGATCCTGTCGTCAATAGCGTCAGAGTCGCCATCGGAGTATATGGTACGAAGGGCCCGGCCATGACGAGACGTTGGCTTTGTCTTCGAATGAGAACCCTTCATAACTGGTCGTGCTTTGACACGACCTATAAAATCAAATGTTAGCCCACTGAAATAAATAGATAGATGATGTCGTACCTTTGGTGTTCGCAGGTTGCTCAGAAGGGCCGTCACGAAGGCGCATAGTAGTAGTCGCAAGGAGGTCTTGATCGTCGCCGGATGACTCTACTGTCACAGGGGATAATGGTCCTCCTTTTGTTGGTGATTGTAACGGCGCTGGTGTCTCCTTTGATTGTGCACCTGTCCTCCCTGCTTTTGGGAGAATGTCTACAGGTGATATGCGCTTCTTTGATGCACGCAGCTCACCACTGGACTTCCGCTTCTTCCTCTTTCCGTGAGACGCATCCTCATACTCCGACTCAGAGTCCTGTTGGTGATGGTCGTTTGTGTCTTGAGAATCGGGGGAAGAGGATCGAACATCGATCACCTCGCGAGCTGGCGGCCAGGCAACAACCTTAAAAGGCCGTGATGGGGGAGGTACTACCTCAAGACGCATAACAGATTTCCCTACTGAAGTGGTAGATTTCTTGACTTTAGTAACTGCTGTACTGGACTTGATGCGAGGGGGACCATTGTAGTCGATATGTCCATCGACGAACAGACATCGAGCGCGTGAATGAGGGTAGTCTGATGGAGGAGCTTCACCGAAAATAACAGGCCGCTGAGAGGTCAATACTGCCGCTATTGAAATTAGACTGTCAGAAAAACAAAATCCAGAACATACAAATCGATCACATACCTCGATCCACAACGTCAACTTTCTCGACATACATGGACTTTGCTTTTAAAGCCTCGACAAGGATAGTGACCTCCTTCTGTGTCAAACCAGCGACACCCTTGCTCTTTGAACTTGAGGTAATCCCGCGTGACTCGCCTGGCAGGAGACACTTGTGTGCGGGGTAACCCTTGATGCAAACATTGTCGTCTGCCAGGGCATTCGGCATGAGCTTCCAAGGAAAGGTCCTGTCGGTGCCGAATTTGCCTCCGAACTTGGCTGATGTAGGACAGTCCATTAGTCTGAATATGATTAGAGTGAACCGAAAACGTACCAACTTGTTTCGTAATTTGCTTCTTGATCCATTTGATACTGTCTTCGCGTCCTTCCAAAGGGTCAGAACCTGGATCCATGTCATCGGGGTCAGGGTCCTTAGAACCGGGGCGCTTGGAATTCACAACTTTGGAAGAGGACGCCATATCAGTATCTTCCTGATCCATGAATGCGAGATCGACGGTAGATAATGATATGGAGTTACTGTGACATTTAATGAGATAGTGTAAACTTCAAGATAGTAAAAAAAACTCACTAAACTTGGGCTTTGAGGTGACCGATGATAGTGTCATTGTCTGCGCGGCATCGCATGAGAAAGAACTATCGCAGAATATCAATAAGTGCATGAGGTTTAGACACGACTTTGACGACTTACGTCTGTTGCTCCAGGCGTTGTGTGTACGTGACCGAGAGAAGCATCCTGATTGACAATCTTGCCACACATAACAGTCGCAGACTCAAACCCGAATTTAGCGGATGCAACATCTAACTGCATGGATGAATGTACATAAGTGCCGAGACACCAACAATGAAATCACTTACAATATTCGTCACCCTTTTCTGAAGCCTCTGGAATGCTTGCGCGCGCTGACTAACTGTTTGAGGCAATCCACCTAACGAAGATATCTCGTCATGCATGTCAAGGATATCTTGAAATGTGTCGGGGTATTGTTCTTTGAACTTCGCGTAGCAGTCTTTACGCACAGTAGCGCCTGTGAAAAATTTAATTTACATACTGTAATGGATGCATATTGAGAACTTACTAGGTGTGCGTGCTCCAACTGGAAGATCTTGATGAAGTCGGGCGAGTTCCTGCTGTGAGTTGTCCTTGAAATAATTAGAATAAAGGTTCCAGTAATTGATGCTGCTTGCGGTGCGTCCACGGCTCTTCATGAACAGGTTGATCACTTGATGCATTGGCATCGCAGTAGACCTGGATAATTCAAGTAAGGTCTTATCGATGGCTGCAAACCCTGCATCAAGTGCATCGTTGGTCTCTGCAGACCTGCGTCCCACGACTGGTAGTTCCTCAGAGCGTGAAGTAAGGCTTTCTTCAGGAAACCGTTCGTGGATGCTGGAGTCAGGAGAGTAGTGGCTCAAGTCGAGTTGCTGACTTGGCCCAGGACTTGGGGTGTGTGCAGTGGGGACGCTAGGATCATTCATGTCCTTCAGTGGTGTGGGTGGAATAATGTTCGTGGAGGGCGGAAGCGCAGGACCAGCTTGAGGGGCTGAGTGAGATGCGCGGTGAAGATCAAATGGTGGGACTTGACCGGGGAAGCTTTGTATGAAGCCTGAAGGATCTGGAGCCTGATCCCTGAGTAAGGTTGTGAACGGTTCGGCGCCCATGAGATCAAACATAGTTGTCTGTTGGCCCGTCCAAGTAGGCTGGTCACTCATCGAACCATAGAACATGTCTTGGAGAGGTGCGGGAGCTGGGGGTCGGGAAGCCGCGTCACCTGTGAAGGGTGATGGGTGGCGACTGCTGCCCTGTGGGACAGTGAGTGATGTTACATCGCCTGTAAATGGTGAGTGGTGCCGAGTGCCGCTCAGTGCAATGGTAAGTGTTGAATCACTCGCTCCATCTTGAGGCTGGTCCAAAGATGCAGCGCTTGGGCCTGATTGCGCAGAACCTTGCAAAGATGCAGTGCCTGATTGCGCAGAACCTTGACTGTCTGCATTTGGTTGGCCCCCCCTTCGTCGAATAGAAGCACCTTTGATGACACCGGTGTCACGCGCTGTGGCCTTAAGATGACTCCTCAACCTTGATGGAGTCAGCTCGACTGTTGGTTCTTCATACCGACGGCCTCCACCAAATTGTTCATACGCATAGTTGGCGTCAGGAAGGGGAAAGGCTGGAGAGGATGGCCTGTTGAACAAGTCCAATTCCTCATTGAACGGGGTTTGAGTCATTCTAAAGAAGTATTGTCAAAGAGGGATACTTCTGAGCATGCAATAACGCACCGATGCAAGTATCTGAAAGAACGTAGCTGTCACGAAGGACAGTGCATGAGCAAAGGAGCCAAAAAACAAGTGAAATAAATTTACGCACCAAAATAAGATATACGACAGGCCGGCGAATGTTATTTTGTATGTTGAAGGGAGCAAATTTAGCAGAGGAGAGAGGCGTATGAGTGATACGAAGAGCAGCTCCGGAGGAAAAGACTCACCGCAGCCTCATTATTATATGTATTTTGCTATTAGTACATTCGCGATCAGGGTCACTAAGTTTTATGCTACATAACAAGTTAGAATGCAATCAGTATCAGGACTCAGGAGCCGACTGACCGGGAGTATTTTCGGTAGGGCCTGTCATGGATGTCTGAGAGGGTTGTGCAGGATCGGTAGGTCCAGGAGGGTCGTGAACCTACTGGAGTGTATGCCGGCGAGGCTGTCAGCCAGTAAGATTGAGAATATACCTTGTGTTAACATAGAAACACAAACTGCAAGAGATGAGTTGGCATGAAATCCTTGACAATAGTATCGAACTACTCACGGCATCAGCCCCAACCAAATGACATGAAAATATCTCGGGACAGCAAGGATACTTGGTATGCTATGGCGCAATGAGTGGGACAACCTGTACAATACGTTATGAGCTTAAAGCGGCATGACAGTGCATGAATGCTGATTGGAAATGAACCTAGGACTTACCTTGTCCGATTGACTCTCCTCTCCGCTCATTGTTCTCATGGCGAATCTAGTACTACGACACGATATCTTCTGGTTGTCGGTGTGCTATGTTCGAGCTGGGAAATGTTTCTGAGATGTAAGAGGAGCTGTTTGGAGAAGAAACACTTACCATATAATGATTGTGTGCCAGTGTACGATATGGCAAGAAGCAAGAAGAAAGTCATATTCTATGATAGGCCTGGCTGATGCAGATTCATTCCACAAGCTCGATGTTTATGGTAGGGAGAAGATTCTTGGATAGGTGTTCGATATAATGATACTTGTTAGGATGTATGGCCAACTTGAGGGAGATATATTCTATGATAGCCTGTTTGACGCATCATGATTTGTCCTCGTTGGCAAATTCAAATATGTTTGCGGGGAGGAGACAGTATGATAGATTGCTTGCCAATGGTCAATATGTACAGACTTAGGGTAGTAACGGTATGGTACATGCATGCAGGCTAGAATACTGGTATGGAAAGTACGCGAGCACGTAGATAATGTCGTAGGTCACTCATTTCATCCTCTTGTAGTCGCGTAATGTGCCGTCCACGTAGGACAGCAATCATCGCTGCTAAAATCCATATGCCGCAATCATATCCATTGGTCTGGAGAGATTTAACCTGCGTGAATCGTCAAATTGAGGGTTGAGACAGGAGATACACCCGAACTCACTGTCAATGGGCGAGCTACCCATCCATCAAGATTAATATGTACCTCCTTCTCTCGTTGACGTGCTATCATCAGAAGTCGACAGACTAGTTTCGTGATATCCTGCAAAGCAATCAAAATCATCATTGCATGAAAGCTAGAATGAACCTACTTTCACGTCATGTTTCCACGGTTTCTGTTCAGCGAGACTGTCAAAGAGGTGAAGTTCTTTTCTTGACAAATATATAACGCAAACAACCCAATGGCCAACATTAGCTGGCCTATGAATTGGCAGAACCCATACATCTTTCTCCCAATAACACGTCCAGGATGTATTGCGCCAAAGTATATCATCTGCGGCATTGTAGCGGATGCGAGGCAGATCGTGTGTAGAGAAGATAGCCACGGTTGGGTTAGGCATGTCCATCTGCAGGAGGATGGCACAGCCATTGATACATACATCATTGAGGAATGCAGTCGGACGAGCGAGAAAAGATATATCCCTCGGCTCAAACACTTGCTGGGGGAAGCGTCCAGTCGATGACGTTGTTCTTGTGGCTACACGTCCAGGCACGATCGTATGCGAGTCTTGAGATGGTGCACGGAAGTCATCAATCAGGAGACCCTACATATATGTTAGTGAGAGTTGGCGTCAACAATATTGACGTACCTTGGGCGGATCCCACACTATGTCGGCACAAATATCATGCACGATATCTTCGTCCTCAACGAACTCTGCTCCAGCAATATCACCCTCCAGGATGTCTGCGAGCGCAGCTTGCTCGGGCTCAACCTCTGCCAAGTCGTCTACCTCAGGCAACACTGCTTCATCCTCTGGAACAGGGTCTTGCACTGTCACACTCGCCAAGTGAAGAGTGGTACTTTGAGGACCTCCAGAGTAGGCTATAGCGCAATCTAGCGCCTCCTTTGCACGGCTCGTAAACCGAACCGAAGATGCTAGCGAATTTGCCCATCGCGTCTGAAGGCGGAGGAAATGAGAGCGCTTCTGTTGCAATGGAACAACAAAGCGCTTGTCTATAAATGAGCAAGTTCAACATTTAAACATTGATTGAATATTGAGAAGCAAACTTACTTTCAGGCAAACGGAGTGAAAGCTCCAGTGCCGTCAGCTCCTCTCCAAAGAAGCGGCACAAATTGTCCGCCTCCATACCTAAGCGTTGTTGCTCCTCCCGACACCGGTCACGTTTGAGAAGGGCGCGGATTCCATCCCTGACATCTGAGTCTGCCAGCCATCGAGGCACCTCTCCCATTGAGGGTGTGACCCAGACATCCTGCATTAATGTCTGGTCACCACGTAACTCAGCTAATTTTGTGGGGAGGGCGGTGGGAAGCGGGATGTTCCAAGCAGGATCGTAGAGTAACTCTAGGCGCTCACAATATGAATTAAATTTTCTGATGGCCGTCATCAGAGCAGGTTGCCGTTTTGCAATGGCTTTCCGAGTGTGTTGATGAAGTTTTGTCCCTGAAAAATAAGGTTAGAATGGATGAGTAGTCGGACATGAAGACTTACCTAATGTTTGTTGGGATCCACCTACAGCGCGATCGAGCTTATCCCATTCAAAAAAACTGGCGATAGCGCGCTTCCGAATATTCATCTTAAGATCGCGTGCGATAAGAAGTACACGGACGAAGTCCAGATTGACTCCATCGAGCTCGGGAAATCTGTCGTGTACATTTAGAGAAGAATACAGTGCTTCGACTTTGGCCATGAGACGATCATGGCCCCTCTGTAGGCTCTCGAGGACATCGAGGGTATCACCGGATGCTGCGTCTTTCTCTAGCGTAGTCCTTGTAGCCTGCAAGGCTCGATCAGAGGCATCCAAATCGGATTGTAGAGCCAGAACAGTGTCAAGTTCTTTTCGGAGGCGAGCAGGAGCATCTGAAGACATCTTTAGCAGAACTACTCGTTGTGCGCACATTGTATGGTTACTCACGAGCGCGAATTGAGAGTTGTGATTGTCGTTGGTCAGCCCACTGAGCCTGTAGGTCCTCCACAGATGTTTCACAACGGTTGATAGCATCGAGTGCCACAGAACCCTGGTCCTTGATGCCCCGTTTCAAACGGCGTTTAATCCAGTCACCGAGGTCATCTTTCATCTCAGATCCTATCGCAGTCGCTTGGCGGTCAATTAACCAAATACGGCGCTGACGCTAAGTGAATTAAAGTATTAGTACATATATGTTAGCGTACAATATCATGTAACGTACCGATGATGATCTTTCGACACCTATCAGGCGAATGAATCGCGACCACAACCGCTCAGTCCCCTCGCCGTCAGATAACCCCATGCCAATGCACATCCGTGGATTGTGCACCAGTTGACAGGCCCATTCATGGCCATACGCGTGCATGGCTGTAGTTGCGAAGCGCAGGCGCAATAACACATCCTGAGGGAGAATCTCGAACTGGGTATAATCAGCAAGTGAATGTAATTAAGATCATGTACGTACCTTTGAAAGGGACCGTGCAAGAACACAGCCGACGTCGTAGAGAGTCACGACCGTGGCTTGAGGAGGGAGCAATGTGAACAAGTGTTCAATCAGCGCAACAGAGTACTTCTGTTGCTCGCCAGGGGTATCGATGTTAGCAAAAAAAAGAGGAATATCATGACGGCAAATAAGCGCCATTATGCCTGTGTCGTCAAAGCTGTCCATAGCGGCCTTTTGTTTCTTCCCGTCGGCAGCTTCGTATGCATTCTCACATAGGTCGATAGCTTCATCAGGGACAAGGGGCGCGTGTGCCTTTGCTGGTCGCTTACGTTGTGCATTGATTCGGCGCCCGACTGCATCAACAAATTGCTTGGAAAGGAAGTAAGTTGGCTCATAGAAACGAGGACAGTCACCCGCAGAACGCCGGTGACGATGATGGAAATTACCATCCGTAGCGACATGTATGTCTCCACCTTGTTCAATGGGTCGGCCGAATAGTGTGCCGCCAAAACATGCCGGACAGCGCTGTGCAAGGAGTGGTGCACATCGCCCACGGTGTAAGACAATTGAATCTGAACTTTGAGGTGGTGGTGGTTGGGGTGGTTGGAGGTTGGCCACACGGTCTCGACTTTGTTGGAGAACTGTGTCGACTTGGCGTTCGATTTCGACCTGTAGGACATCGTACCACTGTACGGCATGGCCCAGACCGCGACGAAAGGGTTCCTGCACAAGTTCACCCTGAAATAGTTTAGTAACATTAATACAAGACAAATAGATCTTACCCGTGCGTCAGTGACTTGAAACCCTCGGCGTGAATAGTGGGTTTTGAGCGCGGATGCCAGAGCGTTGATTGCATCACAAGAACGCTCAAAGAGTGCTCGATAAAACGACAGTAGATCCACTGAGACTGCCATACGAGGTTGTGAAGGTGAAGTAGGGAATAACCCATGATGAAGGAGGACCTGCGCAAGGCTGGAGCATTCGCAGCTCAGTACGTCGATTGATACAAATCCTGTTGACATTGCACTCGTTAGATTAGGCAATAGGAAAAAATGTAAGTACTTGCTATCGAAGAATAAACACAACATATTCGTCCTTTTATGAGCGCATGTGTGAGTCCCGCATGCTGAGATCACATCGTGAGTTTTCTCCAAGGCTTGCCCAAGAGTTCGAGCATAATAACTCAATTGCGGGTCAACGAGGGTGGGTATAAGCTTCTGCCAGTTGGCGTATAATGTATCTGTCGATTTATCGGGGAGAATGCGCCGCTTGCGTGGACTTGTCTCTATGTCTGTGAGCCTATCAGAAGAGACTTCCTCCGACATTTGGTCTTCAGCGCCTGTGAAATCAAAATTGTGCGTGTTCATGTTGTCTGCTTCACCAGAGGGACCACCCAGTGTGGTACGAGGAGAACACAATGTTTGGGATGATGTAGGATCCATGAGGCGTTGCATTTGAGCAAGTAGATGACGACGCTTGAGTTCCGCGCCAGGCAATGCCACGAGTGTTTGCGTTTTCCTCTTGTCTCTGGCTTTCCTCGGACTTACAAAGTGTTGCCCGAGGCCAGAGCATACGAGTTGAGCTTTACGAGTGTTCCGGGAGTTAGTTAGAGTCATGGAGAGAAGATCTGCATGCGTACGATGCCTACAGAAAAACTTGTACTGAGTACATTAATTTGTATGCGATACATAAATGGACACATACCAAGGATACCTCCAGAGCCTACTAGACGATCCTACCAGACTATTATCCATACCACGCGAGCCTACAAATGAACTGCCAGAGCCTACAAAACAAAGTGCGGGAGGCGCCGTAGGTACGCAGGAAGGGCAGGAGGCAAAATTACATGTAAGCTATTTTTAGATCGGAGGGTAGGTGGGTCTCGCAGATAGGTTTCCCACAACATAATAACCGGGTCTCAAAGACCCTTTATAGGCACCGAAAAGTGTTGCCTGAGGTGAGCTATGTGATGTGGACATGACGCGCCAATGGTTTGGCAAAGCAATCTAGTAGGTTTCTTAAGATGATCAATATACCACTGACCACCACCCTCCATTCAGGGGCCAACGAGTGTCATGATCATGAGCACATAACCTACCAACACTATTTAATTGTAATCTCCAGCTTTGCATGTAGGGTGCTATTGCAGTCCACATATATAGTATCACTAAAACAACAATCAGCTTGTGTCTTTTGAGGAGAGGAGTCACAAAATAAGTTTGGTTGGTAAAATCACCGCTCATAAATATCCTGGGATATTGATCGAGCTGAGGAAGCGTAAGGGGAAAGACTTACTCGTCCATCAACCATCATTCAACGGCCAACCAAGATCAGCCAAAGTAGATAGCATGTACGGTCTGCGTAGCCAACGGGGGAGCAAAGAATAGTTCCATAGGAATCGTAAAACCATCAGTATGCCTTGACTTCAGATAAGTTGGAACAGATTAGACCTACTCCCTAGGTGCAATCACATGCTGTGTATTGTGTGGGGTTCGCAGCTCTTGAGGAGGGGTTGCACGTCCAGGTTTCCCTTTGTGGGCCTCGATCACAAGTACTGCTTCTGTCTGCGCTGGGCAGCTATGCTGAGAAAGAACAAATTCGAATTTCCACCTCCAGTCACGCCCCTTATAAAAGCGCACCACCCATAAACGTCCTGCAGGATTGACGACGTTACATCAACATGAGGGACACTGAAAGACATGGGCCCGTACCCCCGCAGCAAACTCTACCCCCAATTCCTGCGTAATGCGCAGGCGTTTTTGGAACATCCTGAAGCTGAGATGAGTAACAAACTGGTTCTTGTCTACTCCATCCCCTGCTTCATGCACCTGAACCTTATCTGGTGGACAACCCAAAAAGTGTCTCAGAGACTCGGCCTTGGCTGATGGAGCACAGTAAATGCGCTCTCGGGTGAGCATTATCAAACACTTACGATTAACAATATGTCCCCAATTCAACTGCGCAAATAATGCCTGGTAGCTAGTTACCATGCACGCGAGACGCATGTCGGAAGAGCAAGCAGACGAGAGATTGGAGATGGATGCACGAAACGCTGCGAGGGCCTCTGGTCGGTTATTCACAATTGCCAATACATCGCCGTGTGACCCTCGATATTGCGTGTTTGCAGGAGGTGAGAGAATTCTGCGGCTGACTCAGAGAGTAGCAGCGCAGGCATTGACAATTGGGGCGATAGAGGAGGGAGTAAAATAGGGACCAGAGACAATATCTCGGTTTCGAGATAAAGCAGTGCATTTCTGCTTGTTGCGTTCCTGCCTGGTGCGTAGGAAGGAAATTACAGATGGTTGTCTGCATTGGATGGAACCCGCTGATAATGCAGCGTCGTATAGCACAGCCTCAGACTGAGGCAAAAAATGTGTATGACAAGCGCTTGGCTGGAGAGGAGTCGCGATGAAGAAATGTAAGTTGTTGAGGCGGCGTGGCGCAGAGCTACGAAGAATCTCGTTGACGGTCTGGCTCCCCATCAAGTCACTTTGACACGTCAGTAGTTGACGTAGCGAGAGATCATGCGAGAGGACAACGTACGAGGGTGTGTGGACGGCTGCGTTTTTTTTAATTTGCCCTTCCAGTCAGTGCTGCCTTGTTTGCATCAGATAATCCGGAGCATCTTAGAGATTTCGTCCGTGAGCCAGCACTAAACTCTCCATTTGTAGCATCAAACCGGAAAACGCAATCCATGAAGAAAGTGACCTGCAACGTCCCAGACGAATCTCGGGGCTTCGCCGTAAAACCACGAGGAAGGCTACCAAATAACGTCGGCTACATCATACAGTTCGACGTTCTCCCCTTGACTTTCGAATCTTGCATCGCTCCAGAGTATAGATGTCATGTAAGACCACTGCGAGCTCCCCGCAAGAATGTGGTGCGGTTGTGAGCTGTCTCTGGGACTGCCAGATGCACGTTGCAACATTGCTAATAGCCTCCACTGTGACTGAAAAAGAGTTTTCCTCTTGTCAATGGCGTGAAAATTTCAAAGCGGACTAATAGTTTCTAAAGAGGATCAACATACCACTGACCAGCGAAAGAATCACCCTCTAGTCAGCAAACAAGTGCTATGAGCCCGCCAACACTATTTTAATGTCATCTCCAGCTTTACATGTAGGGTGCCATCACAGTCCACATAGACAGTATCGCTACAACAACGCAGTCAGTTCAGTAAAGGAGAAGAGTCGCAAAATAAGTTTTGTTTGTAAAGTCATTAATGACATAGATCGAGCTGAAGAAGTGTAAGGAAGAAGACTCACTCGTCCATCAGCCAATCGCTCAACGCCCAATATATATTTATCACATTGGTGGGTGATCTAGTCACATCGGGTAGTGATCTGCGTCGCCAACGAGGGAGGAAAGAATAGTGAATAGTCGCATAGGAATTGTAAAACCATCATTATGCCTTGCCTTGCCTTTAGACGAATCAGCAAATCTACTCCTTGGGCACAAGGAACAACTTGCTATCAAACCACATTCGCAGGTCTTGAGGTGGGGTTGCATATCCAGCTTTCCCTCTGTGGGCCTCGAACCAAAGTACAGCTTCAAAATACGCTGGAACGCTATACTGAAAAAGATTGAAATCGATGCACCACCTGCAGTTAGCCCCCCTGGAAAAGCGCAACAATCATATACGTCCTGCAGGGAATGGCATCATCATATCAGCATGAGGAACACCGAAAGATATGGACCACATACCCCTCACGGTAAATTCTACGCCTAATTCCTGTGTAATGTGCAGACGTTTTTGGAACATCCCGAAACGGAGACAAGCAACGAACTTGTTCTTGTCCACTCCATCCCCTTCATGAACCTGAACCTCATCTGGCGGACAACCCAAAAAGCGTCTCAAAGACTCAGCATTGGCTGATGGAGCAAATAAATTTGTTGCTGCTCTCTCAGATGGGATCATGGACTTACGATCAATGATACCCAAATTCAACTGTGCAAACAATGCCTGGTCGCTAATTGTCATGCACGCGAGACGCATGTCGGAAAAGCAAACAGACTAGAATTCGGAAATGAATGCACGAAATATTGCGAAGGCTTCTCGCCGGTTATTTACAATTGCCCAATACATCACCGTATGACCTCGATATTGGGTGTTTGCAGAGGGTCAGGGAACTCTGCGGCTGAGAGAGCAACAGTGCAAGCATTGATACTTGGGGCGACAGTGGCAATGGTGAAATCAGACCCGGAGAGAATATCACGGATGCGAGATAGAACAACCCGATTCTGCTTGCTGCGTATGAAGGAAAATACAGATGGTTGTCTGCATTGGATGGAATCCGCTGATAATGCAGCATCATACAAGGGAGGTGTGCAAGAAGCGGACTTGTTATCATCTTGAAAGACTTTGGACTTGGTAGCCATTATGGAGGGAGAGGTAAAGGTACAGACGATGACATAGGGATCTGCCCAGCACGACACAATAAAAATGGTAAGCAAGTAGCACCTGAACCATTTTGCATTTTCACCGTGTCCGGCCAAGAAGCGATGACCGATTCGCCCACTACTGAAACTTCCAGTGACTGAGACAGAACTGAGTGGTTCATGCCGCGCTTGGTTGGAGAGCCCGCGATGGAGAAGAAAACCAAAATGCAATACGCTGGAACAGGTAAATGTGCATCATAAGCACATCTAAGCCCCAATCCATCAGATTCTCCGCGACATGTGCATCACAACCCTTCTTGCCGAATTTCAGATCTAGACAAGTCACGGTTTACAAAATGTGGCTACTAGCGGGAGTCCTTGAGTTCAACGAGCTCGATGTCATCCGCGATGAAGCTAGAAGACTCAGTAGCGTGGTTTGCACTGCGTCAGGAGACATGAATTCGTCGGTCCATCCAGGTGGGGCAGAGGATGTAGCTGGTATTTTATAGTAAAGAAGTTAGGAACCTCTGCCGAGGTCAACTGTATCATTACTTACTACCTGCAGTAAACGTTCGGGATCTGGAACAGTCGAGTAGAAGACTTGACATGGTGCTCATTGTGGTAGAAAACAGAAAAGGATGAAACCCCGAATAGGAAGTAGTCATAGCGCAGTGCGCTCGTAGTTTACAGTTGAGCTCCACGTTATGTTCTGGTGAGAACAAGCGTAATGTCAAAGACACCTGGACCTGCACCCCACCGTCGTGTGGGCATTCCTACTGCATCTACACCACGACCCAAGCCACAGCTCACCATCGAGGAATGGGAAGCCAAAGCACCTCTCAGCGACCTAGCACTCAAGAGCGTCGCGGCGATCAAAGCCGCCAGCGAGAAAACGCCTCTCCCACTCAAAGTACAGTCAAAACATGTTCTGGCGCTGCTCATTGCTGAATACATCCAAGTTTAGCGTCGACGAAGACGAGACCTCACGTCCCTCTACACCGAATCTACGAGGGAAGCTCGCATCAGTGTCGCGTCCCTCAACGCCGGTGCCAGGCTTTACTCGCCAGTTTGCCAGTCATGCGCTGCATCCGAAGCAGCCAGTACAAACGCCCCAGCAATTCTATGACTGGTTTGCACAGATTGATAGGTCCGTAGCACATAGCCAGGAAGCGCACTTCCGCGCTCATGTCGCCATGGTATCCGAACACCTGAACACAGCAGACACACTTATTGAGCGTATAGATGAGGTTGACCGGGAGGTTGGTGGCCTACTTGAAGGCTGGCGAAGCGTGGAGGAGGGCGGAAAGAATCTGAAGGATGCATGTGAGCGATTGCTAGAGGAAAGAGTAAGCAAACAGGCCGCTGGAATATCCCAATATCTAATCCTTCTGCACTAGGACAGGCTTCTTGAACTCACTGAGGAAATCGGAGCTAGGCTTGAATACTTCCAAGAACTAGAACACGCGACGCGCATGCTCAATCATCCTGGAGAGTCCCTTGTCCTTCAAACCGACTTCCTGTATATGGTAGAACGTGTGGACATCTGTATAGATTATCTCAAGGCTCATGTGAGTCGTTGTGCTATTAGCCAATATGCTCTACCGACTCGATACACTTTCAGCGATATTACAAAGAAGCGGAGGTATACCTACTCCGCTTCCAGCAGTGCATGACTAGAGCCATGACGCTCATTAGGATGTTTTTCGTTGGATCGCTAAGGGCCTTGACTGCCGACGTGTCCAGAAGACTGTCAGAGAAGGTAAGTTGTTTGTTACTTATATTCAGACTCTTGACACCGCGATTTTTAGGATGTGTCCTCGACAGCACAGATGCATTTGCTTTACACTAGGTTCCGCAGTGTCACTGCTCAGCTTGCTCCTTTACTCGGCGAATTAGAGCGTCGTGCCGAGGCTCACCCAGAGGACTTGTCGGCTCTGCTGTCAGAATGTCATTCTGCTTATTTTGCAGCACGTAAGGGTCTATTGGTGGGACGCTTGATGGAAGAAATACGTGGGCTTGACCCAACTCACACTGAACTAGTTGAATTAGTGAGTTGCCCATGGTTGTGTTCAGCGATTTACTCATCCAGGAACAGACGAATGCTGGTTGCAGTTATCTGAAGCAACTCTGCACAGACGAGTTCAATCTCTACCGAGAATTTTTCAACTCTGGCGAGGATCACCTCTAGTTAGTAAACATCCTTGTTGTCTCTGCTTTCACTCACCGGTGGCTTCAAGCACTTATCTTGAGAACTTGTGCGACTACCTTTATGATGACCTACGTCCCCGGATATTGCATGAGACTCGCCTCACAACTCTGTGCGAAGTATGCACGGTGCTTCAAGCTCTAATGGTCCTCGATGTAGCGGAGTTCCTAGGGGAACCTTCTGATGAAGACAACTTGATTGTTGATTTTGATCAGCCAAAGCCCAAAGGTCTAGGGCAACTGCATATCAGTCACCTTCTGCAGATGGTCCTCCAGGATGCGCAAACTCGATTGTTCTTCAAAGCGCAGTCCGTTATTCAGGCTGATATTCGGTATTACACACCGAAACCAGAAGACCTGGCGTATCCTGATAAACTCATCGGTGAGTGCATTATTCCGCCGCTGCTCCAGACACTTTCTGACAAGCATATCAGCTGCACGGAAGCCTGTTTCTCAGTACAACATCAAGGAGAAGGAAAGCGTGAGCCGACTCTTCCAGCTACCCTCCTTAGACAAGAAAGAAACGTGGTTTCCGGCCTTGCAAAAGACAGTATGGGTATTGTCTCAACTGCATGACTTCGTCAAGGTAGCCGCTTCCTTTGCACGTCTCGACTGGATGCTGAGTCCATGCAGCCAGCTATTTTTGAAGATATTGCCCACGAGGCCGTCAGCCTTTGCCGTCAATCGCTGGTCACTTCGTCCAACTTGATCGGACAGAGAAGTTCTACCGGCGTGCTAGATGGCCAGCTATTTCTCGTTCGCCATCTCCTGATTTTGAAGGAGGTTGCAAACAATTTGGATTATACCCCGAAGGATGCAGAGCCGAGGACTGATATAGGCGGCGTGACGGGTGGGTGTTCGTACGTGACTTTGGATCGTCCCATTGACTTTCTCGATTACAGATACCTTGGCATCTGTTCTGAATCGCACGACTGCGTTGCTACCAGATGCTCTTTTCGCTTCATTGGGAATGCCTCGAGGGCACGATATCCTTTCGGATTCTCGACATGTGAACGATGCATTTCTTTCACTGACTCCGCATCCTCGCTGACTCCCGATATAGGACATAGACCAAGATCTGAAACACGCCTGCCAGGAAGTCATCTCGTTCTGTGCAAGACTGCCCTGCGACCCTCTCCAAGAGTGGGTGGACCGCGTGCGAGCATTCAACGATGCCCGCGTAGCGTTCTCTTCGGGGCAACAGGCTCCACTCCTGACGGAGCAAGACTGGGCAAAGCAGGCGGTCGCAGAGAACCTTCATGGAAGCTTCGTCGAGGCTTGCGAACGGGATCTACGGTCATTTGTGACAAAGCTACGGTTGTACCTCGAGGACGATCGAACGGTGTCTGTGCTGGTCACGCATATAGAAGAGGCGATTATTGATGACTACCTCAAGTTCCGAAATGTGGTATGGAATATGTACGCGGGCGCGATGAAGACTGTTGTGTTTTCGCAGGAAAGCCTGCGGGATTATTTGAAGAGTATATGTAGTTGACGTACGCCGTACTTTGCTTCAATCTAAGGCGAATATTTCTCTTATTGACCTTGTCTTCCCGGAGGTACATATATTAATGACCATGTCAAACACAATACTACATAAAGGCTGGAAAGAACATCGTCCAAACTTGATATCAATAGTGTTCAAAAGTCTGTAAGTCTAGAAGGACGAGGCGATTTACTATTAGGAGTTGATGTCATGATGATCAAAGATCTTTCACTAGCTTTGAAATCAACGTTATGAACCCCACGAAGAGATTTATGACGCTGTAAACCCCACTTTAATAAAATTGCGCGATACGATTGTTGAGTGCGCGACACAACCTAAGAATGCACGACATATCCTGGGTGATCCTACGAGTGTCATTCCGAAAAGTATCATCATGTATGTGACATCAAGAATGGGAGATACAATGTGTAAAGCTAAGTGTAATACTAGGGTATAGCGGGAGTGATGTTGCGTGGTATCTACTACGTGATGTGACGATCGGCGGCAGTTGTAGTTCATTGATGCGTTCATGATATTGAAGTGATGGTCCAGGTTAGTGTCAGTCATCCTTCGCAAACTCCCAGGAGCGTGGCGGTAGCCAGTAAGCGACGGAGGAGGCAGCAGCTTCGTGACCTGTGGCAATGATGAAAGTAAGACGTGCGCACTGCAGGTTGAGAAAATAATCAATATATCACGTTCTGGTAGTAACATGCTAGCAGCAGTTGGCTGACATACCTCTGAGGAGCCGGACACAACCGGGTTGGGTGAAAAACGAGACTGAAACATGTTCGCCGCTGACTGTGATGTCGCAGCATGTGCCTAAGTAAACGCAAAGCAAATGAACAACCGAACAATTGGTTCGGTTCATAGTTAGATGACCCATAGGAACGAAATGGCTGAACAATATAGATTATAGTGGGAGTGCCAGTGGAAATGTTCTAAAGCTAAAAGCGTTTGTTTGAATCTAAAGCCTTTGCCAAACAACAGGCGCCTGTTCAATCCGCCTGAATCTGATCATGACCAATGTTATACTCTGTCTACCTGATACCAGTCCATCATCCCCTAATTTCCTTGCCCTCTTATACTCATTTTCATAGGCTCATTTGTTACGGTTTGATCATCGGATATTTAAAAGGTTAACTTTGTGAGGAGTCCTTCAAACATGACGTCACTTCACTCCCGTCGGATCAGTATTCTTAGCGACCTCGCAAAGCAGGCAGAATCTTCGGCTTGCGAATGGGATCGAACGGTATACAGTCATTCCGAGTTGTGTTGTACCTGATCGATTGGACGGTGGCAATTCTACCAACACTCCCCGAAGTGGAGGAAGATTTGTACATTGGCTAGGTGACGTCTCTGTCATTTACATAAAAAGGTTCCCCTTCCCGAGTCCAATTGATCCATCGCAGCGAGGAAAGTTTTCATATGGCTGGACGTATAACATCTTCTTTTGCTACGAGATGGATCAGTTCATCTGTCACTTGTTGGATTGTTGTGTCCCAGTCGGGCCCACCGAAGAGATGCTGGATACCCTGAGCAATCCGATCTCATTTGCGGAGATTAACTGCTAGACGTCTGGACTGATTGACCATCATCAGCAAACTACAATGTCCTGTACAGAGGGGACCAAGCTGTGGCAAGCCATTTTTTGGTGGTGGGAAAAAAGTGTTTTGCTGATGATGTTTACAAGCACAACAAGACTGGAAAGAGCATCGTCCGGACCACGAGTTACACTCCCCCGGAGATCTTGCACGAGTATGTCGATTCTGTTCAGCTTCCGACCATGTTCGCTCACTTTGAAGGCATTCCAGACCGCGTCGCACTGGACTCACCAGGTGCAGCCTGCGGACTTGAGCCTAGTGGAACCCCTGAAGGGTGCATGATGACTAGATATTCTTGCTTGAGGCAGCTAGCAATAACGTTGACCTGCGGCGACTACCAGTTCGAAAACCTATCTGCTTACGGCTGGAACTTTAACTACACTTTCATTTTGGTTAACGGGTTACAGTCGGGGCTTGCGCCATAGTAACTTTGATTTCCTCCACAGGATAAACGAACATAGCAGCAAGTGTCGAGGCTAACCCTGACTCTCAGTTCGGCTTTGGATCCGCCTGGCCCACTCCCATTCGATGATGGTGGTTCAATGACTCGGTCAGCTTGCGATGCCAACTCAACATTTGAATGAGATCTCGTCATCACCAGGTTAAAGCTCGGCTCTGTGATGGATGTCATAAAGGCCTTCACCTCACTCCCAGCTGGGTGCTTCAACTGTATCACCATTCAATGACGCGAGGTCGTGCTTACCCTCTCTTTCACGCATCCTTTACTGTAGCACTTTATCTACTTCCCGACGTCGAGAAGCACACTTCATTTCACACATGCGTAGCTTTATTCTACTGATTTTCACGTTGCATTGTTATCCGCTGGTACTCGGACTACACTAAATCAAACGCCATTTGGTAATATCAAGAGCAGCGGAAGTTGAGCGCGCTCGCAAGAACGTACATGAATCATGGTGCGTGGTTGCGGGCCAAAACCTCCGCCGCAGTACCAATATAATCTTCAGAACGTTCAGGATCGAAACACACAGAGTACTAGTCCCGCGATACCACTTGTGATTTCCAATTTCCAACTTTGTTATACAACACAACTTGAACACGTCATACTAGGAAAACTCTGCGCACGCCGCACCAACTGCATCTACTGGATAGTGTGCGCGTCGTCAGGATTCACTACAAGGACATTCGGAACCGGATCTCCGGCCCTGAACACAGTGCACGATTGAATTCTGTCTCGCTGCCAGACCTCAACAGAGCCTGGGTTGATAGGAAAGAAATCCCCGGAGCCCTGGTCCTCGTAATTAGTGATCCTGACGTTGATCACGACGCGGGTTCCGTTGGTAATGGTGATAGGTGCCATAGTACCTGCTCATGTTTGCGAAATGATTAATATGAACTCGGTGCAAACATTTGAGCGCACCTTTGCAATTGAATGTTACAGAAGATTGAGATGAGACGTCGATGAGGAGATCAAGATATCTGGAAGCTGGGTCAAACAGGAGGAAATACCATAGCAGACTTCGGACTCACTCAAAACGATTGAAGAGGCGATGGGGAGCTACAGTCGCAACATCGCGTATTTATACGCGCAGATGAATTTCTTCTGAGCTCAGATCCAAAAAGACAATCATTGCCTGGAACAAAAATAAAGATAAAAGAAAATAATGCGAAGCCACCAACTCCATGAGGACCGGACCAGCAGATGTGACCTTACGTTCGCTAAGTCCAAATGGCACCTGAACCACATCCTTCCATTGAGTGGGTTTTGGCATCCAGTGGAGTGCGACTCACGAATACGTTTTCGTTTGATAATTAGAAGTGAAGCAACTGATCCCCGCTAGAAAACAATAGCACAGTTTGGATTCGGAGAAACGAACCTAACCTTGCTCCTGAAAGGGCCATTACCCTGGCCCTCACTGATCTGCAGATTGTGGAGGACCCCATCGGTGACAGCTGATCCCTGACAGTACGACAGAGTGAATGAGCGAAATGAAAATTTGAATCGTGCCTCTCAAAACAGTTTATCCGATCAGAAAGCAGCCTGATATTCCTTTACAAGATGCGCCAGCCATTATCTGGGGTGCGCATTGATGCGGAACGAAACCTATGAAAGGGACTTACATACTGGCTTCTCCACACATTGCAATGATGATTCGGAAGTTTCCTGCGTCACCATCAGCAACGTAGCACTTCGATTGAAAGAAAGTTAACGAATCATTCCTCGAATTCGCTTGCAAAAAGGGTCTGTCAATGTGACAGGGCTCGGATCTTGGTTCCCCTGATTGAGTGACTATAATACGGGGCACGGCAACCTGACACTTGCATTCCGCACAAGCTTGAGACCGTCATCCGCTTGCAAGGAATGTTTGTATGTTAGGATCAAGTGACTATCGGCGGATTGCTCACTGAGTCGCTGGACTATTCTCACGGGAGCCGTAGACGTAAATCGTTATACTTGAGTTCACCCATTTCGATAAAAAGACTCCTGTTGTGCCGTACCGACAAACGCTCCTCAAGAGCGGAAATTGAGAGATGTATTGTAACCTCTTTTGCAATGGAAGTGTCAGTCGCCGCTGCCGAGAAATCGATGATCTCTACATACTTATCAGAAGACTCGTACCGGCAGCCGCCATCAACAAGCACAAGGATTGAGGAACGTTTGTCACGGTAACTCCTTTTGCAATGGAAGTGACGGTGTGGTGTATCAACCTTCGTCGCGATGGCTGATCACGAGGAGGTGAGAGTATAAATTGAATTTGAGTAACGTTACTTACATGATTCTAGGCGTGTGTTGCTCGGTACAGCAGAATGTTGAGCCTGGGCCTGCCCCCTGAATACGTACAGGTTATCGGTGCTTACAATCACAGGTTTGATAATCAACGAATCATTCTTATTCCCTCTACCTCCCCAGTCAAGGTCAAGTACAGTTCCACACTGACTCGCAGGGGTGGAAGTTGTTGCATCATAGCTGCATCGTGGCGACTCGCGAGCATAGGCCTGTATTATAGTACAGTACACTTGCTCATAACGCATACTTTAAAAAAAATCAAAACAAATTCCTAAATATATATATTGACACACAAATCAATCCACTAACAACAATATGCGGACCAGATGTATGGCTACTGATAGATCGCTTTGTCTGCCAAAATTTATTGTGTTCTGATTTGTTATTAATTATGATGCGTTATGCGTTATGAGCAAGTCTACTATAGTCTGCATTTCTTTGAAGTTTGCACGGCGTCTGATACCGCAGATATTCCAACAGAGTACCAGAGTGCCAAGAGTGCCGATCCTGCATATGAAGCCAAGTTGTAGCCACGTCAGGGTCCGGTACTATGCTGCGGCGTGTCAGTACGGTACTTGTGAGGCATATGACTCGGAATTCTGCAACGATCGTAATCGATTCGTTTTCAACTACGAAGAACGTCGAGAATACTGTCGAAGTCGACGACTCTAAATGACAGCGATGAGTATTGAGAACGGACGTAGAAGTTATCATGCGGTCAACACGCAGAGAACTCTGAGAAGAAGTGACGTGACGAACTTTGCAAGAACTAGTCACATCGGCGCTTACTGTATGTATGCATGTTATTATATTCATTCGAATCCTCCGGTGGGTCCAGACCAGGAGTTAAACGCTGGGTTTCCACCCCTTGGAATTCGCCAGGCGTAGCTCCCCCACCAGATCCAGCACTTTGGGTCCAAATCAACATCTATGATCTCTCGTTGACATTGAAGATTGAACTTCACCGCGTAAATCCATTCAGCACGTCGCCGCGCCTTATGCATTCAAGATATCTCGTGAACACACCACAAAAGTGAACCAAACCATGTGAGACTCGATCGTCGGCTGCACCACGGGCCTGTGATGAGGCAATGTGGCAGATGCGGCCCTTGTTCTTCTCAAGGTTTGGGGTATTTTGATGGAACAGGTCACCTACGACTGAATAGTCTAACGATTTACGTCTACGCCTCCTGTCAGAATGGTCCAGTGAGCAATCGACAAATATTCCTTGAAGTGAATTCTAGGGATGGCGGTCTCAACTTGAAGCTTGTGCGAAATGTAAGTGCCAGGTTGCTGTTCCACGTAGTCACTCGTCGGAGGGACCAACAATGTCACATTGACAGACTCTCCTTGCAAGCAAATTCGAGGAATGGTTCGTTGACTTATCAAAGTGCTACGTTGCTGATGCAGGTGACCCAGGAAACTTCCGAACTGTCATTGCGGTGCGTGGATAAGCCTGTATGTAAGTCCCTTTCATAGGTTTTGTTCCACATCAATGTACTGATGGGGTTCTCCACGATCTGCAGATCAGCGAGCGCCAGCGTAATGGTGCTCTCAGGAGCAAGGTTCAATAGGTTCAGTGCTACTTCTTTTTCCGAATCCAGACCGTGCCATTGGTTTCTAGCGGGGATCATTTGCTTCCTTCACTTCTGATTATCAAACGAAAACGTTTTTGTGAGTCGCACTCCACTAGATGCCAAAACCCTTCAATGGAAGGATATGGTTCAGGTGCCATTTGGACTTGGCAAACGTAAGGCCACATCTGCTGGTCCGGTCCTCATGGAGTTGATTGCTTCGCATTATTTTATTTTATTGTTGTTTTTGTTCCAAGCAATGATTGTCCTTTTGGATCTGAGCTCAGAAGAAATTCATCTACACGTATAAATACGCGACGTTGCGACTGTAGTTCCCCATCGCCTCTTCAATTGTTCTGAGTGAGTCCGAGGTCTGCTGTGGTGTTTCCTCCTGTCTGACCCAGCTTCCAGATATCTTGACCTCCTCATCGAAGTCTCATCTCAATCTTCTGTAACATTCAATTGCAAAGGTGCGCTCAAATGTTTGCACCGAGTTCATATTAATCATTTCGCAAACATGAGCAGATACTATGGCACCTGTCACCATTACTAACTCAAGCGGCGAGACGATCCACGTCAGCATCACTAACTACGAGGACCAAGGCTCAATGGCCTTCTTCCGTATCAATAATGGCAGTGCTGAGGTCTGGCAGCGAGACAGAATTCAATCTATGACCGTGTTCAGGCACGGCAATCCGGTCCCGGATGTCCTTGTCGTGCAGCCTGACTCGCAGCACAATGTCCAGTAGATGCAGTTGGTGACTGCGTGCGCAGCGTGTTCCACGGAGCAGATGTCGTAGTTCCAGTAGGCGAAGGATGAATACTACTAGTATGATGTGTTGTGTTGTATAACAAAGTTGGAAATTGGAATCACAAGTGGTATCGCGGGACTAGTATGCTGCGTTTCGATCCTGAACGTTCTGAACATTATATCGGTACTACGACCACTTGGTGGCAGGTTGGTGCACAGTGCGATTATGATGCACACGGCCTTTACATTATAATGCCCCCTCCAATAATGTTGATGGTGTAGTAGGCAATGCATCGCTTTGGCTGCATAGCCTCGACATCGAGGATCTTGTCCCTCCTTCCTACGTAGATGATGCATCTGAGTCTCTTCAATCTCCTAGTATGGTACCATGATGCAGGCAGGTAAGCGTTCAGACGATTCACGGGTAAGGGAAAATCTTGACATGAATGACACCTTCCAAGGAATTAGCCCACCATACGGAGCGCGACATAGTAGTAGCGTTAGAGCGTTGTGCAGAGACGGAAAGACAGGGGGAACTCTGAAAAATACACGAACATGCTGCTCCAAGCGGAGACTCCAGTCAACTTACAGGAATTTTGTCCCACCTACGTACCCAGACGCTTCGACACCTCCCTTAAGTTCCTTCCGCGCTGAGAGCATACTCACACTCTTCGGTAACCTCTGACTCCAGTCTTGACTGCACCCATATTTCCGATCGTCAGATAACACCGTTCCATTCCCTGACCCATTGAAATTCGATAATCATTGCCCCACAGATAACTGACATACTCACCAAACCACTACCGAAATAAAAACATGCGTAATGTTCATATTCTCGTTGGGGTCACGTTCGCATTTTGTGTGTTAGCGTTCGAAATGTAGAGAGAAAGACAAATATTAATTAAGGAGTGATGCGACAAGCAAGAGTTTTCTAATGATATTGATACGAGGAAGCTGAATGTTGTGTAAAACTATGGGAGACTCGGGGAAGGGAAAGGAAGAAACATTTGAGGGTTTCGCCAGATGCATGGGAAGGTCTGGCTGCCAGACCAAGGCAGGAGGGTGCCATGTCTGGACATGTCGCACAGATCCCGACAACGAGGAGAGGAATATGAAAGAATCGGAATCGGCGCATTGTGATCTGAAAATAGCAGGTGGGTGAACAAAAATCAGAAAGCGACGCGCAAAAGTGAAGAGACCGCGAAGGAAATGAAGAATTGCGAATTGCGAATCTCCTCACCGCAGACCTTTTTGAGGGAGCACACGGACTGAGGTGAAAGCACGGGAGTGCACGGAGGATCTCCACGTGAACGCTTACAAATAACAAAGGCCCGCAACGCCCACAAAAAAAACATTCCCAGAGGACATTCTGACGCACTACATAGCTACATGAGAATACCGCACGGAGACGGTGATTGGCACGCTTGATGGCAGAAACTTGACGTGGGCTCGACCCAGCACATACTGAACTTTAGTGAGCTGCACACGGATTTATTGGAGAATATGTAGTTAGCGTACGCTATACTTGTAGCAGAAGGCTTTGGGCGTTTGGGGGCAGGGAGCTGGAGAGTGGAGAGTGGAGGCACCCACCATGGCGGGGGTGTTGGCCATTGAGGGTTCCCGTTGACGGCGTTGTCCCGGAGAGAGGGGTGCTTATCATGGGACAACCGGGGGTGCCAGGGATGGATGTTATGGGTGGGTGAGAGAGAAGGGAGAGATGGCGGAAGGATTTTAAGAGAGATGGCGGGAGCCTGCTGCTTCTATCAGCGTCTATCAGCATTGGACGAGACGTTGGCGGTTCGAGTCAAGAAGACATAGTACGTCATGTCCGGCCGTGGTTGGTATGAGTCACCGTTATTTGGCGCTCAACGCTCAACTTTGCTTCAATTGACCTTGTCATTCCCGGAGGCGCGTACGCGCATTGTCTCTTAGTCCCTGTAGCTTCAACAAGTATGCTCCCACTCGTCAATCGCTGTTTCATCAACTGCTCGTAAGTGGTCAGATGAATCTCAAGTCCTGAAATCCATCTATAGGGCGTCTACAGAACTCCTGTACTTGTACCCTTTTCGAAGAAAACGGCACTCGACTCCGTTAAACGATATTGCAGTGCCGAAGTACGAGATATGAGATGTTCCTTCGTGTCATTCATACTAGGTCCTAGGTGCACGCATATCTTGATGGTTTATGAGTTTCGAGGTGTCAAGAACGGTAACAAAAGTGACTCACCTCTCCGCTCACTGCACCGCTCCGTCCGCTGGCTAAAGGCCTGACCTCAATGTGATAGGTGCATAGTTGGAGCAAGTGCTGCAAAAGCGCATCGGGTTCTGGTGGTGTGACGATATGATGCCGGACGACCAACGCTGCGTCCATCTATGTTTTGGTTGTAAATGAGTAACTACTCGAAGTTAACATTCGCATACCTTGGCACACAGGCTTCTTAGAGCACGAGCGAACCGGGATAGATAAAGCAGTGAACACCCGAGCCATTCGAGCGATGTGATGTCATCCAGGATCACCAGTGGAATTTGGCCATCGACTCGGGAGTCTGACAACTTGACTGATAGTAAATCATATATGCTCTCTAGAGAGATATTATTCGTATTTCCATCTGTTGACGGTGGATGATGGTCGAAGACATCTATGAATTGAAAAGATTCGTTCTGAGCTACATTTATGTTCTGCGGGTAAGTGACGACAGGCCATTTAGTATTAGATCGATGCGATGGTGAGGATTGGACATACGGCCTTTGAAGCTATTGATTTCCAGCGCTCGAGGCTTTCAGATACAGCAAGAACTATACATTTTGTAGGTTTGCTCTGCTTCAGGTGCAAATGAAGAAATCGGTGCAGTAGAAAGTCAGCTGGAGCTGGGAGCTGGTCTGTGAGCAGAACCAGACGACGGGAAGAAATTAGTTCGGGCGCGGGGAACTGCATGGTCAAGAAACCGTCTGACTGTTGGATCGTCTATGTATTTTTACATATGTTACTCTGCGGAGAGTTATCATCAAGGTGTCGGCTACAGACACAAACAACCCAGCTCACATCAATAAAGCACTCTAGCTCAACGTCAAGGTACCCTAGCTAGTAAGATTTGTACCTCTTTTTGACTTGAACCCATTCATTGCTCATATTAGTTGTATCTTAAGACAGGTCTACTCAGACCGTTGGACGTGACGTTGTCCGAGTCATGTCCGTGCCTAGCTTCGAGGAGCTCTTTGGGTCCTGTACTCTGGAAGTAATAGCCCCAGACACCTCCATAGCATTTCCTGAACCAGGAGCTGCAGATGACTGGTTACTCGCGCTCAATTCATCTGGCATTGAAAGAAGGCAAGCGTTCTTCGGTAAGGTAGATGATTTCACCGAACATGCCAGTCTCGCGGCTCATCAAATGATTGATTCAGATGAGCAACTACATCTTCTCTTGATTGCCCAGATACCCTGTTTATCTGAGGATGTCGACCCCAAGGATCCACCTCCATCCCTGCTCGATTTTCTTGCTCATGTGCAGGTTTCGCTTGAAGCCACTTATATCTCGCAAACCCCTACAACTCTCCCTGAAACTCCCCAGACCGCTCGAGTTCTCGCTCCACCGCGGACTTCATCCATAGCAGGTAAACCTCGACCCACCTCCCACCATCCTTCCTTATTCCCTCCCCACACACCAAACCCCACACCATCATCAACGGATAGGGATCGCAAGTACGCGCAATCGGAAGGAACTCTTCTTCTTGCCAGCATATGGGGTCACAAGCCGGCAAATTTGTCGAAAGAGAAGTTCTCCCTTTTGTATTCCGAGGCAAAGAATGCTTGGTTGGCGGTGTATGAGCTCTCTTTGACCATGTGTAAGTGTGCACAAGTAATGCGTCTGCGACTTCCCTCAATAGTCTTCTAGCATTTCTCCGCCTCTCATTCTCGGATCCTTTACTGTCCTTGACTGTGTCAACTACATTACGAGACAAGGCGGTATCACTGTCGCAAGCAAACCATCCATTCGTCATATTTCTGTCAGAAAGTGGCATACTTGCCAGGCTTTCTGCTTCTGGCATAAGTTCATTCTCGAAGCAACAGAACCAGGAGGTAGACGATGGCGGGGAGGATGACTATACCGGGCTTGAGGAAGTCAATCTACTAGAAGGACTTTTAGCAGGTGGTTTTTCATGCTAGACCAATATCATAGATCATTCACCCGACTTCTAGGATCAAATGTCGCACCCGATTCGGAACCACTTTGGCTCCCATCTACTCGCTTGGGGAATGTCACGCGTCGAGAGCTGTTCTCCCTCCAACCTATGCAACCTTTATCTGCCCAATCGCCTACCTTGAGCGCTAAGCGTCCACTCAATGCCACTCTGCGGAAATCCTTTCGCAAAATTCTCCAGACCGTTTCTGGCTTTCGGGTGCGGATGCGAACCGTTTTTGTTCCCCACATTCTCCTTCCTGAGGGGAATCCAGGGGATGGCTCTAATGACGATGATAGTGATGCGCAGGAACGAGAGGCAGGGAACAACGAACGTACCGTCGTCCTTTGTGTTGAGGTTGAGAACTCGGGAGAATCAGGCCCAGGTGTTGGTTTCTCAGTGGAGAAGGTAGTTGTGAAAATCGGTGGCGAAGGTGCATCCGCCAAACTGATAGGTTGGGGAGAGAGTGCGTTCGAGGCTGAGGTGGAAACGCAGACCTTCCCGCTGCTGATCGGGTCCATGGAACAGTACAATTTGTTGTACGCAGTCTCATTCCTCAAGCCTTCTGCAGACACAGATTTCTCGCTGGTTGGTCGGCGGCCTGGTGCTGCCTTTGCAAACTCAGATCTGCAGCGGGCGGTAGCAATCAATATCTATGGAAAACCTTATGTGCCGAAGGCAGGTGATGAGGATGAATCTGAGGACGCTGATGGTCCTACCCTGGCCTACCCAACACATACCTTTTCCTCTCGGTGGAATTGCATCCTGGACCTTTCCTCAAAACCATCAGAACCACCTGACTTCTCAGACCCTTCTGGTGGTGCTCGTAGTGTGTTACCAGAGCCCGCATCTCCCTTTCCAGGGCAAGCGGCCCTGGTATCTGCGATCCCGACCTCGAGAGCCCAATCTGTTACTGGGAACAAACGACATACCCTTCCCAATAATATCGCAGCTTTACGTGCGATCAACCTGAATGCTAACTTCCGTCCGATGCCATACCGCGATTTATCTACTGCCTCACCTATCCCCTCTAACAAACAATACACTCCCCCCTCTGTTGCTGTGCAAGGTTTATTAAAGTCTCCTGCCACTACATTCGGCATTCCATCATCAGTCACGCCACTGTTAGGCGGCGGCGTACCCAATGGAGGCCCATCAGAGTCTCAAACATTTGTAACGCCACCAACTCCTGCCTATCCTGCATTCCCTCCGGCTACTGCTCCAACTACTCACTTCCAAGCACCTCTTAGTAGCTACCATGGAGCCTCGGGCCCAAGTGTTGAAATCCGCAGGGAGCGCGGTCCTGGAATGACTGCAGCTGTACCCCAAACACCTGGCCCAACCATCATCGGCGCATTCGACCTCGCTCAAGATACCCCAGTCAACGGCGGAGAGCCCATCATCGTCTCTGTTGGCTTGCTTCCACCTCCTTCAGGTTCCGCCGCATCCAGGAAATTATATCCATGCGATCAGTTCACCTTAGATATCTTCGTGTTCAATCAGAGCTCGTGGACTAGACGTTTCGAAATCAGCTGCCCGGATCCCGATCGTAGACGTAGACGGAAGATCGAGCAGGAGAAAGCTGCGAGGGGTGGCAAGACGACTATGGAGGAGCTGAAGAGTGTGATGACGCCTCCTGGGGTACTCCCATTACAAAACCGGGTGCGGGTCGGGTAAGTCGTACTTTGGGTGACTTGCTGCGATGTCGTTTAATGAGGCTTCTTGGAATCACAGGCCGCTGCGTCCATCTACCTGCCAGTCAGTTAGGATGGACTTTCTCGCAATGACTCCTGGTGTGCATTCAGGTTGAGGTGCTCAGTCTCACGGATATCGAAACTGGTTTCTCCATGGATCTGCGGTAAGAGAATGTCCTTCATCTCTTTTCGTTCGCGCACTAAATTCCTATGGTAGATCTGTCCTAGATATTGTTGTTCACGAGTGTCCTCAGATGTAGCCCTTTCCATCTTACGCCGAGCGATCGAAGATAAAACACTTGATCTAAAAATAAGTGATAGCGAGACAACAGAAAACAACAGCGTAAATACACAAGAAGAGTGTAGCAGAAGGGGTACAGAATGTATGTTAAGGTACCTTCCGAGGTGATCATTACAAGTATGACGTAGGTGGGTTACACCCACTGAGACTTCTCCCAGGCCGGATCCTGCATAAACGCGCATAGAACCTTACTACCCGTCTGTACAAGCCATCAGATTATTGAACAGTCCTTCTTATCTAGTCACTCACCTGCAAGAGGGGGTGGCCAGCAACGATGCTCAAGAATCGTTCCAGTCCCTCCCTTCGACTCTCGATAACTTCATCGGAGAATCTATTGGTGAAGACTTTGCCAGGAAGTGGGGGGATGTTAACACGAGTCGATTCGCGTTCCAGAATATCACGGAACGCCTCGAAGTCGGAATAACGACGCCGGACGAGGGAATGGCGAAGCTTAAAGGCAGGGATGTTTGTCTACAGAGTATACCGAGGGCGGAGGATAAGAACTCGGCTGATTAGAGCTGCGGTAACAGTGTATATCACCTTGCACACGATCTCATAGTCGGTATACATCTTTCTACCAAAACCTACTCCGCGGTAAGGAAATATGATCATATCTAGCAAGTTCGGGACTGCTCACCATGGGTTTGAGGATTGCGAACTTCAATTTCTAAGAAGCTCTCAGGGACGCTGTACATTTCTTCAATCTGGGAAGCGCTTGCTCGTGTTTATGCAGCAGAAATGGGATGATGTAGGGGAACCTGGGCTTACGGTCTGTTCGCGCCCGCCAAGGCGGGGCTCGTCGAACGCGCTGCTGCGGGCAAATGGCGACACGGTTGTCATGTCGTGGTTGGTGTCTCAGTGTAGTAAACAGCGAACACAGCAATGGCACATGTCACATACGGAGCTGTCACAACCAATCACACCAAGAGTCACACGTCACTGCCACCTCGTCTTCGTTCTGTTCGCCATGGATCGATCTGAAGCTTCTTTCGAGCACAATGATACAGATTGATGTCAACGGAATTGATATTTATATACGATCGAACCAGCTACAGCCATAGTTCTTCATCTCCATGAAAGGAACTCTTCTTGAGTTCCTTTAATTTAGTATGTGCACTTCTGCTCCCGACTCTGCAGTGACGAAGTATGAATATCAGACGTTAACCACATCACAAGACCGTGCTCACCCTCTAATTCGCCCAGGCACGAGCACTCTGGAAAAGCCTGAACCAAGGACTTGAACCGTCCCAGGAATCCGCAAACGCGGGTGGATACCAGCTGCAACTCTCCAGTGCTACGACACGTTCTGGATGCGGCATAAGACCTAATATTCTACCGTCAACCGTCTGCACGCCGGTGATCCCATCGGGACTGCCGTTCGGGTTCAATGGGTAAACCTCTGTGGGTTCACCTGCAGAATCAACATATTGCAGTGCGACGAGTCCGGCTTTCTGCAGGGCATCTCTCTGGGTGTCGTCCGAGAAGGACACCCTTCCCTCTCCGTGAGCAACAGCGACAGGAAGCTTTGATCCGACCATGTCTCGCAAGAAGACGGAGGCCTTCGTCACTTCGTTAGAGGTGACTTCAACTACGGATACACGGCCCTCGAAGCGCTCAGAAGCGTTTGGCTTGAAGTCGGGCCAGTGCTCTGCGCCAGGAATGATCTCCCTCAAATGACTGAGCCATTGGCAACCAGTTGCAGACGCCGAGAGTGAACGTATTTTTGTCTGCGAAGAAGTGGGTGAACTCCTTCCTCGCTATGTCGTTCAAAAGCACTGAGTGAGCCCAGCCTTTTCCAGCGCCAAGAACATCTCCATAGGAAAAGCCACCGCAAGCTGCTAGCCCGCGGAAGCTCGAGAGCGACAGCTCTCCAGAGAGAATGTCCGACATGTGGACGTCTACGGCATCAAAACCTGCCGCCGTGAATGCCCAAGCCATTTCCACGTGTCCATTGACACCTTGCTCACGCAAGACGGCAACCTTCGGCCGCGACAAAAGACTCCTCGAGGGCGATTGCGCATACTCGAATGTGAGATCGTAATACAAACCCCTGTGGGTATGATCCTTGATGAGGGCGAATTCCTGCTGTGCTCCGATAGGGTTGTCGCGCAGTGATTGCATACGGTGCGAAGTCTCTGCCCAGGCTTGTTGAAGCTCCTGACGCGTGCTCGAAAATAGCACCTTGGATTCGTGATTGATGGCGAATAGTTGATCAGAAGGATCAATGTTGACTCTCCCGATGACGTGGAATGGATGTGGAAGGGAAGCCGACGTCGACAAACTCGCTCATGAGCTTGCTCAGGTGGGACTCGCAAACTTGGACGACAGCTCCTAGTTCCTCGTTGAACAAGGTAGCCACTGGGTCGGAAGCACTGTGGAGAGTGTCAAGGGAAACTACAGCCCCCACCCGGCCAGCGAAGCACATCTCCGCCAAAGTGGTGAAAAGACCTCCGTCCGAGCGATCGTGATACGCAAGCACTAAGCCAGGTCGACTCTTCTTGATCTTCTGGCATCCATCGAAGAACGTTCGAACTGTGAGAGGATTCTCGACGTCTGGTGCTTCTGACCCGATCTCCTTGAAGACCTGCGCAAGCGCAGATCCGCCCATGCGCGTCTTGCCATGTGCAAGATCGAAGAATACGAGTACAGTCGTTTCTTTCAGGTCTGTACGCAGTTGCGGCGTCCAGGTTCGATCGACATCGTTCACCGGCGCGAACGCCGTGACGATGAGGGATAGAGGAGAACTAACTTCACGCTGCTCCTCTCCATGCTTCCACTTCATCGACATCGACATCGAATCTTTACCGACCGGGATGCCGACGCCCAGCGCAGGACAAAGTTCCATACCAACAGCGGCCACGGCGGCATACAAGCCTGCGCCTTCACCTTCCTTAGAGGCAGCGCACATCCAGTTTGCACTGAGCTTGACACGGGAAAGACTGGCGACGGAAGCTGCAGCTAGGTTGGTGAGTGCCTCGGCGATAGCCATACGAGTAGATGCAGATGGATTTAACAAGGCGACAGGTGTTCGCTCACCCATCGCCATGGCTTCACCACTCAGGACGTCAAAGCCATACGATGACCGAGTAACGGCAACGTCAGCAACTGGAACCTGCCACGGTCCAACCATTTGGTCTCGAGTTACCAAACCCGTGATGGTTCTGTCTCCAATGGTGATGAGGAAAGACTTCGACCCCACTGATGGAAGATGGAGAACGCGGTCCACTGCGAGAGAGAAGCGGTCGGACAAGGTGGATTTTGGAAGATATTGAGAAAGGGTAGTGTCAAAATTCGTGAAACCAATTTTGCGCGTGGTATCCTTGCGCGACATGCGAGGAGGCTTGCCGAAAAGCGTCGACATCTTGAGATGAATGACATCTTGCAAAAGGAGGCGGTCGGTGACGATGAGTTCTTCTTCTTCTGTTGCGACGCCAACAATGGAGAATGGACACCGTTCTCTTCGTGCTATTCTCTCGAACTCGCTTGCCTTCTCCGCCGAGACAGCGAGGACATAACGCTCCTGACTTTCGTTGCACCATATCTCCATGGGAGACATAGAACTGTCCGCGACAAGCACGTCCCTGATCTCAAACATCGCACCCAGTCCAGAGTCGTGGACTAGCTCTGGGAGTGCATTTGACAGTCCACCGGCGCCCACATCATGAATACTTTGAATAGGACTACCCTCCCCCAAGCCAACGCAAGCGTCAATAACTTGCTGGCATCTCCTCTGCATCTCTGCATTCTCTCTCTGGACAGATGCGAAATCCAATTCCGCGGAGCTGGCACCAGATACCTGACTGGATGCTGCTCCGCCACCCAAACCGATGAGCATACCTGGGCCACCCAGCACGATGATCTTCGCCCCTGGGGAAATCCGCGATTTCATCGCGAATTGTGGACGGACATTCCCGTATCCACCGGCGATCATGATTGGCTTGTGATAGCCTCTGATCTCCTGTTTTGATCCGTCCTCTGAGGCAGGGACAGATTCAGAGAATGTGCGGAAGTAGCCTGCAAGTGCTGGACGGCCGAATTCGTTGTTGAAGGCACTCGCGCCTAGAGGGCCTTCAATCATGATGTCGAGAGCTGACGCGATGTGTGAGGGACGGCCGAAGTCCGTCTCCCAAGGTTGCTCATAGCCTGGTATGAGAAGGTTGGAAACCGTGAAGCCAGCTAGTCCGGCTTTTGGTTTCGATCCTCGGCCTACTGCTCCCTCATCTCGAATCTCGCCTCCGGAGCCTGTGGCTGCTCCAGGATAAGGAGAGACCGCAGTGGGGTGGTTGTGGGTCTCGACTTTGATGAGAATTGGCATGTTCTCGACCGAGGCTTGGTAGATATGCTCGGTTGAAGCACGATGTACGCCGAATCGAGGAGCTTGTGCACCTTCAAGGACAGCTGCGTTATCGGAATATGCGGAGATGGTTCCGAGTGGACTGATCTTTTCCGTGTTTCTGATCATCTGGAACAGCGACCGGTCGAGAAGCGTCTGGTCTATTGTCCACGACGCGTTGAATATTTTATGTCTGCAATGCTCCGAGTTCACTTGAGCAAACATGAATAGTTCAGCGTCGGTGGGGTTGCGGTTGATTGGCGACGATCCAGATACAAATGCTTCCACCAGGTAATCGATTTCGTCTGCTGCAAGTGCGAGTCCTAATGTTTTGTTCGCGATCGAGAGCTTCTCGCGTGCAGCACCTGTATCAACTTCCTCTTCTCCTTCTCCTCTCAACTCCACCGTCCGCAGTGAGCTTGGGGCGTGATGTTGAAAGATCACACCCTCGTGAGGGAGAGACATCTGGACGCTCTGGGTCATACGGTCGTGAAGTAAATGGGATAACACAGTCAAGTCTTCCTTCTCAAGATCTTCGTTGTTTTGCAGCTGGAAGACGAACGCGACCCCGCGTTCAAGACGATCTATGTGCTGTGATAAGTTGCATATGCCAGCGATGTCAGTCGCTTTGCTAGACCATGGCGATATAGAACCAGTTCTTGGTAGAATGTAGAAGACATTGTGTTCGGAATGAAGCGCTTCAGACGTTGATGGAAGACTGATGTCATCGCCGTAGTCCAGCAATAGATCAATAGCTTTTCTTTGTGGCGACGCTTTGTCAGCTAAGTCATCCTGCAGCGATTGGCTCGGGCACTTGACAAGGTGTATGTAGACTGCATCAACAGAGATTACGTCTGGTTTGATGGTTTTGATATGCTGAAGAAGCGTCTGGCGCTTCGAAGAGGAGAGTGCAGACGAGCCTGGGAGAACGAGCATACCTGAATCATGTCAGCTATGCGATCATGTACTGTACGGGTTTGCGCTCCTCACCGTAGTCTCCTCAACCAAGCATAGACAAGCGTCGTCGAAGTGGATCTGAGTGATTGCTGGCAGTGACTACAATACAAATTTTCGAACTCGATCAAGACGATCATCCATCTACATAATCTAATCTCTTATCTTATCTTATCCTATCTTATCTAAGACTGTAATAAGAGTGGTCATCAGCATTACGAATGAGTACTCCCGCCGCAGGCATGCGTGTTCAGGCACATGTCGCCGTCAGCTTTAATGATCATCATCACCTCACAGTATTTTCTAACGTGCTGAAGGCTTGCCGTAGCTGATGTGTTTCTACGGCACGATCATCGATGACTTTTAGCACCAGAGCAACACATATAAAAGACCCTTGTAGGGTTCGTTAGGAATATTCGACTCCATCCTTAACACCCGTGCTCTCATCATGGGCAAATTCATCGTATCAGCATTTCTTTGCGAACAGCGTAAAGAGCTTCCGGTACCATCCGCGGACATCAGCGATAAGTCGATCCTCGTCGTCGGAGCAAATGTGGGCCTGGGCTTTGAGGCGTCGGTGCACTTGGCCCAACTCCGGCCCAAACGCTTACTTGTTACAGCCAGAAATGTCACAAAGTGCCAGCAAACAATAGCAGGTGCGTGTGATGCTTGCAAAGATGGTCTACGTCGCACCCTAACACAGGCAAAGATGTCCAACAGCGGGCAAGCATCAGTGCGATCGATGCACGACCCTTAGAACTCGGTTCATTCGCGTCGGTGGCCCAATTCGTGAATCGGGTTGAAGAGGAGGACTTTCAGGTAAACGCCATAATTGCAAATGCTGGGATACATACTACGCGATACACAAAAACCGTGGATGGCTGGGAGACAACGTACAGATACCTTTTCGATCTATTCTGCGACTCCTCAAATATTTCTTGCACAGGCTTCAAGTGAACTACTTATCAACAGCACTACTGAGCATCCTCATGCTGCCTCATCTCATTGAGAGCTCGACACCTCAGTCTGCGTCGAGACTTGTCATTGTTTCGAGCGACCTCCATTACCTCGCGAACAAACTTACAGGAGTCGACCAATGGCCTAGCATTCTTGAGAAGCTTAATGACCCGGATTACTGCACTTCCTCGTAAGGACCTGTAAAATATGCCCTCTTCCTTGACTGACAAGGGCACAGGGTCATGAGCGATAGATACAACCTCTCAAAACGTGAGAATCGAATAGCATATCTCGCCTGTTATTGGAACTCATCGTTCTTCTGATTCAAGTGCTAGAAGTGATGTTTGTACGCGAACTCAGTTCACGACTCTCCGCGCCGACACCTGTAGCAGTCTCAGCTGTCAACCCTGGGTTTTGCCATTCTCGTTTAGCGCGGTCCCAAACAAATCCCTTTATGAGACTGGGTGTCGCAACCCTGAAGACCTTGCTCGCCCGCACCACGGAAATGGGAAGCCGAACGCTTGTCCACCCCGCCGTTGAACCGGGTGAGATGTCGAGACATGGCTGTTACCTGTCATGTTATGAGCCGAAGGAGGAGAGCGATTACACGATTAGCACGGAAGGAAGAGAGGTTTCTAGACGCCTGTGGGTAAGTACTCTATTTAATCTGACGGTTATGGACCTCACTCATCATCATGTTCATTAGTTGGAAACGATCGATGTATTAAGCAGAGTCGATTCTAGGGTTCAGCGTATCGTCGATGAGCACCTGCGAGCACGTTGATGGCCTACCCTGTGAAGTAATATTGATCAGGGGTGCTATGCGCTGATATAATATATCAGATCAGCTTGTTTGCACACGTTCGTTCATTTGGATAATCCTAGAATGTGAAGCTTTATATTGCTCAATGCTGTGGGTTCATCCAAAGCAGAACCTATCCACATTTTCCCAAGAAGCATTCAGAAGTCGAGGTGGCAGCGTGGATCTTTGAATCTCTGACGATCGGCACAGCTCCTGGATGTCGGCTATACACCATCCCGTGGTCTGCCGCGAGGAAAGCTTGAGGCTCTCAGGATAATTGACTTTCAGTCCGCGGTCTCATCCTGCTCTGCATCCTGTACACCTCAGTTCTATTTCCGCCCCTGCTAACCCATGGCCACACACAGAATGCCACATCTACAGAGACATCGCTTCAGTTGGGCAGATTGCGAAGAACCTGATATTCTAGCTCTGACTGCTGCGACACAGCTCGTGAGCACCGTATTCATACATGACACCCGTCGATGACTTACGTGCAATAGCCACCTGACAGGCCTGTTGGACACTACAGTGGCATCACAGAACCTTCATGGTTACCTCGCCAGAATTCCTTCAACTCTGGCCGTTCTATTCGTTCCAGTCACAACGCTTCAGAGCATGAACCTTCCGTGTTCACTGACGATCACTATCGTGCCCACCACAGCCCTGCAGGCGTTCCTGATGCGTTGATGAGTTATGTCAGCTTGCGAATTGGCATCACAGTTTTTCGGTCGTTCATTTACATCTCTCCTAGCCGCCCGATTTTGGACAGTCTTCTGAAGAACCCATGACATTGGGACGCTGGTTGCGTCTATTAGGACGGCGAGCTTGTCGGGCGGGCGGGTACTTTTGATTGAGTCTCTCGAACGACTTCGAAGTATGCTCAAGGGTGGTAGTCTAGTCATTTCTTCGCTCTCCAGCCGCTGTATATGAACCTAAGCCCTGAGGCTTACTACGTAGTTCTAAGTTTTCCCTGCTATGTCATGAATTATCTTTCTCTTTCGATACTACTACTAGTTACTCCTTACAAAATACATAAGACTCCGCATTTTTGTAGTAGATAGGGCGCAATGTTCGTCTGTTGTATATATCATGATCCTGCACTTTCTTTTCCCCAGCTTATCATCCCCTCTGCATTTTCGATCTTTCACGTTGAACGTGGCTGACTCTGCTGAGTAATCCGCCTTGACAGCTTACTAGTGTTGAGTTGCAACTCGGAAATGACCATTGTAATTAGTAAGCAGGGTACAAACGTTAGTAATACGGACCATGGACTCGTTAGTAATAAAGGATAGACGGCGACAGACGAGCATCTCGGTCCATTGAACTGAGATGTGAGTATTCATTCATTCTAGACAGTTACTATACTAACAGACTATTAGTTATCTTTCTAGGTATATAGTTTCTATTTAACAGAGTCCAATAGACTGAGATTTATCTTTCCAGCAGCTAAGCTCCCGCGTTCGTTCCACCCGTCACATAACCTTAGTAAGACTTACTAGTTCCGCTATATGTGCCGTTCTATGTTTCGTTCATCACAGAGGAAGTCAAACACTCAGGCGCATCGCTTCCTCGTACACATGAATCGATTCGCCACAGTGTTTGAATTCCTCTACATACACAATGTAAGTACTCAAAGTTATAGACTTATAGTCACTGCCCCACCGTACCTCACAGGCTCACACAGTACGATATCAATCTTATCTTTCTGGGACGAGATTTTGCATTCATTTCACATGATCATTTGTCAGGCATGGCAGGGCATAGAGCTGCCATTGCTGCTGCGCAGCTATCAGTAAGTAAGTAAGCACTAATTAGTAACGATGATTCAGAGCAAATTCAGAGGTCGACCGGTGAGTAGTTAGTATTACGCCGGGCCACATATTTTACTTTGATCAACCGATATAAATGCCGCTTATCGCTCTCCAGGTTACACAATTGCGGCATTATGGGCAAGTTCCGCTTTCTCCATTTTCTTCGCGAGCAATGGACAGAGCTCCCGATCTCCACTGCGGATGTCAGCGACAAGTCGCTGGTCGTGGTCGGTGCTAATGTCGGGCTTGGAAACGAAGCTGCCGTGCATTTAGCCCAGCTAAGCCCCAAGAGCCTGTTGATCACCAGCAGAGACGAAGCCAAGTGCGAAGGGTCAAAAGCAGGTATGTATGAAACTTTGGAAGTTATCGGGAACCATACCAAATGACTTGTATAGACGTGGAAACCCGGTCGGGCATGACTGATATCGAATCCTGGCCTCTCGAGCTATGCTCATTCGACTCAGTGCGTTCTTTTGTGAACAGGTTTGAGGCGAAGGGCTGCACAGTAGACGCTCTAATTGCCAACGCCGGCATAGTGACAATAAAGTACGCGAAAACCCCGGATGGCTACGAAACTTCGTCAGTACTTTTCTATTATCGTCGTGGTTTACATTAAAGAACTTTGGTAGATTGCAAGTGAATTACCTCTCGACCGCTTTGTTGAGCATATTGATGCTGCCTCACCTCAACAAGACCGGGACCCCTGAAAACCCCTCCAGACTTGTCATTGTGACTAGTGCGGTTCATTATCTCGCCAACAGATTGGAAGGAGCAGATAAATGGCCTAGTATCATCGACAAAATAAATGACGAGGAGTATTGTACCTATAGGTAAGTTTCATTGAAGCCATTTCCTGGAGCAATGATTAACGTGATGAGAAACCGCTACCACCTATCCAAGCGTGAGTAACAAAGTACATTCATTATTTCGTATACTCACCACACCGCCATGCGCAGTCCTCGAAGTGATGTTCATCAGAGAGCTATCTTCTCGACTTCCCATACCAACCTTAATCGCAGTTTCGGCGGTCAATCCCGGGCTCTGCCACTCCCGTCTTGGGCGAGAATTTGAACCGAATCTTTTCCTCAAGTTTGCTGGGAGCATTTACAAAGGGTTAATGGCACGCACGACTGAGATGGGCAGTCGAACCCTTGTCCACGCAGCAATCGAACCAGGTGAGAGGGAACGGCATGGTCACTACGTGTCGAGCTGTGAGGTTGCAGAGGAGAGTGATTATGCTCTCAGCGTGGAAGGAAGGGAGGTGTCAAAGCGTCTGTGGGTGCGTACAATCTGTGTTTGATTACCGTGGTACAGGCTGATGTCCGACTGAACAGTATGAGACCATCAAGATCCTTGGAGACATCGATCCAAGAGTTCGCACAATTATGTCTGAGTACCTCATCCAGGACGTAGCATTGGAGTAGGGGACCCCTATGTAAGGCCGACTTATAGTTCGATGGGGAATTGGAACGAGAAGACGAGAAATGCGAGACGTGTCGTTTTACGACACGAAAGCGGGAACAACGAGAGAGTCTGTAAGGCTGGTGCTGTGAGGATCTTTTCGTGCTTGGAGCGGGGAATCAGAGTCTTGGATTCTGCTATAGTACGAGTGCACAGGCGCGGTATATAAGTGTTTGCGAACCGAACGATTAAACCGAGATTTGAGTAGGTAGCATGTGGAGCTGAAAATAAGTCGGCGAGACAAGGAGATGGTGGAATGCGAGCATATGGTAGAATGACGGAATAGAGTAAGAAGGAATGTAACCACGTAACTCGGACGCGAAGAGTTACGGAGTCACGTCATCTTCGCTTTGAAGCGTGATCGGTGTGTAGAGGATATGCAATCCTTACACCTAGGCAGGGGGTGAGAGTAGAGGAGGGTTTGGCAGTGTTTGAGCCGGGTTTAGCCGGGAAGAGAGTCGTTAGAGTCATCGGATGCAGTAATTATAACAGGTCTCCAGGTCTTCGTTGTTCTTCGATAGCGCAGTCTTCGGGCATAGCCCAGTACTCCAGCATGACTTGACTCTTATTCGTCACTGGTCAGCATGTAATGTGTTGTGATCTTACCTATGGACCTCAGTGGGGCATTCCTGTCTTGCTAAGCTCTCCCTTCAAAAGGCTCTCCCCTTTCATTCCCGCACAATGCTGTAACGCTACTGGTATATCGCGATCCGTACGGTGGTATAATGGAGTCCTTGGAAGGTGACATCCACGCCAACATTTTCCCTTACCCATGAATCAACGTTGCAACTCCATTTCAGCAGGCAAGCCTTTAGACGATGCATCACAACTCGAAGGTAGTATGCAGCCAGAGTAATGCATCATTCTTTCACGAAGTGGTTGCAGACCGGTACCGAGGTCCAATATAATTTTCAGAACGTTCAGGATCGAAACGCAGAGTGCCAATTCCAATTTCTAACTTTGTTATACAACACAACACTTATTACTAGCAGGAACACGGTGCGCACGTCGTCATCCACTGCATCTACTCGATAATGCGCTGCGCGGAAGGTTGGATAACAGAGACCTCCGGGACCGGATTGTTATCCCTGAACACGGTCATCGATTGAAATTGGCCTCGCTGCCAGACCGAAGCACTGCCGGCATCGATAGCAAAGACACCCATCGAGCCTGTGTCCTCGTAATTAGTGATCGTGACGTGGATCACGCCACCAGTTGCGTTGGTAATGGTAACAGGTGCCATAGTAATATCTGCTCGTGTGTGCTGAATGGTTAATGTGAACTCGGTGTGAACGAAGTTTGAGCGTACCTTTGCAATTGAGTGATGCAGAAGATTGAGATGAGACTTCAATGAGGAGGTCAAGATATCTGAAAACTGCGTCAGACAGGAGGAAGCACCACACGACCTTGGACTCACTGAGAGCGATTGAAGGATCGATGGGGAGCTACAGTCGCGACATCGCGTATTTATACGGGCAGATGACTGTCTTCTGAGCTCAGATTCAAAGGACAGCCAGTACCTGGAACAAAAGCAAAAATAAAATAGAATAATGCGAAGAAACCAACTCCATGTGAACATGACCAGCAGATGCGACCTTACGTTCGCCAGGTCCAAAATGACACCTGAACCATATCCTCCCATGGAATGGGTGTGGCATCTAGTGGGGTGCGACTTGTGAACATATTTCATTTGACAATGAGAAGTGAAGGAAGGAAGTGATGCCCGCTAGAAAAGAATGGCACGGTCTGGACTCGGGGAAGAAGTAGCACCGAACCAATTAAACCTTGCTTCTGAGAGCACTGACATTATGCTAGCCCTGAGTAACTGATATGCAGATCGTGGAGAACCCGACTGGCAGTGACAGTTGAGTCCCTGACATAGGGGGCAAGTGAATGAGCGAAGTGCAAATTTGAATCGTGTCCCTCGGAACATTTTATCCGCCGAGGGGAACGCAGCCTGATATTCCTTTACAAGACGCAACGACTATTTTATCTGAGTCGCAGAACCAAACTTATGAAAGGGACTTACATACTGGCTTATCCAAGCATTGCAATGATGATTGTTTCCTGCGTCACCGCATCAACAACGTAGCACTTCGGTTGACAGAAAGTCACGGACAACGAACCATTCCTTGAATTCGCTTGCAAGGGAGTCTATCGATGATCTTTGTGAGTTCCTCCGATGAGGGGAATGTACTATGGAGCGCCACGTCAGTGCGATATGACTCAGGTTTCTGCAACGATCGTAATTGATTCGTTTTCAACTACGATGAAGGTCGAGAAACTGTCGACACATACTCAGTCAACGACTCTGAATGAAAGCGATGGGAACGGCCTACGTAGAAGTTATGATGATTATGGGTCTAGACTTGCCGAGCGCTAAACTATGTGAGACTTGGAGTCGGCTGTACCACGAGCCTGTGATGATAGGCGATGATACTAATTATAAGTAAGGTATTAATGGGACAGATCGCGGGTCTGGCCCCTGCTATAATGCATGTAAGTACTTCCCCGTTCTTCTCTTCAAGGTGTCTCGTGAACACGGCAAAAAAAGAGAACCAAACCATGTGAAACGTCATCTGTACTTGCCGCCGTGACTTGGTAGGTCTGGCCCTCTGCTGTAATGCACATACTTCTCGCTGTGGTTTGACAGTGGGAGCTGAAGTAACGGTGTTGATGGAACAGGTCACCTACGACTCTGGGCGAACTCGTGACTCAAGTGTAACGATTTTTGCGTACGGCCCCTGTGTCAGAATAGTCCAGTGAGCACTGATCGACTGACTTCCTCAGATAGTCACTTGATCATAATCGGCGAATTCTAGGGATGCATCAGACGGTCTCAACCTTTTGCGGAAGGCATGTGTGGGCTAGGCTGCTGAGCTATGTAGCCTATGTACTAGGTCCCTTTCATAAGTTTGGTTCTGCAAAATCGAGGCGCCCCCCAGATGAAATGGTCGTCTCGTCTTGTAAAGGAAGATCAGGCTGCGTTCTCCTCGGTGGATAAACTGTTCCGAGGGCATGATTCAAATTTGCACCTCGCTCATTCACTCACCCCCTTTGTCAGGGACTCCCTCGTCTGTCCCTGCCAGTCGGGTTCTCCACGATCTGCATATCAGGGACTCAGGGTCAGCGTAATGTCAGTGCTCTCAGGAGCAAGATTCAATTGGTTCGGTGCTACTTGTCCCCCGAGTCCAGACCGGGTCATTGTGTTCTAGCGGGCATCATTTCCTGCCTTTACTTCTCATTATCAAACGAAAACGTGTTTACGAGTCGCACCCCACTAGATGCCACACCCATTCAATGGGAGGATATCATTTTGGACTCGGCGAATGTAAGGTCACATCTGCTGGTCATATTCACATGGAGTTGGTTTGCTTCGCAATGTTCGCATTATTTTATTTTGCTTTTGTTCCAGGTACTGGCTGTCCTTTGAAGAGCCCCTTCAGTGAATTCACCCGTCTCAGACGGGCAGCCGGGCGTGACAATGTACCAATAGAGACGGGCCACCCGGTGCCGGCCCATGGCAATAATTGTACCGTGTTAGACGAGTGGGCCGAGGGGGTGGAGTGTCCAAGGCAAACGGATGGGCCGGGTGTATATAGTATAGATGGTAGTATAGCAATGTACTATATAGGAAATTATGAATAGTAGTAGTGAATCCAGTGTGTGATAGATGAGTGGGGCCGGAGGAATGGAGTGCAATATAGACGAGTGGGCCGGGGAACTGGGGTGTGATGGAGACGAGTGGGCCGGTAAATGAGGTGCAATGGAGACGAGTGGGCCGTACATAAGGTGCAATGAAGACGAGGGGGCCGGAGAATAGGGTGCAATTGAGACGAGTGGGCCGGTATAGCAGGTGCAATGGAGACGGGTGGGCCGGTATAGCAGGTGCAATGGAGATGGGTGGGCTGGTAAATATGGTGCAATTAAGACGAGTGGGCCGGTATAGCAGGTGCAATGGAGACGGGTGGGGCCGGTATAGCAGGTGCAATGGAGATGGGTGGGCCGGTAAATATGGTGCAATTAAGACGAGTGGGCCGGTATAGCAGGTGCAATGGAGACGGGTGGGCCGGTATAGCAGGTGCAATGGAGACGGGTGGGCCGGTAAAGGAGGTGCAATGAGGACGAGTCGGCCGGTGTTATTGGGTGCAATGAAGACGAGTCGGCCGGTGATATGGGGTGCAATGAAGACGAGCTGGCCGATGATATGGGGTGCAATGAAGATGGGTGGGCCGGCATTATAGGGCGCAATGGAGATGGGTGGGCCGGTGATATAGGGTGCAATGAAGACGAGTGGGCCGGTGATATGGGGTGCAATGAAGACGGGTGGGCCGGCATGATAGGGTGCAATGGAGACGGGTGGGCCGGTATTATGGGGTGCAACAATGACCGGTATTTATGTAACCGGTTGCTTGTGGTAACATAGCACTCAATCCGGCGATTCCACCGGTGGTCTGATCATGTAAAATGGTTAAGATTTGACAAAGTTATGAGCCCTACAAGGGAAAGCCATAAATTTAGAGGATATTATGATATATTGTATCTAGACCATTGCAACCGGTATTTTTTGACCGGTATTTACATGACCGGTTGCTTGTGGTAACATAGCACTCAATCCGGTGATTCCACCGGTGGTCTGACCATGTAACATAGTTAAGATTTGACAAAGTTAGGAGCCTTACAAGAGAAAGTCACAAAGTCAGAGGATATATCATATCTAGACCATTGTGACCGGGATTTTTCAACTGGTAGTTATGTGACCAGTTGCTTGTGGTGACATAGCACTCAGTCCGGTGATTCCACCGGTGGCCTGACCATGTAAAATGGTTAAGATTTGACAAAGTTATGAGTCTTACAACAAGAGAAAGTGACAATTTCAGAGGATATATCATGTCTAGACCATTGTGTCCGGTATTTATGTGACCGGTTGTTTATAGTAAACATAGCACTCAATCTGGTGATTCCACTGGTGGTCTGACCATGTAAAATGGTTAAGATTTGACAAAGTTATGAGCCCTACAAGAGAAAGCCATAAATTTAGAGGATATTATGATGTATTGTATCTAGACCATTGCAACCGGTATTTTTGACCGGTATTTACGTGACCGGTTGCTTGTGGTAATGTAGCACTCAATCCGGTGATTCCACCGGTGGTCTGACCATGTAAAATGGTTAAGATTTGACAAAGTTATGAGCCTTACAACAAGAGAAAGTGACAATTTCAGAGGATATATCATGTCTAGACCATTGTGTCCGGTATTTATGTGACCGGTTGTTTCTAGTAACAGTACTCAATCCGGTGATTTCACCGGTGGTCTGATCATGTAAAATGGTTAATATTTGACAAAGTTATGAGTGCTACAAGAAAAAGTCACAAATTCACTGGCAGAGGATATATGATATCTAGACCATTGTGACCAGGATTTTTCAACCGGAAGTTATGTGACCAGTTGCTTGTGGTAGCATAGCACTCAATCCGGTGATTCCACCGGTGGTCTGATCATGTAAAATGGTCGAGATTTGACAAAGTTATGAGTGCTACAAGAAAAAGTCACAAATTCACTGGCAGAGGATATATGATATCTAGACCATTGTGACCGAGATTTTTTGACCGGTAGTTATGTGACCGGTTGCTTGTGGTAACATAGCACTCAATCCGGTGATTTTACCGGTGGTCTGATCATGTAAAATGGTCAAGATTTGACAAAGTTATGAGCCTTACAAGAGAAAGCCACACATTCAGAGGATATGTTATATCTAGACCAGTGTGTCTCCAGCTCTACCTTAGGGTAGTTTACCTCTGTTCCATTTCTACTCCAGACTTGTCCACAGCAGTCTTACTCTGGGTTTCCTTGAACCTTTGGAGTTCTGCCGAACTCCCCTAGTGTCTGACCTCCGGAAACCTCTGGACTTTGTTGGACTTCCCTCCTGCCTCTCATAAATTAAGGGCACATACTTGGGTAAGGGGTGCAGCACACAAGCTGAAGTCAAGCCCTTTGAGTTCTCCTTCCTTTGAGCATGACCTTAACATCCACAGACAAAACCTTGTGATGCTGTGTACTCACCCTCTCCTGGTGGTCCATCCTCTGGGAAAGGTTTTCCTACAGGAACACAGCTGCAGAATGATATGGGGACCATTCCTAGACAGATTTAGAGTATGTACACCAGGTTGGTACATCAGGATACCTACAGAATCCTTCTATACAGGCTAAAACTTCTAAGATTGCAGTTGTCACATTTTTGGTGTTTTCCCCTACTTTACCATTGCATAAATGATCCAGACTACTCATGTATTATCCTTACTACATATATACCTACTTCTCATCCCAAGGATCAGTTAGAAATATGGTATAATATTGTTATCTAAGGGAAAGGGGGTATGTGTACTGATAAGGGGCCTACATTCTCCAATGGACACAATCTAGTAATCAGATGCTTGCAATATATTCTAAGCATGGTCAATATCATGGTCTCAGATTTATAAAAGGATCCACTAACAGTTGAGAGCTAGGGCAGTGAAATATCTCTGAAATAGAGTGTGGGAAAGTCCAAAAGCCCAAAACATCGAAACTCACCAGTTTGGTGTATATGTAGTGGTTGGACTTTTACTTACCAATTCTAATATTTCCTCACCACACTCTTCTACAAAGACTTTACCTTCAGGGCAATGTGTATTTTAGGTTCATTATGTAGTCTACTATACATACTACTGCATTTTTAATAAAATCTTTGGTGTGTGTGATATGTGTCAGTGACTTTCAGTGACAGGGGTAAATTGTCATATGTCAAGCCTATGTTGTTTTACTTATCTTACCGTCAATACTTGAGGGATCTTTCCAGAATTTTAGGACCATGACTAGGGATATACATGGGACATATCCCAAGTGTCTGATTACCAATAACATCCTTGATAGTGTTGGAGGGTTCTTATCAGTTATGTTTTCATGTATATATGCTATATTGTTTGATGTAGCCCTTCAGGGGGTCAACTAAGTGGTGGAATATGTTAATATATACTCCTAAATATGTTTTGACAGTGCTAGAACACTCTCCTATCAAAGGGGCAAAATGGAATCCCCTGATTGAGTGCTACATTACCACAAGCAACCGGTTGCAAAAATACTGATTACAATGGTCCAGATATAAGCTGATACAACACTGTATCCTTTGAATTTATGACTTGGTCTTATAAGGCTCAGAACTTTATCAAATCTTAACCATTTTACATGATCAGACTACCGGTGGAATCACCAGATTGAGTACTATATTACTGCAAGCAACTGTTCACAAAAATACCGGTCACAATGGTCTAGATATAACATCCTCTAAATCTGTGGCTTTATCTTGTAAGGCTCGTAAGTTTGTCAGATCTTAATGATTTTGCATGATCAGACCACCGGTGGAATCACCGGATTGAGTGCTATGTTACAACAAGCAACTGGTCACATAGATACTGGTCAAAAAATACCAGTTACAATGGTCTAGATACAATATATCATAATATCCTCTGAATGCGTGGCTTTCTCTTGTAAGGCTCATAACTTTGTCAAATCTTGACCATTTTACATGATCAGACCACCGGTAAAATCACCGGATTGAGTGCTATGTTACCACAAGCAACCGGTCACATAACTACCGGTCAAAAAATACCGGTCACAATGGTCTAGATATCATATATCCTCTAAATTCATGACTTTCTCTTGTAGGGCTCATGACTTTGTCAAATCTTGACCATTTTACATGATCAGACCACCGGTGGAATCACCGGATTGAGTGCCATGCTACCACAAGCAGCTGGTCACATAACTACCGGTTGAAAAATCCCGGTCACAATACTGTAGATATCATATATCCTCTAAATTCATGACTTTCTCTTGTAGGGCTCATGACTTTGTCAAATCTTGACCATTTTACATGATCAGACCACCGGTAAAATCACCGGATTGAGTGCTATGTTACCACAAGCAACCGGTCACATAACTACCGGTCAAAAAATACCGGTCACAATGGTCTAGATATCATATATCCTCTGCCAGTGAATTTGTGACTTTGTCTTGTAGCACTCATAACTTTGTCAGATCTTGACCATTTTACATGATCAGACCACCGGTGGAATCACCGGATTGAGTGCCATGCTACCACAAGCAACTGGTCACATAACTACCGGTTGAAAAATCCCAGTCACAATACTGTAGATATCATATATCCTCTAAATTCATGACTTTCTCTTGTAGGGCTCATGACTTTGTCAAATCTTGACCATTTTACATGATCAGACCACCGGTAAAATCACCGGATTGAGTGCTATGTTACCACAAGCAACCGGTCACATAACTACCGGTCAAAAAATCTCGGTCACAATGGTCTAGATATCATATATCCTCTGCCAGTGAATTTGTGACTTTTTCTTGTAGCACTCATAACTTTGTCAAATCTCGACCATTTTACATGATCAGACCACCGGTGGAATCACCGGATTGAGTGCTATGCTACCACGAGCAACTGGTCACATAACTTCCGGTTGAAAAATCCTGGTCACAATGGTCTAGATATCATATATCCTCTGCCAGTGAATTTGTGACTTTTTCTTGTAGCACTCATAACTTTGTCAAATATTAACCATTTTACATGATCAGACCACCGGTGAAATCACCGGATTGAGTACTGTTACTAGAAACAACCGGTCACATAAATACCGGACACAATGGTCTAGACATGATATATCCTCTGAAATTGTCACTTTCTCTTGTTGTAAGGCTCATAACTTTGTCAAATCTTAACCATTTTACATGGTCAGACCACCGGTGGAATCACCGGATTGAGTGCTACATTACCACAAGCAACCGGTCACGTAAATACCGGTCAAAAAATACCGGTTGCAATGGTCTAGATACAATACATCATAATATCCTCTAAATTTATGGCTTTCTCTTGTAGGGCTCATAACTTTGTCAAATCTTAACCATTTTACATGGTCAGACCACCAGTGGAATCACCAGATTGAGTGCTATGTTTTACTATAAACAACCGGTCACATAAATACCGGACACAATGGTCTAGACATGATATATCCTCTGAAATTGTCACTTTCTCTTGTTGTAAGGCTCATAACTTTGTCAAATCTTAACCATTTTACATGGTCAGACCACCGGTGGAATCACCGGATTGAGTGCTACATTACCACAAGCAACCGGTCACGTAAATACCGGTCAAAAAATACCGGTTGCAATGGTCTAGATACAATACATCATAATATCCTCTAAATTTATGGCTTTCTCTTGTAGGGCTCATAACTTTGTCAAATCTTAACCATTTTACATGGTCAGACCACCAGTGGAATCACCAGATTGAGTGCTATGTTTTACTATAAACAACCGGTCACATAAATACCGGACACAATGGTCTAGACATGATATATCCTCTGAAATTGTCACTTTCTCTTGTTGTAAGACTCATAACTTTGTCAAATCTTAACCATTTTACATGGTCAGGCCACCGGTGGAATCACCGGACTGAGTGCTATGTCACCACAAGCAACTGGTCACATAACTACCAGTTGAAAAATCCCGGTCACAATGGTCTAGATATGATATATCCTCTGACTTTGTGACTTTCTCTTGTAAGGCTCCTAACTTTGTCAAATCTTAACTATGTTACATGGTCAGACCACCGGTGGAATCACCGGATTGAGTGCTATGTTACCACAAGCAACCGGTCATGTAAATACCGGTCAAAAAATACCGGTTGCAATGGTCTAGATACAATATATCATAATATCCTCTAAATTTATGGCTTTCCCTTGTAGGGCTCATAACTTTGTCAAATCTTAACCATTTTACATGATCAGACCACCGGTGGAATCGCCGGATTGAGTGCTATGTTACCACAAGCAACCGGTTACATAAATACCGGTCATTGTTGCACCCCATAATACCGGCCCACCCGTCTCCATTGCACCCTATCATGCCGGCCCACCCGTCTTCATTGCACCCCATATCACCGGCCCACTCGTCTTCATTGCACCCTATATCACCGGCCCACCCATCTCCATTGCGCCCTATAATGCCGGCCCACCCGTCTTCATTGCACCCCATATCACCGGCCCACTCGTCTTCATTGCACCCTATATCATCGGCCCACCCATCTCCATTGCGCCCTATAATGCCGGCCCACCCATCTTCATTGCACCCCATATCATCGGCCAGCTCGTCTTCATTGCACCCCATATCACCGGCCGACTCGTCTTCATTGCACCCCATATCACCGGCCGACTCGTCTTCATTGCACCCAATAACACCGGCCGACTCGTCCTCATTGCACCTCCTTTACCGGCCCACCCGTCTCCATTGCACCTGCTATACCGGCCCACCCGTCTCCATTGCACCTGCTATACCGGCCCACTCGTCTCAATTGCACCCTATTCTCCGGCCCCCTCGTCTTCATTGCACCTTATGTACCGGCCCACTCGTCTCCATTGCACCTCATTTACCGGCCCACTCGTCTCCATCACACCCCAGTTCCCCGGCCCACTCGTCTATATTGCACTCCATTCCTCCGGCCCACTCATCTATCACACACTGGATTCACTACTACTATTCATAATTTCCTATATAGTACATTGCTATACTACCATCTATACTATATACACCCGGCCCATCCGTTTGCCTTGGACACTCCACCCCCTCGGCCCACTCGTCTAACACGGTACAATTATTGCCATGGGCCGGCACCGGGTGGCCCGTCTCTATTGGTACATTGTCACGCCCGGCTGCCCGTCTGAGACGGGTATATGTTACTGCATTATGTGCTTTGAATCTGAGCTCAGAAGACAGTCATCTGCACGTATAAATACGCGATGTCGCGACTGTAGCTCCCCATCTATCCTTCAATCGTTCTCAGTGAGTCCAAGGTCGTGTGGTGCTTCCTCCTGTCTGATGCAGTTTTCAGATATCCTGACCTCCTCATCGAAGTCTCATCTCAATCTTCTGCATCACTCAATTGCAAAGGTGCGCTCAAACTTCGTTCACACCGAGTTCACATTAATCATTCAGCACACACGAGCAGTTAATACTATGGCACCTATCACCATTACCAACTCAACCAGTGGCGAGATCCAAGTCAGGATCACTAATTACGAGGACCAAGGCTCGTCGGATTTCTTTCCTATCGCGTCAGGAGAGCCTGCGGTCTGGCAGCGAGACCACATCCAATCGATGACCGTATTCAGATCCGACAATCCAGTTCCGGATGTCCTTATCGTGAACCCTAAAGAGACGCACAATATCCAGTAGATGCAGTTGGTGACGGCGCAGAGTGTTCTTAGTACGATGTATTCAAGTTGTGTTGTACAACAAAGTTGGAAATTGGAATCACAAGTGGTATCACGGGACTCGCACTCTGCGTTTCGATCTGAACATCATATTGGTAGTGCTACGACAAAGGTTTCGGTCCCCAACAGGAGACGCAACCACGCACGCTCAACTCGCACTGCTCTCGATATCACCAAATGGCATTTGATTTAGTGTAGTCCGAGTACCAGCGGATAACAATGCAACGTGAAAGTCGGTAGAACAAAGCTACACATGTGTGAAATGAAGTGTGCTCCTCGACGTCGGGAAGTATATAAAGTGCTACAGTTAAAAAAAAGTGAAAAGAGAGTGAGCACGAGATTAATACTCAGCGAGGGATATTAACCGTATGTATGGTGCGTAACGTACAAAATACAAAGTAAAGCGTCATCTCAAAGTCCACGTCGTTCAGACTTACAGTGCAAGGCCAGCGAAAGGATTGGTAAGACATGTCATAAGACGGATCTACAACTAAGCACAGATTGATGAGGTGATTCTTACCATCAAAAAGTGCGAGTTCAGAATCAGTTGTCAAACTAAGCGCGAGTTTTTTCTAGACTCCCCTAGCCAGATCAATCGAAGGAACATAGTCGTTCCTTCGTATTGGGAGGCTCAGTGGGACAATTCCTGTGTTTCTGAGCTCAGCTTCCTTCAAGGCTCTCCCTGCCTTTCATTCCCGCGCAATGCTGTAATGCTATTGCTATATGAGAGTACATCGTGATCTGCACGGTGCTATGGAGTCCTTGGAAAGTGACATTCACGTCAAGATTTGCCCTGGCCCATGAATCCAACTGCATCTCGGCAGGCAAGCATTCAGACGATGTGAAAGGGGCTTCGTCAATTACCTCGTGCTCAGCTCTACTTCGTTGATTATGAATCAGAACTCGAAGGTAGTATGCAGCCATCGATTAATATTGGAGGGGACATTAGTGGTAGTCAGAGTGAACGATTTTGAGACGATTCAGCGTGCGATTACAGGACGATTCAAAATGCGAAAATCGTGTGAAAATCGCAGTTACTTTGAACACCCCACTACCAGAACGGATTCTCAATGCGATTCTCGTGTAAATATGTGTGTATGCTAAGTACCTTACAGGTGATGCAATAGATAATCCTCCCTTCGGACACACCAGTGACACGGACCACTCAAGATGCCGCGACGGACGCAAAGGCAAGTGCAAGTACAGAATCTAATTATGTTTAGTAAAGATGCAAATCCGCTTGCATCGCCAACGGAGGCCCGAAAGCCTTACGAAACGTGAATTCAATAGCTCGGATGCTGTTCTCGAGGACGGAGACTCAGTACTAGCATCAACATCCTGTTCAGACCTTTTTACGGGCTTTCAGCGGAGATGCTCGTTGGACGTGTTTTCCTTTGGGTGCCATGCTGCTCGAGTGTGGAGGGGGAGCTCAGGTACTTACTTGCAGGACAAGTATATTTAATTATGTATTTGTATTTTTAAATAACAGCTGTTTACAGTCCAAAATCCGATTCAGAATCGCGTGAAGCGTCTCCAGAGGCGCTTCGACGATTCAACGCGATTCGACATCAAATCCGATTATCAGCGTCCGAAATCGTTTTCTGAATCGCACGCTGAATCGTCTCAAAATCGTTCACTCTGACTAGTGTCATTGTCAGTGTTTCAAGGCCATTGGCATCATAATTGCAATACTTACAGCTCTTTGCATAAAGGATGGCAGTGGCGTGATATTTTCGTTCAATTAGGAAGTGCACCGCGTGAAACCGTAGATTGTTGTGGCAGAGGATTAGGTGGGAATCACCATATTCCAATGAAATCTTGCTGCGATCACATAAAAATCACCCAGCCACGAGGATATTCTGGTATTGGCTTAAACATTTCTGCATTCTCTACAAATCATGCGCGGATCCTCGTTACATCATATATCATCAGGGATTTTGGCTGTTCATGTACTATTTTGCCCTATGCACTACTTAATTCATGCTTGCTGCTATTCATGCTTCTTCACGCAGTCTAGAACATGCAATAACAATATATTTGGAAGGAAAATGACATGCGGGACACTATCGAAGAGTGTGAGCAGCAAAACATGCAGCACTGAGCGCCGAGCATCGAACTCAATTCCCCTCTCACTATCTAGCCAGTGTTTAAGCATTTTTTGACCTTTAACCGCCACCATCTGCTTTTTTCCCACGGTTCAACAGAACATGGGCGACGAGCCAGGAGGCAGTATAAGCATAGCTAGAAACCTTGACAAACGTATATCAGCAAGAACATATTCACAAGCAGCATCCCTTAGTAACACCAGACAACATATGAAGGAGTTCCAGCAACGTCGGGCGTGGGATGAATCAGAGCCCAACGATCCCCTCCCACCCCCAGAATTCCCATACAGACCAACCAATGCCAGCTACATGCCAATCACACCCACACGTAGAGGGTTAGGATACAAACGTAGACTGGAAACAACCACTTCTCCATCGGCCTCACCAAACACCGCGAGACAGACCAAACGCCGTCCTACAGAACACGTGGCTATGGTAAACAATGTAGCCCAACGCGAATATGACTCGGAAATGGAGACGGACATCTACAGTGAAACCCGTTCGGAGCAAGGATGGATCACTGACTTAAACCATCATCTTATCAAAGCCGCAGAGGCATTAGACAACATATCAATCCACGCTAAGTTCCCAGATAACATACTTACCGCTGCTCAAAGAATTACACAGGCCATCCTACCCCCTAAACCGGTTGAAACACCAAGAAACAATCCTGACGACATAATTCCGATCCTCAACCAACTCGTCAAAGATGTCCAGGAACTACGACAAGGCAATAAACCGGAAACCAGTCAAAACCCCCGTACTCAAATCGCAAATGGCCCCACCATAACTCCTACTCCGAAGACCAAGACAAACTCAACTAAGATAACAGAACAAGAGAACCGACGCCGAAACAACCCGTTAACCCGACACCACCCCTCTAGACTCATTCTCCACATCGAAACTCCTCCGGACCCTACACAACGCCAAAAAGACCGAGGATTAGTAGAAGCGATCAATGAAAGACTCAAGGAGGTCACGAAAGTTACGGTCAACGGCATAAAATGGAACACCAAAGGTAACTGTATCGTTATTACACATCCGGATTACACAGCAGATGACTTGCTTCCATTCAAAGACGCCTTCGCAGACTTAATTGTCGGAAACTCCAACTACGCAGCCACACCAGACAAGGAATGGTTCCGTGTTCTTCTCAACAGTGTAGACACAGGGAAGTCCGATGCCGAAGACATGATGGAATTCGAACCACGATCCGGAGCAGAAGTAATCTATGAGATGAAAACTAACAACCCCAGTGTACGCAACATCAACTTCACGGCAGAACCCTCGTGGATGGCGAAGCCGGAGACCCTTGAACACAAATACCACTCAACCATGCTGTTAACGGTCTCATCACAGGAAGAAATCGACTACCTTCTCAAACACGTCGGTGGAGTCTTCTTATATGGACGGTACGCCTCTTTCTCGCGCTTCCAAGATTTGAAACCTGTTCGTCAGTGCAACCGATGCTGGTCCTTCGACCATCATATGTCCAAATGTATTAACCCCCCCAAGTGTCGAGTATGTGCAGGCGACCACACTGAATCATTCCATACCTGCGATTTGTGCCCTAACACGGCCAAAGCACAAAAAGGATGTGATCACTCACCGATTAAATGCGCAAACTGTGGAGAAGCGCACACGGCAGACTCAACCAAATGCCCCATTCATATACTAACCAAAGGATCTGCAAGAGACCCACGACCAAGTATCCAAGGGGGACGACGCGCACGTCGACCTCAAACTGCTAACAATCCAATAGCACCTCCAGAGACCCGGACTCCAACCCCACCATCAACATCCCAGAACCATATCGTAACGCCACAACCAATGAACGACAACAATATGGATGGATGGCAATGATAGTCCATACTAAACCCATAAAAATGATTCAACTCAACACTAACCGTTCAAATATAGTCTGCCACGCATTACTCAACAACGCCGTCCGTGATTATGACATCCTGCTCATAACGGAACCATGGTATGGTGACATCGGAAATAACACAAAGGGCCCAGCGTCGTTAACCGGATGGCAACCAATCCTACCATTACCGTCTGTTCCCCCGAATGTCATTCCTCGAGTCATGGCATACATCAAAAACAGACCTGACTTCATGGTTACCCTTCGTTCTGATCTCGCAATGGATGCTGACATACAAATTTTACAGATCAACCAAGGAACACATCCGCCTACAATACTTGTAAATATGTACAACCAGAAAGCAGGCGAGGATCCATTGAACTGGTCAGCAGACCGTCTTTTCAACATCGAACTACCAAACGGAATACCGGTCATCATCTCGGGAGATATGAACCTACACCACCCAATGTGGTCAAACACAGCTGAGAACCCCAATCCTCGTGCAGAAGCTTTCGTTGACTGGCTAACTGACCAGGGATTCATCATGCTAAACGAACGTGGGGCAACAACATACTTCGCACACGACGGTGAATCCTCGTCGGTCTTGGACCTAACATTCATCAACGACAGAGCATACGAACTCGACACGATCAAGGACTGGTCAATCGACTACGGTAAAGCCTACGGATCAGACCACGCAGCGCTCACATGGACACTAGACCATGAACGTGTCCCCATCGAGAATATCACGGCTCAACGATTCAATTGGAAAGATATCGATGAAGACACGATCAAAGCATGGAAAGGAGCGTTCATGAGAGAACTGACGGATAGAGAAGACGCATGGATACCGCTACGTGTTTCAACTCTTCCTAATATTGATGATATTGAAAGAGCTACCACAGCACTACAAGATGCACTGGTGCAAGCAACAGAAAGCTCGGTCCCCATCCGCAAATCTAGTGCACATGCGAAACCATGGTGGACTCCCGACCTCACGCAATCACTCAACCGCATTGCAGAAACTCGTGAAAGGGCTAGACAACATCTCATCGATACAGGTTTTGCTGACCACGACCTTATCCAACAGATCCGCCAACTACGCAATCAGTTCAAACGGAAGACACGCCTTGCTAAACGACAGTGGGCAAACGAGACTCTGGGAAAAGCCACTCCCGATGACGTCTGGAATTTCACTCGATGGCCCAAAGGGATAAGAAACTACCCCACGCCACCACTCAGACGAAACAACGGTCAAAACATGGCAATAACACATGAGGAAAAGTGTGCTACACTACGAGGTGAACTGTTCCAACCGCCCCCGAATCTAGACTTAGCTGCACCAGATTTAGAACAGGACCTCCCGGATGACATCCCATGGGAACCCATAACATATGCCGAAGTGAAGAATGGTATATACCGACCAAATCGCAAAAAAGCTCCTGGACCCAGCCAAATCAACTACATGGCTCTCCGATGGGCCTGGGAGGTTGCATCGGAATATATCTACTTACTAATCTCACGCTGCGCAAATGTAGGCTACCATCCCATCGCCTGGCGACGCACAATCGCAGTAGCCCTGCGCAAGCCCCGAAAACCAGACTATTCGAACCCGAGAGCCTATAGACTAATCCAGCTAGAGGAATGTCTTGGAAAAGTCCTCGAAAGCGTACAGGCAAGTAGATTAGCATATCTCACAGCAAAATATCTGCTGGTACCTTCTTCACAGTTCGGAGGTCGCCCAGGAAGCTCCACAGTCGACGCAGCCCTATCATTCGTTCATGATATCGAAGCAGCCCGTAATCACGGACTTGTCACGTCGTGCATCACATTCGACATCAAAGGATACTTCGACTTCGTCAATCATACACGGCTACTCCGAATACTTCGGGACAAGCACCTACCGCTCCCTATGGTAAAGTGGGTGAAATCCTTCCTCAGCGAACGACAAGCAGCAATCTGCCTGGACGGAGTACTGTCACCATCGGAACCAGTCGAAAACGGTATACCTCAAGGATCCCCAATATCACCGGCCCTTTCGATTATCTGCACAAGCCCACTAAACGAAGCCTACAATGCGAAAACTCGAGCTCGTGAATTACGCCCGGACAAAGCCACACCGACCACATTAGCATGCTACATCGATGATGGAAACTTATATGTCTCCTCTCCATCCTTGGAGAACAATGTCGCAATACTCCGGGAGGAGTTCATTTTTGTGAACAATTGGCTTCGCGAAGCTGGACTGATGGCGGAAATTGACAAATCTGAGCTCATCCATTTCACATGGCGTCGTGCACCGGATCGACCACCTATCCTGCTGCCTAGTGACGAAGGACAGGTGACAATTAACCCCCGTGACTGTATCAAATGGCTTGGTATATATTTCGACTCTAAACTCTCTTTTCGCAGGAATGTATGTGAACTGGCAGGCAAAGCGGAAAATATCGCCCAAGGACTACAAATGCTTGCAAATACGGTAAGAGGTCTCTCGCAATCACTATTGAGAACTGTATACTCGGCTTGTGTCCGCAGTGTAATGACATACGCAAGCCCCGTTTGGTGGACGGGCGTGAAAACCCATGCAAACATGCTTACCCGCGTCCAAAACAAATCCCTTAGACATATCTGTGCCGCTTTCCGAACCACCCCAATAAAGGCCCTAGAAATAGAGACATCAATCCCCCCCATCAACCTCTTCCTCGAACACGCAAACGATAACGCCGCCACTCGACTACTCAAACTCCCCTCGTTCAACCCAATCCTACAGAGACTTGATCAACCCTGGCGACAATTTAACCTCGCTGACCCCCCACCCGCTCTTCCCACCGACAAATACCGTCCTCGCAGCCGCAAACCACCAAAATCGACCAGACTCACCCGTCTGTCAAAACGAGCATCCCCGAACGCGGAACGCATCAACATATTTGCGCTGCCACCTTGGGCAAACACGAAGGAAACGTACCGCGGCCGCCTAACGATCTCGGACAAGCAAAGAGGAGGCAAGAAAGAAGCCGCCAAAGCGCACATACAAACCGCTCGTAATCTACGAACGGAGGACACGCACCTTCTCGTTTACTCAGACGGATCGAAACAATCAGTCAGAGAGGAGGAAAGAGCTGGAGCAGGATGGGCCGGCTATCACAGAGGAAGAGAAGTCTTCTGGGGTCAGGAAGGAATGGGTCCCAAAGCAGAGGTGTATGATGCAGAGATGGTAGCGCTCCTTCGAGCAATATCGCGAGCTATCAGCTTCGCGCAAAATTCCCAGGTGACCCATTTACATTTCTACGTCGATAACAACTCTGTGGTGCAGGCTGCATATGCAGCTGCACCCGGACCCTCACAATACATTGCATTACAGATCAGACGCTCGATCGAAGACTACCTAACCACATCCCCCCTCCATCATGTCCAAATTGCATGGATCCCAGGACATCACAACATCATCGGCAACGAACGTGCCGACGAGCTTGCAAAAGAAGCCACTGGACGTAACGACTCGTACCACTCGACCTATGCAAATGCGCGCCGAAGAAACAAGGAAGGGATCTTGCAGAAATGGACAGAGAGTTGGAATAGAGACGTGGCAGCACAGACTGGACGCTTCGCTCTCGCAAATCGACTCCCACCAACGCTCAAACCCCGCCAACATTTCACTCACACTCCTCGAGAAGTATACGGCCGTCTTATACAATGCCGCACAGGACACGGATTCATGGGAGAATACTACGCTGCATTCGTTCCAACCGAACCCACCCTCTGCCCATGTGGAGAACCACGTCAAACACGAGAACATATCATACGTGACTGCCCACTATTTGCGCGACAACGCATCCATCTGCGTGAGGTATCACACAACATCATACTCAACGAAATTTTGGGTACGGAGAAGGGCTCAAACGCGGACCGCTTGGCTATTCGTACTATACCTACATCCCTCACCCTGTTACAACACTCCCCAGCACAGCCCTAACAGGGCACCGCGTCTTAACAGCTCACTTTGTTTGTTGCGGTATATAAATATAGAATTTCTCTCTCTCTCTAGCCAGTGTTATCGTGCACGATGTCAACTGCCGCCGGTCCTGTCGAGCATGACCAATGGATCCAGAAATCCAAGTGCGAATCTTGAGCACTTGAACACAGCAGTGTCGGCAATCGAGGAGTTGCAAGTGCAGGTATGAGATATCAAGGAAAAGGCTGACAAGAAGATGGCTGTGTTGCGTATGGAGAATGAGATATTGAAGAGTGATGTGGAAGAGTTGAGTGAACGTGTCTCGTTCCTTGTGACTATGCTTGGTGTGCGGAACTAAGAGGATGGGCTAGATGGGGAGAATGGAGGGTCGTTATCCGAAATTGACCCAACTCTTCGTGGGACAAGTGAACCTGTTTCCGAGGCATCAAGCTCTGCAAAGAAGCTGTCTGCAATGGAATTGAGCTTTGCTGCATCAAAATCCAAGGCAATACGAGTGCGTACCAAGAATTTTCTTATCTCAATCCACTCTAACTTCGGGATCAAAAAGGATGTTATCATCAATACTCTAAAAATCCATCTCGGCACTGACTCACTTGCGGGTGCGAGTTTGCCTGCATTCCCATTTGGTATTGGTGAGGAGAGGTGGCCGAAGAACCCTGTAGATCAGAAGCCCTATATGCGCCTCAACTGGGATGCAGCTTACAACAAATGGCTGAATGCAGGAGCCCTTGACAGAATTTTCGACTTGTTGCATGTGACTGGCGCAAAACAATGCCCTGCCGCCGATGAAGACCTGGAGAACATCTGTGACAACGATCTGAAAGAACGCATCAAGGACAAGTTTGTCAGCATGGCTCGGGAATTCAAAAGCAAGCGCAAGGCACAGGCTGACTTACAGGTGAGAATCCAAGAACTTGAGGACAGGCGTGCAGCAGCCGAAGAGAATCTCGATGAAGAATTTGCTGATGAGTCTACAGCAGTAGTTATTACTACAGCATCATGAGATTGTGCATCTAAGAACTCCCGCGTGAGCTCAGTATGTCATTTTCTCGATGAAAATGGAGTAGTGACTCACTGATAACACAGAAATTGAAAGTGAGGGTGCGGAAACGAGCGAAAAGTGGCTTTGCTGATCCGAAATATGACGCTGCATTTATCGTTAATGCAATGTCGGATGATGAGGAGATGCAAACCAGAGATGGAGAAGCGAAAAAATATATCAGTCGTGCGCCTGATTGGAGAAGCGACAAGGTGAGAATTTCATTCATTTACTGATCAACAAAGCACTCATCATGAAAACATGTCCAGCTCACCAAACTATACAGCGAGATAGATGCTATTCCTGATCCCAACCCAGACGCAGCTGCAAAGAGCCGTCAGTGACTCTGTGGTGATATCATTGTGAATGCAGTTCCACCAAAGGCAAAGGTAGTTTCAACAAGAGTTCGTTGATGGATGGTGAAGCCCGAGCTCCTTGATGCGAATGAGGACTGGATGATATCAGGTAGGGTGGGGCCTAATGGAAAGGCATGGGGTGATGATGAGGATCCCATTGACGATGCAAAGGGAAAGTCGAGGAAAGTCGAGGCCAATGTGCTCTCCGAAGAAAAGGTGTTCAAAAAGAGTCGGAACATGAAGGGAAAACAGGTTGTGCTGAAGGAGAAGCTCGATAACGTGCTTGGAGGTTGCGATGCAGATGAACTGTTCAATGAGTGAAGCCTGGACACTTCTTGACCATGTAGAAACAAACCTGTAAAGTTAGCATTGTCGATCAGATCAATTTTCTTGTTCAAGCTCGTTCAACCAGTCTTCCTTGGCCTCTAAACCACTCTGACACACAAGTTTCAAGACCCATGAATATAAAATTAAATTGAAGCACGCACTTGGTCAAATGAGTGGACAATCCACAGGGTGGTGTCTTGCATGGTGTTCGATACAACTGGGACAATGGCAACAGCAGAAGCCAACTGCTGCAGTCGAGATCACTTCTTTCTCGTGGAAGCAGTTTGTGTAAGCGGTGTAAACACCCAAATCTGTAGCGCTGCCATAGAATTTTTTGAACTGTGGCAGACACGTCTCAAATGAAACCTGCAACTCACTACAGGGCCCAAGGACTCATTGGAATAGCGTCATCATGCACCATTCTCTCAACTATGGTGCACAATACTGGCGACTTTCCTGGAAGGCTGAGCTTGAAGTGATACAACAGGCGACATGGGATGCGGGAACCATCTATGTCAGCACACGCAAACCGATCACTTTGGGTTCAGTGTCGCAGTTGCACAGCCATACCGAATACCATCCTTGATTATAAAGGGAAATGACTTAGTTGACTGTCGTGAGAGAAGAGGGACAGCACCACGTTCAGTGCTACATTCATTGACAATCTGGAGGCCTGGTCCATATTGTGTGAGCATATTGAAGAAGCAAGCTGTAGATGTCGGGGTGAGCGAGCTTCCTGAGGTCGCAAGGTTTCTTGATGCGTCGCGGAGTCAAGATACTTCCATCTAGTATACATATAGAATGAGCCCAAGTTCCAATAGGGAGGCAAAATATATGATCGTACCTGCACCAAATCCTGATATTTGCATCCGAAGTGTGCCTCTATCAGCACCTTTTTGTACAACAGCACTTCGGATCAATTCTTTCTCATCATCATCAGCATTCTCAGGCAAACGTGTGGCCTGTAACAGATATTCAGGCAGTACAAGAGAAACAGTCATGACCAGAAGCTTACGAGGTCATAAAAAAGCTGTTTTTCTGTCCATTTTCAAAGCAGGGATAACTCCATTTCACCATCTGCATGTCCATTGAGGTTGACTTTCTGTTGGTCACCATTACAGTGCTCAAATGCGAATAGCCACCAGCCATAGGTGGGCCCAAAGTTCTTGAAGATCATTTGATAATGCATCGACATGTGATGATTGATCAACATGTGAATGCCAAGCTTTTGCAAACCTTGACAGTACCGTTAAAGATAGCGTTGCCCGCGCTTCACCTCATCCATAGATATAGCTTTGCTGGCGAGAATTCTCTCAGCAACAGAGAGATAGAGGACCAGGTTGTAGATTTCTCGAGGGTTTTGGCAGAATGTTGGACGTGATTTGCAGTTCAGAGGAACGGGAGGGGGTATGGTCTTGATTTTGTCGTTTTTGTCGCGCCAACACACCCAGAGGATGGTAGTCTGGATGTTAGTAAGTCTTCACCACTGGTCAGCTTTCTGCAGTGAATGATTCTCACCCATCTGTCAAATAGTGAACAAGTCAATATACATACATTGTTAGGAAGACGTCCAATCCCTGATGGCCAAATGATACCATTGATGGTGTCTTGAAACACTCGCCAGCCAGCGGCACCTAAGAGATAACCAGCAACAATAATGTCTGAGTGAAAACTATGCTCAATCCCTTGCCATTGCGTAGTCAGCAACTGACCTCAATTGAGAAAAGAAGAGCGTACCATAAAAATTGTGCATAAAGTCTACAACAGATCTTTGCACCGGTGTCCAGCCTGGGAGCTCGTCCAGGCAGGAGTATCGAACTCCCATGGCATCAAGGATACGTGTCCTAGCTGCTTGAGAGCGAGCCATCTTCGATGAGTTTGCATTACGAAGCTGGGTAAAATCATTGTGAAGCTCAAAATCTGAAAGGGACATGTTAGTAGCAGAATACAATGAGACACAGAGTACATGCTGCTGATGTCATAGGCAGTTTCTGTCTGCAGATCTTTGAGCTTGGTCAGACAAATGTTGCAGGGATGTATCTTGTGCGAGTGCCCAGCGAATCCAGCAGTCTTGCGGCATCCTGGTATATCGTTGGCAAGTATTTCCAATGCTCCATGGACCTCTGGAAGTTTTGGCGGTAGATCACGATTGAAATACTCCATAACCACACCTAGAAGAGATGGTAGTCAAATAGAGCAATCTCATAGAAGTTACTCACCCGCATATATCATCTTAAGGTCTGCAATTAACGGCTCCAGAGGGTGATTCAACTGTTCGAGACTTGGTTCCTTTGGTCCTGGTATGACCGTGGCAAGGTGAATGTTCTGCTGGAGGAAGCGAGCTGATTGATGGAGGTTATTGAACGAAATATAGACACCACCAGCAGAGTGGGGTCTGTTTTCAGTGATTCCGAACCTTATATAATGATTTCGAGTCAGTAACATCAATTGTAATGAAAGGGCACATTGTATGCAGTCACCAGTCAACATTGAGTGTCATGCTGAGTCCTACATCACAATCGAGTAAGCTCCGCCTCAAACCAGGAGACTCCTTGATGTCTTGAACACGCCCTTGTCCATTAACAACATGCTTGAGGCCAATAGGAAGAGCACCCCATAACTGGCCAGTCATGCAAGTCTGTCATCATCGTAGAGCTGCTAATCGGGGGACAGCGGGAATCTCCAGAGGTATCACGAAGGCTCCTGATGAAGTCTGGACGCTGAAGAAACCTCCGAATGGCCTTGACTGAGGGAGGAATAAGGTTGGATTTTTGCTGGTATCCGCTTTACCTGCTGATCCAAGTCAGCGTCTGGATTGTTATCATCCTGGAAGCCCCGTTTTTCCCTGTAGAGAACTCCCTTGCACTGTGGCTGCGTGCAATTCGGTGAGGCAGCATTCTTGATAGTGTTGTGAGAGTAGAACTTGTAGCACAGATTGCATATAGGCCGCTGTTCGATATAGTCGTCGAGTTCGAGTCCTAAGCGCCGTTTTGCGGTAACAATAGTCCTTGCAGGTCTAGGATGGGTGGGGAGTGCACCACAGAGTGCAATTATCTTGAGTTCTCCATTAAGTTGCCTTTCGGCACTGGCGATAGGGCGAGCTTCGAATATGTTGGCAAAAACTGGCATGCAGGTAGGCTAGTTGCACAGCCAGTGTCTCTCGGTGGGCAGTAGGGAACTCTATGACGTGCGGAGAGGCTGGTTGTAATTCAGAATCGGCAGTTGGATGCCTGGCGAGGTTGCGGGTGATTATCGAAGTTATCAGTTGGTACAGGAACATCAATGTGGACTTCTTCTAGTGGGTCCTCTAATGTGTCAGGAGTGTCCATGCCATCGTCATCAGGAACGAAATCTGGCTCGGATTGTTCAAATAAGTTAATGCCATTTGATTTGGCATATGGAAAGGACTCGGATGCTGCAAAGTCATCGTCATCAGGGGCATCACCAATGTAGAACTGTAGGTCGGATTCCACAAAATCGAGATTGAAATCCTCTGGCGAGCCAGGCTGTTCAAGAGATGGAGTAGATACCCCTGAATCAGCGATAGCAGCCAAAGACTCGGTAACCACGGGAGAAAACGCCAGCACAGACTTCGTATTCGACAGTGCATCAAGTGCAGCATGCTCTTTGTCTCTGCGTGTATGCCGACCAATTATCTGCCGAGACTGAGTTTTGAAGCCTCGGGGGTCCTTGGAGCACTCCAAGCAGCAGCATTTTGCTGTGTCCTTCCATGCAGGGGCTTTTGACTTAGACCCTGGTGCCATCAACAACCGAGGGAGTGCATTCAATAGCACATGAGGTCTTGCAGTGGAGAAGTCAAAACCGAGGGTATGTAAGTACTCAGTGTCACATTCACGCGATTGAGTCACATGGACAATCGCTGCGTGCATGCAGCATTTGCATGATTTTTTTCTAAGTCCAAATTCAGTGTTTTGGCGGTATCACCTGATGTTGGGGGTTGGATATATCACTTTGGGCTATAGGCCTAAAATAGGGATACATCTTTTGTGGTAGTTATCCATGGACCACCATCCAGATTGATATATCCACAGGGTGAATCACATTTTCGCAATTTTGGCTTCCAAAAGCAGAAATTCTCTTGTTTTGTCATTTTCCCTCATGTCAGGCCTGTCCACATTATTCCCACACTCCGCATTTTCGCATTTTCAGCCACCTGCTGTGGGAATTACCCACAACACCCAAAACATTGTCCATTTTTGGAATCTCCACAATATCAATTATTCCCACACCCTTCCCACTTCACTGCAGCTTCACCACCACACCACAATAGCTCCTTCTGTATATATAAGTAGTAGGTTGGTATATATGTACATAATATGATATAATAGACCGCTTTTTTGTCTATTTATGTGCCTGGTCCTCCTCTAGGGACCATTCAACATAGGATAGGATAAAGAACACTTTCGCATTTTTGCCCCTTTGATGGGGAAGTGTTCTATAACATTAAGAACATGTTTATGAGTATATATGAATAGATTCCCATCTTTATTTGACCCCCTGAAGCGCCCTACATCAATAGGTACAGTGTATATATAACAAAACACAAAACAGGTTCGCATTTTTTGGTTTCTAGCTATATGGACTTGAACAAATTGTCCCTAACATCTATTCAGTAGTAGGAATAATGTATCAGGATTTCAGGACCACAGGAAAAGATCTTAATGTGTAGTGCATCCCTCCTCTCCTGGTGGTTTGCCTCCTGTGAATTTTTTTGGTGGAGGACCGGACCTCAATTGAGGTAGGGGGTCTATTATTATATATATTTAGAGTAGATGTATCATATAGCTAGCCCAGGAAACACGTAGGATCTTTCTACAGGAACAAAACATAGAAAATCGCATTTTTGACATTTTTGATATGTGTCACGAATTCCTAATATGAACCATTTTTCATTTCTCGGTTTTCCTTCGGCTACTTCCAGTACCCGAACCGGTCACATGACTCCTCACTCTGTCACACCTTCACCTCTTCACATATCACCCGTGGTTTCTCCGATTGGTTCCCCTACTCCACGGGCTAGAACAATCTCGCTTCCTAAAGAAGAAACCGGTCGGATCTTGGGTTTCTATTTAGTAACCGTCTTACTCATTTGCTTATATATCATGATGTCATACTTACTCATCCGCAGTATTGTACGACTCTTTTCTCATTGGCTGATTTCTTTCAGACTCCTACTCAATGTTATGTATAAAAGTAGGGTAGTTAGCGTAAGTGCTCCTTAGACTTAACCTCTTCGTTTCTACTGTTGTAGTGACCTAGACATTCACGCTCAATACTATCCTGTTCCTCATCATCTTTGACCGAGTCCTAGTGGTTGTGAACTCGCCTTCATCATTATTGGTGAACGTTGGTCATAACAATATGTTTCAGTATCTTACCCTTGCATATCTAGTCAACCCTGTTCATATATCATCAGTAGTACATTCAAATATGTGTCTCATGTTAAGGATCAGCTAGATATAGGGTGAAAATGTGAGATATAATGTAAAGATGTGATTCTACTGATTAGAAGCCTATATGACAATAAAGCCCGTGATAAGTGATCAGAGACCTGGGATACATCTCATATATGTCCCTCATGATATGACTAAAATTCTAGAAATATCCATGAATGATTGACTGAATGACAGGCAAAATGACATATGTATGAAAAGTGACAATTGACATTTTTATACAAAGTCACATTCATATCTGATACAGCTTGAAAATTTCATTAAAAATATATAGGATGGATAGTAAGCTATACAAGCAACATATGCTACAGACTGCCCTGAGGATAGAGGTGGGTGGAAGGGATGTAGTGTAAATCTAAGTTCATCTAGCATAAAAGTCCAACAACTCCTCAACTGACCATTTCGATGTTTTAGGTATTTGAAGTTTCCCACACTCAATTTCTTATCTATTTCACTTCCTCAGCACTCAATCCTTCTTAGATTGTTCTATAATTCTAGGGATATGATACTGAATGTTTTTAAAATGTACTCCAAGTTTCTGATCATCAAAGTTCGATGTTTTGAAGGTATAGGCCCCTTATCAGTAGAAATAGCAAGTATATACACTGGCTCAAACCTCTGGCCTATTCTAAGCTGATCCTTGTCCTCAAAAGCAAGTATTTATGATATTATGTTCATATATGAACAGGTTGGACCAGAGATGCAGAAGTAAGATACTCAAAAATATCAAAAATGTCAAAAATGCGATTTTCTATGTTTTGTTCCTGTAGAAGGATCCTATGTGTGTCATGGGCTTGCTATATGATACATCTACTCTAAATATACATGATAATAGACCCCCTACCTCAATTGAGGTCCGGTCCTCCACCAAAAAAATTCACAGGAGGTAAACCACCAGCAGAGGAGGGATGCACTACACATTAAGATCTTTTCCTGTGGTCCTGAACTCCTGATACATTATTCCTACTACTGAATAGATGTTAGGGACAATTTGTTCAAGTCCATATAGCTAGAAACCAAAAAATGCGAACCTGTTTTGTGTTTTGTTATATATACACTGTACCTATTGATGTAGGGCGCTTCAGGGGGTCAAAAAAAGATGGGGATGTATTCATACATACTCATAAACATGTTCTGTGTACCCTAGAACACTTCCCTGCCAAAGGGGCAAAAATGCGAAACTATTCTGTATCCTACCATATGTTAAAAGTACCCTGGAGGAGCAGTGTGCACATAAATAGACAAAAAAAGCGGTCTAATATATTATATTATGTACATATATACCAACCTACTACTTATATATACAGAAGGAGCTATTGTGGTGTGGTGGTGAAGCTGCAGTGAAGTGGGAAGGGTGTGGGAATAATTGATATTGTGGAGATTCCAAAAATGGACAATGTTTTGGGTGTTGTGGGGTAATTCCCACAGCAGGTGGCTGAAAATGCGAACATGCGGAGTGTGGGAATAATGTGGACAGGCCTGACATGAGGGAAAATGACAAAACAAGAGAATTTCTGCTTTTGGAAGCCAAAATTGCGAAAATGTGATTCACCATTGGATATATCAATCTGGATGGTGGATAACTACCACAAAAGATGTATCCCTATTTTAGGACTATAGTCCTACTTTGATGTATCAATATGACATTATGGGCTGGCGGTATAGAGGATTGATAGATAATCAGTATAGAATCAATGGATCTCATGAAAATCCTAACGCGCGAGGGATGTACTAAGGATCTTCAGAGGATCTGGTGAGGATGAATAAATTCCCACTCAATCCTCTGTCACAACAATCTGCGGTTTCACGCGGTGGTGTTTAGATGTGACGGCAAGTAGAAGTTTCTTTTAAGACTTTAGATGACGGCACAAGGTAGAGTACAATCTCGCGCAATGTTAACCAGATACCAGCCTAGTTGTGATTGGGAGAAGTTCTGAGGGCTAAGTACATAAACACGATCTTTAAATACTTATCGATAAGTACGAAGCCTGTGATTAAGGGAATAACGAATATAAAGAAAACTTATCGTACGGCCACGGAAACGACTAGTTACCGGGCCTCGAACATTCTATCTCTCGATCAATCTGAAACCTTTCTTCGTGCGAGGCGCGCTCGCCACATTAGACTTAGTGAAATTTTGCTTGTGTAGCCTAAGGACGCATTGTATCAACATCGTATTACCATTAGTATCATCTTCACAGCATGGGATTTCACAGGATCAGTCGCAATATCAAACTGGCAGCAATCTGACTCCATGAACGGAACCTTCTAAGCCTTTGCAACATCCTTGATTGCTGTGGATTCTCCGAACGCACTTGATTTCGGATCTTGAGGCTCTCAGGCTGACGTTGTCATGAACTGTCAGCCTAGCACAACAATGCGCGGTCGTCTGCGTGTTTTCAATCGTGAAGATATTGATTGCCTACTTCGTCTCGTGAGGCAGAATCCTGATTATTTTTGGACCAGCTCATGCACCTCCTTGCGACAAACCAATTCATATCCGTCCATTTCGCGAGCTCGAACGTGCTGATGTGAGCTAAAAGAAACTCAATTGCATTGCCAATGAACGCAACGAGACTCTCCGTGCCGAGTTCATCGCATGCATCATGGGCTCAGTCTGTTCGTGATCTTCCGACTCCCCTTCCTCCGAAAGTTCTTTGATTCGAGTATTGTCCTCATCGAAGCCATTGGAATAAAGGTTACTGTCGTGCTCTAGCAAGCTCTTGTGTTTTTTGGAGGCATGAATAGTTATAAACGGCATGATGATAATGATTTACAGGGGATGTGAGTGTACGACGAGCAAAATTTCACTAAGTCTAACATTTCCTAATTGAACAAAAATTTCATCCCACTGTCATCCTCTATGCAAAGAGCTGTAATCGCATTCCAAGCACAATCAGTAATGCATTAACCTACCGTTGCAGAGCGAGAGCTCCGTCGTAGTACCAAGGTCCAATATAATGTTCAGAACGTTCAGGATCGAGATTCAGAGTGCTAGTTCCGCAATGTCATATGTGATTCCAATTTCCAACTTTGTTATAATACACAACACGGTGCGCACGCCGTCATCCACTGCATCTACTCGATAATGCGCTGCGCGGTAGGCCAGACGACAGAGACGTCCGGGACCGGATTGTTATCCCTGAACACGGTCACCGATTGAACGTTGTCTCGCTGCCAGACCGAAGCACGGCCGGAATCGATAGAAAAGACACCCATCGAGCCTTTGTCCTCGTAATTAGTGATCGTGACGTGAATCACGCCACCGGTTGAGTTGGTAATGGTAACAGGTGCCATAGTAATATCTGCTCGTATGTGCGGAATGATTAATGTGAACTCGGTGTAAACGAAGTTTGAGCGCACCTTTGCAATTAAGTGATGCAGAAGATTGAGATGAGACTTCGATGAGGAGGTCAAGATATCTAAAAACTATGTTAGACAGGAGGAAGTACCACACTAGATCTAGGACTCACTGAGAGCGATTGAAGGAGCGATGGGGAGCTACAGTCACGACATCGCGTATTTATACGGGCAGATAACCTTCTTCTGAGCTCGGATCCAAAAGGACAACCAGTACCTGGAACAAAGGCAAAAATAAAATAGAATAATGCGAAGGAACCATATCCTCCCATGGAATGGTTGTGGCATCTAGTGGGGTGCGACTCGCAGATACGTTTTCGTTTGGTAATGGGAAGTGAAGGAAGGAAGTGATGCCCGCTAGAAAACAATGGCACGGTCTGGACTCGGGGAAGAAGTGGCACCGAACCAATTAAACCTTGCTCCTGAGAGCAATGGCACTACGCTAGTCCCGAGTAACTGAGATGCAGATCGTGGAGAACCTGACTGGCAGTGACAATTGAGTCCCTGACAAAGGAGGCGAGCGAAATTCGAATGAGCGAAGTGAAAATTTGGATCGTGCCCCTCGGAATAGTTTATCCACCGAGGACTCGACCGTAGCCTGATCTTCCTTTAGTACAAGACGCGACGACCATTTTATCTGGGGGCGCCTTGATGTCGCAGAACCAAACTCATGAAAGGGACTTACATACCGGCTTATCCACGCATTGCAATGATAATTGTTTCCCGCGTCACCGCGTCAGTAACGTAGCACTTCGATTGACAGAAAGTCACAGTTAATAAACCATTCGCTTGCAAGGGCGGTCTGTCAATGATCTTTGTGAGTTCCTCCTATGAGGGGAATGTAGTACTATGCGCCACGTCCGAGGCTCAGTACGTACGTACGATATGACTCAGGTTTCTGCAACGACCGTGATCGATTCGGTTGCAACTACGACGAAGGCCGGGAGTACTGTCGACGCGTACTCAGTCAACGACTCTGAATGACAGCGATGAGAACGGACGTAGAAGTTATCATGGGCCCAGATTTGTCGAGCGCTAGACTGTGCGAGAACTCGTCGGCTGTACCACTGACCTGCAACTATACTAATTATAGGTAGGGTACTAATGAGGCAATATTGTGGCAGATCGCAGGTCTAGCCTTCGGCTGTAATGCACGTACTTCCGAAGCTGTTCTTCTCTTCAAGGTGTCTCGTGAACACGGCGAAAAAAGACACAGAGAACCAAATCATGAGAAACTTCGGCTGTACCGCCATGACGGACTTGCGATGATGGCAATATAGCAGATTAGCAGGTCTGGCCCTCTGCTGTATTGCACGTACTTCCCTGTTCTTCTCACAATGGTTTGGGAGGTGAAATAACGGTAGTACTGATGGAATAGGTTGCTTACGACTCTAGTTGAACTCAAGTTCAACGATTTGCGTCTACGGCTCCCGTCAGAATGGTCCAGTGAGCGATCGACTGACTTCCGCCAATAGTCGCTTGATCATAATCGACAAACATTCCGTAAAGCGAATTCTAGGGATTCATCAGACGGTCTCAAGCTTTCGCGGAATGCATGTGTGGGTCAGACTGCTGAGCCACGTAGCTATGTGAGTCCCTTTCATAAGTTTGGTTCTGCGAAATCGAGGCACCCCCCAGATAAAATGGTTGTCGGGTCTTGTACTAAAGGAAGATCAGGCTACGGTCGAGTCCTCGGTGGATAAACTATTCCGAGGGGCACGATCCAAATTTTCACTTCGCTCATTCGCTCGCCCCCTTTGTCAGGGACTCAATTGTCACTGCCAGTTGTGTTCTCCACGATCTGCATCTCAGTTACTCGGGACTAGCGTAGTGCCATTGCTCTCAGGAGCAAGGTTCAATCGGTTCGGTGCTATTTGTCCCCCGAGTCCAGACCGTGCCATTGTTTTCTAGCGGGCATCAATTCCTTCCTTCGCTTCTCATTATCAAATGAAAACGTCTTTCGACTCGCACCCCGCTAGATGCCACACCAATTCCATGGGAGGATATGGTTCAGGTGCCATTTTGGACCTGGCAAATGTAAGGTCACATCTGCTGGTCATGTTCACATGGTGGCCCCTTTGCATTATTTTATTTTATTTTTCCTTTTGTGCCAGTTACTTGCTGTCCTTTGAATCTGAGGTCAGAAGACAGTCATCTGCGCGTATAAATATACGATGTCACGACTGTAGCTCCCCATCGCTCCTTCAATCGCTCTCAGTGAGTCCTAGGTCTAGTGTGGTACTTCCTCCTATCTAACGTAGTTTTCAGATATCTTGACCTCCTCATCGAAGTCTCATCTCAATCTTCTGCATCACTCAATTGCAAAGGTGCGCTCCAACGTTTACACCGGATTCAAGATACTCATTCAGCACACACGACCAGTTACTACTATGGCACCTATCACCATTACCAACTCAACCGGTGGCGAGATCCAAGTCAGGATCACTAACTACGAGGACCAAGGCTCGTCGGATTTCTTTCCTATCGCGTCAGGAGAGCCCTCGGTCTGGCAGCGAGACCGCATCCAATCGATGACCGTATTCAGATCCGACAATCGGGTTCCGGATGTCCTTATCGTGAACCCTAAAGAGACGCACAATATCCAGTAGATGCAGTTGGTGACGGCGCAGAGTGTTCTTAGTACGATGTGTTCAAGTTGTGTTGTACAACAGAGTTGGAAGTTGGAATCACAAGTGGTATCGCGGGACTCGTACTCTGCGTTTCGATCTGAACATCATATCGGTAGTGCTCTGACAGAAGTTTCGGTCCGCAACATCAGACGAAACCACGCGCGCTCAACCCGCCCTGCTCTCGATATCACCAAATGGCATTTGATTTAGTGCAGTCCGAGTACCAGCGGATAACAGTGCAAAGTCAGTAGAATAAAGCTACAAATGTGTGAAATGAAGTGTGCTCCTCGATGTCGGGAAATCGATAAAGTGCTACAGTTAAAAATACGTGAAAAGAGAGTGTGAGCGCGAGATTAATCCACAGTGAGGGAGGGATATTAACCGTATGTATGGTGCGTAACGTACAAAATACAAAGTAAAGCGTCATCTCAAAGTCCACGTCGTTTGGACGTACGGTGCAAGGCCAGCGAAAGGATTGGTAATCCTTTTACTCTGAGTCGGAGATACTACGCGAGCGTCGTCATCAAAGGGCATTGCAAACGGATCTATAGCATTGCTCGCGTGGTGGATTCTGCGCGGAATTTGGATGACGCAAGACCCGGCGGGGTAGGGACCACCAACGGTTTATTCTTCTCTTCCTTAGAGGTAGTGAGGATCGCAGCTTGCACTTGTGACGGGTAGAGTGTCAACGGGACAGTTGCCTGCTGCGGGGGCGCCTGCTCGAAAGCGTGGTGCAATGACACAGCGAGCGGGCTTGGACCCTGGGCCTGCGGAGGAGTGAAGTTGGAATCATCGAATGACCCGACGTCAGTAGGCACGCTGACTTTCCTGCGCTTCTCTGGATGGACCGGCGGTGGGGGGAAGGAGACATGAGGGGGTGTCGACTTCTTGACAGGCGAAGCTGTGTTCTTCGTCCACGGCAGCGTGGGTGGAGTCGGAGAGACAGACCAGGCAGAAGCAGGCTCTTCTCGAGTCGGAGACCGCTCAATGTGAGGTAGGTCATCGAACTTGAGTGAGGCAGCATGCTGAGTCGAAATTGTCAATTGAGGTCTAGGAGGCCGCGACAACGGCCTGTTGACGACAAATTCTTCGGCAGGAACAGCCTTCTTCGCAAAAAGCTTTGTCATGGGCTTGAGCCAGCTCGACTTGGGGTGCTCATCCTCTGCCTTTGGCACGTTCTCACTGTCTCCCTCTTTCTTCCTCTTGCCCAGAGCCATCAAACGCATCGGTCTGCTGATGGTATGGGAAATTATTGACGGCTGTTGCTGTTCAACCTTCGGCTCAGATCCCTCCCGGAAAAGGCTGTCCCATCTTTTCTCAAACCGAGGCTCGAGCGACTTCAACGGATGATTGCCAGACCGTGCGAATGGATTAAGGCTGAATGCTGAACGAGGCTCAGGAAGAGGCGTGAATGAACGAAGACCCATATCAGGCGTCTTCTGGCCCTTCTCCGCATCCTTGCTGATATGAATGGTAGGCGGTGCATTGGGGAAGGCTGATATGATACATCACCAAAAGTTCAAAACTCAGATATTACCTGATTTGGGTTGCCGCCGCGCCACAACGTTTCTCAGAAGTGCCACGTCATGGTCAGAAGTGATTGTTCGTCCTATGTCATGCTAAGCTATACGGCAACCTGACAGCGAGTAGCTAATGTTCATCTCAGTCTGCTATGATATTATCTATTCCGTGTATAGTATATCAACGAATAATGTAATTAAAGTGCGCCATAACCTTCTCGTGCAAGCACGTCGTCATCAAGTTCCTCATCCGAATCAACCTCCACCTTGTCATCCGGGTCTTCATAGTCTCCGAGTCCCTCATCTTCCTTTCCGTCTTCCCCATCTTCACCTTTATCTGATTCACCTTCCTCTTCCTCCCCGTCTTCCTCCCCATCCTTCCTAGCATCCATATCAACATCATCCCAATCCTCATTGTCGTCAGGGACATTTACTGGGGTTCCGTCACTCTGCAAGAATTCATCCCATGCCCATGTGACTTTATGGCCGACACCTCCAGGCTATACTGTCCTATTCATGTATGATATAACTAGTATTGTAGTACTGTAGCCATGCATGTTTGTACTGTAATTATCCCTCAGTAGGATCACAGATAGAACATGCACGTTACCGTGCATGGTGTGCAGCGCAAATGACCTACAATACCATGCATGGTACATGGATTCATGCATGATTTCTTTGCCGTTCTTGCACGGTTCTCCTACCTTTGCATAGTATCGTGCATGACATCGTGCATGATTGCCTGCTGTACCGCTGCACTTTATATATCTAATACTACCATAGGCTCGTTCAATGGATTCCCCACTTCTTACCGTCATGAATCAAAAACGGTATTGTTCGTTAGCTCTCTCGACAAGCTTCAAGCTTCAGATCGGAGTGGCGAAGTAATCTCACAGTGATGCAGGCCATGATGCGCTATGTGAGGATTAGTATGGCATCATCGCCAACATTCGAGTTCCTGCCAGGACATGTGATAAGACGAATCTACAACTAAGTACAGGTTGATGAGGTGATTCTTACCATCAAAAAGTGCGAATTTATAATCAGTTGTCAAGCTAAGCGCGAGTTTTTTCTAGACTCCCCTAGCCAGACCAATCGAAGGAAGATAGTCGTTCCTTCGTATTAGGAGGCTCAGTGGGACAATTCCTGTGTTCCTGAGCTCAGCTCCCTTCAAGGCTCTCCCTGCCTTTCATTCCCGCGCAATGCTGTAATGCTATTGCTATATGAGAGTACATCGTGATCTGCGCGGTGCTATGGAGTCCTTGAAAAGTGACATTCACGTAAAGATTTGCCCTTACCCATGAATCCAACTGCATCTCGGCAGGCAAGCATTCAGACGATGTGAAAGGGGCTTCGTCAATTTCCTCGTGCTCAGCTCTACTTTGCTGATCATGAATCAGAACTCGAAAGTAGTATGCAGTCATCGATTAATATTGGAGGGGACATTGTTAGTATTTCAAGTATCATAATCGCAATCAGTAATGCATTAACCTACCGTTGCAGAGCGAGAGCTTCGTCGTAGTACCAAGGTCCAATATAATGTTCAGAACGTTCAGGATCGAAATGCAGAGTGCTAGTTCCGCAATGTCATATGTGATTCCAATTTCCAACTTTGTTATAATACACAACACGGTGCGCACGCCGTCATCCACTGCATCTACTCGATAATGCGCTGCGCGGTAGGCCAGACGACAGAGACGTCCGGGACCGGATTGTTATCCCTGAACACGGTCACCGATTGAACGTTGTCTCGCTGCCAGACCGAAGCACGGCCGGAATCGATAGAAAAGACACCCATCGAGCCTTTGTCCTTGTAATTAGTGATCGTGACGTGAATCACGCCACCGGTTGAGTTGGTAATGGTAACAGGTGCCATAGTAATATCTGCTCGTGTGTGCGGAATGATTAATGTGAACTCGGTGTAAACGAAGTTTGAGCGCACCTTTGCAATTGAGCGATGCAGATGATTGAGATGAGACTTCGATGAGGAGGTCAAGATATCTGAAAACTACGTTAGACAGGAGGAAGCACCACACTAGACCTAGGACTCACTGAGAGCGATTGAAGGATCGATGGGGAGCTACAGTCGCGACATCGCGTATTTATACGCGCATATAACTTTCTTCTGAGCTCGGATCCAAAAGGACAACCAGTACCTGGAACAAAGGCAAAAATAAAATAGAATAATGCGAAGGAACCAACTCCATGTGAACATGACCAGCAGATGCGACCTTACGTTCGCCAGGTCCAAAATGGCACCTGAACCATATCCTCCCATGGAATGGGTGTGGCATCTAGTGGGGTGCGACTCGCAGATACGTTTTCGTTTGGTAATGGCAGGTGAAGGAAGGAAGTGATGCCCGCTAGAAAACAATGGCACGGTCTGGACTCGGGGAAGAAGTGGCACCGAACCAATTAAACCTTGCTTCCGAGAGCACTGACATTATGCTGGCCCTGAGTAACTGATATGCAGATCGTGGAGAACCCAACTGATAGTGACAAAGGGAGCGAGTGAATGAGCGAAGTACAAATTTGAATCGTGTCCCTCGGAACAGTTTATCCGCCGGGGAGGACGCAACCTGATCTTCCATTACAAGACGCGACGACCATTTTATCTGGGGGCGCCTTGATGTCGCAGAACCAAACTTATGAAAGGGACCTACATACCGGCTTATCCACGCATTGCAATGATAATTGTTTCCTGCGTCACCGCATCGGTAACGTAGCACTTCGATTGACAGAAAGTCACGGTTAATAAACCATTCGCTTGCAAGGGCGGTCTGTCAATGATCTTTGTGAGTTCCTCCTATGAGGGGAATGTAGTACTATGCGCCACGTCCGAGGCTCAGTACGTACGTACGATATGACTCAGGTTTCTGCAACGACCGTGATCGATTTGTTTTCAACTACGACGAAGGTCGGGAATACTGTCGACACATACTCAGTCAACGACTTCGAATGACAGCGATGAAAACGGACGTACTAGGAGTTATCATGGGCCCAGATTTGTCGAGCGCTAGACTGTGTGAGACTCGTCGGCTGTACCACTGACCTGCAACTATACTAATTATAGGTAGGGTACTAATGAGGCAATATGTAGCAGATCGCAGGTCTAGCCTTCGGCTGTAATGCACGTACTTCCGAAGCTGTTCTTCTCTTCAAGGTGTCTCGTGAACACGGCGAAAAAAGACACAGAGAACCAAATCATGAGAAACTTCGGCTGTACCGCCATGACGGACTTGCGATGATGGCAATATAGCAGATTGGCAGGTCTGGCTCTCTGCTGTAATGCACGTACTTCCCTGTTTTTCTCACAACGGTTTGGGAGCTGAAGTAACGGTAGTACTGATGGAACAGGCTACTTACGACTCTAGTTAAACTCAAGTTCAACGATTTGCGTCTACGGTTCCCGTCAGAATGGTCCAGTGAGCGATGGACTGACTTCCGCCAATAGTCGCTTGATTATAATCGACAAACATTCCGTAAAGCGAATTCTAGGGATTCATCAGACGGTCTCAAGCTTTCGCGGAATGCATGTGTGGGTCAGGCTGCTGAGCCACGTAGCTATGTGAGTCCCTTTCATAAGGTTAGTTCTGCGAAATCGAGGCGCCCCTCGGATAAAATGGTCGTCGCGTCTTGTAAAGGAAGATAATCTCGGTGGATAAACTATTCCGAGGGGCACGATCCAAATTTTCACTTCGCTCATTCGCTCGCCCCCTTTGTCAGGGACTCGATTGTCACTGCCAGTCAGGTTCTCCACGATCTGCATCTCAGTTACTCGGGACTAGCGTAGTGCCATTGCTCTCAGGAGCAAGGTTCAATCGGTTCGGTGCTATTTGTCCCCCGAGTCCAGACCATGCCATTTTTTCTAGCGGGCATCAATTCCTTCCTTCGCTTCTCATTATCAAATGAAAACGTCTTTTCGACTCGCACCCCGCTAGATGCCACACCAATTCCATGGGAGGATATGGTTCAGGTGCCATTTTGGACCTGGCAAATGTAAGGTCACATCTGCTGGTCATGTTCACATGGTGGCTCCTTCGCATTATTTTATTTTATTTTGCTTTTGTTCCAGGTACTTGCTGTCCTTTGAATCTGAGCTCAGAAGACAGTCATCTGCGCGTATAAATACGCGATGTCGCGACTGTAGCTCCCCATCGCTCTTTCATTCGCTCTCAGTGAGTCCTAGATCTGGTGTGGTGCTTCCTCCTGTCTGACGCATTTTTCAGATATCTTGACCTCCTCATCGAAGTCTCATCTCAATCTTCACTCAATTACAAAGGTGCGCTCCAACGTTTACACCGGATTCAAGATACTCATTCAGCACACACGACCAGTTACTACTATGGCACCTATCACCATTACCAACTCAACCGGTGGCGATATCCAAGTCAGGATCACTAACTACGAGGACCAAGGCTCGTCGGATTTCTTTCTTATCGCGTCAGGAGAGCCTTCGGTCTGGCAGCGAGACCGCATCCAATCGATGACCGTCTTCAGATCCGGCAATCCAGTTCCGGATGTCCTTATCGTGAACCCTAAAGAGACGCACAATATCCAGTAGATGCAGTTGGTGACGGCGCAGAGTGTTCTTAGTACGATGTGTTCAAGTTGTGTTGTACAACAGAGTTGGAAGTTGGAATCACAAGTGGTATCGCGGGACTCGTACTCTGCGTTTCGATCTGAACATCAAATTGGTAGTGCTACGACAGAGGTTTCGGTCCCCAACAGGAGACGAAACCACACACGCTCAACTCGCACTGCTCTCGATATCACCAAATGGCATTTGATTTAGTGCAGTCCGAGTACCAGCGGATAACAGCGCAAAGTCAGTAGAATAAAGCTACAAATGTGTGAAATGAAGTGTGCTCCTCGATGTCGGGAAGTAGATAAAGTGCTACAGTTAAAAATACGTGAAAAGAGAGAGTGAGCACGAGATTAATACACAGTGAGGGATATTAACCGTATGTATGGTGCGTAACGTACAAAATACAAAGTAAAGCGTCATCTCAAAGTTCACGTCGTTCAGACTTACAGTGCAAGGCCAGCGAAAGGATTGGTAATCCTTTTAATCTGAGTCGGAGATGCTACGCGGGCGTCGTCATCAAAGGGTGTTGCAAACGGATCTATGGCATTGCTGGAATGCCGCGCGTGAGTGGTCGTGAGAAGCCGTGTTACGGGCGTGGTGGATTCTGCGCGGAATTTGGATGACGCAAGGCCCGACGGGGTAGGGACCACCAACGGTTTATTATTCTTCTCCTTAGAGGCAGTGAGGATCGCAGCTTGCACTTGTGACGGGTAGAGTGTCAACGGGACAGTTGCCTGCTGCGGGGGCGCCCGCTCGAAAGCGTGGTGCAGTGGCACAGCGAGCGGGCTTGGACCCTGGACCTGCGGAGGAGTGAAGTTGGAATCATCGAATGACCCGACGTCAGTAGGCACGCTGACTTTCCTGCGCTTCTCTGGATGGACCGGCGGTGGGGGGAAGGAGACATGAGGGGGTGTCGACTTCTTGACAGGCGAAGCTGTGTTCTTCGTCCACGGCAGCGTGGGTGGAGTCGGAGAGACAAACCAGGCAGAAGCAGGCTCTTCTCGAGTCGGAGACCGCTCAATGTGAGGTAGGTCATCGAACTTGAGTGAGGCAGCATGCTGAGTCGAAATTGTCAATTGAGGTCTAGGAGGCCGCGACAACGGCCTGTTGACGACAAATTCTTCGGCAGGAACAGCCTTCTTCGCAAAAAGGTTTGTCATGGGCTTGAGCCAGCTTGACTTGGGGTGCTCATCCTCTGCCTTTGGCACGTTCTCACTGTCTCCCTCTTTCTTCCTCTTGCCCAGAGCCATCAAACGCATCGGTCTGCTGATCGTACGAGAAAGTATTGACGACTGTTGCTGTTCAACCTTCGGCTCAGATTCCTCCCGGAAAAAGCTGTCCCAGCTTTTCTCAAACCGAGGCTCGAGCGACTTCAACGGATGATTGCCAGACCGTGCGAATGGATTAAGGCTGAATGCTGAACGAGGCTCAGGAAGAGGCGTGAATGAACGAAGACCCATATCAGGCGTCTTCTGGCCTTTCTCCGCATCCTTGCTGATATGAATGGTAGGCGGTGCATTGGGGAAGGCTGATATGATATCATCGATGTCGTCGCGTTGCTCCTTGCGCCACTTGCGCTTCTTGTATGCTTCAACCCAGTTTCTCGCGTAGGAATGCCAGAAAACGACAGCGAGACCCATGAGTACGACAAGGGCCCAGAGGCCTAGGAACAGGGCAAACATGATGCGCTCCTGCTTGAGGGAATCGACATATGTCGAGACAAGTCTTCCGATGAGACCACTGGAGTCACTCTGCCCGCCACCAATCGCAGCGGTAGCGATTGGCTGAGTGATCTCATTAACATCTGACGACGAAAGCACCAAGACTGTCTCATTGACAGTCGGAAGATCAACGTTCAAGTTCTCATTCAAGAACGTGAGTGCCTCCTCGAGTGCAGTGACCTTCGAGCCGATGATGCATCGGACGAAGTCCTGCGCAGGGGTCTCCAGCACGGTGCCATTGAACACACTCGAGACGATATTCTGAACATCTGTGTAGAAGTTGTTCAGCGTCGTGTTGAGTGTCGTAGTGGTGCCATTGACCCAGCCGAACAGCCCATTGTTGACGGAGGACTGCATGGTCTCAACACGTGCGTTGATGGTGCCAGCATACGAGGAGGACTGGTTGTACATTGAACTGTTCACCTGCGTAAAGATCGTGCTGGAAAGATCCTGCACACTGGCAGCCGCTTGTGCAGTGTACTTTGCTTCTAAAGGGCCAACGGCAAGAAGCTGCACTTGAACGGACAATAGGCCAAAGAAACCGATCAGGAAGCAGGCAAGTGCAGGCGCGTGGAAAATGTAGTGCAGGAACCATCGCAGGTGGGTGTGTTGTGAAGGGGACAAACCCAGTTTAGTTGAGAGGCCATTGGCTATGCGAGTGAGCAGTGGATGTTGTGCGTCCGTCTGGAGCATGAGGAGATTGTGGTCGGTGAGTGTGACGGAAGGGGCGTTAGAGGGGCCGGTGTACATCGTGGTGGGGTCGGAAACCCATGCCTCACGAGTACGACGAAGGTGGAACTGGAGGCAGCGCCACTTGTACCACTCGAGAGCACAATGCCCTGCTAGCAGGGCGAAGAGAAGAAGGAATCAATATAATGGTACCGATCTTCGTGATCGTGAGGAGGTCATGGCCGAGATCGTCAACTGATGAAGTGTCCAAATTATTGCAAAACGAAAGCGTGTTCTGATCGGGGACAGGAAGCACTGATGCATCAAAGAAAAGGCCTTGGAAAGTGCTGTTGATGTCAGATTTCACGGCCTCGAACGGTGTGTCAACGCTAATGCCGGGTCAGTGGACGCAGATGCACAGTATGGTTTAAGACTTACAGAGATTCAATAACGTTCTTGATCGACGACACAGTAGGTAGCGAATTGTTGAGCTGAATCAAGGCATTTTCAAAATCCGTTGGGATAGTGATACTCGACAGAGCATCAAGGCTCGAGACATTGAACTGTGGGGCATTGATGTTCCCGAAAGGATTGACCTTGTTGAGCTCGTTAACTATGGTTGTAATGGCAGAGTTGAGCGAAGTGGCATCGCTCTTCAAACCTGACACAGCGCTGGTCAGAGTGCTTTGCAAGAACGAAGTGATCTAAGCTACAGTCAACGAGGGTCCATCGGAGAAGGTAAATCTTCATACCTCTTGAACAGCAGCAATAAGAAGGTCAAGTGCACCTCCAACAATCAATTCGAGGAAACACAAGAAGGTGGAGCGGTAGATGTCAATAAGGAAATTAATGATGGCTTCCATGACAGTCAATGCCAGAATCAGAGCTGCGCGCGCATCATTCATAGTGCCATTGACAGCATCCGCAAAAAGCTGATTTGAAGCTATCGCCATATAACGAGGAGCACTGGCAGCAGCACTGGCAGCTTGCTCTGCTGCTTGGCATGCGGTCAGGAGATCATCCTTCGCATTAGACACCGCAGTTTGCGCGGACTGAGATGACAGCTGGAGCCTAAGATCACGAAGATGAGTGAAAGAATAGGGTATGCCAGCCAGGCGAGGGAAAGGATGTGTGGGAGTTGAAGGTAAGGTCTGAGAGTCGTGCTTGAAGTCTGTACTGTAGAATGAGCGGCATAAACTGGCGGAGGCGATTTTCCTCTTTGAGTACGGAAAGCGAAAGACATCTGCGATGATTATGAAGATGGTCGACCTGCGACGTCGAATAAAAAAACTCTAGTCGCCAACTGGTGGCGGTCGTCAGCAGCAAGGAGAAAAAACTAGAGATAATTAGCAGGAAAAAGAACCCAGACAGAAGCGCTATAACAATCCATTCTTTGTTCCTTTTGAGAGCCAAATTGTCATTGTCCCAGCGCTGGCATGAGCGCGTCCTCCGTGTCCTCATTGTTCTGCAAGAGGACGAAGCACAATAAGCAGTTCCCAATTTGGAAAGCTTTGTTTGGTAAGAAAGTATTTGTTTCCATCGGCAAAACCATAAAAGGCTATTTTGATCACATCCGCCACAGCCACAGCTACTCGAACACAATAATACCGGATCATCATTTTTGTTTTCGCATCGCATGGTTGTCGCTTCTGTTTCTCGTGTCCGTGACTTCAGGCATTCCGGTAGTCGCTGGAAGGTGCGCAATTCTCTTCAACGAAATATAGCTTGGTTCGTCGACCGCTTCAGCTTGCTAGCATTCGAATAGATGACCTCTTATTTTGAAGCCGTCAATTCGTCCTGATCGCATGCGAGCGCACATCCCTTCACAAACTTCAACAAGTACTCCTCTTAATCCAGCGGTCAGCTGAGAGCCACTCTCTTTCTTATGGGGAATGAATATCGCTGGTGGTTGAGCGGACACTTGCAAGAATAGGGTGAGTAGAAAGTGTCCAGTTGAAGCGGCAAGTGTGACGATGTGGAACACCCCCCATCCTCGCGGTTGCCGCTTGTGCAACTCTGACTCGTCTATAATCGCGTCTCGGGTTATTGAACCTATCATACCTGATTCACGAACGCGCATTGCGCAAGTGACCGTCCTTTATGCAGCCAGAAATTTGCGTGATCTATGTTCACAACTCTTTCGGAATAACCGCATCGCTGTCGTAGGGAATTCATAGTTCAGACCTTATTGGCTTGCTATAGTCACAGGTAAATGATAAACTGTCGCATTAATGTACCCCGATGAGTCTTCATTAAAGTATCTTGTGCCGGAAGATTCTTGTCAGCTCTACTACCTCTCAGATTGATTACGAGTTGTTACACAAGTCTAATAGGACGAGCAAGCACCATCCAAGCAGACTTGGATCTATCCCATCGCCCTGCGGCATGCTCGCTAGGTGCGTTGCGCGTAATACTGTCTTTTCCCTTCTCGTCTGCCCCCCTCGATAGTGTAACTCGTCATTCAGCCATTACTTTCCTCCCTGTCACATACCAAGTAGGTATCGGCGGAGACGTACGTGACTCGTAGTCGGTGTTCCCCCCGCGCTCGCGACGGTGACCTTATTACTCACCGAGGCCGATTGCACGCACGCCAGCTAGTCCATCACGCAGCCTAGAGCGCCCTGCTGCGCATGCACTTAAAGTGTAACACTGATCAACTACCATCCATACAACTTGTTGTCCTACCACCATGAACGAGAGCCTTATCTCAGAGTACAAAGACACCATCACCTCCAGAGGATTGACTTACCACTACCTGTCCTTGCCAGCTGTGGGCGACAAGCCCACTCTGCTCTTCGTTCACGGGTTTCCCTCGACCTCATATGATTGGTATCATCAGATCAACTACTTCTCTGAGAGGGGATTCGGAGTAGTAGCACCTGACATGCTCGGATACGGTGGCACGTCCAAACCCACTGATGCGTCCTCCTTTCTACGCACCGCGATCGCGCAAGACTTGCTTGATATTCTTGATGCCGAGAAAGTCCAAAAAGTCGTAGCCGTTGGGCATGACTGGTAAGTGACAGCTGAGCACATGCACTGGCTGGTCTCATCACCATCATCAGGGGCTCAACCGTGATCTCCTTCCTGTCAATAAAACACTCCGACCGGTTCTTGGGTTTTGCATGGGCTACCGTCCCATATGACGTCCCAGCTGGCCCTTTCCCTGGGATCGATATTATTTTGGAACTGCAGACCAAGACATATGGCCGGCCGCTGCTGGGGTACTGGAAGTTTTTTGAGCAAGAACGTGCTCCCTTGATTATCGAGAAGAATGTGAGTATTTGACAAACACTTCAGTCGCTCGTTGTTAACAAGGCTACGCAAAGCTGGAATCCTTCATTTCCGTGCTTTATTCGGATGACCCAGATGATTGGTTGACTCTGATGAATCAGCCCGGAGAGATACAGGCCTTTGTCGAAAGTGGAAAGACGACAAAGAGAGCTAGGTATCTCACAAAAGATGTGTGTTTCTTATTTCTTTCTTGAGTCTGTTAGAATTGACTGTGGCAATGTAGCACCACTCACACTTGTTGGCGTCGCTAAGGAAAGGTGGCTTAACGAGTCCCCTGAACTGGTACCAGGCGGTGCTCAAGGGCGTCAATGACCACATTATGGATGGTGCGATATCCAGCTCGTTTTCTCTATATCGCAGTACATGATGATTCCTGGTGGCAGAGATACCAGAAGAAAATCGGCTTATCAGGAAACCCGCGTTCTTCGCGGTCGCGAAGAAAGACCACGTATGCATTTATGAGTACGCGGTGCCACAGATGGAGAAATACGCTAAGGGTGGTCTCAAGATGGTAGAGTTCCAGGGAGGACACTGGGTTCAGTTGGAGGAACCAGAAACATTTAACAGAGAGCTTGAGGGTTGGATTCGCGATACGTTACAACAAAGTTGTTGAGGAATGTCGGCGAGTGCCCACACACTAAGACCAGCCGAATAACCACTTGCCCTGGCACTTAATATCGGTTGACGTGACATTGGCTCGCCGTGATCATTTCAATATGTACGAGAGGAACCCGAGACAGTTACCTCTTGCAACTGCGGGCACTGTAGACAGCATTCCGAATTTCCCGCTACATAAATACCTTTTGTTAGTGGATCGCAATTGAATGGCACGACTTGCTGATTTCCAACGAAACAAAATGTCAAAGTCAGTACGTGAACGCTGACAGTAACTTAAGCACATGGAAAGGCGGGAAAAGTATAGTGGATGCTCGAAGATACACGATACCGCTAACGAAACAGTAAGTGAAGGTGAGAATAGACTTACAAAGGAAGAAAAAAACGTACCCCACAGAGGGAGAAGAGGCAAAGAGCCGCTTTCGATTCCCTCACTGATCACTTGCTGAGCGCTGAGCCTGTGACGATGACGGGCGCAAATCGGTGGTCATATTGCTTAGTCATGCACTTACTGAGGCAATATTTGCCACTTACAGCAACTTAGTAACTTAAGTCCGTTCTGCGAACTTCTTTCTTGAAGGACTGCGAGTTGGTACTTACTACTTAGTGCCACGTCACATCATTTTCACCTAGCCCGGTTATGGTTTGCTGCAGTTGATTTCTCGAATAATATGCCAAAACGAGTTCTTACGCGGTCGCCGTGCATGCATTTAAACCGATCCACGAGTCACAGCCCATCCATACAGGTCCTACCACCATGAACGAGAGCCTTATCTCAGAGTACAAAGACATCATCACCTCCAGAGGGTTGACTTACCACTACCTGTCCTTGACAGCTGTGGGTGACAAGCCCACTCTACTCTTCGTTCACGGGTTTCCCTCGACCTCATATGATTGGTATCATCAGATTAACTACTTCTCTGAGAGGGGATTCGGAGTAGTAGCACCTGACATGCTCGGATACGGTGGCACGTCCAAACCCACTGATGCGTCCTCCTTTCTACGCACCGCGATCGCGCAAGACTTGCTCGATATTCTTGATGCCGAGAAAGTCCAAAAAGTCGTAGCCATCGGACATGACTGGTAAGTGACAACTGAATGCAAACACTGGCTGACTTCATCACTATCATCAGGGGTTCACCCGTGATCTCTGTCCTGTCAATGAAACACTCCGACCGGTTCTTGGGTTTTGCATGGGCTACCGTCCCATACGATGTCCCAGCTGGCCCTTTCCCTGGGATCGATGTTGTTTTGGAACTGCAGACCAAGACATATGGTCGGCCGCTTCTGGGGTACTGGAAGTTTTTTGAGCAAGAAAGTGCTCCCCTGATTATCGAGAAGAATGTGAATATTTAACAAACACTTCAGTCGCTCGTTGTTAACAAGGCTACGCAAAGCTGGAATCCTTCATTTCCTTGGCTTATCCGGATGACCCAGATGATTGGCTGACTCTGATAAATGTGCCCGGAGCGTCACAGGCCTTCGTCGAAAGTGGAAAGACGACAAAGATAGGTAGTTATTTCACAGACGAGGCGTGTTTCTTATTTCTGTCTTAAGTCTGTCAGAATTGACTCTGTCCGTATTTTAGCACCACTCACATTCGTTGGAATCGCTGAGGAAAGGTGGCTTAATGAGCCCCCTGAACTGGTACCATAGCGTGCTCAAGGGCGTCAATGACCACATTATGGATGGTGCGAAATCCAGCTCGTTGCTCCGTATGGACTTACCGGATCTCGTTGTGCTGGTGGCAGAAATACCAGAAGAAAATCAGTTTATCAGGAAACCCGCGTTCTTCGCGGTTCGCGAAGAAAGACCACATATGTATTCCTGAGAGCACCGTGCCACATGATGGAGAAATATGCTAAGGGTGGTCTCAACATTGTGGAGTTCCAAGGAGGACACTGGGTTCAGTTGGAGGAACCGGACACGTTCAACAAAGAGCTTGAAGGTTGGATTCGCGATACGTTACAACAAAGTTGTTAAGGAATGTCGGCGGGTGCCTGCCCACGAAGACTCATGAATATCAGTTGTGTTACAAGTTCATCGTTTACCTAAGCCCAACTTTACCCAGTGCTCGTCCACGGCGCTGTGAATGACAGTAATTTCTGGTAGTATTATGCGTGTGTTTACAGGGGGCACTTCGCCGACATGAACGAGACAACGCCCGAACTACTGGCGCTGAATAGCCACAAATTCGAGTTCACCGAAATGCTCACGTTGGTTGAGGAACGAGACGATAATGCTCCTTGACGCAGTCGCAGAATCTGCAAATTTAAGAAAGGCGATTGTTTCGGTGGCTGGCATAACTTGCACGTGGTCAATCGATAAGGGGGATGGTGTGATCTAATGATGCAACCAACAACAATAAGTTTGATACAGATGTGTGACACAAGAACTAAGTCGGATGGGCTGCAATGTCAGTGTATCCAAGCTAATACCTGTTGTTGTCCAATCCAGAGGTCGAGGTTGCAGGTAAATGATGGTATATAGGGGATGGGGGTGTATATGACAGCGCGTCGAAGCGTGGAAGTCGAAGTCGATGAATTGTTTGTCGATCAGGACCTATCACTGGTCAGCGTACAGTCCTTATCACCGCAAATCGCACTGGAGGAGAAAGGACATGCGGAAAGAATACAGAATGACGCACATTTTGTACTCTACTGTTTTCTCTTCGTACTTATCGGTCTCTTCGTTGTCGTCGGTCTCTTCGTTGTTACCGACAACTGCATATGAAATGGCAATGTCAAGATCACGGTTGTTCCGCGCGTTCGGTGCGCAAGAGACAGTGCCAGCGATTTCTTGCCCTTCGGTAATCCTAATTGTCGAGGGGGTGTAGAACACTGTTTGCCTATTTCGGAGATATAAGCATCCGAGCATCAGACGTTGGGTTGCAGACGTACTTCCAGTGGGTGTATTGCGCGTGTGGGCCTGTCGAGAACTTGACTTTCTTATGTGTGCAATCGAAGACGATGTCGAACCAGGCGAGGAATGCATGAACATCTATAGTATGCGTATGAATACTGCGGCTATACCTAACGCAATTATACTTACAGTCACTACGTGTAGCAGTGAGAGTAAAAGGTGCTTTGAAAGTCAGATCCTCCTTTGTGGCTGTCAAGAGATTGATGTGCTGCGTAACGTCAGACAAGAATCATGAATGACTTGAAGGCGACGAACTTTGATAACAAAGGGATCGGTCACGACCGCTTTGAGGTCAACGGTGTCCACCAAAGGTTCACGTAGTGCGATGTCTTTGATACACGAATAGTCGAAGCCATACACATTCTCCCAGACTACAATACCGTCTCAGCCAGGATGCGCGTATAACACGAAATACACGTACAATTAATCTTCTCTTCTTTGTAGTCTTGATCTTCAATGGCGGCAAAAAGTAATCTTGCGGTGTCGGGGAATATCAGTCCTTCCGGCTTGAGGTACTTGTCTCTTGCAAGTAACACGGTGTCTAACATGGATTCGTAGAGAAGAAAATAACCCATCCACTCGGAAATGATGATGTCAAATTCAGTGATAGGAAGCTCGGCTTCCTCAAGTTTTCCCTTAACGAGGGTAATGGCTAATGTAATGTTACTATGGAAAGGATCAGCAGGATGCAGTCAGACGTACTGTTTTTGAAGCCGTTTGCTTCTATAATCTTTTGAGCTTGATCGATAATATTTGACATGTCGATCTTTAAAGGTATGCAGGAGATGATACAAGCGAGATATATGCAGCACTTACACCGACTACATGTGATGCACCCGCTTTTGCAGCGAACATACTCAAGATACCAGTTCCACAACCAACATCTAGGACTGTTTTACCCTTGAAAAGGTGGCCATTGTTTATGATCGCATCACGATAGGATCCCGTCCGAACGGTGTCCTTGAGCATTTCCTCGTGAATACCTGATAGGATATGACTAGATCAGACCAACAATGAAACTCGACCAGACAATTAAAACAAACCAAAATGCGCGTATGAATCCGCATAGCTGGAAGGTAAGCAAAAATTAGATATTAGATATTCAGAGATGCGCAAATGTGCGAACTAGTCTCTGGAGGTCATCGAGTCCGATGTAACATCGGGGGCGATATGATGTGTCGATGGTCCTGCGCTTTCCGACATCTTCAATTGATCGAAGTTGGGTGGAGCTAAGTATGAAACGCAAAAGATCAAAGTGGTTTTGGTTTGTAGATAAAAATTCCCCGACTCCCACGGTAGTAGGGGGGGTTCTGTTGAGATGTCAAGAAAACGCGTGCATGGCCCGTGAGAATGTTTCTGATGAACTGTACAGTACTTCGTTATCATGGCTCGGCTACTCTCATCAAAGCCTTTGAAGAGCTCGTTTTGTAAGAAAATCCAACTTGTTTATCATGCTAACACATGCGTATCTCTGGAATACCCTCTACACGTCGTCGATTCAAAATGGAGCCCTTGCGCGAGCAGGCACGAGCGCGTTCCTTGTGTGTTCTAAAATAGACACAATGATCGAAACAAACAATAGAAAACAAACCCTCGGATAGCTCGGCACGCATAGCCAATTAGTTCATAAGTCATAGCGCAGCGCCTCATGAGCCGCCGCAGTGCGCAGTTTTCGACTTTGTACAAAAGCCACGTATAGTATTTCATCGATGATCATCGACTCTCAGTCAAACATGGTGAGTCCCGGTCGAATATATGCAACTTCGACGACTCTGGATGTTAATGAACCCCTCAGGTGGTGAAGCATTCTGCAGATAACCCACCTTCCTACGAATACATCGCAGCCCAGACTAATTCAAGTATGTCTTCATATTTTTATCACCCCTAATGATCAATGGTTCACCATGACTTCAGATGAGCAGCCTACAATGTCTGACAAGGCTGCGAACTCACCGGTGCAGCTGCCTTCAATACCCCCTAACACTGTGATGGCCGTTCACACTCGTCCTGCGCCTAAGATGCAGCAACCCACGGTCTACCACTATCAGAATCCCTTGACTGGTGAAAATATAGCCTCGCTGCTGCCCCCAGACCACCCAGAAATGATATGCTTGCAGCAAGGGGGACATGTAAATGAAACCAAGTTTGGCATTCTAGGTAAGGGCAAGCGGATGCTAATAGGAAAGCAGCTGAGCCATATCTTTCTTTAGGTATTTTGGCCGCAATAGTTTGGTTCCCATTGGGCATTGGTCTTTGCCTTCTTGACCGGAGAGTCAAGTGCAAGCGCTGCGGGACGATGATAGATAACGGTATTTTGTGCGGTTAATGAGTATTGTATATGGCATTCGGACAGCTTCCTCTCTATTCTTGTGGACTTATGCAACGCGTGGATATCTTCTCCTCCTCGTCATTCTACGTCTTCATCTTTATATCCCATGTCCGTAGTTTTCGCTCCTTGTAGCTTGATGTGCTTCCATTATATGTAGATTAACATTTGTCGGATGGACGGTATCTCTTTAAATGTGTCGCCAGCTCACTTGTCCAGGCCTCGTCAAATCTTAGGTGTTTCAGTAAGTAGGTAGATGACGGGAGCCTTACACCCGATCGCTTGTGCTGCAATTCTTCTTGTTCACACTGACTCGGAGGACGGGCGCACAGCTATGGAGTATACATGTAGGCTCCCTAAGGTGACCATGGTCGCACCAGATGCATCATTTGCAGATATAAATCTTCTACACGTTGTTAAAAAAACACCGGCAGAAAAGAAGAGGGTGAAAAATATTGAGAAAAGCAAAAAGGAAGGGCCTTGCTGGGAATCGAACCCAGGCCACTTGCAATTGTGAAATGCCCAAAGCAAGTATCGTACCTCTAGACTACAAGGCCTTGGCGAAGGATTACCTTCATGTACATTTGGCCAGTCTCTCTCGTTCTGTGTGCAGATTGGCATGCCGTGCACGATCCCCTCGATCATCCTCCTAGTGGAGCTCACTCATCTTCAGGTTCAACTTCAGGTTTGTTCTTGTCACACTATGTAGTACCCTTGTTCCACCTAGTCGACAAACTTAATATTTATATCATTGTGGGCACTCGTTGGACGCTTGCAAGGCAATGCAAGCCTATTGATCACTTCGATTGCTTCTCGGCCTTCCAAACCTCCCCAAATTTTACCTCTATCTCAGTCGAGGAAGAATGCAACCCTGATTATGATCCGAAACGTTTTTACCCCGTGAAGTTGGTGAAACTCATCAAGTCATCTTCAAAGCTAGGGTATGGTGGGAGTTCAACGGCATGGCTCACTAAGGAATTAGGATATTCGTTGGTATGTGTCAGTCGTCATCAAGCTAAGGACTGTTGCATTAACTTCTTCTAGACGACTTTGGCAATCCACACGCTATGTGGTCCTGAAAATCTGCAGCAATAATTATGCTGACGCTGTATCTCCTTTACACGAGTTGCAGATGTCGGAGCATATCGCGAAAAGCGAACCCATCACATCTAGGCCGGCATATGTGAGAACTGTTGTCGATTCAGGACCGTACAGAAACTACATATGCGTCATCTACAAAACCATGCGAGAACCCATCTGGTTGGTTTAACTTCGTAAATGGTATTCGTCTATCTTCTCAGATTAACGCTCCGGTACCCCCTGTACGACCTGCTAGCTCCATTTTGAGTGTCATGTCATTCACACCGGTCAGTTTAATGATACAGCGATGATTGTGGTGAATTGTTTACAATCTCAATTCGAAAGATATCAAACGCGACAACATACTGGTTAGGATGGAGAGTCAATCTGTGCTTGACAAAGTCGCCACTAACTATGAAGCCAAGGAACCTTCGCCCCGGAATGTTCTCGCCGACCGCATGATATACCTTTCCAGAAACAATTTGACTCTTCAAAACAAGCCCCGGACAACCAGTGTTAACAGATTTTGACGCCGCGGCGTTTCGGGGTGTTTCGCACCCTCTCACACACCTTATCCAGCCCGATGTATACCGCGCCCCAGAAGTCACTCTTGGTGCCCATTGGTCATACCGCACCGACATCTGGAATCCGGGTTTAATGGTGAGGTCGGGAAAATTAGCAACTGGCGATACGGAACTGACATATATGGAACTTATTGGAAGATAAAGATCTATGCGACGGATTCGATCCTGAACGTCAAGAATATATAGCGGCCGCACATTTTGCTCAGCTCATAGGATTCATTGGACATCGACCTCAGGCGCTTCTCGACCGAATACTATTTTTGAATCTGGCGGCAAGCCACATTGTACGCATAGACTAAGTAACTGCGAACTGTGCACCAGGATCATTCAAGCACCCGAACCTTAACCCACAAGGTGTCACTCTAGCAGATTCGGTGGAGACCCTGGAAGGTGAGGATAAGAGGCTGTTCATTAAGTTCGTTAGCAAGATGCTGCAGTTACTTCCGGAGGAAAGGTGTTCGGCAAAGGGATTGCTCGCAGACCCTTGGCTTAAACGGTTCATTTGATCGCTACCTTGCAGGTTGGAAGGTGACGTAGTGCCGAGTGGTAGTTTGATGGTTTAATCCTTCTCGTCATTGCATCTATTCATCGATACTCCAGAGTCTGGATGCGTGTACGATGGGCTTTGGATTTTCCAACCGCTTATCGCCTGACTGCTGTGTTATTCATGTTCGACGTTCAATTACAGTCTAGTTGAGGTTGAGTTGAGGCAAAGTTGAGGCTTCATTAGGCCGGAAGTTCCAGTAGCCAGATCAATCGCAGTCAGTGAGAGCGTCAAGCTTACTAAGCGACTGCAAAAGGAATCACACTATAGCATTGTCGCCAAAACACTTGTACAACACCGCTTACTGGTTGAAGCCCATCCACCACCAGCCATGGTTCGAATTATCATCAAAGGAGGCGAGTAATTGCATCCAGGATTCTTTGACGTCTGTTAATCGTAACTTTGTTTGTGTTCAGGTGTTTGGAAGGTACATTACAACTTCGGTTTGAGTATCTCTGGAATACGAATCTGACACACTCTTCCAGAACACAGAGGACGAAGTTCTCAAGGCTGCGATAGCCAAGTACGGGAAGAATCAATGGTAAGTTGTCAATTTATCGTTAATGGCTCTGCTCTGGTACTGAGTATTACCAGGGCACGTATTTCGTCGTTGCTGGTCCGGAAGACACCCAAACAATGTAAAGCGCGGTGGTACGAGTGGCTAGATCCATCTATCAAGAAGACGGAATGGTCAAAGGTACGTGTCACAATCTCCTTTTGATGCTGGAATCCACAATTTGCTGCCCAGACCGAGGATGAAAAGTTGATGCACCTGGCAAAAATTATGCCCACACAATGGCGGACAATAGCTCCTGCAGTTGGTCGTACAGCTACCCAATGTCTCGAGCGATATCAGAAGTTGCTGGATGAAGCTGAGGCAAAGGAGAATGAAGAGCTGGGACTGACGGGTCCAGAGGGAGAGTCGGCACCGAGCGCGGACGACATCAGGCGCCTGCGGCCTGGAGAGATTGACCCTGACCCAGAAACAAAACCTGCACGTCCCGATCCTATTGACATGGACGAAGATGGTGTGTTTCTTGCTGTTCGTGAGGCGGGTTTAGCTGACTCCGCATACAGAGAAGGAAATGTTATCCGAAGCCCGTGCTCGTCTCGCAAATACGCAGGGCAAAAAAGCTAAGCGGAAGGCTCGTGAACGCCAGCTCGAGGAAGCAAGACGACTTGCAGTCTTGCAGAAAAAGCGTGAACTGAAGGCTGCTGGAATCATGTGCGTGAATTCATTTCCTTTGTCCGACGACCTTTTTCATGTTATATGTTTTAGTATGCGACATAAAACAAAAAACAAGGGTATGGACTACAATGCTGACATTCCCTTTGAAAAGAAGCCGGCAGCGGGCTTCTACGACACTTCGGAAGAACAGGCACGCATTACCTCTGCGCCAGTCGGCCAATCTCTCCGCCGTCTGGAAAATAAACGCAAACCTGATGAAGAGGAAGCTGAGCGGAGGAAGCGACAGCGTCGTGCAGCAGAGGCTAAGGGCGAGAATGATGGTCACCAAACGAAATTCATTGCTGCTCGTGATGCGCAGATCCAGAAGCTGAAAGAGGCTGAGAGCATTGGCCGGAGACGGAAGCTTGTGTTGCCGAATGCGCAAGTTGGGGAGGCGGAGCTAGAAGACATTGTCAAGATTGGGCAAACGGGGGAGAACGCCAAGGCGCTGGTTGGTGGTGGAAGCGAGGCAACTGCGAAGCTACTGAGTGACTACGAGGGCCTGGAGGGCGCAAGGATGGCACGAACACCTCGTACTGCACCCCAACGTGAGTATTCTTTAGTACTGAATTCCGTCGCGGCGACTGAGCTCTCTATCATAGAGGATAATGTCATGTTGGAAGCACGTAATCTACGGAACATGACCATGGCTCAGACACCTTTGCTAGGAGATGAGAACACCCCACTTCATGTGGGGCCAGGGGGAGGAACTGGTTTCGAAAGCGCAACTCCTCGGCATCAAGTTGCCTTTACCCCAAATCCTCTCGCAACTCCTATGCATGGCGGTCCAGGTGATGCTTCTGCAACGCCGCGAGATGGTGCATCATGGGGCGCAACCCCGCTGCGGACACCTATGCGTGATACCCTCAGCATCAATCCTGCTACGGGCATGCCAGTTGGTGACACACCACGCGACAACCGGCTGCGCGCCGACTCCGCCAAGCGTGCTTTAAAGGCCGGATTCATGAGTCTTCCGAAGCCTGAAAACAACTTCGAACTTCTGGTTCCCGAAGATGAGGACGAAGAGGTTGACACCACAGGTCCAATGTCAGAGGAAGATGCCGCCGAACGGGATGCACGTTTAAAGCGGATGCGTGAAGAGGAGGAGAGACAAGCATTAGCAAGAAGAACGCAGGTCGTTGCCCGTGGTCTTCCTCGTCCTGCACGGGTTGACGTGGAGCAGCTGATGGGGGCCTTGAACCTTGGGGAAGAAGAGGACGACATGGCCGAAGTCAGAAGACTAGTCAATGCGGAGATTGCAGATCTCCTGCTACACGACTCGATAGCACATCCTCTCCCTGGCACGAACATTCCTGGCGGGACGCCATCAACTTATCAGATACCGCCAGACGATGACCTCGCCGCTGCTAAATCTCAAATCCATCTTGAACTTGCCTCATCAATAGGCTTCCCTGATGCCAATGAAGCCCAGGTCAAGGAGGGACTGGTAACACTGTCGAGCAGCGAAGAGGTCGACGAGAGTGCGTCTTGGGCAAGTGTCCGTCAGCGACTTGCTTTCGATAGCGCCTCGAGAACATGGGTGGAACCCAGCAGCCTGTCTGTGGAAGCCAGAATAGCCGGTTTCACCATGCTGCTCGAGGAAAGCCGCGACGAGATGTCGAAAGAGGCCAGCAAGGCGTCCAAGATCGAGAAGAAACTCGATATCACCCTTGGTGGATATCAAGCACGTTCAAAAGCTCTTTCCAAGCGCGTCACTGAAGCTTTCGATGACCTCGTGCGGACGAAAGTGGACTACGAGAGCTTCGCTCGACTCAGCATTAACGAAGCTGCAGCTGGACCGCGGCGATTGGAGGCGCTGACGGAGGAGGTGGACGTCCTATCGCGGAGAGAGCGGCTTCTGCAGGAGCGGTATGCAGAGCTTGACCGCGAGCGTAGGGATGCAGAACGGAGGGTGGCTGCACTGGAGGATAAGATCATGGCGGAGGCAGAAGCGCTTAATGAAGCAGCTCTCGCTGAGATGGAGGCAAGCGCATAATTCATCTTCAAGTGTTTTTATACAACTATTGTATCATTCTGCCTTTACACTAGTACAGCGACTTCCAGTTTTCTTTTGAGAGTGATTTGACGCTTGATGTTTAGCCCGAGATGTCACGTCACATTCAACTGGTCACACTGGCCGATCCCCCTATGATCAGAAATGCACGCAACCTTCAAAATTTTCTTTGTTACCCGCTGCAACAGGTGTCTCTAGAAGAATATTCCCTTCTGCCTTAACCAAGGAACTATACTGAGCTCCATCATCCCAGGCACTGGCAAGATTTTGAACCGGTTAACCAGGCGTGTAGTCGCATAGGCTCTATTCACTCGCTCTATATTTCCTCGGTTTAGAACGATTCCTTTATACTTGACGGCCACGCGAACTTTGGCGCATTCTTCCTTGACGCACATGCACCCGTCTTATCCTGAGACCATGGAAGCAATCGCTGCAGAGCTACGGCCTGGGCGAACTCTTAGGCCAAGAGCTGCGAAGGCGCCGAAGACGGTGCTGTCAGAACAAGGCGACGAATCGGACTTAACCTCCCTGGAGGAAGAGGCAGAGCACATAACGAAGACTCCGAAGTTTCGTCATAAGACTGTCCCACGGAACAATAAGAAAGTGCCGCTTAACAAAGACATGGAAGAAGCTTGCTCTGGCTTGGTTGAAGATCTTTCCAAAGGAACGGGACCAAAGAAACGAAAACTTGAAGCTCCTGCTATAGAAGATGATGCAGCGTCTTTTGATGAGCACCCTTCCAAGAAGAAGCGTAAGCGTGCCCCTAAAGTAGAGCCCGTATATGTTATTCCTGAGGTTGAGAGAAAGCAAACCACGTTCCGCGGGCGTCTGGGTATGTGATTTGGCTTATAAGACATTGAAATCCTTCACACACTTCTCAGGGTACGCGTGTTTGAACACTATTTTACGCACCAAAAAGCCTGCAGATGAGGCAGTATTCTGCTCGCGGACCTGTCGGTAAGCGTGTGTAATTTATTCTTCGACATGTGTTTTAAACGCGCCAGCATTGATACCATCAAAAAGAATGGCATAGAGTGGGTCAAGGACCTTGGTCGACGCAATGTTGAAGATGCGCTCAAGATTATCGAATGGAACGAAGAAAACGTATGCTCCGCTGTCTTAACATTCGTGTGGTCACTCATTGTCCGTCCACTTAGAATATACGCTTCATGAGATTGTGGATTCATCCTTGTTACAGCAATATAAGGCGCTGAATCCTTACCCGCAGATCATCTGAAATGTTTCCGTTTGCCTCCCACGAACTGTATGGATATTCCCTAGACTACTGTGCCCCCGTTCTAGCCAAGGTTGGCGCACTGGCAAACAAATATGGCCACCGACTTACAGTTCATCCGGGCCAATTCACTCAGTTGGGCTCTCCCAAGGATTCGGTAGTCAAAGCCAGTATCCGCGAACTTGAGTACCATGCGCAGATGCTCAACCTTATGGGCATTGGACCTGACGGTGTCATGATTATCCACGGAGGAGGGGTCTACGGTGACAAAGAGGCAGCGCTCGCTAGGATTCGCAAGACAGTCGAGGAGGACCTTCCTAAGAACGTCAGGGACCGCCTAGTACTAGAAAATGATGAGGTCAGTTTACTTTCATTGCGGATCTTATGTGCTTATCCCTTCCGTCTACCGCAGCTCTGTTATAATGCTGCAGATCTCCTACCGATATGCGAAGAGTTGGACATCCCACTCGTCTTTGACTATCATCACGACATGCTCAATCCATCTCTAGATCTCCCTCCCTCGGAGATTATTACACGCGCCAACGTAATTTTTGCCAGGCGCGGCATCAAGCCTAAGCAGCACTTGAGCGAACCTCGTGAAGGTGCCGTCACCGTCATGGAACGTAGAGCACACGCGGATAGGTGTCAGAGGCTACCCGAAGACTTGCCAGATGATATGGGTGCGCCTCCATACTTGCAACACGGATCTATCAAGCTCAGGTTGACACAGATCTGATGATTGAGGCAAAGGACAAGGAGCAGGCTGTCCTTCACTTATATCGTATATATAATCTACAGCCCGTCATTCACGGTGCGTGCAACGTAAAGTTCACTACTTTGATATCTTAAGGGAATTTCCTAGCATCACTTCGACCCCCCGCTGTCATTCAGACCAAGGAAACTAAGGGCCGTAAGTCAAACAGAAAGACCCGCTCCAAAAAGGATGCCGTTGCAGGAGAACACACACTCGACGCTGACGCTAAGGGCCTCGAGATGGGTGTCGGTATAGAAGGAGACGAGGAAGATGACGCAGGGGTCCTACAAATCGTAATCTCGGGAGATTTTGTTCAGCGAGGTCCTTGAACATCGTTTCGTCGGTCCACGCGTTCACGGTGACGCCGTCAGCTTCCTATCTTGCAATGTGTATTACGCGTGTACTTGTCATCAGACCAATGAGAAGATCGTCCACCGTGCTGTCCAGTATCTCCACGTCATCAATGCGCCGACATAGTACACAAAAAGTTGCTCGTGTATCCCTTTCAGAAAATCAGCATTGGACCCAGGGGGGCCACAGGACTATATCCGAATACTGGATTGCAGACGGATTGTGATTCACGTTCGCTGTCAACCTAAAAAATGTAAGGAACCAATTACCTATTCGCACAGATCAACCTGGTATTCACCGGCGCTATTGCAGCAACAAAAGTGAACATAGATTATAGATATGAGAAGGTACCTCGCGGTCTCCTCTGTGTCCAGTGGCACGGGCACATGACCCGTCCATGTTCCAGGAACCATTTTCTAGGGCGCTTGTGCAGGCACCGATAATACATACGGAGGCTATAGTACTAGAGAGCAAGGATGGAGATAGTTTAGCTATGTGTTCTGCCCACGGACCTTAACATACAATTCATGCTTAATGTCAACCTACAGAGGTGAAGAGCAAATCATCTCGTCGTACATTCGACCCATGGTTAGCGAAGAGTTTCGTCATCTGTTAAACAGATGCCTGTATGTTGACCACTCCAAGCTTAAAAATCTGCTTTTGTCCGTGATTCATTGAGCATTCTGCTTCTTGTAACACTCGGCTCCAGTGGGTCTGCTTGTGATTGCGTAGCTTCGGCGTTGAACACAATCGTGCTCTGAAACTGAATTGTAATCTACACACAGTTGTTGAAATGCCTGGTGCTCACCATACCAAAGCTGTGGCTCTGAGCGCCGCCTCTTGCGGCCCTGTCTCGAAGGAGCAACCGACGATTCAACCTGTATGCCATTGGTAAGTTCGTTGTCGTGTTTATCGTCTGCTCGTCTGGCAACTAACGAGGCTAAGAAGGAGTTCCCCACGACTGCACGATACGTGGGTCAATATATTTAACGTGAAGTATTCCATATCAGTACCATTAGGCCACAACAACCATACTCCAATCCACATAACTGTGGCATTTCAGCTGTGGTAGAATGCGGGGTACCAACACGCTCACAGTTTTGCTGCTGCTGGACTAGAAACTTGAAGCTAGTTAGAGAACGCTCCATTCAGGGGAAGATCCAGGTAGTGAAATTCTTACCCACGTCGCCAATGTAACGGCCATCGAACTAATGGATCATTGATGGAAACACCTTGTGAGTCGCAAAAGAGCCAAATACCTGGTGAGCAGACCAGTTTCTATGTAGAGGTGACATTACGAAGGGTATCACCCAATGAAGGCGCTTCCTATCTTACCGATTGTCCAATAAATCAACCGGTCGATCATCGTCATCGTCCTATGACAGATGTAAGCATTAGTAGGCAAGATGATGGATAGTCATACTCTTCGATGTCAGTGTCCCGTTTCTTTTAAAAACCAGGCGATACTAGCGGTGGTGATCAAGTCACAGGCTGCGCGTGTGATGAAAGAGAGCTCAATCGCCGGCGTAAAAATGATTCAACTCAACACTAACCGTTCAAATATAGTCTGCCACGCATTACTCAACAACACCGTCCGTGATTATGACATCCTGCTCATAACGGAACCATGGTATGGTGACATCGGAAATAACACAAAGGGCCCAGCGTCGTTAACCGGATGGCAACCAATCCTACCATTACCGTCTGTTCCCCCGAATGTCATTCCTCGAGTCATGGCATACATCAAAAACAGACCTGACTTCATGGTTACCCTTCGTTCTGATCTCGCAATGGATGCTGACATACAAATTTTACAGATCAACCAAGGAACACATCCGCCTACAATACTTGTAAATATGTACAACCAGAAAGCAGGCGAGGATCCATTGAACTGGTCAGCAGACCGTCTTTTCAACATCGAACTACCAAACGGAATACCGGTCATCATCTCGGGAGATATGAACCTACACCACCCAATGTGGTCAAACACAGCTGAGAACCCCAATCCTCGTGCAGAAGCTTTCGTTGACTGGCTAACTGACCAGGGATTCATCATGCTAAACGAACGTGGGGCAACAACATACTTCGCACACGACGGTGAATCCTCGTCGGTCTTGGACCTAACATTCATCAATGACAGAGCATACGAACTCGACACGATCAAGGACTGGTCAATCGACTACGGTAAAGCCTACGGATCAGACCACGCAGCGCTCACATGGACACTAGACCATGAACGTGTCCCCATCGAGAATATCACGGCTCAACGATTCAATTGGAAAGATATCGATGAAGACACGATCAAAGCATGGAAAGGAGCGTTCATGAGAGAACTGACGGATAGAGAAGACGCATGGATACCGCTACGCGTTTCAACTCTTCCTAATATTGATGATATTGAAAGAGCTACCACAGCACTACAAGATGCACTGGTGCAAGCAACAGAAAGCTCGGTCCCCATCCGCAAATCTAGTGCACATGCGAAACCATGGTGGACTCCCGACCTCACGCAATCACTCAACCGCATTGCAGAAACTCGTGAAAGGGCTAGACAACATCTCATCGATACAGGTTTTGCTGACCACGACCTTATCCAACAGATCCGCCAACTACGCAATCAGTTCAAACGGAAGACACGCCTTGCTAAACGACAGTGGGCAAACGAGACTCTGGGAAAAGCCACTCCCGATGACGTCTGGAATTTCACTCGATGGCCCAAAGGGATAAGAAACTACCCCACGCCACCACTCAGACGAAACAACGGTCAAAACATGGCAATAACACATGAGGAAAAGTGTGCTACACTACGAGGTGAACTGTTCCAACCGCCCCCGAATCTAGACTTAGCTGCACCAGATTTAGAACAGGACCTCCCGGATGACATCCCATGGGAACCCATAACATATGCCGAAGTGAAGAATGGTATATACCGACCAAATCGCAAAAAAGCTCCTGGACCCAGCCAAATCAACTACATGGCTCTCCGATGGGCCTGGGAGGTTGCATCGGAATATATCTACTTACTAATCTCACGCTGCGCAAATGTAGGCTACCATCCCATCGCCTGGCGACGCACAATCGCAGTAGCCCTGCGCAAGCCCCGAAAACCAGACTATTCGAACCCGAGAGCCTATAGACTAATCCAGCTAGAGGAATGTCTTGGAAAAGTCCTCGAAAGCGTACAGGCAAGTAGATTAGCATATCTCACAGCAAAATATCTGCTGGTACCTTCTTCACAGTTCGGAGGTCGCCCAGGAAGCTCCACAGTCGACGCAGCCCTATCATTCGTTCATGATATCGAAGCAGCCCGTAATCACGGACTTGTCACGTCGTGCATCACATTCGACATCAAAGGATACTTCGACTTCGTCAATCATACACGGCTACTCCGAATACTTCGGGACAAGCACCTACCGCTCCCTATGGTAAAGTGGGTGAAATCCTTCCTCAGCGAACGACAAGCAGCAATCTGCCTGGACGGAGTACTGTCACCATCGGAACCAGTCGAAAACGGTATACCTCAAGGATCCCCAATATCACCGGCCCTTTCGATTATCTGCACAAGCCCACTAAACGAAGCCTACAATGCGAAAACTCGAGCTCGTGAATTACGCCCGGACAAAGCCACACCGACCACATTAGCATGCTACATCGATGATGGAAACTTATATGTCTCCTCTCCATCCTTGGAGAACAATGTCGCAATACTCCGGGAGGAGTTCATTTTTGTGAACAATTGGCTTCGCGAAGCTGGACTGATGGCGGAAATTGACAAATCTGAGCTCATCCATTTCACATGGCGTCGTGCACCGGATCGACCACCTATCCTGCTGCCTAGTGACGAAGGACAGGTGACAATTAACCCCCGTGACTGTATCAAATGGCTTGGTATATATTTCGACTCTAAACTCTCTTTTCGCAGGAATGTATGTGAACTGGCAGGCAAAGCGGAAAATATCGCCCAAGGACTACAAATGCTTGCAAATACGGTAAGAGGTCTCTCGCAATCACTATTGAGAACTGTATACTCGGCTTGTGTCCGCAGTGTAATGACATACGCAAGCCCCGTTTGGTGGACGGGCGTGAAAACCCATGCAAACATGCTTACCCGCGTCCAAAACAAATCCCTTAGACATATCTGTGCCGCTTTCCGAACCACCCCAATAAAGGCCCTAGAAATAGAGACATCAATCCCCCCCATCAACCTCTTCCTCGAACACGCAAACGATAACGCCGCCACTCGACTACTCAAACTCCCCTCGTTCAACCCAATCCTACAGAGACTTGATCAACCCTGGCGACAATTTAACCTCGCTGACCCCCCACCCGCTCTTCCCACCGACAAATACCGTCCTCGCAGCCGCAAACCACCAAAATCGACCAGACTCACCCGTCTGTCAAAACGAGCATCCCCGAACGCGGAACGCATCAACATATTTGCGCTGCCACCTTGGGCAAACACGAAGGAAACGTACCGCGGCCGCCTAACGATCTCGGACAAGCAAAGAGGAGGCAAGAAAGAAGCCGCCAAAGCGCACATACAAACCGCTCGTAATCTACGAACGGAGGACACGCACCTTCTCGTTTACTCAGACGGATCGAAACAATCAGTCAGAGAGGAGGAAAGAGCTGGAGCAGGATGGGCCGGCTATCACAGAGGAAGAGAAGTCTTCTGGGGTCAGGAAGGAATGGGTCCCAAAGCAGAGGTGTATGATGCAGAGATGGTAGCGCTCCTTCGAGCAATATCGCGAGCTATCAGCTTCGCGCAAAATTCCCAGGTGACCCATTTACATTTCTACGTCGATAACAACTCTGTGGTGCAGGCTGCATATGCAGCTGCACCCGGACCCTCACAATACATTGCATTACAGATCAGACGCTCGATCGAAGACTACCTAACCACATCCCCCCTCCATCATGTCCAAATTGCATGGATCCCAGGACATCACAACATCATCGGCAACGAACGTGCCGACGAGCTTGCAAAAGAAGCCACTGGACGTAACGACTCGTACCACTCGACCTATGCAAATGCGCGCCGAAGAAACAAGGAAGGGATCTTGCAGAAATGGACAGAGAGTTGGAATAGAGACGTGGCAGCACAGACTGGACGCTTCGCTCTCGCAAATCGACTCCCACCAACGCTCAAACCCCGCCAACATTTCACTCACACTCCTCGAGAAGTATACGGCCGTCTTATACAATGCCGCACAGGACACGGATTCATGGGAGAATACTACGCTGCATTCGTTCCAACCGAACCCACCCTCTGCCCATGTGGAGAACCACGTCAAACACGAGAACATATCATACGTGACTGCCCACTATTTGCGCGACAACGCATCCATCTGCGTGAGGTATCACACAACATCATACTCAACGAAATTTTGGGTACGGAGAAGGGCATAAAGGCACTAGCGAAGTTTATTCAAGAATCCAGCGCATTCAAGAAGGTCGCACTGGAACGAGAAGGAGACTGGGAAGAAAGGAGAGGGACAGAAGCCTGAGTAAGGGCAAAGAAGGAAGTGACGAGGGAAGGAGGAGACGAGGAGAGATCAGAAGGAGGAGGAAGGAGAGAAAGTGTATCATATTATACTAAGCCTGGACACCAAACGAGCCCACACGCACACCAAAACTCATCAAACGCGGACCGCTTGGCTATTCGTACTATACCTACATCCCTCACCCTGTTACAACACTCCCCAGCACAGCCCTAACAGGGCACCGCGTCTTAACAGCTCACTTTGTTTGTTGCGGTATATAAATATAGAATTTCTCTCTCTCTCTCAATCGCCGGCGTTTGGCTTTCCCCAAAAGTCTTGAGGTTCGTCATAGAAATCGCCCCTGCTGTGATAACAAATGTGGCAGTTTGTGCTACCACGGAGATCATCTCGCAAAGAATGGGTAAGAAAATATTTCTAGTCAACTTCCAAAGTCGAAATGCGTAAAACGTCTGGTATTACCCGTGAGCGCCAGATAACGATTATACATATCGAAATCGCACACCTGCACAACAAATACTGTGGAACCGGTCAACGGAACGGCCAGGTCCACCGCTAGAGGAAGCACACTGAGTTGAGATGGGTTACCATAGGTGCTGACAGTCATTGTCCACAATGTTGATATTATACAGACAAAGTGGCCGAGCTGAATCAAGCTGCAGAGCCTGCGTCAGTATTTAAGGGAACCAAGACAAACATGAAGCTCACATAACTGCAGATACCTAGCCGTATGAAGCAATCGATCAAATCAACAACGAATTGTGCAGTTGACAGACTTACAGTTGTTTTCAGCGCGATATGATCGCTCGTGAATCTTGCAAAATACAAGTAGGACTGGCAGACAAGGCAACCGAATAATGCAGCGGTCAAAAGTCCACAGACTTGGATAGGTCCGATGACCAGCCTTGCATTGAAATTGATCGTTGCGCCTTCTAAGCTATTCATGAAATTCGTGCCCACACTGAGTTATGCAAGGTTATAGGAAACAGGTCTGATCGTCGTGTCTGACTTACGAAAGCGTCTAGTTGATGATGCGAGAAGCCAGCCAAATGCACGGCCCAGAGGTCGAGGGTTGCGTCACCACGACTGCAGAAAAGTACAGAGATGGAGCTTCTTCCTGGCTGATCAAGTTGGGCTGACGCGTGGATTCTAAAGACGATATGCTCGCCGTGTACCAGTTCTGATATTATAGACGGTTCCCAATACGCAGTGACGATGTGAGACTATGGGACGACTTAGTCAAGACGTGCAATGGTGACTTCTATACGAAGGCGAGCTGTGTCACGTCATCCAGCCGACCATACATGTTATAAATAATGCTCATACGCACCCGCGTAAAGCCCTCGCAGCACAATTAATCATGAATCTGATCAAATTGTGATAAAGTTCTATACTCATGCCAAAGTGCGGCAATAGTGCTGCATGGACTTGGCATGGACTACTGTTTTCAGTGTTCTTCTCAGCATGAGTCCAGAATAATTAAAGTTTGAGTACATACGCTGGGGTCACGTGTTGTCACTACACAGCTGCTAATGTCCAAGTTGCACCGGCGCTTGTGGTAAAGGTTTCGGTAGGGTCCGATAGGTCTCATATGTGATTCACCATTCAGTCACACTGCTGGACCTGGATTTCGCTTTTGCGATATGCTCGAAGACCTGTAATTTATGTTGCGTTGGCATGTTTATTGTTGCTCTCGGTGCGCATAAAGTACTATGATCATCGAAATATGATTCATCCGAGTCAGTGGGCCAGGTCTACAAGTACTTGTACTACTGTCCTTCACTTAACGAACACCTTTTGCACAGCGAGATCATGGGGCCGTAGCTCACACTCCTTCCCAGCGAACGTTTCGAGGGTGGGGGGTCGTTGAGAAGGTGGAGGGAGAAGTCAGGCGTTTGAACTTTGAATCGTGCGGTTGGGAAGATGTTATACACAATGACATTTTGCTCATGCTCAGTGCTCACCAGCTGTCCTAGCCCGGTACTAGGACGGGACCCTCGGAACGTCTGCCGGGAGGGAGCGTGCACCCTCCTCGGTATTACGAAAAATGGACACCATCAAGTGCGCGACCATGAGGTGAATGAGAATTTCCCTGCTAGTCTTGATGCGAAGGTGAGGGTAAAACAAACTTAGTTTATGCGCTGTCTTCGTCTCATAACCATTTGGTCTGCATTTTTTTTTGATAACCTTCGAGTCAACCTCTCGATACTTCCTTTACACGACTGAATTTTTTTTATAAGTACGCCCATTTCGTCTCCTCAAGTTCTACTCAATATCGTTATATCAGCGGCGACGCCCGCGAGCACCGCAGGCATAATCGCACCCACTGATCATTATCAATTCGGAGTCAATTTTCGGCTCTCCTCATCTTTTAACCGCTGAGTTGGTTCAGCGCCGACTGGCAATGGCCCAGTCCGTATGCCAACACCAACCGCCACCGATTTTTGCAGATCTCCACTCCGGTACTTCCGAAAACCGTTCAAGTCGTATTTCTGCGCCTGACAAACCTTCACGAAGATGGAACAACTACTCCTTCTTTCAAGGTCTGGCTCGGGGGGACTACCTGATCCGAGCCAAACGTCCTTCCGTTCTCCTTCATCGGTGATGTTACAGGATTCACAAGACAGTCAAGGAAGACCTTCACAAGGACGTCAAGGAGCGCCTAGTACTAGAAAATGGCGACTTCATTGCGGATGATGCTTTACTTGCTTATCCATTTTGTACCGCAGCTTTGTTATAATGTTATAATGCTGCAGATCTCCTACCGATATGCGAAGAGTTGGACACCTCACTCGTCTTCGACTATCATCACGACATGTCACATCCATCTCCTGGTCTTCCTTCCTCGGAGATTATTACGCGTGCCAAGCCAGGTCCTGCATCGAGCCTAAGCGGCCTTGAGCGAACCTCGTGAAGGTGCCGTCACCGTCATGGAACGCAGAGCACACGCGGATAGTGTCAGAGGTTACACGAAAATCTGCCAGATGATATGGGTGCGCCCCCACATTTGCAACATGGAGCCATCAAGCTCTGGATGGCATAGATTAAGGCAAAGAACAAGGAGTAAGCTGTCTTTCACTTATGTCGTATATGCAATCTACAGCCTGCCATTCATGGTGTGTGCAACGTAAAGTTCATTATTTTGATGTCTTAAGGGATTTTCCTAGCATCCTTCAACCCCCCCGCTGACATTTAAACTAAGGAAACCACGGCTCCAAGAAGGATGCTGTTGAAGAAGAACAAACGCTAGACGCTGATACTGAGGTTCTTGAAACGGTGTTGGTGTAGAAAGAGACGAGTAAGACGGAGGGGTTCCCACGAATCGCAATCTCGGGAGAATCTGTCGACGATGTGCTGAACATCATACATCATTGTTTCATCAGCGCACGCGTTCTCGGTGACGCTGTCGTATCTGTTGGGCCCTCATGTTCTTGAATATCGGGCATATGCTAGTTGCCATTCCAGCGGATACGGATACTAGTAACCAGCGGCCCTGAACGAGGCCCACTTTCCAAGTCAGCAAAAGCGCCGCACTCACTCATGAGCGTGATCAACCTATGGTAGATAGCAAGGATGAAGACAGTTTAGTTGTGTGTTTGCCAGGATGTGTCTGGTGCTCCTCCACCTCCACATAACCCAGGACCATGGTGGTAGTGCACGGTGTTGCCGCATCCAATAACATTGTTCATGTATTGCTGAAGTCATGCACACCCTTTCCTTCCAGCGGTCGTTGCTCCGAGGTGGGGCCCACAAGACGTTTAGTAGATTATACTGGATCTGACATCGTTACCGACGGACATTAGCATACAATTCATGCCTAATGTCAACCAACAAATGAGAAGAGTAAATCATCTCATCGTATATTTGGCCCATGGTCAGCAACGAGTTTCCTCATCTGTTAAACGGCTCGCATATGAACCACTCCAGACTTTGAGATCTGTCTCTGGTCCTGATTGATCGAGCATTTCACTTCTTGCAACACTCGGCTCCAGTGGGTCTGCGTGTGATTGCGTAGCTGCTGCGTTGAACATAATTGTGGTCTGAAACAGAGTTATAATTTATAAACAATTGTGAAAATACCTGGTGCTCACCATACCATGGCTCTGACCGCCTCTTGCGCCACCGTCCCGAAGGAGCAACCGACGATTCAACCTGTATGTCATTGGTAAGTTCAATGTCGCGTTTATCATTTGTCTTTTTGGCAACTGACGAGGCTAAGAAGGAGTTCCCTACGACTGCACGATACATGGGTCAATATATATTTAACGTGAAGCGTTCCGTATCCTTACCATTAGGCCACAAGAACCATGCTCCAATCCACAAAACTGCGTCATTTTAGCTGTGGTAGAATGCAGGGTATCAGCGCACTCACAGTTCTGCTGCTTCTGGACCAGAAACTTGAAGCTAGTTAGAGAATACTCCATGCGGGGGAAAATATGGGGGGAAGTGCTTACCCATGTTGCCAATGTAACAGCCATTGAACTAATGGATCATCGATGGAAACACCTTGTGAGCCATAAAAGAGCCAAATACCTGGTGAGAAGAGCAGTTTCTGTGTAGAGGTGACGTTACGAAGGGCACCACACAATGAAGGCGCTTCCTATCTTACCGATTGTCCAATATATCAAACGGTCGACCATCGTCATCGTCCTATGACGAATGTAAGGAATAGTATGTGGAGATGATGGATAGTCATACGCTTTGATGTCAGAGTTTCGTTTCTTTGCTAAAAACCAGGCGATGCTAGCGGTGGTGATCAAGTCACAAGCTGCACGCGCGATGAAAGAGAGCTCAATCATCCGCGTTTGACCTTCTCCAAAAGACTCGAGGTTCCTCATAGAAATCGCCCCTGCTGTGATGATGAATGTAGCAGTTTGTGCAACCACGGAAATCATCTCGCAAAGAATGGGTAAGAAAATATTTCTAGTCAACTTCCAAAGTCGAAATGCGTAAAATGACTGGTATTACCCGTGAGCGCCAAATAACAAACATACATATCGAAATCACGTACTTGTGCAACAAATACTGTTAAACCGGTCAACGGAATGGCCAGGTCTATCGCTAGAGGAAGCTTGATGAGTTGAGATGGGTCACCATAGGTGCTGACAGTCATTGTCCACAAGGTTGATATTACGCAGATAAAGTGGCCCAGCTGAATCAAGCTGCAGAGCCAGTGTCAGTATTTGAAGGAATCAAATCAAACATGGGGCGTACAAGACTGCAGATACCTAACCGTATGAAGCAATCGATCAAACCGACAGCGAATTGTGCAGTTGGCAGACTTACAGTTGCTTTTAGGGCGAGGTGATCGCTCGTGAATCTTGCAAAATACAGGTAGGACTGGCAGGCAAGGCAACCGAATAATGCAGCGGTCAAAAGTCCACAGACTTGGATCGGCCCAATGACAAGCCTTGCATTGAAATTATTCCCTTCTAAGCTAGTGCTATTCATCGTGCCCACACTAAGTTATGCAAGGTTATTATGGTAGGAATGTCTGATTGTTCTGTCTGACTTACCGAAGCGTTAATCTGTTGATGATGCGAGGACTCAGGAGCGCGATAAACGCACGGCAAAGGTCAAGGATTGTGTCCAACACAGCTGCAGAAAGTACAGAGATACAACTTCCCTGTGGATGCTATGAATAATATATGGTGCAGTATCTCCGAACTCGTTCGGAGGTAAACAATACAAAAAAATTCATACACACCCCTCACAGGACAATCATGAATCTGATCAAAATCTGATAAAGTTCTACTCCTGCCGCATGGAGTAGTTTTCAGCGTTCTAAGCTCGCTGTAGTCCCAGCGATTTCACCGGTGACCGGGTACCCACTGGGCAGGAAATTCAATTCGCGACGTGAGAGCAAAAGAACACGACAGTGCTTGCGTCGTGGCATACTGCATGCGCAGGAATGCCTTGCGAGCGCTGGCGGATGGCTTCGTGAGAGGTTTGCGGTGATTAAGAGAGGTACTTACCTATAAGTAAATAGGAGAGTCCCTGTTACTTATTTCGGTTCCCCAAAGTTGCGTAACTTTCAAGTCCGAGTAGATAAGTATGCAATTTCAGGGACCCGAAAAAGTTCGGACGAGTAACAGGCTGTAACAGGGGACGGTAGACGTAACTATGTAGGACCCAATGGATCTTGGTTGCGATGTGCAGCAGACAAGTTGTGGAGCGACTCGGAGTTCCCGTGTCTTGGCTTGGAGTACGAGAGGGTACGGGACCAACCCCTCGGCCTGGATTCCACTTTTGATGCTCGGAGATCCGTAATTTGTGTAGCGTTAGAGGATTATATATTGTAGCGGATTCTGAGTTCTCGGTGCACATACTTACTATAGGGTGAGGCCCCGAGCGCCTAGCTTGAACCTTCATCAGTACTTCTTGAACTCGTGTAGTACTTAGCTCATTGCAATTACTTGATAGGTTCCCTGAAATACATGTGCCGACCTGACAAGGTAAAGATGCATAACAAAATTCATTTCATTTCAAACACCGTTTGCAAGCCAGCAGATGCCTGGCAAACACGCACCAGGTCAAAAATAGTGTTCTATCAAGTTGCGTATGCGATTCGTAGCACCCTCCCAGTATTACGATGAATTGTAGACTTGTCGGGTGCGCGTGACCAGTGAGAGTATGTAAAAGACATGTACAACTAAGTAAGACGCTGCCGACCCCTTTATTACTACGGTTTTTGCCGAAGCATATAATAGCACCGCTAGTCGTAGTCGGTATGTAATTTCATGCTCTTTGTCTCATAACCATTGGTCTGACATTTGTTTTGACAACCTTGATCGTTCAACGCCTTTCGACCTCTCGATATTCACTAGCTTCGTCGTCAGGCAACGAGACTGCATTTTGTTTCACATAAGTACGCCCAGTTCGTCTCTTCAAGTTCTTCCCAGTGTTATATCAGTGCTGCAGGCATAATCATACCCACTGATAATTATCAATTCTACGCACAACATGCCCAACTCGATTTTTGGCACTCCTTCTCATCTTTTAGCTGAGTTGGCATCTGGTTCAACGCCGACTGGCAATGGCCCAGTCCATATGCCAACCTCTGTTCACCAACCGCCACCTAGTTTTCCAGTCCAATTCGGTACCATCGGAAAACCGCCCAATTTACTCAGTCGTATTTCTGCGCCTGATCCGATGGGCCAAATATCCTTTCGTTCTCCCTCACCAGGGATGTCACCTCTTCCACCCCCAGTGACCACTGGTGCCCCAGTTCAAAACTCGCGAAAGCTGGCAGAGCGGATTCAGATGGGTCCTTCCCAACTCAACTCATCAGCACAATCCCCAGGTCTTCATCCAGTACGTGAACCACGGATAAATCATAACTGTCACATTGCTGCAAACTCTCCCGTTTCGTCGGACAATTTAATTCCTCCAATCGCAGTGATTATCCCGGTCGCTTCCGAGTCAAACAAGTCTTTATCTGAGCAAATGCAAGCCCGAGCAAATGGAATACCTATCGCCAACAAAGTCAGAAAGGCACTAACGCCCGAACTTGTCTATCCCGCCCCATCACCTACAACTCCGACCATTCGTCAATCCAATCATAACATTTCATTGTCCAATCCATCTGGGTCACCCAAACCAAATTTCTCTGTGGGGCTCTTTCCCCAATTTCCACCAACCCAGAGTCTATTCTCGTCGACGCTATTAGCATCTCATTCTCCGAACTTTCCGCCAGCTGGGCTCAGTTCAAGCCAAGTTCTTGACGTTGCCCCACCTGAAGGATCTCAGCAGCAAGTCGTGCAAGAATCCCTGTCCGACCTTTATAACCGGCTTCACGCACAGAGCAGTGCTTTGGCATCCCTCGCCCCTCCTACATTGCCTTCTAGAACTCCATCCCCATTTGCAACCCCTTTGAATATATCCCAGTTAGCTGCTGGCCTTCACAGTGAAATGAATACAGAGGAGCCTGGCACCATTGTTCTTCGACACCCATATCCTCAGAGCGGTTCCACTTCAAACGGTACCTTGGATCAAGAATTGTTACCGTCTGGTGATAGTAACGCACTCGCTTTGACGAGTTCTCAAGCTTCGAATCTGCCAACCTCGCGGAGCACACACCTTGTATCATTGGTAGAAGCCGCGAAGCAGTTTCAAGCCGCCGCCGGCGCTGCCGTCAAACTGCAGCTTGATGCGGACCGTGCATTTCAGGCAGAGCGCATGGAATTCGACGAACGACGAAAAGTGTTCGAGGAACGCATGCTCGCGAGGGAGGCTGAACATCAGGCTCAGATGCAAGTGGCGCAGAAGCAGTTGGAGGAGTTGCGCGCCAGGGAGGAAAAACTTGTGGCGCTGGAGGAGGAGTCACGACTCAGAGATGAGACGAGGCGCGCCCAAGATGCTCAGCGCCGTGCTCGAGACTACCAGCGCAAGCTCGAGGACGAGTCAAGACGCACGGCCATCCAGGAAGAAATTACTGAGACGATGAAGCTTCTCGAACAAGCAAAGGCAGAGATGAAACACTGGCAGAAGGAAAGAGAGCGTGCCGAGAGAGACAAGACTCCGGCTCAAAACAACGCACCACCGCTGCAGTTTTCTGTTGGTGCTTGGCCTTGTGTTGAGAAGGAGGATGGTATGACCGAAGAAGAGATCGAGATGGTTGCCAACTATAAGAGGACTTCTGAGTACCTGAAATCGGCAAACGATTGGGTTGATCGATCTCTCTCGGCTCTTCAGCGTATGAAAGAGACGCGTTTGCAGGCGGCCGCAGCAGAGCATCGGCGAATTGCAGAAGAAGCAGAGAGGCAGATAGTCCAGGCTGAAGAAGCTGCGAAACGCGCTGGTGAAGAACAAGAACAACAACGCAGAGAGCAGGCGCTCGATACTCGGCAGGGCCAACAGCCACCCGTTGCGGTTGGTGGAGAGCATCTTTCGCATGCAGCCCTCCTCGCTCAGCAGTCAGCACACGCAGAGGCACAGCTGCAGAACACCCAGATCGATACGCAGGCTGAATATAATAGGCTTCGTGCTGAAGTGCTCGCGAAGAAACAGCAAACCACTTCGGAAAACGCCACTCGCATCCACGCTGAGCGTGCCGGACACCCCGCGATCTCTACGACTGATGGTGACGGCCCGGATGATATGCTCGTGGAGATGGAAGTGGATGAATTAGCGTCGCCGGTCGAACATACTGTGCCATTGCTGGGTCAAGGTGCTTCGCACACGAAATCCACCTCACGGACAAAGAAGACAGCTCGTCCTCAGGGAACTTCTGGCAACGTTATGTTTGGTACGCCGTCAACCACTACATCTCGACTCTCGGACGGTCCCCTTTCATCGTTAATGTCGACGCCCGTGACATCATCAGCTGTCCCGACCTCCTATAAGACACCTTCGTTTGTGTCGGCTTCCACTGAGGTCGGGAGACAGGTCATCACAGACGCGCCTTTGTATCCCACTCAGTTGGCTTCTGAGTTGCATATGTCCCCCTCTCCCTCGTCAAATGTACGACTTCCGACTTTCAAACAGATCCCGTTCCCCACTACTCCCAAGTCACGCACTATCATCCGTAGTGAAGGCAATGACTGGGCTGAATGGCCTATTGGTCCTGAGGCGGATCTCTCACCGGCTCAGCGAGACGCGAATTTGCGACACATCAAGAAGAATAGACACCGCGTCGAGGAGAATGCTACTGGAGATCGGAGCGTGAAGCAACCTGATGAATCGCTTCCTGCCAAGGCGATCAAGACGGAGGAAATGGTGGTTGGGGAGTTGCATGATCAAGAACAGACGAGCAACGTCCCTCAGGGAGGAGTGTTCGCGCAAACCACAGATACCATGGTTCCCATTCAAAACGACAGTCCGCCGCCCACTCAGGCCATTTCAAACACGAATGATTCTCAACCGAACGATATCCCTCAGACTTTTGCTGAACTCATCACCAGTCAACTGCCAAATACATCTGCGCGCGCCGGTACTCAAGTTGATTCAGTAGGTGGATCCGGGCCCGTGCCCATGCCCGTGCCTAGGGTCACAAAAACACGCAGCCCAGATCCCTGGGTCATGGATGCATCTGTAGACCGTCAGGAATGGACTGCAGATCCCGCATCCCCTCGTTCTGGGCCTTTGGAATTCGCCCATGGTTATGATCCTGAACAGCACTCTCGACAGAATTCTCAGATTAGTAGACGAACTAGATCCCCAGAACCTCCAGTTTCCGCCCGCAGTAATGGTACCAACGGCGGGTCTCGTGTTGATCATGGACAGCGTCAGCAAAGCGGCCCTCGTTACCCGGACCATTATTCTCCCCCTCCTGCATCTGCGACCTCTTCTCATTCACGACACCTCGAGCAAAATGTTGTTGTCGCAGATTTTCACTCCGGTCTTCCTCCTCCGCGTCCACTGTCGCCGATGAATGGTGACAGGAAAAGGCCAGCAGAGCGCAATAACGAAGATGACAATCGTTATCGCCGTCGACCAAGAAGCGATCTCTATGAATCAGAGCGAGACAGAGGTTATCGGAATCCTCGCGAAGTGGTACCGACCCGTCGCTCCCCTACTCCCGAGTGGCACAGGGGTCGTTCTACATCACCATCAGAGTTCCGCGGCTCAACGTATATTCGACTACGGTCACCCTCGCCATCCCGCCAAGTTAGGTCGCAAAGAGATACACTTGATAGGCGAGGCGGGCAGAATGAAAGCAGTTACACACCGGATTACACCAACACCGTGGATCCTATCCGGCGTCCCTCAGATGCGAAATACAGTATGGAAGAGCGTCCCTGTGATGTCCGTGACGGCCAACCCTCACTTCTAGGGCGGCTTTCGGTAGGTCCTCTACGTGGGGCCCAAATTAAGGAGCTAACCATTTTCTAGAGTCCGGGACATCGTGGAAACCCGGTTCGCGGCAAGGGTCGTGTCAGAGGTGACGCTGGGAGAGGGAGAGGTGGTGGTGGTGGCCGAGGTCGAACACAACCGCCCTACCCATATAGGACCTTGGAGGAACGCCTCGAGTGACGAACTGGTTTTGCGAAGGTTTGATGTTTTTTGTCCTTTCATATGATGCAGCATGTCCTCTATGCTATATGCGTTTAACTTTGTCTTCATGTTTGTCTTCGATCGCTTAACCTGCAAAGTGCAATTTGCAATTGATCCTGTGTGATTTACGTAAGCTCATTATGAGGATAGCTGGATGGACGCAGTCTGCAACTTGATCAATACTTGTCATTCTCCAACAACCTCTTGAGCGTGAGACACGCTAAAGCCGACGTACCATGAGCTGGACAGGGTCTGTTTCCAACTTTGAGGTGGCTCGCTGAAGTAAACTGATATCCACTAGGTTTAAGAAGTCGCTGAATAGAGCGGGTACAACGGTAGGAACACATCTTCGATCCTACACAAAGCATATCCATGACTCGTCTCAACCACTCAGGTACTGCAAAAGACCGGACAGATCGAACGAACTGTAGACCGTGAATTTGCAGACGAAGAGTCCAAGTACAGAGCGTACGTGCATGCGTAGTTTATTTCATCCTTGTCGTTTGACTTTGCCCAGCTTTGAGAAGGAGTGTCAAGCATTGCAGAGGGACAGCAAGCAATATCAGGATGCCATGCGCTGTGAGTCGTATGCTTTCATTGTGACATTTAAGATGCTGAAATAGTACTGCAGCTATGACAGGCACACAGGCGCGATTGGCTGAGACCATCGAGACCTTCTACGGCGCTGCTGATCGTACATCGGATGGAGCTATGGCGAGTCACGCCTTCAAGAGCGCAGTGGAAGAGCTTGATTCAGGCATTCAGAGGGAACTCGTACGCGATTCTTGCTTCTGTTCGTATTGTTGATTTATCATCTCCTGCAGGATGCTCCTTACCGTACTACCATCATGGAGCCTCTCGGGAAGATGAATGCTTACTTCCCCATCGTGAACGAACATATTTCGAAACGTAACAAGAAGGTAATACTATTGATAAAGGGCTCCGAGCGATCCCACTCAACGGTTTTTCAGCTCCTGGATTACGACGCCGCACGTAGCAAACTACGAAAGACGATCGAGAAACCAAGTGAAGACCCTACAAAGCTTCCAAAAGCACAACAAGAACATGACGATGCCAAAGAGGTTTTCGAGCTCATGAATGACCAACTCATCTCTGAGCTCCCGCAACTCTTGGACCTGCGCATACCATATTTCGATCCCAGTTTCGAGGCTATGATTCGCATGCAATGCAAGTTTGCAGAGGAGGGATACGAGAAGATGAGCGCTGTACAGAGGTGAGTTTTGGGGTTTGAGAATGATGGGTTGGTCTGGCTTATGATGTGATCAGGTATTTTGCGGACAATGTAAGAGATGATTATGCTGCAGGTCAGCTGGATGCGCAGGTACGTCAACTGTCACGTGTACGTCTCGTTTATATTCTCACTGGTCGAGGTTAGGTCGAGGCGGTCTTGCAAGAAATGAGAGAACTATCCATCTGTGGGGCCAATTGACCTTGTTGCTTCATTTCATTATACACATCTGTTCAGGCAGATTCTTTCTTTCGGACAATCATATTAATGCGTGTAAATCAACCTCGTAATCCATGGATTCCATGACCGTGCATTAAAAAGATGAGCTGTACTGAGATCTGGTCTGATGTCAAAGCATAGCAGAATGCATATGATAATGACTTCATATCGTAAACCCGTAACAGGATGTGTACAACTTTGCTTCGAAAGTTCAAAGGGTCACCTGCCCGAAACTTTCAGGGCAGATTGCCCAGAAAAAGAACAAGTCATGGGAGGCCTCACGACTGCCAATTTCAATCTCCGATCATGCTTTGGGTACCGTTGCGATGAGATAAATTGTGAGTATTCTTGGTGCGAGCTCATAGTATCCGAAAATTTTGAAACGACTGTTGAAACAGGGTGAGGCATGTGCATGATGCATGAATCATGCACGATGCACGAACTTCGGAAGTTCGTCGGACCCAGCCTAATTATGTAGGTTTAAGTACTCGGGCAAGGACTAATATCTTGAGCTTAAGCTTGAACCTTCTATTTGTTATAAAGAACTCCAACGAGCCATTGTCAAATATCCCTCGAAGTCATCATGCGATCAGTGCCGATAATGACCGGAAGTCAAAGCAGGGTATGAATTGTCTAGTGGATGCCACAGCCATTCACCTGCGTTTGAATGGGCCATTGTGTGTCAGATGTGGCTCGACCGGAAAAGGCACTTTGTGGTCCACCCAAAGCGCACACCACCATACTCACAATCTTCGACCACAGCGGCCTGGCATGTCATGTTATCCACACTTCGAAGCTCGCGAAACAACATCCACCAGGGTTTGAATATAAATCTAGGCCACGGATGAGCTCAAACTTCATACTCACCCGTCCCTCATCTGTCTGTCTTCTGTCTTCTCGGTGAGTAAACTAACAGAGAAATCCAGCGAATCGCAACTTATCCTATTCCATAGCCGTCTTTTAATATGCCTACCCCAATCACATACTACAACGTCGAGCTCGTCCAGTTTTGGCGAGGCCGAAACGAGCGCGGACTGGCCAATCCCCTCCATTGGGCAATCCATGTCCCAACCGGTCATGGAATCGGGAACACATACCACCTCTTGGGAGACTCCGAAACGTACACCGTAGAGTACAGGCGCCAGCGGCCACACGTCGAACCCAGTGCCTGGCGCGGAAGCTTCAAAGTTGGAAGAGTAGCTGCGCACCGGCTCGGCGAGTTCGAAAGGGATATCTCAAGGGTTCATATCATATGGGACGACCCCGCATGGAACTCCCAGAATTGGGTGTGGGACGTTCTCCGTCATCTCCGACACAGAGGTTTTGACATCAGCTGGGAGCTTTACCTTGGGATGCTTCAAACGCAGATGTGCTGCCTTGTGGAGGCCTGGGAATACGGCCACATTAATCTTTAGATGTGGTGGAGATCGAGGGGTTTGTGAGTAGTGGATAGAAAAATTCAATAATACTGCTCATAGCGGGAGCGCTCACTACAGAGTCTAGACATTTTTCAGTATTCTGCATTTGTATCATTATCAGCATCATAGACGTCTTGTGTAATTGCCATCAACCTCTCGTCGTTTTGATAGAATAACGAGCCTACCTCGTCAATCAAGTTCTGTTGCTCTGACACGTAGAAACGCAGCGTGACATTATTGTCATAATCCTCTATAATAGTTGCATTTATTCGACGGGTATTGGGCACTGTCAGCCAGACGCGATCGTGGTCCAGGGAGTAACGGCTGCACTATCATCTCAGCTTTGGCGCAGAGTCACCGAGTGATGGATCTGGAAAGCTGCGGCTGCACGGTAAGTTAAATCGTCGGGTACACATACTATAACAACGGGGGGAGCGTCCAGCCAACCGTGACAACCTCATGGCTTGGCAAATTCGTCTCTAATGAGACAGGTGGTCTATCTGAACGACTGTAACACCGCGGCAAAGCAGGGTAAAAATGGCGAGTAAGCCCACGCACCTCCGAGTCAGGTCTTCTACAGACTGAACCGACACCAGTGGTGACTTGTCCCCACCTCGATCGCAGAAAAATGACCATAACACAGTATTTCAAGACCGCCACGCTGCGCTTGGGAAATCGTGAACTTCGAATCTATACGGGCAGACTGACAACGACGGTGTCAGTCTTCCCCGATAGAAGTACGTATGGTCACGGGCATCGGGCTGAGCTACGGAGTGCAGTGCAGTGAAGTGTTGGGAATCGGAGTGTCGACTCCCCGCCAGGACTCGCAATCATTGTCATATGATCAATCATTAACATCAACAAAAGAGCCCGAAGCATGCAAGGCCTTGTGAAGCTTACATGAGCATGTGTACTGTGATTTAGCTTTTCAGACATACACAAGTTGTACACAAGGTCTTACATTGTGACATATATGTGAATATATGCTTCGGGCAGCATGTATTCACATATATGGTTCAGGCTCTTTTGTTGATGAACTTACTAAGAGTGTTTTTGCTAAGTATGATATGAAGGCCCTCGGCCAATTAGCTTGCGCGCACGTAAGCAAAATTTCCTTTCCTGTTTGATAAAATTCTTAGCAAAAACACTCTAATCAGTCACTAGTCACTCATGAGTCAGTGGCCCAGAACTGAAAACAAACCTCCCGCCAAAGCCAAGTCAAGACACACGAAAAACATACATACAAACCTTATACATTCCACTCCACATAATGCATACAGTAAAAACAAGGCAAACCAAGTAATAAGTATACAAACTAATTAAAAAACCTCGAAAGCGCACTAGTAAGTAAAAAACACGAAAAGAAAAAGATATATGTAATGTAAAATCGTATGCACGCAAGAAAGGAACTGACGTCGAGGACTATGTAGTAAGTATACAGCAAGTTCTAAAATCGATATATATCATGCGGGGGTTGTATATGGAGACAGTGAAAAAGAGAGAGATGGAACATAAATAACGACGAGGACCACTTCGACTTCGACTCCGACTCCGGCCCCTAAAAGCAAAGAAAAATACAAAAATGACACCTCATACGTACGGCCCAAAACTAGTGACAGCCAAACACCCCAACCAAACCATCTCAACAGCAGCTCTCCCAACAGGCGTCAGATGCTGCCTCACGTCCGAAACTTCATGCCCGAGGTAAATAGCTCTCGGATTATCAGCAGCAGGTAACGGGACCTCTTCTTTCAAACAAAGCCCAAGTTCCGTCAGTCCATCGGGTAGAAAACGGAATCCGTGTTCTCGGTTGTCGCACACGCATATCACCGTTTGCTTTGGCTGGACGTCTTCTTCCTCGATTTGGGATTCGGATTCGGATTCGGATTGGGTATCGATGATGGGGAGGTTATTGGCTTCCCATGCAGGTGCTGTTATTGCTAATCCATCGCTAGGCACTCGGATCCCTGTTCCTCGAAGATTGTCATACGCAACCAAGCGAGCGTTCACCCTGAAATTGCTTAGGTAGACGCTTTTCTGGTTGGTTTCGGCGGTGGCTTCGGGTGGGGGGGACGCTTGCTTCGGTTTTTTCTTGGCTGAATGATCTGGCCTCCCCTTGTCTTCGAATGGGACATACCACACCAGGAGGTACTGGCGGGCTTCGGGTATCGTAGGGAGGGTGGTAGCCGCGTCGCCGCTACTTGCGGGTGGGTTCATAGATGGATCGGTCTCGCCTGCCCAGAGAGGAAGGAGCATGTAAAGAGAATCTTCAGGGACGTAATTGAATATATCATGCGTCGTCGCTCTCTTCTTCGCGCTGCTCTTCGAACCGGGTTTATGTGGTTGCGTATGCAGAAGCCCCACATCGCGGAAGGAGTTGTTGAGATCAGTGAGAACGCGGACGTGTTCTTCGTTCTGATCGCGTCCGGCAGTGACTATCCAAGGGGGGCTGTAGGCGTTCTGGGGAGTTACGGCTGGGAGGGCGGTGCTGTCTGGACGGGAGGATGCCCCGCGCAGTCGTCTCAATATGCGGTTTGCGAGTGAACTGCTGCCGTCGGAAGGTTTTTGCGCTCTGCGCAGGTGCTCGATATCGTTTGGATCGAGCGTTCCAAAAGCTTCTGCGTGTGGGGTGCGAGTTGGGAGGTGTTCGTCGGAGTCTATTGAATCGCGATGGATCCGGTTGCTGGCGACGGATGTAGAGGAATCGGACTCAAGGGGTCTCTTTGATGGCAGATCTGACGCTTCCGGCGATGATGGTTCGCTCGTTGACTGGAGGAGCTTTCCTTGCGACTTTGACATAGTCGAAGGAGCGAATGTGATCTTGGATGTCGTTGCTCGTGCGGGTGCAGATATGAGATGAGCCGGATTGACGCTCCCAGCACTGCTCGTCGTCGTACTCGACTCCGTGCTCTCTGCCGGATTACTCCCCCGCTCATTCTTCTTCTCCTTTTTCTTCTCCTTTGCCTTTGCCTTGGCTTTCTTTGCCTCTTCCTTCTCTTTCTCCCGCCGCTTCTCTTTCTCAAGCAATGCCCGTCGAGACTTGTCCCCGTTTCCACCAGCTTTCCTCGATCCTTCCTCAAGTAAACCATGCGTACTAAGCTTGCTGGTTGTCCTCGTACTCGTATATTGCTCTTGCACCTTCTTCGGCGCGAGCATGATACCTCCACTCGTATGCATATGTATATTGCGTGATCCAGACTGTCCCGACGTCCCACCACGCTTAGGTTGAAAAAGCGAATAGGATCGAAATATCGAGAATGCAGTGGCACGTGAGTGTTTGTGAATGACGCTACTTGGCCCGCCTGTCTTGGGGCCCTTGAGGAACGGATCGGGTATGTGTCGGACGTTGATGCGTTGTTGGGGAGCTTTGGCAGGGTCTGCAGTGGATGCTGTGGGGAGATGTAGTTAATACGAAAAGAGAGCTGGAAGAACGTACGTTTGAACACGAGTCTATCGACTCTATAACGACCGACGTGGTCGCTTCGCCAGATCTCCTGAGCACCAGGGAACATGGTACGTTTTGCCTTTTCCATGTTGATCGGGATGGCTGTGTTGATGGACGGACGACTGTACCGCACTGATGACGTAGTAGATACAGGTTGGGCATCTGCCTTTTCCTTCGAAAAGATCCAATGGTTGGTAGTTTCGTACTGGACGATGAGGTTGAGAAAGGTATCTTCACCGCTGTTGCTGGGCAGGGTACCGGCACTGGGACGGCGTGGGCCACTCAACCAACTACTGGGTGGGCGGAATGAAGAAGGCTCGCCTGTGCTGCTTGTGCGGGCAGCGAGGAATGAGAGCTGGGCGGATGATCGGAATGAGCGGATGCTGCCCTCGCTCTTTCCGGAAAAGACATAGGAGAGGTCAATGCCAGCGAATGTATCTGGTTCTTGCTGCGGTTGCACTGTCTGTGCCTCGACAAGAGAACGAAAGTCAGCGCGAGTGAGGGGGTCACTGCGGGGTACGACTGCAGCGGGATCATCTTCACTGTGGGAAAAATTGAGATCGTCATCGAGGCTGCGAGATGGACGACGTATTGTGTGGATGCTGTCTTCGCGGCTGCGATTACTGACTGCATCTGAAGTGGCACCTGGGATTGCCATTGGAAGGCTGCCACGACGAGGCTCAAAGAATGAACGGTGGAAAACAGGACTGTTTTCGTCGATATTGTCGAGGTCACGGGCAAAAGTGACTGGTGACGAACCACCGTCATAAGAAGCGATCTCTACCTCCTCATCACTGCTTAGTTCTGAGCGGAAACTAGCACGTGAGCTGAACGAGAGGAGGTAATTGACGCGGTAGAGTATCGGACTGCGGTATGACCGAATGTGTGCTGACTCACGTTGTCTGGTATGAGACGATTGCGATGACGAACGCTACGCCTCGGGAATGAGATCGGGTGATGAGGGAACTTCGCTGCTTTCTTCATCTGTATGCTCTGTTCCACGTGATCTGATTGAGGTGGAAGTACGTGAAGATGAGGGAAAGGGGTTTGAAGCTGGGCGTCCCAGGACCCTGCGAAGGATGACTGCTGAAAGTAGAAAACGTATTTTGAAGATACAGAAGGACGAGGGAGTACGGTCAGCACCAGTTCTTGTTAACGGGAGTAAGTGGGCTGATTGGTAGTGCTTCGTCATCTGAATCGTAGGAAGATGAAGAAGCTGAAGTTCTTGGTTCACCAAAACTGAAAGTAGCGAGATTAGAATACAAGTTATCGGCTGATGATGATGACGTTGAGTTTGATGACATTGTAGAAGGTCGAGAAGAAAGGCAGCGAGGAGGTGCGCTAAGTGAAGTCACCATAACAGAAGGTCTGTTAAACATGGTTAGCTTAATACTAAATATAATAAATTAACTCACAGATCAACTTGATCACTCAGAATACGAGGATCAACTATATGCAATCCCAAAGACATATGTACTGTAACTTAACCTGGGGTATAATCAAAAAAAAACACCAAAGAAAAGAAAAGAAACTAAAAGGGTAGACACGCTTCACACTCCTCGTAGTATATCTACCCACGTGGCTCCCACGCGTTATACCGAGGCACGCGCCGATAAATATTCTCACGCTCATCTTCTTTTCTTCTCCGAGGCATTGACTGGTTTCTTACTCTCGTCCAAGACATGTCCTGACTCCTGCTGGGTCAAAACTCTATCAAATACATCATCCCCCTCAACCCCCACATTAGAGGAGATCCAATCAAATTATATACAATGATAAATACTTTCGTTATAAGTATCCTTTCTTCGGAACACCGTTAACTTGACGTGGCACTCTAGGGCACTTCTATGGCACTATATACTAACCCGTTCCTGCCATTTCTTCCTCACTCTATGTCTGACCCTGCTCTCTCCCTTCCGTCCCTGATTTTCATCTCCTCGGTGCTTCTCTATAACCGGAACATCCCGCTCCCGTTTTCTTTCACCTCTTGGCACTCCGTAACAAACTTTTTAACTCCTGTCATGTTCAATACCCCTCCGTGACCAACTACCCTCAGGATCAATTTCCCATTAGTCCAGTTGGCCGAAAATGCTGGTATTGAGCCCTCGTCTGGTCATCCCTGACCTCTACAATAACCAATATAAAAGCCTGTCGCTGTAAATCTGAGCATCGGCAGTATGCCCTGCATAGGCTCGCCTTCCAGTCTAACATACCCTTTGACATTGAGCGCCATCTTGCCTGATAGACTTTGTGCGTTGTAGAGAAGCTCCATTACAAAGAACCTGTCACTGTAAATCCGGCCGCCTGCCTTACCCCTTGGGCCCGAAACTCGGCGCAGGCGCTCTCCTTGCAGTGATAGTCTCCACTTGCTGATCTAATCACTGACTGACATATGTCAGGCATCATAAAGAGCGGCGACATACCTTGAACGACCCGCGGATATATTTTACTGATAGCACCGCCGGCAACCCTTGGGGACCTTTATTCAATATTGCAGGCACATCCTTCGCGGGAAGCCTTCAGTGAGTACCTGACCCAACCCACATCTACGACAGCTGACACACCGACTCCGCGCACCGAAGTAAGGTATGACGTTCTTCCCGCGAAACGCTACACTGATAATGATCGGTTTCTAAGGACACTACTGTGGATCCAAATAATCTCTGGGCAGGGTTATCTCATCCTCACCTGTCCGTCGTGTGAACGTCTTTCCACTACATTTGGTGCGATGGTCCGGAGTGGCGAGGAATCGACTCGATAGCCCTAGATCGAGTGGTAACCGAGACTTGTGGAGCTGGTCGTAAGTACCCGTTGAATGATGTCATCAAAAAATGCCGATACATGTTGACAGCGGGCGCCTGCTTGAATTTTATAGAGTCTCGAACAACGCCATTAGTTGCATTACTCTAGCAGCAGATATTCGACGCGCGAGAGGAAAAAGATATGCGAGTCTCGCTCAAGCTGTTAAATAAAAAATTCACTCTGGATGATATGATCTAGCATACTTCCAGCGTGCCTCAGCTTCCATCGGACGCCGTTCGAGGTTAGTGACTTTATCAAACCCCGCAGGTTGCGACGGGTGGCCGCATGATGTCATCACCACCCTCGTTCGTATGCTAAGAGCCAAATATACGACGGCGATTCGCTAAAGCATATCGTACACCTCAAAAAAACGGAAGGACGGAGATCATGAATCGATGGGCTCCTGACGATCAATTTTATGATCGTCGCATTCGAGAGCTGTACGTTTTCTTCTCTTTTGTTGTTTGTACTGTTATGATGCTATTGACTTCCACGGAGCACGCTTAAACTCCCCCAATTCTAGCTCGAAATGTTCCACTGGAAACCACCGTACGACATTATTTTCGGATCAGCCGTTTCAGTAGATAAAGAGGTAAGTATGACATCAAATTGATCCCGCGAAACGGTGCGCTGATCGGTTTCTAAGGTCACTAGGGCAGGATCTCGTCCTTGCGCCACTGCTGCTATCACTCTGTAGTGGCCACACAGCGTCTTCAGTTTTCGTCTACTGGAATTTCTTCGTGCGAACGTCTTTTCACTTGGTAGGTGCGATTCTTCCGCAGCGGCGAAAATCGATTGTTAACCGAAACATACCAAGGCTCCTTATGGAGGTCGAGTGTTCGGAATGATGTCATCAAAACATCTTAAGCGCCGATGATGCTGACAACGTGATGCCGACGAGGACAGGGGATCTTCAGCCATGGTCCGTGGATGGTATGATCTACTTCTAACGTGACTCAGTTTTCAGTTTGTCCTCTGAGACACGGAAAATATGCGATGGCCATTACACTTTATCGTACAACTCGAAAAACACAAAGACAAACGACCCCTGACAATCAATTTTATGATTATCGCATTCTCTCCTCACCCCCTTCCTCCAACGTTTTTTCGGGTCGAGTGCTGTTTATCTCTTCGTTTACTTATCTCGCGGTATCAGTACTTTTTCTTCTTATACTTAAGCTTGCCTAGTTACAGCTCGAAATGAATAATGGGACTAGGTGGGACGTAAGACTGTTTCGGAACCATCTTCCACTAGCACTGGTGGAGAAGATGCGCCTTTGACACACTTCACATACTGCGTACATCGGATTATTTCACAGATCCCTCCACGGGGGATTGGGTTGTTCACAATTGAGCCCGAAGTAACGACGTCATGTTCGGAGAGGGTGTCAGGGTGTGGGGCAAAGTAGCATGTACGGTATTAATTATATGATCGTCGAGTGTCCATATATACCCATAATAGGGGATTGAAACGCAGAGATATGGAAGCTAACCTGGAGGCTTGCACACGCGCGTAGTGGAGCTCCATCGGCAACGAGAAGTTCAGGGCTACGCAGTGTGGCCAGATCGAAACCACACTCAAGGGTCTAAGGTGTAATTTTTGGCTTGCTAAAGCAGTGGACGCGGTATGTACAGGTTCGAATGGGGCTAGTGTGTCACGATATCGATGTGACTCATCAGGGTGTTTGTTGGACGTCATTACTGGACATGCGCTGGAGGCAAGGCAACTTACTAGTCTGGCGGGGTTCTAAGGCGCCTTGACTGCGTGTCAGGTTCGAAGATTGAACGGATACTTCCAGCGGTGTGCGACTTTGCATATATGCCACTTGTCCCAGTAACAGGCATTGTACAGTCGAGTCCGATGTAAGTCGTTTTGTTTTGAGACGGACTTTCAGGAGTCACTTCAAAATTTATGGGTTAAAAATGCGAACTCTACTTACTAGTGGACGTGTACTACTAGCCCAAGGGTGACAGCTGCCTCAAGGTCTGACAGTAGCGTACGGTGTTTCCCCTCAGTACTATACCAAGAGAAGACATTCGTTCCTTCTGTATGGCGTAAGAGGACCCTGGAACTTCATCTCCGACAGCATTTATCTTGGTGGTTGACGTATTGATCGCGGTATGATACGTACTTAGTTCGACAACGAAGGATTTGTCGGTCGCAAATGCATTAACTTAATTTGGCTGACGGATGGGGGAGTAAAGTACCGCCGACGTTCAGAAGCCCATTCGAGAGTAACAAACGCTGAATGTACATGAACACATGGGCGACGTCTGCGGATTGGGCCCTAGAGCTTGGGGTACGATCGGGAATAGAAATGACTTTGACACGTTTATACAATCATCCTGTCTTCTGAAGTCCCTCCCCTCGAGGCTCGAAGTGAAGATCCTGGTAGTAGATGGGCCAAGTACTGAACCAACTAAGGACAGTCCCACAACTTGAAGCTCAAGCGCTCAAGCTCTCAATGAAGTCGTGACTCGGCACTTCCCGAGTGGCGTTTGGCGCGCGTGCTGGCGGTGGTCAGCCAGTGGTAGTCGCCACCGACATGATCAGTGCATCTGGATCTGTAATAAGTGTAAGGGACTCCTGGACCCTAAACTTGGCGGTAGGCGGTGGTAAAACATGAGCGCAACGTTCAGCTTCTTCCACCGGCACAGGATGTAGGTGTTTATCCTCGCACCATGACCTCAAGTCCGCTATACAAGCGCTTAAACTGGACCTTTCGAGGACATGGGACGCATGAGGTGATCCCAGCAAATGCCCATGTAACGGCGTAGCGCGCTCTGAAATGAATCGAGTGTCACCTTCAGGTCGTCTTGCTTTCAATCCTCATCGTATCGACATGGTCCGCTAAACAAATGATGGACGGACGATTAATCATGCGTGTGCATCCCTGAGCAAAGGTCCTCCTACTCTGGGAAGTGTTGCTTCACGGTCTGCACCTCTTTTATATAGCCCTTCGTCTCTGACATCGAGATCTTGCCACTGCGCCCTTTCCTTCCCGCTGTGATTCGCGATAGCACCACAATGGCTTCCGCATCTACTACTCCTGGAGTTCCCATCATTCCGAGAGAACACCTCACAAGGGTGAAGGAATACGCGGTAGCTGTGGGAGGCTATGGACAAGTGTTTCAGTGCGTCATGCGGCCGCCAGCGGCTCCAGAGGTTTTGGTAGGCTTTATTCGTTGTTAGTGTTGTCTTTGTATTCACAATCTTGCAGGTGGCTGTCAAGATGCTAATGCATCTTACCGGTGATGCTCCCAAGAAGGTTGATCTTCACTTCAAATTTCTCACATACAACTTCGTTGCTGAAGTCCGCCTCCAGCGTGCGCGTCGTGAGATAAAATTATGGATGGCAGCGAGACACGAGAACATTGTCCCTATGCTCGGTATCACGAAGGGATTTTCCGAAGAAAGCTTCGCTATGGTCTCTCCCTGGATGGAAGGGGGGACACTTGCACAATATCTCGAACGCCATAAAGGAAACATCCCTTGCAGGAAAAAATTGACTTTGGTGCGTAAATTTTGGTACAATGACATAGCTTGTTCCAATATTTTGCAGATGAAGGACATTGCTAGCGGCTTGGCATATCGTTCGTGATGATTTCTGACATTTATCCTGCCGTATGTCTTACGCTTTTTGCAGTACACTCTCGTCAGATTGTCCATGGAGACCTCACAACTGTAAGAATTGCGTCGTTATATGACAGACAACATTACGCAAACTTTTTTTTGGCAGAATAATATTATGCTCGATGACAATGAAAGGGCGTTGTTGATCGACTTCGGGTTATCAAACATGCTTGGGGATAGTAGCCTCTCGCTCCCTGCAGCACGACCAGGGGCGGTGAGATTTGCTGCACCGGAACTGCTGGGCGTGGAAGAGGCGACAAGCCAACCTACTGGAGGGGATCCACAGGTCCACAATCAATCACCAATGCCGGATATGCACAGTGATATTTATTCCCTTGGCTGTGTGATGCTCAACGTAGGCGCCTCTCGACTGTTGTCGTCTTGCCAAGAAGCTTACTGACTACGTGAAAGGTCCTCACGGAACAGAAGCCATGGTATTACCTCCATGATTCGTGGGCTATTATGAGGGCTATCCTCGCACGAAAGCCATTTCCCATTCCCGATCACAGTCACCTATCTGAGATGCACAAGCAGTTTATCCGCAAGTGTACTTCGATTCGGGTTGAGGGGAGACCTTCAAGTCAAGGCGCCGTGGTTTTTCTCGAAGAACTATGTATTGAAGACACCACGGCTCCTATCCAGCCGTCGATGCCAATGGCATCAAATAGAGATGACCTGGACAAACTGGACACGACGATACCACACCAAGCTGCTTTGGCTTCCATTCAAGCGCCGAGCACGTGTGTATTCGGTCAATACGAAGGTGACAATGACAATGTCAGCCCTATCACCATCCCTTCTGCATTGTCATACGGAAGCTGTCTAGTGAGTCATGTCAACCACAACTACTTCTGAGGTACTCATCTCTGCAAAATGTGGCATTTCATGCAGACGTCGCCGCAAGTTGATTTTTCTAATGCAGCATATACGATCACCCCCTCAGTCACTCCGAGATATCCCCTGCAGCTCAGCGATGACTTTCTGACAACCCGGTCGTCACTATTTGGAGCGTCGCCTTCACGAACTCGCAACGCATCCACCGCGATGGAGCAACCAAATCCACGTGTTTTGGATCTCGCCGGTGAAGCGCCGAGAAATTCAGGTGCTGTTCCTTCTAGCGTACTCAAGAAGAGCACGCAAATTGTGTCGACTTTCATGAAGTTGTTGAAAAGTGATCAGAAGATCTTAGATCCGATAGTCGTACCCGAAGACGCTTTGTCTGATTCTAAGGTATGTTCAACACAATTGACTCTTATAACGCAATATGACCATGCTTCATGTAGATCCTCGCTATAAACATGACAATCCGCAATGCATGCATACGTGGGGACTTGTATACCGCTGAAACACTGCTAACACGAGAGATCAATGCTACCAACGACTACAGATCCTACGCCGGTCGCTCGTTTGTTATGGTGCGAAAAGCCGACTCGGACCATGCGCTTCAGGATGCACTTAAGGTGAGCAACACTGACTTTTCATAACCTCCTTAACATATGCCAAACCGGACTGGATGGTGACGTAGTCGGTCAGCATTCAGCCCTCGTTGACAGGCTATATCTCCAAGGGTGTTGCCCTTTGTGGAAAACAGCAGTTCTGGGTTGCGATGAAAGCATTTGACTTCGCGTTCATGTTCGCGGAAGGAGATCTAAAGACCATTCATTTTCTTCTCCTGATTAAGGCAGGTTAAATTCTCTCATATACCCTCTGCTTCATTGCATTTTCTCAGGCAATCGCGCTTTTCAATGCAAATCGACACAAGGATGCGATACTGCGCGTCCAAGAGCTAGCTGCCACTTGTCCCAATGCCGATACCCTTGCGTGTCGTATCGTAGAAGTGAGTACCGTGCGCTCAATCAAACCCTGTTTGTGGTCATACCAATGTTGCACATCAGGCGTATTTACATGTTCAACTGGGAATAAATGCCTCGGAAGGCGCACATCACAACGAAGCTGCTGACCATTTCACTGCCGCTATCAATACCATCGGTTTCTCATCTAAATGGGCCATTGATTTCAGACCATATGAGGATTTTGTGGTGGTGCGTTGATATGACGCAACCGATTTTTTTGATCCCAACTGTGGGCTTTGTATAGCTCTTCGGGTGGGACCTGAAATCATTGTGGCCATCTGCAAACCAGAAACGGTGCCATGCACTCCTTAAAGCAGGTAGACTTGGCGAAGCTCTCGATTCGTACCGATACATGATGGATATGAGTGATGAAAGAACGAAGGCTAGCTACCTTCATTGGTCCACAGGTAGGTCTTTAGTAATGTTATTCGTGTTACATTCCTCAACCGCATTTTATTTAGCTTTCAAGCAAGAATGCAGCTCCTTATATGCTGCCGACGGAGATACTTCCCTAGCCGCGAGCGATTATGACAGGGCTATTCTCCAATACTCCGCAGCAATCAATCTGAATTCTGCAAGCGACACCATCTTTGCAAACCGCAGTAGAGCGAAGTTGGAAAAAATGCTCTGGGACGAAGCACTTCTCGATGTGCAAAAGGTACGGCGACGGCATAATTTCATAGTCAATGCTCAATTTGGCGATACTGCATAGGTCATTGAACTCAACCCTTCGTCTTATATTGGATACCAGTTGAAGCATGCAGCGCTTCACGGTGCACAACGCTATGATGAAGCAATCGAGGCCTTCCAAACTATGTTCTCCAAGTTGAGTGATACTCCCGACATGCAAATACGAAGTAAGCCCCCGCCTAACATGTGCGTCAAAGTGCTTACCCTTTCTCCAGGACTGCGTCAGCAATATGTCAGCCCATCTGAAGCAGAAGGCGCTATCCAAAAGATTTTCAACGCTCAAATGCAAAATGTACCGCTTCGTGTACTCGACACCACCACCGGGCTCTTATGTGATCGAGAGGCGCAGGCTAAGGCCTTCAAAACGAGTGCAGAGTACAAGGAGCTCTTCTCATCAATGTTGAAGCATGCAGACCTCCGAATGGAACGCATCGAAGGAGTAGTGGCAATGTACTTCCGCTGTGTCATGTTGTCACATAGGTGGGAAGGGAAGGAGCCGCTGCTGCACGACATCCAGGACACGGTCGTATACGACTTGGATCCAGATGGTGGCGTCGCGAAGTTGCAGTCGTTCTGCGCCCTTGTTCGTTCTGCAGGATGTCGCTGGGCGTGGAGTGATACCTGCTGCATCGACAAGAATAACCATATTGAGCTCCAAATATCCCTCAACTCTATGTTTGTCTGGTATCGCCACTCTGCACTTACAGTTGTTTACCTGTCGGATGTTCCGCCTTCGTCGAAGTCTGGCGCACTGTCAAAGAGTGCTTGGACCAGGCGCGGATGGACGATTCAAGAATTCCTAGCTCCCAAAGTGGTCCTCTTCTATCAGAAGGATTGGACCTTATATCTCGACGACCGCTCTTCCAATCACAAAGAGCCCAATGTCATTATGCAGGAGTTGGAGGATGCGACGGGCATAGGTCCCCGCGCCCTCGTCACCTTCCGTCCAGGGATGACAGGCGCCCGAGATAAATTCCGGTGGGCGTCAATGCGCGTCACCACGTTGCAGGAAGACATCGTATACTCATTATTTGGCATCTTCTGCGTCAACATACCTATAATTTATGGTGAGAGGAAGCAAAACGCACTCGGGCGGCTCATGCAGGAGATCGTGGCTCAGTCGGGTGACATTACTGTTCTTGACTGGGTCGGAAAATCGTCAGAGTTCAATAGCTGTTTGCCAGCCGACATCACTTCATACGGACCACCAAACCCATTGCCATCTGCATCTGAAGATGAGATGTATGCATCGGTATCCACGCTCCGAGACATTGGGGTTGTAAACTTGGCTTCGAGATTGTACACCACACTTGACTCTCTGAGCGCTCCTCGTTTCGCGCAACGCCGGCTGCATCTGCATTGTATCGTATTCCCTGTCACATCAGTCACGCTTCGGAGGCACAATCAAGACCAAGAGACATGTCTCGCATATGAAGTCAAGGCAGACGGGCTCCATGACCTGCTGATCACAACAGAAGACAACCTGATTCAACTATCGCGGGCAAGGCGCACTCGACAGACGTTCCTGCTTGTTCGTCCTTGGAATCGTTATCTCCTCGAGCCGCCTGAATTTACAGACGACGCACAGAGTATGCAGGATCATTGGTCCGTGGCTCCGTCGCATGGAGAAGATGGGCCGGTTAATTCCGAGTCGAGCGAGCGAGCGTTGCAATTGATTGTTCGGCTTGGACAACCCTTTGGGGCACTTTTACTAGTGCGGCAGCATGGCGGAGAATACAGGAGAATCGCGTCAGATCACGGTATCATTGCTCAAGTCAAAGATATGGCTTCTGTTGATAAGATGATGGACGTCAGGACACTAGAGATATTGTAGCTATATGTATGCATTTTGAGGAGATCTACGAATAGGTTCCACTTGCAACACGGTCTTTGTGATTGTCTGCACTACCACAACCAGTCACAACCTGGTCCCACACTGGAACAAGCCGCAGGGGGGGGGCAGGTTCTGGAAAGGGGGTTCAAGGCGCCTCAGTCACAAAGATCGACCTGGTCCTTCCAGCGGTTCAGATATATGGTATCAGACATTGTCAATTCATGTGTTAGATGTGATTTCAAGGGGATATGGACTCGAGCCACAGCAAACTCTAGTGGATGTCTAGTAGCGCTGATGGTACTGACAGCGTGATGACCATTATACTCCAGGTTACGCAACACTTTAGCAAGGGATATGTGAGCCCCATTCGAGCTGATTACGAGGACGGGGGGATTTTCAGCCGTTGGCCGTGGATGACATGATCTACTTCTAACGTGGCGTTTTCATCGGACTACCGGTCGAGGTTACGCTGACGTTAAACCCGCAGAGGTGCACATGTAGTGGCCGCATCATGACCCTCGTTCGTCTGTTCGGAACATGTGCAACGGTATTTAGTGCATCGTATTGTATACAGCTCAAAGACGACCCCACTGACAATCAATTTTTATGTTTACCACATTTTCTTCACTCACCCCAAGTTGCAAGGCTGCTGACGACATTAAGAACAAAACCATTCTGATGTGAGCCACCGTCCCTTCGACAAATTTTCATGCCTGAGGCCTGTATGTTTTTTTCTCCATCTGCCCATTTACTTGGGACTAGGTGGAACGTAATAAGACTCCGTTTTTGGACCATCTTCCACCGGCAGCAAAGACTCATGCAAGGTGCCTTTGACTCACTTCAGCGCTTCGGCGATGATGCCCATACTAGTCTCGTGAACCAGCCGCCTTATCTGAAGGGGACGAAGCAAAATTTGCTGGATGAAATGTCCTGGGAGAGAAACAGATGATACGGATGAGCTTTTGCAATGATCTCGCTACAAACAGCTACCGAAGTCAGTGGCGCACTTTCGGCTTGGTCAATCATCAGTGCTGTGAGGGAGGGGGAACAAGCCCAATGTCTTGCTCATCCTGCAGCAGTGGAAGCGAAAATCACAGTATTTTCCCACATCCGGTTCCAACGTCTAGCACAACATCATAGCCCTCCATGACTGCCGCCGCCTTGGGCTGCCAGTCAAATGACCGTTGGTCCAGGACATGCTGTGCACGACAAGCAAGTTCTTCAAGATCGAGGTCATGATGGGCTTGGTAGTGCTTGACTCTCGAAGGTGCGGGCATGAAAGGCAATGCATAGTGTAGCAAGTCCTTGTTTAGAATATATCAGTGAAACATAGTATGATTCACCTACTGCAATCTACGAACCAAGGGAAATTCTCGAAGGTCAGTGTGTAGCAGGCCAAGATATTATCGTGGTATGCTGTTGAGATATGCGTGACTTGAAAAAATTGGTACAAACTTGTCCTCTTCACGTCTGGTACGGTTTTACAACACCATCATGACGAACGCTGACGGAGAGGACGCGACGCGTTCATGAGGTACTATTCTGGTTATGTGCGGAGTTTCAAAGTGAACTCTAATCCGAACCTGAGGGAAGTTCTTCCAGACGCCTTGTCACACACATCATCAGTAAACCGGTGAGACTCAGATATTAGTAGATTTTGTAGTATTTTGTAAGCCCAATGCTTCATTACGATACAAAGTAATATATAGCAATCTAAAGCAATGTAATCACGCCAATTCACGCTCGGTTCAGACTTAGATATTGCTTTACATTACTTTACATTACTTTATATATTGTTTTATAACGTCATGTATAGGAAAGAGCATTTCAGCGTACAAAATATGGGAATATCGGTGGCTCACCGGTTTACTGATGATCGCCTGGCCTTCAGATCTTCTGTACCGCGAGCGTCGGAACAATTCACCTTGACAAGTACCAATGTGCTTGTTGGGCATGCCCGTGAGAGGGCGATAAACTCTTGGTACCCGCGGGCCCGTACAGCACGTAAAGTATTAACTACAGTCTTCTATGATCGAGCGTCCATAGGTATGATAAAGCTCGTGTCCGTACCCATAGGGCATTGAGACGCAGAGTGGAAGCCGACCTCGTTGCACGTATAGGTAGTTGAGCTCCGCTAGTGACGGCTCGAGAAGTTCAGGGTAATCAGTATCAACATCACACTCCAAGGTGCCATATGACGACATTTCATAGAGTGTCCAAGCCATCTTTTGGCCTGCTACAGGTGTTGTGTGCAAAGGTTCAAGCAAGGTTCAAGTGAGGCTAATGTGCCACGATGTCAGGGCGCTCGTTGGGCGTCATTATTGGACACGCGCTGGAGGCAAGGCTTACATAGTAGTCTAGCATCTTGATCGCCTCAGATCGATCTGGTACTTACATCGGTTAGTGTGTCTATTGTCAGTTAGCACTGCACCAGGTGTCAGGCCATCCATTTGATTTGTAAGAACCCATCTTCGGAGAGACGGCCAACAACAAAACGCCAACTCCAATAAGAGTGTAGTGGAGGAAGCGCGAAGGCGAGGGAGTGGAGCGCCGAACCCCTGCAAGTGGCAGTCAAATATAGCAGCTGCCTCAAGATAGCGTACATGGTGGCAGTTAGTCTCTCTAGGTAGACCAATAAGTAGAAGAAGGAAGTCGGACATAAATTTTCTTCTATGTAGTGTACAGAGGACCTGGAAATACCTAAAAGTGTATAGAAGCAAAAATCGTGGTATACTGAGTTTGATCCAAACGTATGCAGCTTGATTATCAACCGAGCTCAATTTGAACCAAGGCTTATGTAAAGTCCGCATTAACATTGGCTGCCGTTCCTTTGAGAGCGATCGAGGATAACAGACATCGAACTCGCTAGTATAGAATAGTAGTGTACGGAAGGACCCAGTCTGTTACTCTGCAGGTTAGGCCTGGTTTGCTGACGACAAACGGCAGACCTGGGGGATTGAGCCTGGAGACCTGGCATGTGTACAATCGGAAATCAAATACATATGATAAATTCAGTGGCAACTTGAAAAATAATCCGTCATCCTGTGTATGAACAGCACCTTGTTTTCATTAAATTACGCCTTTTGCCAGACTGGCAAGCTGGGCCTCTCTTCTCCGCCTTGCGGCATAGGGTGGTTCAGAGACATGAATGGAGCGTCTAGTTTTGTATCAAGCGCCCTGAAGTACTAAGCCCTGACTGCGGCAGGATCATTGATTCGGGCGACCTTCAAGGGATTCGGATGGCATGAGGTTCCGGGAAATGCCTAGCGTATATCGTATCCGACTTGCAACCTGCCTCGTTTGAACTTTGATCCAACATGAACCAACATGGACCTAGTAATAGTATATATTATGTCTTTAGATGGTTTCTTCACGATCTTTCAGCAAACTCTAACGTCGGGACCTTACTACTGGGTGCCATCCCGCTGTCTTTCGCAGTACCCCAATGATTTCCACGTCTACTACTCCCGGAACACCTCGCCCCATCCCGAGAGAACAGCTCACCAAAATAAAGGAATATCCGGCAGCTGCGGCAGACTATGCGCATGTTTTTCAGTGCATCATGCGACCGCCAGCAGCTCCAGAGGTTTTGGTAGGTTTATTCGCTGTCAACGCTGTCTTTGTGTTCTCATATTCGAAAGACTCTTGCCGTCAAAAACGAGCAGAGCACGGAGGTGCTAGGTCAAGTTACTTCGACTTTCATGCAGGAGTTGAATCACGACAAGAAGATCTCAAAGCAGGCAGTATCCCAGGACGCTTTGCCTGTTTCTGAGGCATGTTTCTATCCTTACTCTTGTAACGAGATATGACCATGCCTTGCATAGATCCTCGCCATGAACATGACGGCACACAGTGCATGCATAACAAAATCTGATATCGGCATACCACCACCGTGCCATCCCCCTCCCAGTGTAGTTCGCAGTAGCACCCTGATGACTTCCGCATCTACTACTCTCGCAGGGCCTCCCGTCATTCCAAGAGAACAATTCTTTAAATTGAAGGAATGGCCAGCAGCTTCGGGAGGCTTCGGACATGTATATCAGTGCATCATGCGGCCGCCAGCAGGTCCAGATGTTGAGGTAGGTTTATTCGCTGTTAACGCTGTCTTTGTATTGACGTCTCGCAGGTGGCTGTTAAGGCTATATTCTGTCTTACCGATGATGCTTCCAAGAAGGTTCGCTTTCATTTTTCTTACGCTCAACATTGTTGATAAAGTCCGACTCCAGCGTGCGCGTCGTGAGATGAAATTATGGATGCAAGCAAGACACGAGAACATTGTACCTATGCTCGGTATCACAGAAGGATTTTCTGAAGAAGGCTTCGCTATGGTCTCTCCCTGGATGAAAGGGGGGACCCTTGCAGATTATGTCGAAGGCCATAAAGGAAACATGCCTTTCATGAAAAAATTGACTTTAGTGCGTAGATTTTGGTACAATCACACATCCTGTTCAAATGATTTGCAGATAAAGGATATCGCTAGTGGATTGGCATATCGTTCGTGATGATTTCTGACATTCGTCCTGCTGTATCCTTAAAGTTTTTGCAGTACACTCCCGTCAGATTGTCCATGGCGACCTCACCACTGTAAGAGCTGTGTTGTTATATAACGCAAACAACTTACGCACACTCTTTTGGCAGAGGAATATCATCCTTGATGATAGTGAAAGAGCGTTGTTGATCGACTTCGGGTTATCAAATGTGCTTGGGGGCATGGTTGGTAGTTGCCTCTCGCTCTCTGCAGCACGACCAGGGGCAGTGCGATTTGCTGCACCAGAACTGTTAGGCATGGGAGAGCAGACGAGCCGACCTACTGGAGATGGTATACCGGTCGAAGATCAGCTACCGATGCCGGATATGCCCAGCGATATTTATTCCCTTGGCTGTGTGATGCTGAATGTAGGCATCCCTTGATTGTTGCCGTCTTGCCGAGGAGCTTACTAGCTACTGAAAAGATCTTGACGGAAAAGCATCCATGGTCTCGCTATCGTGATCTGGCTGTTGCTGGGGCCCATCACAGTAGAAAGTTGATTCCCATTCCCGACCATAGTCATCTATCTCGGAAGCGCAAGCAATTTATCCGAAAGTGTACTTCAATTCAAGTTAGCAAAAGACCATCGAGTCAAGATGCTGTGACATTTATCCAAGAGGAGCTACGTATTGAAGCCAATGCACCCCAGCAGTCGAAGCCAGACGAGGTATGCCAAATTTTTCTGGGTTCTGGACGGACTGTGTCACTGACTGGTGTTCATGGCGTAGCATTCGTACACTATTGTCATTGCCGGGGCCGTCGGTTCTGGAAAAAGTTCTCTCGTCAATCTCCTGTCTGGAAAACACGTTGCGCACACGTCAAACGATGCCAGGCGTTGTACTACAAAGTGGAGGGACTACTCGATTTCTTTCGGTGACACCGCGTATAAGGTGTTTGATACTGTTGGTTTTGTTTGCAGTAATGACTCCCCCCTGGGGCCCAAGGAACGGTCAGAAAAGTATGCAAAACAGCAGATCAAGGCGATACACGAGCAGGGCGGCATTGACTTGCTGTTACTCTGCACGCCAAGTAGAAACTTCCGTGTGGAAACGGTCCTCAATGATTATCAGAGGATCCAGGACGAATTGCGTGGAAGACAAGTACCCGTCGTCCTTGTCGTCACTCACTTTGAGGAGCCATTCACTATCGAAAGTTGGTGGTCAACAAATTCGTCGACGTTTCGGGCTCAATTGAACTCCATCGCCAACCATATTTGCATCACTTCGATCCACGACAAATATCTCGACGAGTCCCGCGAGCATATTTTCCAGATGGTTGCACAGTATCATACACCCAACGCACGGCAGTAGACGTCAGGGGGGGTTATTCTACGTCTACTCTGAGAACGACGCCTCCCCACATCAACCAGTTATCTACGCAGATCTGCAGAGTCGTCGCGAAAGGGGCTTGGTCCACGACCACCGTGACGGTCGTTCTAAGCATAGTAGGAAAGACAGACTGTCATCATACTAATATGGAATGTACATGACATGTGTAGGAATCACTGAATATTTTATTTCGCTTACTTACCCCGTAGTGTCGGGTTTTCTTTATACTCAAGCTCGCCTAGGTCTAATTCGAAATTAATACTGGAACGTAAGACTCTGTTTCTGGACCATCTTTCACTGGCACAGACGCATCAATTGAGCCCGAAGCCATGTCCATGAGGGGTAATAAAAGGACTCGTGAAAATGAATTGGTACCCGCGAGGGTGTTAGGATGTGGAGCAAGACAGCACGTACAATATTAACTATGTATATGACACGTCAGGTATTGGAATGCAGAGGTGTGGAAGCCAACCTGGAGGTTTGTGGTACGCATGCACAGTGGAGCTCCACTAGCAACGAGAAGTTCAGGGCCGCGCGCTGTGGTCAGATCGAAATCACACTCAGGGATCCAGTCTACAGAGATTCGCGAAGTGTAATTTTTGACTTGCTAAAATAGTAATAGGCGCGGTGTGTGCATAGGTTCGAACGGAGCTAGTGCCACGATGTCAGGGTGTTCGTTGGGCGTCATTACTGGACATGCTCTGGAGGCGAGGCAACTTACCACAGTGGGCTTCCCATGAATATCTGGTGCAGTTCCAAGGCGCCTTGACTGTGGCTCAGTCTCGAAGATCGAGCGGATACTTCCAGCGGTTTGCGACTTTGCTTGTCACAGCATCTGGCATTGTGCATTCGATGCCAAGTCGTTTTGTTTGAAGGAGCACTTTTAGGACTCACTTCAAAAGTCGTGGGTTAAAAATGCGAACTCTACTAGTGGACTCATCTAGCTTGCCCAAAGGAGTGGTGCCGTGGCGGTGGCGGCGTGGCTGGCAGCTCCCTCAAGGTGAGTAGCGTACGGATTTCCCCCTCAGTACTATACCAACAGAAGGCATTTATTCCTTCTGTATGGCGTAAGAGGACCCTGGAACTTCATCTCCGATAGTACATATCTTGTTGGTTGACGTATTGATCGCGGCCCTATGATATATATAGTCACATAAGCTTGTGCCACGTCCCAGTACAACAAAGGATTTGTCGGTCGCAAGTGCATTGGCTTAATTTGAGTGGCGGATGGGGGAGTAAAATACCGCCAACGATCTGAAGCTCATCGGAAGAGTGGCAAACCTCAAATGTACATGAACACACGGCTAACACCTGCGGATTGGGCCCTGGAGCTTGGTCGGGAACAGAAATGGCTTTAACATGTTTGTGCAAACATCCGGTTTTCTGAAGTACCTCCCCTCGAGGCCCGAAGCGAAGAATCCTGGTATAGTAGATGGGCCAAGTACTGAATGCTCTTCTTAACAAAGGAGTCCGGTAAGCTCAAACCCTCATTGTCATGACTCGGCATTTCCCGAGTGGCGTCCTACCAATGTTTGAACTCACTCTCAGGCTGGTCACTTCATCTGGATCTGTAACTTAGTAAGTGTAAGGGACTCCTGGAGCCTAAGCTTGGCGGTAGTGGGCAGTGGTAAAACATGAGCGTAACGTTCAGCTTCATTACGATGACTATGAACGTCTTGCCACTGACTTTGTCGTGACACTCATGACGGGCCACGGCAGAAGTTCTGTAGCATGAACTTCTTCTGCCGGCACAGCCTATGTAGGTGTTTATCCTCGCGCCATGATCTCGAGTTTGCTATGCGGGCGCTTAGACTAAACCTTTCAAGGACATGGGAGGTATGAGGTGATCACAGCAAATGCCCATGTAGCGCGCTCCGAAATGAATCGAGTGTCACCTTCAGGTCGTCTTGCTTTCAATCCTCATCGTATCGACATGGTCCGCTAAACAAATTATGGACGAACGATGAATCATGCATGTGCATCCCTGAGCAAAGGTCCTCTGCTCTGGGAAGTGGTGCTTCACGGCCTGCACCTCTTTTATATAGCCCTTCGTCTCTGATATCGGGATCTTGCCACTGCTGCGCCTTTCCTTCCCGCTGTGATTCGCAACAGCACCACAATGGCTTCCGCATCTACTACTCCTGGAGCTCCCATTATTCCGAGAGAACACCTCACCAGGGTGAAGGAATACGCGGTAGCCGTGGGGGGTTATGGACAAGTGTTTCAGTGCGTCATGCGGCCGCCAGCGGCTCCAGAGGTTTTGGTAGGCTTTATTCGTTGTTAGTGTTGTCTTTGTATTCACAATCTTGCAGGTGGCTGTCAAGATGCTAATGCATCTTACCGGTGATGTTTCCAAGAAGGTTGATCTTCATTTCAATTTTCTCACATACAACTTCGTTGCTGAAGTCCGCCTCCAGCGTGCGCGTCGTGAGATAAAATTATGGATGGCAGCGAGACACGAGAACATTGTCCCTATGCTCGGTATCACGAAGGGATTTTCCGAAGAAGGCTTCGCTATGGTCTCTCTCTGGATGGAAGGGGGGACACTTGCACAATATCTCGAACGCTATAAAGGAAACATCCCTTGCAGGAAAAAACTGACTTTGGTGCGTAAATTTTGGTACAATGACACAGCTTGTTCCAATATTTTGCAGATGAAGGACATTGCTAGCGGCTTGGCATATCGTTCGTGATGATTTCTGACATTTATCCTGCCGTATGTCTTACGCTTTTTGCAGTACACTCTCGTCAGATTGTCCATGGAGACCTCACAACTGTAAGAATTGCGTCGTTATATGACAGACAACATTACGCAATTTTTTTTGGCAGAATAACATTATGCTTGATGATAATGAAAGGGCGTTGTTGATCGACTTCGGGTTATCAAACGTGCTTGGGGGTAGTAGCCTCTCGCTCTCTGCAGCACGACCAGGGGCGGTGAGATTTGCTGCACCGGAACTGCTGGGCGTGGAAGAGGCGACAAGCCAACCTACTGGAGAGGGTCCACATGTCCACAATCAATCACCAATGCCGGATATGCACAGTGATATTTATTCCCTTGGCTGTGTGATGCTCAACGTAGGCGCCTCTCGACTGTTGTCGTCTTGCCAAGAAGCTTACTGACTACGTGAAAGGTCCTCACGGAACAGAAGCCATGTTATTACCTCCATGATTCGTGGGCTATTATGAGGGCTGTCCTCGCGCGAAAGCCATTTCCCATTTCCGACCACAGTCACCTAACTGAGAAACGCAAGCAGTTTGTCTGCAACTGTACTTCAGTTCAAATTAAACGAAGATCTTCAAGTCAAGACGCTGTGGTTTTTCTCGAAGATGAGCTGGATATTGAAGACGCTACAGCTCCCTTCCAGAAGTCGGAGGCAGAGGTGTCAAGTCAAGCCGCCCCGGCTTTTATCCAAGAGTTGGAGCCAGATATATCTCGTCAATATGCGCCGTCCCCTGTTCAAGATAAGTCGGACGCGGAGTGGCCAAGCCCAGATGTCATCAATTCGCAGGTATGCCAAACTCTTCTGGTTTTAGATGGACTGCGTCACTGACTGGTGGTTATGGCGGCTAGCACTCGCACACTATTGTCATTGCTGGGGCCATCGGTTCCGGAAAAAGTTCCCTCGTCAACCTCTTGTCCGGGAAACGTGTTGCGCAGACCTCAAACGATGCCGGGCGTTGCACTACAAAGTGGAAGGACTACCCGATTTCTTTTCGCGACACCATCTACAGGGTGTTTGATACTGTTGCCTTTGCATGCAGCAACGGTACTTCACTGGGGCCCAAAGAACGGTCAGACAAGCATGCCAAAGAGCAGACCAGAGCGATACATGAGCAAGGCGGCATTGACTTGCTGTTGCTCTGCGTGTCGAGCAGAAACTTCCGTGTGGAAGCGGTGCTCAGCGATTATCAAAAGATTCAGGACGAATTACGCGGACAGCAAGTACCCGTTGTCCTCGTAGTCACTCACTTGGAAGAGCCTTTCACTACCGAAAGTTGGTGGTCCAAAAATTCGTCGACGTTTCGGGCTCAATTGGAGTCCATCGCCAATAATATTTGCATCACTTCGATCCACGACAAATACCTCAGCGAGTCCCGCGAGCATATCTTCCAGATGATTGCACATCATTGCACCTCCGGTGCGAGGGAGTCGCGGCAGCAGGCGTCAGGAAAGGTTCATTCCGCGTCAACTTCGAGAACCTTCATGGGCAATGTGGCCCGGGCTCTTCACATCAACCAGTTGTCCACGCAGATCCGCGGAGTCGTCACGCACGGGCTTGGTCTACGACTACGCACGTCTTGATCGTATTGTTATTGGGAAGGTGCCGTCACCACAGGAAATGACTGCCCCCCGATTCCCCCTGCACATGTGCAGGATACGTATAAATTAGTGATAACTGTTGTTTGGATGGGTTTATTTATCCTTGCCAGTCTAATATTTAGCCTAGGCAGACCATCGACGAAGGAGCACAGTCGTTCCTTAACTTAAGTTTCTATCTATACTGAATTTCCAATGTATAACCTTACTTATTAAGTTACATACTTTATGTTGTTACTAAATATTAGATCCTCGTCTTCCGACCATTGTGCGAAGGGGATATCTATGAGTAAGGGTACTATTAAACACTATACACTGCACAGTGCGATGTCGACCGTTCGTTTTTGCTTGGTTTTCTGGTCACGATCACTTCAAACAGGTCACTGTGGAAATTGTAGCGCCGAGTAAGTATGTGGCAGCTGTAAATCGATGGAAGACAGTACTATGTAGCACTGACGCACCGGGGGAGGGTTACGAGCTCATCGAGGCGTGGGTATACGTATTACCTTGCAGGAAACACCGGTCTGCACGTCCCGGTTCTGTCGGAGTCTGCCAGGCGTAAACCTCTTTTCAAATTCACATTAATACCGGGTCCTCTTCCCGCGCGGCATGGACACTTGCACTAAGGGTCCTGGACCCTTACAGGTTGTGGTCTGAGCGGAATATTTAGAATCTGCCACGACTATGAACGTCTTGCCACCGATTTCGTCATGATATGTCATGGATTATACGAAGCTCTACTGGCTCGAGATGTAGGCGTTTTATCCTCGTGTCAGCAACACAAGTCCAAGTGTGATATATATGCAAGCGCTCGTACGTTGACCTTCCAAGAACCAGGCACTATGATGCCTATGTAGCGCTGACTCGACGGAAATGAAACAAACAACTTTAGGTTTTGCGTTGTCCTTATCGCATCGACACGCAACACCAAGTAACAGCCAATCATATGGAGGAGGCAATGTATGGATGGACGCCCGAAGAATCAAGAGCTGTGCACCCCTAAGCAATGACTGGGATAAATTCTCAAAAGTTGCGTATCCTTACTCTGGGAAGTTACGCTTCACATCATTTATATATCTTTTGGCCCCTTCCTCTGTCAGCAAACTCTGACATCTGTATCATCCCTGCCATTGCGCCCTCCCATTCCCGCTGGCTTTTGCAGCAGCACTCAAAATGGCAGACGCATTTGCTCCTGGCGCAGGACTTTGTTTTATCGCGAGAGAACAGTTCACCAAAAAGGACGAGTGGCCGGTAGCTGCGGGAGGCTATGGACAGGTGTTCCAGTGCACCATGCAGCCTCCAGCGGGTCCAGAGGTTTTGGTAGGTTTATTTGCTGTTTGTGGTGCTTTTTATTCACCTCTCGGAGGTGGCTGTTAAGGTTCTGTTACATATTACCGACGATGTTTCCAGCAAGGTTTATCTTCTGTTTCATTATTCTCACATCTAGCATTATTGATGAAGTCCGACTCTAGCGCGCGCGTCGTGAAATGAAATTATGGATGGAAGCACGACATGAGAATATTGTCCCTATGCTCGGTGTCACGGACGGATTTTCCAAAGAAGCCCTCGCGATGGTCTCTCTGTGGATGGAAGGAGGAACCCTTGCACGATATCTCGAAGTCCACAAAGAAAAAATTCCTTACAGAAAAAAATTGCATTTGGTAGGTGAAAAATGTAGCACGATGGCACGACCTCCTCAAATATTTTCCAGCTTAGGGATATTGCTAGTGGCCTGGCGTATCGTTCGTAACGATTTTTGACCCTCAACCCGTATATATTCATTTTTCTTTCTTTTGGCAGTACACTCTCGTCGGATTGTTCATGGCGACCTCACCCCTGTAAGAGGCATTTTCATACAAGTCAGACAACATTGAGCACACTTTTGTGACAGAATAATATTATGCTCGATGACAATGAAAGGGCATTGTTAATCGACTTTGGATTGTCAAATGTGCTTGGGGGCATCGCTGGTAGTTGTCTCACGCCCTCCCCAGCACTACCAGGGGCGGTGCGATTTGCCGCACCAGAATTACTCTGTGTACATACTGGAGAGGGTCTACCGGTCGACAACCAACAACCGATACCGGATATGCACAGTGATATTTACTCCCTTGGCTGTGTGATGCTCAACGTAGGCGCCTCTCGACTGTGCGTGCTGTCTTGCCAAAGAGCTTACTGACTACTCAAAAGGTCCTCACGGAACAGCAGCCATGGTATCGCTATCACTGTGATGGATGGGCTATTCTTGCGGCCATTTATGGGAGGCAGCCAGTTCCCATTCCCGACCATAGCCATCTATCTGAGAAGCACAAGCAGTTTATCCGCAAGTGTACTTCGGCTCGGGCTGAGGGGAGACCTTCAAGTCAAGATGTCGTTGTTTTTCTCGAAGAAGAGCTACGTATTAAAAACACCGCGGCTCCTATGCACAAACTAGACACGAAGATACCACGCCAAGTTCCTTTGGATTCCATCCAAATGCCGAACGCACATCCATTCAGTCAATACGAAAGTGACAACGTCAGCCCTAACACCCTCCATTCTGCATTGTCATACGCAACCTGCCTAGTGAGTCCTATCAACCACAACTACTTCTCAAGTACTCATCTCTGCAAAATGTGGCATTGAACGCAGACGTCACTGCGACTTGATTTCCCTAATGCAGCATATTCGATCACCCCGATCACCCCGAGATGTCCTCTGGGGCTCAGCGATGAATCTCTGACAAGCCAGTCGCCACTGTTTGCAGCATTTCCTTCACGAACTCGCCATTCTTCGACCGCGACGGTGCGACCAAACCCAAATGCTCCAGATCTCACTGCGGAAGCGCCTACCGAGGTACCAAACAGTAACAGTCCACCGGTCCCCGTCAATTCGCCGAGCAGAGAGGTATCGCGCACTCTCCTAATTTCGAACGGAATATGTCACTGACCGGTGTTTAGTATACTATTGTCATTGCCGGAGCCATCGGTTCCGGGAAAAGTTCCCTCGTCAATCTTCTGTCTGGGACACCTGAGCCTGTTGCTCCCACGTCAAACGATGTCGGGCGTTGCACTACAAAGTGGAAGGACTACCCCATTTCCTTCCGCGGCACCGCCTATAAGGTCTTTGATACTGTTGGTTTGGCAAGCAGTAATTGTACTCCTCTGGAGCCCAAGGCGCGATCGGGCGCAATGGAGAAGTATGCAAAACAGCAGATCAAGGCGATACACGACCAGGGCGGTATCGACTTGTTGTTGTTCTGCGTGCCGAGCAGAAACTTCCATGTGGAAACAGTGCTCAATGATTATCGGAGGCTCGAGGGCGAATTGCAAGGAAGACAAGTACCCGTCGTCCTTGTCATCACTCACCTGGACGAGCCGCTCACTTTCGAGAGCTGGTGGTCCAAAAATTCGCCGGGGGCTCGAGATCAAATGCAATCCATTGCCGACCATATTTGCATCACTTCGATCCACGCCAAATATCTCGAGCAGTCCCGTAACCATATCTTCCGGAAGATTGCGCACTATTGCTCCGAGGTACGGGAGTTGTAGCATCATAAAAGCCAGTCTTCGTTGCCTTCACAGATCCGCAAATTCGTCCGTAGGAAATGACTGACCCCCTATTTACTATGTGTGACATATTCGGGTGTTCGGATACGTTATTTATCCATTCCATAGTCTCCGCTAGGCATAGGAGCCTCCGCAAGGTCCCTTCTGTATGTCCTTGCCAGTCCTCTGTATCCCTTATCTTACGCTGTTACCGTCTCCGTCTTCGTATCCAGGTAGTGGTGAAACTTGTCTTTGGATCTGACCCAAGAGTTGGTAGAAATGTTTTCACAATTGAATGCAAACTCGATATGTTACGCTCGATGTGACTCAAAAGAGCGTGAATCAGGTTCACGCTGAACATGAAAACGGCTTGTCCGGATTGAGGATCTGGGTGAAGGGCCGATCTCGCATCAAATTGTCCAGGCTGGGTAAATAGCCATTTGGGCTGAACTTGTTCTGGTATGTGTTTGATGTAATTCATGAACATATCCAACAAGCATAGTACGCAAAAAGTGGTGGGAACGAACTCAGACTAATACAGCATGCACTGATCGGTGACTCAGGGACTTCATCATGAGGTCAAAACAACGCGGCGCAGCGTGCACCATCCTGTAGGAGATGGAATGCGGCATCCTTCCAAACGTTGGTCGCAACTATTAAAGAAAGGAAGATGCACATGGCGCCAGTCGCTTTATATGCACTGTTAACCCTGTGAAGCTAACACGAAGACAACGCATGGAATGCGCACCTAGGCAGCTTAAATGAACACTTGCCCGACTTGCCCGGCTTCAAACTCACTATTCACAGTCTCAGCTGACAGCTCGCCCCTCGCGTTGGTCGGTGGAACGCATCTTAATTTAGTTATTCTGGTGGTACTTTCCTGAGTGATACCCTGGGTGCTTCGGGCACCAAAAGCTGAAAAAGATATAATTACTCACTGAACAGTGTCTTAGATCTTCGGAGAGATATCCTGCGAAACGACGAAGAACGCAGCGGCTAGTAACTCCTGCATACATAGTCCCGAAGCCGTCCTGTTGACTCCTGTAGATCAAGCTCAAATTCCTCTAAAAAGGCTTCTTCGTCAGCAAATTTGTACACTTCTATGGACAGGAATTGAGGTGAAAGCAGGCCCGACAATCTTTGAATCACAAGACAACCCGTGCCGTTTCGAAGAGCTACTCTTGCATACATACACACATACATACATAGTTCACGATCTTCCCCAGCTGAACACCAAGTCTTCCCCGCCGCTCAGATGCAAGTGACAACGCCCCGTCAGACGATGCAAGGCCATACCCGCCGGGCACGAGGTGTCGTGCATATGCCCGACGGAGGGCGGATCATCACATATTCGAATGATGGCTCACTCCGGAAAGGGATCCTGGAGAGCGGCGCACAGATAGGCAATGACTGGCCGCTGGGCTCCACCAGCACTAGTACTTATGTGCTGGCGGTGATCTGCTCTGCCGACGTCTGGGATGCCAGGACAGGCGAGCTACTATCTACAATCAAATATGGCGAACCAGTTTCGAGCTTGGCATGGACGTCGGATGTGGCTTCGTCGTCGTCCGTCGTCCGTCGTCGTCCAAGCCGCCCTCGCTTTGTTGCGGAACGACCGCCTTCTATTGGAGAATACTTAAGAAGTATGTTGCAGTTAGAAGGCGTTACCATCGGTCTGATGGCGTAGTTGGTTATCGCATCTGTCTAACACACAGAAGGTCCCCAGTTCGAGCCTGGGTCAGATCATCTTTTTCAACAACAAATATGCATCCGCTCTACCATTTGAAGATGTCTTGTTTTTGCATCTCTGGTCGATCACCACAAGTGGTAGAACTGAGAATTACATGAATTTATGCATAATGAGAAATCTAGAACATGCTCCAAATGATAAAGACAGCCGACTGAACAGATGAGGAAGTTACATAGGCTCCGACCTCAAGTTTCTCATTTCCTGATCACTGTCCTCGTTATAATCCCTCACGGGACTTGCTCGCACGGGCTGTGCTAGGACAGGCTGCGAAAAGTGGTCCCTCATGCGGTTAGTAGCTTGGTGCTGCACCTATGTCGCGACAATAATCCATGAGGACAGAAACTAACAGAAGGGCGCTGCTGAAACACACCTCAGTCAAAACTGTTTTCGAAACCTGAAGCAAAGGTCCTGTCAAGCCCAACTTGACGATGAAATAGCTAGAAAGTAGCACATGAACAAGTGAGAATCGCCATCAATATCGGAATCAAGATCGTATACGTACGAAGTTATCAGTGCCATCAAGGTAAACGTGAAATACAGAGGGTTGAACAACACCACCATAGCTTCGTTCCAGCCAAGCACGACGAGAACGCCGTACATCCAGTACGGAATCTGTGCAATGCTCGAGACAGTGCTGCGCTTCGCCTCGACGTAGTATGCATCTGCATCCTTTCGGAAGCGAGCAGAAAGGTCAAGAGACTTTGTCTCAGTGAAGACGACGAGCGTCGAGGGGAAATCAAATTCATCGGTGGAATTGAGAGAATCAGAGGATTCAGAGGGTAGGGTAAATTCAAGGGAAGAATCAACAGGGGCGATCTTGGCATAGCGGGGAATGAGGTCCATCGTCTGAAACACCATTGAAATGTAAGTGCGTGCATAGAGAACAAAAGCAAAGACACGTACCTGATCCTTAGCTGTCTTGAAGGCCCCATCAATATCATCGTCGGGTCTCCAGACTCGAGGAACAGCATTCTCATCGTAGCGGAAGCGCTCTTCGAAGTGACCCCGGAGCTTGCCGAGGATAGCAGTGTCAGCAGTCTGCTCGTCGATCTTGGCCCGTAGAGCGAGCCAGGCACGTTTCCGCAGGGCAGCGAGAGAGGTCGCATTCTCGTCATCCGTGCAGTTAAAGCCTTCATCATACATGAGTGACAACGATGTAAAGAAGGCGAAATGACTCACTTCTCGCCTTTGCTAGGTATGTCGACTCGGCTTTCTCGAGCGTTTGTTTGAACGTGCTCAAGACTTTGTCCCACATGTCAGGTGTAGCTTTATTGAGACTGATGTCAACAGGTTCAGAAATTTGCTTCTTGAAGTTCCTCTATGAAAAACTTGTGAGTAGACGCCGAAGGTAATTCTCAAGCGACACGCACCTCAATCAAGTTGACCATCTTCTTCGTCTCATCCTTCCTGCACTGGTCGGCCACATTACCAATCTCCTCTCTGAGAGACTCGAGCTCATCCTGCCATGTCCAGTCGGTGTCCTCCAGCGAGACCTCCGTCGCACCGTCTGCGAACCGTGTCTCGCACTTTGTCCGCGCCTCGCCAACTACGTCCGCAAAGTTATACTCCTCACCGCGCAAGCCTTCAAGCAGCTCCTTTTTGAAGGCGCTGAGGCATGACTTGTGCAAGTTCTTGAGCTGTCCAAGGAAGAGGGGAGAAAGTGTCGAATCAAGAACACCAAGAAGGTCAGTACGCTTGCGCTGGTACACCCCTTGGTGATAGCGAGATGCATCGCGGTCGTAGCGGTCTACGAAATGTATAAGAACGTATGTAAGTTAAATGGAGACAGTATCCTCACTGAGTGCTTGGGACCTCCAACTTCGCATCAAACCACCGAGACCTTCTACCACGTGACCTGCCTCAATGGGTCTCCGTTGCGACTTTGACTGTTCAGTAAACTCTGCAAGCGCGACGGAGGATATCTCGTCACATCGGAATTGTGCGAGGAGTTCCTGTTGCGTAGGCAGATCAAGGTCCTTGTTCGTTTGTACTTGTTCCTGAGAAAAAACATCTTCAGTGCGTAATTTATAAACATGTAGAATATCCTTACCCATATGTTTTCCATGTAGAACGCCGCGCCATCAGCGGGAATTCGCTTATGGTAAGCGGGCTTGAAAATGAAATCATCCCTCTTCTTGTCCACAAACCGTTTCCGCAGTTCTTGAACTTCAGCCTCGAATTGATCTGCAGCGAGAATCTTGTGGGGTAGTGCTGTGAATGCAAGGTCGAAGTAATCCGAAAGTTGACGATCCTGGAGGTCCTGTGGTTTAGAAAGCGAATCCCATATTTTTGTGAGGTCGGCGGTGAGGGTAGCTTGGAGGTTCGCGAGGGGGGTGACACCAATATGGTCTCGAATTACGAATAGCAGCAGAGTGCGCCCTTGAGAACTGCACGTGGGACACCTTGAGGACACGAAAACGGGCGTGGAATTAAACAAGCTTACCCGTCTTGAGCTTTCTTTCCGAACAGACCAAGGTTAACCTCAAATACGGTCTTCAGAAGACCCATGTTTGCACCCTGGTACAAGCCAACTTGGTGCTCCCAGAGGTTAATGAGAAGTACTTCTGATGAAGCGAGGGAGAAAAGAGCGGATTTACGCTCGAAGTCCTGGAAGTAGTTGAATGGCAAGAACGATCATGGACTTAAACTTGACCATACCTGGTCCTCTCCGCGTTCTCGTCCATCCGTGCCTTCCACGTCCATGACCATGACACCCATGTCTTTCCCTCGGCACATCCAGATACCTCAAGATGAGTTAGCATGCAAACAAAGGTTGCTATGTCAAGATATCTACCTTTCGTAGTCTGCTGTCGTCTGGTCTCATTCATGACGTCGAAAGTAGTACCAAATAGTCTATTTAGCAGTGTACCTGCCAGAGGGCTCAGTGGACAGCATTTTCAGACATTGGCATGTCAGCAGCTTACTCTTCCCGGTAGACTGCGACCCGAAGACAGCTACTATGTTATAATTGAAGCCGGCATCGCGAAGACCCCATCGTTCTATCTGAGATGTCAAGTGGGTTCTGCAGAAGTTGTCATTGAGCACTTGGAGAAAAATTGATACGTTCTAGCAAACTGACGTGAAGTTCTTTTCATCATTAATGATTTGTAGGCGCTCAGAGGCTGGTGAGTTGGCGTTGCTCTCTGGGGCGTGTCCATTTAGCATTGGCTTGCCATTGAGTGGTACAGCGAGCGACGAAGAGTCAGCAGCCAAAGGAGGTATTGGAATGGTTGGACCGTCGAGCGACATGGCTGCGGGATGAAATCAAGTGGAAATGAGAGACAACAAAGTCACAAAACACCAAGTTTGAGCGTGCAAGTCAAACTGTTCATTCGCAACGTTTCAGCAGAACGGCTAACGCTCTTCTAATGGGTCTATTATCTCACGTGACTTTACACACAACGGCTTCCTCCGACTCGCTTGATGTGATCACCTTCTCTTGGGATGCAGTGGCGACCAACGTCATCTGGAGTAGCGAACGACCTGATAATAATGCCCTGCTTGTCAGACACCTGAAGCGCTTTACAAAAGTTTCTCGGCGTTGTCAGTCGTGACACCGCTGCTGAGTCAACGCTGAGTGCTGAGTAAGGTCAATAAGAGGGGCTATATATTTCTTCCAAACTCTCTTTACCCCTCTTCCACTTACTCCTCACACCATCATGATCATGTTATTTATCCGGGCTGTGAAAAAGCACAAAGCCAAGAAGCAGGCAAAGAATGACAAGAAGCTTGCCGACCCTTCTGGCTGCAACGAAGAGCATAATGCTTCCGCGAGGCGTCCTCGAGCTCGAAAGCGTGCTCGGGCTGCAGCCAACAGTAAATGGTATGTGATCTCAGAGTGTATAGAACAAGTACAACTCTGCAACTATCGCTGTAGATGCGCCAATAAGCCATGCTCCATGCAACGCAGCGTAGATTCAGCGCTCACTTGTGGCAGCTATGCAATTTGGTTTGGGATAAAAGCCCGGTTCTTATTTACTCTTGAGCACTTTGAATAGCTGGGTTCGAGGTTATTGCATCCCATTATTGTACTTGCTTTCATCCTTCAGGACCCTTGGGATCGTGTTGTGTTTTCCGCTTGCTGTGATACTACTACTCATCGCCGTTATATCCTCTAGTATTTTCTTTTATCTAGTTTCAAATATGATGTACTATTAATCGGTGTACGGCTGCAGCTCTTGCTTGCGTCGCAAGGCGAAGTTCGTGCGATCAACGAGTCTCTTTTGATTCCTTCAATGGATTCCCTCGTGTTCTCTTGATCTGTATTCCAAATCCTCCACCAAGGAGTAATTTGCGCTTGCAGCATCCAAAGGTAAATCTTCCAGTTGATGTCAATTTGTGTTGGACATGGCGGAGATCTGAGAGCGTCGAGCACCCAGTTCTGGAAGTCCCATCCGGGGTCGTTCCGCATGATAGGAATTCTTGCGAATTCCCTTTCGAACTGGTCGAGCCGGTGCGCAGCTACTATTCCAACGGTGTAGCTTCCGCGCCAGGCACCTGGGTTTGCGTTTTGACTTCTATAGTCTTCTATGGTGGTGTAGGTATCCGTGCTTGTGATATGTGTTCCCGATGCCACGACTGGTTGGAATATGGATCGCCCAGTGAAGGGAATTGACCAGTCCGTGCTCGTTCCGGCCTCGCCAAAATTGGACAAGCTCGATATTATAGTAGACACCTTGTGCAGACATATTAAAAGATGGCTATGGAATTCGGTAAGTTACAGTTCGCTGGATTTTGCGTTAGTTTGCTCACCGAGAAGACAGAAGACAGATGGATGAAGTACGGGTGGGCCTGAGGTTTGAATCCATCAACGACCCGGGGGCCGGATCTATACCTAACCCCTTTGGATTTGTTCGAATAACTTCGAAGTGTGGATGCAACACAACATATCGGGCCACTGGTCGAAGACTAGGTGTGCGCTTTGGGTATTTTCGGTGCCTTTCTCGATCGAGCCGTATTCGACACAAAATGAACCATTCAAACACAGGCGGGCAGTCCTGGCATCCACTAGGCTAGATGGCAGATTAATACCCTGCTTTGACCTCCACTCATCATTGGCACCGATCGCATGATGTGTAGCACTAAAAATTAACGTGATTCATACCCATGTATCGCACGCGAGTGTCCTGAGATTATGGAAATGAACCTCGAAGTGATATGTATATTTGTGGCTCATTGAAACTCTTTATTAACACGCGCCTCGTCGTGTGTGGTTTCGTCTCCTGGTTAGGGACCGAAACCTCCGTCGTGATACTACCAATATCATGTAAACGCAGAGTACGAGTCTCGCGATAACACTTGGGTTTCCAATTTCCAACTTCGTTATACAACACAACTTGAATACGTCATACTAAGAAAACTCTGCGCACGCTATCACCAACTGCATCTACTGGATAGTGTGCGCGTCGTCAGGGCTCACGACAAGGACATCCGGAACCGGATTTCCGGCCCTGAACACGGTGCACGACTGAATCCTGTTACGCTGCCAGACCTCGGGAGCGCCTGGCTGGATAGGAAAGAAATCCCCCGAGCCCTGGTCCTCGTAATTAGTGATCCTGACGTTGATCACGGCGCGGGTTCCGTTGGTAATGGTGATAGGTGCCATAGTAGTACCTGCGCGTGTGTCCAGAATGATTAATATGAACTCGGTGTAAACATTTGAACACACCTTTGCAATTGATTGTTGCAGAAGATTGAGATGAGAGTTCAATGAGGAGGTCAAGATATCTGAAAAGTGGGTCAGACAGGACGAAGTACCACACCAGCCCTCAGACTCACTCAGAGCGATTGAAGGAGCGATGGGGAGCTACAGTTGCGACATCCCATATTTATACGCGCAGACGACTTTCTTCTGAGCTCAGATCCAAATGATAATCATTGCATGGAACAAAAACCAAAACCAAAAATAATAATGTGAAGCCACAACTCCATGTGGATCGCATCGGCAGATCTGACCTTACGTTCGCCAAGTCCAAATGGCACCTGAACCATATCCTTCCATCGAATAGGTTTTGGCATCCGGTGGGGTGCGACTCACCAACACGTTTGAGTTTGATGATAGAAGTAACTGATCCCCGCTAGGAAACAGATCAAGTCGATCAGTGGCACGGTCTGGATTCGGAGAACAAGTAACACCGAACCTATTGAACCTTGCTCTTGAGAGTACCATTCACCACGATTACGCTGGCCCCCACTGATCTACAGATCGTGGAGAACCCACCCAGTGACAGTTGATCCCCGACAAAGGGGGTGGTGAGTGAGCGATATAAAAATTTGGATCGTGCCCCTCAGAACAGTTTATGCCATCAGGAAGCAGCTTAATCACCTGGAGTACGTTGCCTTGATGCGGAAGGAAACCTACGGAACTTACATACTGGTTTATCCGCGCATTGCAATGATGATTCGGAAGTTTCATGGGTCAACGCATCAGCAACGTAGCACTTCGATTGAAAGCACGTTGACGAACCATTCCTCGAACTCGCTTGTAAGGAGGGTCTGTCAACGTGACAGGACTCGGATGATCTTTGTCGGTTCCTCGGACGAGTGACTACGTGGCACAGCAGCCTGACACTTGCATTCCGCAAAATCTTGAGACGTCATCCCTAGAATCCGGTTCAAGGGATGTTTGTCGATTATGTTATCGATAAAGTGACTAGTATCGGCGGAAGTCAGTCAATTGCTCACTGGACCATTTTGACAGGAGCCGCGCGTAGACGTAAATATCTAAACTTGAGTTTCCTCAGAGTCGTAGGTGACCTATTCCATCGATACCCCAAATCTTGAGAAGAACAAGGTACGCGCATTACAGCAGACTCTAGGCCGCCCATCTGCCACATCGCCTTACTTAGTATCATCGCAGGCCCGTGGTAAGTGGAGCCGAAGAGTCTCACATGGTTTTGTTCTCTTTTTTCGAGGAGTTCACGAATCACGACACACCTTGAATACATAAGGCGCGGCGACGTGCTGAATGGATTTACGCGGTGAAGCTCAATCTTCAATGTCAACTTGAACCGAGAGATCATAGATGTTAGTTTGGACCCGGAGTGTTGGATAGCCTGGCTAGTGGGGGAGATATGGCGGTTCTTATCGCTGCGACACCGACGGCCTGGGGGAATAGGGGCGCGAGCCCAGCGCTCGACTACTACTATGTAGTCTGGACCCACGGAGGATTCGAATGAGAGTAGAATAACATGCATACACACAATAAGCGCCAATCCTTCTTACTTCTTTGAGTTGTCTTCTTTTGGCGTGTCACGAGACACCGGTCTCGAACTTTGGTGTACCGGGTTTCCCGAACGACTTCACATCAATCTCGCCAAACGCGCTTACCGTGCAAGCAATCGCCGCGATTACGTGATTCAGATGCTGACTACATGGCTACGATGGCAAGAGTCTCTTCGTATTAAAGATGCCTACCTGCAGTGGCGGGCTTCTCGGGATGTAGCTGACGAAACTTTGGTGTCTGCGGCTGTAGTTGATCTTGTCAAAGATTCTGACGCCAGCGACACAGATTCAGATGTCGATACCCTCGACAGCCGACAGCAGCTTCACAACATGTCTCGTCAAATACACCGCTTCACCATGCTGACTACCACACGCGGTTACTCCGTCCCCAAGACCTGTCCATTCCCTAACACACCAATTCAACGTCTATCGGAAAACCACGGTGCTTCCATGTTCATCCCTGCTCTTGAAGCATTCCTCAATGAGCACCTTCCAAGACAGTCGCACAGAACGCTGGATCTGCAGGTCCGCGTTGATGTTTACAAGTACTTGTCAGTCCTCTCACCGGCGCTACCACATATAAGCAAGTCCAAATGTTTCTTCAAGATACGTGCATCACTAGGGACTGGCTCAAAAGATGTGAGAAAACCTCCGACCCCTCCGCGATTTAAGCTCCCGTCGTGTCTCGACAATTTTTTCGCACCCCATTCTTTACATTCACTGGTTCCGTCCCCTCCAGACTTTCGACGGTAATTTGCAGACCTTCCGCCTTACTCGGTCATCTCGGCAGCACAGGCCTCATGTAGTTGTGGTACCTGTCACATAACTTGTTCGTCCGTGCCACGTTTGGGTCAACAGCAGGTTACTGATGAGACAGCACAATTCTATCTTAATAAATACAAACGTTCCTTACACCTTCGGGCGTTTTCCATCGTCAATCACAATAAGAGATGTCTGTATACAACGTTTACGAATCTGTGCGCAAGTCAAGCACAGCTTTCTCTAGCGTTAGCCCTTGACATCCGTTGAATGTCGTCGCATAAGCAGGTCGCAGAGGAAACTGTTTGCGAATTACAGTCCAGCTTGAACGTGCTGGATTGAAGGTGAACGTGATCCGAGGCAAGCAATGTATCTCTCCGGTATGAGGAATATGAACTTCGACAACTCTGCGATTCAAAATGCTACTCCAAAGCATAACGAGTAGCATTTTGAATACCAATGACGCTGTGAAATGAGCATGCAGACGCCATGGTGGTAAAAGCAGAGGAATACAGTTAGGAGAGAAACGTGCAATTGCAAAAGGAGTAGAGACACGCAGATGAGCGAACCGCCCACGCAAATAGGAGACTGCCGAGCGCACAACGATAGCGAGTGCTCAAGCAAATCGGACAGCGTGTGGAGCTCATATGGAGCACAGACAGGAGAGTCACGCGAATTGGTTCCGCGGGATCAATCGTTTCGTCCTTACATATATTAGACATTGACTTAGAATTATTTGAGCGCTTGTCATAGTAGTACGATGTCTATTGTATTGTTAATGTTATCTACAGAATGTGGACAATAATACATGGAGTGCATGAGCGAGTGTGAAGGGGTTACACGGCGCTATGTAGGGTGGGCCAATGCTCGGTTGTGCAATGGAGGCTATGTCTTGGTATGTTATCCTGTGTGGCGCAACTTGAGTCTGAGCTTTTTGCTGATGGGTGCGACTCAAACACGTTTTCGTTTGATAATCAGGAAGCAACTCATCCCCGCTCGAAAACAATGGCACGGTCTGGACTCGGAGAAACGAGTAGACCGAACCTATCAAACCTTGCTCCTCAGAGTACCATTACGCTGACGCTGACTGATCTGCAGATTGTGGAGAACCCAACCAGTGACAGCTGATCCCTAACGAAGCGTGTGAGTCAATGAGCGAAATGAAAATTTGAATTGTGCCCCTCAGAACAGTTTATCCGATCAGCAAGCAGCTTCCGGATGCCACAGCCATTATCTGGGGGCGCATTGATGCAGAACGAAACCTATGAAAGGGACTTACATACTGGTTTATCCATGCATTGCAATGACGATTCGGAAGTTTCCTGGGTCACCGCATCAGCGACGTAGCACTTCGATTGAGAGTTGACGAACCATTCCTCAAATTCGCTTGCAAGGAGGGTTTGTCAATGTGACAGGACTCAGATGATCTTTGTTGGTTCCTCCAATAAGTGACTACGTGGCACTGCAGCCTGACATTTCCATTCCGCAACAGCTGGATCGTCATCCCTAGAATTCGCTTCAAGGAATGTTTCTCAAATCCTTATGACAAAGTGATTATCGGCGGAAACCAGTCGGCGATTGTTCCCTGGACCATTCTGGCAGGAGCCCTAGACGTAAATTGTTAAACTTGAGTTTGTCTAACTTCTGTTGTGCCGTACCAACAAACATTACTCGCAAGGATCGAGGAACGTTTGTCACGGTAACTCCTTTTGCAATGGAAGTGACAGTGTGATGTACCAACTTTCGTCACGATGGCTGATCACGAGGCGGTGAGTTGCAATTACAATATAAATTGAATTTAAATAACATTGCTTACATGATTCTGGGGTGCATGTGTTGCTTGGTACAGCAGAATGTTGAGCCTGCCCCCTGAGTACTGAGTACTGAGTACGTACAAATATTCAGTGCTTACAATCACAGGTTTGACGATCAACGACTCATTCTCACCTACAATTAAGTACGGTTCCCCGCTGACTCGGAGAGATGGAAGTTATCGAATCATAGCCGCTAGCATGGCAGTCAGCCGCATCGCGAGTATAAGCTTGTTTGAAAGTAGACTTCATTTCTTTGCACCTCTGATACCGCAGACATCCCACCAGAGTGTTGAGAATGCCGATCCTGCACATGAAGCCAAGCAACGAGCTGGTTCAATACTTACTACTATGCAGCAGTGCATCAGTGCGATGTGACTCAGCCTGAGAGTTCGGCTGCAACGATCGTGACCGATTCGTTTTCAACTACGAAGAAGGTCGAGAATACTGTCGAAACATACTTATAGTCAACGACTTAGAATAACAACGATGAGAACAAACGTACTTCAAGATGGCAGTGCACGCGTCTCGTGACACGCTGAAAGAAGACAACTCAAAGAAGTAAGAAGCATCGGCGCTTATTGTGTGTATGCATGTTATTCTACTCTCATTCGAATCCTCCGGTGGGTTCAGACTACATGGTAGTAGTCGAGCGCTGGGCTCGCGCCCCTATTCCCCCAGGCCGTCGGTGTCGCAGCGATAAGAACCGCCATATCTCCCCCACTAGCCAGGCTATCCAGCACTCCGGGTCCAAACTAACATCTATGATCTCTCGGTTCAAGTTGACATTGAAGATTGAGCTTCACCGCGTAAATCCATTCAGCACGTCGCCGCGCCTTATGTATTCAAGGTGTGTCGTGATTCGTGAACTCCTCGAAAAAAGAGAACAAAACCATGTGAGACTCTTCGGCTCCACTTACCACGGGCCTGCGATGATACTAAGTAAGGCGATGTGGCAGATGGGCGGCCTAGAGTCTGCTGTAATGCGCGTACCTTGTTCTTCTCAAGATTTGGGGTATCGATGGAATAGGTCACCTACGACTCTGAGGAAACTCAAGTTTAGATATTTACGTCTACGCGCGGCTCCTGTCAAAATGGTCCAGTGAGCAATTGACTGACTTCCGCCGATACTAGTCACTTTATCGATAACATAATCGACAAACATCCCTTGAACCGGATTCTAGGGATGACGTCTCAAGATTTTGCGGAATGCAAGTGTCAGGCTGCTGTGCCACGTAGTCACTCGTTGGAGGAACTGACAAAGATCATCCGAGTCCTGTCACGTCGACAGACCCTCCTGAGGTTCCTTACAAGCGAGTTCGAGGATCAACTGTCACTGGGTGGGTTCTCCACGATCTGTAGATCAGTGGGGGCCAGCGTAATCGTGGTGAATGGTACTCTCAAGAGCAAGGTTTAATAGGTTCGGTGCTACTTGTTCTCCGAATCCAGGCCGTGCCACTGATCGACTTGATCTGTTTTCTAGCGGGGATCAGTTGCTTCTATCATCAAACTCAAACGTGTTGGTGAGTCGCACCCCACCGGATGCCAAAACCTATTCGATGGAAGGATATGGTTCAGATGCCATTTGGACTTGGCGAACGTAATGTCAGATCTGCTGATGCGATCCACATGGAGTTGTGGCTTCACATTATTATTTTTGGTTTTGGTTTTTGTTCCATGCAATGATTATCATTTGGATCTGAGCTCAGAAGAAAGTCATCTGCGCGTATAAATATGGGATGTCGCAACTGTAGCTCCCTATCGCTCCTTTAATCGCTCTGAGTGAGTCTGAGGGCTGGTGTGGTACTTCGTCCTGTCTGACCCACTTTTCAGATATCTTGACCTCCTCATTGAACTCTCATCTCAATCTTCTGCAACAATCAACTGCAAAGGTGTGTTCAAATGTTTACACCGAGTTCATATTAATCATTTTGGACACACGCGCAGGTACTACTATGGCACCTATCACCATTACCAACGTAGCCGATGGTGTCATCCAAGTCAGCATCACCAACTACGAGGACATAGGCGACATGGCTTTCTTCCTTATCGACGTCGGCAGAGCCGAAGTTTGGCAGCGAAACAACATTCAATCCATGACCGTGTTCAGGGACAACAATCCGGTTCCGGAGGTCCTTGTCGTGCAGCCTAACTCGGAGCACAATATTCAGTAGATGCAGTTGGTGACAGCGTGCGCAGAGTGTTTTTAGTATGGCGTGTTCAAGTTGTGTTGTATAACAAAGTTGGAAATTGGAATCCAGTGGTATTGCGGAACTAGTACCCTGCATTTTGGGCGTTCTGAACATCATACAAGTACGACAGCGCTCTCAGTCTCCGCCACTCCGTGGCAGCTCTAATACTAGGTGACGCATTTTGTATTACAGTCTTCATTCATCTCTTAGTAACTATTAGTATTAGTATCATCAAAGCCCGTGATGCATCGTCTAAATGCTTGCCTGCCGAGATTGAGTTGATTCATGGGAAAGGGGAAATCTTGACATGAATTAGCTCACCATACGGATCGCGATATAGCAGTAGCGCTACAGCGTTGCGCAGGGATTGGAAGGCAGGGGGAATACACGAACACGCTGCTCCAAGTGGAGACTACAGTAAATATACACAACCGATGTCCATAAGGAAGATCACAACACAATACATGTTGACGGTAAATAACGAATAATAGTCAAGTCATGCTATCTCCTGGATGAGGTGTTCGGATACAATTGTATGGACTCTTGAGTCAATGTCTCCAAGAATCCTGAGGGTCTCATGCTGTCCAGTCGGACATCAGCCTGTATCACGGCAGTTAAACACATATTGGACTCACCCACAGACGCTTCGACACCTCCTTCCCTTCCACGCTGAGGGCATAATCACTCTCTTCGGCCACTTCGCAGCTCGACAGGTAGTGACCATGTCGTTCCCTCTCACCTGGCTCGATTGCCGCGTGGACAAGTGTACGACTGCCCATCTCAGTCGTGCGTGCCAGTAACCCTTTGTAAGTCCTCACAGCAAACTTGAAGAGAGGTCCCGACTCGATTTCTCGCGTAAGACGGGAGTGGCAAAAACCTGGATTGACCGCCGAAACTGCGACCAAGGTTGTTGTGGGAAGTCGAGAAGACAGCTCACGGATGAACATCACTTCAAGGACTGTGCATAATGGTGTGGTGAGCACACAAAATAATAGATGTATTCTGTTACTCACGCTTGGACAGGTGGTAGCGGTTCCTCATCACGCTACTGCAGGTTTATGATTATTCCAGGAAACAGCGTCAATGAAACTTGCCTAGAGGTACAATATGCTTCGTCGTTGAGCGTTTCGATGATACCAGGCCATTTATCCGCTCCTTCTAATTTGTTGGCGAGAAAATGAGCCTCGCTAGACACAATGACGAGTCTGGAGGGATTTTCAAGAGTCCCGGTCTTGACGAGGTGAGGCAGCATCAATATGCTCAAGAGAGCCGTTGAGAGGTGATTTACTTGCAAACTATCAAAATTATTGAGGCAAACCACGGCGACAATAACAAAACACTGACGTAGTTTCATAGCCGTCCGGGGTTTTCGTGTACTTCATCGTCGATACGCCGGCGTTGGCAATTAGAGCGTCTACTGTGCAGCCCTTCGCCTCAAACCTGTTCACAAAAGAACACACTGAGTCGAATGAGCTTAGCTCAAGAGGCCAGGATTCGATGTCAGTCATGCCCGACCGAGTCTCCATGTCTATACAAGTCATTTAATCTCCCTGGGGCCTGATAACCTTCAAAAGTTCATACATACCTGCTTTTGACTGTTCGCACTTGGCCCCATCTCTGCAGGTGATCAACAGGCTCTTGGGCTTCAGCTGCGCTAAATGCACGGCAGCTTCGTTTCCAAGCCCGACATTAGCACCGACCACGACCAGCGACTTGTCGCTGACATCCGCAGTGGAGATCGGAAGCTCTGTCCATTGCTCGCGAAAAAAACCGAACACGCTGAACTTGCCCATGATGCCCTAGCTGTGCAACCTGAGGAGTGAGTATAAGCTGCATATTTAGGACCTTGAGTGAGTGAAATGTGCGGCCCGAACTGTTCATCATTACTAATTCGTGCTTCCTGAGCAGTGAGAACTGTGAAATCTCGTCCCAGGATTCAAGAAGACAAGATTAGATGTCGTATTGTGGCCCATGAGCCTGCGAGGTGTACATTACGTATGGACCCTAGTACTCGTGACATTTTGAAGAGTCGTCTTCATTTGCAAGTTCTACTACATGCAGTGCAAACGGTTATACAAGTTATCCAGTAAGTTGAATTTCACATAACCACAAGAAGTACTTGCCTCTTACAGCACAATCGAATCTATTGCTGGCTTCCTGGGTCCCGGGCCAGGTCATGCCCCAACGTACGGTGGGAGTTGCTTGGCAAGGACACCTGTAGACGACTTGAGACTCCCCTGCAGCTGTAATCCAGGATTCCAGGACCAATCTCAACTTGCGCGCAAGTTAATCGTGAAGTACACTCGCCGCCATGAGTTCTCAGTTCGAGCAGTCACGGCTTATTTGGACACCTGCCTACCCGTCTCATGCCGTCTGCGAGAAACTCAGGCGTGAGATCAACCTCAAGCACGGCCTGAATCTCAGTGCGTCGATTTTTGCACCTAAAACCAGAGCCTGACTGGAGTTTGTATCGTAGAGGACTACCATGACCTGCATGCATACTCGGTGTCTAATTACACTTTCTGGCTCGACCTCTGGCAATTTATGGGCATTGTGTCCTCCGTTCCCCCAGATCCCACCAAGGTATGTCTACTCTCGTCAGGGTTCCTGCCTTTTGACATCAAAAACCACTACAGATAGTCCAAAAGGGCAAATACGAAGAAGTTCCCGAATGGTTTCCCGGTGCACGGCTCAACTACGCGGAGAACCTTCTCTACCGCAACGACGATGGCATCGCGTGCACAGCAGGCAATGAACTCGGAGTCGTGGCGCATTATACCTTCCGCCAGCTAAGAGAGATGGTGCGTAAAATGGCAGCCGCAATGCGCGCGAATGGATTGAAGGTTGGAGATAGGGTTGCGGGTGAGCTCAGAAGGTGTCTTTGGGGTTGGCCGAAGATCATTAACGTCGATTTGTCGCAGCTATAATCACCAACTCCATCACCGCAGTTGTGGTTGCTCTTGCCACTTCCAGTGTAGGGGCAATCTTCTCCAGTACTGCAACCGACATGGGTACCCAGGTCAGCCTGATCGTATTTCTCATAGGCTCGCAAGGCACTCAACCTTGACTAGGGGATACTTGATAGGTACAGACAGATCAAACCGAAGTTCATTTTCACAGAAACGGAGATTGTATACGCCGGGAAGACCCTCAACCTAGTGCAGAAGGCCTCAGAAGTGGAGCAAGACCTCCGCACGTCTGGCGTACAGCGCATCATCACCTTGCCAAGTGTGAAGACAGGAAATACCGTCCTAGAGTCTCTTAACATTCCCAACAGGTTTGTCCCATTCGTTGACGCATGTCCTCACTTGAACTTTTGTTTAGTATTACATTAGAATCGTTCCTTGCATCAGGCGACAACCTACCGTTGGAATTTGAGCAACTACCTTTCAATCATCCATTGTACATCCTATACTCCTCGGGGACGAGCGGTCCCCCGAAATGCATAGTCCACTGCGGTGGAGTACGCCTGTCACTAGCTTCCTATATTCTGCCATTTATCTCCCTGTACAGGGTGCCCTCATAAACAGCAAGAAGGACTGTATGGTTGGCTTCGGCATCCTCCCGAGTGACGTCTATTTCCAATACACTACAGTAAGCAATCTCATATTGTATCGTGGGCACGAGCTGAATAGCTCACACCCATATAAGACGGGCTGGATGATGTGGCCGTTCATGCTCACGGGTCTTGCATGCGGTGCACGCATTGTCCTCTACGATGGATCGCCCTTCCACCCTGACCTCAGGGATTATCTCAAGTTCATTAATGACCAGGGGTGCGAGAAAATTAGCACACACAGATCATCAGTTACTAAACCCTTTTAGCGTCACGGTGTTAGGCACAAGTCCGCGTTTCCTGACTGAAGTCCAGTTGAGGGGTATCAAACCGCGTATGATCGGATGACAAGTCTTGAGACTCGTTGCTAATACTTTTGCAGTTGACATTGGATCCTTCGAAGCCCTCCGTGAGATGACAGTCACGGGAGCGGTGTTGACTGCACCCTTGATGGAGTGGACGCACGAGGCGTTTGGGAGGAAACTGCATATCGGCTCATCTTCGGGAGGGACAGATGTGTTTTGTGCATGTAAGTTCTCGTTGAATCACCCCTTACTACATTTCTAAGCTGACACTCTTAGTTGTTACAAGTATTTTGAGTGTCCCACTACATGCTGGAGGTTGGTCTAGAATATCGTTCTCTTAAGGCGGACTAACTGCATGTTCTACGCAGAACTTCAAGGCAAATGTCTCGGCATGGCCGTTGAATTATTCGATCCCACAGGAAACAACATTGAGCACACTGGTCAGCCTGGCGAACTTGTCATCACACGCCCGCATCCATCGATACCTGTTTGCTTCTGGGGTGACGAATCTGGCAAGAAGTTCCGACAGGCATATTATGACATGTACCCAGGTAAACTCCACTACTCTCGTCCAGACTTTGTAGTGTTCACATTGATGCTACTCATAGGAGTCTGGCGTCAAGGCGATTTTGTGGTCAAAAATCCGAAGACCACAGGGTTCATCTTCCTAGGGCGAAGGTATCAACTATTTTTTAAGTGCTGTCATATACAAGCTCATCGTTCCTATAGCGACGGCGTGCTCAATCCCTCCGGTGTCCGCTTTGGCTCAGGGGAGATCTACACCGTCCTAGAGTCTTTCTCTGACGAGTTCGACGACTCACTGTGTGTGGGCCAACGGAGGACACAGGACCATGACGAGCGCGTTCTTCTGTTCGTGAAGATGCGCTCAGGGCGCACACTCACGCCGGCCCTCATCGACCGCATCAAGAGCGTCATCAAGACTAGCCTCAGCCCGAGACACGTCCCAGCCTACGTGTTCGATACCACGGATATCCCGGTACGTGGCTCCTTATGCGGAGAACATGATAATCCTGATATTCGCACAGTACACTGTCAATGGCAAGAAAATCGAGATTGCGGTGAAACAAATTGTTTCGGGGACGAATCTAAAGCCGAGTGGGACGGTGGCGAACCCTGAGTCGCTTGATCTGTACTATAAGTACAGGGATATTGAAGGTTTTGTAGGCGCGAAGGCGAAGCTCTAATTGTAGACTAGACATCCATGTCAGAAGGTCAGGTCTACCCAGTAGATATCAACTTGTGAGCACAGCCATTTTGCGTGAGCTACCTCTCTGATGTATGGGATGCAATGAGGGGCGCCAAACTACATTACTATTCAGCGCTGTGCTTCCTCGAGGTGGGCCATCTGCAGGTGCTAGAGTTACTCTTCATTTCAACGGCGACGCCAAAAATGCGGGTGTGTGGTGATCGAAGCTACCAAAAAATCCAAGCTTCATGACAGTACTCTTTCAAGTCGTCACTGTTCATCAACCACATACGTGACATTTCCGTCAGTTAATGTACCACATTCCCGGTCTACTCATGATTGTTAGTTTTAATAAACATATGCAGGTCAGAAAATACACAGGATATGATAGGCTAAGGATATGGTGTTTGAATTATAATTTTCAAGGGCCAGGGGTACCGCACGCGGCACTATCCACTCGGAATTAAGGCTGCAGAGGATTTTTTTGAAATGTGGAGACCACATGGGACAAATTACACGCAGTCAGTGAGTGAACCATGCGGCGAGTCTCCCATCGCTGGTGACCGGTGATCGATTTATCTTTGATTCGCTCTACATAGATATCTTCTTTCCGTCCCCTCGCGCCCCTGCAACGCGGTGCCACATTTTCCTCGTGTCCTTATTGAAAAATTGTGAACATTGGCTTATATCTGATCACAAGCTACGCTGTCTGCGCAAAACACGGACACTTCCAGTAAGTACGTTCATGGAACCGCGAAGCGGTATCTCATTGATACTTCGCAATGTCCTTGTCTCACATGCTCTGGGATTCCATCCCCATCATAGCACCATCTAGTATGTGGTCATTCCAGTGTTATGACTACAAGCATAATGCCGTTCATACTCCGAACCTTATGCAACGGAGATTGTTGACATTTGGCAATCCAGAGACAGCAAACGGGGACAAAAATGCGCGAGGCCGTTGTCTGCTGTTCCTTTGTCGTAAATGTTCCTGAATTTGTCGTAGCCAGGGCTGTTGACTACTTGACTTGACTAGATAATAGTCAGGGGTAACGCCCTTCCAAGGCGGGTCTGATGAAGACATACGCCTTCGACTTAATCTCTGCCGCAGCGTTCCTCATTATAGGGTACTTTGGAACTCTATAAACAACACGGTACCTCGATGATACCGGCAAAAATGTGACATCATCGTGGGGTTGTTGTTTCCCATTGCTTCGAGGGACACAACGACCGTCACCATGCTGCTCTATGGAAACTTGGCTCTCCTCAGATCCAGCACTGTCTAGGTGCATCTATCCATATACTCGTCCGAGTACTAACATAGTTTAATCTTTGGGAGCGGCAGCTTTGACACCACATCTTCAGCCGTGTCTTTACTCTTGAAGGCACATCACGGGCGCATCATGACCGCGGCAGGCGCGGCGTCAAAATAGCTCCACCCCGTTCAACCCTCAGCGCTCCGACACGATATAGCCGCTCTATACTCTCCCCCGCTTGTCTCGGCAGCAGATACGGAGAGCGGATCTTTGGGCACCTCAAAGGCTCATCAGTACCGGTCTCCTTTTGATTGCTCGTGCGATAAGACCCGGATCTCCCTACCTTCGTTCTTCAGGCGGCGTGTTGTGACAGTACATTTGTTTATATCAATTTCGCCGTGCAATACCAACTGACAAAAAAAACCTACATTTCTAATTTTGCTCTAACAGCTTCCTCAAACATCGCACAATCCACCACTCTACCTTCTCTCCTGCTTGTCTCAGCAGCAAATACCGTGAGATGACCCTTGAGCACCTCAGAGACATCAGTATCCAGTAGCCCTTGATTGCTTGTGCGCACAGCTTCGACAAAAGTACGGATAAGACCCAGATCTCCGCCTCCGTGGTGACTACCGTCGGTCTTCGGGGAATGCGTTGTCGTACACCCCGTGCGGAAGTCAGTGACGGTAAAATTACTCATATCACCAACTATCTCGCCGTGTGTGAAGTGCAAACGTGTCTGGCGATCCCAAATCATGGAGCTGTATGCCACCATCGTGAATGACACAGTAGCCCCTGTGGAATACTCGATATTTACAACCTGGAAACATCGCAGTAAGATGACGTTTTTAAGAACGAATCATCGCTGTACCTGATGATCACAGACATCATTATCGCTTTCGTATACACATCGTCCGTAAGGTCCATTTTGCAAAGCATCGGTGATATTTTCGATGTCTGGTATTCCGTCCACAAGATTGCTGGCTGGTCGGCCGATATTTCCGCGAGAAACTGGTTCCAGGTATACTGCATAGTTTTGGCTTAGTTTATATGGAACGAAGAAATCGGAGGTCTACTTTTCTTTGCACTGTATGGGCAATCTTGTTCTACTGGACATTCTAAGCACCGAGTTGCAGCGCCTGCTGCGGGAGGCTTCTGCTCCTCACGGAAATGCTGCAAAGAGCCGAATGAAGACACTCGCGCCGGAGTCGCAGGGGAAAGCCAGTGACAGAGGATGTCTATGTCACTTGTGTGCTCAATCAATTAAATTTTTATGTACTGGAAACAAAAATGGCTCACTGGCAGCACTTAGTCATGAGAGAAAAACAACTCTCAGACTCTTTCTTCCAATTGCCACGAACGAAAGAATGAGCAAAGGGAAAGTAACCAACTGGCACTATGTGAACCGCGTTAATCAGGTTACCTAACTGTCCTGAACGGATCACTTTTGTGACGGCCATGTTATAAGAGGAGTAGCGCAAGACTGCCGTGTGTGAGGTTTGAAGCTTGTGGTAGCACAAGTTGTTATCACTCACCGTGACCAATTCCGAAGATAATACCAGCATTCTTAACTGCCTTCTCCATGTCAAGGCAGTCTTGAAGACTTGTAGCCATGGGTTTTTCGCAAAGTATATGATATCCCTGTGCAGCGAACGCTAACACCACTTCGCAATGCATGTGGTCTTGCACCGTAACAATAACAGCATCCGCTAGGCGCTTCCCAGTAATTTTAATGGTCTCCGCGGAAGCCTTCAAGAGCTCCTCCCAGGTACTAAACACGAGGGTCCGATCAAGCGTGTGATTGCGGACAAAGAGATCGCGGGTCTTTGGCCTCGGATCTGCAATAGCCACGACCTTGCACTTCTGCGGATAATCAAGGGCATATTCGGCATAGGTCTATGTATTACAAGCGTCAGTGTACTGGGAGACGGATCACAGACGACTACATACGGTCCCTCTCTGACCACAGCCGATGACAGCCAGCGTGGTAGGGTCATTAGGCAGAAATGTCATGGTCGTGGACGGGGAGTAGGTGGACCTGAGGTTCGAGCGAGACCACAGGGGCTTTATAGGATGCAAATGCTACATGTAATGATGATAACCAATGATATACCTGTCAAGAGAATTGAGCGCGCCAGGTGAAAATCAGCAGTGACGACGCGGCATGGATGAAGTTTGACGCGGAAGTGACGAGGCAGTGACGCGACAAAATGTGGCTTGACGCAGCATGGATAAGGTTTCCGAGTCATGCAGTATGGAGTGAAACGGCGAACTCCCAAGTATGGAAGTTTCTCAACGACAATGAAACTTTCGAGGGAATGCATGAAGTGATATTTGAGGGTAATGTAGAAAAAGAGACGTGTCAGGACGTGTCTATTTGTTGTGAAGCCCATGGGCCATAGACCATCACAAGCCCATTGAAATTCGCGAATGTGACGCTGCCTTAGCTATAGTCGGGCATATTACCACGTGCCATAAAGCTCACAAACCATGACGTGAACGGGATCGACGCGTAGAGTGTCAGCGCAACCACAAGTTCATCAGAAACACAGCAGCCAAGTAAAGTCGATATTCCCGACTCGTAGGGGAGAGCTTTGTTTTTTTTACATAATCGGTGACGACTCTGGTGGAATCGGAACGTCTAGTTTGGTGTTGTATTTCAAATCGAGATCTAGATCGGTGGCGTGATGCTGTTCGAGTACCTCTTGACGTCGAGCGTGGTTTTTCTCCTTGTTGTATTTGACGCGCTGATCATGACTAAGTGATTGTCTTTTCGACTTTCCTCGTCGTTCTCTTGTCGTTAAATATCTGTAATGCGCGCGCAGCTCGTCTATTACGAACGAGGGATTTCGCCGAAAAGGGCACTCCTGACATTATCCTGGATTGTTTATGCCAGATACCCAGACAGCAACCTAAATTACCCTGGGACGCGTCGTCGCGTCATGATCGTGGACTCGAGGTGTCAGCACAACCACACGTTCGTCAGACGTACAATAGCCAATCCGTGAGGGAAGTATAAGGTTTCCATCAGTCTTATGATGCCCTCCGGTGTCAAGTTCAGATCATATGTGTGTGGCCAGATATTTTGCAAGTGCCCGGCGGTTCCACCAATGTATCATGTATCACTGGGTCTCTGAATCGACGTGCTGAGCGAAGTGGTGTAGTGTAGTGTAGAAGATGCGACAAAACGAGAGTGTAGTCGAGCAGAATCGAGTCGTGGTAAGTACGAAGCAAGTAAGATGAGGGTCACGAGAACTTAGACGCGTGGACCTCGGGCATTCTTTGTACGGTCTCGTACATCAAACTTACGTATACCGTGAGCGAATATTGGCGGTCACTTTGCGCACCTCTTCAAGCATCCAGCATCCAGCGCCAACACAATAATATCGCGCTGAACTCGTATCCCAATATTAATAGGATACCACCGGACGTTTCAAAATCAGTCATACCATGGCCAGTGACCACAACTTACGAGTCGTCAAGCTCGTGACGTAGTCATGTCATTGCAAATGTACGTTTGAACCCCTGGCCTTTGGTCAGTCTCCCATCGCTAGCCCATGCATACTTTTGATTCGCTGCAGATATCATCCTTCTTCCCATCTACTCGTGCACATCCATGACGTGAAGGGTGACTTCTGCGGTGCGGTGCTATGATATTGCCTCGACTTCTTGAAATTTAACTGAAAGATGACTGATATCCGATTGACAAGCTACCTCCCACGTATGACAGTTTCCCGGGTCGCACAAAGTATACGGTTTGAATGAAGGCACTTCTATACGTGCAGGATCAGTGCTCTGATGCTCAACATCCGAACTGTGAAGGCGACTGTCCTATTGATATGCTTCGCGACGTCCTTGTCTTGCGCCCGCCGGGATATCCTGATCATACGTTATCTTTTACGGCCTTCTCTCAGGCTCCTCGTTTATCATGCCGTTCATACTTATCCCCGAACTTGCGGAACTATGCGACAAGTTCTTGTCCCTGTGTTCTAAAGGCTCCTGGATTCTTCGTCGCCGGCTAACCACTTCTAAGAGTTGGCTACATCATATATAGTTAGGTGGAACCTTCCTAGCGTGGGTTCGACGAAGGCCAACGCTTTCGACGAAATGCACTTAATCTCTTCCCTCTTTTACACCCGCAGCGGCGTCCTTATTGCCTCGACAGATAAGCTTGGGAACTCTGCCTTCAACAGCAGGGTGACCCTGATGACAGCGAAGAAAGCGTACAACATTACTGCGATGTTATTGCCCATTCCTCCGAAGAACACATCTGATATCAACTGTCACTGCTCTCTGGATAACTCTCACACTTTGACTGCGCTTTTTATATCTCGGCTAACTTATTGTCCTCGACGAGCCGAGTCGACGAAGACATTTTCCGTTTTGAGGAAGCGCTGCCATATTTTCGGTACCGGACTTGTGTTTCCTCCGTTTGATGCCTCGACAACCTGGGACTCCGCTTGTCTAATCCTTGATCGGCAGCCGTGACATCGAAGTTAAAAACAAACTTAGCATCCTTCGCACTAGAGCATTCGGGACGCACTCACCGATACTATCATTCCCTACAATATGCAAAACTTTCAGCAAAACTTCTGTAGCTCCTCAGCAACATTACATTTTCTTTCGTAAAATTTTCCCTATCATAGATTTGTATCTCCTCTACATGAATCTGATTTTTACTGATTTTTAGGATGATGTGATGTGATGTCGGAGCAAACCCGATAAAACTCAGGGTCTACCTACTAATCTGCAAAATTTGGTCACCTCCTATCACACCTCGGCACAGTAGCGGCACAGTCGACTTTCACTCTCCGCAGCCTTCGAACTTTCGTCGAAGTGTACGCATCGCGGAAGGCTCAAAAACGGTGAATAAAGCAGTATCATTCGAGTATCGTGGTTCATCTAGTACTGTAATAATTACTGTGATTGTACTGGTATTGCTGATAGGCTTCTGAATCCCTGCATACCTGCACTGTCGCCACCTCGGAAATCCGCATTACTGTGACTCGCTGGTGCAAAGTGAGGGTGCAAAATATGTGGAGGGTGAGGCTAAGGCGCAGGATGCTGCATTGGATAATGCGGGGGGAAAATCTAGGTGTTGGTTTCTTGACATCGAGGGCTGACTGAAGTGTAGGCCGAACGGTGCAGAAGATAGATGCCGTGTGTGCCGAGGAGGAGATTGAATTACCACTATTTCATCTCTCGCAGATCTTTTTATTCTACTTGTACAAAACATCATTTACATATGCCTGATTTTTTTTTGATGCCAGTTGAGCACGATGTTGAAGTGTTACGAACTTTTTGCACATCAGCAACCGTTGACATATTGCAAGGAATGATAGTACGACAAATGATATGGTATTGATGGCACTGCATGGTAGTGAACCATCTTGACGAAACTTTCGTCAATCACCTCGATCCAATCCGACCGTAACGTTATTTGAACGCCCGGGATTTAAGTACACCGGTTTGTCTCTCCCGCAAGCGGTTAGTCCTGACCTCGTAACTAAATACTTTGGAGTACTTCATTGTCGACAATCACGTATAGGCAGCACAAGAGCACAAAAGGTTGACTTGCCTATCGGTTGTCATACATAGTATGTGGCGTTAGTGATAGCGTCCAACCACGGCGCAAGACCGGCGGCAACGTGTTTGGGTATTTCACATTGAAAGCGACTATCACGCTCAGTCACAAATACAAAGATACCAGACCGGCATCTCTATTTCCAGTGTTCGCCGATCCAAGAACGAGGCAGTATGTATGAAAAATGAGGCACACCACACTGCCCCTAGTATGTGCTTCTGACCGTCTTTTGTGCCAGATCCGTTGCCAGTGGAGCATCATATGGACTGCGTCCATTGCAAAGCCGGTCACCCCCGAAGCGAAGTTGTTCGCTTCCGCTCAAGCTCAGGGCGCATGTACGAATCATCTTTGGGCAAAAAAACCTAGCCACGAGGATGTCATATCTCACTTGGAAGAGCCACCATGCTGGTGTCGGTGATTATATCACTGATCCATAATATAGAAGGAACGACTGTCTTCCTTTTGTTACGGTCTTCCTTGTGTTATAGTCTGCCTAGGGGAGACTAGTATGAGTCACTGTTCAGATAAGAGCAGACTCAAGTTAATCTTCTGGGGCAATTCTCGAGGGCCCCTTGCTTCTACAGGGCACCCGTTGTGTGTATTTCAAGATTTAACTTTGAAACTTCTTATGCCGTTTGATCTTGCCGAGTCACTACTAACGCAAGTCACATTGAAAGTGGTTCGAGGCGTTTAAAGAGCGAGGTACACACCAAGTCTAGACTTTCCGCATTATTATCCAACTGTGGCTCCCACGTGCACTGGAGCTACGCCTACGCGAACCTGACCAAGAAGGAAAAACTAAATGAATTGATTGCCTTGGCGTTGAACGTCGCACCCCAAGTATGCCCCGTATGTACATGTAAACTAGAGCAGCTGTCGGGTGACTACGCACATACATACGTGGTAGGTACTAGAAAGCTATAAGAAATCACATCAAAGTCTATGGCTGTGGAGTGATGTGAATATTGATGGAGTCTATGATGCAGAAGAAAGCAAGAAGTAAGCACTAATGGTCCCGCTATAACACCACGAGAATTAAATGAAAGACAAGGTTGGAGGTTGCGTGACATCCGATAGCAACTGGTCCATCCACCTGGGATTATCGGGTGTCAGATGTACATGTATGCATAGAAATTTGGTTTGCATCATACAGATCGCCGGGAAGCATGCTGGTCATGCCGGTCGTTAGGTCGTTAAGAAGTGATAAGAAAAGACCGATACGAAGGTATCGTTTTTTTTAGTGTCCTTTCTTCTTCTTCGCGCCGTCAAAGACCGCACCAGCATTGACAATCATCTTCTGCAGTTCGCCAGATTCGTTGAGCTCGCGGACTGTAGTCATCGAGCCAACAGGTTTGCCCCCAACAAGTAAAATAGGAAGCTCGGTTGAAGATGTGAGCCGGTGCATCAAAGGAATCAAAACATCCGCGTCCTCTGAAAACACGTAAAAATTGATGAGCAGCTAAGCGAATGAAAATCAGATATCGCTTACCTCGCTGATCGACTTCAAAAATCGCAGGAGATGGCCGTAAGTCCATATTTAAAATCATATTTCTTATTTCTCTAGAATTAGCATGGTGGAGCTGGTACGCGTGACAAGCATCAGCGTAATGCTCAAACAAAGGAAGGAGAAGAAGCGACGCACCTTGGTAAACAGCATAACGGGATAACGAGACCACACATCTTCCACTATCTGGTTTACTTCATCTGCGGCGCGCGGACTGCGAGTGTCGAAGTCCAGCACGAGTTGGGGGTCAATAGGTTGGGTTGGGTCTATTGACCGGGGAATCATGTTCTGTGGCAGTGCAACTACGAAAGCAGCTACTGCGGCCAACTCCTGCAACTCATCCAGTTGAACTTGAGGACGGTTGGCATTACTGACGGTCTTTCTTTGAGTATTTGGAGGTAGACGAAAGAGTCTGGATGATGGCGGGGGAGAATCTTTCTCCTGCACATGCGAACCTGCATGTTTGAGGTCGGAACGGAGTGCAATAGGAGCAAGCTCCAATGAAGGTCTCGCAACGAAAAATATATAGAATGAGACAGCGATAAGACCGAAGAGGGCCAGAGACGTTGTTCTGTGCTTTGACTTTCGTTGGTACTGTATCGAATGTAGGAGGGAGGTGACGGGTAATGTCGACATAGTGACCGAAAGTGGGGGTCAATCGGGAAGGAAAGACAGGTTAAAAGAGTGTGGAAGTGATTAATAAATGAAAGGAAAGTCGCTGAATGAAAGGTTTGGTTCGAGGCCGAGAGTGGATGTATACAAGCGAAACACAAAGGGAAACGTTTCTCAAATTGACGCTTGAGATCTTCGACCCTTTTTGGGACATATTTCGTATGCCGCGGTCAAACGGTCAAAAAATTCCTGACAGTCAACTAACATATACGTAATTTATTTATTATCTCCACGTTATGTACTTTCGCGCTCATCAAACTAGGTACTGAAACCTAGAGAAACGCCCATGTAAACGTTGACTCACGCGCGGCGTGGCTTTCGAATTAATTAGTCAGGGTAAATGTGGGAAGAATATTATATTATATTTCTATACCATCATAATATTCGTCATGAAAGTTTCAACCGCCAAGAGGACGCCCTTGCTAGGGCTTGGCCAACAAGATACTCCGCTATTGATCATGACGATTACAGCCTCGGCCAGTTTCCCATCTGGGTCTCCACATGCTTATCGCACGTACCTTATATTTTCCGGCGCACCATCTTTGCACCGGACTTATCGCCATCAGGCAGCATCTTGTCCAACCCTGTCATCGTGTGCTGTCAGTCTGCGTGGGGGGCGGGTTGGTATTTTAACCATGCGTTTCCCCATATCGAGTGTCAAGCACTCCTTGAAAGGTGAGACTTGAAAGCCCTTGGATTTTGTCGCGTTCATCGTTATCCATCACTCTAATATTATTCTTATCATTCCGATCATATCTGTTGAAATCAGTCTAGTAGAATCTACCCCGCATAACCAACACGGACACCACTATATGGTTTATGTTCTCCACTTGAACGGATGGATGATGATCGATGAGCCACGGGCCATGCGTGCTCAAAATACCCTTGGCACAAACGCCATACTTATTTCAAGCCGACTCAAGCCGACTCCCGCAAGCTCCCGCCCTGGGCTATTTTCGCCCAGGGACAGAAAATTGACTTGCCCCTGCATCTACGAGTTCAAACTGCTCCGCTTAATATCGTACGCGACCCTCCACCAATGAAAGCACTCGCTGAAGGCTAAAGAAAGGTTCAAATTGCGAACGTAAAGTGAGGCCTTTCTCAGATCAGTGCCTTCTCTTGACCTGCCCCTGCGGAGCCTCGCTAGCACCCTCTTGGACGCTCCTGGTCGTCACTTGTGAACCCGCAATTGTGGAACAAGTTACATAAACCCAAATATATATCCATCGCAAACCCATGCTAGGATGAAGAAGACAACCTACTACACATATGTAGATCAGGATGTTAATAATACAAGACAATACATCATTCCATTCCATGTGCGCACCATTACACTGGATTTAGCACATGCACTTACATAAAGTAAACCTCTTAATCACAGCTCTACTGCGTCTCTTGTTCCTTCACGATATCCTCCTTCACCGTCATCCCCGCATTCTCGAACATCTTCTTCAGCTTGCCTTGTGCACGCAGCGTGTGAAGGTCATCGTTCCCGCCGAGTTCCTTCCCATCGAGGATGATATTGGGGAACGTGGAGTGATCGGTGAGACGAGTAAGGATGAGCTTTAGGAAGTCCCCGTCGTCTATGGAAAATCAGCGTTTATCTCATAAATCACAAGGCAGTAGGCACGACATACCTCGAAGATCAACTTCGATGATTTTTGGGGGAGGAGAGAGGTTATACGTTTTTAATAGCTTCTTAGCTCTTTTCGAGTGTCTACGTAGAAGCGGCGGAATGAGGCTATCACAGAATCATGATAGAAGAGAACTCACGGGCAAAATGACTAGTACAAACACAGCATGAGAATCACACAAGATCCGGTAGATGGAAGCGCACATACCTTCGAAAATATGACAAGTGGATATTCTTCTCTTAGCCTTCTCATATGAGATTTCCAATCCGGTTGGTCACCGCTGAGGTACACTGTCAGATCGATCGGCGCAACAGAATCCACCTTCACTGAATGCGACAGCATACGATCGTCATCACTCGTCACAAAATGCAGCAAGCCGTATATCTCCTCCACCGGTGGGCCCTTGACTAGCGAGACGATATTGGCACGGGAAAGCGACGAAGAGATCCCCGAGAGGTTGAGAGGAGGCAATGACCATGGTGTACTAAAGAGCAGGAAAAATGCGAGTAGAAGAACTGGGAGGAGTATGCGACGACGGCGAAAAAATCCGCATGTGGGACGGCCACTTGCCATTTTGTTGTTTGGGGCGTAGACCCTACTGCAACAACGGTGAAGTCTAAGTGCGAGCCTCGTGGTACCACTAGAGCGATGCTTCACCACGTACTCTGGTTGGCTGGAACGCTCGCAGGGAAATCCAAGGAATTTGAAAAGCGGAGGGCGGGTTCTCAGGCTTACGACGGACAAGATCGACCGAGACAGTAAACACAATACGGAATAAAGGCAGTTTCAGGACCAGCGGTCAGGTCTCGTACTTATCCGATCAGGAGAATAGCCATGAACAGGATTGTGACGTGAAAACTAAGGTCGGCTGGTGCGTCTGCTGTGCACGTTCTGAACGTTTCAAAGGTCGGTGGGAGAATATTTGGGGTGCTCGGTGCCGCATCGAGAGGCGGTAGTATCTCCTTTTAGCTTTCTCCTGTTATAGCATTGCCGCAAGGCAATTTTATATAACCTATAGATTCACCAACACCACCGAATTTAGCGCAATGTGGCCTGTACATACAACCGCGAAGGAACGTGAACGATCCATTTAGCGGTACTATTAAAGTGGCCGCCCAAGGAGGTAAGCGCAACGAAGAGCCAAGGCGCTGGCATCGACGGCAATACGTCTCAATACGTAGGCTCGTGATCAGCCTGACTTATTCTACCACTACCACGGACATTGACAAGCCGAATCACGGTAGCGTAGCCGGCTGCAGCGTAACGCCAGAGTCTTGCGCAAGTACCCCGTGATACAGGTTCTTCTGATCAAATCATGCCGGTCTCGAACTCAGATCTGGCTGGTGCTGCTTGATCTAGCGAAGATAATTCCTATGTAGTACATCGTCATGTAACGTACAGATGCGCGAATATCTGTCCGTGTCACGGTGACAGTGTACATGTCGTCGCCGATCCAGTGCTGGCGGCCTAACGCTGGCGCCGCCCTACCGGACACGTGACCATCATGAAGTCAGAACTGGTTGAACTTCTCTATCAGATGGCCCTATGATTGTCTCTTCGATCTCTCCGATTGTAATCGATCTCCTCCACTAGACATTACTTTCAACATGGAAAGAATGATAGAATATGTAGTCTTCGACATGGATGGTGCGTGGGGCTTCCAACCTCCTCGTACTGGAGGTAAGACGCGTCTTCGACAGGCCTTCTCATTGACACGGAAAGGGTGTATACCGAAGTCACTAGTACGCTCCATGTTCCCGTTTTTCTTTATACAACATACACTGATCTCTCAAAGATGATATCCTCGGTCGCTACGGAAAGACCATGACATGGGACATAAAGGCACAGCTCATGGGCAAACGTACGCTCTGTGATCTCTCCTTAACTACTCTAACGTAAACAATATCTCAGTACGACTTGCATCTGCGACGCACCTGCTCTCTTGTTTCCCTGACATCGATATCACGATCGACCAATACCTCACAGAGGCCGAAGAGAAGCAAGATGCGCGGTGGCCAACCGTGCAGCTCCTCCCAGGTGTACAGAAGCTAATTCAGCACCTGGTAAAACACAACGTGCCGATCGTAGTCGCTACTGCCTCCTCGCGACGAAACTTTGACCGCAAGTCCGAAAATCTCAAGGAATTCTTCGACTACTTTCAAGGGAATATCGTCTGCGCTGATGATGTGGCAGGCAAAACGACGGGAAAGCCTGATCCGTATATCTTCCTGCATGCTGCAGGTGTCCTAGGCAAGATAGTAGGCACTACGGAACAGTGCACCGACGCTGAGGCCGTGGAGAGAAGCAAGGGACTCGTTTTTGAAGATGCCCTTTATGGTGTCCAAGCAGGGAAAAGAGCCGGAATGTCAGGTATGCTGCTGTTTCAGAGTCATAATTTAGGGCCTCATATTTTCTTCAGTCGTTTGGGTACCTGACGAACGCCTTCTGAAGGTTGTCAGTGCCAGCACATACCTCCCAGATGAGACACTCACGTCCATCGAGCATTTTAAGCCGGAGAAGTGGGGCCTCCCACCTTACGACGCTGATTGACATCGCCAATTATTACTTTTTCGGCATGAGCCGTTAAAGTAAGGATGTTATCTTAGTTGTACGAAGACATGAGGTGATCTGCCACCCACCATTTCCGTTTGAACCTGATTTACAAATGGATATTGAGCTCTGAAACGGGTAGCGCTACACACAAATGCTACTCTCTCATGTTCGAATCTGCTGTATGAGTGCACCAGATATCCACATGTGACAGTCATCCATTTGTGCCTGCCTTTCCACAGCCCATCGCAATCGTATTTTGTTCCGTTAATGTGATCGGGCATTCCATGGCAGGTCATACGCCTGTGATCGCATGGAGTACTCCATGCCATGTACTTGATGCCTGCGACTTCCTTTATGGTCAATGTAATCGCTGATCTGAGTTATTCACAGTACTAGTGGCGGCGACGTCTGATGGAAGGGCAAGTGAGGATCGTGGTTGTTATGGTTGACAATAGAATTGAACTGCCTTTGGTATAGATCGATTGGGCCCTCAAGGGAGCATATCATTCCGTTGTCAAACATCCTGATGGCGAACGATTCTTGAAGGGTCTAACTCCTTGTGAACCATTCCTGCAGGTACGTAAGCTTAGCGTTGACAGCGTTCAAGCCGGCTGTCAACTGAACCGGAGCGACGGACTCGAGAAGATGAATAAAGGTGCCCGTCGTTGACAGGTTGGCAGATGGCAGATCCCCACTGGCAGATCAATTGCGGGCTCGGCAAAATCGCATTGGCAGAACTTCGGATTATGGGAGATCATGGGCACGTCCACTGGAAGTGGTGACGTGGTGTGGGAGAGCGTGAGCGGCTCTGATCACCCCCAATCACGATCCCCCCGAAAATATATATCATCCGACCTCGGAGAATTCGACGGGGCGGGTCGTAGTAGGTAATCAATAGTCCTACTCGAAAATAGTTTTATTTCGCCAGTTTATTTCACGAACGTCGTCGCAAAAAGTTCCGAGATAAAACGCAAATAAATTGAACGACTCCAAACGCCAAACTTGCTGCCAATTGTTAAATAAACTGGCAAATCAAATGACCGCTCAATAACGCGCCTGATTTACTTGTTGTCCGACATCTCGGGCACAATAAACTGGCGAAATAAAATCGTTATTGTAGGACTAATGGTCGATCGCGTTCATATCTGCTCACGCCAGGTCAAGTGTGATCACGGCATGCCAGGAGATGCCCAACACAAGGGAAAGTGGCATAGAGTCCGGAAAACGCGTCTCGACCATTAGCATTACCCGACATGCTGCTGCATGAGCAGATTCGATGGTAAATGGCTGAATCCCACTGGCAGATTGTGGGCCCGGCAGAATCTCATTGGCAGAACTTCGGATTGTGGGGGATCATCCGCTGCATGTGGAGTGGGAACCTATAAGTGACGGGGCGTAAGAGAGCGCGCGTAGCTGTAATCACCCAGTTACACTGACCATATATCACCACGGGCCTCATAAATTCGATGGGGCAGGTCATAGCAAGCGATGGTCGATCCTGGTCTGCTCACGGGGTCAGTCTAACCACGACACGCTAGAGATTCCAAACGCAAGGGAAAGAGTCCGGAGAATGCGTCTCGACCATTACCGACATGATCTACTGCATGAACAGGCTCCACGTCTACGACAAAGCCTCGCCACGTTTTACAGTATTCCGCCATGCCCTACACTGTGCTTCAGAGTCGTAACTTGGGGTCTCACGTTCTCCTCAGTCACCTGATGAAAATCTTCTGAAGATTGTAAGTGATAGCACATACCTCGCAGATGAGACGCTCACGTCCATCGAGCATTTTAAGCCCGAAGAGTGGGACCTCCCACCTTACCATACTGAAAAAGGGGACGTCGTCTTCATTAAATCTGATTGTACAACGGCAGAAGTGGACGTTATTTTCACTGACCCTGATTTACAAGTGGATATAGTATGATGGTCATACCTTTACTGTACGTACCAGACGTGCGATGTAGAACTTAACTTGAACTGAACACGGATTAGAAGTACGAACCAGCTCCAGCATACGTGCGCGTACTGGTAACTGCCTCGTCGCCCGATGAATCATTATCCTCTAGTGCTAGCGCTTCCGTCTGTGATCGTGCATACTCGACGGATCTAGGTCCGAATGCTGGTGCGGGAGGTGTATAGGGCTTTGCATGCACTGCCAAAAGCCCTGTAGGTATCTGCGCCTGCAAGTCCTGCTGCTTTGGCACAGGCTGAAATGTCAACTATCATATACGAATGATGGTTAGCCCCCAATAACTCACACACGGACACCCCCGGCTTACCGAATCATTGATTCTCTTATAGTGTTTCAAAAAGACGCTTACGCTCTCTAATTCATCCGCGACACGCCCCTTGCGCCCTCGTTTCTCACGGTCCCGCCCAACCGCAATACCAAGCCCGCCCTCCTTCATGTCCTCAAGCTCTTTCTTCGCCCATAATAACCATGCCACTGCTTCCCCACCTTTCTCACGCGCCCCACTTTCTCCTGCGTCAACGCCCAGCCACTTGTGTGCTAGTGCTGCATGGAACGCCGATGCGTCAGCAAGATAGCGGCGCAGCTCGACGCATACTTCTGCATTGGTATCTGGGTTAGAAGGCGGGGAGGACGGACGCGCGGAGCTGGGCGTCATGGCAAGCGTACGAGCAGAGGAGTAAAGCGAAACGCACTCGAGGTGTAATTTAAAGATGAGCGGGATGGAGGGGTGCGATTTGGGAAGTGGAGGGCCGGGGGATACTGCGTTGTCATATGCAGATTTGGAGAGCAACTTGCGGATTGCCAGAGTTTGTGCGTCAGCGAGTGCCATCCTAAAACAGGTATCCGAGATGAGATGAGATGAAATCAGAGAAGCACACTTACTTTGCGAGTGCAGCATTAACCTCCTTGCTCAGATCGGGCGGCCTACCAGATGCGCCCTCCCCAGCTTTATCCCAATCTAACAGTACCTTCTCGCTCATATGGGTAAATATCCCGCTCGCTCTGCACAGCAGCGTTACAGCAAAATTGAGCTTCTCATCCTTCGCCTTTCTCTCGATATCTGAGATCGCTCGATCATGCTCATAAGAACCGAGGCTCGCAACCGTCACACGCGCAAAATTCGACAGCGCAAAGGCATAAGTAAGCAATGAGGATGCAAGATCCGCATGCAGCGATGCAAGAGGGATTCTTGGGGACGTGTGGAATAAGTGTGCGGACAGTGTCGTGCGCCAGCTGAATCCTTTGAATCTCATGCTAGTCAATCGAACTTATGGCTGGGCAAGGGTCAACTAAAGACTCACTGGGTTCTGATTTCAGCCGCATGTCCCCCGATGCGACACAGCCCATGATCCCATGCAGGTATGGGAGGTAGTCGTCGAGAACCTAGGGTATATGTACTGTTCGAAGCCCGGATTGGAAACGGTGATGCGCACCTTGATCAAGCGTAGATAATCCTTATCGTCCGTGTCAGTGCGTTTGGTCTCTTTGAGAATACCCCGCAGATTCGCTCGGGCCTGGGTAGCTTCAGCAATGTGACTTGCGTACGCATTGGAGGCCGTGCTGTCAACACAAAAGTCTCCAAAAGAGATGGCACCGGTGGTTGGGAGTTCGTAAAGATATGTGCTCATTTTTCTCATCGACCAGGAGAAACAAGCTAACCCAAAGCTAACCGGTGACCAATTGCCGACAAAAAAGTACATGGACCTGAAATGTAAAAGATAAAAAAAATGATCTGACCCAGGCTCGAACTGGGGACCTTCTGTGTGTTAGACAGATGCGATAACCAACTACGCCATCAGACCGATGGATGACACCCCAGCTTAGATAGCAAAATCCACTAGGACGTATTAGGTACGAGGTTGCACAAATTTTGGTCGAACTGTTTAGGGGTTTTGGCTTATATAAGCGTCCCATTTTGTTGGCGGGGATTGCCCACCACCATTGCTCCTAAGTGTCACTAGCGGGAGTGAATAACGCCGTCAAACTTAGACTCCCTTGCGGCCTTTACATGACACTACCCCCCCGTAGCCCCGCGAGTCGAAGAAGGAAGTCTTATGTGACTCGGAAATTCCCTCTGCGCCTACAGGCTATGGTCCAGGGTTCAGCGGTCGTTGAAATGTCAGTGCAAGAAATCTACCGTTTCTTCTGCTTGCCCTGCGATCTTAAGTCTGGCTGTATTGTGAACTTGAGACTGTTCTAGAATTACCTGTCATCAGATTGGACGCAGAAGTTGAACATGGGCAAGCGAAGCTATGGCAGACTCACCAACACTGAGCGTCACGCTTCTTGGTGCAGGCCAAGAGGTGGGAAGATCATACCGCGTGCTGCAGTATAGAGGGAAAACCATCGTCTGTGACACAGATGAACTTGATTAGAGCACGGTAGATGCGATTTTAATCACTCAGTGCGCGACACATCTCAAACATCCATTTTGACAACTCAATTCAATCTTCAGCTTCCACCTCGATCATGCTGCTGCTCTGACCTATATCATGGAAAAGGCAGGCTATATTTTATTCACAACGGACCTTAGGCTTGACGTTATAACAGACTAACTTCAGGGATGGCCGCAAGGGTAAGGTGTACATGACGCATCCTATGAAAGCTGTGCACAAATTTATGCTGCAGGATTTTGTTCGAATGAGGTGTGTTCAGAGCACTGATATGAAAGATAGCTGAATTAATACACAATGACAGTTCGTCGTCTTCCGATGCTCTATTCACTCCCCTCGAAATGTCCATGTCGCTGTCGTCAATTATTCCGGTCTCTGCCCACCAGTTGATAACACCTTGTCCTGGAGTTTTATTCACTCCTTATCATGCAGGCCATGTATTGGGTGCATGCATGTTTCTCATCGATATAGCCGGCCTCAAGATTTTGTACACAGGGGACTATTCTCGCGAAGAAGACCGACATCTTGTCAAAGCAGAAGTTCCACCTGTCCGACCGGATGTCCTCATTGTCGAAAGTACATATGGCGTTCAGAGCTTAGAGGGTCGCGATGATAAGGAATTGCACTTTACAAGTCTCATTCACTCAATTATTAGGCGTGGAGGACACGTCCTTCTACCCACTTTTGCTCTCGGACGAGCTCAGGAACTTCTCCTTATCCTCGATGAATATTGGAAGAAGCACCCAGACCTGCACAACGTGCCCATTTATTACGCTTCTAATCTGGCGCGTAAATGCATGGCTGTATATCAGACGTACATACATACAATGAACTCGAACATTCGCTCGCGGTTCGCGAAGCGAGACAACCCATTTGTCTTCAAGTGCGTGGCCCATCACGTCCTCGGAGGACCATCCTGCTACCTCTGTAATAGGCATATTTCTAATCTTCCACAACCACGCGGTTGGGAACGAAAATCGCGGAGGGTCCCCCGAGTGTCGTGCTGGCAAGTCCAGGTTTTCTTCAAACTGGGCCTAGTAATGAGTAATATCAATCGAAGGTAGCGCGAGCCAAAGGAAGAACGGGGTTCGGTATTATTATACCTCAGAAAATAGTGGTCTTTCAATGGTTGAATTGTTCTGGACCCACGCCCGCAACAGTTTCAATCAAGGAAACCGTAATGCAGTAAGACAGCATCGCTTTGAAACTATGGGAGACCTTCCAGAAGACCCTTCACACCATTTGTCCCAACGATCCTTTCCAACCTGAACTTGTCATACTTGGAATAAATGACTCTTGACACTACATCAGAAGCCTCCACCTCGTCGTCGAGGAATGGGAAAGAAAGGAATTCGGAGAAGAATTGAGGGTGTTCCGGAGGACCGTAGAAAATGAGATTGCGGATGCCTCTGATTTTGTATCTGTAGATGCCCAAACTGTATAGACCAAAATTTACAAATGTAGAATGACATACCTGCGGTAGAAATGGAAACGCTCGCTGACGAGCAAAAATGCCTTTTTGTCGGAGAAAAAGGTTTGTCGCGCTCGAGAAATATCCTGATTAGTGGAGTACCTACACGTGGTTAGCTGACGTCTCAGATGTTGGTTTCTATGTAGAGCTCACTCAGAGAGTACGGTGAAGCTCACGGAAGTCTGCTTCCGGAAGTAGTTGTGCACGCGAATGAAATCGAATGACGAAGGTATGAAGATTACTGTGTTGGCACTCTGTACCGCGGATTTAAGCACCCTTGGTAGTAGCTTAACACGATGTAAGATGAGAGAAGTCAAGGTTAGAGCTGCAGAGGTTACCTGAGTGGTGAAATAAGCGAATCGCTTTTCGGGTTCGTCCTTGGGGTTTGCACAGTCGAAAGGAATAAATGTCTTTTCATCATTAATGTAAGAACTCTTGGGTCAATTAGGAAGGCGCTTACTTGATCGATAGACTCTGGAACCTGTATGGCAGGCCATATTTTTTCGACTCTGACCTTCCCCGCAGTATTTTTGAGGGTGTTATTAAATAACGCTCTCATTTCTGGCGCCTCGAACGGTGATAAGAGGATAGACTGTCGAAGGTACGCAGAACTTGCTGAGACTAAGCATGATGCACAAGAGATTGCCAAGAAGAAACCTACTGGCCGTCTAAATACCATGGCTTGATACGCGAGAAGTCCGCGTCATGCGAGTCTTTCGGCAGGTTGTTCATGTTCGAAAGGACAAACTAACATGCATGCAATCAAGAAAAGAGAATTAAGACGAAATATAACATGGGCATACCTGGACATGCTCCCAATTTTGCATTGCTAGTGCGTTCATTTGGTCAATCACCAATATTTCGACCGATGACAAAAAATCTGCGCTTCTGATGGGAAGTTACAATCGACTTTTGCATGGCTTGCAACAATAGACGCACTTTTCCTTCTCGATTGACATCCTCAAACCGAGCGGACTTGCAAGAATAAGATCACAGCCGTAAAAGTCAGCGAACAGTTTGACACTTTTCCTTGTGAGTTTAATTCCAACTCTGAAATTATCGTCGACATTGCCCTTGAAAGTCTCGGCATGATCTCGAGGGTATGTCCCTGGTTCTGCAACAGCCAGCTTATCGACTGCATCAGGTGGAAGACCGTACTCAGACAGGAAACGGGAGTGGTTTTCTATTTGATATGCCGGAGATGGCGTATATGCGGTAAATGCATCGAGCCAAGCGAGTGCCGATGAGCGAAACGGGAGAAGAACGAGTACGGAGGGTCGGGTGAAACCTTGATCTTGAACGTCCTCTGGAGGCGAAACTGATGCTGCCTTCGCATGTGCGAGACGTTCGTTGTTCTTCAGAACTCGTCTTCGCTTTCTGCAATTTTCTATGAACATGGTGAAGTCTAGGGATGGAGAGGAACAAACTTTGTGATGTGATCCAACGCGTGCAATGCAATGACCTCGCGTATATATCGGTGGTCATCGAGAGAAAGCGCAGGATAATATACATCAAGGTGTGCGGACAGGATCGAGAGCAGGTCATCTTGTACCTGCCTTTGATCTGAAAACGTACAGATATCAATATCATGGCAAGCTTCACGCCGATAAGCGTACCTGGCGACTGCTTGGATTGTCGCGCCGAAAATGAACTCCTTAGACGCTCTAGTATCTGAGAGATTATGTCAATATAGTGTGATATACTACAGGATTCAACACACTGCTGTCTTTTTGGCCAGTTTTTTTGAAGGAGGGGTAGTGTCTGGGTCTCGTAAACTAAATACTGTTGATAGTTTGCCGACTTTCTCCCTCGAAGACGTCCAGCGTCGTTGATCCACAGGAACTTCTTGATACATCTGATACAAGATCGGTATTTGGTCCGTAGTGCTGTTCATATGGTGCAGTGGTATCTGACGTATTGCGTTGGAGCACATCTCTCAGGACCATCCTGATAACATACCTTGTATATCTTCATTGTCTTCGGTACCTCCAATAGCCTCGTCATCTGCGCTATTGTTAGTTTTGTCTTGCAATATCGAGGGGCCTGGAGCCAACGCAATATCTTCTGCAAGCTTAACCGTCTTCCGCTTGTTCAACTTCTCGGGTGCTGGCGAATCCTCCTCCCGTATTCTCTTCTTGCTTTTCAGAGCAGAGAACATTGAGTAGCGTCAGGAGACGAGTCGTCGGGGGTGTTTATATTCTCGCCGAGGTCCATGATGAAGTGATTTTGAGTCTTGACACTGACAGTCTGACACGGATGGATGGTCAGAGCTTGAAAAAACACGGTCACATGACTGATCATGAGACCACGACGCGCTGTAGAGCCGGTCCAAATGCGAGCATTTCTGCGATTCTGCGCAACGCAAAACACTTACGTTTTTCTTCATCATTATTTTATCACCAAAGAAGATTACTTACTCGCCTCATGGTCGTAGAAAGGATAAGCACGATTCTCGTAACGAGCCTCGTGTGCACTGCAAATGGTTATTCAGTACCTCCGAGTCCGATTAGGCCCGAACGAGTATCGTACTCGCATGCCTTAGTTTCTCGTCATCGACGACGGCAGGCGTCAATTTCAATGTGTTAACCGAGAGCGTACCAACAGTACTAGGCTTCACCTGTTGACCTCTGGCGACATTACAGTCTGTATAGCGGTACAAGCCGTGACACTTTCCACCTCCAGCCTGGGTTGCGGCAATGGCGTCGACGTTAGCTTCCTTCTGAATTTAAGTAATCGGCATGCCGCTCGCTCTCGTAAATGAGCTTGGAATCTTCATTACGCTTATCGGCATTCATCTTTCCCGACATCGCGAGACTCGGTTCAGTTCAAATTAACTAAGGAATTCGAGCGGGAACGGCACGCCTATAAAGTCCAGAAGATGTGCTTTCCTGTGTCTCTGTTATCTGATAAGACTATGTCTACTCTTCCCTTCGAGCTGGAGCAAGATATTTTTGAAATCGCTGCCACCAGTGACCGTTGGTCAGCCTTGAGTCTGGCTTTGGTCGCTCGACGAGTACGGTTCTGGTGAGTCGGTGCTCTATGAAACGAAGAGGAACATTTTTGTTATTTTTTTCTACCACAGGGTAGAACCTACCATTTACAAGTGCGTCGCACTCAAATATGACAATAGCGAATCAGCAAGAGTTTTGGAGGGATTTATTTCTGCCCTCAAAACCAAGCCCGCCACATTTTTTGCTAGATATGTCAAGACACTTCTCCTCTCTGACATTCCGACGTGTCACGTTATGGAGATCCTCGCAGTCTGCACTGGCCTAACAGATCTTAGAGTCTGGCCACATACTCCGTCACCCATCGCCCACTTCGTCGTCACCACCTCCATCCGCCCCACTCATCTGTCTTTTTCTGCCGAGCACGTTGCTGCACACCGCCGCGCTCCCGACTTTGCGCTCCCATTTTACCAAGAGGTCACGCATCTGGAGCTGCATGATACCTGGGGGCAGTTAATGACCTGGGCACCAAACTTTGCAATGCTCCCGCAGCTGACACACCTCGCTCTCGTGTTCGGTTTCCCATTCTCGTGCGGCTCTATAGTTAACTATGTCCTAAATGCCATATTGGCAAATTGCAGCAAGCTGAAGGTCTGCGTACTTCGTTGCATGCTCAGCGAGGATGAACTTCGGTTTGGGCAAGGTGCAGCGATTGCCCAGTCCATCACAGATCCCCGTGTTGTGGTCGTGCCATGGCGCCGCTCACAGACGAGGTGGGCGGGTGGTTTGTGGAATGAGAACGCAGATTTGTGGAACCGAGCTGAGGTCATCATGAACACACGATGATGTGATAGAAGAGGTCGGCCCATGGCGCCAATCTCAGCATTTCAGAATAATACGTTTTCATCCTGTAGTGCTGGTAGGATGAAGATGCCAAAGGACACCATTTATGTACCTACAGTATATTATGACAACTATACACCGCTATACGTTACTGTAATATTTGTACTGTTGACATAGAGACTATACGGGAATTGTATAGAAATTGGATGAAGACGGTACTTAAATTCCTCGACGTCGCAAGCCAAGAACTGTAGTACCACACACCATATACCATCGACCTACCTTGGAGTTGGTTGAGTGTAACTAGTTCGAAAACAATGCTGTACGTCCTGCTCACTATACCATCTGATGGCAGGGGCAGGAAATACTTATTATTCACAGCTGTTTGCATATAAGGATGATGGAAATTCATATCCAATTTTACATCACCCATATATCCAACCATGAGCTGCAATGCCGTCCACAACAGGATATGGCTCTCTGTGAAGTAAATACTCGGATGTAAACTGCTGTAAATATTATCCGATGCGGTTGGGTGACCCCTGGCACGACCATTATTTACAATCCGAATCCTCTACGGGGGATAGTAGACGTTTTGGAGCTAGTAAGTACCGACGATCTGGATGAAACAGATCCGGGAGTTTCCAACTCGTCGACGCGATTGGACCTCGATTAAGTATGATATATCGGTCATAGTAATGTTTGATGCTGATCGACGCAGTGAGAAGAAGCTGCGGTTAGACATACTGCATGCCTCCAAGCTTAGCTTGATAGTTTGTGTACTGCAAAGAATCTGATCAAGTTCAAGATGCTAGCGCGTTGAAATTGATTGGCGCCACTGCAGTGCACGTGCTTCGCGGAGTCCTAATTCGCGACGCGTGCTGACCGCGTCGCGTTTTGTCCGGTCGAAGTGCTCAGGGTGCCTCAGGTGCAAAGGTCTGTTTAGGGCTCCTTATTTCCAAATCGTTGTTCTTGCGCCTGTATTCATTGACATCCTTATAATTCCGTTACGCTATAAGCCAAACGAGCAAGTTTGACCTCGAGGGTCAGACTTTCCGACATTCTTCAGCAGCAGCATGCGAGTTCTCTGTGTAGCAGAGAAGCCTTCCATCGCTCGGTCAATCAGCTCAATTCTCTCTGGTGGTCGTCTGGAAACAGTGAGTTGGACCTTTCTGCGTCCTACCATTCTTAAATCCATACGGTCCACTCCCAGCGTGCAACGTCCAATAGATTCATCAAGAACTTCGATTTTGATTATCCACAGACCCAGTCACATTTTACAGTAACCTCCGTCTCTGGCCATTTGCTAGCTCACGACTTCCCGGACGAGTATAGGCAGTGGAATGCTTGTGACCCTATCACGCTGTTCGATGCACCTATTCAGACCACTGTACCCGCAGACAGCAAGAGTATCGAGCGCAATCTCTTGACTGAAGCACGTTCAGCAGATACCCTTATGATCTGGACAGATTGTGATCGCGAGGGAGAAAACATTGGGAGCGAGATTGTCAAGGTATGCAGGAAATCGCGCCCACAAATCGTTGTGAAGAGGGCTAGGTTTAGTGCTATCATTCCTCAGTGCGTCCCCGATAATTGGCCAGAGTTTTTCACTAACAGAGGTTCGTGGTAACAGACAAATTCATCGTGCTGCTCAGCACCCCGTCGAGCTTGACATGGCCCAGGCCCATGCTGTCGAAGCGCGCATCTTCCTTGACCTAAGAATAGGCGCTGCATTTACGCGTATGCAAACTCTTACATTGCAGACGCGGCTCGCCCAGTTTCGTGAAAAAAGAGAAGTCGTTTCGTATGGTTCGTCCATCACTGAGCCACTCGTTTTCAAATGTCACATTTCTGAGAGCAGGTCCTTGTCAATTTCCGACCCTCGGGTTTGTCGTCCAAAGATACAATCAAGTCAAGTCCTTCGTGCCTGAAGACTTCTGGTACATACACCTTTCTGTGGATCGTGATGACATGAAGGTCGACTTTAACTGGAAAAGAGGGCACTTATTTGAAAACGATATTGTTGCTGAGATATATGAGGAGGTTTCGCAGAGTCCCACTGCCAGAGTGGTGAAGGTGACACAGAAGGATGTGAAAAAATAGTGAGTTTTGTTTCTTAGTCGGTTGAATTGCACTAGACCGGGTTGAACATCTTAGCAAACCACTCCCGCTAACCACCGTAGAGCTGCAGAAGGCTGGATCCAGACTGTTAAGGCTAGCTCCAAAAAAGGTCCTCGATGTGAGCTGAATCAACATTGAGACGCTCCTATTTTTCCACCTGACTGGTCATACTCATCCAGATCGCGGAGAAGCTTTACCAACAAGGCTTCTTGTCCTACCCACGCACTGAAACAGACCAGTATGATCCTCAATTCAATTTCATGACACTCATCGAAAAGCAAACCGCCGATCCTGCTTGGGGAGGATTTGCTACTGGGTAGGCTTCCCAACATTTTTGCGCGCACTATACTTACACCACGCCTCCAGTCTGCATCAAGGCAATTTCAATGCTCCAAGGCGGGGCAAAAACAACGACAAGGCCCATCCGCCCATCCACCCCACTGCTCATGCAGGGAACCTTGCTGGTGACGAGAAGAAGGTCTACGAGTTCATCACCCGGCGCTTTCTTGCAAGTTGTAGCAAGGATGCAGAAGGCAAAGAAACAATTGTGCAAGTGGATTATGGTGGTGAAGAGTTTAATGCGACCGGTTAGTACCTCTGCTGTGACCATAACATGTGCTCATGCCGTTGCAGGATTGATTGTTCTTCAGAGAAACTACCTTGAAGTATACCCATACGACAAGTGGTCGGCAAAGGAGATACCGAACTTCGAGGAAGGCGAGGAGTTCGTTCCTACGGTATGTGAAGTCAAAGACGGTCAAACTTCGTCGCCGTCACTCCTCACCGAGGCGGACTTGGTCACCCTCATGGACAAGAACGGCATCGGTGTGTTTCCGCACGTATCGTTGTTGTTAGATCCATTCTGATTATCTGTCATTCTGCAGGCACTGATGCTACGATTGCTCAGCACATCCAGACGATTATCGACCGCGAGTATGTCATCGAACGCATGGACGGTGCAACAAAGCATCTTATGCCCTCGACACTCGGCATCGGGCTTATAGAAGGATACAATGAAATTGGGTTTGAGAGAAGCTTATCGAAGCCGCAGCTCAGGCGCGAAACCGAACGCGGCATGGTTCGAGTTTGCGAAGGCACGAAGTCCAAAGCAGAGATGCTCACCGAGAGCATCGAACAGTACAGGGAGATGTATGTTCTGGCAAAGAGAGAGTTCGATAAGGTTGTTTCTGTAGGTTGTCTCACTACCTCACTGCTGTCGTCTCGTTCATACTGCATTTTAGAGCGTGCGAAGGTATATTGAACGCAACGCAGGTGCAAATCAGGGCGGTGCAGGCGGCAACGGCGGGGGCGGGGGAAGGGGCAGAGGTGCGGGAAGAGGTGCGGGAAGGGGTGCGGGAAGGGGTGCGGGAAGGGGTGCGGGAGGGGGTGCGGGAAGGGGTGCTGGTCGAGGAAACGATAATGATGATGACGACGACAATGGAGGACTCCCACAAGGAGGTGCAGGTCGTGGCCGCGGCCGAGGACGCGGACGGGGTGCTGCAGCCCCAATACCCAGAGGGCGTGGACGAGGCGCTGCCAGGGCAGCTCTGCCGCCACCTTCCAACGACATTGATGGTATGCAAAATTATGTTATGAGGGATGAAAGTTGATATGATTCTCTAGACTTGGATGATGATATGCTCCCACCTCCCCCATCACCTCGAAGCCGATCACGGGCATCCAATGTAGTATCGAAACCTAGCGCTCCTGTTTCGCGGACAACTTCTTCTGGAAGTAAACCCTCATCGTCGCGGGTGAATGCCCCGGCAGCCGCCCCACGATCCAATCCGTTGCCTTCCTCAAGCACGACGCCCGAATGTGAATGTGGTGTTCCATCTCAGCGCAAAATAGTCACGCAGAAGTCAGCCCGTGAAGGTAAAGAGTTCTATGCTTGCGGGGTCGGTGATGGCTGCGGGTTCTTCAAATGGTGTGAAGATGGACCGGTCGGTTTGCCTGCAAATCCGGTTCCCCTCGTCTCCGTTCCTCTCATCCCAGCAAAGCGCGCATTGGCTAGCGAACGTTCGGTGAGTTCATGTTTTGTATCGCGTCGTGTTTCATACAAAGCCTTGTGAGCTTAACCAGGTCGACGCTCTTGCACGTCAATGCCAATGTCGTGAAGACGCAGCACGGCGCACCGTCACTAAGGAGGGACCAAATAAAGGACGAATATTCTGGGGATGTCCCAAAGGAAAGGACGATGGGTGTGGATTCTTCGAGTGGGACGATGAACCTTCCAAACCTCAGAGCGCTGCTGCTCCACGCCCCATGTCGTTCCGATCGGGAAGCCAAAATGATCCAACTTCCAGTAGCGGAAAGTGCTTCAAGGTTCGTGTGTGCGTGTAACCACAAGGTCTTGAGAAACTAAGCTTCCATGTAGTGTGATCAAGTAGGCCATTGGGCGTCTGGTGAGCATCATTACATGGCGTTGGCAGGGGACACTAATCAAATTTAGCGTGTCCAAATGGTGACGTGGCTGGTCGCTCGAAACCGGCGTCAAAGGCAGGAGGATCAGCGTCCAGTGATACGTGCTTCAAGTGTGGACAGACAGGGCATTGGACTTCTGGTATGGTGCTGTATCTCTACATAGATGCCCCATTCACTCATGATATGATAGAATGTCCTGATAATGGTGGACCTGGTCCATCGAAGCGCGCGAAACCTACTTCAAGAAGTGCGAAGTCTTCCACTTCCCGAGGAAGAGGTGGGAAGAGAGGTGGGAAGAAAGGGGCCTTCAAGACAAAAGGAGGGACGTTTGGCGCTCCAGATGATTTCTGAGGCAGTTGGAAAATACCGCTCGGAATGGAACCAACTTTACTGTGTTGCTCTTTTAGATTTGCCATTGACTGTACTCAGACTCCAAGCCAGCGGCGAGTCACTCCGACAATATACAGTCTCGACAGTAACATGTCTATCCTTACATAATGTTTAGTTATGCCTTCTCAGGTGTTGCAGCTGCTGGGGGCTCGACCTCCATCCTGTGGTAGATGTCAACACCGGCGAGAGGTGCATTAGTCATCATGGGTACTCACAGAGTCTTATCCTCGTCCGTGTGGTCGGTGACGCGAAGGTACACCATGGGTGCAGAGAAGACCATGCCAGCGACCATCAGGCACCAGGTCGACAGGAAGATGTTCATGTATCTAAAGTGCTGGTCCAGCGGCGGCTTGTTCACAGATGAATAATGAACTCACGAGATTCCAACGGCATCGGCACGGTAAATGCCTGCTGCACCCGCCGATTGCAAGGACTTGTCTACATGGTTTTGGTCAGCATCAAACTCGAACTTTCATTTCAAGGCTAATACGCACAGAAGCCAGTGAACACGGCCAGCTTAGCAGGGTCGTTCGACATCGCGCCCATCAGCCAGTATGCATACGTCTGCCACATTGAATCAAGGAAGCCATGGAATATCATAAGCCAGACATGGGGAACGTAATTTTCGTCCATGATGTCGATCTTGTAAGCATCCTTCGCGCCCGTTTCAGCGCGAATATATGTCCTAGGGGACGCTTCCATTGTAAATTGGGGCATGTAGTACGGCAAGATGACCTACTTCTGGTAGAAATACGCCCAGACATGGGCAACGAAAACCATGAAGAATACAAGGGTCCAACCGTAAAAGGCACGGACTCTACGTCGGACCGTCTTCTGGTCAAGGATAAAGTAACCTATCAAGACGGATCCGAAGATCTGCGCTGTCCAGGACATGACGTTGTTGAGGCTCCGTGCACGAATGGTAAATATTGCGCCGTTGTAATCATTGTATTCTGCGCAATATATCAGCAACCGCGCTAATGCCAGGCACAATACGAACCCCAGGCATAGCAGAAATTACTGGCGAGGAACATCGGGAAGAGGAGGATAATCCAAGGGTCGGTCTTCAGGGCCACGTACAGGCTGAACAGCTCCGTCTTCCAAGATGTGTGGCTGACCTGATTCACGCGAGTCCCGTCCGTACGAATCATATTGTCTGGGTTTGCCATCAACAGCGGGAGAAATACACCGATGAGGGTCACAATTAGGAAGATAACCTCAGGAGGTGTCAGTCTAATGGCAGGGGACAATCGAATGACATACATATGTGCCAGTGCTAACTGAGAATATCAAAATTGGTCAGTTAGTACGCCGTCAGGCTATAACCATGGTGTGCCCTATCCCTTACCACTGTTGGCCTGACGGTGGAAAATATGAGCACGTCTTCCCATTCACAAACGTCACGAGTATCACGCACCGTATTGTTGAAATTGGTTCCAAATGATACAGCAGAACCCAGAACCCCTCCAAGACTCATAATGGACCAACTGATAGATACGAACATGCCCTTCTGAGCCTCAGTAGGGTACGCCATCATCAAAGAACCCTGAGCGGTCCAAAGCAAAGCTGCACAGATACCAAGGATGGCACCGGCCGCTTCAACGAAAGCACTCGCACCTGCCCCAGGATGAATGCTGACAGCACTGAAGTGCAAGGTTTCAGTAAAATAACAAGGTCGATTAATAAGTCATCTTACAGGAACGAAGCAATGTACAACGAGTAGCCCCAAGTTCCAAGCATCAGCGTCCGCCGAGGACCAAGGAAATTGTTGATAGAACTGCAACGGCATTAGTCGTCATAGGTCAACGCGACGACCTTGGATTACCCAGAAAACAACCCAAAAAACACAAAAGTCGAGTACAAAATCGCGCTAGCGTTGGCCTGGACCGTGCCATTGACTTGGCCTCCGCCACCGAGACCAGTGAGCGCAAGGAACATACCGGGGCACATGAAACACACGAGTCCCAGCATCGACACCTGGGTGACGGGGTGGTAGTAATGTCTCCTCCATCCCGTCGGACGGTCAAAGACCTCTGCATGCGCCCGAGACATGGTAGTTAGAAGATACAGTGGACAAGAAGGAACGAATTTCTTTCTTCTTTCCTTCTATACGGTCTGCCTAGGGGATAAGATGGTATGCGGATTCTGCGAGCCGCAAAGATGAATGGTGCGTAATAGTTCGACCGACAGGAGAGACGGTCGTGTCAAGATTATGATCATGACAAGAATTTGAAGTTCGCCGCCCGGCGGCGGTGACTGTTTGCAGTAAAATGTACCTCTCTGAGTCGAATCATTATTCATGAATCACATGGAGCGATATTGATGTAATATTTGTCAGTGGAACGGAAGGGGCTACCCTGATCTGTGAATGGATGACCGGTTCGCGTTATCCACTGCAGCTGCCGGAAGTTCGATCCTTTACATGATTCACATTCTGCTCAGGTGTCAACTCCTGTATGACCGTGTGATTGGTGACGAGAAGGTACACTATTGGTGCAGCGAAATCATGCCAGCGAAGGCGCTACATCGACAGGAAGGTGTTCGTGTATTTGAAGTACCGGTACAGCGGCTTGTTCACATAGAGGCACGATAAACTCACGATTCCAGCACACCAGACGCACCCGCCGATTTCACGGACTTATCTGCATGGTTCTTGATCAGAATCACTCAGCCACGTGGATCGAACTTCATTACAAGGTCAATATGCGCAGAAGTCAGTGAGCACAGGATAGCTGAAAGTGAAATGGAACGAAGGCCTGTGTGACAGAACTGCGCCCAGTGTTTGCCGAATGTGTGCTACATAGCGCAAAAGTCTTGCAAAGAACACTCCCTTTGTCTCTTTCCACTATAAAGATTGAGGTCTGTTGAGCGAATCAGTCACCATTCGGTCCTTGATAAGGTGGACTTACCCCTCACTCTAGTTCACGACTTTCTTGAAAGCCTCATAGCAAGATATAATAACAGCCCCATTATCCGACAGCTCATGCCTTCACTCCAACGGCGATCAGGTCTTGGGATATCAGGGATGTGTGCATAGACGGTGGTTGGTGCCTCGACCCTCCTGCAACAGTGGTGAGGAGTGCGGCTGTAACCTCAACTTTGTAAAAAGAAAGGGGAAAAATTGGTGCGGTGCCCTTCATAGTGATTCCGGCCACGACCGGAATCAAGGGGACGCTGACCGAGGGTTTGTTGGCGAGTCTGATTATTTGTAGCGAAAGCAGCGATGGGCCCATCTGCAATGAGCTGCGGTTCGGCATCTGAGATCTGAACTGTCCATGTATCGCTTGTCTTCCTGCACAAGAAGCAAGGTTTCGTTTTCGTCGATGATGCACACTCCGTTTTGGCTTGCCTATTTTCGTACTATTTTCAGCACAAATGACGAGAAGAGTCCTTCATTGTCCTTAAAACCCTTCCTCTCCGCGTAGCCCAGTGCAAGTGACAGAAGTACGGCAAAGCCATTGACAGCAGATTCCTCTGCTAGTGCAGGAGACATAGAGAGGTCCGTGGTACGAAGAAGCTCGTAAACGCTATCGTCGTTGGGCTCTGAAGCCTTGAGGATATCTGGACTAACGGCACTAAGCTGGGGATTGTTGAAAAAGGTGGCAGCGTCCTGGTAATAGACCGTAATGTTGTAGGCTACCAGCTCAGTTCTCGTCCTACCAGATTTGACGCTACATATAGGGGCAGCCATGCTAACGACAAAGGAATTGCCAAAGCTTGGCGATTGAAGGATTAGTGATGAATAATTAAGCCTACCCAGTCGAAAACACCACTTCAACAACAGGTGCGGGAGTGCAGTCTATCTCGGGTGAAGTTACCCAAATAATCATCAGTGATTAGTAAGCCACTTTATTTGGGGAAGTCGACAGGGGCGTGCGTCTATTCCCAGAGCTAGGGCCCGAGGCGAATAGGGGTGATGCACTCGTAGAATCGGAATCTTCAACACGGGTGAGTACTAGTCGTTTCCATGTTTCAATTCAGATCTGATTGTCTTCGAGGTGTTTTCTCACTGGTAACTTTGACCACCTGCGACGCTCTGGAGCGGCAGGTCACTGAGAGGTGTCTTGGTTTCCCATTCCTCGATGGCGAGCTGTGGCTTGGGCCATGGTGTTGATGCAGCAGGAATCCCTGCGCGGCGATGGAGGTGCAGGCTTCTTTGACATAACCTTATTCTCACCAGAACATGACGTCGAATCCGATTGCTGTAAAATACAACTCTAGTACCGTATCGTAATGTACCGCAGCTGCTATAATCGATCTGTCCGCCCTCGCGATTTGTGTGGGTTTGCCATGAACAGCGGGAGAAACACGCTGATGAGGGTCAAAATCAGAAAGCAAACTCAAAGAAGTGTCCATCTCTGCTGACAATAGATTATCGAATGACATACATATGTGCCATTGCTAACTGAAGGTGTCAAAATCCAAAATCCGGCATCTCCAGCATCAAGCTCATGCAATGGTGTGCCCCTGGCCTCTTACCGCTGTCGGGCTGACAGTGGAGATATGAGCACATCTTCTCAATCACAACCCATCACTCAACGTACTCGTGAAATTGGTACTGAATGCTACAGCAAAGCCCACAACCCCCCCCCCCCCCCCCCCGAGACTCAAGATGGGTCAACTGATAGATGAGAACATGCTTTTCTGAGCTTCGGTAGGGTATGCCATCGTCAAAGAGCCCTGAATGGTCCAAAGCAAAGCTGCACATATACCAAGGATGGCACCAGCCGCTTCAACGAAAGCACTCGCACCTGCCCCAGGATAGAATCGATTAATAAGTCATCTTACAGGAACGAGGCAGTATACAATGTGCAGCCCAAGTTCCAAGCATCAGCGTCCGCCGACGACCAAGGACATTGTCGATAGAACTGCAACGGCAACAGCGACTACCTTGTCTTAACCAGAGAATAACCTAAAAATGCAAAAATCGAGTACAATATCGCGCTAGCATTGCCCTGGACTACACCCTTGACTTGGCCACCACCACCGAGACAAGTAAGCGCAACGAACATGCCAGGGCACATGAAGCACACCGGTCCCAGCATCAAAGCCTGGGTGACAGGGTGATAATAGTATCTCCTCTATCCCGTCAAACGGTCAAAGATCTCTGCGTGGTGAGAACCGGAGTCTTCGCTGCTGCCAAGTTTGCCGACCTCTTTTTGTACCTCAGACATGACAATGGGACGGGCAGCAAAGCGGACCGCGGTGTCTTCATTATCAAGTACTCATGTGGTCAAAACGTCCATATGAATCACACACATCCATAGGCACGACGTACCTTGAAGCCTGAACTTCGAAACGGCTCAAGCAATGCTTGGAATTGAAACTTAGCGTTTGCTGAAATGTGAGTTACGTGGTCAAAATCTGTGCATAGCTCCAACATGGCTCTCCGCATTAGTAGATACGGAAGCACATCAATATGATTCCAACGATTTCATCACGATCATAGTAGGTTGTGCATCGTGGTGAAAAACAGGATTCAGGAAGTTGCAAAGCCTTGCAAGCGACTGAGGCTGAAGCAAAGGTGCCACCAGTGGTCTCAAGATGGTATGACGATACTTATGCATCTGTCCCCTCGCTGGACAATCAGACAAACGTGTGGTAGTTCGCTAGCAGACCGGATTATCAAAGGAAGATGTGACATAACCTTAGTACGTGACGGCGGGACGTACATAATTTGAAATTCGCCACTGACTATGCCGCATCGGGTACTGCTACCGCACTCGTCCCTGGCCACTGACTCCTGCAGTAAATTTCAGCTCTCCGGAATCTCATGGAATGGGCTGCCCAGTGACTATGGTGCTACAGATGTAGTATCGAAGCATGATTCAGGAAGCAGTTTACATTGGCTTGTACTCTGATACATCATGTGTGTCCGAGTTCGAGTCAGTGAAACCGAAGAGGCTTTGCAGGGTCCGTCAAGGGTTCGTGACTAGTAGGAATAATTGTACAATGCTTGGCTACCCTGACATAGTCTGACCGAGGCTAGCCGGTTTGTGATCGGGTAACGTTATTTTATGTTTGAAGTTTTCTTTTCTCTTTCGTTGACTCCTCTGGCAACTCCAGCACCAACCACACTGACCATTCACTAAAGTCAAACTCGGAGATTTATCTCGACTCTCCAGATGACAAGCCACTCATTTAACCAGTCTTTCCTTTCAATCTGTACCATATCTCAGGACAGCACAGGCTCCTTGCGCAAGGGTAGCTTTGAGACGAACTTCCATATAGAGGCAAAACAAATTGTCGAGGAGTTCAATCCGGGAGAACGAGCGCGCATTCTGCGCAAGCTCGACTGGCACCTGTTGCCATTCGTTTCGTTGTTGTACATGCTGTCATTCTTGTGAGTTGAATGTATATATTATCTAGTGTCGGTTCACATTTGCGCTGCATTCAGAGACCGGACCAATGTTGGTAAGTTGGGGCGTGTACCTCATCCTGTCTTTTCATCACCATCACTAGGAAACGCGAAAGTCGCTGGCATGTCTCAAGACCTGCATTTGACTGGCTTCAGGTACAACATCGCTGCGGCCGTCTTTTTTGTGCGTAATACTATCACTATCGTTCCACTAAATGCCGAGGTATCATCTCTAGATTCTGTACAGTTTTGCCGAGGTTCCCTCGTATGTTCAACTTAATCAAGAGTAACGTGTCCATTCTCAATGTTTGTATAGGAACATCGCGCTCAAGCTATTCAGACCATCGCGCTGGAGTACGTTAACCTGTGCTTCTTTTTTCTCATCGCCTGACGTCAATCCAGTACCAATTATCATGGTCGCATGGGGTCTTGTGATGACCCTCATGTGTCTCGTCGATTCGTTTCGATCTCTCGTCGTGTGCGTAAGGCGTACCTAAATGATGACAACGGACACACTAAACTATGCGACGGTAGAGCTCGGCTGTTCCTTGGCTTGACAGAAGCAGGACTATTCCCTGGAGTGACCTACTACATATCTCTCTGGTATCCCCGATCTGAACAGTCAAAACGAATTGCTATATTCTTTTCTGCAGCGACAATCGCAGGTAGGCAACATGTAACTAAGCACTAGCTTTATTTTTGTTTATATTTTCTTTCGTTATCAGGTGCTTTCGGCGGACTCCTTGCGTAAGTCTTTTACCTTTCCTATCAACGTTGTCGGGCTTGACCTTTTCATGCATACAGGTATGGTATCGAGCGGATGGAGGGGTAAGAAATCCATGGCCCTTTCCAGCCCACACTGATTTGTTTATTAGTATTGGAGGATTGCACGGTTGGCAATGGATCGTATGTTCGCAAATTTTCACACTGTGAGGTCACTAATTTTACGTACACTGCCAGTTCTGCTTAGAGGGCATTGGTAAGTTGCGCCAGATCTGAGGCAGTTCAAATGTTCATCCTCAATCAGCCACCCTTCTCGTGGCATGTTTCTCTTTTTTCTGCATGCATGATGTAGGTTCACGTCTTTGTTGTACCTTTCAATGAGTGATCGAAACTTCTTAGTATCCCGAAACGGCCACGTTTTTGACCTGAGCCGGAGAGAGCATACGTCATAAATATGCTCAAGCAGGATGCAGATTGTCTCGCCACTCACTACGATCTTCGATTCATTTTGCAAGCCATGAAAGACTACAAGACTTACATTCAAGTTTTCACATATATGGGGTACTCCCTGCCTCCTCTTATCTTGCATTCATGAGCTGAGTCTCTCATCAGTTTGCTTGTCCCTGTTTATGCTATCGCTCTCTTTACCCCAACCATCATCAACGAGCTCGGCTACTCGGCTACCCATGCTCAGCTGCTCTCAGTCCCACCATTTATTGCTGGCTGTATTACCACAATCCTAGTTGGAGTCTATTCTGACAAGTACAATCTTCGTGGCCCGTTCATCATAGGTGGCGCCTTGGTGTCTATTGTGGGATATATCATGCTTTATTGCGACAGACAAGCAGGCCTGTCGTATGCTGGAACTTGTCTAGCTGCTATTGGTGTCTATCCCACCATCGCAGTTGATCTCGCTTGGGCAGGCTCGAATGCAGGAGGCGACTTCAAGCGTGGAGTCGTGATAGCGATGGTCATTGGCATTGGAAACCTTGGAGGGTGCGTCATGTTATCACAAATATATGCATCGTCTGCTCAACCCTGCCTTAGTATTTGCTCCTCCTTCATTTACATCGATCCGCCACATTTCCACGTTGGGCATGGCACCATCATAGGATTCCTCTTTCTCTCGTATGCCTCTCAGTTTTCTGAACTGCAATATCAACTTACAGGTTTTATAACAGAATTTCATTGAGCCTGTTCTCTATGTGGAACTACGACCGGCTTAACAAAAAGAAACAAGCGCAATGTCTCGCGGAAGGTATTACTGACAGCAGGAGAGATGACTTCAAGGACATGGGCGATGCCAGTCCGCTGTTTAGGTGAGCTCCGTAATTTATCCGCAACCTTCGCTGATCCGAGTATGCAAGGTATGCCATATAAACCATACGCTTACCTCAAGCCATTCCTACCTTAACTGTACATGTTAAGAATAATACTCTCATTTGTGATCTACATACTAGAGGTTGAATACACTACGTACTATACGTTGTCTTCGTGAACAACAGAACTTGCCAAAACCAAACAATTATGTCAGCTCGAGTGCAGGTCAGCCACAAACCAAACTACTAAAAATATTTTGTCAACAGTTTGAACATTGGCTTAGACTTGGCTTAGACCACACTGAACTTCGGGATGCATCTATACAACCTAACGCTCCAGCCCCCGACGACAGCTGCTCAAGCTATCGTTGGTAATTTTTCTGGCGCCCGAATCCAGGAAATAATCATCTCTCGTGGCACCCGACTGGAGCTCTTGCGCCCAGATGTTCAAACTGGAAAACTATCAACAGTTATTGCTTCAGATGTCTTTGGCTCTATCCGCTCTCTAGCAGCTTTTCGTTTGACAGGCAGTACCAAGGGTGAGCCCCTCGTACGTATCATTTTTTGCTTTCATCTTATTTATACTCTGTTCTCAGACTACGCAATCGTAGGCTCAGACTCTGGCCGCATTATCATTCTCGACTATGATCCCAAGTCGAGCAGTTTCGTAAAGCTGCATCAAGAAACTTTTGGCAAGTCTGGATCGCGACGCATCGTGCCCGGACAATACCTTGCGACGGACCCCAAGGGCCGTAGCGTGATGATCTCAGCAGTCGAGAAGGCCAAACTCGTGTACATCTTGAACCGAGATGCTGCAGCCAATCTCACGATTTCGTCCCCGTTGGAAGCGCACAAGAATAATGCGATCATTCACCATATCGTTGGCCTTGACGTGGGCTTTGAGAACCCATTGTTTGCTGCTCTCGAAGTCGACTACTCTGAGTCTGATCAAGATCCTACAGGGGAAGCATTTAACAATGCCGAGAAGGTGTGTGTAGTGATTTTCAAATGTACGAGTACTTATGAGTACCTAGATGTTGACATACTACGAACTTGATTTGGGTCTCAACCATGTCGTTCGAAAGTGGAGTGAACCCACCGATCCACGTGCCAATTTACTGGTTCAAGTTCCCGGTGGTCAAGTCGCATCTACAGATCGTTTTGATGGACCGTCCGGTGTTCTGGTTTGTTGTGAAGACCATATTATCTACCGACACATGGATCGACCACAACACCGTGTTCCTATTCCACGAAGACAACATCCTGTTGAAGATCATAAGCGAGGCATCATCATCGTCACGGCCGTCATGCACAAAATGAAGGTTAGTCCTTTGGAGCTTCTTACCATATCTTGCTTAATATGTTTTTGTAGGGTGCTTTCTTCTTCCTCCTGCAAAGCGAGGATGGTGACCTTTTCAAGGTCACGATTGACCACGAAGAGGACGAAGTAAAGGCATTAAAAATCAAGTATTTTGACACTGTCCCTGTGGCATCCAGTCTTTGTATTCTTAAATCTGGTTTCCTTTTCGTTGCATCCGAGTTCGGAAATCAGTACGTCTCTCAATTTATCGTCTCGCGAGATTCTTTTCTAATCTTTCTTTCAGTTATTTGTACCAGTTTCAGAAATTGGGTGACGACGACAATGAACCTGAATTCAGCTCGACGTCGTATCCAGCAACCGGGATGGCGAACCCCACCATTGCCTTACCTCATGCGCACTTCCGGCCACGACCGCTGGACAATCTCGCACTCGCGGACGAAATGGAATCTCTGGACCCGATAATAGACTCCAAGGTGATGAACCTATTACCAAACTCAGATACGCCCCAGATTTTTACCGCCTGTGGACGTGGAACACGAAGTTCTTTCAGAACACTTCGTCACGGTCTTGACGTCGAAGAATCTGTCAGCTCAGAGTTGCCTGGTATTCCCAATGCGGTTTGGACGACCAAGCGGCGTGAGGACGGTGAGTATTTTTTCCGTGGATGCTCTTGAATATCCGTTGATGACTACTTGCAGACGAGTTTGACACTTACATTATTCTCTCGTTTGTCAATGGAACTCTCGTACTTTCCATCGGAGAAACTATTGAAGAAGTGCAGGACACCGGTATCCTGTCATCAGCGCCCACTCTTGCTGTCCAGCAAATTGGTGCTGACGCCCTCCTGCAGGTGCATCCACATGGCATTCGTCATATTCTAGCGGATCATCGCGTCAATCAGTGGTCAGCACCTCAAGGAAAGACCATTGTCACCGCTACGACCAACAAACGTCAAGTGGTTGTTGCTCTGAGCTCTGCTGAGCTTGTTTACTTCGAGCTTGATCTTGATGGCCAACTGAACGAATATCAAGATCGGAAAGCTATGGGTTCAACTATCACAGCTCTAAGCATAGCTGAGGTACCTGAAGGGCGCCAAAGAACACCCTATCTGGTAAGCCATATCAAATGAAGGTTTATCACTTCCTCACACGTTCCTAGGCTGTTGGATGTGAAGATCAGACCGTTCGAATAGTGTCGCTGGACCCCGAGAGCACACTGGAAACCATCAGTTTGCAGGCATTGACAGCACCGCCGTCAACTATTTGCATTGCTGACATGTTGGACGTGAGTATCAACAAGACTCAACCTACCATGTTTGTCAACATTGGTCTTCAAAATGGTGTTCTTCTGCGGACAGTCCTTGATCCTATCAACGGTCAACTAACTGATACTCGGACTCGGTGAGTTGTTCCGCTAATCGGCGAATCGTGGCTAATCGTTTACAACTAGGTTCCTCGGGAATCGGCCAGTCAGACTGGTACGTGTTCAAATCCAGAGGAATCCGGGCATCCTAGCGCTCTCGTCGAGGTCATGGTTGAACTACACGCATCAAAATCTCATGCATTTTACGCCTTTGATTTTCGATAACTTGGACTACGCATGGAGCTTCTCCGCTGAGCTCAGCCCTGAGGGCCTCATTGGCATAGCTGGTAGTGTTCTTCGGTGAGTGATCTTGTCCATCACGTCCTGTCGAAGATGCGAATAGAGATACCGGACGAGCCTCCAAGGAGGACATGCCGAATCATTTTGAATACCAATTGTTCCTACTGAGACTTTCTTCTTTCGTTGTTTGCTAAATCGAGTCTGACTACTGTTTTTGTTTCTTTTTCAGCATCTTCCAGATACCAAAGCTGGGCATGAAACTGAAGCAAGACTCGATTCCATTATCCTTGACCCCTCGGAGGTTCATCTCTCATCCCAAAAATCGTCACTTTTATCTTATCGAGGGAGACAACCGTGTCTTAGGCGACGAGGCCATCAATAAGCGCTTACAAGAGATGGTATGTTTTATCCACTATGTTGTGACTATTGGTCTTATCATTTTCTCAGCGGCAGGCAGGACAGCGGATTGATCAAGAAATGCTTGAGCTACCTTCTGAGATCTTTGGACGGCCGAAAGCGGCGGCAGGGAACTGGGCATCCGCAATCCGCATCATCGATCCTATTGAGGTGAGGTCGTATTAGAACTCATTGATGCGTGAACTCACATGCGTCTTCTAGGGCAAAACCGTTGCAACTGTAACAATAGACAACAACGAAGCTGCTTTCAGCCTTGCTTTCGTACCATTCGCTGCTCGCAACAACGAGCTACATCTCGTGGTAGGCACCGCGCAGGATACTTTCTTGTCTCCGCGGTCATGTACGAGTGGTTTCTTGCGAACTTATCGTTTCACCGATGATGGTGTGGGTTTGGAGCTTCTTCATAAGGTGAAGTAATATCTTGATGACTATCTCGTTTTGCTGATGCCTTCATATAGACTGAAACGGACGATGTTCCTCTTGCTGTGATGGGATTCCAAGGACGTTTGGTTGCTGGTGTTGGAAAGGCTCTTCGGATATATGAAGTCGGTAAGAAGAAGCTTCTACGAAAAGCAGAGAACAAAGTAAGCATACACCCAACTCATACGTTTACCGTGCTCACCTTCACATTTCAGACGTTTTCTACTGCAATCGTTAGCCTCACCACCCAGGGTTCCCGCATAATTGTTGGCGACATGCAGGAGTCAATACATTTCGCAGTATACAAGGCGCCAGAAAACCGACTGCTCATCTTCGCAGACGACACTCAACCAAGATGGATTGTTGCGGCAACGATGGTGGATTATAACACCGTCGCCGCAAGCGATCGCTTCGGCAACATCTTTGTCAACCGTCTTGATGCAAAGGTCTCTGACCAAGTAGACGACGACCCCACAGGTGCCGGTATCCTCCATGAGAAGGGTATACTGATGGGTGCCCCTCACAAAACGAACATGTTGTGTCACTTCCACATTGGTGACCTCATCACCTCGATACACAAAGTCTCGCTTGTTGCTGGTGGTCGAGAGGTGCTGCTCTACACTGGCATCCATGGCACCATTGGGATACTCGTGCCTTTCGTATCCAAGGAGGACGTAGATTTCATCTCAACGCTCGAGCAGCACATGCGTACTGAGCAGGGCAGTCTTGTGGGCCGGGATCACTTAAGCTGGAGAGGCTACTATGTACCAGTGAAGGCAGTTGTCGATGGAGATTTGTGCGAGACGTATGCTCGGCTGCCAGGGTCAAAGCAGAGTGCGATTGCTGGAGAACTTGACCGCACTGTAGGAGAGGTGCTCAAAAAGCTAGAGCAGTTGCGTGTGACTGCTAGTGGTTTCTAGGTGTTGTTTGCAGTCATATTGTAGTCTGCTCATTGTAATATTATACTCAACCAAACTATCTTTCTTTCTTGCGATTCGTCGACCGAATGAAGAAACAAAGTTGCTGAAGTGACGTTGCGGGGCGGAATGATTGCGGGAAGCTTGAAATACCCCATATAATCTGAACTCCCACCTGTGTCTTTCCTTCAGCCCCACACATCATAACCTTTGCACAAGGCCAGAATGTTGAACTTCGGTGTACGCAGTATCGTAAACACGTCTCGCGCGCGGGCACTCCAAGCAACGCGGTCGTACGCGACCAAGAAGGCCTCCCCTATGACCCTCAAGAACCACAAGGTGCTACTGACAGACTGAATCGCTGTTAATCCTCTCTGACAATGACGCGTATTTCCAACGCGAATATTATAGTACACCGTACACGCTACCGCTGCTGGACAGGGTCGCAATGGTGAGGTCAAGTCATTCGAGGAGACCCCTTTCTCTCTCCGCCTCGCAACGCCCAAGGCTATGGGCGGCAAGGGTGACGCTCAGAACCCTGAGCAGCTATTCGCTATGGGCTACGCATGTACGTAGGATGTCGAATTCGCGTGATCACTGAATAAGTATATGCGTCACGCATCTAGCATGTTTCCTCGGGGCCCTGCAGATGATGGCAGGCAAGATGGGAAAGAAAGACGCCGCAAGGAACGCCGTTATCCACACGACGGTGCATCTCGGACAGGCGGAGGGGCTTGGTGGGTTCGGGCTGGCCGTGGATATAAAGGTCGAGGGTGTGGAAGATGAGGAACTGATTAAGGCCGGTCACGAGGTGCGTTTTGCCTACTCACGCGTGTACTCCGGTACACACGCGGAGGGAGTCTGGTTTGTGACCTACTGACTGTGGTATTCCTCTCAGGCTTGCCCCTACAGTCGCGCGCTCACGCATGGCGCAGTTGTGAATGTTTCCAAGGCATAGTTGGCATTGTAGATTTCATGTGACTTATGGTTCCGGCGTATCAGAGAATGATGAAATGTAATGCACGCTGCACGTACGCTAAACATAACATCTTTAAATTCGTGGCCCAACCATTAACAAGTTCGTATGATACTACAAGTACACAATATTTCGGGGCTCGTGATCATTAACAAACGACGAGGGACGTTAAACAAAACCAATCAAAAAAGAGGTACATGCATGCGCAACGCTTTTACAAAACGCTCCTGTACCACTTGTTCTCGACACCATCAGCCATCGTCAAGTACGGCATTAAGTCGCTCGTCAAAAATTCGCTCGGCCATTGTTGCCTGATTTGATCCATGAGATATTTTGTAGCAATCTTCAAGTGATTGTCCTTGATGCCCGGGGCAATCTTCTTGATTCCCGGCACCTGCTCTGCGATGATGCGGTCGACATACTGCGGAGTAATCTGCTCTCCAGTGTCAAGACGTGCATCGTACTTCACCCACTGCCAGAGCTGCACGCGCGCAATTTCAGCAGTAGCAGCATCCTCCATCAAGTAGTTGACAGGGATACAGCCATTTCCGCCAATCCAGGCTCCGCAGTAGGCAAGAGCCACAGAGACATTGGAGCGAACGCCGTCCTCCGTGATCTTTCCGGGAACATTGTTGCTCAACAAGTCCGCGGCAGCGACTTTCACATCTTCACGTCGGACGTGATACTACAACCAATGCGTGAGCAATAAGAACAGGTAAAACAGTACCGCCGATGCGAACCTGGTTAGGACCTAGCATATTTTCGTCAAACACTTTGCGAGCAATATGATTGATCAAGGGGTGGGCAATCCAAGTGCCATCGTGCCCGGCGGTAACCTCGCGGAGCTTGTCTGCTCGAACCTTTTCCATCGCCACCTCGTTGGCTTTGGGGTCATCCTTGATAGGAATTTGAGCAGACATGCCACCCATAGCAGCGACCTTCCTCCTAAAAGTACAGTGAGCGCCTATGACCATACACACGGAAGGTGGCATTACCTGTGACAAGTTTGGATCAAAAGACGCACATAGGCATCCATGAAAGGCACCGTCATAGTGACATCCTTCCTGTCAGGTAACACGGCGCTTTTGTCTGCCCGGCGCTTCTTGATGGCACTGAATATATAATCCCATCTAAAAATATACACGTGAGTGAGTGACTGACCCATGACATGGATGCGCAACTATGTATACGCATATGGTTTGTCCTCACCTTCCGCAATTCAGTCCGGCAGAGTGGTTTCGTAGCTCGAATAGAATTTCTTCCATTTGGAACGCTGCGGGAAGCGTCTCGATGAGGACGGTTGCCCTGATCGTGTTGTGGGGTATCCCAATATAAGATTGAGAGAATAGGAAGACAGTCGTTCCACAGACGGGCTTCGAGGTAGTGCTCCATCTTGGGAAGATAGAAGTAGGGGCCTGAGCCACGCTTGATGAGCTCCCGGGCATTGTGGTAGAAGTAGAGGGCAAAGTCGAAGAGAGAACCCGAGATAGGGGTGTTGTCGACCGTGACACGCGTCTCGTCCAAGTGCCAGCCCCTAGGTCTAGACCGCAGAATGAACGACCAGATGCGGAGCCAGAAAATGATCACAAACGTACCGAACAAGAAGCGCCGCTGGATTCTCAGACAATTTGTATTGCTTCCCACCTGACTCGAAATCGATCTGACGCTTGATGGCGTCGCGCAAGTTGACCTGGCCATTGATCATGTTTGCGAACGTAGGAGCACTAGAATCTGGATATACTATATTAGCGTAATACTTGGCATCATGGACAGTCGCGAACCTTCAAAATCTGCCATGAAGGTCTTCGCACCGCTGTTCAGAGCGTTGATGACCATCTTCCGGTCAGTAGGACCGGTAATCTCTACGCGTCTATCTTCAAGGCCGGGTGCGGGGGGTGCACAGTGCCATGAGGGCTCAGAACGGATGTGTGCTGTTTCAGGAGGAAAGTCGAGAGGTACTCCTGAGTCAAACCTGCGCTGTGCAACATCGCGAGCGACCAGGAGGCTCTGTCTGGTAGACTCGAACGTCCTATGAATGGCAGCGAGGAAGGCAAGAGCGCCATCGGTGAGAATATCAGCTTGCGCCTTCTGGGCGACCTTTGTGTGAATCTGAACGCCTGCAACCATGATTGAGAAAGATGAGTACGGTTGTGGTAAGTTAGGAGATTGTGCATTATGTACTAGTCTCGGGACTCCGACACCGCTGGTCCTTCCGAGCCGACGTCATTCTGAGGCATGTGTTTATTTCTGACAACAGCAATTTACGGGACACTGGAATTGAACAGACCGTCGTTCCGCGACACACAAAGCCTACAGATAACCATAAGAAAGTATTGGATCTCTTGCGGGGCTCCGCCACTAGTTACTCCTTATCACGAGCTCTTGGAGCTGGTTTCCATTTCTACGGCGACTGGTTCCGAAGGCGCTGCCGAAAGGAACATTGGAATAAGTACAGTATCCTATCGATGGATATAAGTAGAACTCAACTCACCAATCATATTTTTCACCGTGCGTTCCCCGACTTTGATGACTCTCCGGCAGGCCATTTGCCACACCCCAACGCTCACGGAGCCTGGCCATGGTCATTCATTGAGCTTCGCGAACTAAAAGTGCTAATGACCGTGGGATTGCTAACCTTTAGGTGCGAAAGGAAACGCCATCCACCAGGCGAGTGGACCAAGCCAACCAGGAGGCAAGTAGAATACAGCAGCCTTTCGATACCACCAGCCAACGAAGAATGACAGTCCCGTCGTAAAGACCCACACCAGTGTGTTGAACTTGACTGAGAATCCAGTCTTGCTGGACGTAAGCTCCCCATCTATGAAAAATGTCAGTTCGTCGGCATAGTCCAGCGAGTCGTGGAGAGCACATACTGAGCTTCTCGAGCTCTGCTAGCCCTTTGTCAACAGTCCTCCTTAGCTTCGCCCACTTGGCAAATTGGTCTTGCGCGCTCGTTTGCAGCAGCTCTTTCTTCCCCGTGAGGAGCTCGGCTTTCAGCTGACGTTGTCGGGCGTATGATGCATTCATGAAGATTCTGCTATAGAGATCCCATGCCTAGATGAAAGAAACAATCTATGAAATGCTGCGTATAGATTATTTAGAAGACCACTAACGAATTCAAGGAGGACAGATTTGCCGATCCATGAGATGAGCTCAGTGAGAAAGACGAGCGCGAAAATCGTGAAGATGAGAGACATGATGAACACGGATATGAGAGTAAGGGAGACGGTGCCCAGTGGAAGTACAAGTAACGAGCCTTCAAGGTGCTCGGCAAGTTTAGAGAAACGTGAACGTCAACACTGCATACAGCCGAACACGTTGACACTGCACGGCGTTCGCACCGGATCATCGTGTTTACCAATTAGTAGACAGTCGAAGGTCATATAATATCTCATTGCTCAAAACGTTCATGATTCCAACTCTTGACGGACATTAACAAGCCAGCTCCGAAAGTCATCACAGTCTCCCCTAGCCAACCAATCGAAGGAAGATTTGTCGGAATGGGACAATCACATTAGAACGCAAAACGAGGACGCTAATATTACCTTTGAGTTCTGGGTCGACTGTGAAGTTGAAGCACTGAGCACAACAGCCGCCAGTGCACTCTAGGCGACCAGAGTCTCAAGGAGAAAGAAAGAAAGATCATAGTTGCATGCGGAGAAGGTTGTTGTATAGCCATAATATGCCATTAAGCGGTGATACATGCTGCATTGCATTGGTGTGCTGGTGCGCCTCGCTGTGTTGTCTCTGCCTCCCCCACCCGACTTCACAGCTCCAAAAACATCGAGAAAGAGAAAGAAGGCTGCTCAGATGTTGAGCTTCGTGCGCCTCCAGTGACGGCGTTTTGCGTTGTACTGTAAAGTTCCACCTGGGTCAGCAGTACTCTCTGCTCCTAGGATCTTCAGCACTTACTTGGATCTTAGTGTCCGTCTTTAGACGGAACCACTGAGGGATGGGCCTGAAATTTTTGAGTTAATTGCATGTTATGTCAATAGTCTGCCTCACCTGTTCTGACGGCCGGCCTTGGCGAGGATACGCTTCGTTCTGAAGGACTTTTGGGAAGGCTTCAAGCTAATCCACCAGTCAGTACGTAGCCCAACGTTCAGCAGCAAAACACACCATTTTTGTCGATATCGGGGGTCGTTCCTCGCTGTGATGAGACGGTGATGAAAAATAAGGTTATCGAGATGGACTCACTGTACAGTTGCTGACTCAGCGGCACACACGGAACTGGCTCGCCTTCATCCCACGCTTCCGGTATCCGAACGGCTCTGACGACGTGTTTAAACTCACACATACGCACCTACACGACCTTTACTTAGTACTTGACCATGCAGTTCCTCAAACTTTGGCTCTCCGTGTTGGCTTTGGCAGTGTGCGCGCTGGCAGCGGAACCGCCGAAGAAGCTGGAGATTGCAGTCACCTACTTGCCTGATGACTGCCCTGCAACGGCCAAGACTGGGGATGCCATCAAGGTTCACTACGTGAGTTTTAGGTCATGACCTATCTGCGTTGCATGGATTCACATGGGGCATGAATTGCAGACTGGGACGCTGTTCTCCGACGGTAGCAAGTTTGATTCAAGGTTAGAATAAAATACTTTCTTTGTTTGCGGATTGACTAAATTCTCTTTCATACAGTCTCGATCGAGGCCAGCCGTTACCTATCAAACGTGAGCAATTCAGTTTGCATCCAGTGACGCGTGCTGATCGTATACCTATCTAGTCGGTGTGGGTCAGGTCATCAAAGGGTGGGACGAAGGTCTCCAAGGCATGTGCCTCAATGAGAAGCGTACCTTGACGATTCCTTCAGACATGGCCTACGGTTGGTATATTCCGGCAATCTGTAATGCGTATACTCAACCATGGTTTAGGTCCGCGTGGATTTGGGAATGTTATTCCTGCAAATTCTGCCTTGGTCTTCGACGTTGAGCTCGTCAGCCTCGAGAAAGCTCGCGACGAATTGTAGACAATTATGGTCCTGCATGTTGCACATTGCACTTGATAACGAGCACTGGCATTTATTGATATTAATCGTCCCGACGGATCAAATATACAATTTTGCATTGGATGAGTATCAACCATCACTTTGGCTGCGTTTGCGGCCCCTTGAGCTTCTCCGTCACAAGCTCACTGAATTCCTCCCTGAGGATAGCCTCCCGTCTCTGCCTCTCATCTTTCTGCAACTTCAATATACCCCTCTTCTCCTCCGCACTAATAACCTGGTTCTCTTTCCTCATACGCACTGCGTTCATGCGCTTGTGTCGGCTTCCACTCATCACATAGCCAACCGACTCGAACGTGGCAATTTCGTCCGAGGTAAGACCAATCTCACCACGTCGTGGAATACGCGAGTCCGTGTCGTCCTGTAAGAAGGCGGCCATGGCGCTACCTTCACCGCGAAGTAGAGCACTGCCATAAGCACGTTCGTCAAACTTCTTCGTGATAGCCTTGTATAGCGGTTGAGGCCCGACATCGTCGTCGTCGTCAGTCATCATCATCATCAAAGTCCTCGTCCGCCGCTTGTTCGGCATGTGACGGGATGGTGCTTGGTGGTGGCATAGAGCCAATGCTCTGACCAGCCGTAGATGAAGAGGCAAAGGGTGCAGTGGTGGGTTTCTCTACCCATTCGTCTTCTTCAGATGCACGAGCGGGGGATGGGGTACGGCTGGGACTTGGGCTGCGAGGATGGCTTTTGCTTTCGCTTTGCCGGCTTTTCTCTCGGTGTTCTTCCTCACTGTCGTAGCTCCGGCGTCTGCTAGGCGCTCGGCTTTTCTTTTCCTTCTTCTCCCTCCGTTCAGCCCTGTCCTTCTCTTTCCGCGCACGTTTTCGTTCCTTGCGTTCCTTCCGCTTGCGCTCCTCGTCGCTGTCAGAATCGTCTGTGGGCGTTTCTGACCGGTCACGTTTAGATTTTCCGCGTGCTTTTGAGTCGCGGGAAGGTGAACTGCGAATGATTTGAGTACGCCAAAATGATAGGGAGTGAAATGTAAACTTACAGTGTCCTTGTTGGAGCTTTGGGAGAAGAAGGCCAAACACTTATTGTCGAAGCTTCTCTTTGTACTCGACGGCTAAACGATGATCAGTATATCATAATGATTTCGATAACTGCAAACGTACCTTTCCAAATACTCACTCCCCCCTCCACCATACGACCCACCAGCATGCGGTGGTCTATCCCTCCCTTGTCGGTTAGGGTACACATTCTCCTGATTCCGCCAGGGAGCCTCAGCGGCCAGAGGTGTGGCAGGGCGCCTATAGTCTGTGTACTCGGGACTTGCCCGACGCCGTTCTCTGCTTCTGTCTCTGTCACGCTCCCGTCCTCTATCAGCGCTCCTGTCACGCTGCCGTCTGTCATCATCCCTTCTTCTATCCTCTCCATCCCTTTCCTTATGCCTACTATCATCCCCCCTCCTGTCCCTCTTTTGTTCTCTGCTACGGTCCCGTGCTCGGTTCCTGCCGTTGTCTCTTTCTCTTTCTCGTTCAGCTGTGTCGTGGTGGGGTGCTGTGCTCGTGGTGAAGGGGAGCGTGCACGTCTGCGGGAGAGGTTAATATCTTTTGGGTCTTGAGGGACTAAACCCATGCGTGAGGGATGTACGGTCGCCATGTTCAGTAACTACTTGGATTGTGGGGAGAGTCAAGGAGGATGCAGTGGTGAGCGCCTGCGAAGAAAAGCGTGGGAATCAATTCAAATGTCCTTCTTTCTCGAAGTCCCCTGAAATTCAGGTTTCGAGAATTTGCTCGTGTCATTTTACATAAGTAGCTATGGCAGAGTCAAAGACCTGGATTGCAAACAAGGGTGTAAAGTAGCGAAAATCATTACTTGGTATCAGAACGTAGCTAGTCAATATGATACATACAGTGATAGGCTGAAGTAGTGTGCAAATTGAGAGGTGTCCAGAGATGAGAGATAGCCGTACAGGATGTAAATTATTGTTTGAGAGGATATTGCCCATCGAGAATAGAAAATGTACGAGTACGCCGAAGGTACAATCGAGCTGCGGGTATTGACTTGTGGAGCTCGATGTCGTACGTGCTGCCGTGAGGGTGTTTGAAAAAGGCGATGCGATACGGGAGCCGCAGAAAGTGCAGAAGCTCATCCATCCACCGACATCATCATATCGTGCTTTGAAAGCCTCCTCCTCGAGTCCCACCGCGTCAAATATTGACGCGAATGCTCCTCAAACACCTCGCATCCTTCAAAGAGACTCTCAGGTACCATATCCTTCCGTTGCTCCCAAGGCTTGAGGTCCACCACCTCCACGCGATCGATTGCGATGAGTATCATCCCGAAACTGTAGGCATCAGCCAGTAGCGGATCCTGGCACTCTCCGCGGAGGACTTCCGGGGCTGCGAATGGCCGTGTACCTGGGTGTATTTGCTCCACCTTCTTTTGTGGAACTGTGGCAGATCCTTTTCGTGCTAAGAGTTGGAAAGGATCTACAGGCTCATCTGTTGGTGAGATGAATACCGAGTCCATAGACACAGAACGTCCAAAGTCAAGAAGTTTGATAGTGTCGGAGGAGTTCGTCACTTGGATATTTAGCAGTGAGAGGTCCCCGTGACTCAGCCCAAATGAATGTAGGTGCGTGATGCCATCGAGGAGCTGGTTGTGGAAGTCGATTTTCTGTTGTCGAGTTAGAGCTGGTCTCGGGCGAATAACCTCATATAATGTCCGTCCATCGATGTACTCTAACACCATACCAACGTTCTCCAAGCAGCCCAGAAATGCGGTGATGTTGCGGTGTCGCGACACCGTGGTATATACGCGCAGCTCTGCAAGGAATTGGGTTGTCACATCTGATGCATTCGACTGCATCTCTCCATTGATCTCGAGCTGTACAACATCGGGTTTCTTGACGATGCACTTGAATAGCTCAGAGGCTGAACCTTGTGCCACAGGGGCGAGGTTCGCAGTAGGGTTTGGTGGTGCAGAGTAAGCGGTGGGAGTAGGGAATGAAAATATTGACGTTGGGTGACGTGGTGGATTGTACACGGGTATCGAGGGGTTAGGGGATGACATTTCTTTTGCTTTATCTTCCTCGACCTTTCGATTGAAAAGACCATCGTCTGGTACTACTGCTACGGTCTCTTCTGATGATGAGAACGACTTGGTAGACGGATGAACTGGTTTCTCGTCTTCCTGATCTAACTCGACTGAGCCACGTCAAAAATCAATGATGTATGCCAAACCTGAGCAACTCACCCATCCACCAGTTCTTCTTGGACGTCAGCGTTACCCTCTTGATGTGCATTTTAGCAGCTTGCACAAGAGGTGATTGGGGGAGACGGGGCACGGGCGAAGGATATACTTCAGACATATTTGTGGGAGCCCTTGATAATGGCAATACACGTTGCATGACACGAACGTGAATTGAGTATTTATACCAGTGCTTGCTTGACAGCAGAACTGAGTTACTGAAAGAACGTAATGCGTCAAATTCAATGCCTTATTTTGGCTTATCACACTGAACCTTATTAGAGCGTCTCTTTCCCCGCAATCTTTATTTAACACATCACACAGACTATTCCAAGGCGTTTCAATGGCATAGACTAAGCTTCACTGCTTGTAAAAACAGAACCCTAGGACGGTTGACTGTCTTGTCTTAGACTCGTAATTTCAAACGTTGCTTCATCAAATCCGAATGCCGGCAGCGAGCGCTCGAGCTCAAGCACTTGCAATTGAACGAGCTCACAGAATGTGCTTCATGTTAGCCAGTTGCAAGAACGTGGCCATCGGTCCCGCAGATAATTTCCTCCATAAATTTTGGATGACTGAGATTCTTGTAGTGTTATTTGTGGTCGTCCCCTCTGTCGGTATTCAGCTCATGTGTGGGTCTGGCAAGAGAGACTATTAGCGACGCACAAGTTAAAATGCTAGGTGTCAATGGATGTCATTGACGTGATAGCAGAAAATACTAAAGTAAGATAAGAAAAAAGGGAACATATAGAAAAAAAAATCAAAAGAACCATACGTGTGCTGTGCATCAATTAATGACTGTCGTCGGTAGCAGGAGACACACAGCAGAGAAACAACACCACACGAACCCACCGTTTGGGGTTCTTGATGCGTCTAGCCTTGTCACTAGCAGTTTCCGGTCGCCGAGCAACATACAATGCCTACAGCCGAATTATCAGCCACCAGCCACTGGGAACATAGAAGACATACCTGCTTGTCCCGAATTGGAGCAACTTCAACAATACGAGGGCTGTGATGAGAGGACATGCTTCGCCTTGGGCGTTGCTGGGGTTTGGCTGGTTCATCTGTATTTGGTCGAGAATGGTGGAAGAGGGAGGAAAGGCGAATGAGGAGTGCGCGTGGACCTGACTCCGCGGATGAAACAAGAACACCACGGTGGCGATGTGCAGAGGGATGAGGATGCAGTCGTCCCTGGGCCATAGTGGAGGACTGAGAGCATACAAGTCAGAACAAAAAAATTGAGATGATGGTGACGCACACGAATGCGGTCTGGCGCGTCATCAAAGAACCCTTGTGGTACTCCACTCGGACGTGGGCTTTGGAGTTCTTTTGGTGCCTAGTTAGCGCGCTGTCAGTACTTGAGAAAGAGTAGCTGATGTGTTGACGCTCACGTTAGGTATGGATAGGAGGTCTTCGAGGCTAGCTGCATTGAGGATGGCATTAATGTCCCATACGTATGCGTTTTTGTCATGGCAAGTTGTGGCTAGCAACTTTCCATCAGCGGAAAATACTGCACTTGCACTTCTGGTTTCTTCGTCTTCATGCTTGAGCGTGAGGGGTGGACAGACCGGGAGGTTCATGTCGAGATTCCACAAACGCACTGTTCTGTCCCATGATGCGCTCGCAAGGAAACGGTCGTTCCGAAACAAAGCACGGTGATGGCATGGACAACGTCTGTATGACCTTCCAAAACAGCGATCTGCTGCCATGTGGCAGTGTCGAAAATCCTAATCCAGCCTAACCCTGTCCGGAAGATAAACTTCTTTTCATCGGACATCCAGGTCAAGCTCCAAACTGCCTCGCGGACTTCGATTAAAGTGGAGAGCAACCGGCCCATCTTGGCATCCCAGATTTCAATTCCATGCGCGTTGTTGTATCCGCCTGTCGCAATTTTTGTTGCATTTGGCAAGTAGCTTACCGTGTACACCTCTTTCAAGTGCTCCGGATTCAGCCACAGGACAGGCTCGCCGCTCCCAACATCCCACACTCTCGCTGTTCCGTCATTTGATCCGCTCACCACTCGTTAACCATCTGGACTCCAGCACAATGACCGCACAGCTCGAATGTGTCCTGTCCACTTAGTGATGACCTTCCCCGTTTCAACGTTCCACAACCTCACCGTCCCGTCGCCGCTTCCGCTTGCAACAATCTTGCTGTTTGGAGATAATGCTATGGTGATCACTCCTGACAAATCCCCCTCATCTCGCCAGTCGTCGCCTATTTGTGCGCCGCTCTTCAGGTCCCATAGTCGGAGGGAGCCGTCCAATGAACATGTGATGATGTGCCGTCCGCTGGGCAGGTGCACAGCACCTCGTACATGGCTGGTATGGCCTCGAAACGTCTGGAGGGGAATTACTGTTGACGTCTCTTTCATCTTTGCAGCGAGGGAAGACATGGTCTGTGCTCGGGGATCTCAGCGAAGTTCCGAAGATTGACAACTATGTCTGCGAGAGTAGCTCGCTGGGACCTTGTTTTACTCAGACTGAGTTGTCGTTGAGGTTGTTTTCGGGGGCAGAGATTCCCGGTGAGTTGATTGGCCTATCTGCATTGATCTCAACTCTTGTCAATAGAAGCGCAGGTGTTGCTTACGAGATGGCCTATTAAAGGATTTCGATCCTCAAGCACAAGACGACTTTGCGATGGTATGCGCAGGAATTGCTTGCAGGAGATCTTCCTGGATCCCAGTTTCTGGTCAGCGTGTGATCCTACTCAACGGAAGAACGAGAGAGACGAACTTATAGCTGAGACAGTGGACGTGCATCAGGAAACCCACTGCCGAGCGAAGTGACTTGCAGCAGCTTGTAGCACAGCGCTTCTTTTGAATCGACTGTAGCAGCTTGTAGCAGCCAGTAGTAGCTGAAAGGACTAAAGCCGCCATACTGGCTCCGGGACTTGTTCAGTCAAAATTATAGTTTTAACTTCAAATGGTTTAGTTTGATTTGCTACGACGTGCTACCCGAGCTCCTGTAGCATTCGACTACTACTGTAGCGGGGTTTTGCTACTGCGCTTCGGCTTGCTACGTAGAACTATATGGTTCGAAATGTCCCACTGATGTGTGATTTGGGTCGAGAGAGTTGTGCAAGTGTTCGTTGAGGTCGTCTACTAAGGTGGGTTGTCGTCGTGCTTTCTTGACAGCTTAAACGTGCTGTGCTGGCGAAGCGCTCAGGACAGCGACTCGCGCCACATGCATCTTACTACACCATGTTCTGCCTTGACGGTTGCCTGCGGTAGCACTACGGACAGATTGTCTCGGGGATATGATATGCAAATGTATATACACAGCAGTGTACAAAAGCGTCATCCACGGTGGTAGTGTTGCAATGGATGAATCGATAATGTGAAAAAATGGCAAGATTTCGCTGAATACCCGTCATGGAGGCCCTCATCTATAATGTGGAGTGCGAGCAACCCAAGCCTAAGGTCCATATCATTGTAGCACTACATACATACAAATTTTTAGAAATCGTATTTACTTCAAGTTGACCCGCGGCCGCGTTCACTCTCTCTAGCTAATCTCAGTAGGTATCAAAGCGGTCTTGCTCGCGCGACCGCCTCTGCTGACACGTCATAGCTAATCTTGTAGGTCTCTTGTGCCACAATGGTATTGGAATCGGCGAACGTTTTCGTGGCGTCTCGTGAACCGGGCCTGAAATCACCCATGCGGATGGGTTGCCCTGATCGCCTCGAGGTCATCACCTTGCTCGCGGTATCCTGAGACCAACCCTTTCCTTGCGCGACTCGGAAAACTATGAGCAGCATCGCAATTATCTGGGGCGTTATCAGCAGCGGGAATGCCTCTCCATTTACCAGCGCACACCTGAACCTGAGTCAGCGACTCAATAAATGTCTCCGATATTGGATTATTTAGAAGGAAGAGAGTTAGAAATGCCACCGAAAACGTAGAATAAAGAGCGGCGGATTCAACGACCATCGCGGCAATCGACGTGTATTGAGTGCCGTAGCTGGAGCCGAGAACTGAGGAAATGCGGTAACGGTATGTGAGCAGCCGAAGTACGATAGCGATCGTGACGATTATGTTCAGTGCGAGTGAGATGCTCAGATAGGGGACGGTGTAGTTGATGTTGGTCGAGAAATACGGGGAAGTAGTGGTGACTTGGAGCAGCCACAATATTCCCAGAACTACCCGGTGCGATGGTGAGCGTTGGATACAGTCATAGACATAAGAAGGAAGTGACTGACCGACGGATGCAAGGAACACCAGACCAGGGAACAACATGAGGATCCACAGTGGCACCCTGCACCCTCTGTAAATTACTATGCAGCGCCAAACCTGCACTAAGATATTAGCGGTAGCATTTTCAACATCAAGTACTACTCACGACCAATCCATCTGAAAGAATCATCGTTATCAGGCCACTGACGTTTCCAAGATTGTCTACAGGAAGGGCGAACATGTCGTTCTCAAATGCGTTCGGACCACCTGTATAATTGCGATCTTGAATGAACGCGAGTTGCGTGAATTCGGCCAGCGATGCCATGAACAAGGTGCTGACGATGAAAGTCATGGTGATATACAGGAGTAGGGGCAGGTGCTTTTTGTAATTTGTGCGGGTCGTCTGCCGGAAAAGGAGGTGAAAGCACATAAAGTACAGGGCGACATTAATGCCGTAGGCGACGGCGCTGACCACTGTACCCTGCAGCCAACCTTTCTCTGCAAGAAGGGTCTCAGACGATTCGTCTGGTGTCCAGCTTGATGACATGATGATTCAGATGATGAACTTCTAGACAAAGCCGGTGTGTGGTTTGAAGAACGATGATATCCACTGGCAACTAGTGTTCGATGTTGGCGCCTCGTTAAATAATGCAGGTTATACATCAGTTGTGTACTCCCGAGATCTCAGTTGGGCACCTGCCGTGTAGCCATCATGAATGATCATCAAAGCTGAAGCTGTTGAACGTTGAAGCTTGCACTTGCAACGCATGGCGGAGATAAGTAACACTGATGAATCAGAGGACACCCACCGCATCAGTGCAATCAGTGATGCGCGATAGAAACATCATAGAAAGATTTCATGCACAGTAGCTAGAAGGTAGCACATTGCAATTGGATAAATAGCAAACAATTTGCAAATAATCTCGGTATACTATTATATAATTATAACAGCCGAACCATATGGTACTTACGCATCGCAATCACCGCTGGGCGCTGATGGTTTTTCTAGCGGGCTGGTGAAAACATTATGCGTCATGGTATCATCAGTTCACATCAAGTCAACTTCCACGCCCATCGCAGATCTAAGCACCTTCGCGCTATGTTTGATATATTTACTCAAAGATCAGAATTGCGAAATCAAGTATTAACCCTGCATCATTAATATTCCTCGAAGAAACTTACTAGTACGGATCGGCCAGACAAACACTGCCGATTCAATTTGGGCGATGGAAACAGCTGGAATAGCCCAAGTCCTCCTTCTCGTGTATAAAGTTTTGAACATTTGGTCGTCGTCAGGGGCAAAATAGACTTCAAATCTGTGACGACACGTACCAGACTTGGTACAAAATTGTCGGGGTTCTCGCAGTGCTGCATGGCGGCCCTGGCATTTCGCATGACTATATGACCGCTCTTGTTGAAATCCACGACCGTCAAATCCAACATCCCCGTTATATTTTACGACTAGGTCGGCATCGGCATGTCTGTCTTCGAAAGCTTGGCGGAGAAGCACAAAGAGTTCTGGACGGTCGATCTGTTCATGGACGAGTTGGACAACCTTCTTGTCCAACTTGGCGTGTAGAATGATTTTGATCTTTTGGGTCGCTCCTGAGGAGCGAAGTTGGCGGCACACTATGCCAGCCAGACACCCAGCGGGTCTCAAACACCTCGTCCTCACCAGTGGAGCCCTGTCTATGGCACTGTGGGAGAAAAGCACCCGCCAGTTTCTGAACGCCTTACCCCGGCAGATGCTAGGGAAACTTTGGAGAAGCATGAGAGAGAATGGATAACGGATAGCCCTGAGTATCAAGAAGCGATGGGGGTGTTCTATGAAAAGCATGTATGCGAGACCCCCTGGCCAAAGGAGTTGGAGACGTCTTTTGCAGCCATGATGCAAAATCCAACCGCGTATAGCACGATATAGGTAGTGTCCCGACGTACCTTTCTGACATCTGCTGATCGTTATTGTTGCTAGGATTTGACCATCAGAGTTCGCCATCACGGGCACGCTGAAACCATGGTCGTGCCCGGAGCAGATTCACACAATCACAACTCTCACCCTCCTCACCAACGGTGCTAATGACGAAACGCAGGACGTCTGCGTCAGTCCTTTCTTCCACAGAATCCCTCATGTGAAGTGGGCGCAGTTCTCGCAGCGTCACTTGCCATTCCTGGAGGAGGGCCGAGGCGAGGTACTTTCAAGTTCCAAGTGGTGGCCGAATTCCTGACGTATCTTTGAATCCTGTAAAATATCTAACAAGGCATGGAAAGAGAATGGCGTGGATAATTACAAAGATTTTTCTCCTCTCATCTAGCGAAGAATCGAGCCGAGCCGAGGCATCGTTCTGTCCTAGCTTCCAGTATCGACAAAAGTTGGTTTTATCAAGGTGGCGCTGGGCACCAATGCCACTCGATTCCATTTTATTTTGTTCATTCTATTACATAAGATACTTCTTATCCATGAGGACAGCCAGCGAAAAACGAACAAAAATGACTGCCCACCGCTCCGGAATAACATTCAACTATGAACCACTGCCGAGGTAAGTGTGGCACATTGTTCTGTGGGTCGTATTTAGGAGTACAAACGATGTGTTTGGGCACACAGGACTGGTCGGGGATCATCCGATCACATATGTATGCCTCTCCTGTTACTCTTCCATCCCAACAATTTTAGTTCTTACTTCTTAATTTCTATCGAGCCCAAGCGAACCAAGGTCGAGTAGGGTTGATGGTAACTAATCCTTCAAAGCTGCACAAACGGAACATCAGGACTCGGGAAAGCTAGATAGTTGTCTGTCTTGTCTCGGACTCATAATTTCATATTGGCGCGATCCGAATGCCGGCAGCAAGCGCCAATTGAACGAATGACATTCTGAACTTCAGACGATTCACGAATCAATGCGCGTTCTATGGTTGATGTACACGACCGAATGTATGATGTAGTGTCCGTGATTCAAAAACGATATGCAAAGGTATCAAAAATATGGGTAACGCGTAGTCCATAGCATGTCTGTAACTCAAAACATGACGCGTACCAGCTTGCTAGCTTGAAAAAAGTAAGATAGCGGAGACCGCTGCGATATATTTCATAATGATGACCAGAACGCTTCTGGAAGAATGGACCAGGAAGCTCGTGCCGGAGATCTGCTTTTGTCCCTCCTGGTGTTGAATAATGTTCGCCGATGGCAGACTTTGCACAGGAAGCATATTCTGTTTCTCGATCTTGCCAGACCCGCACATGACCTGAATACCGACGGAGGGGACACTGTTGACGACCACGAATAACACTACAAGAACTTAGTCGTCCAAAGATCATGGAGGGGATTCAAATACTTACGTGCGGGACCGGGAGGCAAGACGGCCGCGTTGGGAGGCAACTGGCTAACATGAAGCACTCCACTTCCATCGAGGTTTCCCGTGAAGGTGCTTTGCAACTGTACTGAGCGCATGCCCATGTTCTGCAGCAGATAATCAATTATCGTATTAGGCGACTGAGTTTGTCATACCATCGTATGCGTAGAGAACCCGGTCCTCATAACTATAACTTTGGCTGTTTGGATGCTGTCTACGTTACCGAAAAGATCCGCCAGTGTCAACGTGACGTTGAAATATGAGCCGCCGTAAGAGAGCTGGTTCGGCAGACCCTGAGGTTCCGGTCGACGTTGATTGTAATATGAAGGATAAAACCGCTCCATTCGATATTCGGTAGGATACGGTGCGGTGGTATTCACGTCACTGTTGGGATTGGAACCTGCCACCAAGACTGAACCTAGAAAAAAATTAACGAAACTCTCATCTGACTGGATTGCCCCTACCATCTGGAAGTAAGGTAGCCGAGGAGTGATACATTCGTGGGATGGAACTCGAAGAAAGTCCGTACCGAGACCAGCGTTTGCTGGCTGGTGCCCTTGGATCATAGATAAGTGGCGCCAAAATTGGCTGGTCAGCGTATGATTGGCCAATGGTAAAGGTAGTGTTTCCATAGCCAGCAGTACCTGGATGGTGTCAAAGACGTTACTATGAGCACATTTTAACCTCCAGTCACTAACCAGTCTTTGCGCCGTTCAAACACAGAATTCTTCCATCGGGAAGCAAAATCAGATTTCCCATCGTCCGACCCTCGGGTAAGGCGTCCAACTCGGTGTACTTCGGGGACTGATCAGGGGTAATCTGGACGCAGGAAGAAGATGCTGGAAAGTGAGGGATGTCCCAATTTTGGGTCCACCTGCACTCGTATTTTAATTAAGCCCGACTTACGATCCGGAGGATGGACTTACTGTTCAGTACTAATGTTACTACCACCACAGAACATGAGCGACGCCGTGTAGTTGTTATCCGGGGTCAACGGTAACATCGTGCTCCCAGCGCTCGCAGGATACACGCGAACGGCATCTGGCATATCCTGCAATGGAGTCTCCTTATTTTGGTCCAAATCAAGTAGGACTGTGTTCCAGTTGGATTGAACAAAGAGTTTGCCGGATGGAAGGAGCCATATAAGAGGGAACAGGTTTGTAGGGAGCGTATTCTGAAGGATGGGCGAGACAACTGGCTGACCACGACTCGGAAAGAACTCGTAAGTGGGGTTGGTTTGTCCTGCGTCGCTAACGTAACCTCCATATCCGCATCCTCCAAACTATGGGGATGAGCAGATTAAAATACATCGAAGGTTGGTAAACGTACAATAATGATGCTTCCGTCCTGAAGCGTTTCACTGTGTATGTGGTATTAGTGTGGAGTGACGTGTCGGCCAAGGCCCAAGATACTCACAGGGTAGGATACCAATGCCTTGTAGTCATGGGTGCGACCAAGAACCAATCACAATTGCTGCCATCGCACGGGTTGAGCATCCTAAAACAGCTCAGAATGATTTGCTACGCCATATAGTAGTTTCATACCGGATACTGAAGTACGGCAGGATCATTAGTCTGACATCCCGGAACAAAAATGACTGCATACGATTGTCCTCCATCAAGATCATTATAGGGTGCTCCACCCAATTGGCTTTTAGCAGCATCGCCACCATAAGTCACCGCCTGATTCCCGCCAACGTTGAGCCACGTCCCATTGCCCAAGACGCTTCCTCCCTGCGCAATTGTCGTAAGTATTTATACGGATAAACCAAGAACAAGCTCACCGCGCAGAAAGTGTTCGTGATAACATCCATGGGACGCGTTTGTTTCGAGCTAGCAGACCATTCTAGAGGAGACCATCAGCATCTGAAACTAGATGTCATAGAATGAAGCGAACCTGCAGCCCATGCAGGGTGGCCATTTAATTGCGTCGGGTTGTCTTCCGTTTTGTCGATGATATAGACCTTGTCCTCGGTGCCCAAGGATATCTAAGGTCGAATGTCAACAAAGTCAAGTCAAGTAGCGACCGGCGGGCTGACGTACCTGTTGGCCACTGCCAATACTATTGCCAACGATCTCAAAGGTGTTGACTTTAACAACCTGCTTGGGCTGGCCAGGTGCGTTATTTGCTGTGAGGACACATCCCACAGCGGAGAGAAAGCATAACGCGAGTTTAGACGCGGTCTGCTTAGAAGAAGTGAACCGAAACATGGCGGGCGGTGTGAGGAGAAGGAAGACAGTTGACTGGACGTACCAGACATTGTGCGATATGTATATGCTCAACAGTATTCCAGTGATCAGCCGTGTCCGAAGCCGGCGTCTGGCCGCGCTCGAAATTGCAACATGCGGTGCCGCCAGCTACCAGCACCAAAGATTGGTGTCTCATCGGATGAGTCGACGTGACCATAATATTTGTTGCTGGTAGCTACATAGCAGCAGGCCTGCAACTTGAAAGTACGTGCATACCCAATATCTGGAAGATGCAGGTCAGGTCATAGGTGTGTGCATTACTAATGCATACTAGCGGTAAGTTGAACGCAGCCCAAGTTGTCCGAGTCAGCGTGGCCAGTGGTACAACCGACCGTATTGGTGTATCCTCGCGATAATGATACTGTTTGACAGACTGCAGCTGCCATGTACTAGAGATCGCAAGTTGCTACTGTCGGAATTAGCAGTCCTGAACGTGGCGTAATATCACGAATGAGCATCGGACAAAATAGGAAGGTAGTAAGAGGTAAAAAGTAAGGATCTGACCCCGAAGCTTTGACGTTTGAACCGCTTGGCCCCCTTTGCCAGCTTGCCTCGACGCTACATTCCTGTTAGCATAGCTAAGCGTTCAAGTTCGTGCCCATCACGTTGTCTAGGACCTCTTGATCAATAAAGCGCTGTCTTTGACGCTGGGTTGTTTTCCAGAACACTGCTCGCATTCTGATATCCAGTTGTTGGCTGAATTACTGCTTTTTGGTGGCCGCGCACGATGGAGTTTAGCAGACTATACAAAATTACATCCCCAACTGAAAATAAATGTGTGTATCATTCTAAATCCGTTCTAGTGACTTATGAGCAAGACTGATTCACTACCAAGGTTCCGGATAGGGCGAATATTAATGCGCCTTTCCGCCTGGGTAATACCCTGTTCCAAGACGCATGCGTGGTACTTCGATATCCATTCTATGACCACTGCTTCCTAGAAGTTGATCATTTTTTCCCCAGTGACTGACGTTGCGCGACGTCATTGGTGTCGATATTTAGCTGGAAATTGACATCAAAGTTCGATTTGTACTATGCTTATAATCCAAAAAGGCTGTCCGAGCACCGACGGATCGATACAACATTAAGTTGGTTGGCCACCTCTTCTCCTTCAGTAAGTACGCGATCATGAGTAATAGAACGCATCATGGCTGCGCGTTCGAACGCACGAAGCCATCACCAATGTACCTCAGTCAAGCGACAAAGGTACGAAGTTCTGGTACCAAACTCAACTTACACCGAGTGTTGCTCTTATGCCCAAATGACCCACAGATCCGAGGCAAGGAAACGCTGGCATAACCCCGAGCGATAAACTCTTGTTCACCAACCATGATGTGTCGTAACAGAAAGGGAAAATCCTGTGACGTTCCCTGAATCCTTGGGGCATCCCCCACGCCGAAGTTCCCCTCCGCGCCGTTCTGTCGGCTCCTTCCGGTTCCAGAATGAAAGTACGAGATTCACATCATGCTTGAAAGAGCAACTATTGAATTGTCTCCGACAGCTCGAATCCCCGATCAAATCATGGCCCCTGTCGGCTTTAGCCGGTTCCAGACATGAAGTCCAAGCTAGTCCCCATATTTTGATAGAGCGATGCTTTCTGATTGTTCTTTGAACAATGATAGACAATCATGGAATCTCCGATCGAATTATGGCCCCGCGCGTTATGACCCGTCGGTTCTGGAAATTAAGCACGTCTAAAATTCGTAATGCTTTCTTTATATTATGAACCATGCCATGAATGATTGAATTGTCAACTGTCGGACTGCGCAGCATGAGGCAAGGTCCTGAAGCACGCCAGGGAAACTGACAAGGGGAAACCAATTCTGTGACGAACATGGAGTAAAAGATACGCCGTCCTTCGCCGATTCTGAAGCGGAAAAGCTGGCTAACTTGTAATACTCAGGAGAGGAAAGATTGTTGACGCTATTAATACATGACTCCTTTTCCTTCGTTATCGTCGATCGCTTCCTAACTTCCACCTCAGTGTTGTGAGCTGTTGCTTAACGACGATCTCAACATAATTTACCGCCCCGCGCCAACCCCGCGCAAGTGATAGTTTTTCAGCTGCAAATCCTGAGTTTCGAAGCTGCTGCAGAGGTAATGATGGCAGAATGTGCTGTAAAATCACGAATTTCGTACGCACGTTTCGCATTAGGCGCTGGGCGAACCTGCGTGTCTAGGGACGGCTGCTTTCTTCTTCTATAGGTCTGGCTAGGGGAGACTAGCGTGTCCCAAGCAAAAGTCGTACGTGGCTCCTCATTCTAGGACATGCGATATTTGGTAGTCTCGAAACCAGACATTTTAGGAATGGGAGATCCAGCGCAGGCGCTTTCTAGGTTCGTCCGTATTCATCCGGTGTTCCTAGAACGTCTGGTGTTTAGACTAATTTTTTTTGTAGAAGCGCTGCAAGTGAGACACATGTTCAATCCCTCTTCTGGAATACCAAACATACCGATTTAATACGGAACTTCGGAAGTCATCCGAAACAGTATTTTCTCAGCAGCCAGATGAGCATATCTAGGGCGTACCGCGAGTTTGAGACTCGAGCTTCAATATTATATCATCCATTTGTGATGCAGCTTCCTACCAAAGAAAACATGAAAGGATGTTTCGACAAATTAATGCCAAGTAGATCTCACCTCCCGAAAGCTCGTGAGTGTACTTATTTAGATTTAACGGCCGTCGCCCAATCGGGCGCAAGTCTGCCAAGATATGATAGATAAACTCCCGAGTGTCCGCAAGTGTAAAAAGTGACCCGTAGAGATGGTGTGATGTCCAAATATGTGCCATGTTCTCCTGCCCCTCGAATTGCCGGTAAGTCCGCAAAAATGGGTACATTAGTATGAGAGTAGGTAGTAGCACACCTGGATGAACACCCAAGCCTAAATTTACAGTGAACTGACATGGAGAATCCTCTCATGTCAGCTCCCTTATCCTGTACATTAACCAAGGTAGCAGTCATGCGAGCGCATCAGGCCAGAGCAAGTAGCTAAATATCATGAAAGTTGCAGGCCAAAATGACCGCGACTGAGGGTTGAATAGTTATATCTTTAGAAAGAGAAAAAAAACTCAAAGATACTCCTCCAAGTTCAGAACTGCGGCTAGAGATTATCACGGAGGAGCCAAGAGCAAGTGAAGGAACCGCTTTTGAATTTTGGAAAGTTGTCGGTGTCCAAATCGATTCATCGAACACATGACGGTAGGTACTTACTTGTGATCAGCCAGAACCGTTATCATAGAAAGGTGGGTCCAAATTGGGCCTCGGATCAGTGGTTCCCCCTAGGCAGACCGAATAGAACGAAGAGAAGGTTCATGATGCCAGGCTGAGGCGTTACAATATTTATGGCAAACCGCTGTTTCTCCATTCCGGAAACAGCCGACTGAGCCTACGCTTCAACTCAGAGCTCAGTACACTGTGTAGCAGTTTGATCAGGAACAGTCAATGGCTACGTCCGATCTCGACGTAGTACAGGAACGCTAGCATATTGTCTACCGGATACACAAAGAAGCTTTCAGATTCTCAGAGTCACACCCGATCATCCAAAGTAAGTATTATATAAGCTGTGACGTCACGACTATATTCCTCAGATCTCACGCCACAGATCCTAAACCGTAGATACTCCACTCACTAATAGCCAATAATGCTCATGAAACGCTGCCACCTTGACCGCATCAACCACCACAGTAACTATTTAGTAGTTCGCACAAACCGCCGAAACAAGCGTTCCATTTCTTCCCGCTCCGCCATTTTTTCCCCGTCAGTTTCGGTCTCTACTCTTGCTTTGAAGTTTACAATTACCTACTGATCGCATAAATCATCCTGGCACAGTGGCAAGCAGTGGCATCGATTTTCGGACTACGCCCTCAACAAGACCCCGTTTCTTCAAGAAGCATTCTAACGACCTTCTCGAGAAAATGCGCGGCAATGATGACGGACCATCAGACGCGTCCCATAATTCTGAAAAATCCGCAATCTCTCAGAATCGTAGACGTACATCAGGTAGGAACTATTCCCGACTCTCACTTTGAAATTGTTTTGTTTTGTCCACGCCGCCTCGAGCGCTGAAGCGCTGACGGCGCTGACAATATGTCCCATTTTGTTCGCTCTCGTTGCGCTATAAAATACAATCGTGCCTGTCCATGACGTCTCTGTTTCAAACGATTTCTCCTGCCACTGGTATCCTGACAGTCACCCTTGGACACACAACGAAACCACATCGGCGTTGGGCGATTCTCTGCGCATTCAGCTCGGATCTGGCGTTCTGTATCTTCTAATACCACTGGCGTGTATTGTCGACACACCCACCTATTATCTAGTCTCTTGTTCTCTTTGTGGCTCTCTAATCCTCGATTTTCTATCACATACGCATTCGCCACGAGCTTCGAAACGCATCAGCTCTTTCCGGATCTCTCCAGGAACCGGAATTACCCGAGATATCGTCATACGGCACTGTAAAGAGCTAATTTTGATTTGCTTATTTGTCATTCTGTGGCTTTCGTGCACAAATTTCAAATTTTGCTGAACTGTTGTTATGTTCCTCTAGAATATTTACACCTTCCTCGTTCACCACCACCATCTCGTCGGTTGTCCCTTTCGAAGCGGCACACCTCTTTTCATTCACCTAGAGAAGTTCCCCTGCCCTCCTCCCCGTTAACATCTCCTTCTCACTTAACGGCCTACCCGTTCCCGAATACGGCTTCCAACGCGAGGGCGAATCCACTTGGCTCGAAAGGGTACGTCCTGATCCTTCTCAGTCCTTTGCCAGGGTCTTATGATATGTCGACAGTGACAACTCTACAGGATTGGATCATAGCTCCACTGGGTCACCTCATTTGTCAGCTCTCCCAAATACACCGCCCGGAATTGCAAGGTCTGACTCCTCGCTGGAAATGAAGACATCAGATCTTTCGGGTAGCCAACAACCTGATATTCCTAATACTTCATCAGCAACTATTCATCACCAGTGTTCGTCACACAATCTGGAAACACAATCCACACCGGCGGCACCTCTATTTCCGTTCTCACGACCGTACTCCTCACCTGACGGACATTTGAGCTCGTGTGGTGCTTCTATACCACAGTCGGTACCCTCTATGCAACCCGCCAATTGGATCGATGGTAATTCCTCGTTGTCACTGCAAACACGTTATAATCTTCTGCCCCGGATGGATGGTACTTCATCATCCGCGGCTCCGCCCAGACCCAGTGATAGTCAGTCACCGTTAGAGGCACCCGGGCGGCGACCGTTGCCTGTGCCACCCCAAACCAATATAGGGTCCAATGATCCCCAATTTAAGCAGCCGTCTCCGTCCCATGTACGGAACTCCTCGCAGTCAGGTTGGCCGTGTTCACCCATCCCATCGTCGCCTCCTCCGCCCTATTCGCGTGGCCCTTTCCCCGATGATCAAATGCTCCCACCCTCTTTACCAAGATCAACTTCCAATACATCCTCGTATCCTGCTCCCGAGGCACCGGTGATTTTAACGCCGCTGACGCAAGCTGAACGCTGCGGAGAAGATGCCGATAGGCGTGCTCCATATGACTCATTCCTTTGCCACGACCCGCCCCCAGATACCTGGATAGTAGTGGAGACTTCGCCGTCCGAGTATAGACTGGTCGTGCGACTCCCTGGCTTCAGAAGGGATGGCATGTGAGTTTGTGGGAATACACTTCCCGAGAAGTCCGTTGATCATTTTTCCCAGTACAATCGCTACCCGCAGGCGCCGCATACTTCACGTAGTCGCTGATTCATGGGAGCCTCGAGGTGGTAAGCCGCCGATCTTTCCTATTAAAATTGTAGTGTGCTTTATTTCCTATTGCAGGGCACTTCGAACGTCGCGTTTTATTCGGATATGACGCCGATCTGGCGCAAGTGCGCGCTGAATTTGACGGACAAATTCTTCGTATCATTGTTCCTCGGCGTATTCCGGCCTGGTACCACCATCAATAAATCCTATGTCTTGGTCTCTGTCACCTGTCGCTCCTGTTATGTCAAAAACAACCCGTAGAGGGTTGGGCGCAGCATAACTGGACAGCATCGTGCTTCCATCTAGCATGTCATTTCTTCGGATCTATCCACCGAGGATCTGTTCACTTCCACCTGTATAGTACTCATCATGGCCATTTGACCACTCATTAGTTTATTTACTCAACCGGTCTGGTTTTGGTCCGATGCCAAACGAGGTCAGCCTAAGACTCCCATGCGCGGTGCTCTGAGTACATATCAGTAGCTATCCACTCGGCACTCGCACCTTTATCCGACTACTTCATTTATTTACTTACCATTTCACACCTGCTTGTTCCGAGCCGCCCACGGAGATACCCCGAACTCTTCAGTTGCGACTCAGTTCTTCGTATGTAACAAACGTTTGATGTGTTTTGTCAATCGTGCGAGTTCGGAGCCCTGACTAAGTACCTTGAATCTTGATCATCACGCGTAATAATTCGCACCACGTAGCACCACGTACATATTAGCTTCAAGCTTCAGCCTTCGGGGCTCCACCAATCCACTATCGTAGATAGGCGATACGCGCTATTCTTGTTTGTTCTTCCAGCTCCTGCTGAACCTACTATGTCCCTTCGTCTGCTGCACCCGCGACAGATAGCATGTCGGCCACAGCAAGGTGCCTTCCTCGCATCGCCTTCAACGCGATGTCATGGCGAGGAATTTTCAGGCGCAATTAAAAATTGGTACTCAACATGCTCTGAGGCCCAAACTGAGTCCGGACCCACAAATCTACCGCAGCAGATAGATCTGCTGGAGAAATACCGCAGTCAAGTTGCACTAGGGAAGATCAGATATGACGAGGAGCAAGTCAGGGTAGTCATGCGGGTAAGTATGTGCATTGAAACTGATTAGACGGGTTTTATTGCATACCCGGTTCACAGCTCAGGAAACTCCAAAGGGACTTACGTGGATATGCTCCACCAGCGCTGACGTCCACTTTACTGCGTGCTCCGCGTGGGACATATCATGCATCGCCTGAGACCGCGGGTGAGGCAGCTCCATGGTGGACTTACTCGGATGATGAAAGGTCGGTTCCACCAGCCCCGCGTGCGTTAATACGTATCAAGAGCCTTGCTGATGAACTGGAATCATTGAATACACCGAAGGTATTTGCTTTGGTTTGTTCTGAAAATCGTCAGGGAATAATAATGCACATCCCCGCGGGCTTTCAGGGCTTGTTGCTGACCGGCCCGCCCGGTTCTGGCAAAAGCTTTTTGATCGACCTTTGGTATTCGTCTCTTCCGACGCCGTATAAAACTCGCAAACACTACAGTCAGCTGGTATTAGAACTCTACCGTGCGGTATGGGAAGAGACCCAACGGCGCGTGGCACAACTCCATACCGATCTGCCCTCATTATCAAATACACCCGCTTCGAACAAACATTTATGGGACTACTGGCGCGAACTCGTGAACATCGATATGCTTCCAAACTGGATAAGGTCCCCGCGCGCGCACGTAACACCAGTTGCGTCCGACGGGCATCCAACGATGGCTTTTACAATCGCACAGCGGCTTCTATTGCGTCATTGGCTTCTTGTCTTTGATGAGGTCCAACTCTTGGATGTGTCTAGCGCAGGGTTGATTTCCGACGTGCTTTCGTGGTTCTGGAGGATGGGTGGTGTCGTCGTCGGTACTTCAAATAAGGTTCCGGATGACTTGTACAAGAATGGAGTTCAACGGGATAGGCTCGAGCCATTTGTAGAGGCTATGAAAGCACGATGCCCTGTGATGATAATGTCCTCTACACATGACTGGAGACGGGTGCGGGGCAGCGATCTCAATGGCAGTTCATGGTTCACATGGAGCCAGGAAGGCTTATTTGAAGATATGCTCAAGCTTTGGACGTCGGGGAACGACGGGAACGCAGGTGTGTTGGCTGCGTGCATTATGGGCCTTTGTGATTTCGACGATGCGTGCAGTGCCAGCAAGTCAAGTATTCGGCAGACCACTAGAAGTTCCTTGGTCGTCAGGTGGTACTTGTAGATTCACGTTTGCACAGCTTTGTGACGAGGTACGATAAGTCAAGATATCTGAGAGTTGCTGCTGATATCTCCACAAGTCCCGAGGATCTGCAGATTATTTGACATTGGCATCGACCTATCATACAGTTGCAATTAGCTCAATACCTATTCTAAACGTGTCGATGAAGAACCAAGCTTGCAGATTCATTTCTTTGATAGACGCTCTATATGAAGCACGATGCCGTATCATATGTCATGCGGAGTCGGTGCCAGAGGACCTTTTCTTTCCAGACGCTATTGCCCAGCCCGCGGAATTAGACACCGTCCATGATGTCATGCACGTGGAGACTGTCGCTGAGATGCAGAATGTCTATCGACCTAACGTCTCTGCTTATGATGCCCCTGGTATGAACGAGGCTCCGAATCAGCCCGCCCCGACATCCTTGGAAAACCTATCGATTTTCTCAGGTGTGTGATATCATGCGGTTGCATTTTAAAAGCTAAGAACAGGGAAATTCTTAGGACAAGAAGAGCAGTTCGCCTTTAAACGCGCGCTGTCTCGACTCGCCGAGATGACAAGCAAGAGTTATTTCGACCAAGAGAGATGGAATCCTTTGCCAGTGACCTCACGCAAATGGGAGCAGGCAATGGAATCGACTCCCAGGTGACAGCTGCGGCTTACCGTTCACGCTGCGGGATAGGCTGGACTCCCTTTCGTCCGTTTGATGATCTTACATAAAGAACAAGCCAAATTACAGTCCGATTGGTATGCTGGATCATAATGGCTAAAATTGAACTTATGACCACACCAATGGGATCGTAAGTCTGTTATGTAACAGGATATGTTGTGCGGTGTTAGCTTCGTCAGCGTCGCAGCCACCCTTCATTTGAACACATTTGGTACGACATGCTCCTCGAGTTGCAAGAGTCACCGCTATTCGCACCGAGATGAATGTTCACAAGGGGTGTCGTCCCAAATGAAACTCAAACTTCCAGCATGTAGGAGAGATGATCAAGGCTCAGTTATCTTGGTGTGAGCAGTGAGTCCAGTTGTACAGTTCGCTCTTCTCAACCGATAACAGGAATGGTCAGGCGATCTCTTTGAGATTCATTATGTATGCCGATAGTGTATGGATACGCTTGTGCACACGCAAAAAGGGCCGAGATACTAAGCCGTTCTTTGCGTTAGTTCTACCATTGGTTTACCGCCGATCTGGGAAACTGACTCAGACAGTGATGTTTGCCATTCTGTGGCCCCACCCGCATGCCATCCGCAGGTTCTACTCGGATGAGTACTTAAGTAGCCTCTACCCCTGTCAGGTCCGAAGTATTACATAGCTCGCCTCCGAATAACGTGTTTCACCTGCTTTGACGCGACGTCACGCTACACGTTCACAAGGCGCGTTCTGATCTCCATCATGATCCAGCATGACACGTCCATGTGGTCCCAATCCCCTGCGGCTAATATCGCCGACTCAACGGACAGAAGACATTTGAATGAAGACTAGGACAATCCAGAACCTACTGAAGGGTGATACTGAGCCGGTATGGTTTACCATATCCTTATCTCGAAGTCACGATGCTGAAAGTTGTGGATCACTTGGCTGATGCCTTAGCTCACTATGATGAACCCTTCCGAGTCCAGACCTGTGAAATACAAAATTTTGGTCGATTTCGTACGCGCGTCTCGGAGTACAATTATTGCCCAACGGGCAGGGACGCTCCAAATAGAGGGCATATCTGCACCGGCGGCCGTTTGTGCGTTGATTGAGACGGCATCGTTCTATTTTGGTTTAACTTTGGAAAGTGACCGAGACCCTCATTCGCATATGTTATCTTACGCAGAGCAAAGCCAGATCATGGAGGTTTTCTGCTCACAATCCATCTACTGGCTCGTGTATATTTTCTCTACCATACATCCCAGCCATGATATCGTCTAAATATAAGTTACACAACCAGCTTCCTGACACACGCACTCCAGTATACATTGACATTTTGCCAGAGTCTAGCTCACGGTCGAGCCCATCCTCATCACATTCACGTTCACCATCTTCTTCTCCATACAAGCTCCCTCAAGGTGCCACTTCATTCCAACCCTCCTTTAACGTGGCGCGTCGCATGATAGACATTGATCCCACCCTAATCTTCATTTCACCCTCTATCGTCATTGGCAAGTCATCCTATATAATGTTATTGGATGGCGCACCCATACACAGCGAGGACACGAAACTCGAATATGTTGGACCATATTTTACCGATTCTATAAACCCTTCCGGTGATGGTCCGTTGCTCTACAGCACAGCCTTAGTTCCCAAGTACTGGGAGACTTTGTGCAATTCCCCAGGTCCGTGTTTTCTGACCTTGACGTGCAACAGGCGTATGATTATTCCCCCCAAGACCCCACCATATACAGCATAATCCAGGATGTGTACCGTGCTCCGGACCCACTGGCAGCACCTCCCGCAAAGTCCCCGGGTGGTTCACGCCCTGTTCTTATCTTCTCTGCAATATACCACTTCCGATACCCAGTCCCTATATGCGTGCCCCCATCTTCCGTGGCACCACATTCTTCACGTCAAGCCAATTCACCTCTCACCGCACACAATGCTCATACTTGTCATGATTTACTTGACCGCATCGGTCCGCAAAAGCACCCTATGTCTCCAAACCTCTCAGACCAAGACAGCCTTCACGAATCCAGCGCGCAAAACCAGTTGTATGAGCAATTCACTCTGGACGTCAGCCTAGGTGACTTTTCCCTCGAGGACTTCATTATTGACATTCACAACTCGCGTGAGGCCACGTTGATGGAACATTCGTCGTTTTCAAGCTTCCCGAAGGACATCCGTAATTATGTGAGTGACCAATTAAATGAGGAGGTCTGCTGCTCATATCTCCATCAGATCATGTAGGAAAGTAGTGCACATGTACAACAATATGAACGTGCAGCAAATAGCGTTCGGGTTTTCTTGAGAACTCGATTTATGAGCGTTGCAAATTGGCGAAGACCTCGTTTCAATTGTTCATGACTACGTTGGTAAATTAACACGCAATACACCACAAGTCATATAGATTTTTCGTGACAGGGGCTGAGAGTAATAAGAAACCCTATGATAAAGTTATTAGGTCATGGAAGAAGTAAATGGTTCCCACACTCCCACCACGCCTCTTAACACTTGGACGACGAGGAAGAGAAATCATAAATGGCGACAAACGAAGCAGCAGCGACATCGGCTCATCCAAACCCCGCGAACATAATCACCGCCCTAACTAGTGCCTTTAAAAGCCAAAATGGCGAGGCAGCCTCAAGTACGCGCATCGCCCAGCTCCTCGAGCAGAATATGGGCCAGCTTGGCGAGCTCATGCGGCAGGGCAAGCTTACTGCCGTACAGATCCAGCAGGTCCGTCGGCTTTTAAACCAAGTGAGATTCATTTATCTCACTGGGGCGTCTTATCTGTAGCTGAAAGATTACGCTGAAAAACACAAGTCCGCGACCAGTGCTGCTTCCGGAAGCGTGGCTGGCACTTCGAGTACGAATGGCGGTACAAAGGTATGACCGAATGGGTAGGAACCCCCTTTGTGCCACTCATTTTCTTTGTGGCAGACCGGGACTGCTGCGACCACTGCTACCGCCTTTAAAAGCGGTTCACCAGCACCCGTTCTTACGTCCACACCCGGCGACGGTTATCCCATTAGTCAAACTCTCAACACCACCAATCCAGGCCCCGTCCAGTGGGCAACTGCACAACAAGGAAGACCAACGCTTACAGGCGGCATGGCTGGCGGCAGAATCTCAAGTGAGCATCCGGCGATTCTTTGCCAGGAAAGAAGCAGTCCTATCTGAGTAATGATTATGATCCATTTATCAGGTACTCCAGCTCAAATCGCACGATCCACTGACGACGCTGGTATGCTCAGCTTAGAGGACAACCATTCACGGAGAAAGAATACTCCGGGAGATCAGAGCATGAGACGGTCAATACAAGACCTTGTCTCAAGTGTCGACCCCAATGTACGGATCGAACCTGAAGTGGAGGATGTGAGTCCCTGCTCTTGTTTTCCTTGACGTGTCCCTCATTGTGTCATCTACAGTTACTGCTTCAAATCGCAGACGAGTTCATCGACTCGGTCACGAACTTTGGCTGTCGATTAGCAAAACATCGCGGCGGCGACACGCTCGAAGTCAAAGACCTCCAGCTTCACCTTGGTAAGTCTGATCGGTTCATTCTGCCTCATTCTAGTACTCACCTCACCGCTGTCTCAGAACGCAACCACAATATCCGTATCCCAGGATTTGCATCAGATGACACACGGATAGCCTTATCTCAGGCTGCCGTAGCACCTTCCGTGCCCACAGCGGCAACAAAGAAGGCAGCCCAGGGCACATCCATGACTTTACGCAGTCACCGCTTGGCACAGGTACAGCAAGCAAAGAGGGAGAGCAAGCTTGCATAGTTGATCACCTCAGACATTTTCGCTTGCTTTGTTGTACTCTTCTCTTCGCATCACACATGTATTATATCGTGCGTCACATCGTCATTCTATACCACTGAAAAATGCACATAAAATTTCAAAAGGTGTGTATATACTTCTACGTAAATATAATGCAGATCCAAGATGCAGTGTCCAGTATGCTAGGCGAGAGCAAATTTGCGCTCCTCTAAATACATGAGCCAAATAAAAAATCAGCATCATGGTACAGCATGACACTCAACGCCGCCCCGGAGCTCTGCAATCGCAGCGTGGTGTTGGCCGATAGCAATAACAATAAAAATGTGCCAAATCGCATGTGACCCACCACCACACCAGTCCAACCAGTGAGAGTGCCGCTCGGAAAGGAAGCGTTCCGGGATGTGGGTTGCATAGAAGACGAGCCCGATAAGGTATGATGTGATGGAGGGCCAGATGGGGTCTGGAAATGTCTATCAGTAGGGAGGAAGTAGCGCTCGGATAGAAAAAGGGACTGACCAACGAAGGCAAACATCTCCTCAGGTGAATGGAGGTATGCAAGGGCTGCCATAGGGGCGGCGGCGGTTAATGCCAGGGACAGAAAGAAAGCAATGCGATAATGCTGAAGGAATTGGCATCAGTAAGAAATTAAAAGAAGAAAAGAAGCATCACCTTATACTCGGCTTGATCAAACCATTTGAAGAATGGGAATGCATTTCCTGCGATCCCAGTCATCAAACAACAAACAAGAAATGCGTTTCCCACATCCGGATGACAATGCTGGAAGCCATAATATACGACGGTGCCAACTGATGCGCTGATAAGCCTGAAGCGATGTGAATAAAGCAGGTAAGTCAAATAAAGTGTCTAATTTGTACTCACCATCCGATACCTACATAGTCTATTCGTGCGCAAAGCTCCATGCCTTGAGGATGTGCGCAGCCGGCCATAGTGTGCCAGAGTACACTACTAAAGAGACAGAGAAGTGCAAATGAAATAAATGCCACCTCCGGGGCGTCTACGAGAGTCGATGCATTGAATATGGATATCAAGTTGATGAGCCAAAGGATGAACGGAATGAGATGGGTATGTATGTTTACTTTGTGATGGTCAGCATGTACTCGGATGTCCAAAAAAAAAAATAACATACAAGTTTCATTGTGTACGGCAAATAATGACATGATAATAAGAGGCCATTTGTCGAGGGGGATGAATCTAATGGACGAATAAACTTGCCGCAAGGAACTGAGGGGATCGCTACATACCGATAGCCTCCGGTGACAAAAGGGTTGTTTCGCCACTGTGGCGGAAGGTCGACGTACTTAATTAGTCGTGATCCTTGGAAAGATTGTTTTACTGCACGAGCAATGTCCCTCGCCGCCACTTCTATCATAGCCTCCGCTTCAGTGACATCATCAGAGAGTTCAGTGATGAGTTCGGAGGACATGATGGAATCAATGAGGCCGGATATACGGGAATTTACCGGGAAAGATGCAATCTCGCTAGAGCGAGGATCAAATGAACGTAGGTGCGCATGGAGCGACTGGAGTCGAGCCGAGAGGGTCGGTAGATAATCAGAAAAGTCGAAGTCGGAGAAACGCGAACAGACATGTTCTAGCAGCGATGTGATGTCGTTCGGAGCTAGAGCTGGCATGTGCGGACAGACACTCGGGATGTCAGGTAGATGCGAGCGCACGTCGCTCAGGGAAGGAACTTCAGGGAGTTCGGGGAGATGGGACTTTACTGGAGACATGTCTGGGAGATGGAGGTCCGGGAAGTGAGAGCACACATCGGTTCGGATACTACGAAGCATCTCAAGGGCATCTTTTGCCCATTGTCTGGCTTCTTCGACAGAGTGACCGCCCTTACTCTTCAGAGCCTCAGAGAGGTGAAGGTCAGTAATCGGCGTGATTGGAGACTCGAGTTTGGCCAATCGTGTCTCAATGTCTTCTAAATACGACAGGACGAGATACCTGAGCGCAACAAAGGTTTCTTTGGCTGAGTTAGATGAGAGGTCGAGTGCCTCAAGTGAATGAGGCAGACGCTGGCAGATAGCCAGACGGAGGTTGCGTTGGGCGTCATTTGTTGAGAAGCGACGTCTGTGACGAGGACGGAGGTCACTATTAGTCTCCGTCGCAGTCGATGACATCGAGCAAGATGAAAAGAAATATTAAGATGGAAGACGGAAGGAAGAACGAACAAGAGCCTCGTGATTTTGGCATCGGCTAGTGAATGGTCTGAGGAGGTCAGAATTCATTCAACGGAAAACACCTCTAAATATGGTATGTCTTCGGCGTTATTATTGGCTACAGTAGTCTTTGTCGCACATTGTCACATTTAATCGGGGTCACGCTCTTTTTGACTTGCGGCGGCCTTACACTGCGGCAGCTAAGTATGACTCAAGGAGCTCTGGAGGTCTTATAAAGACTCGGTTGTTCCAATCGACCTTCAGGATAACTAATTACACCGATACCCAACAAATTTCGCAGAATGACCGTCGCTTCAGGACTTCCTCAACTCCTTGTCGTAGGTCTGGGCAACCTTCCATTTCCTCAGACCCGCCACAGGTGAGTCCGCATTGCATACAGTTAACAGCTGATGTGAAGGACTAACTGAAATCACAGCATCGGGCATCTCATAATTGACGCCTTAGCTGCAAGACTGCACATGCATATGTCCACCGACAGGACGATGGGCGGCATCACTGGACGTTCGAGGGTTATGCTTGGAGAGACTGTCGTATCCCTGACACTTCTGAAACCAAGTTAGTGATCCAACTGTTCTACTTGCTCAATGAACCATGAACTTCGACCAGAGCCCCTCATGAACATTACCGGCCCATCGGTAGCAGCAGCTCTCCGCAGCTCTGTTAAAGCCCCAGATGCAATGGTCATTATCCACGATTCCCTATCTCATAAACCGAAGGCTTTGTCTCCAAAGATTGGTGGTTCTGCCAATGGACACAATGGAGTTCGTAGCGTCATATCTGCACTCGGAGGTGAAACCCAGTTTCATCGATTCCGCATTGGCATTGGTAGAGGCCCCGGTGATGCAGCGGAGTATGTTCTAGCAAAGCTTCCGCAGGAAGAAAAACTCTACTGGAATGGCGATGGCATAGGTCTCGACCTTATTTGCAACGAACTGGAACGCATCGCTCGCAAACAGCTTGAGAGCCAAGGCTTACCGTGACCTTCGTGGGTTCTCATTTCCACGTTCTGTAAAGTCATTGATAGGTTTCGTGTAGTATACCCGACGCCGCGCGGTAACCACGTCTCGATCCTGAGCTGCGACCCGTTCATCTTGGTTCATCTTCACCCGCGCCGACAGCCTAGACGCGGCTTTGCAGAGTGATCCCCGTACTTTTCATCTTCATACGTATACATCACGCATTCTGCCTGACGTGGCCATGACGATGGATCCCGTGCCCTCGGAGCCACGTCATGGGTTACTGAAGTAACTGAACACTAAACAATCTGCATGCAATCCATTTGGTTCTTCCAGATGACGTGAGGTTGTGCCACTATCCGCGAATATTCGGGTCATTACAAGATGAATGAATGCATAAATTTTCTGGAAGTTTTTCATAAGCGACGCACTATAAATCTGTTGCTCTCCAGAGCACGAACCGAATAACGGTCTGTGATCATGGTTGACTGGCTGCTTGCCTCTGTTGCTGCGGCGTGTATTGGGACGACATATGCTCAGCCATCGCCAGAAGTTCAAGTACGTATCGGTGCTGCTATAACAGCTGCCCAGGCATCCAACTCCACGGATATTGACTACACTGCTTTCGTTAATCCTTTTATCGGAACTGGTAATTCGCTTCTTGCTCGGCAGCGTCGCGTGTTCTGACAGCTGTTATGTAGATTACACCAACTATGGGGACGTCTGGTAAGTCTTCACCTCCGAGACGCGTCATGACGCGTCGAATGATACCGGTCATGCAGCCCCGGCGCGTCGGTGCCCTTCGGAATGGTACGTGTCAATTTGAACATAACAACAACGCGCCCACCTATCTCCCAGGTCAAATTCACGACCGACTTCACAGGCTACGCGCCAGCGGGTAAGACTCCGCGTCGTCTCGCAGGTGACGTGTGTTTCTAATGATTGCCAATGTGTGCGATCCGTAGGGTACATCTCCGATCCGTCCCAGAAAGCTCGCGGTATGAGCCCGCTGCACGACAGTGGCACAGGGTCTTCCCTCGGGACGTATGGCAACTTCGAGGTCATGCCCCTCCTTTGTCCCGGAGGATTCGACACGTGCACGACTACGCTGTCCGCACGCGAGAGGTACAGGAAGAACGATTCGGATGGTATGGCGTCGTGTATTGTATAGCGGTTCTAGGAGCTAAATGAGTGTGGCAGACGCATCCCCTGGATACTTTTCGACAACTCTGGATAATGATATCAAGATGGAGGCTACGTCGACGCGTCGTGCTGGGCTGGAGCGCTTCACGTTCCCGGCGGGCTCAAAACCGTACTTCGTGCTTGACCTTGCAAATGACTTGCCGGCGTCATTTGCAGGTGGAACCCTCGATATTGACCCAAAGAATGGTCGTATCACCATTGGTGGCCACTACGGCTCCAGGTAAGCTCGGGATGTCCTGTTGGTTAGTGGTACATCAACTCAATTTGTGTTAGCTTCGGTCCCGGTGTCTATCACTACCAAGCATTTGCTTGCTATGATCTCTTGAACAGCGGAACTCAGAAGCTAAGTGAATATGGCGTCTGGACCGGAGATACGTGAGCACTGCGCGCTGCTGGTACATACTTGGACTAACAATTTGCCCATCAGCTACGGCCTCGACGCAAAAGGACTCGGCCAGACCCACCTCAATCTTTCTCAAAACATAATAGGCGGTACACCCTACCAATCCGGTGCACTCTTCTCATATGAGGGCAATCCAGAGCAAGTGATCCTTCGCGTGGGCGTTTCATTCGTATCGACAGACCAGGCCTGCGCCAATGCTGAGGAGGAAATTGGCACAAGTTCCTTTGAGAAAATACAGACGGCGTCCAAGGCTCTTTGGCAGGAGAAGCTCAGCAAGATCGAGATTGATATTGTAAACACGCCACCTAATGTCACGGAGATGCTTTATTCTTCGTTGTACCGCGCGTCATTGACTCCTGTAGGTGTAAACACATCGCAGAAGCGTTGAGCTAACCGCGTTTCCAGCAGAATAATGCTACTCTAGAAACTCAAGGCGCGTTTGCGAACACGACATCATTCTACTTCGACTCTCTTTACTGCAGCTGGGACACGGTGGGCAGCAATGTTGTGATGTCAGAATTTTACTCACCCACATGCGCAGTTCCGAACCTTCTACCCCCTCATGACTCTTCACTCTCCCGTCGAATTTGCGCAAATTGTGGACACCTATATCGACGGCTGGCGTAAGCTCGGCTGGATGCCAGAATGCCGCGCGAACAACCTACCTGGGTGGACCCAAGGCGGGTCAAGCGGCGATAACATCGTCGCGCAATTTGCGGTGAACTATCACAATGAGGCGAAAGCGCTGGGAATCGACCTCGACGAGCTGTACGCCGCGGTCGTTACGGACGGGCAAGTCAATCCACCGGAGTGGAATACTATGGGCAGGCAGGTCAATGTTTATAAGTACGTGGCTTCCTATGTGGAATATTGGTTATCATCGCTGAATTGAATTTGCAGACAATTTTCATACGTACCCTTTGCTGTTCTAGATACTGGAAGCACGGGTAGACAGACCAGGGAAGGAAGTAGAACTCTCGAGGTGAGTGCTTCGCGATCAGTACTCGTGTTCCGACCTCAAGAGTCGGTTGTATCCATTTCAGTATGCATTCGAGGACTTCGGTATTCGCCAGGTAGCACTGGCGCTTAACAAAACAGATGATGTCGAATACTATACGAACCGGTCATATGTGAGCGAATACAGATGGTGTCCCAGGCCACTGATCGCAAACGTCACAGTGGTACCGCAATGTTTGGGACCCAACCGTGGACAGTGATGGATACGAGGGTACGTCGAGCTATCGACAGGGACGTCAATCCTGATGTTGTCATCGCAGGATTCATGCAGAAAAGATTCTCCAACGGAACCTTCTATTACACCGACCCTGTCGACTGCTCGCCGCTGGACACCAGGAGCAGTCGAGAGTGCTCGCTTCAGGAAGATAACTTGAGCGGTTTCTACGAATCATCGTCGTGGGAGTATAGCTGGTGAGTGTTCCGTTCTTGCGAGGAGACGTGTTGGGTAGCTTATGAGGAACAATAACAGGTATGCACCACATGATACGGAGCACTTGATTGAGCTCATGGGAGGAAACACAACATTCATGAATCGATTGGACCATTTCTTTGATGTGGGTTAATCCTATGGATCGTCATAACTGAAATTTACCTTGGTGACCCCCACTCCCAGAAAGGATATTACCAGGCGGGTAACGAGCCTTCTTTCCAGGTTAGTCTGTAAAACATGCAAGGTTGAAACGGTGCTGACTTGTGGAGCAGACACCTATCGGATACCACTATGCAAACCAACCTTGGCGCTCCGTTGACCGTGTCCGTGATGTTGTGATAAATAACTTCAATTCCGGTAAAGTTGAGAAGCTCTGGCTGATATGGGGTGATGCTGATTCAGATACAGGCACTGCGGGTCTTCCTGGAAACGACGATCAGGCTGCAATGGCAACACTTCTCGCGTTCCATCTCTTAGGGCTCTACCCAGGTATGCTCCTATTCGGTCACCTACCCATTAAACTAACTCAGAATGCAGTTCCCTCAACAACGCATTACCTCATTATTTCCCCCTTCACGCCAAAATACACCATCCACAACTCCTACCTTAACACCAGCACTACGGTAACTGTGACCAACTACTCTGCTGCGTCTGTAGCATACCCGATACCCGATGGTGTGCCCGCGTACGTGGAAAGTGTGAAGATCAATGGGGTGCAAGCGAAAAGTAGATGCTACATTGATTTCTACGATACGTTTAGAGTGGGTGGGGAGATTGAGATAGTTGTCACGAAGGACAAGAAGTATGATTGCGGTGGGCGTGTACCGGAAAGTCTGTCGACGGGTGGATTTGCTTATGCACGGTAGATGTTCGAACAATAGAATGAGTTGATGATGACCGTGTTCTTTGTGTGAATTAATGAGATAACGCGCTTTCGACAGCCTAGCACAGCGGATTAAATGTTTCAGCGGAGAAGTTGGTCTCCCCTAGTCAGCCATATAAGTGGAAGAAGGAAAATAGTCGTTCCTTCTAATAAAGCGGAGAAGCTAACCTATCAATCAGATCTTTAGTATTGTCAATGTTTGTTCTTGTTTTCACACATAGGTCCGTGCAATAATTGACGGCCTCGACTCGCGATCAGATCGATCACAAATTAACACCTGCAGGTCCTCGTGCTCGTCATCATCCACGTTCTCCTCGGTGCATGTAAATAGTATGGAGAACGTCATCGCCATCGGCGCTGGGCTTGCTCTACGCGCCGTCATCGACATCCTGACCGACGATGATCAAAGACTTACCGGTGCGTCTTCTTAAAAGTGACAAAGTACTTATTATTATGGCCTACCTAATTATCGTTCTTCAAGGTACACTCGTCGGGCTTTGGGAAGGAATCGTGCTCTCGCATTTTCTCCATAAAAATCCGCGAAATTCCAATGATGCATATCTTGCTCTTGCTACTCGGTTCCTTATCGACTTTATGCTCACGAACTCGGTAGTCCGTTTTGCCCTCACCGGCGCATGGACACTTGTCGGGCTCCTCCTTGCTGACATAGCGCCCAGCGTTTGGCGTGATACAGGACTGAAGTATATGTACAGGGCGTTAAGAAAAGATTTCAAAGCGATGAGAAGGACCATGCCACGATGGAGGATCGAGAATGATATACAGGTCCCCAACATTTCTATCTCAAGTCCTGTCCCGGGCTTGTTCTCTCGTCGCCCACCATCCACTATTGTGTCCAGCACGCGCGCTGCCCCGCCCGCCTCCCCAGCGCCAATCCTACAGAGACCCCCATCGTCAGCCAGCGGAACCCTTTCCGAGACGAATACTCGTACCCGTGAAGTCCTTCTAGGTCCCTCCCCGGCGCTCATTCATATTGATGTAGACCCTGTTTTCCCTCCTTCGTCCAACCAAGACTCGCACTCTCAACGCTCGTCCCTCCTTTCTAACGCCTCTGATTCTGATCCTTCAAGGCACGACCCTGTATCAATTCCAGACGACGACCTGGCACGTACCACCGTGCCGCCTTACACACAAGAACAGGAGGAGGAGCAGGATCCAGATCTCAGCGTGCTCCACCTCAGTCCGCCTGTAGCCGCAGTCGAGGTAACAACCACAAACCTCGAAATCGTCTCCCCAACTCCTCGCGCGCGCATTGGAGCTCTACCTGTCATCCCAGATACCGAGATTGATCTTTCTGCCCATGCACGGCAAGTTCCACTACCAGAATCACGCCCTGCTTCCCGTGTGAGAAGCATAATCTCCGCCATTGGCGTGGGTGCGTCGAGTCAGTTCGCTCGTGCGCACCTCGGAGAGGCTGATTCGGACCGCGGGCCTGATCTTGGGAAAGTACATGCGCCATTCCATCAACGGGCGAGCTCGGCGGGGGTGTCGGGACAGGCACAAAATCATCCTACCTCTGGTAACCGGCCGGGTTCAACAGGGCACCAGCGCAGCAACTCGAGATGGGAACATTCGATGATTCGCCGCCCTGAAGAGACTATTATGCCCGCTGGTGCTGCTGGAACTGAGGATTTCATCGGCGGATTTGTCATGCAGGCAAACAGTCAACAAGAACCAGCACCGAGACATGAAGAAACTATTGTGCCCGCTGGTGCTGCTGGAACTGAAGATTTCGTCGACGGAATTGTCATACAGGCAAACAGGCAAACGCCCAAGCGCTCCGGTACGCCTAAAGCGCAGTCCGGCAGTGGCAGTGTCAGTGTGCGCGCGAACTCAGCGCTCGGGTTGAGCACGCACCTCTCCCCGTCTAAGACACCCACTATTCTCCCGAACCGAAAGCCCTCTTCCGAGTCAACACCCCAAACCAAACCGCCAACGCCAGTGCCCATTAAAGGGATGACCTTCTCAAAAACGCCAACGCCTGCGCCTCCCTCCAAAACACCAACGCCTGCGCCTCCTTCCAAAACACCCACACCTGCGCCTCCCTCCAAACCACCCAAATCCAGATGCACGAGCCCAGGTCTTACATCCGGCACAAACCGCACTTCTGGTCCCAACGCCGCCGATGCCACCGATTACGACCCTGCAAACCCCATTCGTCCCATGATCAGATCTCCAGCTACGGTTCCAGACTCAATTTTCCCGGGTCCCACTGGGCAGTATGATCCTTTCTATACCAGTCGCGATATTGAAGATGATCCGCCACCACCGTTTAAGGAATTCGAGTCGCCTGTGGGTCCGCCAGGGGAAAGTTTTGTGAGGGATGTGGAAGCCGATGGGAATGGGTCGGGGAGCGGAAGGGTCGTGGAGGATGACGATGCTGGTGCCGATCCGGCAGTTGCTGAGGTAGGTGTGGAAGAAGAAGGGCAGGAGGTCGCTCAAGAGGAACAGCAGGGGGCGGTTACAAACGACAATATCGGAAATGTGGATGATGTGGATGGAAAAGCAGCAGATGAAGGTACTGAAGAGCAAGAAAAGAGTAAACAAGACGGGGAGGGTAATCAAGGCGCAGGTATGGATGTTCAAGGAGCGGGTGATGATAGCCACACCAGAGACGGGGATGCTGCAGTTGGGGATGCCAGCCTTGCAAGCGGGGATACTCAGATAGCAGGCGACGGTACCCAAGTCGCAGGTGGCGATACCCAGGTAGCAAGCGGAGATACCGAAGACGCGGGCGGGCATACCGAAGACGCGGGCGAGAATAACGAAAACGCAGGCGGGAATACCGAAAACGCAGGCACGTTCAGCGCCTACATTAATTTGAACCGAGCTAAAGCTTTTATCTCCAGACTCTTCCCCCACACCAGAGCCAGTGACTCTTACCCCTGAACAAACAGAAACCGAAATCCACCGCGTTGCCTTCCTCCGTAAAGAAGTGGCCCGACTTGAGGCATCACGAAAAAAAATTAATTATTCTGACGAGAATGGCCTGTCCGAGAATCAGGCCCGTCTGAATGCCGTGAAAGGCAGGATTTCAAGAACTGTCTTTGCTGGTGCGTTCATGTTCCATAGCCGACCTTTATATTTCATCCTCTTACGTCTACTCATGATTACCACGAACAAAGACCCACCTGAGTGCCCACCACCCTCTTCCGAAGTCCCCACTCTTGGGAGGGGTGTTCCGGAGATCTGCAGCGTCATGACGGAGATGGTTGTCGATTTGCTTATTGAGCGACAGGACGCTGGCCCGATTGAAGTGATGGTCATTTCAAGTTCTCTTTGGAAAAAACCCAAGCAGGCGGCCATAGAGAGGATGTTGAAGGAATTTTTCACAGAGTGAGTTCTTTGTTTTGATAAAACTCTGCATATAAATGTGATGCTGACGCTGGTGCCAGGAACAAATTCTCGATTCGCACTGATCCTGCCATTGGACCACTCACGACTGTAATAATAGTGTAATCGAGGCTGTACGAGATACGATACCCCTGACAACGATACCCCCCTCCTTCCTAAGTGATGTACTTGATGTGCTCCCAATGACGGTGATGGCGAAGATTATACTTTGTTGTATAGAAGGAAGTTCCTTCTATTAATATTATAGTCTGCCTAGGGGAGACTACGCTTTGTTGTATCTCATATGTAACTGTAATCTATCCAAATTGTTATGGTGATCATCAAAGATGATAAACTGACTGACATTATTGACGATACGCTTTGATACGGTTGGCGATTGAAATGAAATGCGTGCTCCTACAAGCCTTGCTGTTTCGACCACACGTCATTCAAACGTGAATTCATCATTGACCAGAGGATATCATAAGTTTCCATCCTCTGATTCGCGCAGCAAATCAGCACATACTATCGCATTCAACGTTCTACCGTGGTAAAGAATCCTATCCTTGTATGTGAGGCCTGAAAGTATCTACGGGTTCGAACATACAAAATCCTCTGCAGTGATAAATAGTTTCATCCTCTAGTTCGTTCATTCTAATCTCTTGTCTGATCTCGTGTCAGTGATTTGTAGGGTGATCGCAGCTCCTATGAAAGTGAAAAAGGTTTATATGAGGGTTGTCGGTAATGCCAAGAGAGGTTCATCTGTCAGAGCCGCCCACTTGCAGTATATGCCCGCATATGCAACAAGAACGCGAAGCTCCTTGCTCATTACAATGACAGGATACAGCTACACATAGGGTCAGGACGAGATTCGTGAGGCTCGTGCAGGAACTGACCTCAGACATCAGTGGAAGCGGAAACCTCCTCGTGCTCTGTCCCCTCCCAGAGCTCCCCGGATCGGCGAGAGGGCGTTAGAACTACTGGGTCTACCTCTTCGTGTTCTGCCCCTTCCCAAAGTTCCCCAGATCGGCGAGAGGCTGCTAGACCTACTGGATCTACCTCTTCATGTTCCGCTCCAGCCCAAAGCTCTCCGGATCGGCGAGAGGGTACTGCAGGAATAGTAGCACCAAGGATAGAGGATGCAAGAGCAAGAGCAACCGTGAAGCGAGACAAGGAGGTCAACATATTACTAGTGAGATGAACCAAACAGACGTTTTTATCTAGACGATGTTGGGACACAGGAACTATGAATGCTTGAAGTCTTCATCCATTTTATACGCATGATATTGCTGCTGCGCAGTGCGTGAGGCCACGTTGACGACAAGTACAAGTCATGTCAAGTCGTTCTACGGTGGAAGAGTGCGAACTGTTCATCATCAATCAGACGACAACGGGCACCGTATCACTCTAAATCTTAGCGACGTTCAGTGCCGAAGAGCGTTAGCATCTCTGATTCGGATATGCTGAATGTTTGTCTCCATGTCAAGGGCTAGGCTACGCTTTGAAGGAGAGTTCCTATTGGGTGCAGAAACTATGCGTCTTTTCCTGACACTGTCACTAGCTTTGGGCGTTGCAACTTGAAAGGGAGGTACCGGCTCACCTCCAAACACGACCATGCCAACTCATGATATCCTGCACCGCGCGAGTGTTTAAATACACTCATCCTGTGTTTATCTCGTCGTGAGCACAGAACCAGTGCTGATGCCCGAGAGTCGGTCGTAGACTAGTCTCCGTAGTCACAGAATGAAAACAAACGGTCGTTCCTTGCACAGTCATTGTGACGACCATGAACGGAAAGAAGGACCGCGCTTGCTTCTCATTCGACACTATACAATGTTCTTTACATAGCTTATCCTTGCCATTGTTGTCAGTGGTCGGTAGCCATAATATTAAGAAAACCTTACATACCACATAGGAGTAGGAGCGTGAGAAATACTTCCTTCTTTAGTAGTAGCCCCTGTCGCGAAAATTCATTGACAATGATCATCATCATCAGCAAAACACTTTTTTCCCACCACCAAAAAATGGCTGGCCACAGCTTGGTCCCTTCTGTACAGAGCGGTACAGAGCCCACAGAGCAAAGTGATTTGCTGATGATAATGCCGACGAGAGGCGTTACTAGAAACCCGCAAGACACACCAATTAAGCCTCAGACTTGCGCGCCTCTTACGGCGCCCGTTCTAGTCTTATCGCCCCAGATGAGGCCTTCATGTGCACCGTCTTCGTCTTCTATGCATATGTAACGTGTTACCTCTTTCAGTGTGCAAAATTGCCTCGCCCCGGTGACCCCGGCTTCGTCTCAATCCTACGCTTCTAAGTACGACACTCGCATCAATCTTCCTTGTTGATCCTATCAGTCTACGTATGACTTTGTTTCTTCCAACTTTGATTTTCTCGTCTCATCCCCTCGAAACATACCTTTTCGTCCTACATTGTGTCCCTTGGCCATTGGAAGCTCTAACGAAGTAAAGACCAGCAGAAGCACATGCACACTCAGCTTCCAAGTCGCTGAACGTCCCGGTGGCTATCTCTATGAAGGATCCAGAAGGGTTAGAATGGAATAGATCGACAGGATGAAAGAAGTGATTTATGTAGTTCTGACCCAAGAAAATCAGCAACATCGAATCATGGTAGGGTATGATCATAACCTACGCCTTGCTGATGAAACTCCTCGAGATTCCTTGTCTCCATCCGCGCCGAGCCTAGCCTCTCCTACACTTCTTCATGGACCTGGTTCACCTTGTGTCAGGTCTCTTTCGAATTGCATTCTTGTCACTTTCTATAATTTCAGCATCCTCCTGTCCGTTTCCAGCGACTACAAACTTTCGGGTCGTCGCACCTTCTCCAGTTCTGAACATTTACCCTCCAACGAGCTACGCGACTTTTATATTTGAATGTTCAGGCCTTTCTCGTCGTATAGCGCAACGGACCTTCCAGCTCCAGGACCCCTTGCTCAACGCGACCGTCGTGATATTTGAAAGGACTGGAAGGCATCAATGAGACTCTAGGTACCAATGACTTGCGGCTACTTCCTACTCGGCGCTAGATATGCCAGGTGTTCCTAGCGTTGATAGTGCTAAAAAGCCTTCCAGTTCTTGTCCTGCTGCAGGACAAATATTTAGCTCGTGGTAGTCATCGTCGGCGCCTCTCTACCGCCTTGCCTAACTCAAGAAGCGACCGCTATGTATTGGGATATGGGCGGGGATACAAAGACTCGTTTCGCAACAGGGGTAATTAGTCATGAATGTGTTGATATCGTGGCAAAATGGCGCGCTGAACTTCTAGACGAACATCATTCTGATTTAACAACCTCCACAAAGCCAGCTGTAGAAATCTTTCAACACTGTTTTTCAATCCCTACTGCTAGTGCGATGCCCTCCATGAACAAGATTTTCATTATCAGTTTATAGCGGAGGGGGCCGGGCATAAAAGACTCTCGTCAACCATCCATTTTCTCTACTGCTTGCCTTTAGAATCGGAGATCTTCTCGTGAACGGCGCTTTGAAATAACAATCCTGGGACGTGCGTATATACAGGTCCCTCAGCGTGTTGAACAGCGGCTATAATTTTTATAGTAAGCACTCGTCAAGTAATCGTTCATACTGACTAACATCGCTTTGAAGTTATTTCCTCGTGCACGATCATTTGCCAAAAAGCTCCAGCAAATGGCGTCGCGTCAGGTTCGTTTGCCCTGTTGTTGGCTGCTGCAGTTAGCACAAATGGAAGCTTGAGGCCAAGTCGAGCGATCTTGTTTACCTCGGCTGGGCGATACTATCTGATGGATGCCAGTTTGCCAAAGAGCGCCAACGAGTGGCGTGATTTGAGATTCCGCCGCATTTCGACCAAGAGCGCGGACTACGAGCGGTCAGTTCATGGCACTGAGCGACGAGCAATGACTTCTTACCTTTACTTGGAATTACTTTGTCGTAGATGATTGCTGGGGTATCGGTACCGGTGGTGGGAACTACCACAAGAATCAGATAACAACTACGGGCGACATCTGAAGATCCACACCAGCAATGTCGGAAGAAACTTATTTACACAGGTGTTATCAATATTTTTCTGAGCCGGAATACAACACTGACCTGCGTCTCTAACAACAACGCGGGCGGCACACGAAATAAGAAGTACGTATAAAATGCAAATAAGGGATAGAATGTTGGAGTGCATCGCGAAACCGTTGCGAGAGGTATGCCCTATGATCTTGATGGAATAACCTATAGCTAGGCTGAATTTATAGCACGACCGCACGCCTCGTGCGGATGTGGGGCCCGCAGGCTTGAAAAAGCGATCGAGGTCTCTGCCAAAGGGCCACATTATCTGCGCTTCGGTGTTGAAGCGAGCTGCGAGTGCACAGCTCGGCTGCTTCGAGAGGTGTTCCGAGACTGAGAGCAGCTTCTCGGGCTACCGCAGTACCATAATTGCTGGGATGTCCAGAACACGCCTTGTTATCGACACAACAAGTAAGCGAATAATCAATGGGCCTTCTCCACTAAAAAGAGACGTTCGATAGTCTTCCTTGTTCCGCGTTAAAGACTCGTACATCAGCAATAAATCGGCGGCCTGTCTCTGGTTTATCAAGAAGCAGGACAGGTATGCCAATCTTGACACTCAGCAGCTGAATCTGCAGTTAGTACCTGTGATGTCCGGGGGTTAGCTAATGGTTGACCCGAAAACCAAGATGATCGTGGAGTGAGAACCAGTGTGGCAGGTACAAATATTTTTGTCCATATCACGAAGCACTGAAGTTGTGGGCCAAGTGGGCCGCGGATGTTTCGGTGCTCCGGAGTTCAGACGTACTGATTGTCCTGAACCATGTGTCATGGGTCGCATGCCCAGCACCCCGGCAAATCATATCTACGCACTGTCTCAACTCGAGCATCACAACGAGCACTTGAGCAGAGAGGGCCACAAAAACGTATTCAGGAAGTGATTATTCGCACAACATGAAAAACTATAAACTATATACAAAACAATACAGTACTCGTACTGCTTATCCGCGAGCGACCATAAATCAGAGCATAAAGAACAAAGATAGCGTATCCAGCAGTGCGTGGTATAGGTAAGGTATCAATGTCGTGGAGGCGTGATTGGTAGGGTACTTGTATAGTTGAATGGTCGACGTTGGACGTCGGAGATTTAGGATCCATATATGCGTAATATGGGTGTAGGGGTCGTGGTAAACATGAAGTATACTGGGGGTGAAAGGTGTCGTGATGTGACGTTCAACGGGCGTGTAACACGCGAGCATTTAAAACGTGATATTCAAAATAAAAGGCGTCGCCGTGTCAGTCCGGACCTTGAACTTGTTCCTACAACACGAGGCGTTAGCGTGAAGTCCCATAAAAAAAGAAGAAACGAGGAAATAACGACGATCTGCTAAAAGGCGAGGTAGAGCAGCACGAGAAAAAAAACTCACTCTTTTACCCAATCCACAACAACGGTTTTCAATTCACTTGATTTTCCGTTCCCCCTCCTCTGCTTGTTGATATACCCGACGAGCACTAATGGCTCTGCGTCGGGAGCATCTAGGAGCATATCCACAATGGCGGTCTGCACGAGGTCAACTGCTGCCGGGCCATCGATACCGGAAAGGGTGAGTTGGGGTGGGTCTGAAAATTCGAGGGGAGGATCTGTGCATAGAAAGGGAAGGGGAGAGGAAGATTCAGCATCGTGACCAATGCCAAAAGAAACCAAATCAAAAAAGTACCTTCATAGACCCTCCTTTCAACCCTCAATCTCACCCTCCCAAGCCTCTCCCTAATCCCATTCAGCCTCTCCACACTCAACGCACTCGGACTTCCCCGCCCCAGCCCACTTTCCGCCTTCGCCACGAGCCCCTCCAGCTGCTTCAGCTCCCGCATCAAGAACTCCCCGCGTAGCGACTCGCGCTCGGTTTGCTCAGGGGTGAGAAGAGTCGGCTCAATGGGTGTCGCAACCTCCTTAAAGGGCGGTGGCGGCGTTTCAGGATTGCTATTGGGGAAGTCGGGGTCTTGTGCCGTACGGACATGCCCATTTTTCGTTGTGTCCGTATCTATCTCCATCGTAGCCTGCGCAGGGACAATCGCATCCTGCGTTGGCCCATCTGGCTCTGTGCCACGCAAAGGAGCGGGATCTGATGCAGAAACTGCTAGGTTTTGCGAGTCAGGCCCTGGGGTTTGTGTACGTGCGGAAGTCTGCTGTTGGTCTTGGGGAGTAGGTTCAGGTGGAACGGGTGTGGCGCTCTTGGAAGGCGCGGGCGTAGTGTTCTTGGAACCTTTCTTCTTCCTTCCGCCTTCGGACTTTCCTGGTTTATCTTGTTTCTCATGGGCCATAAGAGCAGAATGTTGGTTGCTGGCGGGGTCGTCTGCATCAGGAGTGGGGTTCGGGAGGGATTTGTCGACGACGGTATTAGTGTTGGCACCCGGGATAGTATCAGTGTTCGATTGCTGAGATTTATCCATGTGAGATTGAGGATTGGTAGTCGTTGTCGTTGGAGCGTCAGGAGGGTCGGGTGTGGGTGTTTGATAGGGGTTCGCATGCGGGTTTTGGAAAGGTACAATAGATTCTCCTAGTGCCGACGGAGGCTGAGGCGCAACGCCTGAACCGACGGCGGGCCCATTCCCGGTAAATTCTGCTGCAAACCCACCCACGAAAGGTTCGGGTGCGCTCAGCTCGGCAGTAAATCCGCCTGCGAAAGCTGCCCCTCCAGCACCAAACACAGACTCTGACCTACCACCAATGATAGGCTCGGTTCTTGCGCCACCTCCAATCACTGAACCCACCACCGATTCGTCATTGTCATCAACATCAACATGTCTGAGCATTGAGGGCCCAGGGCCTGAGCCCGAGCGGTGGTGTCCCATTGTGTTGGGCTGCCACCCCGTTGAGCTTGCCTGGTGCTGAGTAGCATCAATGCCCACATCCAAGGTGGTCTTCTCACCCCGCGTGCGGCTCAATATACTCCTTGCGCCAAACAGGGAGAGGACACTGCCCACGACGGAGACCGGCCGTGATTCTGGCAGTGGCACTTGGTGAGCGAGGGCGGGTTCTGAGTTAGCGATGGTAGGGAGGGAGTTGATATGCGAGCGAGGCGTTGGGGAGATAATTTCGACGTTTGCAGTGATGATCTGACCTTCAGGTATAAATGGGGGAATGTCGAGTGCACTTAGCTCTGGGTCCTGCCCTTGTTCTGGCGAAGGTGAAGACACACTAACGTGCACCCAACTGTCGTCGTGGACCGTTATGGGGTCATGTCTTGAAGGGCCAGAGTCTGACAGGTGCGCAGTGCGTTGGGAGTGCATGTCAAAGGGTGGAAGACAGGTTGGATCGACGGTGGTTGAGATGAGTGCTGGCGAGGGACCTGGAATGACTTCGCGTACGCGACTGAGCTCAGAGTTCGTCTCGGAGAGGGCTGGACGGCCAGGATATGTCCCGGGTGGCGTGCGTCTCTTGTGTGTTTGTGGGGAAGGCGAAGCGGGAGCTACAACGCGGGTACTCGAAACGACAGATGATGGTGGACGGCGAGTAAACAAGCCTGGTACGGAATATTTCATGGAAATTTTCGGTACTTTCAAGTCATTCTTGATCTTCCATCGTGGAGTGGCCTTCCTGATAACCCTAACCTCTCTCCTTAACGCCTTATACACGTTTTTCAGTCCCGTATCGCGCCATACACCGGGCGCAACATCTGCAAGGAGGAGCCCGACCAGCGTCCACGCGCATGTGAGGGCGAACCGAGAAAGCGAGTGTGAGAGGTAAAGGTCAATTGCCATGCGCGTAGCAAGGGCAAGGTATGGGTCTTTTGACCTCGAGGAACGGGTACGCTTTGAGAGGAAGTGGGAGAGCACGACACCTTCCCAGAGTCCGATGAGTATGCCTTGGGATGGGGTTAAGTGGTCTATACACTTTAAAAAAAATAAAGACTACTGAAAACAAACCTATGAGTTTGTGATCATTGCTTGTTGCAACGTTGAGCACGACGCGCAGAGCGACGCCCGCCCCGATTGAAAGTAGGATTTCCATGTCTTTAGTAACAAATGCATACCGATGAACAACTGTATCATATTCCTTTTGTTGCATTCGGCAAATCCCGAAGGTGACTCAACTACTTTGATTACAGCTGTTTGCATAAAGGATGGTACTGGCGTGAAATTTTCGTTCAATTAGGAAATGTTAGACTTAGTGAAATTTTGCTCGTGTACGCTCATACTACCCTTATATTATCAGCTTCGCAACATGGGATTTCGCAAGATCAGTCGTGACGTGAAACTTGCAGCAATCCGACTCCATGAACGGAACCTTCTAAGCCTTCGTGATATCCTAGATTGCTGCGGATTTTCCAGACGTACTTGGTTTCGGATTTTGAAGCTCTGGCACGAAACCGGCGATGTCGTGGACCGTCAGCCTAACACAGCAATGCGTGGTCGTCTGCGTGCTCTCGATCATGAAGATATTGATTGCCTGCTTCGCCTTGTAAGGCAGAATCCTGACTATTTTTTGGATGAGCTCATGCACCTCCTCGCGACAAACCAATTCATATCTGTCCATTTCACGACAATCTTCCGCGAGCTCGAACGTGCTGATGTGAGCTACAAGAAACTCAAGCGCATTGCCAAGGAACCCAACGAGACTCTCCGTGCTGCGTTCATCACACGCAGGGCTCAGTATGATCCATCAGAGTTGGGATTTATTGACGAGCCATGTAGTAGGGATCATTAGTCACAGATTTTAGTTCCACGCTTTCGCTTTTTGGACATGGTCGGAGGTGGTGTAAGGATCTTCATGGGCTGGGACTGCTCAAGCTCGTCATCTTCGCCGTCGTCATCAGAGTCAGGTTCCTCTTCCTCCGAAAGTTCTTTCATTCGAATATTGTCCTCATCGGACCCATTGGAATCAAGGTCACTGTCATGCTCTAGCAGGCTCTTGTGTTTTTTGTAGGCAGGAATAGTTATAAACGGCATGATGATAATGAATTACAGGGGATGTGAGTGTACACGAGCAAAATTTCACTAAGTCTAACATTTCCTAATTGAACGAAAATTTCACGCCAGTGCCATCCTTTATGCAAACAGCTGTAATTATATCTTTCGTCTCGCTCAATAATGTAATTTACAATAGTTCTATAACATTAAATCGTCAAAATTGATGTAGAAGTGATTGACCCGGAGGTGATAGCTCAGAGCTGATGCGTGACGGTCATGTCTGTGACCTGGGTGATCACTTGTGACATTTGTGACCGACTGAAGCCTCGACCTTCGCCGAACTCATGGAACGGGGGAGTTCAATTAAATTCACGGAAGGCCCCCTTAAATAACATTTTACAGGATTCAAGGATACGCCAGGAATTCGGCCACCACTTGAAAGTACCTCCCCTGGTCCTCCTCCTCCAGGAACGGCAAGTGACGCTGCGAGAACTGTGCCCATTTCACATGAGGAATTCTGTGGAAGAAAGGACTGACGCAAACGTCCTGCGCTTCGTCATTTGCACCGTTAGTGAGGAGGGTGGGGGTTGTGATTGTGTGTATCTGCTCCAGGCACGACCATGGCTTCAGCGTGCCCGTAATGGTAAACTCTGATGGTCCAACCCTACCAACATTAACGATTAGCAGATGTCAGAAAGGTACGTCGAGACATCACCTACATTGTGCTGTACACGGTGGGATTTTGTATCATGGATGCAAAAGACGTCTCCAACTCCTTTGGCCAGGGGGTCCTGCATATGTGCTTTTCATAGAATACTCCCATTGCTTCTTGATACTCAGGGCTGTCCGTCGTCCCTTCTCTCTCGTGCTTCTCCAATGCGTCCCGCACATCTACTGGCAGCGCGTTCAGCAGCTGGCGAGTGCTTTTTTCCCATAATGCCATGGATGGGGCTCCACTGGTGAGGACGAGGTGTTTGAGACCCACCGGGTGTCTGTGGCTGGCATAATGTGCTCCTAACATCGCTCCCCAGGAGTGACCAAGAAGATCAAAGTCATTCTGCACCCCAATGTGGATAAGAAGATTGTCCAACTCATCCATGAACAGATCGACTGTCCAAAACTCTTTGGGTTTCTCCGCCATGCCTTCAAAGGCAGACATACCAATGCCGATCTGGTCGTAAAATATGACGGGGATGTTGCATTTGTTGTGGATTTCAACAAGCGGAGTCATATAGTCATGCGAGATGCCAGGGCCGCCATGCAGCACGACGAGAGGGCGTTTACCTGCAGCGAGATCCCCAACAATTTTGTACCAAGTCTGGTACGTGTCGTCACCGACTTGGAAGTTTATTGTGCCTGTAACTTCAGCCATTAGAAGTTCAATGTACGGGGCGATCTGGGGGAGCGACCTGACGACCATCGAACGTCCAATATTTTATACACGAGCTCATCAACTTGGATGATTCCGGTTGTTTCCATTGCCTTGAATGAAACGGCGGTGTTTGGCTGGCTTATCATCAGCGCTGTACTACGTAGTAAGTTTCATCGAGGAATACACGATCTCGCAATTCTGATCTTCGAGTGAATACTACACAGATCATTTTCTATTTATAGCTCTCCGGTTGATCATTTATTGACTTCCAATGTGTTTCATGTGCTACCTTCTTCATGAACGTGGATCTTCTTATTCAATCCTATTATGCATCAATTGCGCTGATGCGGTGGGCGTGGGCGTCCCGATTTAATACTGCGTCAAGTTTCAGGGCCTAGTTCATATCAAGTGAGCAATGGGCATCATCATGACTTGGCACCCACATGGTCAGTATTAGGTGACTTGCTGTATTCTTGATCGGCACGGTTATCCATGGAGCCGTACAGTTATCCATGGAGCCGCACGACAAGCGCCCAACTGTGAGACCTCGGTCGGTGATGCATACCCCGCGTTATATAACGAGGCACCAAGATGATCGAAACTCGCACTCGCACACTGATACCATCCCACACATCAGTTTTATCTGATCTATCATCTGTTCTATCATGTCATCAAGTTGGACACCGGATGAATCTCCCGGGACACTTCTCGCAGAGAAAGGTTGGTTACAGGGTACAGTTGTCAGCGCCGTCGCCTACGGCATTGACGTCGCCCTGTACTGCATGTGCTTCCACCTCCTTTTCCGACAGATGACCCGCACAAATTACAAAAAACACCTGCCCCTACTCCTGTACATCACCGTGACTTTCATCCTCAGCACCTTGTTCATGGCAACACTGGCCGAATTTACGCAACTCGCATTCATTCAAGATCGCAATTACCCAGGTGGTCCAAACGCATTTGAGAATAACATGTTTGCCATTCCTATAGACAATCTTGGAAACGTCAGTGGCTTAATAACAATGATCCTTTCAGATGGATTGGTCGTGAGTAGTACTCGATGATGAAAATGTTATCGCTAATGTCTCAACGCAGGTCTGGCGCTGCATGGTAATTTACCGAGGGTGCAGGGTGCCACTGTGGATCGTCATGGTGTTCCCTAGTCTGATATTCCTTGCATCCGTCGGTCAGCCACTCCTTTCTTATGTCTTTGTATCTGATACTTACCATTGCATCGGGTAGGTCTTGGAATAATGTGGATACTTCAAGTAACCACCACATCCCCATATTTTTCCTCGACCAACATCAACTATACCGTCCCCTATCTGAGCGTCTCGCTCGCACTGAACATCATCATCACGATCATTATCGTACTTCGTCTCCTCACATATCGTTATCGCATTTCCAGAGTTCTCGGCTCCAGCTACGGCACTCAATACACGTCGATTGCCGCGATGATCATTGAATCCGCAGCCCTTTATTCTGCGTTTTCAGTGGCATTTCTGACACTCTTCCTCCTGAATAATCCTATCTCTGAGACATTTATTGAGTCGCTGACTCAGGTTCAGGTGAGCACAGCTAAATGGAGGCATTAACGCTGCTGACAACACACCCCAGATAATTGCGATGCTGCTCATAGTTTTCAGAGTTGCGCAAGGAAAGGGTTGGTCTCAGGACACCGCGAGCAAGGTGATGACCTCGAGGCCATCAGTGCAACCCATCCGCATGGGTGATTTCAGATCCGGTTCACGGGACGCCTCAAAAGCGTTCGCCGATTCCAGTATCACAGTGACGCATGAGACCTACAAGATTGGCGACGGCGAGTCAGCGTTGACAGATGTAGCTGTGTGAGTCGCTTAGACGCCTACTGAAATAATAGCTGGCTGGAGAGAGTGAACGTGGCTGCGGTCAAGTAAGAAATTAAAAAATCTGTATGTACTACTGCGATAGTAAGATGGACCTTGGGCTTGGGTTGCTCGCGCTCCACATCAACATCCATGACCTCCATGATGGGCACTCAGCGAAACCTTGGCATTTACAGTCCCGCAGATTGTCCGGGGTGATGGCCTCCGGCGAAGCGACCACAACCCAACCGATTACAATACTTATCATACTTAGTACAAGATGAGCGACCGCGGCTCAGCATAAGCGGCTGTGTGACGTCGCTTAGATACTGGGTACAACTTGAACTTGATCTAACGTTTCGAGTCCGCCAAATACTATCAGCTTAGTCCCAATGCTCCCTCCATTGCACCCACTGTTCGTAGTTCTCGTCAAGTGCAGAATATGCCTTTTCCCAGTCTCTGCATACCAATGTGTCCCCCACTCTGTCCTTCTCATAATTAACGCTCAGAAAGTCTCCTATCTCCAGCGTATGTGCGGCCTCACACATCAAAGTCTGCCGAAGATAATTGAAACAGTGATTTACGTGATGGGGTAAGGATTCAGGATCGGTGGGGTCGAGGAGAGCTGTCTCAAGTTTCCATAAACAGTGGTGCTGATGCTGGAAAACCATCACGAAAGTTCGGTGCTGTGGTCCTAGGTGCGTGCGCCCAAAGCCTTTCGGCCACGACGCGAGGTTCTCCCACTCGAGTCGAGCCACCGCGTCGGATTCATTGAGGGAAAAATGCACACTCTCGTGAAGAGTCGTCGCAACGGCTTCATGCGTGAGGTCGACAGGGAACTCCCATGGATAATCGTCACCAGTATAAGTGTATTCTATCGATTCTAAAATGTGAGGTCAGTCCGTTTATCTTTTCAACATGTATGGGGAGGTACTTGCGATGTTGTGTCGGCTGCAGTTTGATGTGAGCATGCCATACGGTGACAACCATACTAAGCATCCCGAACATCCATCCAACTACTAGTTCTGCGCGAGAAATCATGAACTCTGTGTGCTAGTGACAGGCCCTGCGCCACAGGGATTGATTATCAGGGCTGTTTACCAGGGGCCAGAAACCCTGCTGATATGAAAAGTGAGCACTGCCAGTGGGTTAACCAGAATCACAACGTAACTGGTCCCCCTACCACTGGTTTCAGGCTGTTCTTTCGTTTCTAGCTGTACCAGACTAGACTAAATGCCACCTCGACTCAAGCCTATCATTCAAGAATTGCCGCAGGCTGGCCGCATGGGGCTGATGCGCCCCGAACCGTCCGCGGATAATGATACGTCTTTCGGCCTCACCATGAAGTCCTTACGTCACCCTTTCGCCTTCTCGTGCTCCGAGATCATCCTGAAAGATATACAGCAAAGCAGGTTCCGGTATTTCGTTCTGCCAGCGTTATTCGAGACATCGAACCCCAAAAGCTGGATTACAGGGAGCATGCTTTTGCTGGCGTCAGGCCTGAGGCAGCGCCTCATGAGCGCGTGTAATGTATAGCCAATATCAAATGATCGTGAGTTCACACCAGTCATGCAGGGACTGAGTACCTAATCCATCATAGTATTGACAAGAATACATCTTATGGCTGGCTCCGAGGGATGACAAGACCTGTGCAATCGAGTCAGTTGGACAATGTAGTGATAATCAGAGCGGAAGGCTGTTATACTTCTTTTCATAGGTTACCCCGCATTGAACTGATGTTTAAAGGGCGCAACAGTACTAGTCTGACTTCGCACAAAACAACGCATCTTGAACAGCAAACTTTAGGGAAGGGTATCATCACCATGACCGCGCTTAACACCAGTAGACTCACTTTCTACGTCCTACTCTTGTCCATTGCCTTCACACAAGTCCTAGCAGTCAGTGCTACGCCTACTACCCCCGGTGCTTTCGCTGTACGAGCCGATGATGACATCGATTATTCTAATTGTCAGTAGGTCCCGGCGAGTATGTGAAGCCTGACTGATAACTTCTAGCACCCGATGGTCTTTAAAGCCTATAACTTGACTTGAAGGGTTGAACGTTGATGCCAAGGCGATTTGAAGCATTGCAGGTATGGCAGCATATGCGAGGCTTGTGGGTCACACCTGGGAATACAAATGACGTGTTCGCGCACGCCTGTGACTCATGAAACGTTGAACTTTGACTCCGTAATAAGTACATACTTGTAGATAGTATCCAAGTCACCACGCAATATATCTACTGGTCCGTCAGCCCGGCAATATGGGCTCCTGTGGTGCTTGGCCCATTTCCTCTCTCATTTTTGCAATAATAGTAATCACCCCTAGAAACTCATTCACCTTACTCCATCTATCCTCAAATTCTTCAAACGGCGGTGGTACGGGGGTCTCAGCATCAAGCCAGTCGAAGAGGCCGACGGTGGTCAATTTAGGCAACATTATATGCAGTTGACAGGCCACGGCGGTGGGATCGACGATGGGAGAGATCCCCACGAAAAGTCTGGTGATTTTCTCGTTGGGAATGGTTTTAGAGAAAGGCTCGCTGTTGGTGTCTACGGGACATGCGCAAAAGGGCATTTCAATGCTGTGCAGGCGCCGGCAATGATGTATTAGGTGGACGAGTCCTATGAAGGTGAGGGATGGTGGGACCAGCCAACGAGCCGCACTTCCAAACGAGAAATTCTCGAGCTGAGGCCAGGAACGCGCCATTGTCTTGAGTGAGGCATCATCGATGGCCGAAGTGCACATCCAATCGAGCTGTAAGTCCGTTAAGCAATTAAACCACAACATCGGGGCAATCGCGTCAAAGCCAAGTGCAAAGCTGGGATTAGCAAGTATGTCTCTGTCAAGCAAGGTGCTGAACGAGAGGTTGAAGTCGAAATGGAGTTTCTCAAGAGCAGGAGAGAAGCACTCCGAGATGGAGACAATGAAGTCTGGAATATCCAGTGGATCATACGGGTCCATATCTAGGTCATTATATTCGACGCGCAAGTTAATTGTTCGACAGGAGAGAAAACGGATGTTTCTGAGACAATGATTAAAAACAGAAGGTGTCGGTGTAGTGATGTGCACTTGATCAAGTTGGGAGAAATGCGTTGGAGTGGGATTGGATTGCGTCTCGTTGATGTCGTAGGATCTCAGGCTGAAGTGCAGAGACTTCAACAACGGTAAAGAAGCCAAGCGAAGAAGCGCTTGTGCGTTAAGGGCCCCTGTGCCAAGATGCGAGAGCTCCCGCAAGCCACACAGGGCTTCGCAAATCGCATCCGAACTTTCTTCAGAATCACCGTCATATACGCAGTCGAGTTCCTGAATGGATAGACATCGAGCTCCAATGGAAGCTAACAAAGCAGATTTGGCGAAAGAGGGGTTGCTAAAGCTTGAACTAAAGTCCAGCTGCACCGACGTGATAGTTGACCTAAGGAGGGTGTGCAACAACGGAAAGAATGACTCTTCCCCACTCAACCAAACCAAACTACGAAGGTCCGGCAAGAGCGGTGATGGCGCAGAAATGAGCGCCTGCACGACACAATCGTCTATGATTTCTAACTCAGTAGGGGAGACCCTGAAGGAGCGGATACGTTGTGCATATTGAGCGATAATTCTCCACTCTGCATTTAAGAGAGGTCTTGTGAGCATCTAAGTATTTGAAAATTAAGTATTCAATATTCAATACCCACGTGTAAATATTTTGTTTCGCTCACCAACATTCCTCGCAAGCCAAATGTGTACACGACGCTTTCAGGCAAGCATGAGAGCAATGGCTTGAACCCATTTATATCTTTCCAAAGGGTATCGAGCGCAGGCTCCTTGAATATCCTACAGGTTCTTGCAAGAGCAGCAAGTGTAGCACAAGAGACTGGGCTGTAGTCTTCATAGATAGAAATTATGTCCAGTAGGATGTCTGGGTAAGAGACAGACATGCATGATTGCAAAAGAAACTCGCCGTGGAGTCGTAGGACATGGCGCGCTCGGCACTTGCCGCGTCCTCTTTTTCGTGTCCCGCAATGCAACCTCAACGATGGAGAAAGCAGCCAATTCGGAATCGCAGCCGTGTCTTCGCGTTCTTTGCCACGTCCTCAACAACTCCATGTCTGGGATTTCTTGGTAACCTTCTTTCTCGCCGTGCCCCCATCAATGCATCGGCTCTTTATCAGATAAGTCACCATAATTTTTTTCATCTTTCGCCGACTTTCCACCCCTTCTGATTTTGCTCAGCTCATGCCTCGACGGGCCCACTCCCCCATGCCGCTTTCCGTATTCGGAGGAGGTAGTGGCTGCTGTTACAGGCCCTCGGGCATTCGACGCATCGTCGTCATCGTATACCTGAGACAAAATACCAGGCTGGTGATCTGAGTGTGTTGAGAATGTGTCAGACTTCGTGGCGCAGTCTTGATACCAACAGCAGAGGAGCGATGTTAAGTAATGTTGACGCCCTAGTTGAACCCGTCGATTGCAATGACCTTATGATATGCTTTCTGGCGGGATCATAGCACGAGATATATTCATGCCCACTCTCCAGATTGAAGAGGGAGGGACTCTTGGAAATGCGAGCGTGCCAGTTGCCATCCGCTGCCTGTCAGTGCGACTTTTTTCTTCCGCGGATAAAAAGACGAGCACCCGTGGATTTCCATAGCGGGGATGTACCGCGCTATTGATTGAGTTCTAGGAGACAATTGTACACATACAGCCGCATGCCTGAGTGCGGATTTCGGATTCTTGAAAGTTATCAGGTTCGGTGCCAAACCCTGCTGATATGGGTAGTGGGCACTGCCAGTGGGTTAATCTTGAAGAATATTCCCTGCTGGAGTAGCTCTCTCACGTAGCGGTGAAGTCCGTCCTTTCGAATCGTTTCTAGCCAGTCTACCCCAATCCTCCTAATGCAGCCCCGAGTCGGGGGGAAGGTATTGCCGCATGATTGCGTGGGCTAATGCGCCCAAAGCTGCCCGCAGATAGTAAAAATATATCGTTAGATTCTTCTGTTTCCCCGCGATGTCCTTCTACGTCTTCTGATGAATTTGAGTTTGGTGGTATCTGTGATCAAGTCGTGATCTCCATCATGGACCCTGAACTCGAAGATGAAGATATATAGCCTATGCTACGTACGTAAGAGGCGGACTCTCACGCATGGCTCATTGAATTACCCTTGCCCGGATATCATGTTCAGTCCGAGGCTAAGCCATTCTCCCTATCATGATCTTTTCCTCGAGCAGAAACCTTTGAGTCTGACACCAAACGAAGTCATTGACTCTGCGACCCTAAAGTAAACCTGCGTACTTCGTCGCGAACTGTGTTCCATTGGCCTCTTGTCATTGTAATCTTATGCACATTCATCAACCTGTTGCTAGTCTCCGCCCCCGCCTTTCTCCAAGGTTCCTCCGTATCCTCACATAATATCATCATTCGAAAGAATATCCACCTTCTCCGTCGGCCTTCTCAATATATGCGGTTCGACGAGATCGCACGGCCGTCGCCCCTATTCCGAGAGAGTCTATAACTTTTCCCATCTCTGTTAGTTTAGTGGATCATCAATGCATTCTGCACCTTGAAGGCACGTTTTCAATGACTATCTTGCTATGCGCATGACACGTGCTGGCACAACCCTGATGACCGCAAAGTGGTACATGTTACACAAGGTGTCTGTTTCTCTTCCGTTTTCTTGTACTTATTCTATAGACTGATGATATAGAAGGTTTCAACAATATTTAAATTCAGTACGATTGACTGGGGCATGGAATTTTGTGAATTACACGTTGCCCTGCCGCCCAGTTGATACTCCAACTTGCAAAACTTGGCAATATGGCGCTGAATCCATCAGAGTATCGACAAAGACTGACAAGAGCATACAGTAGGATTATGATTCTATCTCGTCTTGAAATGACATTCAGACCAACACCACATTGACATAGGGACCCTTCTCTGAGGGATAACAAGACTTTGTTGATTGGAAAATGCAGTGAGAATCTGGCCCAAAGCTACTTCGTTGCATTTACCCTCACCAAACTGATATCTAAAGGGCACAACTCATCTCAAACCACACCACTCATCTCAAACAGTAAACCTCTATCTTTACCATCACCATGCTTAACATCAGTGAACTCAGTTTGTACGTCTTACTCTTGTCTGCTCCTGCACAAATCGTAGCAGTCGGTGCTGCGCCTAGATCGATAGACCAGAATCCATTTTTATTCATTCACCGCTTTTGTTTACTTGTGGAGCTGGACAAACAAAAGGGTCCCGCCTGTTACAATACTTCGTCGGGCGAGATACCCCAGAATGGTACTGGACTGCGCAACTTCTATGATACGGTATGTTGATGCTGCGTCTGATACCCCTCTGAGCTCACTGCTGGTATGACTACTTATCACCGACTCATCATGGTATGTTTAACATTGTCTCTGTTACTGATCATTCCAGCATGAGCTCAGCATTAGTACTCGCAGGTTTCAACATGATCCGCTCAGGGCTAGCAACCTGGTCATTAGCGCGACGGCTTTCTCGTCTTCTCGAATGTTTGACTTTGATGATGATCCGACCGATACTGTTCCCCAATCTCCAATGGCCAACCTATATACTGTGAGACGAGACAGCCGAAGAACTCGGTTGATAGTTCGGTGGCTTGTGTTAGTGACTTGTGCTATGGCCTTGAACGACATTTGGGCAGACATAGTGACCCAGTGTTGCTTTATGGCTGCTGGAATGTGACGGCGGTTTCCAACCATGGTGAGAATGGTGTCCGAAGACAGTGCCAAATGAGAAAGTTGCGCAGTCCAGTGTCATTCTGGGGTATCTCGCCCGACGAAGTATCGTGACAGGCGGAACCCTTTTGTTTGTCCGGCTCCACAAGTAAACAAAAGCGGTGAATGAATAAAAATGGATTCTGGTCTATCGATCTGAAGGTACTATCCCTTCCGGTGCAATCGGCACCCCACAGAAGTCGTGACACTTTTGTTACAATTGGTCACAGGCAGTCACACAAAACCCTGCGAAAAAGCGTGACTGCCGACTTTTGTGGGATGCCGATTGCACCGGAAGGGATAGGAGTTGTTATACGCATTAGACCCTCCTAACATATGACAGTTGAATGATTTGTCCCCGGGACGGCAACGGCTACTTTCCTTGGTCAGTTTATACATTTAAATTTAAATTACAGCATGGAGATTATCAGGCGCGCCCAAAATATGTTCAGTTTCAGCTTCAGTATCTGGGGATTTGACCGAGCCGTCATATATTATATATAACATACATTTGATCCGAGTTCGAAACGAATACAACACTTTGAGAACCACCCTATTGAATCATATCTATGCAAAGAAACCCCATAGCGCAAGCCCGCTCAGCCCTACGAGAACAGTAAGTACCCTCGCCTCGTCCCCTGCCGTGCTGCACTCTAAAATAAGATTCAAACCGCCACGCCTGGGAGTGCCTGTACGGAGATCCATCAAGAAATGATGGGTTTTCATTTTCCTCTCCCTTGGTCGGGAGGAGGAGGCGAAAGGGCCGAAGGACAGTAGCGGTACTGCGAGTGGGATGGGAATGCTTGGAAGCGCGAAGGGCAGGCGTAGCGCTGGTCTTCGCTCGGTGCAGCTCAGGGAATGAGGGAGCCCGTGCTCGTCGGTACGAATAACGTATTTCCCGCTCTCATCGTATAAGCCAAAATTAGCGGGGGTAAGAGATAGGGGCAGCGAGGCGGGAATGAATGTCAGTGCAAATGTGTGTAAGCGTGGAATCATGTGTGCGATTTGGGATGCGCAAACACGCAATGACTCCCCTGTGGCTGGCGGAACCAGCGTCAACCGCAGGTGTCGCAGCCGTGGAAGGGCGCTGACGGATTTGGCTAGTGTGTCCTGAAAAATGTCGAAGACCTCGGTATACGGTCGGGGGACAAAACAAAACAAACGTACCACTTTTAAGGATGACCTTCTCGCACACGTTATCTCCAACGTGGTCAGTCCAGGGCAAGCACCTACAAGGTTTCTGACCAAGCTTCCACTTTCGTATGAAGAATGGAAAACGAAGGCAATGCGGAGTTCAGTAAGACAGTGCAGGCTCTGCAGCACCCCCACAACCAAGAGAGGTGCAAGGTCACGGATGATTAGCGGCTCCTCGATTGCTAAGTGTGTGATTTGGGGATGGGAAGGGGCCATGCCTTGAAGGTGCTCCAACGAACCAGCAAAATGGGTAAGGTTTGGTAATGCGGATGGATCAAGTGAGGGGAGAACATGAGGACTCAATGCAGTGCGGGATGTACGAAAAGATCGCAGATGTTGATGGGCCTCTAAAAAAGCTATGAAGGGACGCTTGGCGGCCATCGGTCCTGGTCCCGAAGACCAATCCAATACGATATCCCCTAGAGATAGAGAATGTAGGAGAGGCCAACGTGCGTGACAGAGCGGATGCACTGTTCCGTCCAATATCAACGGCCCTCCTAAAACATGGAGTTCCTCGAGGTTCGGGCAACGTCGGATCAGCATATCCCAAAGGCGACCGTCGAAAGGAAGAGCATCTACAACATGTGAATGCACTAACAAATCATAGATCGACAACGGACATACCTTGAAAGTCATCTGCATGATGAACATAATATCCATATTTCAGACTCAACGAGAATCCACGGAGGTTCTTGAATTCCAGTAACTGGACAAGATTAATAATTGGCATAAATTTTTGACATGGACATACATGACTGTGTTGGCTGGGTATCACAGATCCGTAACATGTGCCAAGTGTGCGCAGTCGTGGGCACCTGTGACGAAATTAAGTTCTTGAAGAGAAGGATGAATCACCGATCAGACATACGACACTCGTAGGGCGAACCACATATCGTCACATTGCGGTATCTCATTCGCGTCCCAGATGAACGTATGGAGTGCATCCAGTTTCGGCGCAAGTTCCCTCAGTAGCCCTGAGATCGCAATTCCATTGAGGTCGGTCATGTAGTCGGAGGAGCCGGAAGAAAATCGGATGTAGAGTTTCTGGACATGACGTGCGATGTTTGGGCGAGAATGGAGCATCGACAGTGTCCTCTGGCATTGTTCTGCGGTCCCGAGGTGTACATGGGCGTATAGTACGGGGCACGTGCTAGCGAAGAGGTGTTGGCTCTTCGTGCTAATTCAAGAAGAATCAATTCAGAAGTGAGATCGAGATACTCACCGAGAGTGCCAGGTTGAGAATATCTATTCTAGAGGATAGGCATGATGTCACCTCTAGTAAAAGATCGCCGGGTAAAGTGGCAAGGTTTGGAGAATTCATTCCAAGATGTTCTGGGTGTCCGAGATTCAGAGTACAGGAGTCGTAGAGGATATCGCGCTGCTGTCTAGAAATATTGTTCAGGGTAACTTGGTGTGTGAGAGCAAGGACTATATAGTGTCAGAGCTCAGCGCTGTTTGTCAATGAGCGTGGCAAAGTGACTGTTCGCTCCTTCTGACAACCTTCTATTGCAACTTACTTGTGACACTTACATACACCAAGTCTCTTGTACTTCTCAAAAAGGTGCCAATCGGTCATTGACAGGTCACTTGAGAAGTGTCCATTCATGACTCATGCATACATGAACATCTGACCATGAATGATAAAGTACGTACTTATTAAGCCGCAGTGATGGAACTCCGTCCTTCCTACCGAGGGCATTTATAGTACTGATTATCAGTGATTATCTCAAGATTTATCTTTTCTTTACATTCTGTGCAACTGACTCCATCATGGCGAACCAGCTGACCCTTCCTACTCTCGATAAACTCAGAAGTTCAGTTTCTCCCGATGTCGATGTTCAAGCGGTAGCCGGTCAATGGTTCTCAGCTTTCACGGAAGCGATCCAATCGAAGAATGTACCAGCAGTTATAGATCTCCTTGTCGATGATGTCTTCTGGCGCGATATCCTGGCCCTCACATGGGACTTTCATACCTTCCAAAGCACCCCTGCTGTTGAAAAATTCCTCATAGATCAACTCCCACTGTTTACTTTGTCTTCTTTCACGCTCAAGAAAGATCTTGTAGAGCTTCAGAGACCATATCCCGATCTCGCATGGATTCAGGCATTTTTTGACTTTGAAACTACAGTCGGAATTGCCTCTGGGGTGTTCCGACTTGTACCACTTGCGGATGGTTCATGGAAGGCCCATGCGATCTTCACGAACTTGGAAGATCTCAAAGGTTTCCCTGAACAGAACGGTCCCAGGCGAGACCACCAGCCAAACCACGGAAAGTGGGCCGCGAAGCGTGCACGTGAGATTGAGTGTCTCGACGAAGAGCCCAGCGTCATAATTATAGGAGGCGGGCAGAGCGGGCTCGATGTTGCAGCGCGGCTTAAGATGCTTGGCATGAAGAGTCTAGTGGTGGAGAAGAATGAGAGAATCGGTGATAATTGGAGGAAGCGTTATGCAGCGCTTTGCCTTCACGATCCCGTCTGTGAGCATACCACTCTTTCAGCTTGTCTTTACTTCTGGCTCAATTACTCCCCAATAGGGTATGACCACATGCCATACATTCCGTGAGTCACACGCCGCAGTGCGTCGATTACTGTCTCACCAAAAATCGCGCAGCTTCCCCTCCTCATGGCCTGTATATACCCCCGCACTAAAACTCGCAGATTGGTTGGAATCATATGCACACAGTATGGAGCTCGATGTTTGGACCAGTGCCACCGTGATGTCCGTCATTCCGGGTACGAAGGGGAAGAAATGGAGTGTCGCAGTGCAACGTGCAGACGGAAGGGAGCGGACCTTTGAGGTCAATCATGTCGTATTTGCCTTGGGCTTCGGCAGTGGTGTGGGAAGAATCCCAGATATCCCAGGGCAGGTACGTTCGATCCATGGATGTAGGATTCTAAGTTGGTACCATTCTCGTATATAGGACGAGTTCAAGGGGCAGATATTGCATTCCAGCAAACACAACCTTGCGACTGATCACGCAGGAAAGAAGGTTGTTGTTGTTGGGGCGTGCACGTCTTGTAGGGATCTTCATCATGAATGTTGTATTTTCTCTGCTAATTAAAAGAACATTTAGCTCACGACATATGTGCCGACTACGCTGAAAATGGCATTGGTAGATGATTTCTCACAGTACATTGATGGTATTCAGACGAAATTGGGCGCAGATATAACTATGGTTCAACGTGGCCCGACTTACATCATGACCAATAAGGAGGGGATGCCGAGGTTAATGGGTGAGTTATCTCCTCTTCACAACTTGACTACCACAAACGCATCCAGCGATGTTCTGGGAGGGTGGCCCTCCAACTCATATTGCAGATCGCACGAGCGCGTCTTTTCCGAATTCGCTGGTCAAGTTACTGCACCAACGCCTTACGAAGGAGATTGCTGAGGCGGATAAGTGCGTATCTACACATTATCTCCCAAGTTACCTGATAGAGAAGAGACTCAGGGAGCTTCTTGATGGGCTGCGAAAACGAGGCTTTAAGTTAACATTTGGCGAGGACGACTCTGGCTTTTTGCTTATGGCGTGGAATAAGGGAGGAGGATATTATCTCGGTTTGTCCATTTTCGCACGACAGCGAGACTGCGCTGACTATAATTCATATATTAGACGTTGGAGCTTCACAGATGATCGTCGATGGAAAGATCAAACTCAAGAGCGACGGGCCAATCTCGCGCTTTACGCAGACAGGTTTGCTTTTCGAAGACGGTTCCTCTCTCGATGCGGACGTGATCATCTTCGCTACTGGGTACGCTTTTCTTACTGACCAATAGATATCACGATTGACATTGTCAGGTACGCTGATCCACGTGCTACCTATCGTGCGCTGCTTCCGGAGTCCTTGCATGACAAGTTGCATCCTATCTGGGGCCTTGACAAAGAAGGAGAGTTGAACAGTGTCTGGCGCGAAGTCGGTGGGCGCGGCAAGGAGGGAGAAGCACTGAATGGTATATGGTGCATGATGGGGAACTTGGCGCTTTGCAGGTTCCACTCCAAGCATCTCGCATTGCGTAAGTCGTTTCTCTACTCCCGAAGTCTGTTTAATGAGCTTGATCAAATTCAGAAATCAAATCATACGAAGAGGGTGTTTTCGGGACGAGGTATCAATGAAAGGCGCTTCGCGTGCGCAGCGTATGTTGTATGACATGATTCTGATATCCACAATGGTTTGTACAAGTATACTAGGGGATTGAGGAATGTATCGTGGGGCCCACAGCTAGGTCTCACTGTGTCACAGACGACGGACACATTGTTCATTGGATGTCGCTGCGTAGCATCCACATTTCAACGGCTGTTCTACAACTATCTGTATCTTATCTAGACTCAACTCATACTGTAACCGCACTTGAAGTTTGAGGATATATAGATATCATTTATATCTACACACTGCATGGTTTGTCTTAGTCTGCGTGCACTGGCGCTAGCGAATTGGACGCGTATGTTAAAGTCACGTGTGTCGTGTCTCCCATCGACTCGGCACACTTCTCATGCATACTGTCGCGCAACCACGATCCGCGTAATGACAAGACTGGCCCGCCTTTCTGGCCGTACATATTTTAGACTTAGGCGGATGACCTTGTCCGTGACCAGTTTGGGTATAGCTACATAACTCTTCTATCGCCATATGAAACCGGAAAGAGGTTGTTATCACCACCTCAGGCGCTGGTGAAATGTCCGTTTCATTTGCTAAACTAGTGCACGCGAGACGGTGATTATGGGTGATTTTGGGTGACCAGATGCCAGTTGGACATCATTTGTTCAGGCTCTTCTGCTAGTTAACCTCACCTCTGTCCAATTCCGTCGAGCGGTGGCACACTGAAGCTTATCGACATTACACTTTGCAATTATTTTAAACTAAGTAATCTTATCGTGAGTTTCCTCTTCATTGACTCTTCAGCGTTCGTAACGACTCACCACCATGATGCTCACAAGGACTCTCCTCTCCTCTGCCAGCATATTCTCTGGAAAAGAACTAGAGGAGTCATGGCCACGAATGCCCTGAACTAGGGTCCGATGATCGGACCCTCAGATTGTCAAACTGACCTACAACCGGATGATGGTGATTCGCACACAGTAAGCTCGTTATCGTCATCCATTCGACGGTGATTCAGTGACCAGTCGGTGAAATTCGCCTGCTTTTGGTGTCATCTGTAATCTATTTGGATACAGTCAATTTCTGGTTTCCGCTAGTCTAACCAAGTCAGACCGTGAAGCGAGGAAGACATTCCTTCCTTCTTGATGATATCAAGGGTTTCCGCAGTGAATGTTCGTTACGAGGCTCATAATGAACAAAATCTGGCCACGAGGTACATATTAAGCCGCAGCGATAGAACTCTGTCCCAAAGGCAGCTATAGCGGTGATTATCTCCTCTTTACACTCTGACCATCATGGCGAACCAGCTGACCCTCCCTACTCTCGATAAGCTCAAAAGTTCAGTTTCTCCTGATGTCGACGTTCAAGCGGTAGCCACGTCAATGGTTCTCAGCTTTTCACGGAATGCGATCCAATCAAAGAATGTACCAGCAATCATAGATCTCCTTGTCGATGACTGTCTTCTGGCGCGATATGCTCGCTCTCACATGGGACTTTCGTACTTTCCAAGGCACCCCTGCTGTTGAAAAATTCCTCACAGATCGGCTCCCACTATTTACTCTATCTTCTTTCACACTCGAGAAGGATCTTATAAAGCTTCAGAGACCATTCCCCGATCTTGCGTGGATTCAGGCATTTTTTGACTTTGAGACTACAGTCGGAATTGCGTCTGGGGTGTTCAGGCTTGTACCACTTGCAGATGGCTCATGGAAGGCCCATACGGTCTTCACGAACTTGGAAGATCTCAAAGGTTTTCCTGAACAGAACGGTCCCAGGCGGAACCACCAGCCAAGCCACGGAAGGTGGGCTGCGAAGCGTGCACGTGAGATTGAATGTCTCGACGAAGAGCCCTGGCGTCATAATTATAGGAGGTGGGCAGAGCGGGCTTGACGTAGCAGCGCGGCTTAAGATGCTTGGCATGAAGAGTCTAGTGGTGGAGAAGAATGAGAGAATCGGTGATAATTGGAGGAAGCGTTATGCAGCGCTGTGTCTCCATGATCCCGTCTGTGAGCATACCACTCTTTCAGCTAGGTAGTATTCACTTCTCGTTTAACAGGGTATGATCACATGCCATACATTCCGTGAGTCTCACATCTCAGTTCGTTAATGATATCTAACCAAAAAATCATGCAGCTTCCCCCCCTCATGGCCTGTATATACCCCTGCGCTGAAACTTGCAGATTGGCTGGAATCATATGCACACAGTATGGAGCTCGATGTGTGGACCAGTGCCACCGTGATGTCCGTCATTCCGGGTACGAAGGGAAAGAAATGGAGTGTCTTGGTTCAACGTGCAGACGGAAGGGAGCGGACCTTTGAGGTCAATCATGTTGTGTTCGCCTTGGGCTTTGGCAGTGGTACAGCAAAAATACCGGGTATACCGGGGCAGGTACGTCCGATTCATTGATGTAGGATTCTCAAGTCGATGTCAACCGCGTACATAGGACGAGTTCAAGGGGCAGATATTGCATTCCAGTAAATACAACCTTGCGACTGATCACGCAGGAAAGAAGGTCGTTGTTATTGGGGCGTGCACGTCTGGTAGGGATCGTATCATGAATGTTATATTTTCTCTACTAACTAAAAGAATGCAGTAGCTCATGATATATGTGCCGATTACGTTGAACATGGCGTTGGTAAATGATTTTTCATAGCACATTGATGGTATTCGAGAAAATTTGACGCAGATGTGACCATGGTTCAACGCGGTCCGACTTATGTCATGTCCACAAAGGAGGGCATGCCAAGATTAATGAGTGAGTTATATCCTCTTCGTAACTTTACCACCACAAACGCATCCAGCGACGTTCTGCGAGGGTGGCCCTCCCACTGATATTGCGGATCGTGTGAACGGGTCTTATCCGAATGGGTTGGTCAAGTTACTGCACCAACGCCTTACGAAGGAGATTGCTGAGGCCGATAAGTGCGTGACTACATAGCATCTCCCAAGTTTTCCTGATAGAGAAGAGATCCAGAGAGCTTCTTGACGGGCTGCGAAGACGGGGCTTCAAGTTAACATTTGGCGAGGACGGCTCCGGTTTTCTGTCTATGGTATGGAGTAAGGCAGGAGGATATTATCTCGGTTGGTCCGTTGTCAGACTAGAGTGCGCCTGCGCTGACCAGAATCCATATATTAGACGTCGGAGCTTCACAGATGATCATCGATGGGAAGATCAAACTCAAGAGCGATGGGCCAATCTCGCGCTTTACGCAGACGGGTTTGCTTTTCGAAGACGGTTCCACTCTTGATGCGGACGTGGTGGTCTTCGCTACCGGGTACGCTTTTCTTACCGAATCATGGACATCGCGACTCATATTGTCAATGTCAGCTACGCTGATGCACGTACGGCATATCGTGCGCTGCTTCCGGAGTCCCTGTACAACAAATTGTATCCTATCTGGGGCCTTGACAAAGAAGGAGAATTGAACAGCGTCTGGCGCGAAGTCGGTGGGCGCGGCAAGGAAGGGGAAGCACTCAATGGTATATGGAGCATGATGGGGAACTTGGCGCTTTGCAGGTTCCACTCCAAGCATCTCGCATTGCGTACGTCGTTTTCTCTGCTTTCGAAGTCGGTTTGATGAATTTGATGACATTCAGAAATCAAATCATACGAAGAGGGTGTTTTCGGGACGAGGTATCAATGAAAGGCGCTTCGCGTGCGCAGCGTATGTTTTATGACGTGATTCTGTTCTCAATATTCAAATGGATTGTACAATTATAATAGGGACTTCAGGAATGTACCGCTGGTCTCACTGTGTCACAGGTGACGGACATTTTTCTCATTGGATGTCGCTGCGTTAGCACCCACATTTCAACGGCTGTTCTGCAACTCTCTACCCCAATGAGATTATCCTATACAACTGGCACACATTGAGGGACTTTACACGGATTACTCGAACTCGTAGAGTTGTAATGACGCGTTTCAAACTTGAAGGTGACGGACAACTTGCTGAGCCCGTTGGAACCCAGTCGTCGGCGCACTACGTTATCACTAGCATGATTCACCTCCTTCTAGCGTACAGAAGAAAGTCTAGAATCAGGAATCGCTCAATGTAGCATCCATTTCAAGTCATCACACATTATTGGTTCGTTATGTCTGAATGTCTAGCTAATTATTGCTAGTTAGCTTCTGTTAGCTTCCAATTAGTGATCTTATCCCGTATTGTCCCACGGATGCTGATTTGCCAGGTGAAGCACGGAGTTTGAAAATTTGCAGTTGCCGATTGTGCTGGTGTTCCTTCTACTCCTTACATCGTATTCTTCGTGCCTATATGCTATGATCGTGGCCACACCTCATGGATTGCGACTGTCCCTTGCTGCGCTAGACGCGCTTGAGAACCTTCCGATGGATTTCACTGATCCTAGGTGACTTCGCCTGACTGAACCAAACAACCAAAGTTGAAGTGTCTCATCTCATAACTCGTAAGTATCAAGACATGTTGTCGTCTGGCGACAGGCGCCGGCAAGACGCTGGAAACGATCCTTCCCTTGCTACTCTCCCGACAAGATGACAGTTGCTGTCACACTATTGAATTTTTGTTCTCCGTGTCAGCAACCAGACCAGTGCTAAGGCGCGAGGTTACCCTTCATTGATCTTTAACGATCATCTAGAACTATAGGAGTCGTAGTCTCGAATGCCCGAACCAGGGTCCGACGACCGGACAATGTTCTGTCTCACTGACGAACCCAACCGGATGATAGTGATTGGTACATTGTAAGCTCGTTATCGTTGCCCATTTAGCGGGTGATCTAGTTGGCTTTTGGTTTCATAGTGACATTCTGTGATCTATCTTGATACAGTCAATCAATTTCTAGTTTCCGCTAGTCTAACCAAGTCAGACCTTGAAACAAGGAAGACGGTCGTTCCTTCTTTATGATATCAAGGGTTTCTGCAGGGAATCTTCATTATGAGGCTCATAATGAAGTTCATCTGACACTGGGGTACGCATTAAGCCGCAGTGATAGAACTCCGTCCCAAGGGTATTTATAGCGGTGATTATCTCCACTTGTCACTCTGTCCATCATGGCGAACCAGTTGGCCCTCCCTACTCTCGATAAACTTGGAAGTTCAGTTTCTCCCGATGTCGACGTTCAAGCGGTAGCCAGTCAATGGTTCTCAGCTTTTACAGATGCGATTCAATCAAAAAACGTGCCAGCAATCATAGATCTCCTTGTCGATGATGTCTTCTGGCGCGATATCCTGGCCCTCACATGGGACTTTCATACCTTCCAAAGCACCCCTGCTGTTGAAAAATTCCTCACAGATCAACTCCCACTGTTTACTTTGTCTTCTTTCACACTCAAGAAAGATCTTGTAGAGCTTCAGAGACCATACCCCGATCTCGCGTGGATTCAGGCATTTTTTGACTTTGAAACTACAGTCGGTATTGCCTCTGGGGTGTTCAGGCTTGTACCACTTGCGGATGGTTCATGGAAGGCCCATACGGTCTTCACGAACTTGGAAGATCTCAAAGGTTTTCCTGAACAGAACGGTCCCAGGCGGAACCACCAGCCAAACCATGGAAAGTGGGCTGCGAAGCGTGCACGTGAGATTGAATGTTTCGATGAAGAACCCAGCGTCATAATTATAGGAGGTGGGCAGAGCGGGCTTGACGTTGCAGCGCGGCTTAAGATGCTTGGCATGAAGAGTCTAGTGGTGGAGAAGAACGAGAGAATCGGTGATAATTGGAGGAAGCGTTATGCAGCGCTGTGTATCAACAATCCCGTCTGTGAGCATACCACTCTTTCAGCCAGGCTGTATTCACTTCTTGCTTGATAGGGTATGACCACATGCCATACATTCCGTGAGTCTCACATCTTAGTTCATTGATGATTATCTAACCAAAAAATCATGCAGCTTCCCCTCCTCGTGGCCTGTATATACCCCTGCGCTGAAATTCGCAGATTGGCTGGAATCATATGCACACAGTATGGAGCTCGATGTTTGGACCAGTGCCACCGTGATGTCCGTCATTCCGGGTACGAAGGGAAAGAAATGGAGTGTCGCAGTGCAACGTGCAGACGGAAGGGAGCGGACCTTTGAGGTCAATCATGTCGTGTTCGCCTTGGGCTTTGGCAGTGGTATGGCAAAAACACCGGATATCCCAGGGCAGGTACGTTCGATAAAATTAAAATTATTCATGGATGTAGACTTCTCAAGTCGATGTCGACCACATACATAGGACGAGTTCAAGGGGCAGATATTGCATTCCAGTAAACACAACCTTGCGACTGATCACGCAGGAAAAAAGGTTGTCGTTGTTGGGGCGTGTACGTCTGGTAGGGATCATATCATGAATGTTGTATCTTCTCTGCTAACTAAAAGAATGTTTAGGTCACGACATATGTGCTGACTACGCTAAAAATGGCATCGGTAAATGATTTCTCAAAGCACGTTGGGTGTATTCAGACAAAATTGAGCGCAGATGTGACCATGGTTCAACGCAGCCCGACTTACATCATGACCAGTAAGGAGGGTATGCCGAGGTTGATGGGTGAGTCATATCCACTTCACATCGTTATTACCACAAACGTATCCAGCGATGTTCTGGGAGGATGGCCCTCCCACTGATATCGCAGATCGTGTGGGCGCGTCTTACCCGAATTTTCTGATCAAGTTACTGCACCAACGCCTTACGAAGGAGATTGCTGAGGCGGATAAGTGCGTGTCTACATATTATCCCCCAAGTTGCCTGATAGAGAAGAGATTCAGGGAGCTTCTTGACGGGCTGCAAAGACAGGGCTTCAAGTTAACATTTGGCGAGGATGGCTGTGGTTTTCTGTTTATGCTATGGAGTACTGGAGGAGGATATTATGTCGGTCCGTCCATTGTCAGACTAGAGTGAGACTGCGCTGACCAGAATCAATATATTAGACTTTGGAGCTTCACAGATGATCGTGGATGGGAAGATCAAACTCAAGAGCGATGGGCCAATCTCGCACTTTACACAGACAGGTTTACTTTTCGAAGACGGTTCTATTCTTGATGCGGACGTGGTGGTCTTCGCTACCGGGTACGCTTTTCTTACTGAATAAAAAATGTCGCGATTCACACTATCAATGTTAGCTACGCTGATGCACGTGCTGCCTATCGTGCGCTACTTCGGAGTCCTTGCATGACAAGTTGTATCCTATCTGGGGCCTTGACAAAGAAGGAGAGTTGAACAGCGTCTGGCGCGAAATCGGTGGGCGCGGCAAGGAGGGGGAAGCACTGAATGGTATATGGTGCATGATGGGGAACTTGGCGCTTTGCAGGTTCCACTCCAAGCATCTCGCATTGCGTACGTCGTTTTCTCTGTTTTCGAAGTCGGTTTGATGAGCTTGATTGAATTCAGAAATCAAATCATAGCGAAGAAGGAATTTTCGGGACGAGGTATCAATGAAGCACTATCTCCGTCCACAGCGTATGTTGTATAACATCATTTTGTTGATGTCTGAAATGAATTGTACAAGTATGTTTCAATATCTGGCGTGTTACTGGTACACATCTACGAGGAATGGACGGATAATTTTGAGATTGTCAACACTGACTGTTGAACATACTTATGTCACCTGTTCTACTGGTTACTTCACCTCCTCGCAATGCCGTCGGGCGATGGCAAACTGATATCGACATGATATATCAACACTGATCACTTGTTTGAAACTAAGTCGTAGTATTTATTCCGACTATCTAGCAGCAGCTGTCATGTTAGTACACTGAGTAGTGAGCTTCCAATTAGGTAATCTGATCTCCCTTTCATTGAACTTCAATGTTCGTCATGACTCACCAGCATGATGCTCACAAGGACTTTGGTCTCTTCTTTCAGCAAGCTCTCTGGAGAAGAATTATAGGAGCCATGACCTCGAACGCTCTGCACTAGGGTTTGACGACCAGATAGTCCTCTGTCCAGCTAACGTACCCAACCGGATGGTGGCGATTGAGTCTTGGCCATTGTAAGATCGTTTTCGTCACCCATTCAGCGGGTGATCCACTGGCAGTTGGTGAAATACACCTGCTTTTAGGTTGATGTAGTAGTGACATGCCTATCTGGATATAGTCAATTTCTGGATTCCGCTAGTCTAACCAAGTCAGACAGTCGTACCTTCTTTATAATATCAAGGGTTTCCGCAGTAGTGATGGAACTCCGTGCCAAGGGCATCCACAGCGGTGGTTATCTCAAGATTACTTCCTCTTTACACTCTGACCATCATGGCGAACCGGCTGACCCTCCCTACTCTCGATAAACTCAGAAGTTCAGTTTCTCCCGATGTCGACGTTCAAGCGGTAGCCGGTCAATGGTTCTCAGCTTTCACGGAAGCGATCCGATCAAAGAACGTACCAGCAATCATAGATCTCCTTGTCGATGACGTCTTCTGGCGCGATATGCTCGCTCTCACATGGGACATTCGTACCTTCCAAAGCACCCCTTCTGTTGAAAAATTCCTCACAGATCGGCTCCCACTGTTTACTTTGTCTTCTTTCACGCTCAAGAAAGATCTTGTAGAGCTTCAGAAACCATTCCCCGATCTCGCGTGGATACAGGCGTTTTTTGGCTTTGAAACTACAGTCGGGATTGCCTCTGGGGTGTTCAGGCTTGTACCACTTGCAGATGGCTCATGGAAGGCCCATACGATCTTCACGAACTTGGAAGATCTCAAAGGTTTCCCTGAACAGAATGGTCCCAGGCGGAACCACCAGCCAAACCATGGAAAGTGGGCTGCGAAGCGTGCACGTGAGATTGAGTGTCTCGACGAGGAGCCCAGCGTCATAATCATAGGAGGCGGGCAGAGTGGGCTTGACGTAGCAGCGCGGCTTAAGATGCTTGGCATGAAGAATCTGGTGGTGGAGAAGAACGAGAGAATCGGTGATAATTGGAGGAAGCGTTATGAAGCGCTGTGTCTCCACGATCCCGTCGGTGAGTATACCACTCTTTCAGTTTGTGTTTACTTCGGCTCAATCGTTCCTCCATAGGGCATGGCCACATGCCATACATTCCGTGAGTCTCACTCCTCAGTTCGTCGATGATTGTCTTACCAGAAACCACGCAGTTTCCCGTCTTCATGGCCTTTATATACCCCTGCGCTGAAACTTGCAGATTGGCTGGAATTCATATGCACACAGTATGGAGCTCGATGTGTGGACCAGTGCCACCGTGATGTCCGTCGTTCCGGGAACGAAAGGAAAGAAATGGAGTGTCGCAGTGCAACGTGCAGACGGAAGGAAGCGAACCTTTGAGGTCAATCATGTCGTGTTTGCCTTGGGTTTCGGCTAGTGGTATGGCGAACATACCGGATATCCCAGGTCAGGTACGTTCGATTACATGGATGTAGGATTTCCAAGTCGACATCAATCACGTACATAGGACGAGTTCAAGGGGCAGATATTGCATTCCATAAAATACAACCTTGCGACCGATCACGCAGGAAAGAAGGTTGTTGTTGTTGGGGCGTGCACGTCTGGTAGGGATTATATCACTGAATGTTGTATTTTCTCTGCTAACTAAAAGAATGCATAGCGCATGACATATGTGCCGACTACGCTGAACATGGCGTTGGTAAATGATTTCTCAAAGCACCTTGAGTGTATTCAGACAATTTGGGCGCAGATGTGACCATGGTTCAACGCAGCCCAACTTACATCATGTCCGTAAAGGAGGGCATGCCGAGGTTAATGGGTGAGTTATATCCACTTCACAACTTTACCACCACAAATGCATCCAGCGATGTTCTGGGAGGGTGGCCCTCCCACTGATATCGCAGATCGCGTGGGCGCGTCTTATCCGAATTTTCTGACCAAGTTACTGCACCAACGCCTTACCAAGGTCATTGCTAAGGCGGATAAGTGCGTGACTGTTTAGTATCTCCCAAGTTGCCTGATAGAGAAGAGATCTAGAGAGATCCTTGACGGGCTGCGAAAACGGGGCTTCAAGTTAACGTTTGGCGAGGACGACTCGGGTCTTTTGTCTTTGGTGTTGAGTAAGGCAGGAGGATATTATCTCGGTCAGTCCATTTGCGGACTAGAGCGAGACTGCGCTCACTGATCATATTTTAGACGTCGGAGCTTCACAGATGATTATCGATGGGAAGATCAAACTCAAGAGCGATGGGCCAATCTCGCGCTTTACGCAGACAGGTTTGCTCTTCGAAGACGGTTCCACTCTCGATGCGGACGTGGTCGTTTTCGCTACTGGGTACGCTTGTCTTAAGACATTGCAATTTTCAACTCACACTGTCAATGTCAGCTACGCCGATACACGTGATGCCTATCGTGCGCTACTTCCGGAGTCCCTACATGACAAAGTGTATCCTATCTGGGGCCTTGACAAAGAAGGAGAGTTGAACACTGTCTGGCGCGAAGTTGGTGGGCGCGGCAAAGAGGGGGAAGCACTTAATGGTATATGGAGTATGATGGGGAACTTGGCGCGTTGTAGGTTCCACTCCAAGCATCTCGCATTGCGTAAGTCATTTTCTCTGCTTTCGAAGTTGGTTTGATGAGCTTGATGATTCAGAAATCAAATCATACGAGGAAGGGATTTTCGGGACGAGGTATCAATGACGGGCGATCTGCGTCCACAGTTAGTCCACAGCGGATGTTATATGAGATGATTCTGTCCTTGATATCCAACATGCCAGTGGATTGTACAAACATTTTTCAATATCTGACGTGTTAGATGTTAGTGGCCACTGGTACGTATATAGGGACTTTAGGATATCACCACTAGGTCTCTCTGTGTCACAGGTTGACCTAGTCTCAAGCCCTGCGCTTGCAAGAGTGAAGGATGCTGAAGCTTGAAGGTGGCGCCGCTGTGACCCTGAAACCCCTGAGACCCCTGGCATTCCTTCATGTGCGCACTCTCTGCTGTTGCTGGTCCCACCGGCTCCTCCCAGCACATATGCGGCTGTTCTGTAACTCCCCGCCCCAACGCGCGTCATGATCCCATCTGTGTTGCATGTTGGCAAGCCGCTGGTGCGCAGATTGCTAGAAGCCGTCGCACAGTTGTCATGACAGCGTTTCGAACTTCAAAGGTGACTGTCAAGTTACTCGTTGGAACCGAGTTGGAATGCTACGTTAGGATCCTCGCTCAGCTCAGCTCGTCCCACAGATCACTATCATGATGACACCGAGTCGACAGGAGGTTGTTATCCTACCATGTGATAATTGCGTGCACCCGTTCACATGGTGGCGACTGATACTTTCTAAGCTTGTTGTCGTCACCCATGCAGCGGGTAATCCAGTCGGTGAAGTTTGACCTCCATCTGGTTTCATAAGTGGTGGATCTTGCCATGCCAACATCAACGGAAGACGTGGCTGTGCTGGTGCAACAATATTCTTTCTTTCCTTCTGTCTTGACGATCAACGTTGGGTTCCTCTTCTCCATCATACTTCGGGTGATCGTGCTGAATCATGCATTGGGGCACCATGTGAAGGTCGCTTCTTTGTTCACTTTCATCTATGCCGATGCAGCGCCACTGCCAGCATAATGATATTGACCAGGTAAGGGTACCCTGTTAACGTTTGAAAGGCATTCCTTATACGTAGGTAAGAGCTTTGCAATCCTCCCATACCGTGTCCTCTCGGGTATACGGTAAGTTTCGCCGTCATGACTAATGACATTAATCCTGTATGTTGTAACTTTCATGCCCATTTTTATGACTCTTATCGGTACATAGGTATAGCTTGATGCCAACAATGACACTACTTAAGCCAAAGAAGCGTTGTCAATGGGCAGTGCGCCTGTATCTGGAATATACATCTCCCTTCGAGGAGCGAGTAATGGGCGGGGAACTTGCAAGCCGATCGGTTCAGCTCGCCTATGATAGGAATGTACTGCATTTCGAGAGCAGGTTGTTGGACTCTGCTGGTTCTCGTTCTATGACGATATCGATGTTCAGATAAAAAGTTATCTTCCTAGGTGTCTTTACCCTCAAGATTCTTTTTTTTTCCCCTTCCGCTTTTGACGGGGTAAGTATATTGAAGTAGTAAGGTTATATTCCAACTTAGACGCTTGCCTGATTCGTCGGCTCCTTCCCCTGTTCATTTAGCAAGTAAATTAAATCTTATTTCTTCAAGCTTGCTTCTTCGACATCAGCTGGTCGTTAATGCGCGCTCAGCCTCAGCGCTCATTCTTTTTCACCACCTACATAGTACTTGTTATTTTTCTAAACGCTCATTATCTACATTCTTTTGTTACTTTCTTACCATGTCTCCTGTTTTCGTGGCTTCTGGCGCAAGTATCCTATCCTCGCCGTTTTCTCTGACCTTACAGGTCATCCCGCCCGCTCTTATGCTGATCCTGCCGCTGGTGTCGACCATCCTTTTAGCTCTTTCTTCACCTTTTAGTCGAAACAGACTTGTGCCAAATATCCTTTTGGCACTCAATGCCGTCCTACCAGCCATTGCTGGCGGACTTGGCCTAGCAGCCTCACAAAACCATGTTCAGCTCCTTCAGCGGTTCTGGAACGTGTCTCGGGTCCTGCACGCGTGTCTCTGTAAGCATTGAATCGATATTTCAAATTTATTTGGTGTACTCATATTTTCTGAAGTATCTGTGAGTTCGCTGTACGTGTTATTCGTGGCCACGACGCCAGTTTCCGTGGTTCCGCACCGCGCATTCCGTTTCGTATTGGTTTTTGTAACAACATTCCTTGTCTGCGGTGAGTGCTTTGTATTTTTCTCTTTTATCAAATTCGAATCGCATAACAGAAACGATCGCTGGCTCAATCACAACAACTCCGGCTTTGCTTTCACCCACATTCTCTCTTATCTCACGGAGCCTTCAACTGCCTCTCGCTGTTGGGGTCTTCTTTGATATACGTTCTGCCATGCATCAAAACACCATGGCAGCACCGCTCACCAAGACGTGTGAAAAACACCGAGCAGGTCCCGAGAGAACACCTCGCCCGTCCATTTTTCCAAATAGATCTGGGCGGGTCAGTTCACCCACTCCTGACACCTGGCCCTTTCCAGGGTCACTTGCGCATCCTCAGCCGACATACAGCCACTCGTCGGCTAAGGGTACAAGCGCAGTTGTAAATCTTCCCCCGTCGCTCACACTCACTCACACGCACCAAGAAGATAGCGTGACGTCTGAGGAAGCAACTCGCGGGTGTTGTAAGGAAATGCGTCTTGCCGTAATTATCTTAGTGGCGCAGGCAGCAGCTGTGGTGTGTGCTGCTCTCCAGATTGCTGTAGCAATTATTTCAGATGGTTTCCCGTCGTGGGTCGCTTTGCAAGTACGCGACTCGCTGACAACATCTCCGTATCAACCATGGAGAAGCTCCGACATAACGGACGCCTCAGGACTTGGTATCGCTCACTCCGTTTGTTTGCTTGTCTGGGCAGTGGGAGTTATCAATTGCCTTTATTGTGAGCGCATATATTGATTTGGTCGTTAATCAGTTCGATCCGTCTAACTTATCATTTTACAGTGCTTCCGTCTGTAAATCAGACCCTGTCCACTTCTCACAAGCTTACAGAAGGTTCTTCGGTGCCGAAACCTTTGGAATTCACCAACCCTCGCACGCCAAAGCCCTCGCTTTCACGATGCATGTCTTCAGACTCTGCATCCGATTTTCTCTCCATGCGGGATCCTTTCGCTTCCCCACCTCCTCCGCCGCCGCCACCGCCTCCCACCGTCGGCCTGGGACTTTTCGATTCAAATCGTGTGCAATTTGGTGACGTTGCAGCTCAGTATCGTTTTCCCGCGCCCAAAGCCAGGAAAGCAAAAGCAGGACGCAAGAGGCGAATTGGAATGAGAGTGAGAGCGTTGGAACATCAAGCCTCCGCTCAAACTCTACTCCCTTTGCGTCCCCCTCCGGCTTACATCAGCGAGGGTGAACGTGGTCTTGGAGATGAGGTCCTTCTAGCGCAGCTCCTTCTTCAATCTCTGACGGCAGGCACTGAAGTGGAACTCAGTAGCCCGACGAGGGTGACAGCAACGAGCCATCTGTTGACCTTCCCTGAGCCTACTGCGCAGATTGAGAGGCTGGGATCAAGGTGGAGTGCTAGCACTGCGGCTCTATCGGTGTCAACAAGCACTGCTTGGAGCGAAAAGAAATCAAGGGCGTCTACTAGCACTTCCGCCTCCGCACGCGCAGCCGGGAGGAAAAGTTCGGAGGCGAGAAAGTCGACTGCTACGGGAATCTCGGCTTCCTCCGTACCATCGACCTAACTTTTGGTGCTGTGTTCCAACTTCTCCGATATCGTAAGATGCGGCCTGAGCTTTGACATATGTTCCTACTCACTCCCACCATCTTAGCTTCTCATCAATCGTCCCTTACGGTTCTCGACTTCTTTTTTGCTGAATCGACCCCCAGCCGACCTTCCGCATTTATCAGCCAAGCGGTCATCACTGTCATTACTCGTCGACATTGTATTTCGATCACCTCCACTCTCTGATGTTCTCGTCATCGCACACGACTCTCTCTTCGACTTTGCATCGTATCACAATTTCATGGCACCGTGTTGTACTCCGCATCCTTCATTATTTCCTTAAACTGTTACTCTATCGTATGTACCACTGTACCCTTTCACGGTAGTGCGTGGTGGGTCCTCCTGCATGTTTTAACTTCGTTGTAGGTATATTTTAATTTTTTTCGCATTTCGACGTACGCTTTTTTTCTCGTACTGTTTTATACAAGTTTTTCGGGATGTAGTTGTTGGGTAGTGTACAGAACTTCATGTTTGTACTTGGAGAAAGTTGAATCGCAGATCTCAGCCACTTGATTTGTATTATTGTTTGCTTCGTCGGCCCAGCCGAAGACCTGGGCCCGATCATAATGAGGTTAGCGTTATCGAGAGACATTTAGCGTGAGTATGCGCGTGCGCCGTGCGGTATTGTTACAGGGGTGTAGAGTTGAAGGATAAAAATGCTTAGCATCTGGGTCCCGTCGTTAATGGTCTCCCGTGGCATAATCCATGGAAACGTAACAGAGGGAGAGCATGATGCGAGTTTACCAACCACATCACGGTATCAGGATGGGCAGGCGTTCATGTATGTAGTGGCGGCGCCGACAGATGTGGCTCTCCAGTCACATACTACGTACTCGAAGTGTGTTGTCGCTTGAGCATATTACGACATGCCGTTGCGTCTTGCAAGTGCAACACGTCTTAAGAAGCTCACGTGACCTTGCACTCTAACGAGCATTATCGCCGTGTCGTGCCTCTCAGCTGCAGGATAATGCATGATCTGCGCTCGGGGACCTTTACCAAGGAACACCACAAGGCTGCGTATGCGAGGGTTGGGGCGTTCTCGCAAGACAGGATATCTCCGAGGTCAAATTCCCCGGTTTGCAAGTTAGTCCTCACTAAAATCGCTAAATGTACATAATTGCCTCTTGCGAGTAAGACCTATTCGGAGGAACCCGGTGCGAATACCACGTCAAAGACAGGCCTGAGATAAAGGTGCTATGCTAACCGAGGCAGAGTTGGGTCGGCTGGAAAAGTGCTGCTTCAAGTCATCTAGTATCGACTTCAAGTTTGACGTGCGTGACCTTCGTGTTTATTGCGTCATAGAGAGGAAGGCGAGGCAAGGCTGTGCAAGTGAAGCGCTCAACACTACTACTTATAGTAGGGATGCTACGCACCACCTGAAGGAAGTATGATACGAAGTTCTATGTGCTTCACGATACTCAATGGGGATTATATCATAAACGAGACTTCTTACTTTGCTAAAATAAAGGGGTTGTGTTACCGGGCCGGCTCACTGGCACGGGGGTATATTTTATCCACGGACGAAAAGCGCAGATTGAAGCTTGAAAGGGGTGAATGGTTCGATTGACGTGGGGTTGAGTTGGTTGGGGAAAAGTGATTGCCTAATAGCAGTGGCAGAAATTCTGGACTGCGGGCTGGTGAATAATTACCATGGAGTTCCAAGACCGCGCGCGGTACGGCGCAACGCACAATTATGATGCATCATGATGCGTGCCAAGGGCACGGCGGAATTGTCATTAAAGCAAATAAGATGCCTGAGTGGAGCGCCTGCCCTGTCAATCATGAGAAGAACATTTCTTGTAAGTATATAACGCTTGAACCTATCGTACCTGCCCGTGTGTCCTCTGCTGTGAGAAGATCAGTGGCTAATGAGCCAGTTATTATATGCGCCGCTAGCGGGAAATCTCGTGCTTTTCAACTAGCAGAAGATCAAATAGTAGTGACGAGTTCACCTGCTAGTTTCTGTGTTGTAGATTTGAACCCTGTCATGGATTGGTCCGATCAGGTCGAACAGACGTATTATGTACTTATTATGATGGAATCGGTCAAGTTCTAGCAATTTTTCAATTGCAGTTGGTAGTCTCCTTGAGATAAGAAAACAGTGGAATAACCAAATGGTTTCGTCTCATCGCTGCGCGTGACGTCGTCGTCAGGCCACATCTGTTACAATGCGTCTGGACATTAAGAAGATATGAAGATCAGGCTTAACAAATTGGACGCCGGATTTGACCGACCACGTAGCGTCGAGCAACTGCCAAGACCCCGCTGTGCATGTGAACATTATCAATTAAAAAGAGAGATTTGATGCCAGCCTCGTATTCTTGGAGGTTGGGTGTCCTATAGCATAATTGTAGCATTATAATTTTGAACTTGGAGCTGTAGTCATAATTCGATGCTCGCTTCCCGTTTTGAATTGAATTAGCCGCGCAAAGCTTAACTCGAGGATTTCAAAGCCCGACAATACTTCTTGTGTCCATGCCTTAACCACCAACGTTCTTTTATTCTGCCTTTCCTTCCCTTTCCTCCCTCCCTAAACAAGGCCTCCGCCCTTTCTCCTGTCGTCGTCACGACGCTGTCGCTCATTTGGCCTAACCATTTTCCAGACTGCAGGTGCAGTAGACTGCCACCATGCTCTACTTGACGTCCGATGACTTTCCAATCTGTAAGTCTCCTTTGTATAGCACTTGGCTGCTCCTGCTAATTTTACCTTGTAGTCGTACCATTTGGAGTTATTGGGTATGTAATCCAGTTCTTATTTCGAAGCAAAGCTGACCGCTTTCTAGTTTCTACCGATACCTCTGGTACATAATCCGTATTATTGCTTCCTCCACCTACCGCCCTGTCCCCCTCCCCGAAAACCCTACCTATGTCGCCTCTGAAGATGTTACCATCATCGTACCCACGATCGATGCCGGTGAAGAATTCAAGGAAGCAGCCCACAGTTGGCTCGCCGGCAAACCCAAAGAAATCATCATCATAACCGAAGAAAAAATGCTCATTCCTCTCCAAGAACTAGCCAACGCTGTTGATCCGGAACGTATTCGCGTCCTCACCGTCCCTTACGCGAATAAGCGATTGCAGATGTCACACGGGATTAGGAATACTACCACAGATATTATTGTCTTTGCAGATGACGATGCTATTTGGCCACCGACCCTTTTGCCATATGTCCTTGCTTGTTTCGAGGACCAGAAAGTTGGAGGCGTGGGCACAGCTCAGCGCGTCCAGCCCGTAGGCGAACGCATGACTGTCTGGGAAGTCCTCGCGGCATTCCGTCTGACAATCCGTAACATCGAAATCAGCTCAAGCACGCACATCGATGGTGGTCTTCCATGTCTCTCGGGTCGCACAGCCTGCCTACCGCACCGTCATTCTCAAAGACCCCGAGTTCCTCCATGGTTTCACGCATGACTACTGGCTTGGCAAGTACCAGTTGAACTCGGGCGATGATAAATTTTTGACGCGGTGGATGGTGAGCCATGGATGGAGTACCTACGTCCAATGCTGTAAAGAGGCAGAATTGTTGAGCACGATGAAGCCGAACTGGAGATTCTTGAAACAGGTGTTACGGTGGACGCGAAATACCTGGAGAAGTGACCTGCGGTCATTATTCACGGAGCGATATATTTGGACCTCACATCCAGTATGTCGCGTACACCATGGTAAGTTCTTTTTAATGCTAGTGACGTCATCAGTATTGATTTATTTTTATCTCGTCTGCAGGTCGACAAGCTCTTCAACCCCTTCACGCTCCTGGTAGGACCTTGCCTCGTCGGGTATCTTATCTGGAAAAGTACCATTTCCGTCGAGGATGGTGGATACCATCTACCTTGGTGGAACATCGTTCTGTCCTACCTCGTCTGGCTTCTTGCAACCCGTACCGCTAAGCTCCTCCCGCATCTCTGGCATACACCCAGCCACATCATCTACGTCCCCGCGTTCATCCTCTTCGGGTACTACTTTGCGATCATGAAGCTGTATGCCCTTTTCACGCTCCATGAAACTGGGTGGGGAACTCGTGCAGGCATCGGTGATCCAACAAAGGCGACAGCCGCCACGGACGCTGGTGGTGTTGGTGTTAGCGTGGTACAGGAAAAGGTCTACTTTGACGCGCCAAGTTCACCGACGCCGTACTCAAGCCGTCGGACCTCGTACCGCCAGCCAGCAGTAGAGATGCAGACTGGTTATACCCCACAAGCAGCATACAGTGGGCAGGCGGCGTATGCACGGTGATGGTTATGAACGCGATGAGATTATGACTGAGCACATTGCAGCATACAGACATTCCTAGTGCACAATACATACTAGTTCGGGCGCCGCACAGCGGAGCATTACGGTAGACCCCTCCTCGAGTGGTGGGCATCATTCCATCCCACCCTCGTACCTCTATTCCCGCAATCGATCACGCGACTAACGTACATTCTCACTGCGACCCTCGTATATACCACTCACATAACCTTGCTTTCGTTATCCACAAGATTTCCTTACTTTATCTTGGACTAGCTAGACATAATCCTCCCCACTTGGCGCTCTCCTGCTTTGTAGCATAGATGCGTCGTTCACTGCATACACATGGTTTTGGTCGTTGAACTGCTTCGTGCTGGGCCTGTCGGTATTATATCGAACGTTGATAATATTGACGTACTGCCAGCCAATTGGATGCGTCTTATACGCCACATATCTATGTGACATACTCGAGGTGAGTATGGACAACCCACCTAGCCGCATCAGCTAAAATAACCTGCCGCCCAGCCCGTTTGCCAAGCCTGCTACACCTGGTCGCTGGCAGACCCAGTGCACGGCGCGCAAAAACTCATCAGTCTCTACCAGAAGATGTGGTAAAATCATTCTGGATATTAAAATTACACATCAGGTCTACCTCCATCTAGTTCCCCGGGCAAGGCACTGGAGGGATATACGAAGAAACATTCTGCCCCCTGCATCCTGAATAGATGCTGCCTGATCTCAGAAATCTGGGTATTAGTTTGCATGGTGTTTTCCGGGTTACCATACTGCAATGTCTCGCCGTCTGTATGGTTGACATAGATCGTGCAATCAGGAACCTAAAGCAACAGATCAATACATGTCAGAAGTTAACAGCGAGCTGACCTACGTCTGCATGAATAAGCTCCAGAAAAAATCTCCGATTACAACAGGGCTAGCTTCGATTGAACTGAAGAAATCCGGAAGTGGCGAAGCGGAAGGGTTGTTTCCTGTCCAATCGTATTCTCCAGCGATGTAGACTTTGTTCACGGATCGAACGAGGCTGATGCCATTTTCGAGCTGGGCGATGTTAGGTGGGTAGAAATGGTCGGAGAAAATGTCGATAGTGGGGATGGAGAGGTGTGTTGCATTGACGCCATAAGTACCGTCGATGACAAGCTTGTTAGGGGCCAGTTCTTTGATGTACGACTGTATATCCACCGGCGTAAAGATTCAAACCTATCAAAAGTCCGGATGGGGGAGCATACCTGCAATCTGCTTTGTCCATTCATTCGGGACCCACTTATCTCCAAAGGTAGGCCCACCTGAGCTCGTTACCAGTCTCATAAGCGAAGATCGTGGGACCCTCAGCATATGTAAGGCCTGTGAATTGGTTGGTGCGCGTGAGGATCACTTTAATGTAGTTCTTGAAGTCGTCGATGATAGTCTGGTTAGTGTAGAACTGCATGACCTCAGGGTTAGTGGAGTCAGATCCAGTGAGGTTGAACCCAGCCCAGCGGAGGAAGGTGAATTTGCCACCATGGTAGTAATCCTGAACAAATGCTATGAGCAAGTGCAGATATCGCAACATATGCATGAACTCACATAGTTGTCAACTAGCGGGGCAAAGATGCGGATACCATGTTTTCTCACTTCATAGATAGCCCAGTCTATAGTGTCGAACGCCCGCCATTAACGACGCCCAGTTCGGGCATGACGCTCAGGGGATTGCCGACGCTGATGCCGAGAGTGTGACCACAGATAGTTCTCGCACCCATGATCTGAAGCGTATTCATGATCTCCGTGATGCGTCCGAATGTTGGGTAGCTCGCTTTTAATGGTGGGTAGAAAGGTTGACCCGGAGGGGGGATGACATTCTCAGTCGAAGACCGAGCCAGTAGACGTTGGCGCCGCTGGTAGTCCATCGCTCGCCATTGAGCATAAGCGAGGAGCCGCTGCGAGTGACTGCTCGCATTCCGTATGAGATCGACGGAGGTGGGGGGCGTAGATGACCTAACCATTTTTAGGTTCATGGCTGCAATAGAGGGGTTGAGGCTGAGGCCGAAAGTATTGGAGATCCGAAGAAGGACCGCAAGAGCTGGGGCAACGTGCAGTAGCTTCATGGTGAGGGTGAGGGTAGGAAGGTGACCAATTCATGGCAAAGCTCCTCGTTGCATTAATATACCGGAGGAGTCATTTGGTGTAAAGTGGCGATAATTCCCCGAAGCACGCGCACCACCACACTCGTGACCAGCGACGGTGAGATGAGGGCAATAGTCGGGTGCCCCTGAATACAGTGTCGAAATATGTCCAGGGCATCAGTAGTTCGACAACACCCTGATCTCGAAATGCAACATTCTACTTGCTTTCGTGTCAAGTAGAGAACATTGGAAGTTGTCTAGCAGGCTGGCGTGGTTACTTTCCCAACCGTTAAGCATGAGATTGCAGCGGGCTGGGTTGCACCAGTTCCCGACACCATCGACCAAGTTCCAACTCAGTATCGCATATGCGAAAGAGATAGGATTATGTCGAACTTCAGATAAGGCGGAGCGGCGTGGAAGGCCAACACGTCGCAGATTCTCCTGTACTGGACCGTCAATTTCCCCGTGATCAACTCTACTTCGGAGGAATATGATACAGCGTGATACAAAGTGCACGTACCATAATAAACAGGATATTCAAAGACACCATTGTCTTCCTCTCTTGATGAAATCCACCTAGGTGGCTTTCATAAGGAGGTCAACATGTCAAGGACACGACAGACCTTGCCGCAGGAGTCGACTAGACTGGTAACCAGCCCGTCCATGAGACAAGATAGATGAAACACTCCCGGGCCATGGCTTGTCGTATTAGGTCAGTGTCGGAGACGCCGAGAGTACTTTAAAGGAGCCTAGGTGATTGATCTCTTATCGCGTCCACTAGCCACGACGATCATGACAACACTCCGACTGTCCGATGGAGGGCTTGTAAGCCAACATACAGGTGTCTTTTTACACACGAGCTCATTTCGTGCAGGGTAGTACTCTACAGGATCACTTCCACCTCCCAACGCCATTCAGCTCCGGATGTATCGCGCCTAATGCCCTGCGACACACGCATCATGATTTCCTCGAGGCTGGATCGAGGGTCCTTCTCACATCGACGTAAGTGTGTTCCGTTATGCTTTCCGGAAGTTATGCATCAGTCGTCCATAGCGGCCAGGCTGCATGCGAGCACTTTCAGATGTCTAGTGAGGTCATGCGTCTTGCGGTTGATAGAGCGAACCAAGCTAGAGATCAGTTTTGTAATGCAACCGAAGACAGCCCGACGGACATCCATATAGCTCTCGTGCTTGCACCCTTTGGCCGTGCACCCAACCAAGATTCTGGTGGGATTTACTCTCCTCCTTACGGACCACAGGCTGACAATGACTCAGAGGGAAATACGATCTCCTTCGGTGATGACATCGAAAGCAAGAACAATTCCACAGAAGCGTTAACACGCTCTCACGAGGATCGACTCCGGGAGATCGCCTCTGATAAAGAGATATGGAACAGAGTTGATTTCGTTGCGTTTGAGAGTGTGCAGCTGGTAGGAGAGGTGAAGGCGATCAGGCAAGCAATGGGCAATTTGAAGGAGATAATCAATCCCAAACCTTGGTGGATTACTGCGACCTTTCCACGTGGCAAGTTTCCTCAACCTGGAGGCGGCTTCCTTCCAGCTGGCGAAGTGGCAAATACCATCATATGCAACGATAACAATATGCCAGTACCAGACGGTATTGGAATCAATGGCACGGCGCTCGAATTCCTTCCGGGGCTACTCCAAGACGTCGAACGGGTGATAGGTGGGAATACAAGACCGCGCCTAGTCTTGCACCCCCACGGGGCCAGATTTAATTCGCTCACGAGCGATCAATGGGCAAACGAATTGGCCGGCCTCATCAACAAGGCAAAAGGGAGGGGATGGAACAATATTATTGTTGGCGGTTGCTGCAAAACTGGGCCGATTGAAATCAATGCTTTGAGGGAGGCAATCTGAGGAGTGGAACGCCGTGGCGGGGTGGACTGTAGTATGTGCGGTGGAGTGGTGTACTCCCTAGCGGGGGTGGTGCAGGCGGGGGTTTGCCAGCATTTGCACAGCTTAGTCAGCAGGGTAGAGCCTTCGAGCATACTATCTCTGGCCCAGAGTTGCAAAACTTTTCGATGTTCGCGTGATAGCTCAACAACAACACAACATTTAAAAATGGCGACAACAGAGGGACGTAGGACTCAGTCCAGGCTTCAGCGCTATGTAAAACACATTTGCAAATTTTGTTGAGGCTACGTTGCCAGAGAGAAGCCAGCGTGAACGGTGTTTGAGCACACAGTTGCAAAATTTCTCACCTGCATAGAATTGATCATGTCACACTGTGTCACACTGCCGTTTTTACTCTCCGACGCCGTCAAGTGTTGATCGAATGAAGTAGGGCGTTGGATGCCGAGCGGAGCTTGACGACTCCGACCACCAAATCACTCCTCCTGTCACGCCCTGTGTCTCGACAGTACAACATTTGTGTCGCACAACACAGCTCGGTTTTTGTGTCGGAAAAAATTAGAGCAGTGTTAGAAGGTAGTGAGGAATCATGCGTAAAATTCCTGAATTTTTTTGGTCGATGCGATGGCTTCCCTGTGATGGATTGGCGTGGAAAGTACACTTTCTGAGCAGTGTTTTACTCCCGCAAGCACTTCTCGTCCATTTTTTGTGAAATAAAAAATACAGACAGTGAGCTATGCATTGATCATCCTTCAGAATCATTGTGGAAAGAAAATGAGCGAAAGATGAGTGTGCTACATCACATTTTGCAACTCTGTGCCATTTTGCAACTCTGGGCCAAGATAGTATAGGCTGAAGAGATCTGACTACTATCACTCCTGGGGTTCTGCAACATTTTCAATAAATCTTTTGTAACTCCTCAACCACATCATATTTTCTTCTACGGATTTGCACCATTATAGATTCGTAGCTGCTCTATATGAATCTGATTTTAGCTGATTTTAAGGATTTTGTGGTGGAGTGTCGGATGAAAGCCGAGAAAATTCAGGGTCTGACTGGTATTCTTGGTCACGTCGTGTCACACATCGGCACAGTAGCGGCACCGTCAACTTTCACTTAGAGGAGATTGAATTTCTTACACACTCTCCTATCTGCTGTCACGCTTTCATACATGTCGTCAATCCTCTGTCTATAGCATCTTAAAACAAGAGAATGGCCTCTATCGAAATTGTGTTCTGACACCCTGACGAGGTGTTTGATATGCTCCGGGTGTAACTTTTTGAATATCTCTCTAGGATCTATGGGATCTGGATCATTTATGATTATACAAGGTTGCAAATCACCACTATTCTGTCTCTCGCAGCTGCAACACTCAAGAAATTTTTATTCTACTTGGAGAGTACATCATCTCTAAGTAGCCTACATACACATGATTTTTTTCGAGGTGATTCAAGCAGCGCATTGAGGTGTGTTGCACATTTTGCATATTACATGCCAGTTGCAGATTCCCAGGAGTGATAGTAGTAGTGTGGATGGTGGCAACTGGAAGAGACATCAAAGGAGGCATGATCGGATGCTGGGACGTTGATCTTTATGTATATATGAGCATCGCTGTCCGAGTCGCTATATATCTATAATATACTGCACGCGTAGAATCGACCGTTGATATTGCATTTAACCACAGTAATTCCGTAAGATATTTAGTTTCGTCGATTACTCGAATTGAAGGGATCCCACACTCAGACCCCATTTGAAGTAGACAAGTTGAGTCCAAGAGTCACGGTACAAAATTTTAGGAGAGTCCGTTGTCCCTAGATTCACGAGTGTGCATTGTTCCGAAGGTAAATATCAACGTAGCTGCAGGACGAGAGTTACTTCAAATGGGTTTTCATGGATATTAGGGGAATTCGTACAAAAAACGTAACGACTCTGCGGAAGTATGCGTACTAGAATACAAACGCGAATTCTTGGGATACGCGACTTCGGGGCGTGTATGCCTACAGGGTATGGATCATGTAAGTACGCTCGCCGTGAATCAAAAAAAAAAAAGGTGTGATGAGTCTCAAATTAAACACCTATGTGGACAAATGCGATCTGCTGTTCAAATGGAATCTTCTTGCGCAGCATCTTCACAGTCTTGTGCAACGCTCCTGCGGCACATTTGCAGTCCAATCTCCCTGAATCATCGACCAGGTTGTCGTAAAAGAGAGAGAAAATCTCCCCTGCAACACTATCATCGACAGACCACATGGAACCTATGACACTGCGAAATCTGGAGAATTGCATGGCCGCAGCAAGATGAATGGCCTCGTCAAGGCTTGACTCATGTCCCACCGCAGTGTGGCAAGCGGACAAGAAAGCGAACTCCGGGTTCTGCAAGTGAGTTCGTATGATGTCCCTGATCATCAAAGGTCCATCATGCATGGCGAATGAAGAGTCAAATGGTTGTTTTCGATTCGGCATTCCATGGCAGGCGAGGTGAAGCCATTGTTTGCACCTCAATACATCGGATGCTCCCTGGACTGTTGCTTCGCTGTCCGTGAGCGATGTAAAGGACAGGAAGGGCGCAACACGCTGAGCGACGATGTCTACCTCAGCAGCGACACAATCAAGTGGCTTCCCACCATCCGGGTTCGCTTGGCCGATGGCAACAAAATTCTGGGTGGACGCATCTCGAAAAACCTGCTCTCTTGCACGAATGAGTGTGGCCAAAGTTGGGGTGTAAGATGAAATGTAGAGGTAAGAGAGATTACGACTGTGCGGCTCGTAGGGACCTGCTGCGTGTAGAGGGAGCAGCGTGAACTCAGCGGTAGGACACCACCATATGCGTGAGCCACGAGGAATGAACTGCCTGAGCGCTTGAACTATGGGTTCAACAATATTATTCCAAAGCTCGCGCAAGACGCCAACAATGTCGAGCAACTCAGTTTGATGATCCGAAGAGCCAGCATGATCTGTGAGAGAGCGAAATGTGGAGGACAACTCGGAGACCTCGGTCCGCGCAATACCAAGTGCAATATGAATGGGATCTTGGTCACTCAGGATGATCAGGGCGTCACAGCTGTACTGACTGGCATTGACGATAATAACTGGACCATCTTCGGCCGCTTTCTGGAGGTCAGAGAACAATGGAGGTAGGAGACACCGGGAAAAGTCGGGCAGCATGCGGATGCGGGAGATAACATCATTCCATTGCATGGTCAGCTGCCGTATTTGCGGAGACTGGTCTTCAGGAGACGCATCTAAAGCATCCAACACTTTGCGAAGGCGAAAGCCGACTTGCTTGAACTCTTCTGCCAAGCCTTCGCCGGTGTCACCCGATGCAGAAAGGTCATCCAGTGGTGTGCGAAAGCGCGCCAACTGGGTCCAGAATACTGCACGACCCTGCTCCACCAATTCTACAGCAGTCGTCAGAGCACCATGACGAACACCACATGAGAAAGCATCCATTGCAAGGAAATGAAGTGGCCTCCCTGACCACATCGAAATGGCGGGACGAGGACGACAAAACAGCAACGTGCTGATCAAGGAATCTCAGTGTAGTCTTATAGGCAACCAACACAGATCCATGCTCCAGCTGCTCGGCGGAGGCGGCCCATGACTTTGCGGCACGAATATCTTCACGGGACACTGTATGAGATACTTGTGAGAGCTGCAAATAAAGCTCGAAGGCCTCTTCCAAGTCTGATGATATACCATGCTGCTGAAACCTGGTTTGAAGGACTATTGGCAAGGTCGTTGAGATACGAGGATCGACGGGAATGGCCAGGAGGACAGAGCACCAGTGCAGCTCGATAGAGCTCGATGGCCTCATACAGGTCAGACAGGACGCCCTGCTGCTCGAATCTGTATCTAAGGCTGTTGGCAAGGTAGTTGAGAGACGAAGATCGAAGAGAATGCCCAGGGGCACGGAGCGCCAGTGCAGCTCGATTAAGCTCAATGGTCTCATTCAGGTCGGATAGGACGCTCCGCTGCCGGAATCTGTTGACAAGGCCGTCGGCAAGGTTGTTGAGAGAGTTGGGTCGATGAGAATGACCAGGGGGACGGAGAACCAGTGCGGCTCGATGGAGCTCAATGGCCTCATCCAAGTCAGACAGGACGCCCCCGCTCCTGGAATCTGCGTCGAAGGCTGTTGGCAAGGTTGTCGAGAGACGATGACCGATCATAATGCCCGGGGGGACGGAGCGCCAGTGCAGTTCGATAGAGGCTAATTGCCTCTTCCAGGTCTGACAGGATGCCCTGCTGTTGGAATCTTTCTTCAAGGGTGATGGCAAGGAAGTCGAGAGACGCGGATCGAAGGGAATGGTCGGGGGGACGGAGCATCAATGCAACTCGATTGAGCTCGATGGCCTCATCCAGGTCTGACAGGACGCCCTGCTGCAGTAATCTGTTTCTAAGGCTGTTGGCGAGGTTGTTGAGAGACACGGATCGAAGGGGGTGGTCGGGAGGATTCAGCGCCAGTGCAACTCGATGGAGCTCGATGGACTCATTCAAGTCAGACAGGACGCCCTGCTGCTCGAATCTGGCGCGGAGGCCAATGGCAAGGTTGTTGAGAGACGCGAATCGCGTGGAATGGCCAGGGGGACTGAGCGCCAGTGCAGCGCGAGTGAGCTCGATGGACTCATCCAGGTCAGATGGAACACCCTGTTCTTCAAATCTGACTCGAATGCTGTTAGAAAGGTTTGCGAGGGAAATGGATCGATCAGGATGGCCGGGAGGACGGATCGCCAATGCAGCTCGATGGAGCTCGATAGCCTCAGTCAGGTCAGACAGGATGCCCCGCTCCCGGAATCTATCATGAAGGCTGACAGCAAGGTTGTTGAGAGACAAGGACCGAAGGGAATGGCCGGGGGGACGGTGCGCTAGCGCAGCTCGAAAGAGCTCGATGGCCTCTTCCTGGTCAGATAGGACGCCATGCCGCTCGAATCTGTCTAGAAGATTGTTGGCGAGGTTGTTGAGGGAAACAGATCGATCAGGATGGTCGGAGGGACGGAGCGCCAGTGAGGCACGATTGAGCTCAATGGCCTCTTCCAGGTCAGACAGGACTCCCTGCTTCTGGAATCTGTCGTCAAGGCTGTCAGCAAGGGTGTGGAGAGACATGGATCGATCAGGATGACCAGGGAGACGGAGTGCCAATGAAGCTCGATTGAGTTCAATGGCTTCTTCCAGGTCAAACAGGACACCTTGTTTCTGGAATCTGTCGTGAAGCCTGTTGGCTAGGTTGTGAAGAGACATGGATCGATCAGGATGACCCGCGGGACACTCCTGTAAGGCTGCTCGACACTGCTCTACATCGTCTGCCATGTATTGTAGAGAAAATATGAGGTTGCACGAGGTTGCAACCCCTAGTTGTTACTAGTACTGTTGAGCGTCTCCCTAGTGAGTACAAAATGAAGTGAGATCAGGGTGGATACGCACAAAACGAGCAGAAATTCGAGTTGTGAAGGCCACCGTCAGCTTGAAAGTAAGCTGGCACCTACTAGGCTGTGTACATCACGTTAACTTGTACTTACGTAGTATGTCTTGAAGACGCCCATACTGGCAGCTGCGCGGTTTTGAGCCATGGCGCCGCAGCTCGATGAGCTTACTACCGGGAATAGCTTAAGATTCCTTCACTGGCAAGTTGCAGACGTTCATATCCGAGTCTTCCCATGATCATGAGTTTGTCCGAGTTCTGGACTCTAGCATAATCAAGAAGGAACGACTGTCTTGCGTCTCTCGAGTCTGTCCATCCGACTCCATCGTTCAGACCAAATTCAGACCGCCACGCAGTGCGTAGAAATCGAATTTAAACCCCTTAGTTGCAATTCGGAGCCATAATTTACTACGCTTGTCAGCTGCAGTCCCACCATTGGACAATACTGGATGACAACAAGGAAAGGAACGACTATCTTCCTTCGATTGGTCTGGCCAGGGGAGACTAACGAGGAACGAGCACGGGTCAAGAATGGTGTCCATACCATCAGCCTGAAGAACACCAATAAGTATAGCGACACTCTCAGGCTCGCTCGACCTTCAGTGCTATACTTGCCCAACGCAAAGATATGGCTGACGGACCAGGACAGTGACCCAAATACGATCTCCTTCGGTGATGGTGTCGAAGGCAAAATCAATTAGCCTTGACACGCTTTCAAGAGGATCGACTTTGTATTCAAGGGTGGAAATCGGCAGCAGGTTGACCAAAATACCACTTTCTTTCCTGCCAATTCAGGACCACAAGCATAAGCATTGAGAATATCTGCAGAACAATGTTACAAGTCTCATCTTTAATTCTTAATTACTACGAGCTTCATGGTCGGATAACGTCCAATGGAATACAGTGACTTTATGATGTTGGATATCTTGGGGGTAGAGTAAGTATGGAAGGGGTGATGATGAGTGGAGAAGTACAAGCTTGCAGCGTACACCCGTGGCAGAGAAAAGATGGAAGAATGGCTAGCATCTACTCAAATCCCTCTACTGCAATGTTCCATTTCCAGCGCTCTTCCGCGAAACCGTTAGAAGTATCCTCAAGCAGTATCTCGTTGCGTTTCGCGACATAGACCTGAAGAGCAAACGAGAAAGAAAGTGGATGAATTTATGATAGCAAGAGGTAAAGAAATAGCGCACCGTCTTATCGGTCACCTTCTGCCGCAAGGTCGAGATTGTTTCTGGATCAATTGGTGATTCAAGCAGCTCCGATAAATCCTCGACTGCCCTTTCCAAGTCCCTGAAGGAAACCAATTAAGCACATCCGTGGGATATAATAGAGCAAGGGCGGAGCCCAAACCAAATGTCTCACCTCTGGTTATCCTCGAACAGCTCTTTCTCATTTCCCTTGTCCAGATAAAATGCCATTGCATACGTCCATTTCAGCGTCGCACGGCACCGTTCTGCCTCTTCCACAGCGCGCTTCATGAATTGCACCTCAATCCACGTAAGCGAGGATGTTATCTGCATCTCCTCCATCTTCTTCTCGGTCTTGTTGTACATGTCGATAGATAGTTTGGCAGATTGCTCGTGGTTCGCCCACCGATTGTAGTAGTGGAGGTAGCGCTCTAGGGAAGCACGCGACTTGGATTGCGCATCACGGGCATCCACACCTGCCTTCTCATCGTAGCGATTGCACGAGTACCACGCTGTGCCATGTTCAGACCAGGGGCCTGAGCGAAAGAAATGTCAGAACAAAATAGGAGGTAAGATGCCTGGGACACGTACCCATGCACACCCAGCAGAATTCATATTTGCATTTCTTGCAAGTCATGTGACTGACACAACGGTCAGCGTAATCTCATGTTCGACGAGAGGAGACACGCACTTGCAACCACCATTCTTCTCTATGGTACTCTGGCACTTACTACACTCCTTTGTGTTACTCTTGATCCAATTTGCAGTTTCGCTATCATCTCTACACTTCTTCAACCACATCTTGGCGACGGGACAAATAACTGGGCGATGGTCGCTGTCGATGGAGCACCCAAAGCAGAACTTATGATTTACACCGCAACTAACGGTTGGCACCATCGTTGTGAGAGCCGAACGGGAGGAAGCAGAAGGGCAAGAGACGGTGTAAGTGCACGATGGGTAGGGACAATATTTTAAGTGCGAGTTGGCACCAACAAAGTGTCGCACGAGCAATTCCTGGAATCGCTCCCGCGTTCGCCCATCTTCATCCTCACCAGAGTTTGCTAAAGTAGATATAATGAAGGGGTCAGGTGCGACGAGAGCACAGCCTTCAGCCATGCAACGGATGGCATGCTCGCCCTCCTCGCGAATCTTGGAGGTGATATATGCCGTCCAGCAACCTGCACAGAAGGAATGGTCGCACGATAGTGCGATGAATGACGTCTGTGAGTCGTCGAAGCAAATAGGGCAAACCAAAGGTTCGGCCTTCGGGACTGGGCACGTAGTGTGAGGTGAGTCAGATGTATCGGTTGCGGATTGCATACCTAGTGTTTGCCGCGTTGTTCTGCGGCGGCTGCCTGATGAACGGATTGGTGCAGGACCAGATACAGAGGGAGAGGCACGGGAAGGGGTAGATATGCCAGCTGCGACAGATACGGCGGATGCATTATCCATGTACTTCTCGATGAGGCGCTCCTTATTCCAATTCATGTAACGAAGCAACAAGGAAGCCGTACTTTCCTGCACATCACAAAGAATTGCGGAATAGAATCATCAGTATAAATACAAACTTCGGATATTCATACGGACATCGACACCGAATATGCTTGATATGTGTTCCACATCAGTAGCCATGAGCTTTTCTACAGCTTGCTGGGAGAGTGAATCATGTTCAATTTCATATGGTTTTCGAGCTGAATGCTGAGGGACTTTAAAGTCGTCCGCGAACTCCATGTCCATGTCATCATCACTGGGGGCTGAACCTGCGATGTTGTCGGCGATAGATTGAGCCACTACAAAAAGGGGGACCCACCATCGTCACCTGTGCTCATCATGTCCTCGTCATCATCGTAGAAGGCATCTTCGTCGTCTGAGTAGTCGTAGTCGGAGGACATTGTTGTCGCTGTTGTGGACGATGTTAAAGGTGTTGGTTGCGGCGTGTGCCGGTCCTGCATCGATTAAGCATGCTCTGTAAGGATGGATTACCAAAGCGGATAATCTTATTATGTAATACATCACGTGATTATGCATTCAGTTATTTTGAAGCTCCGCCTCGCGGCAATTGCGGCACTCTCACGTGATGCTTGACTCGTTCCGAGTCGATGCGATTCCAAAAATGTTGCATGCAAAGATTGAAGTTCCTCAGTTCTTTGCGCCACATATCAAGATATCCAGCTAGATCATCAAAACTTCCTCTGCCCCTCCTTAGAACGATGGCGTCAGAAAGTTCCGCTGGAACACATAAGGATCCCGTCACCGGAGAGATGATTTCCAAGAGGTGCGTGCCGAGTCATTTGGGATCATGATCATCGGGGTAATCACAGATCGCACAGTGAGCTCAAGCGTCGCGAGAAGCAGCGCGAGAAGGATGCGAAGAAAGCCGAGAAGGCTGCTGCCGCACCAACGCAAGCTAGCATCTAAGCCTGCAGCCGCAAATGAGGACGACCTCAACCCAAATGTCAGTCATCTCTGCATGCAATCGAACACTGATCCTGACACAGTGTAGCAATACTTCGAGCTGCGTGCTCGTACGATCCAGAAGCTTAAGGAGACTCAGTCTCCCAATCCCTACCCGCACAAGTTTGAGGTCACCCGGAGCATCAACTCGTTTATTGAAGAGTACGGCGAGGAAGGCTTGATCCCTGCCGGCCAGAAGCTGGACAACGTATTTGTCGCTCTATCTGGTCGTGTGCACAATATTCGGAGCAGCGGCAACAAGCTCAAGTTCTATGACCTCCATGGTGAAGGCAAGCAAGTACAGATTCTCGCGAATGTCCGGTGCGTGCTCGTCTTACATTGTCTGCTAAAATATATTGAATCATGTACAGCGATGCGGAAAACTCGGACGAATTTATGTCCACTCAGGCCCTCTTCCGGCGCGGAGACATTGTCGGTGTCACAGGCCACCCTTCGCGTAGTCAGAAGGGCGAGCTCAGCATCTCCCCCACGAGCATGGTCCTCCTCGCACCCAACCTCCACCAACTCCCATCCGCCCACTTCGGTCTCAAGGATCAGGAGACCCGTTACCGCAAGCGTTACCTCGATCTCATCATGTCCCCCGGCACGCGTAACATCTTCATCACCCGCGCACGCGTGATCAATTACCTCCGCCGCTACCTCGACAACCTCGGCTTCCTCGAGGTTGAGACACCCATGACAAGCATGGTCGCAGGTGGTGCCACCGCACGCCCGTTTGTAACGCATCACAATGATCTGGATTTGGACTTGTACCTTCGTGTAGCGCCTGAGCTGTACCTGAAGCAGCTTACTGTCGGTGGTCTCGACCGTGTGTACGAGATTGGACGTGTCTTCCGGAACGAAGGCATTGATTTGACGCATAACCCTGAGTTCACTCTTTGTGAGTTCTACATGGCCTATGCGGACATGTACGACCTCATGGAGATCACGGAAAACCTTCTCGAGAGTATGGTCAAGTACCTCAACGGCGGAAGCACGATTGTGAAATACCACCCCGAGGGCAAGGATGGCAAGGAGCTCGTCATGGACTTCAAGACGCCATGGAAGAGGTTTGACATGATCAGGACGCTCGAGGAGAAGACAGGAGCCAAGTTCCCCCCTGGTGACACCCTACACACGGAAGGGACCAACAAGTTCTTGCGAGACTTGTGTGTCAAGGTCTGTGATTTGATCACAACATCTGAGCCGCGTCGCTGACGTCTCACAGCACAATGTTGAATGCAGTGAGCCCCGAACTAACGCCCGGCTTCTTGACAAGGTTTGTTTCCATCGATATATACTTTTCACACCGCCATTAATTCGCGCATAGCTCGTTGGCGATTTCATCGAGCCCCTGTGTGTCTCTCCCGCATTCATCAGTGTGTATTGTTTTCATCTCTTCCTCCCTGTGCTGACCATCTCCACGCAGCTGGTCACCCTCAAGTCATGTCCCCCCTCGCCAAGAACCACCGCTCACGCCCCGGCCTGTGCGAGCGCTTCGAAGGGTTCATGTGTGGGAAGGAGTTCTGCAACGCATACACCGAGTTGAACGATCCGTTCGAGCAGCGGTTGCGCTTCGAGGAGCAGGTAGGATGCGACCCTTCATCATATATCGTTGCATTTTCTCATCATACAACTTCAGGCGCGCCAGAAGGAGCAAGGTGATGATGAAGCACAAGGCGTAGATGAAGTATTCGTTGATGCGTACGTTCTACTTCTGATCCATCCATGCATTCTTCCTAAACCCTTCAAATACAGGCTTGAGCACGGTCTTCCACCAACTGCAGGCTGGGGCATGGGTATCGACCGGCTCATCATGTTCCTTACCGACTCTCCTAGTGCGTATCGTCTGGTCTGTGACGTTGTGCAGGTACTAACAGTCGTGTGTAGACATCAAGGAAGTACTGTTGTTCCCTGCCATGAAGCCTATTGAGACAGCTGCCAATACAAGCGGAAAGGAGCCTGGCCCTGCTGGGCAGTTGTAGAGCCTTTGAGGACACCCAAAAGTAGACGATATCGCGATGGATAGAATATATAGTCGTATGTCTTGCTTGAACTTGAGGCAGAGTAATGGTTCGCCCCAAAGTACCGACGTCGGCATCATCACTCGGCTCCGAAGTGAGGAATATTATACAATGTACGCGGTGCACGCAAAGCGTACTAACTTGTGCAGTCGTCATCTAAATCTAAATACGAGCATACAGTAGGCAACACCCCTATGTAGTCCGCATTGCGCAAGTTTCCTTCAGCCACTATGTGTGGACGATATGCCTTAGGTTTGCAGGTCAGTATCTGTCTCACCTTGCTTCAGTGTTTTTGACGGTCACGTAACTAGCGCGCTGAAATACGCGCTTTACCTGGATACCCCAATCTTGAAGTCGCTGAATGGGTAAACGAAGATAATTTCATAGTGAGTTCTGCTCTCAACACGAAGGCAAACCACAACATACTCCCTGAAATACAGCCCCGCCACAACATTGCTCCCAACTCGCAGGCCCCCGTCATTCGCAGGCGTAATGATTCTTCGCCAGATCTTCAAATGCAAACCATGAGGTGGGGCATCCCTTATGGCAAGGTTCATGCAAAAAATCAACAAGCCATAAATGCGCGCTCGGAAAACATCATGGAAGGTGCAGGAATGTGGAACAGGTACCGAGGTAGTAACCGCTGTATCGTTGTTAGCCAGGGGTGTGCATCGTTTGAGTTTGCATTTTGAGTTAGTTTCAACTAACAGTCGATCAGGTATTACGAGTGGCAGACAAAGGGCAAGGACAAGCTTCCTCACTTCACGAAGCATGCCGATGGGAAGTTGATGCTTATGGCTGGATTCTACCACGTCTCAGGTGCGTAGCCGCTGATCAGCAATTTTTGACCGTGATGCTGAGTCCTGGCAATTGGAAGACGAAACCATTCCAACGTCCGTTTTTGCAATAATTACAACGAGCGCCAGCAAATCACTTAGCTGGCTGCACGACCGTCAACCCGTCATTCTTACGTCCCACGCCGACATCACTAAGTGGCTCGATACTAGTTCGCATGCTTGGTCCGCCGAACTTGGCAAACTGTTACAGTCGGCTGAGGGTCTGATGTGGTGCACTCTCTTCTTCATTTATTATTCCTCGGAACATTGACACTAGGGTTATATGCAGCTATCAAGTTCCAAAAGAAGTCGGAAAAGTTGGTGCGGAGTCTCCCGCATTTGTTCAGCCCGTTGCAACACGCAAAGACGGTATCGAGGCCATGTTTGCAAAGCAGCGCACCAAACAGGAGAATAAGCAGAGTATCAAGCGCAAGCGTAGCGTGTCTCCAGTCCTATCGTCAATGCAATTCGAAGCAGCCACAAAGGAGGATGAGACCAAGGGTAAAAAGCCCAAAGTCGAATAACTTGTTGCACACGCATCTCGTCTCTAGCACTTGCTTTGAAGGTCTGAAGTTATTTGCTATTGATTATGGTCGTAATCTGGGGTAGACTATGTTTGCCGTTTCGTTTGTTGTTGGAAATAACGCGCACAGCAAACTCTGGAAAGAGCAGTATAAGTCGACCATGTGCAAACGGATCCGTGCGAAGGTCAAGCGCCGCACGCCAGAGTAACCGGGGAGGCCCTGGGAGCCATTAAAAGTCGTCGCGTATGCCGGTCGCAATGAAATTGCTTGCGATTTACGTTCTAGCCAGAGCGAAAGGGATTGAGGGAGAATGTGATGCGAGGCAACTCTCGGTTGCGCGGTAAGGTGACGCACAAACACGTACTTGCTAGGTAAATACTAAATAAGTAGACGCAGCTCTATGATAGATTTTGTATCACTCAATGCTTCTCCTCCTGATATGTCATGAGTAAGTGTACAAATATAGGTCAAAAGGACTTACAACAGCTTCCTGGCTAGCCTCGCCTGCGTCAGTAGTTGCTGGAGACTCAGGTTGAGCACCTTCTGGTGCGACCTCTCGTGTCTCCTCCTCAGATGGTGCCAAATCAGCCTCAGAGGTAGAAGAATCTGCGGTCTCCTGGGACACAGCGTCGTCCGACTCTGCAGAAGTCTGCTCTCCTTCAGCGACAGCTTCCTCATGCTCCTGAGCGTCCTTCGGAGAATCCACGTCCTACACATCCTATATAAAACACATGCCTGAGTCGGTAAGAAAACAAACGCACGAATGCCTGCTCCATCGACTTCTTGATCTCCTCACCAGACACCTCAGTACCCTCATCATCTTTCAATGCCGGTGTTTCTGGAACAGTTTGTGGCTCTGCATGCTATGCAAAGCGTGAACACACGTAATTTCGTCAAAGAACTGCAGCATTACAATATCAATTTCGCGTGCTTACATGACTGGCATCCTGTGCAGTCCCTGTGAGTTATTTACTGAACATAACAAAAGACGGACATACACTCCGGTGTGCGCTGTGACTGTGCTCCGATGCATGGGCATGGTCAGTCTTACGCGCAGAGGGTGACAAGAGATAGAGCATCTAAAATCATATGTTAGTCTTGCTTTCTATGTAAAAAAAAAGACGCGTCTGAAAACGCACCACGGGACCAAATGCCAAAGCCGAGCCAATCTAAATATTTCAAACCAATAAAAGTTATTCATTGAACTCAAACTAGCGGGTACACTCTAGAAACACGCACCATCCATGGCGTATCACTTCCGTACTCGCCATGAGGTGCATGTGGGGCAGTCGAAGCCATGGTACGTCTGCTAAACGCCGCACATGATGAGCGTACGCTGCGGCTAGCTCTTGTTGCGGAACGGAAGAAGTGAAGAGCATGACGAGACATTTTGGTGGGGTAAACCGTGGAACGGTGAGGTCAACGTCGACAGCCGGGACTTTCGTTATAAGTTCTGCAAGACAAGCCAACGCAGAGAAATGTGAACGAGCGGACTCGGAGAACTTATGGGTGACGTTGAGGTGGTGTGAACTTTCGCGGATAAGACCGGAATCCCGCCTCTGTCCCAAAATTCGAGGCGAATACGAGAAATTTCTAGTTTGCGGGCTATTCGACGCCAGGAGATAAAATAAAAAAGGATGTCGGATAGCGGTCCCTTAGACCCAGCAGGGGACAGAGTACATACAACACTTATAGGATTCATAGAACGCGACGCGAAAGCGCAGATTGATATACGACGAGCACTTCGAATGTCATGGAACCGAATTATATGCAGCATCGGGCCTGGAACGAGTTCTACGAACGGGGATGCTGGCCTTAGTAGCCAAGCATCAGAGTTTGGGCCCGTCGAAGTTGAACGATCCATAGTCTCGGTCGAACCAGGACTTCTCGTCCTCTCCACCAATGAGAGCGCTCGCTTAAGGTTGGCGAAAGCTAGGGAATTTTTTAAATTGTCAACGTAAAGAGAGGCTCTCTCCTTGAAGCTTGGCCTATGTTGTTCGGATCACAAAAGTACTTTGACAGCTAAGTAGATCTTGGCTAATGTGCCATGATCCATCACGTATCTTGCCGGCAAAATTTCTTGAAAGCGTTTGGCTGTTCTACATACTACAACTCTGAAACTGCCATCCAGGGTCTAGCTAGTTACTAGTAGCTACTTTGCAGAAGCCTATATTCGCAAGCTGAGTGGAGGCTGAATTCGTCGTATACCTTCGAAGTTCGTTGACCGTATCATTGGAGTGATGAAGCATTCAGAATGCGAACAGAACGAGCTCTTCACTCGAAGTACAGCATTTTGCGCGACAGATGAGACACAACAGATGTAAAAAAAAAAAGTTGATACTCACATTGTGATGTTCGTCGTAAGCAGTACGATGAGTGATTGATGCTACTTAGATATTGTAGTCATGTTCTATACATGTTCAAGATGCGCAGATGTTGCCCTTGAAGGCAAAGATAAGCGGGTGGCTGCCTGCGAGACTCGGGCATCTGAACCTAAAGAGACGCCTCTCTAGTGTCAAACCAGGCTGCGTGCCATTATTAAGCCTCGCAAGCGGATAGGATCGTTCGTTCGCCGACCGAACTTCGAAGACGACCGCCGAATCCAAAAGAGTAAAATAACTGTGACAACCACTGTGTCTTGTCTCGGTCTGTCCACAATATCATATGATATCGCCAATCATAATGTCAGCGTTGTTCAGCAGCCAGTGCTGTATCCCGCCAACTGCGGATCTCTGCACATACAACAGGATAGGAAAAGCCTCATCAAAGAGGCAGTTGCCATGTTGTCAATTTTGTATTGTCCTGGCCAGCGGAAAGTTGTGATCAGCATGACTAAATCACCTACAGCAAACCTGGAAAAGTAAGGCCATAGCTTTGGCTGGATGAGAAGCACAACATCAATTGCAACATGATCTGTGTCTTCGATTTGCAACAGCCTCGATCACAGACTCATATGCCCATACGTCAGTCGCGTATTATCGTGGGGCACATGGTTGTGGTTGGTGGTGGTTGGGCGTGGTTGCCACAGTGGGTCGGTGATGGCCGCCAGGTGGAGCTGGAGATCCACAGGTACTATTAGTATGACATTCCTGTGTTACGCACTTATGGGTCGCTTCAGCTCCGTCGGGAAAAGCTAGTACTGCACCATGTGCCATCATCCGCATAGCCTCAGTGATTTACCCGCGGTGGGATAATCAAAGCCACGTGTGCATCCCCTTGAAAGACCGAGCTAAAAAGTCAGTTAAGTACCAAAAGCCATCATGACAGTACTTACTCGACCAGGATGTAAAACACATATGTTGCGGTTGCCGTAACATGTTTTGATTTTCGAGTTCATAATAGCTTACCTAAACAACGATGGTTTGATGGACTGGAAGTACTTTTGATCTTCGTTGCCCAAATTCCTGTGTAAAGTTGTACATACGTGGGATATTAGACCTGTCAGGCTTGCCGCAAATGACCTTCTACTCCATCGTTCGTATCTCAATCTGAAAAGTGCCCAAACCGAAGAATGAGCAAACGACCAGGTCATGCCCATTCTGTTTCTGAACCAATTCTAATGCAGACCTTCGACGGGGCCAACATTGACAAGGAATACCAGTTCTACGATGAAGACGCTGCCAGAGTCAGCCAGAAAATTGACGAGGAGCTCAAGGTATGTACCTCATCTCGCTGGCCAGGGACTCGTGGTCATTGAGATCTGCAGAGAGACTGGGCGCGACGCAAGGATGTCCAGAGAAGGCAGGTCAAGGGTGCGTTCTGTCGAGGAATACTACCCACTCCGAGTTGACTTGAACTTATGTGATCATGCAGTCATGCTTCTTGGCCAGGCAGAATCCGGAAAATCTACACTCCAAAAGCAATTCCAATTGTACTACGCTCACCATGCCCTCGATCACGAACGTCCGCTATGGCGTCCAGTCGTGTATTTCAACATCCTCAAGGCTGTCCGAATGATTCTCGACGAACTAGACTATGAACTCAACAACCTTTCGATTGATGACTCAGTAGAAGGCCAAGCTGTTGCTCACGCCCTAGCTCCCTTGGGCGACCTGAGTGGGGAATTCTCCAGGCTACGTACTAAGTTGGTGCCTCTGGTTGCGATGGAGGATTCGCTAGCATCGGAACTCAGTGGAGGAGTCGCTGTGACCGGCGGCCGAACAGGTGTATATGTTCGTGCTGGATGGCAGGCTCTTGTTACCCCTTTGTCGCCTAACCGGAGCCGTGCACTTCCTGGTACCGGCGGACTTTCCCCTGCTGTTGCTCAGATGACCAGCTTGGCTTCGAGGACCCTCATTGCTGTTCAAAATGAGGTAGATGAACTTTGGAAGCACCCTGCCGTTCGGATACTCGTCAACAACAGGCGAATCAGGCTTGATGAGTCTGCACCATTGTAATGATGACACCTAGATATTTGATATCGTTCGTTGACAGTCTTTGCAGCTTCCTGGATAGCATCGGACGCATCGCGCAGGCTGATTACCTCCCCTCCACGGGTAAAGTGCATATCCGTTCTCAAACTGTTTGTGATGTTGAATATACGTCTGATCTAGCCGATCTTCTTAACGTCCGACTTCAAACACTCGGTGTGGCAGAACATTCTTTTGACATCGAGCTGTGCGGCTCTAGATACAACTGGTTGATGTACGACGTCGGCGGAGCTGTACGTGTGTGCCTATTTTTCCTTGTTCTGTTGTTTGGCTAAACCTGGCGCTTCATTTTTAGCGTGGCCAGGCGAGTTTATGATATTTAATTATCTAAACAGATCTTCCGTCTGACTCCGAACCATCGCATCAGCGCCACGCATGGGTACCCTACTTTGATGATGGTAGGTGTTTTGCTCTCATGCGGTGCATTTGACGCCCGTGGACACGGGCGCCACGACGTTGTCCGCAATAAGGAATGTTCACTAACATACCTGGTTTATTACTTGATTAGCCACTGCGATCATCTTTTTGGCGCCAATAAGTGCTTTTGATCAAGTATGTCTTTGTATACTTTCCTCTCATGCACCTATTCATCGTACCTGAAATAGTACCTCGAAGAAGATCCGCGGACAAATAGAGTGGACGACTCGTTGCAACTCTTCACAGCTATATGCTCAAACAAACTCCTTAAGAACTCACACTTGGTGCTCATGCTCAATAAGGTTTTATTATTTTCTACACTTTCGACCGTGTGACTTGATAACACGACTTTGCACAGACTGATTTGCTACAGAAGAAACTAGAAGCTGGTGTCAAAGTGCGGAAATAGTAAGATTTAGTGACCAATTGGTGGTCGGCCGTGCTCACAGTTTTGCGATAGTATCACATCATACGGCGACCGTCCAAACACCTACGCCGATGTGTCAGAGTACTTCAGGGCACACTTTATCCAAGTTCACAAGCGTCACGATATCAGTCGTCGAGCGTTGTATGTTGTATGTGTAGACCTTTCTGTGTCTTGAAGTCACCATGTTCACTAATAGTTGTGTTGCCACGCAGCACTTCACCTCTATGCTAGTGAGTTTTCCCATTATTCGAAGTTCGCACGATGCCTAACATATACTACAGGATATCCGAGCAACGCAAGACATTATAGTCAATGGTACGTTCTCACAGACGTCCGCCCCTCACACAAGTGCTCATAACTGATACTTCAGTGGGAGAGGCTATCATCCGATCACATATCGCCAAGACTGGCCTTGCGTAATTCCCCCTGGTTAATATCTTTTTTCATGGATCTCGACATAGCACTGTGTTTATCTGACTACCTTCCAACATGACACTTCCCTAGCAACTAGTGATACCTCGCTCCCTGATGATTTCTCTTTTCTTGCTGACTTTATTTTACCAACCCATCTATTGATATCCCGTCATTCATTGTCACACCTCCACATCTCTCAGCCTCGTTGCATATAGAATTTTAATCGGCTTGTCTTCCGAGTGAAAGATGTCGGTCCGATGGCATAGATGAATTTGCACACGCACTTAGCGCCAGCTAGAGTCCACTTTAGCTGTTATTCTCACACCTCATCTGTGACTTGTCTGATAAGCAACCTCAGTGTATGGTGCGCCGTTAATATGCCTCCTGATATTGATGATTTTGACCGTTCTGTGATAGCTAAGGTCTTGGACTTGAGAGAACAACAAACAATCATCGCAACCATGTTCAAGATGAAATGTGCGCTTTGCGATGTGGTCGTTAAACGCATCGAGATGCCACACCATGTACGAGCAGCCCACAATCCATCGGGGGCCAGCCAAAATGCATCTGAGACGTCGTTCAACGCAGCATCTGAGACGTTGATCAACGCGGCATCTGAGACGTTGGTCAACGAACCGCAAGCCGCGGCGCCTTCCCGTGAAACTCCGCTAGCTCCGATCACTACTCAAGCAGACCGTGAAGCATTCAAACGGGAGATCCAAGACATCGTGCATGTGTTCAACGCCCTGCCTGATCAGCTGAGACAGGAGTGCAAGCAGGGTGTTGAAAACATGCCTGTTCTTGGGGTGAGTCCATCAGCATTGTATCAATCAGTTGACGTCATGATTCGCGTTGTTATCAGGCGTTGTATGCGTACACCTTCACGCATCTTCAACTTTGCGCTCCAAAGAAACAAAGGTCGGGATCATATTATTGAAGCAGCGATCTTAATCTTGATGCGCAATACCAGTCTCATTGCTGAACTCGAAAACCTGAAAGCGGAATGGATAAGAGACAGTGATGCGAGTCTTTTGGGTTTGAAGACTATCAAGGACGGGCTAGTCCGCGTCCTACAAACGGTGTGCAAGGCATCGGTCAGTGAGGAGTCTACTAAACGGTATCAACAGTCACAAGTCAAGAAGCACTTCTGCAATACTCGCCTGATCCACGAACACAGACTGCACGACCTCGACATCGGCAACATTGCGGCATTGAATTGTCGAGCATACGACATCGAAAGAGCGTGCCCGTGCCTTCTACGCCCTGACTGATGACAACGCACAGTTCATGGTTGAAATCCTGCAAGATGTAAGCGCTAGCTTGTCGCAGAGCGCACGCCCGTTTGACGTCTGCAATAGCTAATTGCGACTCGGTCCGATATCGTCGAAACATATAGAAGATACTTAGTGAACGCTGTCATCAGACTTTCCAGGAAATCTGGACGGTTCCCACAGAATTTGCAACTTTGTCACGTCCAGGACTTAAGAAGTACCGAATTGTGTGGCGGGTATGGCTTGATCTACGAAGGCAAATTACACGGTCGCCTTGTTGCCGTGAAAAAAGTGCGAGAGGGTCGTCGTTCCTCGCACCAGTTTCATAAAGTCAGTAATATTGTGTGGTATGTGGGCAGAAATTTAGATATTGACATCCCTCGCAGGAGTTCTCCAACGAGGCAGTGGTTTGGTACTATGTACGGCATCGAAACTGCCTTCCGTTCTATGGCGTGTATGTCTTTGATGATGACTCCGGCTTGAGGACGTGGTGTCTCGTATCCCCCTGGATGGCAGAAGGTCATGTTAAAGATTACCTTCAGAGGAATCCTGACACTGATAGATTACCACTGGTAAGGGCAGCCTTATCTTATACCAAGAGATCATGCTTATGGTGGTGGAGATCCTGGATGTTGCACGGGGCCTAGAGTACCTGCATTCGATGGAGCCAGCAGTTAGTCATGGCGACCTGAAAGGCGTAAGTGTCAGTGTCATGGCTTTTTTGAATGGAGATTTAAGCTTTGCATTCGCAGGTCAATATCCTTGATAACATCTTCCGGGCGTGCATGCCTAGCAGATTTTGGAATCGTAATGGTCCGAGACTCTCATGTTCAATTGACTACAACCACACCCGGTGTCGCAGGAACGACTTACTTTATGGCTCCAGAACTTATAGACGCACGAAGTGATCCTGATCGGCTCCAGCGATTAGACAAAAGGCGGTGCGACATGTATGCGTTGGGTTGCGTCTGTTATGAGGTAGGAAATGACAACTCCTTCGGTTTGACCTATGATAAATCTCGCAGATGTATACTGGGATGGTCCCGTTTCAAGGCCTAGGTCCTGCGATCGCCGGAATACGGGTGCTGCTGGAGGAGCGACCAGCACGGCCATCTGAAGTTTGCCAAGGGTTAGACGACGATATGTGGAGTTTCATTGAAGCCCTGTGGAAACATACACCGACAGAACGACCAACAGCAACGGAAGCGTGTAAGAAAATCTCTGACAAGATGGAGTCTCAGGGGAAAGACACTGTGCGCCAGTCCACTGAAGTGGAGTGGGATGTAAGGTTTTTGGCCGATGCGGCGGTGACGATGGTGACAGAAGATCCGTTCGCGCTTGCGCGTGTAACATAAGCCCTCGCCTCTAGGCAACTGGTATTTTCTGGCATGAACCATAAATGTAACAACTAGCATAGTACTATGTAAACTGATAGCCTGCCAGTAATCACCCCTAGGTAAATCAATAGACGTTGATCATGTCTATGTAAAGGTCTGCCTTCAAGTCCTGCACAACCATGTTGTTCAAAAAACGGTCAGAATAACCGAGCTCATGAGATGGATGATACGACTCAGACAAAATAAGATGTCATTTGCCAGAAGGTTCCTGGTCTCGAACACCCTGCGTAGTCTAAGGGCCCGGGGAAACTGATATTAATAACATGTTGAAGACTAGCGAAGGTTGATAGATGCACTTAAGTTATTCGATTAATTCTTTATTACCTCTCAAGCAAGTCTTTCTCGCATTGACTCAATGACTTTTTTCAAAGAATGGTAAACCCTCGGTGGTGAAACAAGTGAACAGAGATCCGTTCAGTTCACCCACTCTCACCTCCGAGACAACTTAATCAAGCATGTGCATGAGTGCTTGAGCCGTGTTCGTGCAGAACGATGTACATGAGGACCGTGGGAATATACAAAAACTTTGGAGGCTCCGCTGAGGATGACTTGACCAAACTAAATATTCATTGCGATAGCCTTACCATAGCCCAACTCCAAAATGTCGACCAGCGGGCTGAAGGCGATTGCCCCTGTGCCCACTGCGGCAGATTTCTTGGACATTGTCTTGTCCAAGACCCAAAGGAAGACACCTACAGTGAGTCGTTCGAGGATATCATCTAGAGCAATCTAATCAACTTATGTGCCTCAGGTAATTCACAAAAACTTCAAGATCAGCCGCATCCGTAACTTTTACATGCGCAAAGTCAAGTTCACGCAAGACACTTTCGATGAAAAACTAGGAGCCATATTATCAGAGTTCCCCCTCCTCGATGTGAGTTTGATTAAGCTCTCATCGTGATTCAAAACTCACATTCCTGAGGCAGGACTTACACCCTTTCCTGGCGTCACTCATGAATGTATTGTACGACAAAAATCACTACAAACTTGCTTTAGGCCAACTTCGCACTGCCCGACATCTCATCGATCAGGTTGCCAAAGATTATGTCCGACTTCTAAAGTTCGGTGACAGTTTGTACCGCTGCAAACAACTTAAAAGGGCTGCGCTGGGTCGTATGGCCACTATCATGCGCAGGCAGAAAGATCCCCTTGCCTACCTTGAGCAAGTCCGCCAACACATTTCCCGTCTTCCCGCCATCGACCCTAACACCCGAACTCTACTCATATGCGGCTACCCAAATGTTGGAAAGTCGTCATTTATCAACAAGGTTACGCGGGCGGACGTCGACGTCCAACCATATGCTTTCACAACCAAGTCCCTTTTTATTGGCCATCTAGATTACAAGTACCTCAGGTGGCAAGTCATCGATACCCCTGGGATTTTGGATCACCCGCTTGAGGAGATGAACACGATTGAAATGCAGAGTATTACGGCTCTTGCTCATCTCAAGAGCTGCGTGTTGTATTTTATGGACCTGAGTGAACAGTGTGGTTATACGGTGGAAGCCCAAGTGCGTATCGCAGCATATATTCTGCTTCTGTACTACATGTCAATTTTTTCCGCAGTGTAAATTGTTCCACTCCATCAAGCCTCTATTTAATGGCAAGCCTACGATGCTGGTCATCAACAAAATCGACGTGACTCGCCTCGAGGATCTTACGCCCGAGAATCGCGCTCTCGTCCAAGAAATCATCGATACTGAGGACGTCCACTGCGTCCAGGTGTCATGTTATTCTGACGAGGGGGTCATGGATCTCAAAAACAAGGCATGTGATGCCCTCCTGGCACATCGCGTCGACTCGAAGCTCAAGGGCACCAAAATCAACTCTGTGATCAACCGCATACATGTAGCACAGCCGAAAGCTCGGGACGAGGTTGTCCGTGCGCCATTCATACCCGATGTCATCAAGGAGCGGAAGAAATACGATAAGGATGATCCTGAAAGGAAGAAACTTTTGCGAGATATGGAACTAGAAGAGGGTGGTGCTGGTGTTTTCAACATCAACATTAAGCGTAAGTTCCTCTCTATGTATCTCACGTGCCTCTCCTGACGCGTCATACAGAGGATTACATCCTCGCGAACCCTGAGTGGAAGATGGATATCATGCCCGAAATCATGAACGGCAAGAACGTTGCCGACTTCATCGACCCCGATATCGCCGAAAAACTCGAGGCACTTGAGCGTGAGGAAGAGAAACTCGAGGCCGAGGGCTTTTACGACAGTGATGAGGATATCTTTGACTCCGAAGATGAACGTGAAGCAGTTGAGACCAAAAAAGCTCTGGGGCACAAAATACAGTCGCAGATCCTCAAGAAAGCCAAGAAGAACCAGTCTCGCTTGCCACGCACAGCTGGCCTCCGCACGCTGTCTGAGCTCAGTAGTGAGCTCAAGAAAGCAGGTTATGATCCAAGCAGCATAGAGGCGCGAGCAGGGATAATAGCCAAGGCCCAAGGCGCCAAGCGGAAACGGGCTGAAGCAGACATGGATGTTGATATGGAAGATGCAGACGCGAGTGAAGGGGAAGAAGGTGACTGGATGGATGTTGATGGCGGGGAACAGACACCCAATAAGCGAATCAAGGGTAACAAGGGCGCAGTCATTGCCAAGCACCCACGAGCACCGAAATCAAATCGTCAATTTGCTGGTATGCGTGACGAGCAGGTTTGTTTTGTCTTTATCTGGAAGGCCAAGTCTCTGAACGTCCTTTTTAGCAAGCTTCCAAGGCCGTTAAGCTACGGAACCTCGGACAGCGTGAACGCAACCGGCTGGCTAAAGCTGGCGAGAGTGATCGTGCTATCAAAACCAAAATGGTGCGTGATCATGAAACATCTGTCTACATTCATCCTAATCACGTTCTCAGCCAAAACATCTCTTCGCTGGAAAACGGAAAGCAGGAACAACGAACAGACGTTAGCCTGCTCGTCTTCTACCCTCTCATGTATTATTTTCGTCCATATCATGAAATCTATTCCGCTATAGTACAACTGTGTCCTCGAGGCAAGCAAAAAGTTCAACGATAAAAGCAAGAAGAGTATTTAGACCCATCCTAGAATGTAAGTACATACAACGTTGCGCACAAAGCTGCACAAATCACAATATAAACGTTTGAAGTTCGTCGATCGTTCTGAATATGTTTTACGCGTATCATTTTGAAGGGCGCCCTGTGACGTTTCCTCGGTTAGTCGTCAATAAAGTATAATATGACTCGGGGGAGTGGAGATAGAGGAAAATATACGGAGAGGGCGTGGGTTTCGCAGTAACGGAGGGTGTGGCGCAGGTCGATAAAGAATTGGATGAAGGTCCATGTTTAGTCCCAATCAATGGTAATGCCACCAGGGCCTGGAGCAGCGACACCAATCCCTCTGTCAGCTTCGCGTTTCAGCCATTTGAGAGCACGTTTATCATCCCTTAGGAGTGGCTCGAGTCTCTCAAGGCACCTCTTATTGTGATCCTGCGATAACGGACACGTTAGATAATCAAAGGTTCCGCAGGTGAAGGATCAATGAAAACTTACTTTCAACCACTGCTTTTCTTCCTTGGTAAGCATGCTTTCTTTGACCATCCGCGTCTGGATCGGAACACACGTGAGGCGTTCAAACCCAAGCCAAACATCGCCATTAAATTCGCCTTTCGTCTGGCAGTCGATACCGTAAGATGTCGTCGTGCTGCGGTGATATAGGATAAACGTACCTTGACTCGGCGGATAGACAGCGCGGATTCAATGCGCATTCCCCATCGGCCTTCAAGGTCTACAATTGCCACAATTATGAGTCATCATAACGGTGAAATCTCAACGTGCACTCACAGAAACCGGGCTCGTTTGTTATGACGTGACCAGGAACGAGAGGTACGCTGCTGGAAAATCCGTGTGGACCTTCGTGTACGTTCAAGAACGAGCCAAATCCGTGGCCTGTGCCGTGCTAAGTCCAAATCACATATCAGCTGATGCTCAAGCCTACGTCAAGGAAGCAACGCACCATGTAATTAAGGCCGTCCTTCCATAGGGCACGCCGAGCAAGGACGTCAAGCTGGGAACCTGTAGTGCCCTCTGGGAATACTGCGCTATCGATGGCGATCTGAGATTATAAATTGAGAATGTGTGGGGACTGATATGAATGCGATTGACGTACGTGACCCTGCAAAACGCGGGTATAGGCTTCTGATTGATCTTGTGATGGCCTTCCAAAATGAACTGTGCGTGTCGTGTCACAGGTGCCATCACGGTATTGGCCTCCAGAGTCGCTGGGGAAAACGAGTTTAACGATCACAAACGTTAATAGTATTCTCGATACTCACTTAAGGTAAGGGGTGTCTCGGTCAATCATCCGGGCGCCAGATTTCGTGGGTGAATAGTGGGGAAGAGCTGCAAGATCCGAATAATTAGCGAAATGAATCTGCCATGTTGTAGAAGCTGCATATGCATACCCGCGTTAGGCCCGCTGGCAGAGATATTCTCGTATGCGAGACCCCAATAATGCTTGTTTTGCCGCCTGTATTCTGTGAGACGCCATGCTGCTTCATACTCCGTAATATCATATCCTTGTTGGATCTTGTATTCCAGCCATGCAAGCCATCTAACCTAAATGAGAGAGCATGAGGTGAGGAGCAAAACTGTCAAGCGAGGACACACACATATGCAGCACCATCGCGAAGGTAGGCACGTCGCAACCCTTCAAGTTCTACATCATTCTTGATGGCCTTCATGTTGTCAATGAAGGAGGGTATAACGGTGTAACGGAAGTGCGTCAGCATCAAAGAGATCGCGTAGGATGTTTCTGGGGAGATGAGGACTTTGCCCTCGCCCCATTCCCGCCGACGAAGGAAGGCCCAAATGTCATTGTATTCCTTCCGCTCGACATTGAGTGCATGTAGGTGATCCTCGACTTCATCGGTAAGCTTGACGGCATCCAAGAATAGGACAACCCGATCAAGAGAAATAAACAGGTAGGCGCAAAACAGAGGATTGAAAGGGATATCGGATCCACGCAGGTTAAGAAGCCAAGCTACGAGTGATCTCTGTAAATATCCCAAAGAGATATCGGCGGAAATAGGACGAACCAATTGAGGATAAAGAAGTAATCAACGTGCCAATGTGCATCTGGGCAGCGGTCGGCGTTCCTTTAGAGTACGAAGGGACAGCCGGAGGTTGTGCCTGGATCCAGGCGCGAACCTCTGCGACTTTTGTGCCGGCCTCTCTGCCCGTGAATTCGAGAGACTGGATAAAAACGGGTTCCTTGGATCGCAGGGGCTTTTCTTTCCAAGTGAGGTCAATAAAATTCTGGGGAGGGTAGATGAGCTTTGAGTTCTTGTTGTTGAGTTGTGTGTTCAATAAGGTAGCCTTCTCATGTGAGATCATGCGTGCATCTATACCGATCTTTGCATCTTTGGCACGATCCTGATATAACATAAGACTCTTTAAGGAAAAGCCGTGGACTTAAGGTGATGAAACGCACAACCAACCAATCAATCCAATCTTTAGGTCCATCCACGGCCCCGGCAGGTATCAAATGCCAGTTCGAGTCAAGCTCTTCACGAGCTTGCAACCAGTACCGGGAATCGGTCACTAAGTAAGCAGCCGTCTTGGAGACAATAGCTTGGCCCGCACTTCCAGTAAACCTTCCAATCACGTAAGATCCGGAATCGAAGGGGAAAGACAAAGAACTCACCCAGATATCCATGCCCTACGTTTGTCACTGGCTGCGACGTACTCGGATTGGTGGGCGTCCTCACTCGGAATCACACTGAAGTAGGAACACGTCAGCCTGAAGAAACGCAGGATATGACTTTACTTACTAGTAATCGAGTTTTTCCTTGGCCATCAACTTCCTGACGTCCTCTAATCTGTCTGCCGTGTCTACTTTCTCCTTGATAGATTCAACATCATTAACCTTGCGTTCATAAGCAGACCCGACAAGCGTGCTCGCAGAATCGTTCGAGTACAAGGGTGGGCGTTTGCTGCCGCTCGACTTGGAAGAGGTGCGAGTAGGCGACTTGTAAAGCGGAGGCCTTTCTGAGCCGACAGAAGGTGATCGTTCTAACATCTCTCTTTCCCTCTCCTTGATTTTTCCCAGTCCCCATCCATATCCCCATTTCGTGGATTTCTTGGAATCAACCCTCGTCAGAGCAGACTTGCTGTCATTGCGGGAGAGTTGAGAGAACTTGGTGCGACTCTCGTTAGCAAGCGTAGGGACGTCGTATACTTCTGAATCCGAATCAAAAGATAGCTTCTCTACATCTGATCCAAGGGTCTTTGTGGGGGAGTAGGATCTGGCGCGGACAAGCTTGTTCCGTGAGCCTGTGGAGCGATGCGATCGTTTCGACCGATTGGAATCGTTGTCCGACCTCTGGAATGAATGATTGGAATGGTTGTCCGACCTCTGAGGTGAACGATTGGAATGGTCGTCCGACCTATGAGATGAACCATTTGAACGGTTGTCAGACCTCTGGAATGAAGCATAAGATTTTTCCGAATCTGTACGGACTATGAGAGGGCTAGCTTCGCGAGTTCGTGAGCGATTCGTGAAAGGGAAGCACATAGGCGGTGGGGGCGGCGGAGGTGGTGGTGGAGGCGGCGCCATGATAGATGCGGCGGATGATGAAGGTAAGAAGCAAAGAGCCCGTGCTGGCAATGTGAGCTCAGAACGGACTCACACGAGGCTGGACGGTGATTATCACTAAGGCTGACATGGCATGCGTAAAATTGTGAATGGCAAGGGAAAGCGTGACTAAGCGTACTAAATTGGGTTACTCACTGAAAATGTGCTGTAACAGGCTGTAGCACGGAAGCGAATTCGGTGACCGGCCCTACCATTTGGTCATTTGTGGACATGGAAGACCTCGAGGAGAGCTCCGTGGGCGATTAAATTGACATCACGACTGCGGAGAGAAAAAGGGTCCTAAATGAAGGATGTCGTATCCCATTGCCCAGTCACGACGGCCAAGGTGGTCAGCCATCAGCTGGGATCGATCCCGCGGGTATGCGAACGCCACAGTGACACACATGGTGAACAAAGTTATCGTGTCTCATTTCGAGTCTGAACACGAGGCTGGAACGGCTTGCTATCCATGCTTCGGTCCGCATTTGACGGTTCCTGGCCTTATTACCACAGTGTGTGGATAGGGTTGTGGAACCCGCGAAGTCTGGATAGTTATTCTAGATCCGAAATGGTAAGCCATGGTCACAATAGAAGATCACAAGGACATTAACATGACGTAGGCATCACCAATGACGGATTGTCTCGAGTTGCGACAGACCAACTTGAGACAAGTAAACCATGATCGGTTAAGTGCAGTTTCCTTGGGATACGCGGAGACGTGTAGAGCCTGCCGTGTCAGAGGGGGGATCGATTTCGCTATTAAACACAAAAAGATTTGTGTAAGAATGGCGCATGACGCTAGAATTGACCTCGCTGTATGATACCCAGAAGAGAGGTACTCCAAGTGGCACATGAGGTCTAGACAAACACAATGCTGGAATGAAGATTATTATCCCCTCCTACTCCACCACTCCCGGGCCAGCGGCCATGGTGATCTAAAGAAAACTAGAACTTCATAAGACCACTTACTACATAGGTTGGACCCAACTTTGCGCCCAAAGCCGTCGTGAACTAGAGAATGGAACACAAGTAAATGTCAATGTCACTATTCCCCACTGCCCAGACCTGTTGATCACATGTGGCATTCAATGATAGTGCTGATCTGGGCAAAGGGTAACAGCAATAGCGCCACAATGGTCAAAGAACCGCGTGCTGAAATGGAGGGGAGTTAAGAATTCCTTCCGGATTGCCCATAACGCATCATTGGATTCCGACCAGGTGTTCCTCCAAAGTTCCAACAGTCCGAGTTCACGCATATTCACGCGGATGCAGCTATATGAGACGAGACAATTGACGGATCAAACCCAGTGTGCGACGAGTGATGGGAGTCTGGACAAGAGACCACTTGAGTGGAAACGCACCTTGGTGATAGAGCTGGGGCAACTGCTTTCAAACGCTGCCGAATCCTGTCGAATGAGTTTCAACAGTAAAGCAAGTTATCCGCCACCAGCGTGGAGCGCGACGTCGGGCAAAGGGGTCATCTTACGTAATACAACAATTACAACGTTCGGGCGTGCTCGTACCCGCCCGCGGCCCTAATGCTCACAGAAAACTAGATTGATCGGACTCTGCGAGGCCCTCCCGATCGCTGAGGTTCCGACCCATTGAATTCCTCGGAGATCGAATGGGGCATCAAATGTTTGCCTGGAGCAGCGCTTCTCCATCGAACATTTCCCAAGTTGAAATTGCAGATCATGTAAGTAGTATGTTGGGACCCATTTCATAAAGCATCAATATAGCCTGTAGTTGTAACCGCCGCAGCACCTTCGCGAGCACTTTTTTAGCTACAGAGACTCGCCGTCCAGGTTTCAGATGAATAGTGCTAGGATGCTGCTTGAAGAAGTTTTGGGACGTTCACAGCTAAACAACTTGAACATGGTGCCGATAATCGCCAGTAATTCCTTAGGTTGCAGATGTCAACCCACGTTATAAGTCAACATCGCTGCGACTGGACCGACTAGTTAACTCCATGATGCACTGATGACGGGGAGCCTGAGATGCGGGTGAGTATCTGGAAGTGACTGGTTTGTTACCTCTTGTTACGTTGCAACGATGCCAATAGTATGTATAGCTCCGTTTATCTTCCTGGATTCAGCCATACAGCCCTAAGTTTGGCATACCGAAGCTCTGCCTTGAATACACGATCTAGGTCGTCCGCTTGTTTTTGTCTTAATTCACATCAGGTGCGGATAAACTTAATGCCTGACTATGACCGCTCACCCTGAATGCCTCTAGGACCTAAAACAGATGATCATTAACATCAAGTCGCTCTCTAACTGTTGTCTTGTCGTACCTCCCACAGGCAACGAAACATGGGTGCTGGTCCCGCTGTTGTCACCAAAGGCCTGCTGCCTATACTCACCTTCTCGATTCAAGACCATGGTACAGGAATACCCATATGTTCTTCACGGAGACAGAACGAGGAAAGAGGGAACTTATAACAGGAAATAACAGGCCTCACCAGACTGAACTTTTGGATCACTGTCAAGTTCCAGAACACATCGTGGTCTACAGTCAGTTAGCTTACCCCTGAAGGCCTGACAGGTTCATAACATCCTGTACATATGGTTATGACGGTGAGCTCTATACCTTGAGTCATTGGCAAACCTATCCTGATGTGTCTTTAGGTAGTATGATGAGTACATGACTTCGTGGTTTTCAAGACACTATGCTGAACGCGGAACAGACGATCTGCAGTCTTTGACTCAGTGGAATCAGGCGTTTAATTATCTTACTGGTGGGAAGGTGTATATATCGTTGCACATTGGTTAACTCATCTGCAAGCTCGGATTGCTCAATGCCATTCAAGTAAGCTAATCATTGATAGCGCTCTCCGAGACTGGCTGACTACCTGAGAACATCAGTTTCTTGAGTGCTTACCCGTTTGCACCCTACATGACTGATGGCATGGGTCGGCGGTTCTCGATTGCCTTCGGTGCAAGTACAATGATTACTGCCGCCGTGATCCAGACTGCCAGTAACTCTGTGCAGATGTTTATTGGAGCCCGGTAGGCAACAAATAGCTACCCGCAGCGTTGCTCCGACATATTTCTGCGGTCTCTTGATCGGGTTTGGTCAGTCATTCACTACGCCCGCTGCTCCCCTCCTTGTCGCTGAAGTTGCATGGCCTTCCCACCGTGATCAAGCAACTTCACTGTACAATACATTGCGGTGAGCTGTTTGGTGATTCTGTGAGGACGTATTCATCATCCTCCTTCAGGAACCTTGGAAGTATCATGTAGGATTTTCGCAACATAGGGTTCACTTTCGTCCCAGCTCACCAGTTGCGACCACGCAGTGCGGCACGGACTGTTAGTTTCTGTCATTCAAAGCAAAAAAAATGAAGATGATCCTCCTTGCAGATCTATGGCATCTTCACTATTTCACCCAGTTGGGCGTGGAGAATTTCTTCCGTACTCCAAGGTTTTTCATCTATGATCCAAGTCTCGTCTGTGTGGTTCGTCCCTAAGTCTCCACGTTGGTTTGTGCATAAGGGGAAGTGAGCATAGCTCTCCTCAAAACTTAACGACATTGCGTGAGTGTGATGCATTTATTTGTGGTATAAGCGCCTGAACCAAGCGCTATCATATAGACAAGATCCTCTAGTGGATTACGAATTCGAAGAAATCAAGGCTACCATTACATTTGATCGGGAAGTAGCTGGCAATGCTAGCTGGCTGAGCTTGATTGAAACTCCGGAAATCGAAAACGTTTACGCAATCTCGTCGCGCTCGCTGTCTTCTCCCAGTGGTCTGGCGTTGGTTTGGTGTAGGTTCGATGCTATCTCGTATATGAAATGCTCCTGACTGCCTGTGGATTCGCAGTTCTTACTGTGAGTTGGCTTCATTGATGTATGGCGTAAATGCTGATGCATTGGAGTTGACAGATCTGAACAAGGTCTTCAATTCGAACGGACGTGAGTGAATCGTAACCTGACGTAAAGTCGGCTCCTTATTGCTACTTAGTCACGAATCCGACAACACAGCTGCTGTTTGTAGGTTTGCAAGAGGTACATGATGCTTGCCCGTTTACAAAAAATTGTAGAATGGTCTTAAGTCTCAGCACCTTCAACTTGTTTGTCGGCATTACTGCTGGCTTTTACTGTGATCGTGTGGGCTGACCCTCACTGTTCCTTGCGTCTTGTGCTGGTCAACCAGTCTTGATCCTCAGGCATACACATACAACTTGCTGAGGGATGTTATTAGGTATGGTCATTTTCTGTACCGCGTATTCAATCTGCTTCTTCATTCACAAAGAAACTGGTAGCATCGCAGCCGGCCATGCAGTCATTGTGTTCATTTGTGAGTAGTGTAGAGGAGCTGATTAAGTTTGGTGCTGACAGGCTGTCGAGCACAGTCCTTTACTATGGATTTTGCGAGTGAGATAACTCCACTGCTCGTGTCGTTAATATACCCACGATCCTACAGACGACGTTCGTATTTCTAACTGATGCGTCTGATTCATCCTGGCTGACTTCATGTGATTTTAGCTTGCGTTCACCTCCTCGTTTCGTGAATAAAGTGAAGTTCTGGAGCGAGCCTCGCCCTGGATTATTCTACAAGATACACCGTCGAAATTCTCCCATTCGCCATCCGTGCCAAGGGTTTTATCACGTTTAGCTTCGTGTTGTCTGTCTCTGATCTTCAACCAGTATGATCCATCCTCCTCGTCCGTTTGAAGGTTCACTCACATATGTAGATATGTTAATCCCATTGCCCTTGAAGTGTGTGTCCCCAATATGAACCTTCTCCTTGCAGCTGCTGACAATATTAATGAATTCGACACTCAGTCTGCAATAGAAGTACTACGTGAGCTCGAGTTTTCTCGCAAATTTATGGCATGATTTTATTTATTCAATGTTTTATCTTAGTTGGTGTACATTTTCTGGCTGTGCTTCGAACTTGTGTTCTGCTATTTCTTCATCATTGAGACGAAGAACGTGCGTATAACAATTTTTCTTGCTCGTGCATGATCCTCGGCTCACGAAATTCTCGTCAGCGCACTCTCGAAGAAACTGCCGCGTATGTCACAGTGATAATGACTACGATCTTCGCCCTCCGTGTTTTCACTCTGCTCATTTATGGTTCGCACCGCCGCTCACTTGTATGATGCTTTCCTCAGTAATTCCGCGTTTTTCAACCTGATCTCCGTACCTCTCAAGTCTTCCAAATATCCTCTGTAAGTACTCTATTGATGCTCTCGCCAAGTCTCTCTGGATCATGCGCTCAAGCTCGTCCTATCTGTTCTAACGTTTGCTCTCTCATCTGCCCTTATTTGCGCTTGCAGCTACTCGTCTGCACTTATCTACACCCGCCTCCGCACACTCTTACTTGTTCCCGCATGCCGCCAGATGTTTTTGCTGGTCCGCCCTTGTATGTACCTGCTGCCACTTATTTTACTCATTTAAAGCGCGGTTCCCTACCGCCTAAAGATCTTCGGCTCTCGGCGCGCTTGCCCCCACGATGCCGTTCGTGAGCACATCCAGCGCTTGTACAGAGCTCTGGGCTAATACATTCCCTAGGGTAATTTTATATATTTTCTCGTATCTATACCACTATCCAACGGCGCCCATCCACTAGCTTTCCATCCGCCTGCCTATTTAGATGCTACTTATTGATGCCGCTGCCGATGACGACGCCAGACTCCCATCCGCCTACCCTCTTGAAAATGCCACGTAGCCGACGACGCCAGAGTATCAACCAATCCCACCCTAGATTCACGCTTCGGCTGTCCCACCAGCGCATGCACCAACTAGATGAGCACTCCCACACTACTTCAGAAATCTGGTAGCCTTGGATTCTGGTGACGTATGTCTTGTATAGCAATCCATGGTACATGAGGTAGTATAGCGCTAAATTTATTGCACGTGGGGAAGAGATAATGAGGAGTGAGAGAAATATCGAATTGACAGAAGGGAGGGAGAGGAGGCATGCGAGCAGGAGATACTATCATTCGACGGGAAATGCACAATTTCGTCACACTATGTCACGCGCGGCACCTCGGCCAATACACAATGATATCCAAAGTCCGACAGCGCGCAAAGCGAATGACAGAAAGTCCAGTGTTGCCGAATGCAAACAAAGCGGAGACTCAACCAAGCCGAGAGTGTGATTTCCCAATCTAGCCTGACTGTCACGCTTTGCTCATGAATCGTGAATCGCACGCTGTGGGGGTGTTCTATTGACATAGAAACACCTGGAGTAGATTCAGAATGGTGTATTTTATATATGTCGAAGTCCCTATGTTGATAGGTTAATGGGATCTGGGTGAATTTTGGATTTAGTGTCCAAAAATCACTCATTTTGGGTACACTCGCACATGTACAATGTTTCATCTCGGGAAGGCTTCACAGCACCGATTTGATTTGGTAGTCTTATTTAACATATACTAATACTTGTTCTCCAGCTGTTCCGAATGAAATATATGTAGTTTAGAGCTCTGGAGTGCATCGTGCATTCCGGATCAGGTGATAGTATGTTGAGGGTTATTATACTGCTGGGTGATGCCGTCAACATGAACTTGAAGGCTTTGGCTTATTCGGGTTAGAAACTGTGAGGAATCCTCAGCGAGGAGGTCCTGGGGGTCAGGCATGACTAAGTAACGTCACCTTGCACTGGCACGTACCTTGTTCTTTTGACGATTTGGGAGCCGAACAATTTCGGAACAGTAACAGGGCACCTGGGTGGCACCATTAATATTACTAATTAGTAATAGTACTGCGTACCTGTACGTGTTACTAATTTGTAAGGAATATATATCTACCATGCTACCAGCAATAATACCAGCACTCAGGCCTCACTTGGGTGATTTCTACTGCCCTAGTCGCCTGCTATAATGGGAAGACTCTATCAGGTAAGTCCGAGCTTCTCGTCACTGCCCGGCAAATGCCTTACTGCCTAAAATAGCCTTTGATGCTGTCAATTCCCACCGCTACACTTATCGTAAGCTTCTGCTCATCGTCCACCACGATGAGCTCATTCCTTTCCTTCTCCTACCCTTATTTTTCATCCGTTTTTAGGCGAAGCTCGCGCAGTGCATAGCCACTGGCCTGCTGAACGTTCTCACCACGCCTCTCACGCTTTTGGACCCACAGTCATCGTGCTGCTCAGCCCCAACAGTGAGCTCACTTGCCAGCCTCTCCAGCCCTCGTTTGCTGTCCGATCTTTGGCGGGCCTTTTGTATCATGCGGGCAATAGCCTTTTGAGTACATCCGCTGTCTCTGCCACGTTGTTGGACCTGTCATTGACGTGCTGCTCAGCCCCAACAGTGAGCTGCTTCCCTACCCTCTGCCGCCCTCGTTTATCATCCGTTTCACCACATTGTTGGACCCATCATTGATGCGCTGCTCAGCCCCAACAGTGAGCTGCTTCCCTACCCTCTGCTGCTCTCGTTTCTCATCCGTTTCACCACGTTGTTGGACCCATCATTGATGCACTGCTCAGCCCCAACAGTGAGCTGCTTCCCTACCCTCTGCCGCTCTCGTTTCTCATCCGTTTCACCACGTTGTTGGACCCGTCATTGATGCGCTGCTCAGCCCCAACAGTGAGCTCCTTCTCTACCCTCTGCCGCCCTCGTTTCTGATCTGTTTTTGACGTGTCTTTTGCATTCGAGTAGTATATATGTAAAGCAATACAACACAAGTGCTATTTACTCAGCCCCACCTAATATGCCGCTTGAACCCCCCTACTCCATATCAACTGAACCTTCAAGACTGTTCGTGTTGCTTCCATCCTGTTCGTTGTGGTTGTCTTCCTCGCTGTCTTTGAGGTCGCTGTCGCTGATTATTTGAGCGCTCTTAGCGCTGTCAGCTTTATGTCATTGTGCGGCTTTACAGGGTTTGTAAACTTGTTTGCCACTCGCTTGGCGCTTGCGGTTGTTGCTGATGCATTCTGATACCTCGTCATCATTCAATGTAACCCAGGAGCATGTGCCTGTGACCAGCGCATCTAGCAATTTGATTAGGTGTTCTCGGCGACCAATTTTCCCAGGGTTGCAGACACTCTTCTCGTAAGTCCACCCGTCGATTGCAATTGCGTAGACTTTGACAATCCTCTTCTCATAGTTGTCGTAATTCATTGGGATCTTCTTTGAAGCCAACTTGTTCTTCTGCAAAATATTGTCTGTGCAACATGTCAGCCCATATTGCAGTACAACGCCTCAGTAAGATCACACCTAAGCCATCTTGAATATTTTGTCTGCACAAACTGACGAGTTTCGACAATGGAAGCCGCTGTGTTGTGGACATCGACGACTCTGCGCCTGTAACGTACACCTCATCAGCACGTGACCTCCGAAACATCTGAAATTGTTCCCGCACCAAAATTCCCAACAACCCACGACTCAGACTTGAGTGCCAGAAGTTTCGGTTCAAAATGCAGCACATCCTTAATGAAGGACTTAGCCTTGGCGGTAAGGAATAGTTTAGCTTCATGGTAATGCTCTAAATCCCCTCGAACAGCAATATAAAAACCTTCCATTGAGGTACGTGCATTGATGGCAGTCCACTACGTGACAATGAGCTAAGGGATTCTGTGGTAAGTGGTTGACAGACCTCTTTTTCCATGGTGTTAAAGGTCGAGTTGACATCTTTCAGAAGAGCTTTTGGATTTGATCGCACAATGTTTACCCGCATTGCGCGCAGGTCATCAATACCAAGCCGTAATTTTTTTTTCTCCGGTTCTGACAAACGTCTATAAGTCCGTTGAAGTTCAGTGTGATGTGCAGAAATGAATGCCAGGAGCCTATAACATTGCCCAGGTCCACGAGCTACAAAATTTAAGTATTCGATGAATACTTTGTGAACTGCGGTACGTACTCTCATTGGCTTCATTGAGCTTCCCCCTCACAAAAGCATTCCAGGCGCTTGCTTTTCGACGTTGTCGAGTCAATCAGCTGCCATTCAATTCAGCACGGGTCCATTTTAAAGACCTGTCAATGGAGGTGGGTACGTCAGATCACCTTCGTCTCGTTAAATATATAGACTTACCTCCCATGGTCTTGAGCTATAGAACGTGCTTCCTCCTGGTATGAATCCCGTGCTGTGTTTATGGCATCCATAAGCTTCGTATATTTTTGACGACATTCTGCTTTCTGCTCAGTGGTGAGCTTTGCGCGCGCATGTTTCTGAGCGGAGAGCATGGGGATAGAAAAAAATGCTAACGGGGGGACTGGGGACCAATATTTAAGCAATTAAATATTTTAGCTGAAGCGGTGGTTTTCTGACGAGGACTACTTACCACACGGCGATCACACTCAGGCTAGAACGTTAACTTTAAAAAAAAATGTACATGTTAATTTGTTGAAATGCAATGATTTCGGCTCATTCTACTGAGTCCCACTGCCCTTGGAGTTCCTGATAAAATGTGCTAGGGTCATAATCTACATCAATCTACTGAGTCCCACTACCCTCAGAGTTTCTGATGCTAGACTTGTATGCAGGAGGTGGACTATTGGTTAGACTCGAAGGGTGTGGAATTATTACGACATGGGTATGAGGTTGGTCACAAGCCCGACAACTCAGGGTCACTGGAGGCTGAGCATTAGACCCATGAGGCGCTAGCAACAGTCTGTCTTCGGCTTCCTGCAAACATGCTATGTAAGTTTGTGTGTCCAATCATCATTATTGTAAGGTCCAAACAAGATTCCTCACCTCGGGTGATAACGACGAATCAGTGTCAGTGTCAGACTCTACCAGAACTATTGGAGACCTCGTTGTTACTGATGGTAGTGGTGTTGGCCGAATACGCAAAGGAGGGGGTACCATTGGAATGTTAGGTGTTGATGTAGACACCTCTGAGTCAGATGCTACGTCAAAATGAACATGCCGGGACTGACGGCCTGCCTGCATAGTTTGGCGGTGTGGTGTGGAATATTGTTGGTTACCAGTTCATCGAGATGAACCAAGTGCTTCGGGTGGATTGAGAGGGTTGCGCCATTGAGAGAGCTGAGAGGGTTGGTGATGGGGTTGTGATGCACGACGAGTTTGGTTGGGAGTTGTAGTAGGTGCAGACTGTGTCCGGTTGGGAGTCGTAGGTGCAGACTGTGTCTGGTTGATGGTAGGTACTGAGCGAGGGGCCTGCTGGCTTGTGCTCGAGTGCAATGGACGTGCAGGTAGATCGAACGCTACTGACGCCTGGCTGCCCTGCTGAAACATGTTGTTATCCTCTAAAACACCATGTCAACACCAGAGCTGTAAAGCCATATGAAAAATAAAACTTACCAATGATCCAGCCACCTCCTGTGTTAGAGGACGAGACTTTACTAGGTGCGTTCTTCCAGTCCATGTTGAATGATTTCTTGCATGCGGGGACTACAATCTGCTCTGTGAAGATATCCTTGATGAGATCGACAGCGTTGTCGATTTGATCATCTGTGAGCTTGCGGGAATCACCCTCACTTAGATTCTTCGACCTTATTAAGTTCAGAGCGATAATGGGGGGTCAGCGAAATGTTCCTGTGTTGCACTGCCAGCGAGCCAGCCAGATGTGTGCTTCGATGTTGAGGGTGAACGTCAACTAGATAGTGCCAGGGTTAAAATTGAAGAAACGAGTTTGAAAATCAAACAATCATATTCGCAAAACTTACAGCATTGGTTCCATCGCATGCAAGATCCAGCCAATGAAGACTTGATAGCACAGAGGCACTCATCAGAGTGAGGTTCCTTGAACAATTGAGAACTTGAATGTCGAAGGCGTCCATCATGATTTGAAGAGTAAGTTGTATGAGTCTAAGTTAATTAAAAGTCACGCGAGGAAAGGGAAAGTGTTAGTATGAGTTTGGTGCGTCACTGAGTTTGCACTGAGTACTGAGTACTGATCAGTGATAAAGTTGAACATTGAACTTCTGTATTATGTTGGCCACTGCACACCAGTGCTATAATTGTTGGCTACACGCCATACATGTAAACCTGAACCACTAACAATAGTCCTACCTGTCTCGCTGACACTAGTAACACATTCATGTTTATCGCGGCTTGAGTACTGTCTCGCTGACACTAGTAATGCATTCATGTTCATCGCGGCTTGAGTACAATGAGCTCTCGGATTGGACTAACACTTTCACTTGTATCATTGCTTGAGTACAATAGAATTGTCCACAGTATACTAAATCATACAGGCTTGCAAACGGTCAGCTTCGTCACAAAGCGCATCATCTTTGTCAACCTCAATACTCCTAGTACCCCTTAAATCTTCCATCATCTCATTTGCGTCCCCACCTCTATCATTGACAATACCTCTCATCTCCACGCCCCTTAATCCAGAGTAACCAGGTGTTATGATCAGCGTTCACCAAATGGTAAAGGCCTAACACAACCACTAGGACTCGTCAAGAATAAGAGCAAAGATAGAATTGAGAGTGAACGTCTGAGTCTACACTGGGTAGGAACGAAGAGGTTAAGTCTAAGGAGTACTACTGACTACGACCTAAACTATATACTACTCTCTAGGTGGAGATATCTGAGTATGAAAGGTAGTGATATATCTATATAAGATCATAACATTGTGCCTAGGGTATAGGGCATCTTATCAACCAATCAACTACAAGAAAGGGAAAAGGGTCCATAGGGGTATCGGTAATTAAGCAGGGTTCTCAGGGTACTGCTTCTCTTCAGGGTAAGCGGATATGAAGAAGGGTGTGAGAGAGTTCTGTGACTAGAAGTCTCGAGCGGTGATTAAGGATCTCGATAAGAGATAGGATCTGGAGATGTATTGGGTTCGATCGGATCTAAGGGTTCTCCAGGGTCTTCGGTAATGAGCCTGCTTCTCTATGAGTGGCGCTTCTGTGATAGGGTTCAAGGATTTAGCTGTGACTGTGCAACAGGTTCTTATGTAAGGGGTTCGGTGAATGACAGAGGTAACTCTTAACATGTCATGTGTGGGAAGTGAAGGTCTGCGGTGTGAAGGAGTGATGACTCTTCGAGAGATGGCTCATAAAGGACTCTCGGTTATGGTTCGATCATAGAGGCTGTGTAGATGCTTATGATGTAGCCTGGTTGCCTAATCGTAGGACTTCTAAGGATATGATGATGTCGGATGTCTAGGGTTATGGATATAGATGGATGACATCGATGTAGTATAGATGTGATGTAAAGATAGTGATCGTTAATCGGTTATCCATCTTATCTTATCAGGGATCTTATCTAATCTAATCTTATCGGATTGGTGACTTAGGGTTTGATAATCGAATTTTTAGATGCAGTTGGTAACATTCATGACACCAGGGAGCTCAGAAATAGCATGAATTCTTCTCCGATGCACATCATTCACTCGTCTGCGCTCCTCATACATGCAAGAGATCTCGTGCGAGAGTGTTGGATCTGATTCGACCAATGATTCAATTGTTGCTTTGAAGTGGGCATCTTTGTGATCTACCCAAGCAGATAGTCGCGCGACTTCAACATTGAGACTGTCGAACTTCTTCATGAGCACGTTGAATCTTGAAGAAATTGTTCGCAACCTCACGATTTCCTTTGGACGCCCACGGCTTCTCAAGTATACAATGACGCGAATGCTTGAGCAGGTCAAACTTGCCTAGCCAAGCATATGATGCAATTTCACTGAATTCTAAGACTTCTCGTGGTGGCGTTTGAACAATGGCAAGCTGATTGTATTTTTCAAGGGCTGTTCGGATGGCTGCTGACCGGCAACTGATAGCGTTTGAGATGTGTTGACGGTGTTTGTAACCTTCATGTCTTTGTTAGAATAGTGTCAAGTAAATGGAAATTACACACCTGTGCCGGCGATGTTCGCTTTGGCCAACTCAAAGAGCCTCTGGATGACGAGGCCCTGCAACTGCTCAACGGAACAAATAAATTGCCGGTTGGTAAGATATGCTAAACCCTCCTGATATTTAGCGTCCTGTGGTTGCCATCTTGCCGTAATTCCCATGCGGCGCTCAATGTCGTCAACGATGTTCATTTCAAGAACCAATTTGCGATGAGCTGCATGGTGTTCAGCTTCTCGAGCCCTCGCAAAGACCTGTTGGTTTTTTTGGAGACCATGGGAAGGGGTGAAATCTGCAGGAGTGTAAGTCAGAAATTGTACCGTCGTAATGCTACCATATGCAGCTCTGAAATAACACAGGTGTCAGTGCAATTTGAAATTTGACTGATGTGACTTACTCTGCTCTGGTGAGTGATTGTAATGCGTCCACATAAGTCATAGCGTCAATGTCCTCCTCCGTTTCCTCCGTCAGGCTCTCCAGAAATTCTAGCTCTTCCATATTCCAGCGCTCAAAGTCTCCATCCGAAATCTTCAGTGCTAACTTTAATTCCTCGACCGCAGGGCTTAGGTCATCAATGATCGCGAGGGCTTGCTGGTAGTTGTTATACAAGAATGTACCTAGAATTGAGTCAAACACTAATTCATGAACGCCAACGACTTAATAAAAACCATACTTAGCTCCAGGTACCTATTGGAATCCCATTGCTGAAAATGAAGGTCGATGAACTGAAGCCAGTGAAAGTAAGATGTGTGTCGGATAACAGGAGCTACAGCATTTGATCCGGAGAATATGCGCTCGCACGTTTCAAGGTCTTCAAGACCGAGTCCATGTTGATATAGAGGATGGAATTGAAGTTGACACCGGCGGTTGTGTGTGTGTCCATGAAACGAATTGACAATGAAGCGATGATGGTTGGAGCGTGCCTTGGCGGAGATAGAGCTGGCATCAACAGTCTTCTGATAGGAACATCCAATGTCGTATCCCATTACTCCATCCAGACCATAAACATCAAGAACTTTATTTGTTGTCGCGAGAGCATATTTGGCACTATAAAGTTAAATCAGAATACGAAAGAGGGCTAGAACTTCGAAGACTCACAGTTCCCCGCTTCGCCGCATCTCAGCCAAGGTCTGGATCATGCCATGTCAACAAGCACTTATGAAAATACCTGTTTGCTCAAAAACTTTGACAGTGTTGTCAGAAATCGTGTTCGCGGTCTTCCAATTGTCGGTGCAAGCAGACTCTGAAACACCAGTTGGAGTGGTGCCTCCCGCTGTGTCAGTAATGGCTGTGCCACGTGTTCCTGGCCGCAGTCGCACATCATCCTTGAATGTGTCGACTTCGTCAGGAGAAATCAAATAGGATGTTTTGAAGACACGGTCGTCAGCATGTCCGGAGCCATCAACCCGTTTCAATGAGCTATTGCCGTCCATACTGTCCATCCTCGCAGGGATCAATGTTGGCTCATTCTCTTGCTGTAGCATGGTTCAGTTTTTGTCCATCGTGTAATAATAAATGTACCTTGTAATCACATGCAGGGCACGAGTGAAGCATGCGCCAATGAGGACCATCACGTTTCAATGCAATGTTGACTAATTCTTGAACGCGCCGTAAAATGTCGAGATATGCATCAAAAGCAATTGCGAATTGATCCCGCAGCGCTTGAAAATATGAGCGCTAGAATGTAATATTAGAAATACACTTAGGTATACATTACAAAAAATGTACATTGTGAAGGGCACATAATACTTTGACCATGGCCTGTACACTGAAGGATGGTTTGTGCCAGGCGGATCTGATGGTATAATTCGAGGCATTGAAGGGACACAGCAATGTTAGGCTGAATGGGAGAACAGCCGAGGAGTCCGACGTTGATGAGTGACACATTGGCCAGCTCGTCAGCAGCTTGCGGGACTGACATCAAAGGTGTGGACACTGCAATTTATAAGTCTAGCACTATAATCATACATGTTAAATCATACCTAGAATATCAACTGTGCTGACATCGAACTTGAACATTCCAGCTTCAACATTGGGTATGGGTATGGCTTTGCGATGCTTCCAGCGCAAGTAGCCTGCAATGAGGGCTGGCATTTGCGACGTCCATGCGCTGTGACATTGCCGGTTACGCTGAAGTCGACTGCGTGGTGGCCAGCGGTGGTGATGTCTACCTTGAAAACTGCACTAACCGTTACATATTAAAACCCCCCAAAAAAAAGGAAATTTACCAATATATGACACGAGCTCGTGCAGCATCAACTGCTGAGCCCTCGTATCCACCATTGCCTTCTGATGCTCTCTCGTCTTCCTCCTCCTGTGGCCCATCCTCCTCGTCTATGTAGTCTTCTTCTTGATCCATATTAAAGTCCATGTCAGCGTAGTCCGGGTACTGGGTGTCAGCACTTGCATTGTTCACAGTGCCCGCCTCAAGCGCTGCCTCAGCAAGGAGCTGTCTTGCAGTAGCATTGTCAGCTGTTTATCGGTCAGGGAAATAATAAAATGGTAAAAGAGTAGAAGAAACCTACCTAGCTGACTCTGGACCTGCTCCCTCTCAAACGCAATGCGATCAGCTCACAACTTTGTAAGGTTGGAGCGCAGAGTCTTGAGATTACCACTGGATTGCACGACGGCCTCCTTGACTTTGCTGACGGTAGAGAGTTTAGAACACTTGCGACCCATGTTGAAGCTTGAGCGTGGGAGCAAGTATACCAGTGATGGCGCTGATAAGCAAACAAAAAACCTGGAGGGTCCAAAAGCGTGAGAGGCGTGGTGAGAACGTTCAGCAGGCCGGTGGCTATGCACTGCGCGAGTTTCACCTAAAAACGGATGAAAAATAAGGATAGGAGAAGGAAAGGAATGAGCTCATCGTGGTGGACGATGAGCAGAAGCTTACGATAAGCGTAGCGGTGGGAATTGACAGCATCAAAGGCTATTTTAGGCAGTAAGGCATTTGCCGGGCAGTGACGAGAAGCTCGGACTTACCTGATAGAGTCTTCCCGTTATAGCAGGCGACTAGGGCAGTAGAAATCACCCAAGTGAGGCCTGAGTGCTGGTATTATTGCTGGTAGCATGGTAGATATATATTCCTTACGAATTAGTAACACGTACAGGTACGCAGTACTATTACTAATTAGTAATATTAATGGTGCCACCCAGGTGTAACAGGGCGCTCACAACGCCCATTATTGTTAATATGTGGATCATGGTCAAGATATATCATAATGAGCGTTTCCTGTTCCTATATGATATACTTCGTATTGCCGCCTTCGTCCGTTTCTCTTCGCTTCATGCTGCTTCATGACGTACGGCTGAAGGGCACAGAACTGGACGACGCGGAAGCGCTGGATGGATCGCTCTCTTCTCTATGACCGCGAGATTGAGGCGTCAGGCCTTGGAGCCTTTCTCCGTGTTGATATAACATGTGAATATGCCATGTCGACATGGGACATTTGAATTCCAGCAAGTAAAATTAATTAGATAACTGACCCGGCGTCACCGTAGGACACCATGTGCTCAGGTCACCGCATCCGGCCAGCGTCCTTAGGCGAACCCGGCTTTTCCACTCCAACTCCAAGGGCTGATGATGATTCAAGAATACTAGTACATTGAGTAATTATCACTGCTGGCATCTCGGCGTCAATATTAGACCAGACGTCCTGAGCATAATGTTAACTTGAAGGTGTTTGCAGGCTAATCAATGATTAGTGATTCAGCGCTCAGCGTGGCAGACTCAGCGTTGTGAGTTCAAGATGCGTACAAAATGGTATCAGGCACTTGTCGATAATTACTTATTTGATTCCGTAAATCGGGTTGACGGCACCAATCTTTGATGATTGCCAGCGGTTTCTCGGCGCTCATGATCTTGTAAGAATATCACTCCATTTGCGCTGCATCCCCGCTTTCTTCCTCTTACGCCCATCTGATGTGATGGTTTTCCTGTCTCCAATACCGCCTCGAGCCCAGCTTCAGCACCAGGTAAGCACTCATGAACGGACGGGCGGAAGCCTTTTGACGACACTACTGCACATTGTTACTGACTTACTACTTATCAGGTTCTCTCTGTAGGTGTCCATTTTTCAGTGTCATTTTCTGGCAGCGATGTTGAAAATTCTAATACAGACCCGTGACACTGGGGGTAGTGATAATGACTGGGGTACTATGCAGATAACAGCTCCCATCATTGTTGGCGTTTCACTCATTGTGATCTTTGGTGCATGCATCATATGGTATAGATGGTCGTCCCACATCAAACGCCACTATCACCGGGTTCGAGATGCATGCGTCTCGAAAATTCCCTCAATCTTCATGCCTCGACACCGTCATCGACTGCAACATGCTAGTTTTCCTATCACACTGGATGACTCCATGGGTACACCACGTCGTGACCAAAGAAGATATCACTCATATATTCGGTCGGACTCGACTGACTCACAAACACCACTAACAGACTCCGAAGGATTCTCTTATCCACCTCTCAAATATCTTGTTGATCCTTCTGGTGGGTCAGTGCTTGAGCAGCAGCCTGGGAGGCAGCTATGGCGGTGGTGGCGTCTTTTTGGTGTAGGTCCTCGAGAGGTAAAGCCAAAAGTACCAAGTGATTGCTGGATGGTGGATGAAAGTAGTGTGGGACACGGTGATCCATCGTTAAGCAGCCCAGGCGTTGCAGCGAGACAAAGATGGACAAGCAGTCTTGCACCAGTGCATGAACAGACGAGTGATGACGAGGGCGACCCGGGTCGAGGATTTTATAGCGGGGTCATGCAAATCGGAGAACGTTTCTCTACATACTCGACACCATTGCCTCCAGCATTCCACGATGATGTTGCAGCGCTTGGGTCAATTCCTGATTCCGCCAGAACAGCTGCACCGGAATACAGTAGTGCAGTCGGACTTGGTGATTCTCGAACCATGACAACCGCGCCAACAACTGTTATTCCACAAAGTTCCTACTATACCACGGTAAGTTCTGAATGTCGGTCGCCGCGCGCATGTTCTCACTGAGTTGTGGCACTCAGGGAGCTACCCACTCAAACTCACCCGCCCCTCCAATGTATAGCTCGATCTCACATAGCAGAAATACGTCCACGGAGAGTATGATCAATCCTGCCCTGACCAACCCAATGACGCTCTATCCTGTGTCGGTGCGCGCCGCAGGGCCGAGTTTCCCGCGTGCATACCATGAACGACAAATGTCGACCGAGAGCATGCTTGCGACCTCGGCTCCCATGGTGACACCAAGCATGTACTAATCACCCGCACGCCTCGATACATAGACACTAGTGGACTGTACTCTAAAAAAAAAGTCCGCCAAGGCTGATAATTGTTTTTGTATTCATTACCACCCGTAGCACCGCGCGCGTCCCCCCTGCTCCACGCCGTTCAATGGTGTTCTTTGGCTCGTGCCACACCCTTCTGCACAACTGCGACCGCTTCGCTTCGTCCGCTGGCATATTTTTATTCTACCTTACTGTTTTGCGGCTTTTACACTCAGAAGAGAACTCTTTCGTTTATCTCTCGTAGCCATCTGGTGTGCTTGTTTTCGTTTGCCTGTTGTACCCAGCGCGTGCTGAAACACACTCAAACAACTAATCAATTGTAGTACTGCGATCAGTTCAGCGGGACGACAGATCTATGGAGACGAAGACAGAAACCCGCTACTCCCGGATCGTCATGATATAAACATGTCCAAAAAAGGAAACAAAGCAGCCTCGATTCTCGAAGCGGACGCAGAGCATATGCTCTTCCCCACAATCAATGCGAGCCCGTCGGGCAGGTGACCTCTCTTCGCCTTCTTCCATGGAAGGTCATCACTTCCAAGTACCTTTCTTGCCACTGGCTTCTGATCTATCACGCCAAGCTTATCCTGATACTATGGCCTCGCGGGAAGGCCAGCCGCGGAGCCGCGCAAATCAAATGAGAACCTTGTAGAAACGAAGGCAAAGGCAGATGTCAGATCAACCGAGGACGCATCCCGATCCATTTACAGAATATGTACGTATCCAACTGGTATGTAGGATATATTGTAAAGGGTGCAAGCCCAAGCATATAGTGCGTGTGACCTGGTGCTATAAATATATGCAGTGTCCCTTCCTTAGACTAAGTAAACAGCATCCTTGGTTCCTAATATCGGGGTATCTTTCTCCAAGTAACGCCCGCAGCAACTTCCAAGATCGGTTTACGGTGGGGAGGGCGGGGTCATCGGATCCTTCTGCCGGACTTCGCGTGTAACAAAATGCCAGATGTAGTGCGACCATCCCTCGAGAACACCAGCACCTGACATGAGATGCAAACAATCTCCGGAGGCATGCTAGTAGAACGGCTACTTATGAGGAATATGAATTATGTATGAGACTAGAACCGGCTTACAGCATCAGGGCGCAATCGTCCCGGTCTCTCAATGGGAAGAAAGTGAATATCCGGAAACTCGGATGATGACAGCAGTTCCTTGAGAAGGAATGTCAGCATCCGTACATCTCGTATTCGTATCAAAGCGCTGACCTGGAATTCTGTGTTAAAGTCCTGGATCCACGGCCAATTGTACCACTTGAAGACCCATGGTGTGATTGATTCCGTGGGCTCGAAGATGTTATGGCAATTCTCATGACCAGGGAGATACGCTCTAACGACCACCTGTTTTGGACGTTTGCCCCCGTTTATATGGTATTCTGTTATGGCATCCTGAACTTGACCTGCCCAAGTCCGCATCGCGACCTTGAAGAACGCGAGTATATTCTGGATACCGTAACCAGCATCTTCTCCAGCGTCATCGTCGCGGAATGCGCCCAGAGTGCTTGTCGTCCAGTGTCCGGCAGTACTCACAACCAGCGTGCCATAGTTGGCATCTGGGGGTGAATCAAGGAAGGTGGGCATGTATTCTGAGGGTGAAAGCGACCAAACCTGGTCATCGCCAAATACTGACTCTGCCTTAGTTGGTTGAGAGCTGGGATCTTGACTAGCCGAGTGGGTGAGTTCACCAGGAAATGCTGAACTATGATACAATTCGTTTAAATCTGCTTGATTGAGAAGCAGGTCAACACGTCGGAATGAAACGAGTGGTGTATTCTCGATCGAGAAGCCCTCCGGTAGGTCAATTTCAGGAATTAAGGGTGACGAAGGGGACAGGTATAAATTTTGCTGCCATGCGCGGTCGAAGAAGGGGTTTTCCGTATAATTCGGAGTCGCGCGGACGTGCGGGTACAGCAGGCACGACAGTGAGAAGAAATGATTTTCAGTTATAGAGTCTGGAAACTAACGTGTGAGAACCGAATACGAAAGAATGGAGATGAGCATACCCCCAAGTAAAAGCCACCCGCCATTCTCCACCATGTCCTTGACCATCGCTGCGCCATTGAGCGGGCGCACATTGCACTGGCTCGAAGGCACCCATCTGTATGAAGAGACGTTGGGAAATCTGCCCCATTCTTCTTCGTGGTCTGTGCCCAAATGCCAATGGTATTCACGGTCTGCAGCACATCCCTCAAAGCCAGCCAGGGAAAGTGCCTGTTCTGGACGCGTCAAATTCTCCAAGTCAGACGTCGGGCTATATACCCAGCGCCCGCTCGACCACTGTTCTGGAGTGCAAAAACTGTGCTGTCGCTGCTGTGAGAATATCGAGGACCAGTCTGATATGCGAAAAGAGTTTGGAGAAGAGAATGTGTAGAGGGTGATTGCGCAGGCGATGATAAGACCAAACAGAACAATTTTTGTGGGCAATGAGCGGGGGCGAATGTTGAGCAATCCAGAAACCACCATAATGAACGGCGCGGATGATAACTTAAACAAAACTTAAAGAAATGCAATTGCAGCTAAAAGCAAATTCGAGGGTAACAAGTTGCCCACGCTGTTGCTCCACACTTAGCTCAGCCTATCCCCTTCTTTCCAATTGACTGCGCACTCTAAAATTTTAAACTTAGCATATCATCTACCAGTGCCACAGAACGTGCATGCCCACGGAGCTCATTGATGACCCATCTGCCACTAGCTGTTACTGTGCACTTTCGATATCCTTCGCGGTCATTCTGAAAGACGATTCTCTGATCAGTTTCTGATCCCATCAAGGATATAACCGGCCGAGCCGATAATTGGGAGAATTGCGGGGATCGTCCCCGTCACCAGGAACGCACGCACAGAAGAGTGCCCTGAACCTGAACCAACCCTGAACCCTTCTGAAGCGCCAAAGAAATCAAATACATCCCGAGCTTATTTCTTGAGTGCGTGTTTCTGCACTGCTACGCTGTGCTCTCGTCCAGCAATAATACTTGTTGCTCTACTTTTTATACCTGTGAGCGCTCGGCGATTCACCGATATGTTTTTCGATTGAGGATAAAGATATCGTCCGATCAGCACGTGGTACAGTCATCAGTGTGATAGATGTCACGGTGTGATGGTTTTGTTCCATCGACGAGCTCTTCATGGTTTGGGATCTTGATGTTTAGGGAAGGCTCGATGATACCTGCAAATGATATTAAGTACTCACTGACCAGTTCTGTACATCAGCTTCCACATCCTTGCACATGCTCTTCCCTGGTTCATAGAGCACGGAAAGTATTTGGGGCGGCTGTTGCGATTCAACACCGTCAGATACTCTGAGATACATATAAGCAAAAAGGGTCAACATCGCAAGACCACTTGTAAATCTTGACGTTTACGTCCTTGCTATCCTTGTCTATTGCTTTTGCGATCTCGACAGTCCGATAACATTGACACAACGGCCGCTCATAAGGAGCTGGTTGCGAAGAAACGGCCTGGACAGCATTTTCCTTCAGATGATATCAGCCGCATTTTCAAGAAGGTATTGCGGCCCTTCCAAAACCAAACCCGAAATGACTGTATACGGTTCATCAGACGACTGGCAATTTTTCGAGAGAAACTCACTCGAGAAGCATGGACACCAAGAAGCAATCATAAACATCAGTCGCATGAGGTTGCATGTGGAAGGCCTGATGGGAAAAATGTCAGAATCGATCGACTTCGGATACTTTCTTACCGTGAGGCTTACTGAGAGGTGCAACAGAGGCTGCCACCTGAGGGTTTCACGATCTACGGCAGTGGCTTCCTATTGAAAATTGGAAGTTCTGTTGGGTCTGCACACTGTGAGCTTGAACAGGCCTTGAACGTTACTTTTCCATCCGGGGTTCAGGCATGGACCTCGGATGGAAAAGTATCGCCATCAAGACAAAGTGCAAAGTCGATGAGGTCTGCAAAGAAGTTCCAGCTGTAAGGATTTCGTCACAAGGAAAGTCGGTGTGTATTACGCCTCGAATTCCGGCTGAAGAGCGAAGAGTGTATCTCAGAGATAACTAGGTGGATAAACACCCGGATCTTTCCAAGTAACTTGCAACTCACAAAGGGATGAGTGCCAGGCTGCCAGCGCAGGACAGGCTCCACCGCTGACCCGAGGATTCTGCCGCAGCCCGCCATCTCCAGCGAGGAAGCCTGAAGCGTAGATACTCATCTGAATGGCGATCCTCTTATTGATGGGATGCTCTGCCTGGACCTTCCGGTTCCCTAAACACAGGGATCAGCGACAAAGCTTTGATGGAAAGCTGCTGGGGCGGAAAACTTGAAGGAGCGAATTCGTCTGGTGCGGGACCTAGATACCACAGACGAGCATTGGACAGCATTGGACCAGCAATCAACACTAGACTGTAACGATAATCATCACAAGTAATGCATGATGTAGAAATCAAAGAAAAGATGTCGATGCACGTCACGGTAGAGATGACTGATGAGCGCTTTACTTAAGCCTCTTTCATCCTCTAATTCACAGCGCCTGGATGGCCGCCGTACTACCCTTTTTTATTACTTAGTATAAGTTCATTTACAGACATCATGAGTCGGATGGAGTCTGTTCTACAGTCCTCCCAAGCTCCAACAGCCTTGCCTGTTGATGTCGTATCTGCTTTACACACGTTACATGAATTTGTGGCTACCGCAACATCCATTCCTCCGCAAATTATTGTCACATGTAGAGATGATAAACGTGCGTTTGGAAGAGCGGCGTTACAAGCCATGAGCTACAGGGTAAGCGCATTCCTTGTCCACACCTGCTTCATCATCATCATCATCATCATCATCTGACACAATTACAGAAGGCAGTCGATATGTTCATCACTAGATTTGCCACAAAGGAAGACTGGTGGATATCTGAGTATCGGTACAAGCCCGAAGGTCACGATTTATGGTCGATTCTACCGACAACATGGAGAAGATGATGACGGTATGGTCATCCTCGACGAGCGGGGATGGTCAGAACTCATTGGCAATGTTGTGAAGTTGACGATCATCTTCACGTCGCTCAAATTCACCGTCACGGCGGCGTATGTACTGGCATTCATGTTTGGCACTGAGCTGAGTTTCTGGCAGGCAATCCTCAAAAGCATGATTTAATACGGCAGGCGATAGGGACTATAATGAACAGATCAACGAGTATCTTCCACGGAGTGTAACAGAAATGTGTATATTCCATTTTGGTTGTAGCTTTCACCACTATCTAGAAAACCGTCATCGCCAAATGCACAAAACAAAAGGCATAGTGCTGCTAGCGAAAGTGAAGCTGGAGGATCCTTCTGCGCCGAAGATTTATGTCCCTTCCTCATGAGTAAGAGTGGAAGAGTGATAAGGAATCGGCAAGGTTGGAAGAACAAAAACTGCAGTTCGTCGCAAACTTATGTGGCTCGGTAAACTCCGGAGAATCGGACTTTGCCGCCGCTGCTGATATTGTTCTAGGAGACTAACGGATAGTTTATCCCGAACCGTATTGCGTTGCAATTACTTGTTCAACAAGCCTGCGGCATGGGCATGATATTTTATCTCATCAGGGTTCCTTCTGGTGAGTTATTGGGGAGTACCGAAGCGGAAAGCCATTGAATCTTTGATATTCTTCGACAGTTCCTAAGTTATTGTCTCGCTGGTAGCAGTACAGCTTAGCATTAATGCTACTCCGATTTGGATGTAGCTGTGACACGTGTCCATCCCAATTTCCTGTGTGATCTGTGTTCATTCCTGTTGTAATATTGACGCCCAGCAGCCTTAGCTTGCCTTCGCGACCACCTGTTATCCATAAAGCACCTCAACTGGTGTCTGACTCAACTGGACTCGATCAACTTCTCCTACGTCTTCCTTCCGAGTCAGTGACACGGATCATGTTTTCGATAACATGCATTCACTGCGAAAAAGTTGTGAAGAGGTCGGATCTTGGTCACCATGTTCGAGAGCAGCACATTGAGCCGAACTTCGCGCGAGAGATCCAGGCCTTGTATGCCAGGAACCCCGGTCATGGCCTGCACCAACCAGAAGCTTCTCCTCGATCGTCCACAGCCAACTTGACCGGCACTAGATCTTCTGAATCAAGCAATACATTGAGCACAGAATCAGATCTTACGCCGAGTACAGAGTCAGATCTTACGCCGAGCACAGTTTCAAGCATGCGGTTTTCTGTTTGGCAGCAGATTAATCCCGTTCAACCTCCCGCACCCACGACCATTGAAGACATCGCACTATCCCGTAACCGCCGAACGGACTCACCTCAGACCTCTACACAGCATCTTCGGAACTCAGTGAGGTTTCAGATCCAGGATTTGGTGGATCAATTTGAGGGCCTGGATGCAGCAACGAGACATGCATGTATCAAAGGCGTGCGGCACATGCCCATTTTCCCGGTCAGTAGGATTTCCTCTGTGAAGTAGGAGGTCTGACGGCGTCCACGGACAGACGTTATATGCGCATGTATTCACGCACCTTAACCTTTGTGCCCCCGACAAGCCGAAGTACGTGCACGTTCTGTCCTCACTGGTTTAGTCTTACGTTGCTGTAGCCTGCTGGTTGACCTAGAGAATATGAGAAGCAACTGGGCATCACGGGACAGCATATGGTGTCTGATACATTTCAAGACTATCAAAGACGACCTGTCTGGACTAATGAAGCAGGTTAGCGCGCGCCCTCCCTTGTTGTGTATCGAGTGGGATTCGGCTGACCCTGTTCAGGCTCAAGTGAAGTTCCACATCTGTAACCAGTCTCTTGCCAGTCAGTTCAGGACTACACGCGCTGGACATTCAAGATATCGGGGCATTGATTGCCAGTTGTTCAACCAACTCACATGGTACTTCTGAGCTATTCACGCTCAAAGACGACAAGGCCCAGTCCATGCTAGACTTACTGCAGACGGTAAGGTTGGCGCCTTGTCAAGACCTCCCCCATTTGTTGATTTGCTCGTAGTTACTCGTAATGAAATCGGACCAATTAGAAGAATGGTACAAACGTCGGTTCTTGGATGCTATCATCCGACTCTCGAGGCAATCGGGCCGATTCCCTCGGAGCCTGCAGCTTCGTGAAATCGACAACCTGGAGCCAACCGACCTGCGTGGTGGTTGTGGAGTAATTTTCAAAGGCGAACTCCTTGGTCGCTTTGTAGCAGTCAAAGAGATTCAAGCCGTTGGTCGCACCGTCAAAGCAGTTTCTCAAGGTCAGTACCGTTTTTGCGTGCCCAAGGAAACTTCGGTAACATCACTGCATGCAGGATTTCTCGAACGAGGCAGTCGTCTGGTGTCACATCCAGCATGCTAGCTGCCTGCCCTTCTATGGCGTATTCCATTTTAATGATGGTGTACCGAGGACATGTCTGGTGTCTCCTTGGATGGAGAACGGACACTTGAATGCGTATCTACAGCGAACCGATGTTGATCGTGCTCCTCTGGTAAGTGATAGAATTATGGCTTTTAGCGCTTACTGAAAATGTCAGGTATTGGATATTGCGCAAGGTCTAGAATATCTGCATGGAATGCAACCTACGATTGTGCATGGTGACTTGAAGGGGGTACGTCGATGCTACTGATTGTTAAGAATGCCACTGATTATGTGTCATAAGGCCAACATTTTGATTACCTCCTCCGGACGTGCGTGTCTGGCGGACTTCGGGCTTGCAACTACGCAAGACTCTCAAATCCAGCAGACCACTGTGGTCTCTGTTGCGGGAACATCTTCTTTCATGGCACCTGAACTTCTGGAGGCATGTATAAATCCCAGTCTGTTGTCAACCCTGGATAGACGCCCGTGTGATATTTTCGCATTTGGTTGCATATGTTATGAGGTACGGGTCTCTATCATCATGTTTATCCATCAACTGATCCCTTTCCAGATGTATAATGGGACACGTCCGTTCTGGGACTCATACCCACCTACCGTGGATTCCAAATTTATGGTGGGAAGCCGTCCCTCACGTCCTACAGATAAGACGTGCCTTCAACGAGGATTGGATGACGACATGTGGGATTTCATCCAGAATCTATGGCACCAGAATCCAAAAGTTCGAGCCACTGCTAGCCAAGCCTCTTTGTGGATGTCGCACAAGATGCACATGGCGGGCAAAAGCACAGACAGACCACCTGCAGAAATGCAGTGGGACCTCGACTTTTTGACCGACTGTACCGCAGAGCTGTCTGATTTCGACCCTCTTTCTCTTGCATAAATGATATCAGTGTTCGTAGCGATGAGATTGTGTATCTAGCATTGTAACAATCAAGCATACGAAAACCTTTCTGTCCCATGTCACGCGCGATGTCGATGCATCATTTACGATGAGCAAGACATCTCCTTGTTGGTCGGCTTGAGTAGTGACTTGACGAATTTGCTGAGTGACAAACCCCACTCCATATAGACAGACATATCGGTGTCTTCGAACTCACCCACTGTCATCCAGACAGCAAACTAGATTGTACAGTATGCCGAATCTAAGCTAAAAATTTACCTAGACAATGAACCTAAATTCCTCTTCCTCTTCCTGCCAGCTATTCCCGAACACAATCCCGACGCCTTGAACCACATTCTTCATCGACATACCACTCTTCACATTTGTACCTGCCTTCTGCTGTGCCCCAAGTTTCCCACTCGCTAGTCCTGCTTGAGGTTTAATACCAGTGGGCAATGCACTTGCAGGACGTGTCCTCGTCATCGCGGCTGTAGATGGTGCTCGAGATACAGCTGTCGAAGGCGCACGCGTTGAAGGCGTTCTAGATGTTTGTCCCCTCACGACTGTGGCACTGGATGCTGCGCGGGTCACTGGCTTCGAAGCTGTCGGTCCTAGACGCGTAGAGGCAACACGAGAGACAGCTTGTGAGCTAGATCTTGTGTGAGAGGTAGAAGCTGGAGTTGGGCGGGCTGCTGTGGGTGCAGCGCGGATAGTCCTTAACGGACGAGTTGTAGATTGGGTTGGGCGGGTAGTGTTCTTCAATGGCGCAGGAGCCCGAGTCGCCACAAGCTCAGGCTTCGGTGCAGGATTAGCCCGCGAGAACGGGCCGTCATCGTCTGATTGTACACAACCGAAGTCAAGATCGGAACGAACTTCGCATAAAATTAACTTACCAAGATGGGGGAGAGATAAGTCGCCTGAGGCGAAAAATTTAGCGTCAGATTCAGGTGCTGTGAATTGCGTGAATGCAGCATGCGACGGTTCATCGTCGATCGGGTAGGAATGGGTAAGAGCGAGGAGCGTTCTGCCGACTTCTTTATAATCCGGAAGTTCAAATGGAGGTTCGTATGGCATGTCTGCACGGGCACAATCAACCAGCAGAAGAAAGTGCCTGTCAAGGTTACTCACCAGTTAACTTCGGTGGCATGTACTCGATTTCATCATAATCTTCTTCTTCAATCGGTTGATTGGGCACCGCTGCGACCTCTGGGTTGATGTCTATATCACTAACGTCCCAGTGGTTTCCACCAGTGACCGGTGTCTGAAAGCTCTTGCTGGCGCTGCGGGGAAGTCTTACGTGTTTCCGTGCGGAACTTGGGCGAAGAAGTGCACCGGGCGTGACATCGAAGATGGGCTTTGTCACTTGCAATGGTGTGGCGTGGTTGGCAATACGGTTGGGGAAGGGCGTTTTGTCCCCCAGAGGCCGAGAGGGTACCAGTATGATTGGTTCCTTTCCCTTGAATTTGGTTGTTCCATCATGATCCTTCAGGATTTTCTGTGATTCTGCAGTACCTCGTAAGAACAGGTAGCATAGTCTGGGAGATGTAGCTCACGCAAGGTATTTAGGTGAAATGGTGTTTGTTGCAATGCAGCTTTCTTTCCTTTCCCATCGACTGTGACGGGTACATGGCGGCCAACATTTTCCTGGAGTGCACTTCGTGATTTCAGCATTCTATGGCCTGGGGTCTTCGGCAAGTGGCGGTAGTCGCCCTCAAATGCGATCCCTATTGGGCGGGAGCTGAGCATTGTGATAGTTGGCGGTACCTTGAAATGGGTTTGATTTTGGTTTGATGGCACAGTTCAAGCTTTCAAAACCGTGCCGCAGTGGACCAGACACGGTCACGTGAAAGTCATGTGTATTGATTTCTCCGCTACTTTCAAAGTTTCCCTGCTTGTCCGAGTCTCTCGACGTACGTAAACGGTAGAATGAGGCCGGCAAGGAAGCATATGTCTAACTACGATTCAGCGTTATGCTTGCTGCATTATCCTAGCATCCGCGTCGCGTCCGCTTAACGTAGTCTCACCATTTAATTGGCAGCGAAGGTGTTTTCATTGTTCAAGCTTGGCTTGCATCGTTCTTCTGTACTGACTTCAGTCTCCTCTGTGTCCGGTGGCACGGGCGGGCACACGACCCGTCCATGTTCCAGGAACCACTTTTCTGTAGCGCCTGTGCAGACACTAATGATACTATAAAACGAACTTCTGCGGAGGCTAAGGTATATAGAGAACAAGGATTTAGTTGTGTGTTCTAGGACCGACTTAATATACAATTGATGCCTAGCTAATGTGTCAACCTATACATGTGAAGAGCAAATCATCTCGTCGTACGTTCCCATGAGTTTTGTCATCTGTTTAACGCATGCTCGCACTCCAGGTTTGGAGATCTGCCTTTGCTCTGGATTGATCGAGCATTCTGCTTCTTGAAACACTCTGATGCCCCAGTGACTCTGCTTGTGCTTCTGTGTTGAACACAATCGTCGTCTGAAACTGAATTATAGTCTACACACGGTTGTTGAAATGCCTGGTGCTCACCATCCCAAAGCTGTGACTCTGAGCGCCGCCTCTTGTAGTCCTGTCGCGAAGGAGCAGGCGACGATTCAACCTGTAGGTCATTGATAAGTTCGTTGTCGCGTTTATCATCTGGCCATTTGGAAACTAACGAGGCTAAGAAGGAGTTCCCTACGACTGCACGAGATGTGGGTCAATATATTTGACGCGCAGTATTTCATATCATTACCATTAGGCCACAAAAACCATACTCCAATCCACATAACTGTGGTATTTCAGCTGTGATAGAATGTGGGGTTCCAACACGCTCACAGTCTTCCCCTTGCTGAATTACAAACTTGAAGCTAGTTAGAGAGCGCTCCATTTGGGGGAAGATACGGGCGATGAAATTCTTACCCATGTTGCCAATGTAACGGCCATCAAACTAATGGATCATGATGGAAACACCTTGTGAGCAGTAAAAGAACCAAATACCTGGTGAGCAGACCAGTTTCTGTGTAGAGATGACATTACAAAGGGCATAACACAATGAAGACGCTTCCTATCTCACCGATTGTCCAATAGATCAACCGGTCGATCATCGTCATCGTCCTATGACAGATGTAAGGATTAGTGAGCAAGATGATGGATAGCCATACGCTTCGATGTCAGGGTCTCTTCTCTTCCTCAAAACCCAGGCGGTGCTAGCGGTGGTGATCAAGTCACAGACGGCACGTGAGACGAAAGAGAGCTCAATCTCCAGCTCTTGATTGGCTCCAAAAGCATCGAGGTTCGTCCTAGAAACCGCAAATACTGTGACAACGAATGTGGAAGTTTGTGCAACCACGGAGATCATTTCGCAAAGAATGCACAAGAAAACATTTCTAGTCAACTTCCAAAGTCGAAATACGTAAAATGTCTGGTATTACATGTAAGCGTCAGATCATGAATACGCATATCGAAATCACGTACCTGCACAATAAACACTGTGGAACCAGCCAACGGAACGGCCAGGTCTACCGCTAGAGGAAGCACACTGAGTTGAGTTGGGTTACCATAAGTGCTGACAGTCATTGTCCACAATGTTGATATTACGCAGACAAAGTGGCCCAGCTGAATCAAGCTGCAGAGTCTGTGTCGGTATTTGAAGGAACCAAGTCAAACATTAATGAAGCTTACACGACTGCAGCTACCTAACCGTACGTATGAAGCAATCAGTCAAATCATCAACGAATTATGCGCATGACAGACTTACAGTTGCCTTCAGAGCGAGATGATCGCTCGTGAATCTTGTAAAATACAGGTAGGACTGACATGCAAAGCAACCGAATAATGCAGCGGTCAAAAGCCCACAGACTTGAATCGGTCCAATGACCAGCCTTGCGTTGAAACCATCCATAAAATCGGCCCACACTAAGTTATGCAAGGTTATAGGAAACAGGTCTGATCGTCGTGTCTGACTTACGAAAGCGTTGAGTTGATGATGCGAGGAGCCAGACGAATGTACGGAAAGGTTGAGGGTTAGGTCCACCGTGGCTGCGAAAAGTACAGAGATTGAGTTTTTCTCTAGTTGATGTGTGGATACTAAAGACTCACCGCGTACCAGTTATGATATCATAGACGGTTCCCGATACGCAGTGATTATGTGAGACTATGCGACGACTTGGTCTATACTTACTTTTAATATACAAAAATAGCGCCGGTGCCTCTCAGTGGCGGACCATGAGGCAATTAGTTCAGGAGGGTTTCCTGATCTAAGTCTATACTCAGAGTGTCATTAGGGAAACGCACGGGTACGGGTAACACCGCGGTTCTTTGCTGACGGGTTTGGCGGGTACGGGTACGGTGTTGGATATTCATACCCGTGACCATACCGCGACCCTTTACCGCGGGTTGGCGGTGTTTAACGGGTATGACTTACCAAATCGGGAACCTTGACAGCCACTGAACACCGTACTATAATTCTCTGTGTCGGCTTACTCTGAGTGCTTGAGGATCACAACCCAATGCTATACTGATTTCTGTCATGTCTTTCGTGCCCCTGTGAATCATTCTAGCAATTTATTGAGCTGACACTTTGCTACAGCGTCCATCTCTGAGAAGGCCAAGTCACTCAAAAAGGCCGTCGCAAAGGGTGCTAAGGTTCTGGCCTGCCCCTTGAAGAAGGTCAAACAGTCATTTGTGTCTTGTAGTGCTGCCGAAGTCTGGTTCGGTCCGGTTCTCTGGCAAAATTTTCCGAACGCCAAACCGAACCCTAGGTTCAGGTTCAGCTGTTGGTTGAGCTCTGGACCAAACGCCTCTGAACGCGTTCAGGAGGTCCGGTTTGTGTTCGAACCAGGTTCGACCTCAATGCATGGGTGAAAAAGTCCAAGGAAGGCTGACATAGTATCGCCTGTAGAAGATGGGTTCAAAATGATTGGAGGTGGTTGGATGCAGACGTCAGTCACAGATCAGCGTCCTGAGATCTTTGAAAACAGCGAGGTGAGGAAGCGGCTGCACACCTAGCTCGTGCAGAAGTTCAGAACACCAGCATAAAATCTAATCATATTAAATATCGAGCATTGAGCTAGTGTCAAAGAGAACAAGCACATCTAGTATTCGTCAGATGAGTCTGATTTTGACGAGCGCTGAACCACTGGCACATAGCCCATGTGACGATCAGTTCAGGAGCGATTAGTGCCGCTATCATGATGCCAAGTCACCACCATAGGATGCGCAATGTACTCCAACAAGGTAAAGGATCATGCACAGAAGTAAGTGCATTATTGGATGTCACTTTGGGGTGGGGATATTGCGCTTTGTATATCTCGCTCACTACTATGTGTATTTTATCTGCTGGTGAGCGTCATCTCAAGGCAGTATAATGAGACCCTGAGCAGAGATTACGAAGAACATAAACCCATGTTGAGCATGAATCTGGCGCCGTACTGCTTGTGAGACGCCTTGCCCGACAGCATTTGCATTGTGCTCAGAGCTTGGTGACAACTTGAATGACAGTGCATCTGAAGGTCATTTCATTCCCATCCACAGGCCAAAATGTCTAGATTGATCTCGGCTTACCATGATATGAGACATCTCACGTCGATAGCCTGACAAAGAAGCCGAGCACCAAAGTATCTCCGTGCCATGCCAGGGTTCAGCTCCTGTTCAAAAATGGATCATGAACACGCTGAAGCCGATTGCAACACATACCTGTGATGGAAGCAGAAGACAAGTGCAATCAAGCGCCCAGAATCGTTCTGCGGTAGTTGAAGCATAGCCTCCTCGTTGCCGGCGAGAAGGTTCTTGATCAGGGCATTGCAGGCACTGCGATCATGATCATAGCATTGAGCAAGAGACAACTTGCAATTGGAAACAAAGGTTTGATTGAAATATGAAACACTATTAAAGCGCAAAATAATGTACATACTGTGAAACCATACAGTATCAATGCATCGACATGAGACAAGGGTCCCATTGTGCACATATGGGTAGACTATACAAGTCCGATCATGCCATGCGAGTGGCGTTGTGACAGTCCTTATTCCAGACAGACAGTCTCTCAAGCACAGACTTGGTGAGTCCGCAGAAATGAACATCATAAGTACTGAAATGCAGATTAAAAGATGTGTGAAACCTACCCAAAAATTCTGAGGTTCGAATCCGTTCGAACCTATTCACCGTCAGCCGAACCCAAACCTCTGGAGAGGTTCGGTTCTGAGTCTTGGCTGAACCTAGGACCGGACCATGAGTCCAGTTCAGAGAGGTTCAGGTTCGAACTGAAGTTCTGAACCGGACTGCGGCAGCACTAGTGTCTTGGTCTGCTCGATTGAAACCCACAGACACTGTTGATCTCACGCTTACACTTTGCCACAGATGCTTGGACTTCACCTAACCATTGTGCCTTTGTAGCATGGACCGTCCACCTCGAGTATGAGGGTAAAATGTTTTCATTTCTGCTCGACATCATTGAAGTTGCCGAGGTATGTCGCAGGCCATATCAAATGCTCCACCAATCTTTACATGATATATCTTAGTCGCATACTGGTGCTGCGATGGCAAAATTCTTTCAAGCAATGCTTGAACACTTTGGGCTAACAAAGAGAGTAAGCTGATTCTGAATATTGCAGAAATCATGCTAACTTGAAGATCATAGATTCTTGCAGTTAATGCTGATAATGCAACCACGAATGATACTCAAACAACAAAGCTCGCGAGCCTCAATAGCTCATTTGAGTCTGTCAACCGTGTTCAATGTTTTAACCATACTCTCCAGCTTTCTGCAAAAGCTTTGCTGAAGCCATTCAACTCCGAGTCATTGTCAGCATCTGAAGCCGATGATGATGTGGATGGCATTAGACTATCTCTCTGTCCCAGGTATGCCACCCTCAAATCCTTTTTCAATCAATCAGTGCTTATTATCTCGCTCAGCAACATCAACTGTGGTTGAATGTGTCTTCTCGCAGGGTTGGCAGCTCCTTCATTTTACTCGCAACCAACTCGCACCATCAACAATTCGTGCTTTTCTCTGCCTTGGAGCCTGGGGCAGAAGTGATCTTCTAGCGATGGAGGACCTTCTAGCCTCTGTAAAGAGTCAAAAACAGAAGCAAAATGAAGTTGAAGCTGAGGAGGATGACAACAACAACGAAAAGTAGTAATATCTATTCAGTTGTTGTTAATACACTCTTCTTGGTAATGCACCCATGGTGTTTTTCATCTAACCGCTGTGGGGAACGTCCCCACTGTAGGCCCATATCCTGTATAATTCCCATGCCTTACCACCATCTTCCTGTGCGTTCCGCTACCAGTCCGCTACCCATCCGCATCTTACCTGACCTGTCCGCTACACGGAACCAAGCGGAACCAAGCGGAACCCAGCGGAACAATTGCATACCATGCGCATCATATCCCTTTAGCCTTCAGAATGTCCTCCTCCGTCCTGTCCCTGTCCTTCCATCCTCACTGGTGAGTACTAGCTATGTTCCCCGTGTTACTAACATGTTCCCATCTCATTTCATATGTGTTACAATACTTATACAGATCCTTCTGCTACTCGGGACCGGTTCCTTATCTCACAGCCTCACCCGGTTGTAGCATAGTGCATTTTGGAACCCCTTCCTATATAGGTAGCAATAGATGGGATCTTAGTTTTTTACCTTCTGATAGACTCGACTCCACTTCCACTTACAGAGTACTTCCCAGTACTCCACTCACTGTCTAAAATATCTTCCCGAATCTATTCCTGATCTCATTGCAATGTTCCTGCCTCTGTGAGTTCCACTCGAAACACCCGACATCAGATCTGACGACTTGGAGCAAGTACCAGACACAAGCCTGGTCCGACTTTGCCCAATCATCCTCCTGCAGGCTCGTAGTTTCCTTTCCCTCCGTTTGTTCCCCGTTTGTTCTGTTTGTTCTGTTTGTTCCGCGTTAGTTCTGTTAGTTCCGCGTAGTTCCGCTCATTGTGTGTTAGTTCCGCTTGTTGTGCGCTGTGTTCTGCTTGTTGCATACCCTCCGCATCTTTGCGTTCCCAGTCCTAGTAAGGACCGGAACCCTTCAGGTCGCTAGACAGAGTCTAGTCTTTGCTTTCCTCGCACTTACTTGAGGACCCGCTACCCAGTAGCAATCCCCTCGGGACGAGTATTAGTCTCGCACCCTTGTTAGACATCTGAATCACCCCAGAGTCTATTTTCCTCACCCACACCGCGGTGTTGACGGGTCGGTGTGTACCCATACCCATGACGGGTACAGTGTTGGTGGGTACGGGTATGGTGTCAGCTTTCCGACCCACAGTATTACCTGTGCGGAACCCTAAGTGTCATTAGCTTGTTGGTGCTGCATGGTCCTGGACTACTGTTTTCAGGGTTCTTCGTATGATGATAGCCTGCTACTGCTTGTGGTAAGTAAATGATTCACAAATCAGTTGAAACCACTTGACCTGGATTTGCAATATATATGCACGGAGACTTGTACAGTGCATTGCATAAAAATGTTCAGTACTTGATCTGGACAATGTCTGTTTGTGTGTGTTTGTGCCTATGAAAAAACATTCAAATATTCTCAAAATGAGTTTAATGTGTGACTTGTCACTCTGTATCATGTTGGTACACCTCATGGAAGAACTGCAGGAGAGGGTTGTTGTTTGGTGTTTTCAGCAGCAGAAGACAGTTGCTGAGATAGCTCACCTTGCTGGGTGTAGTGAGTGCAATGTCTACAAAATTTTGAAGCTCCACTGAGATTTTGGACAGACTAGAAATCCATTTGCTTGCATCAGCAAATCACTTTGCTTCTGTGGGCTCTGTATAGCTCTGTACAGAAGGGACCAAGCTGTGGCCAGCCATTTTTTGGTGGTGGGAAAAAAAGTGTTTTGCTGATGTGACATTGTGGTAGGCCTTGTATTCTCAACCAGCAAGACCTTGCATTTATCACTTCTATTCTTTATGCCAACCCATCTCTCTTCCTTGATGAAATTCAAGAGTGGCTCCTTGAAGCATGGAATGTTGAAGCTTCCATTGCTACACTCTTGCGCACTCTTTGTTGAGTTGCAATCACACACAAACATACATTGAAGGCAGCAACTGTTTTTTCCCTTCTCTTTATCTCTCACTCAATGACTTCACAGGTACCAAAACTCACACCATTTTCAGGTTCTTGCAGTGCAGATGTAGTTGATAATTGTGCTATTCACCACAATGAAGATGTGCAACAGATCATTAAAGGTCTCTGTGGTATGTGTCTCATAAAATGATCTTCACCATGATGAAAACTAACTACTGCTAGGAGCCAAACTCATATATCTACCCCCATACTCCCCTGATCTCAATCCAATTGAGCAGACATTTCACTCAGGTGAAATCATGGCTTCATTGCCATGAGGCTCAGGCCATTTCCATAGATGCTTGACCTTGGCTTATCCATCAGGCAGCTATGTCTGTGTTGTCTGAGGATGCAGCTGCCTGGGTATGAAATTGTGGTTATGAGTGACCTTAGATAGAGCTTGTCAGTATCATATAGGAAAATTATGCTAACACCAAAAGCAAGTAATGAATTAAGGAGTGTAGTTAAATGAATGTGATTGGAATTGGAGAAATTGCCTACTGCAGATGGAGTCTCTTCACCTGAAGATGGTCATCCCACTCCTTGGCGAACATCTGGAATTTCAACACTTGACCCTCAATAGCCTGTGTCATATCCCGTACCTCTGGATCCGGAATTCCGGATCTACTTCATTGAAGTCCATTCCTCCAGTCTTACTATTCTGCCCAGCGCTCCACCTTCATCTCTGCACTCACCCATAACTCCTTTTAGATTAACTATTGCTCCGGTTACCGGTTATGTCCTATTCCGCTATGCTTACTGATCCGTCCATTCTTATTTCATTTCCGACTTCACTGCTTTGATCCGTTATACTTAGTAATAGACTTTCCACATGCTTCATACATAGCCCTTACCTTTGCTGACTGATTTACCTACATGATACCTATAGTATATAAACCCCTGTAATACTCCAGAACTCCTCAGTTTGAATATCATCTTAGTTCTGCTCATTCCTGCAATCTCCGGACTTGAGTCTCACCTCTTGTCCACCTCCGAGTCTTAGGGGTTAAACCTCAGGACTACTTCTCCGGCTCTACCTTAGGGTAGTCTAACCTCTGTTCAGTTGCTACTTCAGACTTCCTGTAGTAGCCTTACTTCGTCCCCTGTATAAACCTTCCAGAGTTCTGCCGAACTCCACCGACACTAAGTCCTCTGGAACTCCCCAGGACTTCCATCGGACTTCCCCTCTGTCCCCCGGAAATTAAAGGGCACGTACTCGGGTAAGGGGCACAGCACATGAGCTGAAGCCGAAGCCCTTTGAGTAACCTCTCCCTTGAGCACGACCTTAACAGTATATTTGAGCTCACACCTTACCGAGTATACTTACCCCTATTCCTATGGCTCCTACAACTGTTACGCGAAACCTCTCAGATGAGATCTGGCGGCGCTAAACCCTGCAAGGGGCGTTCGAAGCGTGGCCTTCGGCACTAGCCCAGCAAGGAGCTTGCCTGTGCTAAGTCTGAGTAAGGGTTGAGGCCCTTACTTGCAGTAGAGTCGATTGGAGTTTCTCTAGGATGCGATCCAAGAGACGGAATTCAACTCAAGAGTATTGTCTCAAGAGTAGATGGTTCTTTGTACAAAGGGAGTTCTCTTAGGCAAGAGAAGTTCAGACCCAACGACAAGAGAAGATGAGAACCGAGTAGATTCAAGTTAGAGAATCTATCTACTGTACAAATAGGATATATATATGTAGGGGTGATATACCTGGTGGAACGGTAAGGGTACAGGGTATGCAGAGGCAATACCGATGTAGTGGTAAGGGTCGAGGCTTGTGTGAGTCATAAGTATAAAATGGGTAAGAAGTACCGGTTGAGCGGTAGGGGCAAAGGGCATGGGGAATCCCCATCAATGAGAGAACCAAAACAAGGGAAAGGGCATAGGGTGTGGAAGAAGCCGTGGCTTCTATGATCAAGGGGGAGAAGCAAGAGCTTCTCGGTTTCAGAACAACGGAATCAAAAGAAGAGATGAAAATAGGATAGTCGTAACCATGGTTCAGGTCTAGACGAGTCCGAAGAATGAAATGACGTGTAATGCTCATGTTACTGTAACAACAACTTGTAGTAACCTCGCAGCAGCCGGACTATCTACAACCCAGCGCGACCCCGCACCAGTAGTAAACACATTCACCAGTTTCTCTCAGCACCGTGCTAGCTTGCACGGAACAGCTCAAAGCATATCCCAACTCACCAATTGTAAACATCCGGAAACCCTGACACGAACCCCTGCTGGAGGTCCTCCGGATGACGAAGATTCCAGTAGAGATGGTGATGATGATGGAACTCCTGGCAGGAACCCACCAGATGACTTCGGAGGTGATCCAGATAATGAACCGGATAATGATCCAGATAATGGTCCGGACAATAATGATGACAATGCTCCGGACAACAACAACAACGGCCTTAACCCACAAGACCGCGTGTTCCATCAGGAAAAACTGTATCTCTATATAGAGGACCATCCTCTATATAGCCCCTATAGCACACCACAGCTCTATACAGTCTATCGCAAGCTATCACAGTGCTATAGACCAGTATAGACATCATGAAAGTCTATATTACCATAAAGTTTGGTAAGTGTATTTAGAAGTAAAACATTTCAACAACTATAGACCCCAGTAGACTGTGGGAACTTTTTTCGATGAAAACCAAAGTTGTAGTCCTTGTCAAGGGAAGTCTATCCATAGTCTAATGACTTCAATAGGTTAAGATCCTAGTGAGTTACAAGGAAAATACTCGAAATCGAAGGGTTCAAGAAAGCAACTTGACCGTGGGAACCTTTTTCGATTAAATCAAAGTTGTAGTCCTTGTCAAGGGAAGTCTATCCATAGTCTAATGACTTCAATAGGTCAAGATCTTAGTGAGTTATAAGGAAAATACTTGGAATTGAAGGGTTCAAAAGTGTTAAGGTACACCTTATTTATGTAAGCAAAAATGCGAAAATTCACCTTATGTGTATTCAAAATCCTAATGCTAACAGTCAATTTCATTGTCTTTTTCTTACTGTCATAATCCTAGTCCTAATAAGCAAAAACTCGAAAATTCACCAAGTCTTGTGTTGTGGCTTTGTTTGGCACTGCTTATGTAAGCAAAAATGCGGTCAACCAACAAGTCTTTTCCCATTCTTTCCTTCCCCCCCACTGCCCCCTCATTAGATTATCTTCCATATTTCTCTTACAATTTTCGAGTTTTTGCCTCTCTTCTCTTCTTCTTGCTTCTCTATCCTTCTCTTGGTGTTGATGTTGTTGGTGCTGGTACTGGTGCTGGTGCTTTGAACTCTGGTAAGTCTCCCTCCATAATTTTCGCATTTTTGACTATTTGACTAATCTTTTTTCTAACCCTCTCCTTCTAGCTCTCTTCCCTCCTGCTCCTCCTCCCCCCAACTATTTTCGCATTTTTGACCATTTGGCAAGTCTTTTCTCTGACTCTCACTTCCTCCTGTCTAATCCTCTCCTTCCAGCTCCCTTCCCTCCTCTTCCCTCAAGAATTTTCGCAATTTTCACTATTTGGTAAGTTCTTTCCTCTCTGATTCTTCCTTCTAGTTCTCTTGCCTCTTCCTCCTGTAATTTTCGCATTTTTGCCTGTTTTGTAGTTATTAGTTTACATGTATTGTAGCAGTTGAAATATAATTTGGAATTTTCGCTTTTTTTAATTTTTAATTTTGAGAACACTATCATGGCAACAAACAGCTATTAAGAGAAATTTTTGCTTTGTGTTTTGAGCTATAAGAGCTACAATAGCTACAATAGTTGTGGTATGTTCCACCCAGCTATAGCAACTTTAATAGAGCTATATAGCACTATACACTGGTGTAGTAAGCCTGCACAATTGGGCACTTGGCTATATGAGCTATAGGGCTATGGAGTCTGTATAGCAGTCTATAGTGCTATGGGTGGCTATATAGCCTTACCACATTTTCCTGATGTCCTCCGACTATCGGAAGCCATCAATAACCTAGCCCGCAATAGCCGTCGCACAACGCCCTCCGAAGATTCCAGAATCAAAGTCCAGGAGCCAGATACCTTCGATGGTACCGAGCCCCAAAAACTCCATGCATTCTTTGTACAGTGCGAGCTCAATTTCCAGAGCAAACCCCAGTCCTTCCGCTCCGACCGAGCCAAGGTAAACTTTGCCCAGTCATACCTCAAAGGCATGGCCCTTGAATTCTTTGAACCGGACCTCCTGTCCGACGAACTCCATGACCGTCCAGACTGGATGGAAGATTATTCCGAGTTCATGTTGGAACTCCAGACCAATTTCGGTCCTCATGACCCGGCCGGCGATGTGGAAGTGCAGCTTGAGCAGCTGCATATGCACAAAGATCAGTGGATCAACAAATATGTTGTAGAATTCCAACGACTCGCTTCGCAAGTCCGTGGGTGGGGCGATGGAGCCTTACGCCATCAGTTCTACAACAGACTTCCAGCCCACATCAAAGATGAAATCAGTCGCCTGGGGAAACCTACCACCCTTGCGGAATTCAAAACCCTCACCCAAACCATCGATGCACGCTACTGGGAACGCAAGGGAGAAGTCTCCCATGAGACCAAGACCTCCACTCCTACTCCGCCTGTTAAGCAGTCCACTCCGGACTGTAGCAGCTCATCTGGATCCGGGAACGATACAAAGTTCCCTAAAGCATCCACCTCTGCCCCATCCTCCAAAGCTCCGGATCTCACTTTGAAGCTCGGAAAGGACGGAAAGCTTACTTCGGAAGAACGGCAAAGGCGCCTGGACAACAAGCTCTGCTTGTTCTGTGGTGGCCCCGGTCATACGGCTAGGGACTGCTCGAAGTCGACCTCACGCACCGCTAAAGGCCGCGCAACCATGGTCGCCCCGGAAGCTAATCCAGAGGCCTCGGAAGAGGCAAAAAATTAGTCCACGACCCTCCTGACTCCAGTGCAGGATGAGGGTTGCATTGACTCAACCCGCACACCTGGAGTTACGTCTCAATGCTGTCGCCCTTTCCGATTCAACTTCTCTTTGTCCATATGTATCTCTTCCTACGTATTCCGATATCTCCGATTTTCCTGCTCTCGTAGATTGTGGCTCTTCTCATTGTTTTATAGAAACTAACTTTGTCCATAAATACAGTCTCCCTACCTATGCAATTCCTCTGCTTCCGCTCCACCTGTTTGATGGTACTTGTAATACTACTATTACCAAAGCTATAGATTTACCCATCTGTTTCTCCTCCGGCATAGTTACCTCCAAAATGTTTTACGTTACTCCTTTGGATTCATCTTGTCTTATCGTTCTAGGATATAGCTGGCTCTCCTAACACAATCCATTGATTGACTGGGTAACGGGCAGCATTGAATTCTGAGCAATACCTCATGGAATGCCATCGACCCCTCTGACCCCATCTCTGCCTCCTCCGGTGGAAGTACCCCCTCCGACTATGCCAAGTCCCTCTGCTGATAACGCTGGCCCCCACATATCTCTAGTTAATGCTGTCGCCTTCTGCCGGGCCTGCAAACTAGAGGGGTCAACCCAGTTCAGCATTTACCTTCGTCCCTCCGGTGTCAACCTCCGCTCCGCTGCACTCTCCACTGATCCCCCAGATCTCTCTGGTGTCCCTTCAGATTATCATGAATTTGCAGATGTGTTCGACAAAGGCAAAGCAAGTCAACTTCCTCCACACTGGCCTTATGATCTAAAGATCGACTTGGAGGAAGGAGCTGCGCCGCCCCTCGGCACCATTTACTCCCTCTCCCCGGTAGAGCTTGAAGCTCTCCGGAAGTTCCTTGACGAAAATATCGCAGCTGGCCTGCTCCATTCTTCCTCCTCTCCACATGGAGCCCCCGTCCTGTTTGTCAAAAAGAAGGATGGCTCTCTACGTCTCTGTGTGGACTTCCAAGGGCTCAACCAGATTACCAAGAAAGACCACTATCCCCTGCCCCTCATTGCCGACCTCTTAGACTCTCTGAGCCGCGCGAAAGTTTATACCAAGATCGATCTCCGGTCTGCTTATCACCTTGTCTGGGTAGCAGACGAAGATGAGTGGAAAACTGCGTTCCGCATGCGCTACGGCTCCTATGAATGGTTGGTCATGCCCGAAGGACTTACCAATGCTCTGATGGCTTTCCAGCGTTTTGTCAACAGCATCTTTGCTGACATGCTTGACATTTGTGTTATTGTGTATCTGGACGACATCCTCATCTATTCCCAAGACCTCGCCTCCCACAAACTACATGTCCATGAACTTCTCCGACAACTCTGAAAACATTGCCTTTATGCCAAACCGGAAAAATGTGAATTCCACTCGAGTTCCATAGAATACCTTGGCTACCTGCTATCTCCGGACGGCCTTACCATGTCACCCACCAAGATCCAAGCCATTTGTGACTGGCCGGAACCCCGGAAAGTCAAGGACATTCAATTGTTTCTTGGATTCGCCAATTTCTACCGTCACTTCATTTTCAACTACTTGGATATCGTAGTCCCTCTCACCTGCCTCACTCACAAAGACACTCCATGGAATTTCTCCAACAAGTGCCGGCAGTCCTTCCAGACACTCAAGGAGGCATTCACCACAGCTCCGGTGTTGACGCACTGGATGCCGGACATTCCCATCATTGTGGAAACGGATGCCTCTGACTATGCCATCGCCGGAATCCTTTCCATTATTTGTCCGGACTCGGAACTTCGTCCAGTAGCTTTCTACTCCAGAACGCTCACAGCTCCGGAGCTCAACTACGATACCCACAACAAGGAACTCCTGGCCATCTACGAAGCCTTCCGAACCTGGCGGCATTACCTAGAAGGCTCCTCCCAACCCATTGACGTAGTCACAGACCACAAAAACCTCAAATACTTTGCCACTACCAAACTCCTCTCACGCCATCAGGCGCGATGGTCGGAATTCCTCCATCATTTCAACCTCATCATCCGCTTCTGTCCTGGAAAGCTCAGAGCTAAACCGGACTCCCTTACTAGATGCTGGGACATCTATCCCAAAGAGGGGGATAAGGACTACGCTCGAGTTAACCCTCATAACCTCCAACTGGTATTTACCACGGAACAGCTCGCTTCGTCCCTACGAGCATCAACTCTAGCTACTCCAGTACTACGAGCAGCTGTAGTAATGGATATTGAAAGCCTCCAAAAAGACATTTTAGCCGCTCTTCCTACTGATCCCATCACCTCCAATCATCTCCCGGAACCTTCAGACCTAAGATGGACAGTAGATGACGACGGACTCCTCCGTTGCAACAACCACATATATGTCCCGCAAGCCAATGATCTCCGCCTCCGCATCCTCCAGAATACTCACAACCATCCCCTATCCGGACACTTCGGTCAAAACCGGACGTTGGAACTTATCCGGCACGAATATACCTGGCCTGGAATACGCACCTATGTCAAGGATTATGTTAAGTCCTGCACTACCTGCGCCCGAGCCAAAGTTCCGAGACATAAGCCCTACGGATTGCTCAAACAACTCCCCATTCCTGGAAGGCCATGGAACTCTATCTCCATGGACTTCATAGAACAACTCCCAATCTCCTCCGGCTTCACGGCAATCCTCATCATCATAGATCATCTGTCCAAGCAGGCAATATTCATTCCGACACACGACACCATCACTTCCCTGGACCTCACCCAACTTTTCCTTCTCCACATCTTCTCCAAACATGGAGTTCCATCTCACGTCACTTCCAACCGAGGTACCGAATTCATATCCCACTTCTTCCGGTCTCTTGGAAAAGCATTAGACATGATACTCCACTTCACCTCTGGTTACCATCCGGAAGGTGACGGCCAGACCGAACGCGCCAACCAGACCCTAGAACAATATCTCCGAATCTACTGCAATTATCAACAGGATAACTGGTCCGAACTCCATCCTTTGGCAGAGTTCGCGTACAACAACACTCCGAGCGCTACCACCGGAGTATCACCGTTTTTTGCCAATAAGGGATGGCATCCCAACATATCCGTATACCCAGAACAAGACCTATCTTCCACCCATGCCCGGGATTTTGCCGTAGACCTAGACGACCTCCACCAATTCCTCCGGGAAGAGATGTCCCACGCCCAAGAACATTACCAGGGCCCCGCTGATGCCAGACGGAAGTCTGCTCCAGACTTCAAGGTTGGGGACCAAGTGTTCGTTAAAGCAAAATATTTCCGTTCCACCCGGCCTTTCAAGAAGCTATCGGAAAAGAACCTAGGACCCTTTGACATCATTTCCCGTCCCGGTACCCATTCCTTCACCATCCGCCTTCCAGACTCCATGCAATCCATACATCCTGTATTCCACATCTCGCAGTTGGAACCCGCAACTCTGAACACCATCCCTAATCGTATCCAGCCACCCTCACCCGCAGTTGAAGTTGACGGAGAACCAGAGTATGAGATCTCTGAGATCCTGGACTCCAAACTCGACCGCCGACGGCGACATTGCCAACTCCTGTACCTGGTTCGTTGGACTGGTTACGAAGGTACGGATGAAGAAACATCCTGGCTCCTCGCCACAGAACTCGGAAATGCTTCGGAACTCGTCTCGGGTTTCCATGCTGCCTACCCAAGCAAGCCCAGTCCCCTCGCCGAGTTATGAGTCATTTAAGCCTTGAGGGCTCGGCCCTAAGGGGGGGATACTGTCATATCCCATACCTCCAGATCCAGAATTCCGGATCTACTTCATTGAAGTCTGTTCATCCATCTTACTATTCTGCCTGGCACTCCACCTTCATCTCTGCACTCACCCCTAACTCCTTTTAGATTAACTATTGCTCCAGTTACCGGTTATGTCCTATTCCACTATGCTTACTGATCTGTCCATTCTTACTTCATTTCCGACTTCACTGCTTTGATCTGTTATACTTAGTAATAGACTTTCCACATGCTTCATACATAGCCCTTACCTTTGCTGACTGATTTACCTACATGATACCTACAGTATATAAACCCCTGTAATACTCCAGAACTCCTCAGTTTGAATATCATCTTAGTTCTGCTCATTCCTGCAATCTCCGGACTTGAGTCTCACCTCTTGTCCACCTCCAAGTCTTAGGGGTTAAACCTTAGGACTACTTCTCTGGCTCTACCTTAGGGTAGTCTAACCTCTGTTCAGTTTCTACTCCAGACTTCCATAGTAGCCTTACTTTGTCCCCTGTATAAACCTTCCGGAGTTCTGCCGAACTCCACCAACACTAAGTCCTCTGGAACTCCCTGGACTTCCGTCGGACTTCCCCTCTGTCCCCCGGAAATTAAAGGGCACGTACTCGGGTAAGGGGCGCAGCGCACGAGCTGAAGCCAAAGCCCTTTGAGTAACCTCTCCCTTGAGCACGACCTTAACAGCCTGCGTCACATCAGAGAGATGGGAAACTGATACTTTGCTGATAATGTCAGGGCTTAAATCAAGGTCAAACAGAATATCTCCAGCATGAAATAGATCAATGCCTTTAGCCTTGAGGAAGTCACCAAGACATGCCTATATCTCTGTACCAGCAGTGGGAATTGGTGAGAGTGGAGGGGAAGCTTCATGACAAGAGCAAACTGGGGTGGCATTAAGGATGGCCTTGGGAGCTTTTGGTGGTGTGAGTCAGTCTGTAATGAGTGGGATTATGGCTGCAAGAAGCATCATGAGAGTTGGTTGAGCTGGGTGATGAATATGGACCTGTATGGCCATGTGGCTTGATAGCATTGAGCTGGCCATCATGTAGGACATCAAAGTCAACTGTGTTTGGTGGCTTGTGCTTTGTGGCATCAGCAGTGGCCTAAATGTGATATCAGCAGTAGGAAACTCATGAAGGGAATAATACTCGCAATGGCAGCAGCCCATAACTTCAATTTACGACTATTGAGTCCCAGATGTTTGCCTGTCAAACCAACATAACAGTTGCCAGGTTCACCATGTTTGCTGAGATGTTTCTTGCATGACCACTTCTGCTTCAGTTGCATAATAATGGTACCATGAATCTGAGACTCCTCTGAAAATGACTCAATGTGAGGGACCTAGGAAAGTTACAAATGAGTTCTATTTCAACAACCATAATTTGGACTACCTTGGTTCCATATGGCAGTTCCTCATCTTGATGAGTGATTGCCTCACTCTGTGGAAGAGCCTTTGTGAAAAAATTGTCAGAGGTACCCAGCTCACTTGCTGCAACATACCTGTTTTTGGATTCTGAACTCATTCATGGTATCAATTTCAAATTCTACATTTACAACACAGGTGTCCTTTTTCTTCAACAAAGCAGTGTGAGCAACATCAAAATTGTGGTCATTCTCAATAGTCAAAGCACCTGCCTTGCCACCACTGCAAAATGTTGTTGAATTCACAACACAGCTAATACAGTGAAATTTACCTTGATCCCATCCACCATAATCAAAACACAGGGCCAAAATGAACCCCAGGATTATACTGATCATTGAGATCATGGACATGAAAAAATGCTGTAATAAACTCAACACGAGACTTTGTCTTGATGCAGACATGATTAGACTTGATGGTCTTCATCTTCTTGGAGGACAACTTTCCATGAACATTACCTGAACCCCTCTTGACAACTGACATGAGCATTGTGGCTGATACCAGGTGCCCACTGGCAGTGCTATCTAATGAAGTGAAAATACAGTTAGTGAAGTGGATGATGTGAAGAAAAATACCCTACTGTGGGATACACCATTAGTCTGCTTGCCCAATAATGACAGACAGACTTGAGAAGCAGGTGGAGGTGCATGATGGTCATTTTTAAAAGCAGATCCACTATTGTCAGCTTGAAGATGAGTATTACAATAAACCTCCTCGATTTCAGTATGCGAATGGTAAAAATAAGGAGGGTTAACACCTCCATCTACATGACAATCAGCAATGAAGGCAATATTAACAATATATCTTACCAATCCAAGTGGGATTCCTAAGCCAAGCATCTGATGGGTGAGGGTCACAAGGCAATGGGGAATTTTCCTTGTTAGACAAGAAAACCCCATGGCATTGAGGAGTTGGCAACATCTCAGTCTGCAACTTTGCTGTCTCAGCACACTGCATTGTTTGAGAAGAGGGCAGATACAAATAAACAAGTGAGGATTGAGGGTGATTTTTTACAAAGATTACACTCACCTTTTATGCAAACAATGAGACTACAAGATCTGTTTGAGCCTATACTTTTAGAGATAAATTGGTTAGATTCATCTGGTCAGCTGGTCAAACATAAATCACACCCTCAACCATGGCAAGCCATTCTTTCATGGTCTCATTATTGGAAATCATGTCACACCACCACATCAGAAAGGCTGTGCTTGCCTGGGAAGAAGAGGACACAGAGTGCTTACAGCCAGGTGTTGAGCAGCTGAATAGGGTGAAGGCAGTGCGTGGTGCCATTGTGGAGCTTGGAGAAGGGCTCTGTGTCCTATCCTGGATTTGGTACTCTGTCAGTATGGCTGAAGATGGTGACTCTGGAATGCATGAAGGTACAGTTTTCAAAGGTTTTGGCAAGTGCAGTACTGATCAGTTTGTGAAGCTCTTCATGTGGAGTGGGCCAAGGGAAAAGTGCAGGGCAGTATGCTAGAGTGAAGAGCTCATGCTTATTAAGGAGGAGATGTAACAGGTCATTGAATACTGCCAATGGTGGGCCAGATAGTGGACTGAGAGGGCTACCATCAGGAGGGGGAAGGTTGATGACCAGCTTCTTGAAGGACTCCAATCCTATGCTGCAGAGCAAGCCTCCATTAAGCATCATTGTGCTGTGCAGCCGGTGTGGGGAATACCCCCACTGTGGGCATAAAACCCCGTCCTTTCCGCATCGTTTCACATCAGTTCCGCATATTCTGCACGTTCCACATTTCCTGCAGATCGTCCGATGGGTTCCGCATTCCCACACATCCTTCGGAACCCGCCTGCACTATCCGATATTCCCATGCATTGTCGGATGACCTTTGCATGTCCTGTCCCCATCCTTCCAGGTCCATTGGTATGCTGTATCTCTCTTCCCATTGCTTCTAACATTATCCGGATCACACTGACACATGCCCTTATGGCATGGACCCCTATTGCAGAGTATTGCGCCCATGTGCACTGCCTGCCTTCACTTCTGCTTCCTGAGAAGTTTACTACCTGTACCTCAGTGTTCCTTGAAAATAATCTTCCCTTTAAGTAGTGGTACTCAGGGCTTGGGTGTTTTTTATCAAATCCCATCTTTTACCTTCTGACTTTTCTCCCACTTTTCCTTCACCTTACTAGAGGACCAGTTTGACTTATGCCCACTATCAATCTAACCTTGTGATATACTTCCTTCAACTTGATCCGCAAGTCCCGACGAATCTGTACATTCCACATTGTATTCAGTTGAGTTCCACTTCATTCCATTCCATTCTGCTTGGGTTCTGCTTGTTCTGCTTGAGTTCTGCTTGTTCTGCATTTTGGGTTGTTTATGCAGAGACTAGCACTCCCCAGTAGCAATCCCCTTTAGGGTCGAACATGCTTGTTCTCAAGCGAGGCAGCAGGCAGCAAAGACCCAACTGTGTAGTAGATCAATTTCTCACTGCTGCACTTGTTGTACCCACACTGGAGGCAAAATGGGCACCAGTTAAATCACAGGCAGAGGCTGCCCTGTCACAGGTCAATTCCCAGCTATCTGCAATTCACACTGCATTCACAGGGTTATCTTCTATTGAGGTTGAAATTGATGACAACTATGACATGGAGTTTGGAGATGACAATAACAATTAATGAATGGCTAGATCTTGACCTTTTTGCTTGGAAATCATATCGCACACTATTTTTACATCTGTCTGTACATGAGATATACATGTTTGCTGCTTGAATGTTTTGGGTGATGCTGGAGGGAGGGTAGTATTTTTTTTCAAATGTTTTAGCATAGCCACAATGCCAATGATATGTTGTATTGCTTAAACAGGTGGGATAGAATATTTTACATAATGTGCAAACAAACAGGACTAGCCACAATGCCAATGATATGTTGTATTTAGGCAACTGCATGGGTATGGGTACTATTGGGCTATGGGTACAGGTCCAGTGTTGGTGTACCCGTACCCATACCCATGGTGCAGGTTTTGGTACCATGGGTGACCATTACCAAATTCAGTAATTGTTACAGGGACCCTCAGACCCCTATTGTCTCCACCAAATATCACCGTCACAACTGCATCACAACATGTGACAGATGACATCACTGGCATGTGACTAAACTGCAGAGCACAGCATGACAGCTCTAGACTGGACCTAGACCGGGATCAATAGAAGCCACGCGCTTCTCCCTTATCACCTCTACCAATACACCAGTAACAAATATCACTTATCGCCTTATCACTTATCATGACAGATAGCATTATCTGACTTGAACACCTACTGCTGTGCTGGTACCATACCCTGGACCCTTACCATTGGACCAGTGACTCTTATCTCTGAGTCCTTATGACTCACATAGACACTTACCTAGTTGGGATGCTTTCTGGCTACCCAAGCCTACCCTGGACTCATAGGACGATACCTATATATACCACAGTAGTTAGACCATGTATTCTCTAACTTGATCTTCACTTGTGATATACGACTCTAGTATCTGCTTTGATCCTTCAGTCAGTCATTCTGAATGAACAGCCTTCATTCAGTCTTCCACCATCTTGATGCTCCATGAAGTGGACACAGGATCGACCCTATCAAGTGCACTGTTGGAAAGCTGGGCTTTCCTGTAACAGTAATAGCCGTTATCCCAGGAAGCTGGAAAGTCGTTGTTCACTCATTCAAATCCATTGTTCATCTCAAGTTCAAGATTTGTATGTACCATGAGGCCTGTGCAAGTTGATGGAGATGTTTTGATTCATATCTTTGTACTACTTGTTTTTAATTTCTCACACTTGCCTGCACTTGTTTGGACTTGCTTGCACTTGTTTGGACTTGCCTGCACTTGTTTGTACTTGCCTGTACTCACTCATTTGAACTTGCCTATACTCATCTGCATTTGTCTGGGCTCGCCTGCACTCATCTTCAGTTGCCTGTACTCATTTGGACCCATCTGCATTTGTCTTGGCTCACCTGTACTTGTCTGCATTTGTCTGGGCTTGCCTGCACTCATTTTCACTTGCCTGTACTCATTTGGACCCATCTGCATTTATCTTGGCTCACCTGTACTCATCTGCATTTGTCTAGGCTCGCCTGCACTCATTTTCACTTGCCTGTACTCATTTGGACCCATCTGCATTTGTCTTGGCTCACCTGTACTCGTTTGCACACGTCTGGGCTCACCTGCACTTGTTTTCACTTGCCTGGACTTGTCTGCATTCATCTGGGCTTGCCTGCACTTGCTTGAACATGTCTGGGCTTGCCTGTGCTCATCTGCAGGTGTCTGCACTTGTCTAGGTATGATTACAATGATAACTGGTGCACACAGCTCATCTTCATTGTAGATCTGGTCTCATGCAATGTGAGGCAGTGGGATGCTATTGAGTTGTAGAATACATTGGTCAATTTTTTACTTGTACTGTACTACATCTATGCAAGACCCGTGGGTATACCCTCGACAGGTAGTACCCTGGGTGTCCATATTGTAAGGCTGAGTGTGAGTTCGGTAGGGAATTGTGATTGGAACGAGATAGAAATGCGACAAGTTAGTAGGTAACATGAAGAGGGATTGGTCTTGGACTAGAGATGAGGACTTTCGAGAGACTTTTCAGTCTTACTTGGAGCGGGAATCTCACTGTAAGATTTTGCTATAGTATGAGTGTACATTTGTATCATATATACGTTTTCAAATACTTGTTTAAACCGGATCGAGTGTGAAAATACTTGATGAAGGAACAGAGATGGTGTAATGTGAGCGTGAGGTAAGGTACCGAATGGTAAGATGAAAAGAGATATATCCGTGTGACTCCAAACCTATGGTTCGTGTGTCTTGTTTTTGAAGCGCGGTCGGTGCGTAAAGGATGTTGAATCCTTACATCCCCTCCCAACTTCGAATATCGACTGTCCCGGTCGATCTTCTAACTAATAAAATTGCTGTATCATACTTGAATTGATCAAAAGGAAAAATTTAAGGGCAACCAGACGAGAAGGAAAAGGAACAATCAAAAGGAAATGGAAAAACGGAAGATGCATCTAATGTTTGTTTGGTAGGGTTCCTGTGAGGTCTTCAATGTTGATGTACTGGGTGATGTCGAGAGAGGTCAGGGAGCGAGGATGATAAGGTATAAGGCAAAAAGCTGCGAACTTGAGCTTTGAAATGGCACCGTCAACTTCTGCGAGACGATAAGAGCCTCCTTTCGATTGTGAAACGACGACCATGGGTCCAAAATAGCGAGGCTTGCATTTGGCATTAGATGCGGGTTCAATTTTCTTGTTTAGGACAAGAACAAGGGATCCTGTAGGAAAGTCGTAATTGTGGATGGTGTTTGTGAAGCGTCATGCAAAGTCTTTGATAGATGCGGCGCGGCTCTTCAAGAGTCGTGCATGAGCGAGTTCCAGGTCATCGTCTCATTTGAGGAGTTGACGAGCATGAGAGCTGATAAGATCCGAGGTTGATATCAATGCTGAGAGGTTGGGGAGCATGAATGTAGCCTTGATGAGATCGAGAGGGAGCAAAGGTTCTACACCATGGGCGAGGTAAAATGGAGAGTAGCCGGTGGACTTTTGAGTAGTAACACAGTCCACCCAGAATACATGAGGGGTGATCTTCGGCCATTGGGTGATGTCACCATTGCATGCTTTGACAAGGGAGTCACGGATGGTACAATGTGATCGTTCGACGACACCGTTTGCTTGGGAGTTGTAAGCCGAGATTCTAATATGATGGATACCGTATTTCTTCTTCAACCAGTCTATTGCTGCTATAAATGGTGTCCCGTTATCCGTTATGATTTCTTCGATCACTCCCCATCTGCACAATATCTCCTTGAATATAAATGCACCCAAGGTGCGTGCCATTTCAGTTTTCAACATGCGCCATTCTGGCCAGGCAGACAGTGAACAATGAGCCTGAACTATGTGATCGTATCCATGTGATGCTGGCATGAACATGGTGTTGGCATGTGCCT